AGGAGCTCGTTGGGTATTCCATCTGGTCCCGTGGCCTTCCCACGGGCGAGGTGTTGTATGCATGTCTGAAAGTTGGTCCAATCGCAGATTTGTGGTAGCAGCGCCTGGTCCAGTGGGGACGTGGGGGCTGATAGGTTAAAGGGGTCGACGGCATTTCTGGCAAGCCATGGGTATGTTCTGGGTGCTTCGCTCGGGAGAAATTTGCCAGTTTTGGGGCCTCTGACTGGTGCGGCCTGATCCTTAAAGTAATGATGTAAGGACGCAAGGATCGTGTGGGGCTCGGTGCAAAGTTCGCCAGTGGCGGGGTGGATAGTCGCTGGGGTGCCTCGCTCTTGGTCTGAGTTGTTGAAAATTATTTTCCGGGCTTTCTTTGGTTGTGTTGCTATGAGCCGGTGGAATCCTCGTCTTGCCTTGTCTATCTGCTTGCGGGTAGTTGCCTTGATGAGGCGGCGGAGTTCGTCTCCTTTCGCCTTGATGGCTGCTTTTAGTGTGCTGATGCTGCTGGGCGTGGGGGTTGCCGTGTTCGGTCTGGCGTCCACCGGGGTTGTCTCTGTGTTCGCGCTGTCAGTGTTGACTGGGTTGGTCTCCTGTGTGTCGGGCGTGTGGGGGCTGGGAGTCGGGGCTTTGTCGTGCTGTTGCGTGCTGCGGCCTAGGTTTGTCTCTAGTTCCTGCTTGAGGTTTCTATGTTCTTTGTGTAGTTTCCTGATTTGCTTTGTGACTACCCTGGGGGGGTGGCGTTTGCCTGTACTGGGGGGCTTCTTCTCACATTCCTCTAAGAGAATGTTTAGCGCCTTTTGTAGTACCTCATTATGGAGCGTTTGAGCCAAGTTGTCTGTGTCCAATCCCGTTATTGCAGGATGGCTTCGGAGGCTCGTGGTCACATCGGCTGCTCGGCATGCTGGTGTGTCCTCCCTTAGCTTCTCGATGGCTGTGTTTATGGCCTTCACAGCTTCAGACATCTGCTCTTCGAGGTTGGCAATTGCGGATGTTAGCTCTGCCGTCATGCGAGCTGCAGCTCGTTGTATCGTGGCAGTGGGGATGGGGAGGATTACGCTTTGCCATGCGCTACCGTCTGGATTGTTCTGGTCGGTTGTTGGGTCGGCAGCAGCGGGATTGTCGTACAATTTTAGGGTTTTTATTGGGATTCGGGCATGGACCGGGTCGTGGTCAAAGTTCCCTCCCGGTTTAGAGACGGTTTCGTATGCGCTGGTTTGTCCTGCTGCTTCCTCTGTTCGAATTTTTGCGTATAGGGTCTGGTTGAGTAGGATGTCGTCGATGCGGCTTTCATGTTTGGTCATTCCTTCATGTATTTGTCGGTATGAGGCTGGGCGTGCGGCTCCCGTGAGTGGGTTGCAGGGCTGTAAGCCCGTTTGCCGGGCGAATTCTTGGTGTCGCCGGTCAGCTGTGTCATTAGTTCCTGTTGTTCTATCCTGGGGTTGCAGGACAGCGTTGTAGTCGCCCCCTAGTATGACGTGTTCCTTGCGCGACTCTGCTTCTTTGGTTACGGCTTTGCAATAGTCGTATATTAGTTGCCGCACTTGTAGGTCTTCTGGGCAGTATACCCCTATGACATGCAGCGGGGTGCTGCATGGTGGGGCTAGGGTGCAGTGGCTTATGTACCCACGAAGCTTGACTGGAGTTTGGTGTATCGTGGTTGTCCCGCGGTTGCCAAACCGTTCTGAGACTGCTAGGAGGACTCCTGCTGACCGATCGCTCGGTTTTCCTTCCCAGGGCTTGTTGCTTGTGTACGTGCGGTACCCTCTGAGGTGTTTCTTCACTGTTTGCATTAGCCATCTTGTGCGGCTTCCCAGTTTTGTTTCGGTGAAGATGAGGATATCTGCGTCCCAATCTTCCATGTTGCAAAGAGTGTTTTGTAGGTTGGCGCTCAGTCCCCGGACGTTGTGGGTTACAACGTGTAGGTATTTGTGTCGACTTTGGGGTTGTGTGGTATCGTTTGGTGTTGTACCCGTGGGTGGAGTGGGGCTTTCTGGGTTTCCCGGGGTGTTTATTGGTGTATCGTTTGGGGGGCGGGGTGGGTCATGATTGACTTCTGTTTGGGGCCCGATGTTGTCTGTTGCTGTTGCCTGCTGGTGATTTGGGTTTGGGTTATTCGCTCTCAGTTCCTCCATTGTTTCTTCTGCGGGCTGGGCTTGCGGTGGTTCTGGCACTGTTGCTGTTGCTTGTCTTTTAGCTGCGCGTGCCCATGCCTCCATGATAGTGTGTGGCTTGGGCCTTTTCGTGTTTCCCTCGTTCCTTCTGGCGGGCATACTGGTTGTGCTCATGTGGGTTGACCTTGGTTTCTTCCGTGGGGGGGCGACCCGGGGCTCCGCGTTTAGCCCTTCGCGGGTGGCTTGTGCGTATGTTCTTGTTGGTGGATTTTCTTCTGGGGTTACTGTTCCTTGTATGAGGGTTGTAGGGTTGTGTTGGGCGGGCGGTGGTTCATTGTGGGTAGCTCGGGTTGCCCAGTGTTGTTGGGCCCAGTTGTGCGGTGGTTGGATGTGTCGAATAGCAACGTGGATGATGTTGAGAGTTAGAACATCAACATTCCTTAGGTAGTATACTGCGCCGTCTTGTTTTTCCCATGTTTCCCCTAGGCGGACGGGGGCTGACTGCATGGAGTCTATGAAATACCAGCTGTTGCCGCATCTCTTTACTGCGATGGCGTGGTTTGGGAGGTGTACGATAAAGCCCAGGTCCTTGGCTTCCTCTGGTAGTTGGGCTATCGCGTCTCTCAGTCTGGTGTTGGTGCGAAGGGTGACGCCTGTGGAGCAGGATGCCAGGTATGGGGACGGTAGTGGTGCGTTTTGGTGTCCGTGTAGTCGGACGTTGTGTCGTAGGTAGTGGTTCAAGATCATTGCCGAGTAGCTGCCTGCGTCTCCCCCGTAGCTGTGCTCCCATGTTGCTTGAGCCTGTGGTGTTGCTGTTGTTTGTATGTGTCTCCGCATGGTCTCACAGTACCGTGCAACGTGCGCGTAGTCTAGAAACCGCCAGCCTACGAGGTTGTTAATGGCATGTATCATGCAGAATTGACGGTACTGCTTTTCGTGAAAAGATGGCGGGCCTTCTCTTTCGTGCGTTCGTGGGGGCCACGTAGCTTGGTTGTGTTCGTTGCTTGGCGTAGGGGGCGCTGTTGCGGTGTCTTCGTCGTCACCTCCCAGCTGGGTGTGGTCGTGTTCCGGAGCGGTGTCTGAGGTACCTTTTGCACGTCGTGGCGGGTTGGTTTGGGTAGTTCGCATGCTGGGTGTCGTGAGTCGCAGGCTTTGCGTCATAATCCATGGGAGAATGGCTAGGAGTGCGACGTTTTCCAGTGTGGGTTTCTGTGTGCAGCCCATTGCCGCGCCGAAGCCTAATATAAGGGTCATGTCGAGCGTGAGGGCGGGGGTGGCGCCGTAACCACTAAGGAGGGTGGGAGCGAATGTGAGGAGCAGTGCCGTGCACGGCTCATTGCGCAGTACACCTATGCACATTGTCGTACAGATGGGTACGATTAGGGCTTGTTGAGGGTTACAGCGGATCCAGTTTTCCATTAGTGGCCCCATGATGCAGGTAAGGCTCGTCGCTTGAATGACGCACGCGTATGATGGGTTGGGAACTGAATAGAGCTGTGTTGCTAGTGCTATGATTATCGTGAGGGCAAGTTGCGGTCTTTGGTAGGTCCATGTCAGCGATTGTTGGAGTGTCTGTATTAGGGTGTGTGCTATCACGTTCACCAGCGTTACATATTGGAGGGTAGCCTGTTGTAAAGCTAGCCTTCGGTGGTACAGGAGCCCGACGGTACTGAGGAGTAGGGCTGTAGACTTCAGGGGTATTACGCTTAGCCATGCCAATGTGACCAGCGGTATATACGATGCCAGTGCAGTGCAGCTTGCTGTTTGCAGGCAGTTGATGAAGTGAATGAGTCGTGAAAGCCTTCTCCGCTTATGTTTGCGGGGATATCTGCATACGGACCGCGTTACGGTGTAAGCGAGACGTGCTGTGCCAACTGCAGCGGTTAAGCCGCAGCTTATCCATGTGGCAAACGCAACCGCATTGAGTATGAACATTGCTGAGGCTAGGACACATATACGGATCCCCGAGCATGCAGAGATCGTGCCTCCTATCACAGATTGATAGAGACGGTGTTGCACGCTGATGGATGGGAGCTTCGACTGTGGGTTGTCTGGCCTTTTGCACTTCTTGCTTCCTGACCATGGTATCCAGCGAGAGATTGGTTTCCGTTTTGCATTAAGGGCACCTGATTCGGGAACTGTGCTGTTGGGTGCTGCGTCTGGGGGTCCATGCGGTTGTCCGCTTACTTTTACCGCTTCACATCGCCTGGCCCTTCCTGGGGAGTCTTTATCATATGAGGGAGTTGCATTAGCGTCCTTTGGCTCGCTCCGACGTCGCTCTGTGAGTCCTCCCCGCCATGACATTGTGGTCTGAGTGCTCGCCTCCGAGGGAGTAGTCGTTATGCTGCATACATCTTTACTCTTATTCAAAGAGTTGGTCTTTGCTCGGGCTTCCTCTGCCCCGCAACAGAAAGTCTTTCGCGGTCCACATGCCCGTCTTGACACCCTCAACAGTGGCTGCTCCATACGCTGGTCTCTCCATTTGGGCCGTTCTGATGCCTCTATACTCCTAGCGGCGCTCTTTGGCGTTGCAGCCGTAGCAGCGCGGTCATGATCGTCCAAACATTTCCCCTGTCCTTTTTCTAGTTGTAGCACCGTTTGTTCCTCCCTCAATTCTGCTTTTCGGCCTTTGCAGCTTGCGCCGCAGCAGGTTGTAGGGCCCTTACGTAGGCAAAGCCTGGCGTTCGGAAAATACCCCTCTGCCAGCCTCGCATCAATTGGGGGGCGGTGCTCCTGTCCTTCGGCAAGCACTACAAGCACTAATAGAAGCCAGATAAGCATTCTGCCTATTTTGTGCTAAAAGACGTGACTTGCCCGTCGACGAGGGTGAAATGTTGACCTGGCCAAATTAACACTAGGGCGTTGCTAGACTATTATTATTAGGTGTGATCCCTTACGACTTCTAAAATAGCGGTATTTACACTACTATTGAAAACAGCTGCGCTCTGCGCTGGTCACCCAGTAACCATCCCAACCAACCTACTTCATCCATGTCGACCCCATGCAACATCAGGCTAAAGGTTATGAATCATCGAAAATCACCTTTTCACAACCTTCGACACAGAATCCAACCCGAGGGAGGGCTTCTACAACCCTACAGAATACAGACGAGCCCTTCCAAACCTCCCCTACTTTGACTCACCCTTCGAGCAAACTAAGCCCAACAGATGCTGCCCTCAACCCTCACGATGCCGGCTCCAACAGTGGAAAACCCCAAACCACCCAAACAGAGCTCGCCATCCCCGCGTCCAAGCACATCGTCCCTCAGCTCTAGGCTGCCGCTGCCGCTGCTCGCGCCCGAGCCTCCGCAGCAGGTCGGATCGTTCCGGTGGTGACCACCACCGTCTCACAGCACGCTCGGCGGCTTCTATGTCCAACGGGCAGTGTTCCTCCAGCAGCCACCGCAGCACCGGCAGCGGACTGTTAGAGTCAACACAATCCGTGAAGGTGTCCCCAAGGGTGCTCCAGGGGCGGCCTAAGCGGCGCATGCAACGCAGCGTAGCCATGTCACCGCGCTGGCTGGCCGCAATGTATGGATCAAAGCGCATCGGAACCACCTGCGGTAGGGTGTAAGATGCAGGCGGCATGTGCGTCAGGAGTGAAGGAGTTGCTGTTCGTCACGCCTCCAGTTCGCCAGACCCACAGTCTATATTCCTCCCCTTAACATCTTGGCATACCGCATCTCATAATCCCCATGTCACTTTGCAAGAGCTGGCGTGAGGACCCAGATCCCCTACTACTCACCTGGTCAATTGGACAGCCTTGCGCTGCCAGCCACTCCATCGCCTCCTCACAGCCCCCCTCCGCAGCCGAGACAAACACACCATCTCCCCAGCCGCAACCCCGCTCCCTTAGCCACGCCATTAACTCCACGTTGCCCAGGTGCGCTGCCGTACGCATGAGCCCAGCAGCAGCCTCCGCGTCCCGCAAGTCAAGCCCCAAGACCTCCTGCAGCCATGCCACCAGCTGCAGGCGCCCGCTGTGCAACGAGGCCCGCACCGTGGAGACGCCCATGCGGCACCCATGTGCATGCAACCACTGCAGGGTCTCCAGATGTCCTGCCCTAGCGGCTCTCCGCGCAACGGTTTCCGTAAGCAGGTTGGGAAAGTACGACGCAAGCAGCGCCAGGGTGGCCACGTCACCCCGTTCAGCGGCCTCGGCAGCTGCATCCTCGTTCACCGGGCAGCCGCATCGTAGCAGCCTTCCGAGGTAGTCCGCCGCGTCTGGACGAGCCGCCACGTTCCTGGCGAACTCCGCATCACCCCTGCAGCCCTGCATCTCCAACCACTCCACCTTAGCGTGCCAGTCGGGCGAGAGGCTGCCGGCCGCTGCTGCAACCATGCGCGCCTGCACGCTGGACTCAAACTCACCCAGCGGGGCTGAGTTCAGCAGGGTCTGGTGGAGCTGCTGTAGCTGGGACAAGCTTGGCATGCCCGCAATTGCTGCTATGAAGAGTACATTTGGGGGCACGCGGACTCTGGGGGTACGGCTGTGTCTGGGCCCCTGCCTCAGGCTCAGAAACCAGTCAAGCAGGGCCATGTTGCCGCTACCAGCCACAAGGCACACCGCGGCATCACTCCAGGGGCAGTCGTGGGCCAACAGCCACTCGCAAGCCGCCCGCTGGCCTGTCCTTGCAGCTGCAGGCAGAGCGCCATCCATCGGGCAACCCTGCTGCTTAAGCCACTCGCAGACGTGCACATGGCCAGAGGCCGCGGCTTCTCCAAACACTACGTTACAGGGCTTTGCTGCCAGCACGCAGCCTGAAGTCTCCACTGCTATCTGCAGGTTGGTTAAGCTGCCGCTTGCTGCCGTAAGGCCAAGTAGCCGCAGCCTTTTGTCGAAGGTCAGGCTACGCACGGCGTCAGGGGAACCCCAGCGCCAAGCGAAGGCATGGATCGGAACCGGCTGCGACAATCGTACGGCGGTGTATATCGGGCTTCGTAGCTGCGCAGCCGTGGCCTTGTTGAGCAGGCGGATCGTACAGGCCACTTCATTAATAGGCAGGAAGCTGACGACGCGCTGCACGATGTCTGGGATCCAGATAGTCGTACCTCCAATCGTCTGTGACCCTGTAGATGCCGTTGACTTTTGCATATCCACGTCTCAAGTGCTGTCATAAATTTCCGTCCCCGCAAACATTCAACATGTATCTGCTGCGGTGCACAGCGTCCATACACTTTAAATTCCTCTGTTCCGTTGATAAGGTTATTTGCATGAAGTTAAAAGATGCCATGGCACAGTACGAAAATTCGGTGCTGGCATTAGCTGGTCTAGGACTTGCACAGTGGGTTGCTGGAAGCTAGCCATGTGACGACCGTTAGAGCGACCCTGTGGGTCAACGGCTGATGCTGCCTTCTCACATGCCAGCATACGAGAACTACTGCGTTGTATTGGTTGCGCTTGGAAGCCCGGTATGTAAGGCTGCTTTCTAGAAGGGCCAGCTAGCGCTACGTATCCTATAGATGACTATCTCAAACTAATAAGGATACTACGTTAAGATAAAGTGAATATTCTCCGTTAAGTGTTATATCCTGAAAACATTGGGCTGGCTTGCCTCCGGGGTAGCGCCGCGCCGTACTTAATCGCGCTCAATGGATTTCGGTCCAGGCGGGAAGTCCGACGCCAACAGTAACCTCTGCCAATTATTTTACTTTTTAACACATGGACATGCAAGGGTTGTGCAAAGGGTTGGTCGTACGAATCTAAACAGCAAACAACAAGGGACGCGTCCAAGGTACGGCAGGGGCATTATGCGGCTGTTTTGTGACAACGGTTGGCGTGGCATCTTGTAACCTAGTTGTATTACATAAACCTATACGTAAGGTCCGTTTCCTCCATGGACGTGTTTGGGGACGGTATGGGATGCGGGAGGGAATGCGTGTGGCCGTGTATGGCACGTCCGAGGTGAGGTTATGGTGTCGCCGCCACTTCACACGTTCTCACCGATTTACAAGATCTCGCGTGCAGTGTGTCTGCCACATCCTGGCAGGCCACATGCCATATGTCCAGCCCACAAGCAGCAACCCGCACTTCTGGCCCGCCCTACGCCGATCCAGCACGACCAACCGCCCCACCCCTCGCGCCCTCTTCCCAATGCAGCTCTGCGCACCCAACTCCGCTGGTCATTCCCGCCAAGTTCCATCCCCTCCTGATGTGTGATGTCCCCATCCCAGCCACATGGACACCCCTATGCCTAACCCCAAGCACCTCCTGTACAAGTCCTACTCATCCGTCATGGCTTCAGCTCCCACTCACCCATACCCACCAGCCTCACGCCCGTAACCCTTACCGCTGCAATGCACCCCTCCCTTCTCCCCACAGCTTTATCCACCACACTAGTACACTATCTCCGCACGAATACACATCCTCCGCACTAATACACATTCAGCAGCGCCGCCAGCCGTGGGTCTGCGCGCAGCTTGGCATCTAGCTCGTAGTACTTGTGCAGCGCCTGCTCTTCGTGGCGGCGCAGGCGGCGCTCCAGGATGTGGATGCGGAACATGCTCTCCTCCGTCTGCCGCTCGTACTCCTCCTCCTCGCTGGCGCTCATCTGGTCGCGGTCGCGGTGGAAGTTCTGCTGCCGCTTGGCAAGCGCAGCGGTCTCCTCGTCCAGACGGGCCTAAGAAAAGAGAAGAGGGGCAAGGGAGGAGGGTTGGGATTGAATGCATGGACAGGACCAGATGTGGGAGGTATGTGAATACGCGTTTGAGAGCCGCCATATTCCTGTCCGGTGCTGCCTTCCATGCATGCACGTTAATGCACACCGGGTCCTTGACTTCTCGGGGCCCCTGCTGCCTGGGAACGACTTGCGCCCATGCTACATGCGTCATAACAGACCGGAACCTCACCCGCCCCCCACCCATCCCCGCGCCCGCCTGCCCCTCACCTGGATGATGTTCGCCCGCTCGATGAGCCGGTCCTTGAGTGCCTTGAGCGCCTTCTCGCGCACGTCCAGCGCCTGCACGCGGGTCAGCGTCTGCGTGCCCAGCAGCGTGGGCAGGAAGGGAGACAGGTAGTCGTAGGCCGCCTCAGCTGCCTCCTCCTCCTCCTGCACGCGGATGGAAAGGGTGACATACAGTGTGAAGTGCGGGTCGATGCATGTTTACCGGTACAGCAGGATGCAGAAGTATAGACGCACGTGTAAGGTTACAGGTACCATGCTATGTTGATGCAATCATCATCGATTGATTTAATATCAATGGAGGCGAAGCAGCAGTTGGGAGGCAACACCCAGCGCTAATGAACGCATATTGGCGAGATGGCGACCACGCAGAGCCCCTCCCGCCCGCCCGCCCCCCCACTGTCATCCCACGCTCACCTCCTCACTCTCCTCCGCCTTGATACGCACAATGTCGTAGTAGGGCGTCTCCAGCGTGATGTTCTGCTCCTGGTTGGTGCGCGTGCGGGTTATCTCGCTCACCTCCCACTCGCTGTCGCGGACAGACTGCGCAGGGTGCACATGCGCGAAGCGGGCGGTCAGGGAAAGCGGGGGAGAGGAAGGGGGAGGACGTTTTTGCGGGAGGTACTGTACAGGGACCCTCGTGTGGTCGTTGGAATAGAGCACAAGCGACAGGCGGGGTAAGTTACTAGTCAAGAGGTTGTCAAGACGCATGATGCGGGACAGCCATGTGGGTCCCGAAGACCACACATCCACGCCCTGCCCTCCCCGCCCCCCTCCCAGCCAGCTCCCCACACCTGCAAGCAGTCCTTCTCCGCCACCAGCAGGGCGCTGTACTCCTCGAGCAGCGCTGCGGGCTGCGGCCGGGGGGCCAGCGGGTCAACCTGGGGGGGAGAGGAAGAAAACAACGAATACGCAATGTGTTGAATGAGAGGGAGAGGGAGAGGAGCGGAGGACACGGGGAGAAAGGGAGCAAGGGCAGAGGAAGCCACGGTCTGCGTACTTTGCAGGGCAAAGAAGGGTACCCCGAACCCCAACGCCCTTCGGCCTCCTGTTTTCCGCAGGTCCTCCCTCCCTCACCTGCACGATCTGGCTCTGTCCGTCCTTGGTGAAGGAGCGGCTGGAGTTGGTGATGCGGTTGGTGCCGAAGTGGTAGTCCACACGCAGACGCCCTTCCGTCAGGTAGTAGACGCGCTTGGCGACATCGGAGTCCGCGTCCACTGCCGGGTTGCGAGCGAACTTCTCCGTCATTTTGCGGATGGGGAGCATGCGCTTGTCGCCGCCGCGGGCCTTGGTCTTGCGAGCGCGACGAGACACGTCGCTGCAAAGAAGTGGAGCGGAGGGAAGGGGAACAGAGAAAGGCATGTGGTGGGTTGGGGTATGGGAGAAAGAGGAGGGTTGCGGCAGAGGTGTATAGGGTACGCGGGAGATCGAGGAAGACAGGAGGCTTGAGGAGGAAGGAGGAAGGGTGCCATCATGGCAATACAATTGCAGGAGGAAAAGCATCCGCCTTGTGCGTTTACCAGCATCGGCATGGGTGATTAGCCCCAAAAGCTGATGCAAGTACACCTATTGCCGTTGAGGTTTGCTGCATGCGCGCCCGATACCCCCCACTCACTCCTCTCCCGGCGGGTCCACCTCCGGGGGCACCTCTGCGACGCCCGCGCCTGGCCCCGGTGCCGGCGATGCGTTGCCTGCTGCAGCCGCGGGGTCCTCTGCGTAGGTTGCGCTGCGGTAGATGAGTCGGTCGTCGCGGCCCACAAAGTGCTCGATGATCTTGCGACCCTGTGGAGATGTGTTTGGAAGGGAGGGGGGAGCGAGAGTGGAGAGGCAGGCGGAGCAGGTAGCGGTGGGGTTGACGTGGAATTGTGGCTTACAGGCGCTTTACAGATAGGGTGTAGCTAGCGTAGACGCTGCTGCTGCTGCTGCACCCGTGACCACTGGCAGGAGGAGTAGTTTTCTGGCTCCGACTGTACACACCCGCTACCCCACTTAGGTTACTCAAGGTAGCCAAGTGCAACCGGTACGGGAAGCAGCCTTCCATGCGCCCACCCACCCACCCGCCCGCCCACCTCTATCTCCTCCCGCCGCTCCAGGCCGTCCAGTCGCGCCGCGGCGTAGAAGTTGAACACCCGGCGGTCGTTCTTGACGGTCAGGATGTCCTTCAGCGCAAAGGCACTGCCGCGGTCAAACAGCTCCACGGTGGTGTCCTGCAGGTCGGGGGGGAGCAGGAGAAGGAAGGAGAAGGGAGCAGGCGGGAGCAGGAGACGGGAGTGAGCAGAGGAGAAGGTGGGGAGCAGGAACATGGGGAAGAAAATACCCAACCCTTTACCTTCTGCGGGTACGAGCGCCTCTCGCGCAGCTTGTCCCGGCGCCTGGTAAACGTCTCGCGGCTCTCCGCCACCGTTGTGCGCACGTCGTCCGCGTACAGCACCAGCTTCTCCACCATGCCGTCCCAGCGGCTGCAGTCGCCGAAGCGCGCAAAGATCTCGTGCTGGCAGCGCCGGTACAGCGTCAGCTTGGAGCCCTGCGGGGGTGTGGGGTTGGGGGCGGGTGCGGGGCAGCAGGAGAGGGGCGAGAGTGTCACGTGAAATGGGGCAAAGGAGGAAAGAGGGGGGGGCTTTAATTGTGATTTGAAAGGCATGCAGTGGGAGGTGGGTATTAAGGTTTGCGGGGGCGTAGTCGGTAGCTCCTTAGCACCCTCCACCCACACAGCCGCACTCCACCCTTTTCCCACCTCCACTACGTCCTTCCCCACACACGCCCCTACCCGCGCCACTCACCCGCGGACATCTCATGTCAAAGGCATCCCTGGGAATCGTCAGTTTGGGCACCCAGCTGGGTGGGATGTCCGGCACCACATCCGCCTCGCCGCCTTCCCCATCATCCAGCCCGCTGCCGCCCTCCCCATGGCTGTCCGCCGTTCGGGGCGGCGTGTCGGTGCCGCCGCCGCCTGCGCCGCCCGCCGGTGTGCTGAGCTTGGCGCGCTGGGCCATCCGCTGGACGATGCTCACGCCGCCCTGGGAGCGACCCAGACCAGACTGCGGCTTGCCGGACTTGCCGCTGATGTTGATGCCCGGGCCGCCGACGCCGCGGGCAGAGTCAACGCGACCTATGCCGCGGACCATGCCGCCTCCCTCGGCTCGGAGGACCTCCGACTCTTCGGTGGCGCCCTCGCTGCGGCTCTGTGCGTTGGTTTGGTGTGGAAGTGCAGGGCATGAGGGGGATAACGGTAGGTACAGGGTGAGCGGCGGAGGGAAAGGTGAAGCCACGTGCAGGGCATGAGGATTTATCCAGTAGGGCCTTTCACGCATGACCCAAGGAGAGTATACGAGTGCGAGGGGATGGTAGAGAAGGACGGGTACAGTGCCCTAGCCAGGCAGCCAGCCAACTCTCACCCGCATGCCTCGCTCCTCAAACACGGGCTCCCATTTGGAGGGGTCGTTCAGCTCGTAGGAGATGTCCCTGTGGGAGGCATTTGCAGATGGCGGCAACATTAATTGCAGCAGGTACCAGTAATGCGTTCCCGCACCTGTTCCTCGCGTGCTCGGCCGCATACTGCTGCATGCCATAGTCAAGTCTTAATCTACCAGCGTACCAGTAGTACGGTAGGTGCTTTCCATTGTCCTGTAATCCCACTCTGTTCCCCAGCCCGTGCCAACCTCGCGACCACCCAAGGCACCACTCACTTGGGGTCCGCGCGCGAGTCGCTGTGCGGCTGCGGCTGCTGCAGGCACACCCAGAAGTTCCGGTGGTTCCACAGCATCTCAATGCCCTTGTAGGGGCTGTCGTTCAGCGGGTACTTGCGCCCCGTGGAGGGCTCAATGAACATGGCCTCCGACACGTCACGCTTGCCCGGCAGCACCATCACCCAGGCATGCACGTATTTGCAGATGCCTGCGTCGCGGTCTTCCGCAAAGGGGTCGGCTGGGGGGGCCTCCGGCGGCGCGTCCGCCGCGGCGGCGGCTGTGGGGTCACCGATGATGGCTCCGTCGTCGTCGGCAGCGTTGCCGGCGTCCGGGGAGGACATGGTGGAGCGTTCGGCGTTGGCTGCGGCTGCCAGAGCGGCGGCCGCCATGGCTGCGGAGTTGAAGGTCTCGCCCTTGGCCTGTGCACACATGCGGGACCGGGCGGGGGGATCGGGAGGATCCGGAGGAGGTATATACCGGAATATGCCTGCCTGCCTGCCTGCTGTTATGATGATGCCGGTAAGTCTTCCTTCGTCCACCGTGCTGACCCCGGACAGGTCCATTCCCTTGCCAACCACCCCCTCCGACCGGCGCGCTGGACCTACCTGCAAGACCTTGCTCTGCAGCGACGCCAGCGGCTTGATGATGTAACGCGGCGGACGCGGCTCGCCAGACGTTACGCCGTTCAGCGCCCCCACCGGTATGGCGGGCGAGTTGGTGTTGCCGGCGGGCGTGGAATCCCCGGACCGGCGGGCGCCACCGCCGCTGGAAGCGGCAACAGAAGCGGCCGAGGTAACGGCGGCAGCAGTGGCGGCAGCCAGCTTTGCAGCCGTGCTATCCGACTTATTCCCAGGCAGCGCGCCTGCCGCCGCAGCGGCCGCCTGCCCCTGCACCTCCCGCTCGAGCACCGTGCACGTCGTGTTCCGTTGGTCGTTTTGTACGACTGCGAAGGGCGCGTAGCCCATGACCACGTAGGCGTTGAAGCCCACTCCGATGAGCAGTGAGGCGAGCACCACCGCGAGATCGAAGGAGTCGCCGGCGCGCCAATCCAAAATGGACATGGGGGAGGGGAGCGTGTCGGGAGGGTGCTGCGGAAGGAAGGGAGGAGCATGGGAGGGACAAAAGATATGGGCCGGGAGTCCCTTTCCAAGAACGCTGCTCAACGCCCACACAGCAGCATGAAGCGAGGCAAGCACGCATAGGTTCGGGCTCTTCTTGGGATACGCACGCCAAAAGGCTGGCACCATACTAACCAAAAGACAGGACACCCTCCCAACACCCTTTCCCTAGTAGCATTAAGGGCTTCCCCTCTCCCACGCCTACCAGCGGATCTTCCAGCGGCTCGTACGACAGGAAGTCCGCCACGAACTGCGCCGCCCCGTCCAGGTCGTACAGCTCCGTGTAGACCAGCTGGCTGGGGCGCAGCGTGGTGCACACGAACTTGGGCACGCCGCACTCGTTGCGTGGGGTGAGGTAGAGCGGGCGGCGGTAGGGGTACAGCTCCTCAAAGACGCGCTGGAAGTCCTGGGGTGCGGAAAGAGGGGATGGCGTGATTAGGGTTCACCGCTTTGGACTGGATTGCTGAGCATTGATAGTGTTGTTAGGTAAGCGGAAGAGGATGAGTATGTGAGTAGGGACAACGGACGCAGGACAGACCGGGTACGTTCCTTTCCTTGACTAGGCATGGTCCTCGCGGATCCCGACCTGTTCACCCAGCAGCCTTATAACATGGCAGCACAAAACGGCCACGAACGGCGGCCAAGGCCCAGCACACAACCCCACACGTCGTTGCCAACAACAGCGCCATCGCCCCGCTCACCTGCACGTACTGCAGCACGCGGCCCTCGTGCGCCGAGTGCTGCGTGAAGGAGCGGGGCATCTTGCCGGCGGTGTTGATGGTGTGCTGCACACGCATGCGCTTGGCGTTCTTGGGCCGCAGCTCGTCCTGTTTTGGGCGGGAGAGGGGGTGGTGTGTTTGAAGTGGGCGAGGGGAATTGCACATACGGACGCGACTTGGGAAAGTATTACGTGCAGCAGCGTGCGGAAAGAGTTGGGAACAGATGGGGAACAAGAGCACATCTGTCGAATAAAAGGGCAACAACACGAGGTCTTCACGCGAGCGAGGGGCACCAATCCTACTAGGTGAGCCAGCACTTGGCATACGGGCCCCTTGCCCTCCTGAGGACTTTTCCGAGGCTAAAGACTGGAACCCCCTTGCTTCCCCACCTCCGCCAGTTGTCGCGGCTTCAGGCCGTCCAGCTTGGCCGTCTTGAAGACGTCCCAGAACACCAGGCCCTTCTCCGCATCGTCATCGTTGACGCGGCCCAGCGTGTTGCTACCCAGCTGCGGAGACCCACGGGTCACGAGGAACGTCTTTAAGACGCGACTTCGCAGAAAGTGACTACTTACAAGGAATGAGTGGACTATTATCGGGTATAATATCGATACAGGATTGTTGAAAGGGCCACGACTCTGTAAGGGTGCAGACCAACACAAAGGCCCTCCTTACCACACGCCCCCATCCCCCACCGCCACCCTCCCCCCGCCTACTCCGCAACGCCACACCTGGTAAATGGAGATGGTGCCGTTCCACAGCGTCACCGTACGGTTCTTGTTGTACGGCAGCTCGCTGTCCCACTCCACCCACTTGGGCTTGGCGGTGGAGTAGGTGTCCTGCTGCCCCTCCGGCAGGTGCACTCGGAACATGGCCACCGACTGCGCCCCCAGCTCGTCCAGCCCGCCAAAGAGGTAGAGGTGGTCCTTGTGCACGGTGATGCGGTGGGAGTGGCGCGGAGGCGGCACGCGGCCCTCGCAGGGGATCTCAGTCCAGGTACGCGTCTGCGGACAGGAGAGACGGTGGAAGGGAAGCGGGGGCGGGATGGCGAGGTTACGTCACACCGGCGAGGACCATGATGGCAACAGGATGGGCAGCAGCTAGCAGCAAGAAACCAGTATAGCCCTTTCGGGGAGCGGGGGCGGGACGCCACAGCATGGGACCAGCGATGCATCCCCATGGGACCACGCTCCTCCTTTCACCCTAACCCACACCCCTGGGCCCTCAATGCTCTGAATCCATGCACCCAGCCCATGCTCAATCCGCCGACAGCCACATCCCGCCCCTCGCCCCGCCCGCACCCACCACAAAGTCCATCATGTGTAGGTCCTCCAGCACAAAGTTGTTGCGGCCGCCGTGTACGAACAGCAGGTTGCCGTGGCCCATGCACAGCGCGCAGGCCTGCCGCGGCGAGGGCGCGGTGCCGGAGAAGGGGGGCTGCGACCACTGCCATCCGCCCAGGTCCAGCAGGAAGAGGTCGTTGGTGCGGCCGCCGATGGCGTGACCACCTGGGAGGAGGGAGGAACGCGGTTGGAGGGAGAAGAGGGGAGGGGGCATGGCGGGTTGTCAGGAAGGGAGAGGGAGCAGAGGGAGTGGAGTGTTGGGGGCCTCAGTGACCATGGCGGTGTTGAACAGCCAACATGTAGTGAGGACGTACCGGTATCGTCCGCTGAACCCTCTACCGAGGTAGCAGGCGTTTAAGGGCCAAGCAAGCGGTTGCTCACATCCTCACATCCCTGGAGCAGCACACCGCCTCCCGTCTGCCGCAAAAAATACCTGTTTGCCATCCTTCCTCCTCCACCCCAAACCCCAGCCAAACCACAACCCAAACCATACTCACCGAACAGCACCATGTTGCCCGCCCAGAACGTCGCAACCGCCTGCTCACGGGGCGACGGCGCCGTGCCCTCCGTTGACGGCTTGTACCAAGTCCAGTTGTCCAAGCTGAGGAAGGCCACATCGTTGAGGCGCTTGCGCTCCGCCGTACGACCGCCAAAGACGATGAGGCGGTTGTTCTCCTCATCGTAGCAGGCAGCATGGTTGTAGCTGTGGGTACGGCGAACAGGGGGCACGTCGGCGGCAACAGAAGATAAGGCAAAAAGACGTTTCGGCGCGCGCGCGTTGTTTCATGGGTCATGCGATATGGGATCAGGATATGCGGATATGGGTAAGCAGCTGCTGTTAGCGAGACGTTCGAAGGCCGCGGCTTGTGCGAGTAAGTACCGTGGTGCTTGCTTCACCCATGTCCGCATGGGGCTGGGTGTTGGAGTGTATGCTCCGCCCCTGCCTGCCCCCACCCTACCGTGGCTGCGGCTTGTCTCCCTTGCAGGGCTGGTTGTGCCACTCCATGCGGTCCATGGTCATCCAGAAGAGGTCGTTGGTGGTGGAGCCGTCCTTCTGCAGCTGGCCGCCGAAGATGATGAGCATGCTGCCAACCTGCAAGCGAAAGAAAACGACAGACCCGCGGGTCAGCAAATGATCGCAAGTCGCCATGTTGCAAGGCGTTGTGTCGTTGTCGGGAGGCAAGATTTGCAACCGCTACAGCATTTCGATTAATTGGTTACTCTGAACCCCGCCCAGGCTACTCACAAGCTACTCCCAGGAGGAGCACACTGACACCCCTGAACAACATCATCCCAGTATGCACCCCGCGTCCCCGCCCTGCACACCTGCGTGAGTGTGTGTCCGGTGCGGATCCAGCACCGGTTGTCCACTGTGATGTCGCCCATCTCCGTCTTCACCAGCTGACCCACCTGCGGAACGACAGCAGCAGCAGCAGAGGGGTGAGGGAAAGCAATGAGAACCACCCAAACGCAAGGCGGTGAGTCCTGAAGAATCTGAATGCGAGCCTCGCGCTACCGACCCACAAAACACGTCGGGGGCTGACATTCACACCTTGCAGTAACACGCCTGCCTGTCCGCAACACATGCCCGCACCCACCTCCGCCTTGCAGCGATACTCCAGGTAGGAGCCCACGGGGGTGCCGATGGGTTTGAGCCGCTCAATCTCCTCCAGCCGCTCTCGCTCCTCCTCCTCACGCAGGAAGGCCAGGAACCTGCGAGCAGCGCATGCAAGGAAAGCAGAGCAGGCAAGCAACGAGGCATGAGTGACGAGGCCAGTCCCTCCGTAGCGCAATTGGGAGTTCAGGGGACGTACAAAGACACGGCATGGCAAGAGCATATTGGGGGTACCAGTACACGAGGAATGCGTTTGCTTTGACGGAAGGTGGCCCTACGCGCGTCCTCCGATGGGTGCGAGCCCGGCAAACGAACCCAGCCTGGCCCTCGGCGGTGCGTGCAACCGCGTTCCTCGCCCATTCCCAACCCCTATTAGCCGCTTCGCTTCCGTCTGACCCACTTTGACAGGCCCTCCTCCACTTTCGCCTTGTAGCGCTCATCCAGGTTGTTGTAGCGCAGGTTGAACTCCTTCAGCGTCTTCAGGTGGCCCATGCTGGGCGGAACCTGAAGGATCGCGGAGCAGCGTCGGCACGGTAGGGGGCTTAAGAAAGCAAAACGTGGGGATAAGGTCCCCCGTCCCAACGCCCCCTCACGCCCCGTCACCTCACCACCACCACCGCTCTTCTCTCCTTATCCCTTCCTTTTTCCCTCTTCCTTCCCCTGCCTTACCTTGGTCAGCAGGTTGTTGCCCACGTCGATGCGCTGCACCTTCTTGAGCTGCCCCATGCTGGCGGGCAGGTAGCGCAGGTTGTTGGTGGAGAGGTCCATCTTGATGATGGAGGCCAGCTCACCCAGGTTGTCGGGCAGCACCTCCAGACGGTTGTTCTCAACTTGCAGCACCTGCGTTGTTAAGGTGGACGGAGGAAGGATTGCAAAGGTGAGGGTGAGGACGGGGCGAGGTGGGTTGAAGTGGCTAAGGTATGCGTTATGAGGAGGGAGAGCTGGCTGTGCTGGCCACACCCACATGCTTGCTGGGCAGCCATGCAAACCTGTCACCGCCATACGGCCATGCAGCGGATCTCCCCGCCCCAACATAAACATACAACCCACAGCCCACGGGTCCGTCATGCGATCTTCCCCATAGTTCGCACGCCCATGCGTGCGGCGCATCAGGCCCAGGCATGGGAAACAACAAGCCACGATCCCGTCGCACCTCCAGCTTAGGCAGCGTAGCCAGCGAATCGGGCAGAGAGATGATCTCATTACCGGACACATCCAGCTCCTGTGGTGGCAGACAAGTGGGAGTTGAAAGGGGGCGTTGCGGAATGTGGAAGCCAATCACGAAGGCAGCATCGCAGGGAGCTGGGATGACATGCGTGAGGTGGTGACGGGAGGTTAGCCGCTTTCACCCACCTTCAGCAGTGAGAGGTGCCCCACCGCCTCGTCCACTTTAGAGACCTTGTTGCCGCTCACATCGAATACCATGAGCTGCTGCAACCTGCGGCGGCGAGGAGTTCATAATATTAGTGTTACGGAGGGGAGCATTGCACATTGGCGGTACAATGCACTGCAGGGTTGAGGACCGGCGCGGAGTAGGCAACTGAGGAACCCCTGGCCCCGTGGTCGCTACACGTAGGTTGCCCACATAGGGTTGGGACTGCATCCGCCGCATAGGGGTGTACTGTACGCTTCCGGGCGCTCCATCCCTTCCCGTGGAGGGCTGAAGGATGTCCCTAAAGCCACCATGTCCCCCTATTGCCGATCTGGGTCGCACTCCGTCCTGCACCTGTAAACCACCGCTGGGATGCGCTTGAGCTGGTTGTACTTGAGCCGCAAGATGCGCAGGTAGCGGAACTCCTCCAGCTCATCCGGCAGGTCGGTGAGGTCGTTACTGGTGGTTGGCGGCAACAGAAAGGATGGAGGGGGGAGAATAGGGAGGGTGTGAACGGGGCATGGGAAACTGATGACGGGATGGCAGTCATGTGGGTCGGAGCAGATGGCGAAGGGCAGTGTGGTGGAATGTGGTGGCGTAGAGCGTTCGCTGATGGAGGAAGGCAACACAGCCCCCATGTCATGTGCAGCTGTGTGGGAAGCTTTGGGCCCTTTCACGTGTTTGAACACCCGTAGGGAGGGAGCTGGGGTGACCAACGTGATCTTGCCCTCGGCCTTCCCACTCTCCCCGCTGCACTAAACACACCTACGCAAAGCATTGTGGTAACAACAACAGGGGGGGTGGAGAGGGTGGCAAGCCATGTGGAGCATACCTGGACAGCTCCAGCTCCGTGATGTGGGGGTTATACTTCTTAACCAAGTCCACAAAGCCGGGAGGGAGCTGCTTGAGGCCCGCATAACTGTGCCAGGGTATGGGAAACATGCGTAATCCACTTTAACCATTTAACAAAGAGCACAGCCAAAAGCCTCCAGGCATTCTGCGCACCCCATGTTCAGCCGATATGTCCGCCGGGCCTCCATAAGCCTCTCCTCCAGCACCTCGCGCGAAAGCGTACCAACAGCCTCCGCCATTTTTTCGCTTGGCCCGTGATCGCAAGAGCTGCAATCTTGCTGATACTACTTTATGACTATTAAGCTAAGAAATGAACGAAGCAGGGCGCGTGGCGTATAAAATGCAAGCCATTCATAGTCCGCGCCTTCGAACATGAATCCTGTCCAAATACCACTTTGCTCAACGATATGCTAGTTTCAAAAACATTATAGCAATTGTTTGAATAACTAAGCGGACCCCTTAAGCTCGAATTGTATGTTCACCGGTATGTTACTCACGATTAAAGAAGCAGTCACTTGGAATTAGACAATTAGTCACGTCGCTTACTACTATGTAAAACACACTACAACGCAAAAACGTTTCGTCCATTGCCTGCTTCTGTCCGTACAGGGCTTTGACTGTCATTGCCTGTGATGAGAGAAATGCATCAGTCAACATCGTCCCTGCGTTCATGGGCCACTACTTGAAGGTCGTTGTTGCCGAACAGCTGATCACATATACACCAACAAACTCGCAACATTCCTATGTCAGAGGCCGCAAAAGTAGGGGCACGCAGTCTGTAATATGTCACCCTTTTAATCATGTGAGATATCCACAACAATGGTTGTCTATCTCTCCAGTATGTGCAATGGTCCTGGACATGACATCTTGACATGTGGGCCTTGGGTATGTGCTTCTCCGCACATACTCCTATCCACAAAACGGATAACGCTAGTGACCATGAGGCATTCCTAACAATAGTTATGCAGTAGTTCGGCCCTTTTCATGGGGACCATAGCACATGACCACATTTCCTCGTTTTCCCAAGCTACCCCATAATTTGTAAAATTAATGGGAGCATAGGTATATAGATGCCCATTCTACTAACCAGTAACGACTTTATGCGAACAGGTTATACCTTTGCCGTTTGCAACCCATCCCATCCAACGAGTGAGAAAATGCAAATCGCTGGAAATTTAAGTTATTTTGACCATGAAGTCTACATAATCATGAGATAGACGATGATTTGTCCAATTTACTATGAGTCTATGACTATGCGACCCTTGAGTACCGGACTTGCTTTGGCAACATGTAAACATTACTCAAAGGGTTTAAGCGAGGAAGCAAGTAAGCTATGTGTTTGATGATGATAACGGGAAGACCACAAGATGTCGGAGAAGAGGTTAGGAAACATGCCCTTGCTCGTCCCATACCCGGACGCTATGTACTCTGGCATTGTTACGTGCTCAGACATAGATAATCCAATATAACAAACATCCAAGTACAAATGCAAGAAACTATGTCACCAAATGGTTCTGAAAAGCTTACTGGTTAATAACTTGCAGCCGCCCAACTTGAACAGCTGGTATTAGTCGGCATCCAGCATGGATTGGTTCTTTCAATGCTTTAGAAAGAAACATGGGGGAGTCATCTACGCGTGCAGCGAAGAGCAGCAAGCCCTCCCAGTACCTCGTGCTTGCAACGCACAGCAGCGGACTGCGTCTCAACAGAACGCATTCATCGAGCAGGATCATGTTGGGGAAGCGCTCCTGGTAACTATGAATGCTGAAGTTGAGGATGTTGGCCAGAATGAGGGCCCCGCAGTGGCATCCCTTGAGGAGGCTCGGCAGCTGATTCGCGTGCTTAACACGCGCCTTCGGGAACTCGAGGGGTCGGCCGCTGCGGAGAGCTTACTACAAAGTACGATTGCAAGCTTACCTGCGGACAAGGCTGGACAGACATTATCGCCAGCGCACCACAAGACAGGCAAGTTCATATGGATACCTTGCATGTGCTGAAGCGCTGGTAGCTATCGCCGCTGGTTGCACTGCACTTGAGGCAACGCGCCCGGGCAAACGGCGGAAACCGGTTGACTTTCCGTTTCTTGGGGGTTACTCGCAGTTCTATGTGTGGTTAGGTGTAGTGCTGTCCCAAGCTAGTCAGAGATGCACGCCTCGCACCTGCAAGAGTTACGTAATGCAACTAACGGCCGCAATACGGGCAGGGACGCAAGGACAGCGCCGACCGGCGGAGGGAGCGTATGCATGCTCAATTGCGCATGCGTGGTTGGCAGACAGCATCATCTGCAGGAAAGCGCCAAACGGCGGAGAAGATCAACCATGCTTTCCCTTCCCTCCAGGAGCGCCGGCTTTGCATGACATATGTCCCGCACTGTTCCGTCAGACAACGTTCCGGCATGCTCTGCTTCCGGCGCCCATCCCCACAGGGAACGACATGGGCAAGATAATGGAATCCGACCAAATTATCGATGCGGACGGAGACCGGCGTGCAAACGAGGACCCACACCATCGGGAACCGCACACCTTCCGTGTGTACGAAAAGAAGGAGCTGATCGACACGCTTCGCAGCCGTGACAAGCCTGCTGCCGCCGTGCTTTTGCAGGTGTGTGAAGCGCCACCCAATAACACCAGCCGCCTTCCCACCGAAGGCGCCTTACGTTGCCCCCTGTCGCACGCGTTCATGCACCCATACTCCCCAGCTCCTGAGTCCCCCCAACGTGCTCGTCCTGCAGGCCGTGTGCGAGGAGGACCTGCCAAACGTGTCACCAGCGCTGCTGCTGGACGTGGACCCGGCGGTTGGGGAGGCTGTGGCGGGGGCGCCAGAGCTCATGGCCAGCATACACAGCGGCAGGAGCGTGGCGGACCTGGCATGCATGGAGCACCTTCCGCCCTACCTTAGGCTGCGATTGTACATGGTGCAGGCGTCGGCTGCAAGGTACGATGGCCGTAGCAGCTGTTTGCGGTCATTGGTTTGAAGACGCACCTGCACCACATGCATCGGCGAACCCCAGGCTGGAGGAAGGGTCCACACAGCGCTTCGCGGAACCGCACGTAGCATGGACGTCTACGGCAAGCAACTTCGCCGCGGGGTGGGTGTGGAAGCGTCCTGGCACTGAACCCCTCCCCATGCCCCTGGTCCCCTGCCCCTGGCTGCAGGCCCATCCTGGCGCATGCCAACACCGCGGCCAGGACGCTGTTCGAGGCGCGGTCGGACCGGCAGTTGCAGTGGGTCCTGGAGGCGCAGGTGCAGCAGGACGCCATGCTGGCCATGCTACTGCAGGTGAGCGTCCAGCAGCCAGGTTCCCAACCTGCGTGGCCTTCCGCAGGCACAGCGTGTGCCGCTTGAACTCCGCATTGGGCTCCGTTGTGTTGCGCAAGACCTGCAGCCCACAGCCACTTTCAGCCTTCCATGGCTGAGGGTTGTGCGGCTGGCATGGTCTCCTCGCACTCCGTCTGGTCTTCAGTGCAGCCGGCATAAGCGCGTAACATATTTTCCCAATTGCATGAAAACGCATGGAAGGCACCTACAGCTTAAGCATTGCCCGCCGCGCCCGCCTGGACACCGCAGGAAATCCTTGACGAGCTCCTCACGGCGCCGGTCTCCCGCTGCAGCGGCCCTCTCGATCCGACGTGTAGCGAGTCGGATGGCGCGATGACGCTACACTCGCTCAGCCATTTCGCCAACACGAACAACCCAAAGGTCTTTCCCTTTGTGCCCGTCACCATGCGTGGCTGCGGGTACCGTAAGACCAGCGGCGAGGTGGTGCCCTGCGTCCTGATGGAGTTTGCACCGGACAGCAACCAGGTGCGGTGAGCTCATGAGCAGTTACCTGACACATGGGGCGTTCGACACTGCTCCAGTACTCACCGGGCTGTTGATGCGTAACACGTGAGGCGTACGGTTACAAAGGAAGGCCTTCGTGGCATCATCATTAACCATGCGGCACACCACCAAATGTCTGCATGCTTCATCCTGCGTGATGCCTCATCCTTCTGCATGTGCACCCGGGATGCACACGAAAAATCTGAGCGCTTGCCTCCTCCGCTGCTTCCATGTCCCAGGGTGCCTTCCTGGAGCACCTGCAGCGGGACTACACCATGATGGGGCGCATGAGCTCCATTGTGACGCTGTTCACGCTGAAGGGTGACGTGCTGCACCAAAATGCCGGGTAGGTAGTGTTACGGAGCGGCCGTCGCCCTTGACCTCATCTGCTTGGGTTGGTTGGTTGGTTCTTATTGGGTCCGTCCTGGCGCTGGATGGGGTGATGAGGGAGGGTGTGCATGCATCGGTTGTGTGGCTATGGGCACGCAAAAGATAAACCTTAAGTAAGCAGGAACGGCTTGAAGAGTGTAGGTGCACAAGGGACTTGGATGCCTTTCTTGGAGTATCTTCCCGGTGTCCTCGTTGCTGCTGCACGGGTTGCTGCCTCCGTGTGACTGCTGCTGCCGGCAGCAGTTAGGACCGTACGTTAGGAGGCTTTCGCAGTCCGCTACTAAGAGCAGGCATGTGTCCCTGCGTCGTGTGTCGACTGTGCAGGTCAATCGCGTACTTCGGCTACCAGCGGAGTGGATCCTCCCGCAAGCGCACCTCGGCTCATAACGCCTCAGCACGGCCCATCAAGCGCCCTGGCGGCCTCATGGCTGCCCTTCATGGCTCATTCATGGCTGGTTCCGGGGTGGACGAGCGACCGGTGCTAACACAGCTGTGAGTCGTACGAGTAGGGCAGGATGAGGCATGATGTCAACCTCATGCGTACCGGTACGCATGTAGAAGACCGGAGCCCATGCCTTGTGTTGTCCTAAGCTCCGACCTCTTAAGCGAGCCATGGGCTTGGTTCCTGGACCCTCTGTGGGATGCGTCTGCCCGTTGTACGATGTACCTTTCGTACGTCTTGTTGCTTTTGGGGAGGGTTATATGTAAAGCTCCATGCCCTTTTTGCCGTACGACCAGGTTCCAGCTGGCTCCGCCAGACACGCTGGAGGGCATGTTGGAATCCATGGTCCAAGGCGGGGTGTGGAGGAGCATCCTGCCTGTGCCCCCCAGCCTCGCCACGATGTCAAGACCGCTGGCGCCGCTGGTCAATGCCAACGCGCCCTCCTACTCCAGCGTTCCCGTTGAGCCGGAAAGCCTCTTCACAGCCGACACCAATGCATTCATGGCGGTCGATGCTGGCAGGGTTTCCGCGTCGCTCGGCAACGTCCAGCGCTCCATGATGTCCCACTATGGCAAGGCAGATCCCAGTGAGGGGTCGTTCGCGCTGGGCAAGAGCAGGTCGCCTGGATCACGAGCCCTCAACGTGGTTCCTGAGCAAAGCCAGGAGGTGCAGCATGTGTCTTCGGCCGCACGCACCGCACGGTTAGGGGTGCTGTCGACCTCGGGCCAGGCAGAAAAGCAGGTGCGACATGGCTTGTACACGGCTGTGTTTGTGCCCTGAAAGCATCATGCTACTTTGGGGTTGTAGCTTGATACCTACCGCCCTGCTCGGCGGTATGACCTGGAGTCTTGACCTTAACCTTTTTGAATGTCCAGATGGCGGCCTTGGTGCGCATGGATGGCACGGCCGAGGTCCTGCCAGGCCCGGCCACGAACGGGAGCTCGCCACGGGTGTCCATGCGCACGGCAAGGGCAGTCAGACGCAGCACCACCTACTCCGCCATTCCCACACCGCCGGTCCCTGGGGCCGCCGCGGCGGAGGGCGGATCCAACAGCTTCACCGCATGTGGCACCGGCAACTCTGCTATGTCGACGGGCGGCACGGGCGCACGACTTGCGAGGATGCGCAGGCGCAGCCTGTTTCCGATGGGCATGGACGGGAGCATTGGTTACGCGCTGTGCCAGTCGACTTGGGGGCTGCTTGGAGGCTCTGCTGCTGCGTTTGAAGTCAGGTGAGGAAGAGGTTCCCTGCTGGCTGGCTGCTGGGAGCGGATGGAAGCACAGTGTTGCTGTCAGCATGGTGTGGTTTGATGCGCTCTGCTGAAGCCACACGTCAGCAGCGGCAGTGGTAAAGAAGCGGCCCAGGGCCCTGCTACACGTGACAGGACTGCCCCCTAACCAATCCATGATGACCTGTTTCGACACCTGTTTTGACACGTTGATATTGCATCCCTGCTCGCAACCCTATCACGTTCACCCCCATGCATTCCCATTGTGTATTAGGGCAGTACAGCCAGTTGAGATTGCATCCCCCGCTCGCCCCTCACAGCCGGAACAGTGGGAGGATTCCCAACAGCGAGTGCGAGCAGGGAGCAGCTGGGCCTGCCCAGAATGGCACGCAAACCTTTCATCGTCGCAGCGCGGTTGCGGCTCTGGAGGCGCATGCCGCCGCCGCGGCAGCCGCTAGCAGCAGGCTGGGCTCTGCACGCGAGGGTGTCGCCTCCGGCGCCCCCTCCGGCGCCGTTCAGCTGCAGGCAGACACCAACTCGAACACGCTGCTCTCCCTGCCGCCGTCGCAGTCGCAGTCGCAGGCTTTCCCGCTTGAGCCCTCCCAGAACCCGCCCTGGCAGATCCGTAGCTCCCAAGTGCAGGCCGCCTTCCAGTCGCAAGCGTCCACCATGTCGCAGCATACCGGCACACAACCCCAGGCCCCGCTTGTTCCACCGCCTGGGTGGCTGCTACAGGACTTGAATTGCTCCCCATCTAGTGAGTCGCCGGGCTTCCAGTCGTTGCACATGGAGATGCGCATGCGTTCCCTCTTACCCGTCATGGAGGCTCAGCGTTCACTTACAGATGAGCAACAACAGCAGCAGCTGCAAGCGTGTCCGTCCATACCAGGGCAGCTTCTGACGGGCGGCGCTGATGGCATGGTTGAGGCGGTGGGGTCGGCTACGTCGCCCTGCCAAGTCATACTCCCCACGCCTTCTGCCACTAGTGCCAGCTCGCTTGTGTCACCCCAGGTCTCGGTATACCAGCATGGGGACTACAGCATCGGAAATGCAACCTCAGGTAGCTTGCGTCAGAACGCGGCAGGAGCCGTGCTAGCGGCAGCGTTTGCTAATCCCTCGCGGCAGGCATCTTTCTACCCTCCCGCGCCCTCCAGCGCAACACAGATGCAGCTCCAACGCGCGCGGAGTAGCAGCATGATGTCTAACCCGCAAGGCCCAAGCAGCTTGGGCGCAGGAGTGTCGAGCTCCCCAAACAACGTGGCAGTGCTTGGCGCCCCAACCAATAGCGGCAGCGGCGCACGGGCTGTACGACGAAAGCCCATGCGGCAGTCGGAACGCCGGATCCCAAACCTGCTGCCGGCCAAGCAGTCGTCACTGTCACAGGTGCAGGCGCTACAACCCTCTCCGCTGCAACCCCAGCCGCAGCCGCCGCTGCCACTACCGATGCCTTCGCTGTCGTCCCAGGCGTGCAAGTCCGCGACGAGCTTCAGCTTCGGCTCCAAAACCCATAACCGGCCTCTAGTCCGCATGATGTCGTTCCTGAACGCCGCGCCGCAGACGCAGGGGCACATGGCCTCCATGAGCCAGCCCTGCCACGGATTCCTGCCCTATCATGGGGCGCCGGCTGAGGGCTTGAGCAGGATAGGCAGCGGGCGGCATGGCGGCGCGGAGGGTGCACAAGGTGCGTATGTTAGGGCGGGGTTGGGGCTCCGTTGCATGGCGCGGCAGACGGTTGAGGCGCGGACATCATCCTGCACATGGACTGTGTCTCATGTGTTTGGGAAGGGGTTGAGGCTGATGGGAAGGGGTTGAGGCTGACTGATGCATGGGTAACGTAGCTTGCACAGCGTGCCTGTAGGCGCCCACTCGCGGACCTCCTGATTACCCTCGCATTGCCCGTTCTAAAACTGGGTGCGTCCGCACTGACCCATGGTTCCACAGGAGGCCTCGCATCAGCCGGCTTGCCTCGCTATGGTTCCCCAAACTCCCTCAATCCCAACCAAGTCAGTGGCGCGGCGTCGCGCCGGCCGCCTAGCGCCTTGCCCCGCTGCAGCAGCCTGTTGCCCAGCCCCTCCGACCCAGAAGGCCCCTCAGCGCTAAGCCTGACTCCCAAGCGAGGGCTGCCGCAGGAACTGGTGCTGGCGCCGCCGCCGGTTGCGGACGGAGATGATGGGCGGCTGTACCATGAAATCACGGCAACACCCTTCTTGGACCCTGTCTCCAAGGCGCAGGTCGTGATGATCGTGCAGACGGTGAGTCGGCGACTATCGGTGCTTCCCTTGGCTGTAACCGGCATGCGTTGGATGTACCGGTAGGTTCATGCATGCTCGCAAGGCAATACCAATGCGTTCATAGCTGGGGCATGCATTCACTAGCGGCAACGCAAAAAACAGGTTTTGGGTCGTTCAACCCTCAAACGCACGCGCACTGAGGCCCTATTCCTGCGCGCACGTGTGTGTGCCGCGCTCTTTCTTTTGCGTGCCTGCCCGCCAGGACGTGACGGCTCGTGTGAGGCTGGAGAGGCGGCTAGCGGAGGTCATGGCAGCGGAGCATAAGCTGCTGTGAGTGTTGAGCTGCGCTGGGAGAACCCGAGCGGGGCTTGGAGACTGCAATATGATGCGAAGGGATGCGATGGGAAGCGCTGCACGCTCTTCATGTCGCTGACCTATGGTTAATAGGCGCTTGCTGGATCCCGGGCCGCTCAGGGTTACCCTGGCTGGAGTTTGGAGAGTGCAGTGAATCCCGTTGTGCTCATGCGCATCTGCACATGCCGTAGACCCTATGTACCCCCTACGTACCGTGCCACATCTCTCACTACGCCCTTTCCCCGCCGTCCCGTTCCCTTTCCTATCGGGCACGCGCCCTTGCCCGCAACACCTGGGGTCACGCAGCGAGAACATCTTTCCTCGGTGAGTCCTCAACAGTCATCTGTCGTCAATCGGATTTAGGAACAGGGAACAGGGCCACGCCTGACAGCGCTCCCTGCTGCATACGGAGTCGCCGACCGATTGTGCTCGCCCGTGCCCGTGTTTGATAGCTTCCCCTGGGAAGGAGCCCCGGCCTTCGTTCTGCAACTTTCCCTGAGTCCTTCGCTGGCTTCTCAAACCACATGTGGCGCCCAACTCCTTAAGCCACCACACATTCATGCTTAGAAACATCCAAAGCCAGCCATCTCTGCCAGAGCTATACCTCTGTTTAAACCTTTCCATGCACCCTGTTGCTCCCTCGTTGAATGCAGCCATGTGCTGGAGCACATCGCCACCAGCGCAGCAGTCGACACCAGCAGCTTCTCCCAGTTCAACCTCTCCATGCTCAATGCTATGCCCGACCCAACAAAAACCGCCACAGACCACGAACAGGTGACTAACGAGATGGGATGGTTGGCTGCTGCTGTTGTTGCGGTTATGTCGTCGCTGGTGTTGCTGGCCGGCGCCTGCGGTGGGCCCTGGGGAATGCTGCGTCACGGCTTGGCTGTTTTCATTGCATTGATTGCATTCCATGTTATGGACTGTGTCCAGCGATCGAACAGGCCCGCATGGTCTCTCGCGTTGTACGATGTTACATCCGTACATCTTACGCCTCAATGGTATCGCGTGCTTGTGGTTCATGCATGCAGGTTACCATACTCTTCGCGGACATTGTCGGTGAGCAAGTTGCCGTTGTTGGGTGTTAACGGGAGAGGGAACGCGAGGAGGAGACAAACGACTGCTGCAACGGACACGGCCCGGTCCTTGAGGCCTGTAGCGGTTCGGCCAGGTGGCCAATGCCCCTGCTTGCCGCGCTAGTTGGAACTGGGTGGTTGGCAAGAGCGAGCGAAGGGACGTTGCGCCTGGGGGCAACGTGTTTGAGGCGACGTGAGTTGTGCATGTGGATGCGCATTCTTCCTCAGCTCCCCTGGTTGCTTGGTCGCATGCATGCAGGCTTCACAAGCATGTGCAAGGAGGTCCCGGCGAAGACGGTGATGAAGTTCTTGAACGACCTCTACACGCGATTCGGTAGGTGGCGCGCTGCACGCTTTGCGCTTTGACCTCTAGCCGGGGCCTGCTCTCTGCAATTCCTTGACTAGGATGCTAAGGTTGCTAACTTCCATGCTCCATCTTGCTGCTGCTGCAGACACGCTGCTGGACATCTACGGTGTGTACAAGGTAAGCCGAGAGACACGATAAGCCTCCCGTTGGCTTGTTGTTTGCCTCTGGGAGCGCTATCCACGCTTCTTGCCGGGGTTGTAGCTTGTAGGGTCATCCTAGCTTGAAACACGCGCATGCACACGTTTCCCCGCACTGCGTTAGGACTTTTGAAGCCGCTGCCTTACGTAACAAGCCTATAACCCACGTGCCGTGGCACCCTTCCATTGTTTGCAGGTTGAGACTATTGGAGGTACGAGACCAACTGCGTCCAATGCATTCACCCAGTGTAGCGCCCCTTTGACAAAAGGGACTCAAGCTTCTCCTAAAGGCCACTCACCCTCTATGCTTCCACGTCTCGTCCCGGTCCTTGCGAGCACGCTTCATTTCGAATAAGTGATCAACAACATGTCCTTAGTCGTCACAACATGTCACAGTCCTTAGTCGTCACAGCGTGTCCCGGTCATAAGTCGCCCCATCTTGTGTCCTTGGCTGTGAACCCGATTGCGTGTACCCCCGCCAATTCCGGGCCTCCTATTGCCGTACCGGTACCCCCGTAGACTGCTACATGGTGGCCGGCGGCCTGATCAGCAAAGACGCGGACGGCTTTGCCGCGGTGCGCAAGGGCTCCACAGACAACCTGCAGGCCTGGCGGGTGCTGTCGTTCGCCAAGGCAAGTGCTCCTGCTGTCTGCTCCTGTAGGGGGTTGTGTTTGTACGGTTGTATGAGTGTAAAGGGGGTGTGGTGGCCCTGTAGTAAGTGCAGGGGCGTTGGACGGCTACGGTGGAGGCTGCATGGTGCATGCCCCGCATGCTGTTTGTGTGGTACAGGTTGTGCTACATGAAGGTCCTCAACATGTATCCTGCAAGCAAGAACTGATGCCCTGTTCTGTCCTGTTGTCCTTACCTGTACGCGAGGCTCTAGGATGTCGGCGTTTCTCAACTTGTATGCTTGCATGCATGCATCCATGCCGGTTGCTAGCTGCGAACAGTACGGCATTGCCCCATCCCACCACCACAGGCCATGCTCCGGGACGCGCAAAAGGTGCTGCTGCCAACGACACATGAACCCGTCAAGATGAGGGTGCGTTACGTACTCTCACCCTTCGTCAGGCGCACATGTTTCCTGCAGCCCGGAAGCGTCTCCGCAACGCTTTCCCTCCTGCCGTTTCTCTTTCCACCGCTTGCTCGCAATCACCCTCCCGAACGGCGCCTACGTGCTGCTATGGCAACAGCTGCAGAGCCTCACACTAACCTCCTTTCCTCAAATTCTTCCCTTTCCTCATCATGCCCACACGCCCACGCTGTGCCCCCCCAGGTTGGCATTCACACGGGCCCCGTTGTCAGCGGTATCGTGGGCACCCGCATGCCGCGCTTCTGCCTCTTTGGCGACACCATCAACACCGCCAGCCGCATGGAGAGCACCTGTCCGTACGGCCGGATCCAGGTCTCCGCCACCACCCACGCGCTGGTTCCGGGTGAGAAGTGGGAGCCAACGGGCGGGGTGCAGGTGAAGGGTAAGGGCATGATGGACACATACCTGCTGCGCTGGTCGCCCTCTGACGTGGTGTCAGCTGCGCTCATGTCGGCCTCCATGAGCGTGCCGGGACCGGCGGAGGGGTCGCATGGGCGCAAACACACGCGGGCCGGGGCCGTTCCGGCGGGAAACATTCCCGTGCCTTGCGGAAACGGAGGACATGGCGGAGGTGGTGGTGATGGTGGTGGTGGTGGGGTTGGCGGTGCTGAGGGAGAGGTAGCGAGCGTTGACGCGACGTTTGGGATTCTGGAGCGAGAGCGTCGAGGCTCGGGTAAGGTTCCTGTGGCCGGCGGTGGCGGGGGTGCGGCTCGAGAACCGCAGTTCCGACCGGGAAGCAGCGATTCAAACCCCACATTTCTTTTCAACACCATGTGCTAGTGTCATGTGATAGGTTTGCGCAGTGGGGTTTGGCCGTGTGCTTGCAGGCGCTGTTGCGGATTGGTCGGTCATAGGAGGGAAGTTCATCCAGCTGTTGTACCTTGAACACTATTTATGCACATAGGGAATTTAATTTCTGAGCGAGATGGAGATCGAGCGAGTGTTCTTATGCCTAGCGAGAGTGTTGGTGTGGTTGCCGTTTGTTGCATGGGAGTCTTTTGAGAGCGACAAAGGTTACTTTTGAAGGGGGGCGCCCGTCGAACTTGCCTGTCATGCAAGTTGGGCATGGTGTGTCCTACCTCACGAGCCGACACATTGTGCAGGCGAAGTGAACTGTAGTTGCGCCTGTTCGGAAGTCGATGTATTCTATGTCGTATTCTTAGCGTCGAGCGATACCGGATGCGATAATTAGCAGTGCCTTGAGCTTTGCACTGCCGACTTGGCTCGAAGTCAGCCCCTGACACCTGAATAGCTATGGTCGGGGCCACACGAGAGACTGAGGGGCTTTCTGTCTCCTCACTGTTTCCACTACGTCCTTTCGTTGGCGGCATTGCTCCCCGGGGGCGAGCGAAAAGGGCAGTACGCGTTTGCCATCGCAAGGCGGAAATGTTTGATGCTGTGTACTGCGCACGTGAGTTGATCACCCTAGCTGGCGTCCCGCAGTTGAGAGGCTGGTACTCTTTAATGCCGTGTTCTGGAGAGACTTGAAGAAGCCAGAACAAAGAGAGTGGTTTGAGCGAATGGCATCGGTGGGATTCTTCATGCCCCGTTTCTTACGTTGTGTACGGAGCAGGATCTCTGTCCGATGGGAGCGGCAAGCTGTTGTTGTTGATCGCATCGGCATGTCAGGTTTTATGCCGGCGGAATTTCTTGGGTTGAGTTCCGTCATAAGGAGGGATATGGAAAAACGGTTGAGTTCCGTCATAAGGAGGGATATGGAAAAACGGTTGAGTTCCGTCGTAAGGAGGGATATGAAAAAACGGTTGAGTTCCGTCGTAAGGAGGGATATGCAATTGCGCTTGCAGATTGCACGAAAGGTAGTGCTGACTGTGGCTCTACATGTTGGCTTTCGCTGTACCGGTGCCATGTCGTATTTTAGCCCCCTAGTCGATGTTATATTGTAGAATTTACAAAATAATATGCCCCGTCGGCGCCAGCTTTTGGTGACAGTGCTGGCTGTTGGCTTCGTGTGTGGTAAACGTTTATGATGCCATAAGCTGCCATAAGGGCTTTTCGCCAGACAGGTGGCCCATTCAGCGAGGTCCTGTGGCCCGTATGAGGCTCACTGCTTGCCGCAAAAGCAGGAAGGGGTGTGTGTGGTCTGACATGCGGTGAGTTTACTTTTTATGCGCGTGGGGGTAGTTGCCCTGGTGGGTTTTATGTGATGTATGCATCGCGTTGTGAGTTTCTGGTTTCGGCGTGAAGGTGGCCGCATTGCATGGATGTTTGGGGTCGGCTGCTCTGGTGCCGTGGCCGATGTACGGTTACAGTACGGCTACCGGTTCGTACTTCGGCACCTCCGCAGAAGGCCCCTGCCGTGGGTGAATAATAAGGGCAAGTTGATGATTTATCCGAGGCGTTGGGTCAGGAAAGGTTGTATGGCATGATTACGGGAGGCCGTGGCTTGAGGTCATTGTGGTGTTGAGGCTTAAGGGTAAAGGTTGGTGAAGCGTACATGCCATTGGCTGCGTGGAAAGGAGGCGGAGTTCTTGACGTAAGGGCGTCGTACACTGAAACTGCATTCGGGTAGGTGTCGGGGAGAAGGCGCATATTCAATTGTGCACAAGGAGGAGCGCTGAAATGCTGAAGAGTCCGGCTGCATGTCATTTCTTCATGGTCACCCGAATGAAGCAGTCCCTTTAACCGGCGTTCTTCCCTCGCCTGTGCACTCAGCAATTTACATGTTCACGCACGGGATATAAACGCCCTTTACCCCATTCGCGCCTCCATCACGGACGCACCACCCAAAGCGGCATTTGCAGCGCCAGCAAAGACTCCGTACCTCTACCCCCGCGGAACCGCTTTCTTAACTCCCTCACCCCCCGTCACCGTAGCAGCACCGTACCGCCTCTGAATCCACTTCACCACAGTCAGGTTCCCAGCCGCAACCTCGGGATCCGCGCGCGCCTGCATCACCCACTCATATGCGCGCGCATGAGTCCTCAGGTGCTTGACCATGGCAGCCTCTGTCGAGTTGACCTGCCGGTTGTGCGCACGCACATGCGTGCCCACCACATTCTCGATCAGCCATACACAGGCCTTATCGCAGGAGGGCGTGCGGGCGGTGCCTTTGCGCTGGTTCAGCAGCACCGCCGTGGGGTCAGCCAGCGTGAGCAGGTGTGACATCTGGAGGTTGCTGTCAATGAACCGAGTGAACTTTTCGTACCGCTCTGCGCCGTGCTGCAGTGCCGTGCCGGGATCCGTAAAGCCAATGCCCATTCGGAACCACAGCGTCCTGCAACAGGAGGACCGGGTTGAGCAATGAGCCCCAATGAGCGGAGGCGGTGACACAGCAAAGAAGGGAGCACTCACAAGGCAACCAAGAATGCCAAGTGACACTGTCGTCTCTGTCCCTTGCGTCTGTCACGTGCTGGGTTGAGAACTGCATGCAGTCTACTGCCGGACTGCGCGGGGCTGTTGAGCGTATAGAGAACCCGTGCATACCGGTACCCCAGGACCCACACCCCGACCCCTCTGCTTCCAAGCGCGGACCGAGCATATCCCATCGCTCTGCCGGCTCCCCTGCATGTGGCCGACATTACACACCAGACCTCCACATGCCTTCTTGCACCCGTCGCCCTAGCCGTCCTCTTGTCCACCCACCTGCCAAGCAGGCAGTCTCCGCCTCCGCAGCCCCTCTGCTTGGTGATGAAGGCGATGGCATCTTCCGGCGCTATCATGCGCATCAGGCCCACGGAGAAGATGATGCCGGTGCCGCCGTGCCCCGAGATGCTGACCAGGCAGTTGGGCGCTGCGGTCGTGTGCAACCTGGGAGGGGTGCGCAGGGCAGGGAAGGAACGCGGGATACCGGTATGGGCGTTTTCGGACACACGCAGGCTGTCAGCTGTAGCCGCAGACGCGCATGCACTCCTGCCACGTCTGAATGGTCTAGGCTTGGATAAATCACCCAACCAGGGTAAGCAGCTGTTTAACATGTTTTCCTTCGAATTCCTTCATACACCGCGCAACACTACCCTCCAACGCCGAATGCGCCCTGTTCGTGTCACCTGTCATCATGTCGTGCGCAGAAGGGGTACGGCAGCCGTAGCGCCTCCAGTTCCGCTGCGTCCTGCGTCACGTCCCGCCCCAGTGCCGCAGACCACCAGCGGCTTCCGTCCAGGAAGGGCTGCTCCTTGGGCCGGTAGCGGCCCGCCAGCCGCCGCCGCGGATGATGTTGGTGGTGATGCCGTTGCTGCTGCTGGTGCCGATGCTCCTGGCCACCCTGCTGCTGTTGTTCGTCATCTTGCTGCGGAAAACCACTGTCGCTGACGTGCGCCCGGCTTGGTCGGCTGTGACCGGGCTTTTCACTATTGCCGGTATTGCTGCTGCCATGGCCGTCGACAGTGGTGGAAGTTTCCTGCAGCAGCGTGCGGCTTCTCCGCCGCCGGCGCCGGTAGTTGATGTCGATGCTGTCCTCCACAGCACCCACGGATTCTGATTCAGATCCAGATTTCGGAGTCGGAGGATCTCGCATCTCCCAATCCATGGCGGGTTTGAATCTATACTCTACTGGGTAGGCGGCTTTTAGATCCGCATGCCGCTTCATCCAGTCCGCGTAGCTGGAAACTGTGCTCCGCATTGCTGCTACGTAACGCCCTCTTTGGCTTCCTTCTTCCTCTTCCTCTACTTCCGCCTCCTCCGCCCCATCTTCGTCAATGCCCTCGTGAGCGGCTTGGTGTCGAACACCGACACCACCGTCATCAGAATCTAAACCCCAACCCTGACTCCCATCCTTCCCACCGGGGTTCTGGGAGCCGGTAGGAGCCGGGAAATTCGTGATGGAAGGCCCAAACGTGTCGGCCATGTGTTGCATGTGGGTTGCGTTGCAGCGGTAGCGCGGGCTATAGGTTCCGCAGGCTAGAGCACGTGTGCAGAAGGGGCAGGCGGGCCGGGGCGTGAAGCTGTGATTCTGCGGGTTTGAAGGAGCGGGTGAAAGAGCAGAAAGGGGTGGGGGAAGCGTGCAAGTTGGAGCATGCTGGTGGTCTTCCAGCATGTGCACAGTGCGGCGAATGACGTGCTGTGAGTGTTACCTGGTTTGACAAGTCGTTGCCGCATGGTGACAGCTGTACGACCGCACTGCCCCTTCCCCCGAGCCAGCACGCCACCCTACCAGCTGCCCGGGCTCTTAAACCATCTCTGCCCGCCCTCACCCCCACCCCCACCCCCACCCTGTCTCATCATATATATTTTTTACCCACACCCCCACCCCCACCCCCACCCCCTCACCGTGCTGATGCTGCTGGTGTTGAAGCCGCAGGGCAGGCAGCGCGGCGCACTGGGGCTGGGGTGCAGCGAGTAGTACCAGATGTTGTCGGTGAGCGCGAGCGGCTGCTCGGGATCGAACTGGGATAGCAGCTTGAGCACGCCTGGTGGGGGAGGCGGAGCAGCAAATAAATACCGGTACCACGGGAGGACGGGGCAGCAGTGATGGTCTGATCCCACATTGCAAAGCTTTCAGGGGGGTACAGCTGAGCACAACGGTCGACGCTGGAGGTGCAGGATGAGGTTTAGTGGGTTACCTGTCATGTAGAAGATGGTGTCGTCGTCGCCGTACAGCATCCACTTGTAGGTGTCCCCAAAGTGTCGGTGCGCGAGGAAGGGTGTCGCCGCGGCGCGTGTGTCGCCTGTGGAGTATGAGGAGCAACGACAGAAGCCAAACATGGCACGTGGGAATCTCGGGTAAGTGCAGCGAGGTCATGTTGCAGCCCCGTGGGGCTTGTGGTGGGAGATCGGCTGGTGGCGTGCGGCGCGGGCAGCTGTGGCGATGTTAAGTACGGAAACCTGTGTCAAGGCTTGCAGAAGGTTTGGAGCCCCTATACACATTGCTCTTACCTACATTTCCGCCCCGCCACGAGCCCTGGGCAATTGAGTCATCGTCCCAGTAGCCATATGCTTCCCTGTGCTTGTGCGATGATGGGCTGTTGTTGAGCTCCTCGGCAAGCTTGGAGTTGTTGAGGACAACAAAAGATCGTATTCCCTGCAAATATATAGTAGTATGTTAGACCGCTGCGAAAGGTGACCTTACCTCCGAATCCTTACCTCCTTCCGCCATCCCCGGCTGACTTGTGCAAGTGGGAGCCGGTGCACGCAAGTGGGCTGGGCAACTACGAAGTCTTCCGGATTATAATCTAAGCCATACAAGCTGGCTGCAAGCGATTCACGGCATGAGTGAAACAGAAATAGATAGAGAAGCAGCAGGCCATGGCTCGGTGACATACTACACGGCTTTTACATCCATAGTGGATGGTTATTGACTAGTGTGACTAGGATCACATTAGCAAACTACGGTTTGCGGCAGTAGCTGTCAAGGCCGGAGTCGTAATCAATAGCGAGGCAAGCCAAGTACCTTGTAGGGACAGCCGGCAACCAACAAATAGTTTACATACACGCGGCTGAACGACTCGCTCTTGGAGCAGCAAGCAGCGAGCTGCATATACCTTACGTAATGTCGTATCCTTGGTGATGTCGTATTTCATGGCCTATCCCGCCAGGGCGCGCGCTGACCAGCATAGAGGAACCTGTTATTACTCCTAATGCACTTTGCTTTGCTGAGTTGCCAGCTGCGGCTCCTTAAAGTTAGAATGCCATGGCACACCAGCGGGGACAGCCGATGTCATGCAGGCACACCGTTCATACGGAGAGCGAGCAAAAGGCAGCTGCAGACAAGGTCATTATCCCCACATCCAATCCGTCGTCCAACGGTTACCATGTACGCAAGTCAGCTCGTTTACTGTTTACAGTCGCCAGCGTCGGTGCAAGAGGTGGTTCAGGTTGCCGCCATGCTAGGCTGCACCATCAAATATCAGACGGGGGGGACCTTCAACAAAGCCACCCAGCAGTAGACTACACGTCTACAGCAAGAGTCCGCAGCCCCGCGCACGTCCTCTTCCATCCTGGCCCTCCTTGGTCTACGTCATTGCATTTCGCTTTCCTCGGGCAGCCGCCCAACTGGAGTAAAGCTAAGCTGGGTTATCGGTAGCGCATTCAAGCAAGCAATGCCCGGATCACTGCACCTTATCATCATAAAACTGTGCGCCCGTCGTTACCGCGACGCAATCCATCCGTGTACTTGCCTCGCCATTCGTCCGTGAATACGACACCACGCGCACACGCACATGCCTGGTCACACACGCACACATGCACCCACGTGTCATACACACAGCCTTAGCCCCCCTCCGTCGCACACCAGAGAAGAGACTCATGAATCCATGCATGCCATGAAAGTGCGACAACAAACCGCCCTGTGTAGTTCCTGCCATACCCCTTATGTCTTCACCATGCTCCGCACCCGCAATCTCGCAGCCAATGCAGGCTCGCACTACCGACAAATGAGTACCCAGGTGGTTTAGTCACGAGGGTACGGGCAGGTCGCACAAATTGACCCAAGCGCCCCAAACATGTGCACCAAGTGTGCTTCCAACCAACCAAGCCAAGTTAGTCAACCGGTTCTATCACCGTACCTCCCTATCCAACTGTTAGATCAAAACTTGTACTATAGTACTACGCAATATACTTACACAGCCGCTGCCTTTACAACGCGCCAGCCCCTACCGCATGCCTGCGGCACATGCAGTCCCACCTGTCATGTCATGTCAACCGCTCTCGAGCCCCCCTTCAGGCGAGCGCTGTCGGGTACTGTCAACTCGCCTCCAATCTCACGTGGCCTCCGCCCCAGAAGCATTACGCATTACACGTGCGTACCAAAGGCTCTGAGCGGCAACAACACCGCCGCGGTGCTGCCACCGGTCCTTTTGTCTTTTACACTTGTAAGCTCCAGGGTTCCATCTTCTCCACCCAATCTTCTCCACCACACCGAAGCAGATACCAGTAAGCAAGTCCGACCCCTACCGTCCTACTGCGCTACTACGCCTGCATCTGTCTCCGAGAGGTTGAACCGGCACCCCCCTTGAGTGACGCACTCTTACCGCTGCCGTTGCCGCCGCTACCCAAGCTAGAGGCATTGCTCGCCTTGCGATGCGCCGCCGCAGGGCCGCCTGTCGTACCGCCGCTGCCACCCTGTGGCGGATGCGGCTGTTTGGTACTCATACTGCCGACTCGCGTCGCCATTGCTCGCGCTGCAACCCGAGAGTACGGCACCGGTAACGGCGCGGAGGAATGCGTGTGGGGGCTGCCGCCGCCCCCAGCCCCCATGCTGGCAGCGGAGGCCTCCCCTTCAAGTGCCTCCGTTGCCTCGCCACCACCCAGCGGCGGCTGCTGCTCCGGCTCTGGCGGCTGCCCGGCGCCCTCAGCCGTGTCCTCAGCACCTCCGTCGCCGGCGGAATCCCCCGGCGCCGCCGCTCCCAGGGCCACCTCTGAGGTAGACTCTGGAAGAACCGACACAGCACCAGGGTCCGTCTCCGTGTCAGTCGCCGGCTCGATTCCAGCGAATGTTGGCTCCGAGACCGGTTCCGGCTCGGCGTCCATTTCCATGGAACTAGGTTCCGGAGCAGCTTCGGAGTCGAGCTGCATCGCAAGGGAATCTGGAACTCCGAAACCCGCAGGGGCAGCGGCAGGTTCCGCTTCCGGAGCCGCTGATGACTCCGCTGCTGAGGGACCTTGCTCCGAAACCAGGGCAGCTTGTTCCGAAAAAGCTTCAGAAACCTCCGCCTGAGGTTGCTGCTGCTGCCCATCCTCCTCTTCCTCCTCCCGCACGGTTGGGAGTACGAGGGGAGGCGGCAGCAGCTGCGGCTGGCTAACGGCCGCTGCAGGAACCGGCACATGGATGTAAACCGGGACCTCCACCGGTACGGGAACCTGCACCTGGATCTCATCCCGTACGACAAGCAACATGATGCGGATTCGCTCCTCAGGCACGTCGCGACGCGGCGAGTCGCGCGGGGCTGCTGCCGTCGGGCCGGCGGCGCGGTCGGCGGCTGGGGAGCCGCCGCCGCCGGCAGCGGCAGCAGCGGCGGAACCATCGTCATCTTCCGCGCCGGCACCGGTGGTGCCCGGCGGCAGGTAAATTCCTGCGGCCACTCCGGCTCGCGTGGGCGGCGCACCTCGGCGGGCCTTCCGCAACTCCACATTGAGCGCCCGCAACTGCAGGGATTGCCGGTTGGGCAGTACTCAGTGCATAACATTACCGGTACAAGGCATTAAACGCCAAGCATGGGCTACCCTATGTGACGACAACTAGCCCACTAACTGGTCCCATACCAACGCAGGGTGACCACCGTACGCATACATACAACGCAACAACCCCCTCCTCAGCCCTCACGACCCGCGGTTCGCTTCCACTCCACTCCGCCTACCTCCTTCTCCCTGTCCTCCAGCGCCTTATTCGCCGCCACCAGCTGCCGCTTGAGCGCGTCCTTCTCCCGCGCCGCCGCCGCCAGGTTCTGTCGGTAGAGCTTGGAGTCAGTGTCCACCTTGGCGCGTAGCACACCCAGGCTGTGCTCCAGGTTCTGAGGGCAGCGGCAGAGGTGGGAGGGAACAGGGGAAACACTAAATGAAAAGTGGAGCAACAGAAGAGGTCAGGAGCGGGTGATGGTAATGGGGAATGAGTGAACGAGTGACGAGTTAGGAAGCATGGCGGGACCCCAGCACCCCTGCAACCGCCCCTCACCTCCAGCTGCCGCGTCTTGAGCTCCAGTTGCCGCTTCAGCGCCTCCTCGCGCTCTACCTCCGCAGGCGTGCGGGAACACTCCTGTGCAGGGCAAGGATCGAGGGACACATGAGACATGACGAGGCCCCAATAAAAGGTCAGGGACTGCGGATAGGGTGGCACGAGGGCAACCCTGATACTGCCCCTCATTCCTTTCGCTTCCTCCCCGGCTCCTGTCGCCCAACCACGCCCCCTGCCTAGGCCCCTCTGCCCCGGCTCCCCCCCTGCCGCCTCCCGCACCGCGAGCGACTGCTTGAGCCGCTCGTTCGCCTCCGCCAGCGCCAGCACCTGGCTCTGCTGCTGCGAGGCCTGGTGCTCCAGGGACTGCGTGCGGTACTTGTACTTCTTGATCATCTCGCGCAGACCCTGGGGGGGCGGTGAAGAGCGTTAGGGTGGGGTACCGGTAATGGAAAAAGGCTAAAATAGGCAGAGCACTGGGGCAAAACGTTGGAGGTGACGGCAGTAAGCGCCCAGGGCGGGAGAGCAGCACGCCTTCCGAGCATGTAGAGTCGAAGCAAATGGTCACGCCTAACCTAGCCCCATCCAGCCCCAGTGACTGCACCTGCACAGTCCCCCAACGCCTCCACTTGGCCCCTCCACATGCACCCAAGGCACCCGTGCACGGCTACTGCCCCGGTACTGATGCTTCGTGCAGCTCACCATGTCGCCCTTCACGCCCTACCCCGCTCCATGAACAGCCGCACCGTGTCAACCTCCTCCGCGCCCTCACATCCTGATGCCCCCATTCGGTTAATTACGGCTTCGCCACCCCCGCTACGGCACTCGCGCATGTTCCCTCACCCTGTTGTCCTCCACCAGAGCCCGCATCCTGGGCGGCAGGTCCGCCACCTCCGAGCCGCTGTAGTCAACCACATTGGCGCTGCGCTCGGGATGTGCCTCGGAGCGAGCAAGGTACTGCGGGGTAGAGCGCGAGGAGGCCAGGAAGCGGAAAGGTAAGGAGGTAGGGGAAAAAGGGAGGTGAATGGAGGAGAGGGAAGATGGGCACAATTGCGCAACGGCAAGGGGTGTACTGTGGTATGCTAGCAGGAATGATGTGTGGGGTGAAGCAGGCCACGGAAAAAAGATTGTATGGACACGCAGCGGGGAGGACTGCTTCGAGGTGCAGCGGGCGTCTCGGGAGCGGAAGAGGATGGGTCGATTGTGGCCGTACCTTTTCCATATCGCGCTTTTCCTCGCGAACTTTTTCTAGCTCCCGCTTTTGTTCGGCTGCTAAGGACTCCACAGATGAGATGTACTCCTGAAGGTCGTGCAGCAGGCCAAGGCTGCGTATCTGTGCCAGGTGTTGGCTCTTCCCCATCTTAGCTGGAGTTTTCGGGCTGCTAGAACCATTCGGTTGATATGCTAATAATGTTGAACTCGGTCGCAACGGAGAAACAACGTTGGCGCGGGGGTCGACGGGCAACATGCTTGGTGCGTCGGCCTCAGCCGCGGCTACATCCACTGAGATGGCAGACTCCAATGTACCCATACTACAGCACTGCTCTCAACATTATAACAGGAAACGGCCGCCCTTTGGGTCCCATGAACGTGACGTGTGTAGGCAATAAGGTAGAGCGCAGTAATTAACTGTCTTTACAATGTATACTTGAAGCTGTAAGGTAACTTAATAGCTTAGAGCTCTGCTCCGTGGTTGGTCGCCAAACTTCTGAGCAACTTCGAAGCACATATGGTAAGAGAAAATATCCAAGCAATGTGTGGGATCTTTACGGATAGCTACTGATACACGGAATTACTGGTTCGTAGGAAAACTAGAGGAAAGGAGTGGCTATACCATGTCGTGTACGACTATGGCAAAGTCCTTTCATCACCATAATGGCCTTCAATCCCAGGCAAAGTCCTCAGTGTAATTTACACAAACGCTACATAGCTTGCTTTACCGCCCGCATCGCTTCTACGCTCGGCCTATGTGGCAAAAAAACTAAAACTCTAGCCTGACGACCCTGCATTTAAGACCAGACAAGCAAGGCCGAATGACCGTGGACATGCAACTCGCGACAAGCGAAAAACGTATTAGGACAAAAACGTACTCGTATCTCTCTGCCCAGCCTCCAGGCACATCAGTCCGTGGGCACCACACAGTCATGCCTCCGACCCGTACTATACAATCCGCCCCATTGGGCCATAGCCTTGCACGCTCTTGGCAAACTCACCATACGGACTCACATTCGCAGGGATGAGTACTAACGCATGCCATGGCCCTCCAGCCACGTTCCAGGGACCTTACACCGCCCGTAAAATGCACGCCCATGCAGAACATAGTGCACGTCTCTATTGTTTCTGACTCAGCTAGTAATGTATCCATCAACGCAGCCCCGTTAACATACGTTGTTGTCACCCGCTGCGCCACCCGCTATCACTGCACCACTCCCACACTCCGTCACTGCTCTCTCGCTGCATCCGTAGCCCCCAAGCCGCCTGCAACCCGGTTTAGCTGCCCTGATCCTCACCCGCACCGTCACCCGCACCGCTACCGGCCGGGCTGCTCCTACATCGACAATGTCGCCCTGGACCGTCACCGCTTCTATCCTCCGGAGGCAATCCCGCCGCACTAGCGGGGCCAACACAGGCGTCGCTCGCTGTTGCAGTGCCGTCGTTACGTCCACCGCCGGCCCCTCCATGCGGCTCCGCTCTCGCCGCCTGACCCTCCATCACCTCACGGGATAGGCCCGAGGCTCCTGTCCGAGCTGCTGCTGTTCCATCCACTTCCTCCGTTGCCGTACAAACCGAGTCCGGTTGCCGTACCCCGGCATCTAAGTCCGTGCGGTTGACACTGCCCCCAACTCCGCCGGCATTCTGCGGTGCCTCCTCCTCATCTATCACTGCATGCCTTCGCCGCCCGCCGCCTCCTGCCTCCGCTGTGGTTACCTCCGCCGCCGACGAGGACGCCAGCCCTGACGCCCTAGCCGCGGCGACGGAGAGACCGCCACCGCCTTCGTTCCCTGCCGCGCTGCAGTCACCCTCTGCATGCGACCTTGCTTCCAATCCCATGGCAGTCGCCACTGCTCCTACCTTCTTTGCTACTGCGGCTGCTGCCCCAACCGAGGGTCCTGGCGCCGCCGTCGCCGCTACGGCCTCCCCAGCTGCTCTCGTACACAGTACGGCAGCTCCTTCCCGCCGCCGGGCCGCTGCGGCCGCCTCAAGCGCCACCTCCGCCCGCAGCCGCTGCGCTAGCCGCCGTCGTGCCTCCACTCGGTCCTGTGCCGTACAAACAACGGATAGCAAGCGTTACAGTGCATAGGATTCCTCGTCTGAGAGCATGGACAACCGTGTAGAGTTAGTGCGAAAGGGCGCCCGCTACCCGTCCCCTTCCAAAGCACCCACCTGCACCCACGCCTCGATCATGTGCCTCAGGTTGAGGTTGGGTGCCAGGCGGTGCCTCTTAAGCGGCGCGTGTGTCACTGGGTCCACCCGCCGCTGCGCCAGCCACTGCAGGATGGCGGGGCGCTCGTAGGTGACGCCGCTGGAGGCCTGAGCCGGCTCGCGCATGAGGGACTGGGTGATGGGGCAACTGGGCGGAGGGGCCAGGTCCAGGGAAGGGGCAGGGGCAGGGAAGAAAGGGAAGGCGCGGAAGGGTACATGGAAGGTGATAAGGTGTTAACGGTACACGGTGGTGTATGACTTCCCGGTGTATGACTTCACCAGACAGGGCGTGCGGGCTTCCAGACATGCACGAATGTGCGTGCATGTGAAGGGAGCGGCTCCACAGCAGAGCTCCCTCACCGGAACGCCTCGGGCGCATTGGGCCAGTCATCCAGCCATGCCGGCACGTCCAGTGCAGGAGGCCAGTGCACCGCCTCCGCCTCCGCAGCTGCTGCAGCCGCAGCAGCCGCTGCAGCTGCTCCTAAACCGCCGGCGCCGCTGCGACCTCCGCGAGTCCCGCCACCACCACCGCCAGCGGCAGTTGTCCCAACCGCCGTACCTGCAGTACGATTCACATCACGGCCGCCTCGACGGAGCGCCGCAAGGCCCACATCATCGTCGCCCTCTGCACCGCCGGCGGGGCCCGCATGACGTCGGTCCCTGCCTCCGCGGCGGCCTGCTCGGTCGGCCCTGGGGCCACTGCCGCTGCCACGGTGGCTGCCGAGGCGGCCGGTGGGAGCTCCGCCGGTCAGGCGGCGGGCCTGGGCAGATACCGTAAAACACGTGGTGGGCGGGCAGTACGGTGTAAAAAGGAATGTTTTGGGTATTAAGGACCATGGTTGAGGGGGCCGTGCATAGGAAGGAAGGGCAGCCGGCAATGAGCAAGAACACGGACCCTGCGCAAGGCACACAAATGCAGCTGACGAAGCATACTGGCATGTGGGAGCAACAAGCTCCTCACTCCTCAAACACCCCACACTATCGTGTAACGCCATATCGCACACCCACCTTCAGCGCTGTCCCCGCCGCACTCATCACCGCCACCATCACTGCCGGCAGCAGCAGCAGGTGCAGCCACACCAGTGCCGCCGCCGCATCGTGTCCCAGCAGCGGTAGCCAGGTGTTCATAAGCCCCGTCACCAGCACCGACGCCGCCGCCGACGCCAGGTGCGCCGCCGCCATGCCGTACAGTCGCTGCCATGACGTCAGCCGCGGAGTCGTCGCGACGGCGACCGCGGCGCGCCATTCGGCGAGTGTACGGCATGTGGCGATGACGGCGATGTAGAGCGCCATCCAGGGGTTCTCAGGACCGGCCTGCGACCCACGGGTCATGAGGATTTGGGCTTTGAGCGAGGAGCGCAGCAATGACGGCCTAGATACGGTACACCCAAAGATCTCGTCCAAAGAGCTCAACAAACACCCCTTCATTCTTCTCCACCCATGCGACCCACCCTCATGGCGTCCAGAGCCACCAACGCGGTGGGGCTTACGAGCCATAGGGCCCAAAAGGGACCCCACTCCGTGGCGCTCTGAAACCAGTGCCGCCACCCATCTTCCTCGCCAGGGGAGCCTCCTCCTCCGCCGCCGCCGCTATCGCTGCTACTCCTGCTCTCGTCGCCGCCATCTTCATGGCCACATTCGCCACCGCCGCCGCCGCCGCTGCCAGGGCTCCGTGTTCCCGCACCCCCGCTATGCCACCCCAACGCACCCGCTATCCCTGTCACTAGCTGACTTGGCCCAGCTGCCGCTGCTCCCGTCCAACCAAACAGACCCACGGGTCCAGACAGCCAGGGACCCAGCAACGGCCCAAAGGGCCCTATGGACCCGGCTACAGCAGCGAATGTAAACGAGGAATGACTGCCGGAACCGGAACCGCAAGAAGGAGACCTTCCTGATCCATTGCGCCTACTGCTACTGCCTCCGCTGCTGCTGCTGCTGCTGGCCCCCGAGGTCGAGGCTGCGCCAGGCGGCGGACCTGCCAGCGCCTCGGAAGCAGCTGCTGCACGCCTGAGGATGAGGCGGAGCTCAGGGGTCCTCCAGGGCTGCAACAAAGGGGGGAGGGGAAGAAGGACAACCAAAGGGGGACAGGGGGCGGGACGGAAACAGGTGGTACCAAACAGGGAGTCCGTGAAGAGAACAAGGAGCGGTGCGTTGCAGTGAGCGCCTATCCAAGCACTACATAAGGCAGTGTTCTTGCTTCACAGCGTTACACACAACACCCTTGCCAACATCATGCCGGGGTTTCCGCTGCCGTACTACAGCACCCAAAGTACGGCACACAAGGTTGTCGTACCTCCAGCACCAGCTCCCGATGCAGCTGCTGCATGTGCCACTCCAGCGGTACGACACGGGCGGCCAACCGCCTTGCCATCTCCGGCGCCGCCGACGCTCTCGTACTCGCCACCTCCTCCTCCTCTGTCGCTTCCGCTGCCGTTGCCGCCGACGGTACGGCATCCTCCCTCCTCGCCTCGCCCTCACCCGCACTTGCCTCCTTGCCACCGTCGCCCGGCACGTCCATCGCTGCCGCAGGCTGCGTCGCTGGCCCCGCCGCTGCCGCTGCCGCCAGCCGCCTCCAAGCTAGTGTGATGCGCGGGAAGCAGATGAGGCTAGCGTACTCTAGCCCTAGCCTCTGGTAGACCCCCGCAAGGTAGGGTGCGATGAAGGGATCGCCCACCTGCATGCATGCATGGCGCATTGGTGGGAGACGGGTGCGGGTTGAAGGAGGGAATGATGGATGGATGGATGGACCGAGCCACTTTCCGTGGTGGGTTCTTTCCCGCGGATGTGTGGCTTACATGGCGTGAGTCGCGTTCCTTGGCGCGACGGATGGTGTTCAGGACGTGGGATAGCAACTCCTTGTTTACATGGTAGGTCGTGTCGTGCGACAGGCTTGTACGGCCTGTGCGGAAGGCCGGATTGCATTGTTACGAATTTGCGCTGCAAAGTGACCGTGAAGGAGGTTAAAGGCAGGGGCACATGCCCGTGTGTTCAAGCTTTTGTGCTCCTACCGTCAGGGGTCGTTACAGCGGCCCCATGATAAGTGATGCCGCAAGCGTCGCCCGCCTCCTCCCATACCACGGTGTCGGCGCTGCCTTCGGTGTTGAGTTGGGAATAGAAGCTCCATAGCTCAGAGCATGGAACATCCGCGGGGATGTAGAGGGGCATCTCCGCTTGGCATGGTCCGTAAAGGCTAAATACAAAGATCAAAGCGACACATGCCCGGAGCTTTGGTAAGCCATGGGCGCCTCGGATAGCGCAAGATAGAGATGGAACACTGAAAACCAGCGTTTCACGGGATTGCTTCATACCCCAAAGCTCGCTACGCATTTCAGGATTGTTCATAAAACATAGGATAAATAGCCGAGGAAATGCTTTGTCTCAGCTGTGCAGAACATTTCATTTGGGTTATGAGCTCGGCCTGGAACGGCTTTTCAAAAGTAAGGGACGGGTTCCGAGTAAGGGACGGGTTTGCTGCTGTTGGCAATAGCGTGGTGCCAATTCTTTAGGTCTATGACTTAATGCCGTACGTACACAATCCTGGCGCAGTTCATGTATCACACCCTCAAAGCACTTGCATTCTGTTACTGTCACAATAGACTAGACTTGTGTGCACCAGGCTCCTGATACGACGCCGTGTCATAAAACGTCAATGCAAGGCAACTAACAACGGCCAGTCGGCTCAGCATCAATGCCTCTTGACGCGCTTCAGCAGAATTAAACAAAAAGCTGATAAAACCAACGGTTTCCTACCCGTTTTTGTGCCTCATCTTGACGTGGTAAGCACCGTCGGGCATGCTACCGTGCATTGAACCAGCTCCTCCATAGGTCATCGGTCGGATTTCACGGCCGCGATATGGATTCAGGTAACCCCTAAACTGTCAGTCACTCGGGTCGCAGCAACACGCTTTTGCCTGCGCGTGTGCGCTTCCGAGAATGCGCTCCCACCGTCGCGCAGCTATCATCCCAGAATGCAATTTTTACACCCCAGTGCTCGGGTCCTTGCCGTACGGCACAGGGAAGCTGCAGGTACATTTGTGCGTGCGCCAAGGGTGGCCCAGGGCCTGCCTTGAGGACCCAACACCCGCCTGGCCATTGCTCCTCTGTGCTCCACATACCGATTGTAAACTGTGCGAGCAAGGCTTGAGTGGTTTGTTTGGGCTAACCTGATAGCGTGTTATCTCTTTATTGCAGACTGTCAGCTGTATAAGTTTCAGCAGTGGCTCAACTATGCTCAGCAGCGGTGCGATGGGCCCACCGGGGACCAACACTTGCTGTGGATAGGACCTAACCCGTCCTGACCTACTGCTCCTACACAAGTCTCCGCCCCTCAGTCCTTTCCTGCCCTGCTGTATGATACATGGACTCACTCTGCCCCAACTCGACATCTCAACCTACGGGATGCACTTGAAAGGGTCTACGTAAGCATGCCGCATACGGCATACCGTACACTGTCTCGCCAAGCCATTGAATAGTTTGTGTAGGCTAACAACTGATCGAACATGACACGCAGCACATACCGGTACACTGCTTCCTCAACGCAGTACCGCACCTGCAGCTCCCCACATGCATACAGCTCTACCTACCGAACCCCACCCACCTCCTCAATGCAGCTTCCCAAAGCTTCATTCCAACCATGTGGCCATCCAAGTACTGAAGGTGCAGCACACAGTGCCCTTCCCTTCGCCTTCGCTCTGCATCCCCTAATAAACAGCCGTGACTGAAGTCGCCCCCATTACCGGTATTGCCGGCCCTCATGTAGCCCACGCACAGGAGGTGTTGCCTGTTTAAAGCTACCTTCAACTCTTGTGGCCGCCGCCCATGCTCATACGTGCGGCAAGCTGGCCCTACCGACCCGTCCCTGCCGAGGAGCTAGCAAGACCCCAGCAGCCTCAGATCCCAGCAGGGCTTGCAGCCCAGCAAAGGTACCGTAACGCCGCCTCCTCTGCTCCTCAACTCCTCAACTCCTCAACTCCTCCCGCTTGTCCTTTTCTAGCCCGCTAAGTGGCATGCCTCGCTTGGTTTACTTTCCACCATCCTCCGTTACACCAGCAGCCCCGTCACCTCTGCAGGGTTTGGAAGAGGAACTCGTCAACCGCGTCCTGAAAGCCCAACAGCGCAGCGCTGTCGGATAGCCCCGGCAGCCGCGACAGCGCATCCACGGCATCATCCACCGCAAACGCGATGGAGTCCGCGACCGAATCTGCTGAGGGAAGCAAGGAACCCAGCAACTCACGTTGGCTGAAGGCCGTGGCTGCGAGGCCGGTTGCGAGGAGGATGCCGAGGAAGGGAAGGCGAACACGGGATAGCAGGTCTTGCACGCTGTTTTGCACGGTTTCCACGGGTCCTTGCGGCGGAGGCGGTTGGTAGATGCCAAAGGACGCGCGGATGTCGCCAATAAGGAGGTCTGCGTTTGAATTTGTAATCTTTCCATAAGCCAAGATATCGGCTGCCTGTTTGGCGGAGTTGGGGAGGAAAGGGAGGAGTGGGGAAAGGGAGGTGACATGTGGATGGCGGTTGCAATCAAGCTATGGCTCACGCACTGCTTAGAAGGGATATACGCACATCAAGATTAGTTACAATCGAGCAACAATAGAATGCGCCTATTAGGTTATAAGCTTCTCGTGTCTCTTACTTGCTCTGTAAAGCCCAGCTCTTGCAGAGTCCGCTTAATCTGATCTCGTTGGCGCTTGGAAGGCTGGTTGGCGTCTTCAAAAGGCGCCTCTTCTACCAGCGTAGGTGCGTCGCGGCGGAAAAGCTGTGTGCGAACAGCTCGGCATGGCCGAACAGCTGGGATGCCCGCATCCCTGTTGCGCGCAGGCAAGCTCCGGCGAGGACTAAGCCGTTGGATTAACATTGAGTTTATGTATACACGGCTATACTTGCCTTAACGGCCGTCTGGTCAACCTATAGAAGCAAGCCGGTCTGTATCTTAACCGTTGTCGAGCGATAGTAGGTTGCCCTTTGTCGCCTCACCCTATGACCCAGCTAACATGCCAGCATGTTACACGTTATTTAACTTCGCCGCTTGATGGAAAGCGTTGTCTGCCAGAGGGTTGAAGTAGATGGTATTCCGGTTGCACGTACGAACACCGGTTATACTTGCATGCACTTTTCCCTCTGTGAAACATTTTTCAGCCTCTACAAGGCATCCAACATTACCAAGAGGCATATCCTGCTATCAAAACGTATTCGCAACTTCCGCTTTCTAGCCTTGCCTGAGGCGACTGATCTTGATTAACCATTGACATGCACGCGACCCCGAGTCCTATGTACATTCGTCGAGTACTTGTAAAGCATCTCTTACTGCCTCGTTACGCTCTCGATCGTCTCATGATGCGCTATGGCGCCTCGCATTGCAAACGACGCTCCCCAGCGGATGCAATGCCTGGAACACATCTCCAGCGTCCTAGCACTCCAGCCCACTCGCACCAGGCCACGTTACCGCCATCACCTGCCTCCGCATGGCCCCTCCTCCTCCTCCTCCTCCTCCTCCTCCTCCTCCTCCTCCTCCTCCCTGCTCCCCGCCCTCCTGCCGCAAACTGCTCGTCCTCCCCCAAGGCCACCACCACCGCCGGCCCCCCCTTCCCTCCCCATGCACCCTCCCCTTCCCCTCCTCCCTCACCCCCTTCCCTTCCGCACCACCCCCACCACCCCCACCACTTCCACCCGACCCCTCCCGCCCCTCCTCCCCATGCCGTACACCCTCCCCAACCGCCGCCCCCATGGTGTACCGCCCCCCCACCAGTACGGCAGTCCACGCCGGCCGCAACGCGAGCCTATCCAGGCTATGCGCCACCAGCTCCGGCGGCCACAGTCCCTCCGCTCGCAGCACCAGTTGGGGTGGCAGCGGCAGTTGCAGCTGCGGCAGCAGTCGCAGCTGGGGCGGCAGGGGCAGCTGCGGCAGGGTGAGGGTGATGGCGGTGGAGCGGGTGCCGTTGCGCATGAGCTGAGCCTGGCGGGCGGAGCAGTCGCGGCACTGCGCAAAGTAGACCTGGGTGAGGCTGGCGGAGGGCAGGCGGAGCCACTCGGCCAGCTGAGGAGAGCAGGGGAGGAGGAGGGGAGGAGGAGGGAGGGAGGGCAGGAGGAGGGGGGAGGGAACACATACACGATAAGTGCAGCAACGGAGTCCCAAGGGAGGGAGAGGGGGGGGCGTTATGCAGTGGGGTTAGGAGAGGCGGTGGGAGTGGTAGGCCAGTAGGAGTAGGCGCAGGGCATATGGGTTGCATGCGCGTGAGCCCTACCCGGTATTTTACATATGCCGGCCTGTGACCCCTTTCTCGGATGTCTTCCTCTCATCGTGTGATCAACTCCCCCCTTGACGACATAACGAGGAGTGCTTCAGTGCTAGACTATCACACGCCTGCCGGTACCGCCATACCTAACCCCGGCCCCCACCGCCCTTACCCGTGTCACCGCGCGCTCCAGCCCGCCCGCCGCCTCACGCGCCGCCAGCGCCTCTCGAACTACCTTGTACGGCGGCATGTGGTCGCCGATTACACCGTTGCTGCGGGTTCCTGTTGCGGGTGACCCGTGGGTCGCGTGTGGGTCGCGTTGCAGGTTTATTGAAGTCAGCGGACAAGGTGGACCCCATACGGTCTTGGGAAAAGCGGGGGGGTGGGTGCTGGTGCAACGTGACACGTGAGGGACCCCCCCGCCTCCTCCCTCCCGCACCGCATCCCTGCCGCTCCCCGCCTCCCTCCCTCCCTCCCCGCCTCCTCCCTCCCTGCTCCTCCCTTCCCGCCTCCCTCCCCGCCTCCTCCCTCCCTCCCGCACCGCAGTGGTGGCAGCCGTCCCTGCCGAACAGCACCGCCAGCTGCCCCTTCTCCGCGGGAGTGGAGTACTCGGAGGCGGAGGTGGGCACGTGGGCCCGACCGAAGGCGCCCGGGCGGGCCAGGTGGCTGGGCAGCAGCCGGCGGAAGTCCTGCTGCAGGGCCTTTGGGGGCGGGGAGGAGGGACAGGGCAGCGGGGAGGAGGGGAAGGAGGTGGGCAAGGAGGGCAAGGAGAGGCGGGTAGGGGACAGGGGGAATGTGGGTTTGGGTTTGTGGGTTTCCGGACTGAACGGAAAGAGTTCTTGCTTCCTCTTTTTCCTCTCTTTCTCTCATTCTCTTTGGCCTGCTTCCCCCTTCCCCCCTCACCTTGAACAGCAGCGGGCCCAGCAGCGCATCCACCGCCGCCTCCCGCACCTCCCACCGCCCCACCAGCTGCCCGGGCAGGCACCGCAGCGCCCCCACCAGCCAGCCTAGCCCCCCTCCTGATGCTTCTCCTCCTACTGCTGCTGCTCCTCCTCCTCCATCGCCCTTTGCCGGGTGCTTACGGTTTTTCTGCTGCTGTCTTTGCTGCTGCTGCTGCTGCTGTAAGAGCAGTAGCTGCTGCTGGTGTTGCTGCTGCTGTTCCTGTAGTGCGGCGAGGGTGGCTCTGCTGACATGGCCGGCAGCTGCGGAGGCGGCGGCCACGGAGCCGCAGCCCCACAGCGGGGCCAGCAGGGGGGTGGCGCAGTGGAGGCGGGCGAAGCCGGCGGTCAGCTGAAGAAGGGGAGATGGGGGAGTGGATGGGGCGGAGTGCAAGAGGGGAGGAGAGGGGAGGAGATGGGAGGATGCGGGGTGGGGGTGGACTAAGGCGGGAAGGCAGCGGTGGAGACGGGGTTTGCTCGGATGTGGAAGGAATGGGTCGCGATCAACGCGGGGCCCTATTAGATGTACATGCAAGAAGAACAGGATGCAAGAACTTGGCAACGCATTTGGTGGTATAGTGGAGCTCATGCGGTTGCAGTTATCGTTGCAGCGCTGCAGCTGCTTACGTGGCACACGGCGAGTGTGAGGTTGTAGGCGGTGCAGGAGGCGCCCAGCTGGAGGGCCCAGCCGCCGGCCTGCGGTTAGTTCGTTGGTGTGGGAGCGGTTGGTTGTAGGGGTCATCAGGGGGCGCTTACCCCGGAGGTGGTTGACCGGAGGTGGTTGGGAGTATCTGGGTTGGTGTCTTTGGGGTGCTTACCTGGGACACGGCGGGGTGTGCGACAGCTCTTGAGAGGGCGTCAAGAGTGGCTTGATGCAAGGCGGGGCTGGGGGCAGACGAGTTGGCAAGCAGAAGGGAGTTTAAGGAGGCACAAAGGAACGGGGTCAGGACCTGGGCGCGTATTATATTGCTTGGTGGGTATCTGTGTGGCGTTAAGGGCGGTTGTGGTAATCTGGTGGCCTTAGCGGCATCGTCATTGTTACGCAGCGATTTAGCGCAAGAAGTCCTTCGCCGGCTGCTCGGCTTCCCAAAGCCCAGCACGATGTTTGTGCATTGCTTATAATTGAAGTACCACTTCTGATGTAGAGCCATATGCAAGTGCGTCTATGCGTCTCTCTGGTCGGATCACTACGCGTCCCTTGACTCACCCGTCGACGCCAGAAATGACTTCACGGAAAGGGTCGCGGCCCATCCTGAAAGGCGAGTCTACCTATAGCTAATCCGGCATGCTTAAGGGCCGTAAGACGTGTTGCATGATAGCTTTTAGTTTTGTGCAATCGCGCACTGTGCCGTACATACACGCCAGCTTGCGAGCGGTCGCAAGCTCGGAGCTTGACACAAGGGCGTGAAATAGGCGCGACTGCGTGCCTGTGAAATCGGCTTGCTGTCGCAGGCTTTTATACCTGCCAGCCTGCTCTGTATCGTTTTCCGTCCATTTTAACAGGTTGCTATCGGATCCTTTTTATATAACTTGATAAACCCTTTAGAGATTATTTATGTATACGAAGAGTCATTTCCGAAAGTATATTTGTTCCAAGCTGGGGAGCCAAACCTCCGGCAGTCGGCAATCACAGGACAGCTCACGCCCGGGGCCGTGAATAGACTTTGCACAAATAATCTTGTACACCTCTTACTTGAACAGCAACTCTTAGGACGATGCGGTGGGACGGACAGTCTGTGCTTGAACGATGCGCCGTCAGCGCCGCCACGGCATGGGGCTTTTACTTGATGGCGCGCTTCGTAAACCACAGGTGAGTGCATGCATGGTCATGGCGGGCGTCGCCGGCCTTCTGGAGCGGTCTTTGTGTCGAATCCGTACCCATGGCTGTTGCGCGTTTTGCCGTCACTCCATCATTTCATCTTGTCGCCACACCGTGAGCTGTACGTGGTCCTCAACGGGTCTTCGGCTAAACCCGCGGCCTAGAGCGTTGACCAAGCGCACCCTAGCTCTCATGGTGCTTCCTGTACTACAGCACCACCACCCATTGCAGCACCCACGTTTGACCAAGCCTTTGCTCCCTCGCAGATGGCACATGGCCTCCCTGGAGCAGCAGCTCAAGGAGACGCAGGTGGGGCCGTACAGGGGCCTTTCCTTCTTGTCCGTTGCTTGCCGCCACGCGTTGACCGTACGGCAGCTCCATGCTCCATGAACCGCTGCTGCATCTCCCCGACTTCAACTGTCCTGCTCTGCACACATGCTTCGCCCGTGCTGCGTGCCGGCACACCTGCGCATATCAACAAAAAGCTTACCGCAAGACGGAAGCCTCGGAACGCACTGTGATAGCCTTGCCTTGTATCCTGCGCTTTATGCCTATATTGCGCGTTTCCATGTATCCCATGCAAACCTTTCCCCCGCGACCGCTCCCCAGGCCCTCCTGGATCACGAGCGTGAGAAGCGCAAGGCCGACCGCGTGGGCCGCATCCGGGCTGAGCAGGAGCTGCGGGTGGCCAAGGTGGAGGCGCAGCAGCTGCAGCTGCAGTTCCAGATGCAGGAGCAGCAGCAGATACAGCAGCTGCTGAGGGAGATGCAGGGAGGCGACAGCAGCAGCGATGAGGAGGGGGAGGGGGAGGGTGCTTCTGGCAGTGCTGCGGCGAAGGAGGCAGAGCAGAAGGCGGGTGAGGATGCTGGGGAATTATCAGCAGCAGCAGCGGAGGAGGAGGTGTCCAACCGGCAGCAGCCTGCCAGTGCTGCTGCTCCTGTTGATGAGGTGAAGCGAGCTGCCGTGGCGGCGACTGCGGTGCTGGCGGCGGCGGGGGCGGCCATGCCGGCGTTTCCCTTCCGACCCATTGGTCACTTGCAGTCTGTGTTCTCCGAGAGGTGAGGGAGGAACACATTGCGGCGTGCGGGTGCCGCCTGTTGGGGCCAGGGAGGGTTCGGGTAGGAAGGTGGGAAAGGAAGGGTGCGGGTAGCGAGGAGCGCCCTTTGGTCATGTTCACTGTCGATCGCGCTATGCAGTGTCTCTCCCTCTTACTCCCCTCCCCTGCCTCACCCGAGGGAAGGAATAGAATGTTTCCGCGGCTCCGCTCCCCCTCCTGTGCAGGAACGGCACCCCCCGCCAGCCGCAGCTGGTCCCCGCCGCCCGCTCCCGCCTGGTGCTGAGTCGCGATGTGCCGGCTGCTTGTCTGGAGGGGCTGGAGCAGTACAGCCACTGCTGGGTGCTGTACGTGTTCCATGCGAACACGGGTGAGGTCGCGTTGCTGGGGAGGGGGGGAAAGGGCCGGGTGTGGGGTGTTGTGGTGGGGGCGGTCGGCGCGGGAGGGCGTTAGAGCTGCATGCTTTGCGCCTCGCGGCATGGGCGCCTGGCTCATCCCTTGCACTCCTCCGCCACGTCTGCCCGCCAAATCACCGTAGACCCAGCCTGGTAGCAGCCAACACCTGTACCCGATAGCACCCCCTGGGTATCCTTCTTTTACCCCCCCCCCCCAGACCTGGCCAAGTACCTGTCCCCCGATCGCTCCGGCCTCAAGGCCAAGATCCACGTGCCTCGTCTCAACGGCGGTCGCATGGGGGTGCTCGCCACCCGCTCACCGCACCGGCCCTCGCCCATCGGCCTCAGCACCGCACAGATCATCAGCGTGGAGGTAGGGGGGGAAGGGAGGGAGGGGGAGGCAGGCGCCGGGCAGGCAGGCGGGCAGGCAGGGGACTATTGAGGTGGCGTGTGGCCGTTGGGGGAGCGGTGGTCGGCACCTGCACCTGCCTCACCCCGTTCTTGGCCCCGGGCTTTCACCCCGGTAACTCCCCACCACCGCCTCCGTCCCAAGGCTTCCTCTCACTGTTGCCATGTCCGATACCTTGTGTTTAGGAAACCTGGCCGTGTATGTATCTAGTGTATGTGTACGGCACCCATTAGGAACGGGCCTTACATGTTTTCATCTGCCGTTCTGCCCCCAGGGAAACACGCTGGTGCTGGGCGGCGCCGACATCGTGGACGGCTCCCCCGTGCTCGACATCAAGCCCTACGTGCCCTTCTGTGACTGCCTGCCTGCTGCCCGGGCACCCGCATGGGTACAGGTGGGGGTGGGGGTGGGGGATAAGTATACCCAATGCGTTAAATGAGAATGGCAAACAGGACGACGAGCTTCTGGTGGGCAAATCTGGGGTGGGCAGAGGAACGCGGTTTGGTGGGCGGGACTGCCTTTACCAGTTAGCTACAGCTATTGAAGCTACAGCAAATTTAGGGATACCGTATCCGAGACAGTCCGGTTGTTCTCTCCCACCGTCGGCGTTTCCACGCCGTTTAGTTTACTAACTCGTAAACGCCGCGTGCACCTCTTGCTGCTCAGGCGGAGGCGGACGACGAGCCTCTGGCGGTGGGCGAGGTGGTGGTGGGGCAGACAGCGGCCGCCGCCATCACCCGGGCCTGGCAGGCGCGCAGGTCGCACTCCATGTACGGCAGCGCTGAGGATTACCTGGATCTCGTACGGCAGGTACGGCATTGTACGAACTCGGCATGATGGAAGTGCTTGTCGCTCTGCTTCCGCTGTCTCTCCCTTCCATAGCGCATGTCGAATGTGTAATAACGTCACATGCTTGTGGCTTCGTGCGTGCTTTGCGGCTTTGCAAGCCTGCCGGAGGTTTGTCCTCGTCTTTGTTCCTCTGCTAAAGTACCGTCTCCTCCCCCGTCCGCCGCCCCTAACTTCCTCTCCTCCTCCTCCCCTGCCTGCTCCCCAGGTGCTCAGCCGGGACATCCGCTCCGTCCACCAGCGACTCAACGTCAAGCCCACCACCGCCGCCGCTGCCTCCACCTCCACCTCCTCCTCTTCCACCACCAAGTCTCCACCCGCCGCTTCCTCCTCCTCCTCCTCCGCCGGCTCCACCGCTTGCTCAACTTCCGCCGCCTCCGCCTCCACCACAGCAACGACGAGCACCCCGGTGCCGCATGCGGGTGCAACCTTTGCGCTCATGCAGCCCCAGCCGCCGCAGCCTGAGCAGCGCAAGCCGGCGGGCGGTGCGGAGGGGCCGGGGCAGTATCATGTGGTGCTGGAGGGCGTGTACATCAGCTATGACATCAGCCCGGCGGGTGTGGTGGAGGTCCATGATGCGTGGGTGGACCCCATCACCGCGAAATGAGGCGTGGGCGGGGGAGAGGGGGAAAAATAAATGAGGAATGCAGCAACGGGTTCCAATCCCAGATCCCGGGGAGTTTGGGGGTGGTGGGGTTGCAGGTGTGGCGCTTTGGTAGTGACTGGTGAGGAGTAAGGGATAAGATGGTAGTTCGTGTGGGGTCTATGGAACTTGAGGTTCGGGCTCGGCAGCCCCATTTAGCGTGCGCATGGGCTTCGAAGCATGAGTGATTGCATCGTGGTCCCGTCTTCCGTGACTTGCCGGGACTCCGGTTGAGCACTGAGCTGGTTATGGCGTTATGCCATGCTACTTATGTTACGTTAAAATGGCTTGGAACCTGTATTTATGATGTCATCTCTCTGTCTGGCATGTTAAATAGTCAACATGCGGTCATACCAACCGATGCCGACTGTCCTTGGCTATCGCTGTATCTCGGTATAGGGCGCAGCACAGCGATGTGGATGTCCTTTGCCGACAACATGCGCACTGCCAGTTACGGCGTACCCCGTGCCCTGTTCATTCCCACATGCCAAGCGAAGCAACGACGCAAAACGCTCTCCGCCTGTACCCTAGCCGCGCCATGCCCTTAATAGCTGCTGCTACCCCTACCCCAAGACCCACGCTGTCCTGCCGTAACAACATGGGCGTCCCTAAACACAAGCTCTGCGCGCTTCTTTCCTGCCCCTGACCGCTGCAACCTCTAAAGCCTCCCGGCGCGCCCTGTCTCCCTGACGCCTGTCCTATCTAGACCTTGTACACTCTACCCGCCCCCTTTCCTGAGCAAGGCCATTATCAGAAAATAGGCAACAACTATCTATCACGGTATCCACATGCACCTCAAGCCAGCTTTGCTGTCTGGTCGGCTCTCAACCCATTCTCAATTGCCCTGTCCCGTACATGCACACCGCTACGGCTGTTGACACCGCTCCCCCCAGCGGCATGCATGCGCTCCCCCCAGCGGCATGCATACAGGTGCAATATATCCCGCGCGCCTGCTGCATCCGCTGCTGCTACCTACGCATGGTATCCATCTTGGCCACCTCCTCCGCCAACAACCGCCGAACGTCCTCAAACTCCGTCTTGGTCTTCTCCAACAACTCTTGCCCCAACTGCCGCACATTCTCATGCACCTCATCATCCACCTCGTCGTCCTCCTCTTCCGCAGCAGCACCACCAGCAGCAGCAGTAGGCTCCACTTGGGCCCCGCCGTTGCTGCTGTTGGTCTGCCCCGCATCGCGAGCAGCGCGCCTCGCAGCCTTTTCCTCCAGGCGTGCGGCATTGTAGCGGATGGCGTTGCGGCCGATGAGCTCAAAGTCCGTCTGAAGCTGCTGCAGGCCGGAGTCGTTGGGCGGGTAGGCGTGCTTGCGCAGGCGTTTCTTGATCTCTTGCAGCCACATTGGGGAGGTAATGAGCTGTTTGTATCCGGGCTCCTGGAGGGAGGCGGTGGGAGGGAAGCCGGGTCAGGAGGAGGCAGCCGCAGAGGCGGGCGGCGGAAAGACAGGAGAGGTAAGGGAAACGTGAAGGGTCCGACAGGGACGCAGAAGCGGGAGTACGGAAAAGCGCGCGGCTCTTTCTGCTCAGCCTTGGTGCCATTACTAACGGCCTGTGAAATGCGGGAGAGTGCAGCCAACAGCCTGCCTGCCTGACTTCTGCCCAGCAGGAGCTTAGCGAGAGCGTGCCCTGATAAACTCACCTCTTGTGGATCCCCAATGAAGACCTCGTCTAAGCCTTTCTGCAGGTCACAATCATAATCATAGCAGGGTTGCAGGCAGCGGCGGGGCATCCGGTAAGAAGCAAAGGAAAGCGAAGTATTGTAGTGGCAACAGCCAACCCGCATGCAGGCAAGTGCGGCATCTAGGCGCGCCTCGCGGTAAGGGTTAATCACCCCTCACAGCGGCAGCCAGTGCCGTAGAGGAGAGAAGAAGAAACCCCGCTGCATGGTGAGAGGGTGCAGCGTCGTCGGTGCAGCAGCATCCACATTTCCCCCAAACCGCCAACCAAGCGTCGTACGGTAATCGTAACTCACCGACATCCTGTTTACGGCCTTGGCAATGGATACCTTGTATAGCTCCTACAGCGGCGGGAAAGACCGCAACTCAGTAATGAATGGCGGAGATACGCATAGCGGTAGCGGCAAGTGTCGACTTTTCAACAAACCATCGACAACCCACGTGATATAAATAAGATGAATACAAGGAATAGCGCAGGTACCGGTAATCCACATGCCATAATAGCTGCGGCGCCATCCAAAGGTACCGGTATAACGGCGCACATGCGACATCCCCATACGGACACAACACGATCCCAGACACACACAACCTACCTCAATATCCTTTTTGCGTTTGGCCTCTTGCTTGGCCGCGATCTTCGTGAACCTCAGAGCCTCGGCACTCATGTTCAGGTCCTCCTTCTCCTCCGTCTGGTCAGCTCCCGCCGCAGCCTCCTGCAGAGGTTGGGACGGCAGGGACGGGCCAGCTGCTGCGGCAGCCTCCTCCGCACTAGCGGCCGTCGCTTCCTCGTCCTCCCCCGCCGCCGTGCTCCCTACTGCTGCCGCCCCGCTCTGCTTGACCAGCTGCCACAGTCGCTGCTCCACAGATAAAGACCGTGCGCGTGCCGACAAGCCGGCAGAGCCCGAGTCCTTGCGATCCGTAGCCGCTGCTGCTGCTGACGATGACGGTGCCGCAACCGCCGCTGTTGCCTCAGTTGTCGGAGTGCCGTCTGCAGCCGTAGTCGCTGCTGTTACTGCTGCTGCTTCCGCCCCAGCAGCGGCCTCGCCCGCGCCCGCTGCCGCCGGCGCCGCATCCCTGCCTTCCTGTACAGTCCCCATGTCTGCGGAACGAGGGGCCGGCGACGCGGCATCTTGCTGGTTGGGTTCGGCTTGCTGGGGTTGCTGCGGCGGCTCCGCTGCAAGTTGCTGTTCCTGCTGCGTCACCGCCTGTGACCCAATCTCCGGGGCCGTGGGTTGCGGCTGCGGTTGCGGTTGCAGCTCGGGCTGCTGAGGCGGTGCCGAGGACAGCGAAAGGTACGGTTGGAGGCTAGGCAACCCTTGCAACGGCGCAGGCTCCACCGTTGCCGGCGCCGGCACCGCCAGCGTCTGCATTGACGGCTGCGGCTGCAGCTCCGTCTCTACCGGCGCCTCCGTCGGAACGCCTGCCGCGATGCCGCCGTCATCAACAGCCATGGCTGCCTGGCCGCTATCCACCTTGGCAGACGTCATGCCAGCCGTTGCTGCGCCTTCCGCCGTCGCCTGTGCACCCTCCGTAGCCCCAGCTACAGGCACTGCCTGTTGGACTGCTTGTACCGTCGTCGGCGCCGGCACCGCTTGCCCCTGAGCCGCGACGGCCGCTGCTGCCGTAGCTGCCGGTTGAGCTGCTTGCACCGCTTGCCCCTGAGCCGCAGCCGCCATGTCTGCTAGCATCGCTGCCGCCACAGGAAGCTCAGCGCCCCAGCGGCTGCGGCGGCCGCCGCTACCAGACCCTGAACTGCCACTCGACCCTGGGCCCGGCTGCTCTTGGTGCGGCTGAGGCTGTGCGGCAGCTGCTGGTGCTGCTGCTGCGGGCGTTACAGCACTGGCGTCTGCAGCGGCGGCGGCGGCTGGGAGGAGCGCAGCAGCAGCAATTCCGTCGGCTTCCACAGCTGCAGCTGGATCAGTGGATGTCGGCGGCGGAGCCTCTCCCGGCACGTCCAACACAGAAGGAGCTGCGATCGCTGCTACGGACGGTAGGGATGCCGCGTTTGCGGAGGTAGCTGCAGCGGCATCAGCGGGGCCGCCGGGTGCGGGTCCTCTACGCTCCTGCTGCCCGGGTGGCGGTGCATGGCCCTGCCCCGACTGCTGCAGCTGCTGCTGCTGCTCCGGGCTCGGTGCGACTGCAGCCCCGCTGGGTGGAGGCGGGCTGTCAGCTGCCGGGGGGGCTTCGGCAGCATCCGTTTCTGCTGGTGTTGTTGTTGGTTTGCCTGATGCTGGTGATGCACCGGTTGGCTCCCCTGTTGCTCCAGGCAACGCTGGTGGTGGCGGTGCCGGTGGTGAGCAAGAGGGTTCGAAAGGTGGTGCGGTAGCGAGCGGCTGCGCCGCCTCCTGTCCCTCGTCCACCTCCATTGCGGACGCAGCCTCAGGCGGATGTTCGGCTTTTTCAGCCGCTGCTGCTGTGCCTGGTGCTACTGCTGCTGGTGGTGGTGGTGGCGGCGGCGGTGGTGGTGATGGTACAACCGGGCGCACTGCCAGGGAGGGGGTTTCCATTTCACCCTCGGCTGTAGCAGCTGTCGGCAGAACTGCCCCCTCATTGGCAGGAGCAGCCGCACCAGCAGCAGCAGCAGTGCCAGCAGCAGCGGGAGGAGGAGAAATGGCTGTAGCAGCAGCCGTAGCGGCTGGAGGTAGCGGCGTCCTGGTGACAGGGTTGGGAGTGACGGGCCTACCGCCTGCCGCTGCCGCTAATGCCGCCGCAGAGGTGCCAAGGGACAGGCTGGGGCCTTTGGGCGACACGATCCCTGCACCCTCCGGGGTGGCATGCGGCGTGAGAGCTCGGCTGCCCGCTCCACCGCGGATGGGATGAGGCTCGGATGCGGCGGTGGGGCCTTCTCGAGGACGCTTGCGGCCCGTAGCTGCTGGGTTATGGGACACATGCAAGGGCGCACGGAACGTTAGTTGAAAGCAAAGTCGCAAATGTGATGTATACTAGTGTGGCAAGGAGGTAGGTTGGGGTGGTTTGGTGGTTAGCCTAGCGCTTCTCTCCTGCACATGCAACTACGGATTGCAGGCTGTGGACGAGTTTCCTGACAAGCAAAGCCATAGCCATAGCTATAGCCAACCCCAAGGAGCGGGGGCCCAAAAGGCCTCACGCACCTGCATCAGTTGCTGCTCCTGCTGCTACTGTAGCCGAAGTGCCTCCCGGATGCCTGATGAGGCTGCGGTGGACGCAACGCCCGGGCAGCAGCGGCAAAGCCAGTTAGCGTCTAGTTATGCAGACAACTTGGAGACAGTGGGCCACAACCTAAGCAAAGCAGTTGCCCCAGCTGCCGCCAATCCTAGACGTATTCGCCTTGCTTGGATATTTCATTATGCAGTGTCATACCGAACTTTGGTGACATCAATTAGCAACCCTCTGGCACCGCACTTACCCTGCCGCTGTCCGCGGCCTGTCTCGCTCATCGAGTACCTCCTGCCGATGTAGGAAGCACGGGACAGGGTGCGAGGACAGGAACGAAATGGTAACAGTTGAGAAGTGGATTGAATAACCCCCTGAGAGCCCCCACTGGCGAACAAACAACGGCACCCCCGCGTCCCCCTCCTCCGCTTAACTCATGCGCTACCCCCTACCCTCCTTCCTCGATCCCATACTCCATTTACCCGCAACCCATCCCGACCGCCGCTGGTGCATCCCCTTGCATGGTGCATGCCACCACAGCCCCCGCCCCTCACCCCTCAAAGCAACCCCAACCCACACCTGCAGCAGCGGCCTCAGCACGCGGGGTATGAGGTGCTTGTGCACGTGCTCAAACACCAGGTAGCGCAGCTCGGCAAGCATGTGAGGCGGCGGAGGTGGAATCCGTACGGCAGCACCGTCGTCGGCATCGCCAGCGGCATCGCCCAAGGACCTGTAAGACAAGGATGGGAATGTGACCCTTGACAAAGCGGATGCGTGGTGGTGCGTAAGAAGAGAATGGGCGGCAGCATCCTGGCATAACGTGCATGTGCATTGCCCTGATCCTAAACCCCCGGCGTGTTTTTTCCTTACATGCCAGACCCGGTCATACCCGGTCATACCCGCGTGTCACCACCGACTTCCTCCCTTGCCCGCGCTCACCTAATGCCACCAGCGGACTTCGCAGCCGCCGCCTGACCTTCCAGCCACTCCTGCAGCTCACGCAACCGCGCCTCCCCAGCACCCGTTGACGCCGCCGCCGCCCCCGCCCCAGCTGGCGGCAGGGATGCAAGCCGCTGCGGCGCCGACGACGACGCCAACGCAGCACGCGGCAGCGGTTGCGCCTTGGGGCCTAGAGCGGCCCGCAACGCTGCCATGGCCGCAGGGTCCCCTCCAGCTGGGACTGCGGATGACGAGCCGCTTGGGGGGTGGCGCATGGCCGGCCGTCGTTTATCGTACATGGCTGTAAGGACAGCCTCCGGTGATGATGATGTTGATGTTGGTAAAGCCGGCGGAGCCTTGACGGAGGGCTTCCCGGCTGCGCCAAAGACCTGCTGCAACAGCGAGCTCTGGGGTCGCTGCTGGGAGGGTTGTCGGGAGGCGGGCAGGACTGCTGCCGCCAGCGCTACTGCTTTGCCATGCCGTTGCTGCGTCAGCGGCAGCGGTGGTGTGATGGAGCGGGCTCGGCCGGCAGGGGGAGCCGGGGTAGTAGCTGCCGACTGCTGGGGTGCTTGAGGCTGCGGGTGCTTCCCCGCGATATCCCCACGCCATCGCAGTTGCTCCGCCGTAATGGGTTCCTATGGTTTGTGAGAAATGGGACCACAAGAGGGCTGATGCTGCGGTGCAGTGCGCGTGCGCAAGCCGACTATCAAGCACCGGCACATCACCTGTTAAGGGCCACACCCAGCCTCTACAGGTCCCTCTCGTAGTAAGGATTGCTTTCCGGGTAACGCTGTCACTAACTCCTCCCCCTCTTCTCCCGCCTTACCTCCGCAAGCGGCAGCCACAGACGGTCCGCCAGTCGCTGCACGCTGCTGCCCAACATCAGCATCCGGCCGCTCTTGCTGCCGCCACCGCCGCCGCCGCCGCGCACCAACTCCCGCAGCTCCGCCAGCGTCATCGCCTTGTTGTCGCTGCACAGCAGCGAGTTGTCCGCGCCGTTGATCAGGTGCTGCGGGTAGCGCCACACGCCATCCTCAGGGTGCTGCAAACCACCGCTGCCGCCACCGCCGCTAGCGGCGGCGGCGGACGCCGCCGCCGCCGTCCGGTCAGCAGGCGTAAATGAATACTCCAGGCCGTACGTGGGGTGACCGCCGCCGCTGCCGCCGTCACCAGAGGTGAAAGCGGCGGCGGCGGCGGCTTCGCCGCCGCCAGCGGCTGCCGCCGCCGCTGGCGCGGCGGCCGCCCGGATGACGTGCCATGGCTGCCATGCGCGCTCGTCGGGTGGGAACTCTACGAGCTGCAGCAGCACGGGTTGCTGGTGGGGGTGCAGGTGGTGGCCCAGCGCGAGGGTGCGAGGAGAGGCGGCGGATGGGTCGGCCGGCTTGGGACGCAGGTCGACGGCCGGACGGTAGGGGTCTGGTGTCCAGGGTACGATGCGGCATTCGTCGGTCAAGGGGAGCTGCGGAGGAGGCGGAGGGAGGAGGAAGGGAAGGACGGGATGCAGGTTGGGAACAAGCACGAGGGGTGGCGCATGGCAGTCGAATGACGTGCAGAGCAGAAGATGCATGTACCTGGATTCTGGAAACAGGTGATCTGCTACAGGGATGCGCAGATGCAACGGGCGCAAGGAGCTCAGGGCCACCTTCAGCACGCTCCGATTGCACCAAGCCCAGTAAACCTAGGATTGCGGCGCCCTTGACTCCAGATGACTACCACCCTAAACCACGGTACATCACCCCACCACAGCCCCTCCCTACCGGTTCCAAGTTCTCAGGCGCAGGCGTTCCCTCCGCCTCATCCTCCGCGCCGCCAGCCGCCGTTCCGTACGGCGCCGGTAGCGGCATGGGCGTTGGAACCACGTCATCCTCATCCTCCACGTCCAGATCCCCCGGTCCAAACTCTGCCGTAAACTCCTCATGCAGCTGGTCCAGGATGCAGCTCAGCGGGTTGCGGGAAATCAGAGCCTTGACGTCACCGCCTCCGCGGCCGTTCTCCAGCCAAACGGGTGCTTTAGCCGGGCTGCCGTACAACACCCCTAACCGCCGGACGTCCTCCGTCACCGCGGATCGCAGCTGTTGCTCCTGCTCTTCGGTCCACACCACAGGCGCCCAGGGCGGGGGCAGGGGAGGTAGCACTACCGCGGCTTCCGCTGGCGGAGGCGGCGGTGGCGGCGGAGAGGAGGTATCGTGGTGCGGATGCAGTGGCAGCGGCGGCGCAGCCGCGACGCGCTCGTCATGGTACGGGTAATGCTGACGATCCCGTGCGTAGTCAGGAAGCGGCGGCGACTGCGGTGGAGGTCCGGGCGGCAAGGGCGGCATGTCGCCTGGGTGCGGGGCCGCCGTGGGTGGGTGTTGCCGGAAGCCCTGGGAGTAGGGGTGCTGCGGAGGGGGCGGCTCCTCTATCAACCCCTCGTCTACCTCCATCTCCTCCACCTCCATGTCCTCGGGCTCTTCAATCGCGCCTTCATCGCTACCCGGGCTGCCGCGGCCGCCGAGCCGCCGGGCTGACCCACGGGTCGCTTGTGGCGGCAGCGGTGGCGGCAGGTGCTGAGGAAGCGGCGGTGGCGGCGTACGACGTCGGCTGGGACCCGGGTGCTGCTGCAGCTCTGCTGCTGCCGCAATCCCAGGAGACAGTGCAGGTGAGGAGTGCACTCGGGCGCCTCCGCCATGCATGCCATGTGGCAGCAAGTGCGGCGGTAGATGATGCGGCATGTCGGTGGGCGATGCGGGGCCCTGGCCCCCCTCATGCGGCCCCTCTCCCCGGGGCAGCGGCGGCTCGCCACGCACCCCACCCCGGCCGCCGGGTCCTCGGCCATGCACCGGTGAGCCAGGGTAGCGTCCGTGCGGCGGCGGCTCTGGAGAGGCCTCCCTGGATCTCCCGCCGGCCGGCCGCCGCCAGTGCGGCTCCCTCTCCCGCTCCCGCTCATAGCCCCGCTCCCAGTCCCCACGCTCGCGATCCCGCTCCCGGTCAGGCCCTCCCCAGGCACCCCCGCGGCCTGCGCCCCTGTCAGCTGGCCAGTCGCGGTCGCCCCATTCTCGATCACGCGGTCCGTCCCGTGTCGGCCCGCCGGTATGCCCGCCGTAACGCTCATGGCCCCGGTCGCCTCCGCCGCCGCGGTCAGCCGCCCAATCGGCGCGGTCACGAGGCCTGTACTGTTGCTGCTGCTGCTGCTGGTACGGATCCCGTCCGTCTCGAACGCCGCTGCCATCGTACTCCGCACCACCCCGACGCAGCCCACGCGCCAGGCGCTCCTGCTCCCGCTGCTCGAACGTTGGCGGAACATATGCCGGTGCATGCCCAGGAGCGGATACGGGCCCGCCGCGGTAGCGCGTCACAGGGGACAGGCTGCGCATTCTGCGGCCGTCATGCTCGGGCGGTGGAGAGCGGCTGCTGCCGGCTCCGCCTCCGCGCCGTGCTGCAGGCGGTGGAGAGCGGCTGCTACCGCGGCCGCTGGTGCGTCGCTGTGGCGGCTGCGAGGCAGCTGTCGGCCCACGGGACCCTCGCTCCCACTCCCGATCACGCTCCCGCTCTCGCTCCCCCCGGACTCGTTCCCGGTCCCGATCTCGCCCCTGTTCCCGCCTTGCATCCCGCCCTTGCTCCCGACCCGGTTTTGCCGCCGCCGCGCCTCTGTCCCGCTCCCGTTCACGCTCCTTGTCGCGCTCCTTGTCTCTATCTCTGTCCCGTTCCCGGTCCCGCTCACGATCTCTGTCCCGGTCATGATCTCGCCTTCGGTCCTTATCCTTGTCCCGGTCCTTGCCTCTGTCCCTGTCCCTCTCGCGTTCCCGGTCCCGGTCAGAGGGCGGAGGCGGGGAGGTGTGTGGCGTCGCGCGTACGGCGTCGGCCGTACGGTGCTGCTGTGGCTGCGGCGCAGGAGGGACTGCAGCTGCTGCTGCTGGGGGCTGTTGAGCTGCAGGAAGGCCCCTTCGGCCCTTGTCGTGATCCCGCACCCGCTCCTGCTCCCGTGCCCTTTCAAGCTCCCGCTCCCGCTCCCGGTCACGTTCGCGGCCGCGACTGGAGGCCTCCTGGTGTCTGTCGCGACGTCTTGATGGCGAGCGGCTCCTGCAGTGTAATGAAAGGTCCACAAAAGGGAGGAGAGGGGCACCGTGAGCATTGTACACGTGCAGTGTTACGACCTTGCAAACCCCAAAAAGGGTGCATTCGCCGACACCTAGTATGCACCTAGTTGGCATGCCGCAGCGCAGACAACCAGCTTTCCTCCGAACCAGAAGCTCCCGCATGCTTCTAGCGTGTTGCCATTCGTTGAAGCGGCTGTCAGGACTGTTGTGCGAAGCACGCCTACCGGTAACATGCCAAGCAAAGCATGCGCGATGCAGGGTCTACAGCCAACCGGACCGACCACGCAGACCTCTTTCAACACATCACCCACATCTTGTCAAGCCCCCCAACCCCACCTGCTCCGGTACCGCCCGCTACCAGAGCTCTGACCCGAGGAGCTGCTGCTACTGGTGCTGCTGCTGCTCCTGCTGCTGTCGCGGCTCCTGCTGTTCGTCCTTGTTTCCTCGCTGCTGCTGCTTTCCCGCCGACGCGAGCTGCGACGCTCCTGCTGCTGCTGCTGCTCCTGCTGCTGCTGGCGCGACGCGGGCGCATGCTTCTGCTCGGCACGCGCCTCAGGTTGCAGCTGGGGTTGAGGCGACTGCGGGTGACCGCCGCCGTCAGCCCGGGGTGCCGCTGCAGCCTTGGGTACAGCTGCACCAGAGGCAGTTAGGCCTGGAAGTGACGACGCTGCTGCCTCGGGTACCTGGGGCCCCGCCGCTACTACTGCAGGAGCAGCCGCATCGAGCAGGGGCAACGGCGCAGACGCCGCCGCCGCCGGTGCCGCCGCCCCCGGTGCCGCCGCCGCTGCCCCTGCTGCTCCTGTCGGCAAGCCGCCCGAAGCGGCTTTCAAAGCGGCAGCCTGCTGGGGCGGAGGCGGCTGATTCCCGGCGGACGAGGAGCGTGCTGCCAGGCGTTGGGCCTGCAGCACCGCCTGTTCGGCTACGTATGCAGCCATGGCAGGGTCGCCCACATCCGCAGCAACCGCGCCGTCAGGCACCGTGTCATGCCTGTGTGACGCTGACTCGCCTGCAGCCGCAGCAGCAACCGCGCCGTCGGGGGCAGCGGCATGCCAACGTGAGGCACCGCCGGCTGACCTGGGGGAGGTCAGCGGCGGTGCGGCCCCTGCGTCGCCGACGCTAGGTTGGAATCCCAATGCCAGCGAAGCCACAGGGGCTGCAACCGGGGAGCCCGCGAGGCTGGAGGCAGCGGACGCCTGCGCAGAAGCGGCGGCGGTGTCAACGGATGGAACGGTCTCCGGGCCCCAGCGCTTCCGCTTGCGCGGTGGCTGGGCTGCTGTTTCGGTAAGGGAATCTACCGTCGCCGCCGCCGCCGCTGTTGTTGCGGCTGCTGCGTTCTCCGCTACACTGCCGCTACCGGCATGGGCATCATCAGCAGCAGCGGGGGCCTTCTCTGAAGCGCCATGAGCTGGTTCCCCGGGAACGGCAGCAGCAACATTAGCAGCAGCAGCACCACCCTGGCTCTTGCGCATGGCTGCTGCCGCCGCCACTGCCGCAACGGCAGCCATGTCCGCGAAGCCAGCTGCAAAGGGGCTGGGTTCGGGCAAAGCCGCTTGCACGGAAGGCCCAGTCGCAGCCATGGGAGCCTGCAGGCTCTGTGGGGGAGGCTCGCTAGGGGCTGGCTGGCTAGGGGGAGGTTGGCTAGGGAGGGGCTGGCTAGAAGGGGGCCGCCTAGGAGGAGGATGGCGCTGAGCCGCCGAGCCGGGGTGCTCCAAAGATGCAGCAGCTGCGCCATCTGCTGATGTCCGTTTGCTGCTGGTTGCAGCTGTGGCGGCGGCGGCAGCAGCAGCTGCAGCAGTGGCAGCGGCTGCTGCAATGGCAGCGGAAATGTCCGGCGCCTGAAGGTGCTCCCCTGTGTCATGCAACGTATGCTCCCTGGCTGCTGCTGCTGCTGCTGCTGCGACAGAGGCTGCCGCGGCTGCGACTGCAGGCGACGGAAGCGCTGACGGCGCAACAATGGAGATCGCCGGCGGAAGGACGAGCGCCTGCGCTTGCTCCCCAAAAGAATCCAGAAGCTGCGCAAGGGAGGCATCCGACTTGGCGGCGTCCCCAGATTTGACTGCCTTTGTCGTACGTCCCTTCAGAACACCCTTAACCAGCGATTTGTTTGCGCCGATCACCGTGGGCGGCGGCTTCCGCTGCGGCGGAGGCGCTGTCGCCGCCGCCACGGCTCCGCTGGCCTCCGCTGCGGCCGTCGCAAACACCCCGTCAGCGGCGGCGCCAACGGACGCAGTGGAGGGCTGGCCGCTGGGTAGCGAGGATGCTGACGCTGCAGGGGCCTCCTGAGAGGTACTCGGCGGCGGAGGCTCCGGCGGCAGCGGCGGCGGCGCCTCAGACTGTACGGCTGCTGACGCGTCGGGCGGCGGCAGCGTAGACGGCTCTTGAGGCAGTGGCATTGGCAGCGGCGGCAGCGCCATCGGCGGCGGCGGCGGTGCCGATGGACCTCCCGGAGGTACCGCTGGCGCCGGCGGGGATACCGCGTACGGCAATGCGTACGGCTGCGCGCCAGCGTAAGATGCATGATAGTACGACGGCGGCGGCGGCGCAGCAGCGTCTACGCCAGGAGGCCTGACCTCGTAGCCCGGAGACGCTGCCATTGGAAGCGGCGGGTAGCCGTGGGCGGGGGGGCCAGCCAGGGGAGCATGCGGCGACTGGTAAGCAGGCAGCGGGTAGGCTGCAGGGTACTGCGGGTGTGGCGGGTAACCGGGATGCGCGGGAGGCAGCGGGTGCGGAGGAGGGTGGAGCCCGCTGCCGTCGCCGCTGCGGCGGTGCTGGCCTGGCGGCTCAGTCATCCCGCCGGGCCCCGCATGCCACCCTGGGTGCGGCAAGTGGGGAGGCGGGGGTCCGTGCGGTGCGAAGTGAGGCGGGGGCAGGCCCATGGGCGGGTGGCCGGCTGCTTGTTGTTGCCAATCTGACATCATGGGCCTGCGCGGATGAGCGGATAAAGGGGGAGGGGTGGAAAGCACGACGGTTCGAGTGGAGGATGAGGCCTAATGGGGCATGCTTGAGGACCCAAGACCCAAGGGTTGGGGCGAGGTCGGCAGCAGGGGGGCAGGAACACATGGGCTGGAGTGAGCGGGCGTGCGTCTGCAGAGCGACGGAATCACTCTGGCAGCAGTTGGGCCCTCAGCAGATGAACAACTGCCCCGGATACGACATGGGGATGGGGGTGGGGCCAGCGGGGGGAGGGGTGCAGAACTAAGGACAGCCCCCTTTTGCAGGTGAGCATGTCAAGAAGACGACGAGGGGGCGGAGCGTAAAGGCAAGATGCTGCCCGCTAGGCTTTGGCAACCTAGACCCAGGTGGCTCACGCACAGAGCCCGTACCTGGGGCGATGGCCCGAGAAGTCACGACCCTACACGGCAGGGGCCACAAAATGCCACACACAGTTCAAAACGTGCGCAAGCATGACAAGATGCGCAAGGTGCGTTGTACTGACAAGCCAAGCGTAGGAGAAGGACCACAAGAGGCGCCATGCTGGCCATTGAGGGACCCCATTCCTTACCCGCTGCGCATAGTCCCGCTGAAAAGCGCGTCCTGCGCGATCATCCGCCTGATCCGTTCGCCTTCTCTCCCGCTGCCCAGACATTCGGCCCTAGACTAACCCCTACAGCGCGGCGCCCACTGCATGGTCGGACTGCCGCCGCGTCTAATTACAAAAACGGCAGTTGAGTTTGTTACTTCAATACTGTAGTAGCAGAAAGCTCAGTTTGCGTAAGAGTCAAGCTGGTGTGGAAGAGGTGCGAAAAGCAATTGCTGCAAAGAGAGCCTCCAACTACCAGGTCATCTCCGCTCTAACATAAACATTGGGAAGCGTGAGCTAGAGAAGTGAGGAACGAAAGCCTTCAGGTGGCGATAGATGTCGAGTTGAAGACCGTACAACAACACAATAATTTACTGCAGCCCCGAATTACGAAAAGTAAGAACTCTATTGCATACGCTTAGGCCCGATGCTGCAAGGGACGTACTTACGTGTCGAATAGGCTGCTTACACCAAGATGGGTTCTTGTTGTTGGACGTTTCCTCGCATTCCGAACGCGGCATGCCGACCTAATTCTCAAATTACGCGTCGTCAGACGTTTGCGCTGGTGCCCCTGCGAACGATCGCGCCAGGCCATGCTTGTCGGACGACTTGTGGTAACTACTCAACCAACGCAGCAGCCGGCTGGCAATGCCCAATACCCACCCGCGGTGCTGCACTGCTTGCCACTTTACAATCCGTGAATAATACGGTGCCAATTGCAAGTTTACCAACGCCGGAGAAGCCCGACCTTAGTGGCGATGACGATGACTTGCTGCCGGTTACCGTGTTGTCCGGATTCCTTGGCGCTGGCAAGACCACACTCCTCAGCCATGTCCTTTCCAACACGGAGGGCATCCGCGCTGCAGTGCTCGTGAATGATATGGCCGCCCTCAATATCGACGAGGTACGGCGTAGAGCCCCTTGCGGAAGCCTCTCTCGCATTAGGAAAGACGGTCCCGGGTGCAGCGTAAGCCCTGATCGCGGTCCAACAAACATCCATAACAAACACACAGTAAGGCGCTGCCCCCCTCCACTGGTCTGACATGCCTCCGCTCTTCCTACCCACTCCTTCCCATCCCCTGCACCTAAAGCCCTAACCTGCCATGCGTCTGCCCTCCTCCTGCATGTGCTCCACCACACCCGCTCCAACTTCTTCCTTAGGCGCTCATCTCCTCCAGAGTCCACCTAGCCGGTGAGCAGCTGGTGGCGCTGTCCAACGGCTGCATCTGTTGCTCCATTCGGGAGGACCTGGTGCGGGAGATCCGCGCACTGGCAGAACAGTTCGAGGACGAAGAGGAGGAAGAAAATGAAAATGAAGCAAAAGGAAAAGCCCTGGAAGCAGCCGCAGCAGCAGCACCAGCGGCAGCAGCAGCGATTACCAGCTTCGCGGCGGCGGGTGGTCTCGTGACCCATGGGTCGGAGGGGCTGCCGCAGACATTGGGACAACAGCATCCGCAGCCGCAAGGTCGGCAGCAGGGAGGGCGGCGAAGGCGGCGGCGGTTCGACTTGTTGGTGGTGGAGTCTACGGGAATCTCGCTGCCGCTGCCGGTGGCGGCTACATTCGACTTTGAGGACGAGGCGGGTCGCAGTCTGGGTCAGGTGGCTCGGCTGGACACGCTGGTGACCGTGGTGGGTGCTGGGTGGGGTGCGGGTCGGTATGGTTGGGTTAGATAAACTGAGCCGTAGGCTTGGACGCCGGTTGGTGCTGATTGGATTTGCTGTTGGATGGACAGTGCTTGACAGGGACAGGGTAAGTGCAGGTATTGCACTGAAAACCGCGGTGAGACACACTAACACGGAGCATATAGGAAGACCGGAAGATGATGGCGCCCATTGTCATGGGGGACCTGCGCCGTCTGGGACCTGCGCTCCGAGCATTCACGTGTAGCGTTGACCTTGCGCGCCGCCTGATGCGATGGTCCACCGTACCAGCTGCCCCGCATACACACACGCTCTCTACGCTCCTCTCCCCACCTCCCCCCGCACCTCCCCACATCTGCCTCCCCAGGTGGACTCCCAGCGCTTCGTGTCCTCGGTGCTGGCGACCGAGTCGCTGGCGGAGCGGGGGCTGGCGGCGGACGAGGCGGACGACCGCACCGTTGCGGACCTGCTGGTGGAGCAGGTGGGGTAAAGAGGAAACAACTAACTGACTGAGGGATAAGGCGTCAAACACCGTACCAAACCATAGGGAACCCACAGGTTGGGGCAAAATAATCGTTAGCGGTAGGGTGCCATGAAAGAGAAAAGAAGGGGCGGGAAAAGAGTAATGGGCTGCTTTAACCATGTAACAGGGCTCCGCCATGGGTGGGTGCATAGAGCACGTGGGAGGAGGTAACGTGGCGTAATGCGCTGGGGCTGCGTCGAGCTAGCCGCACAGGACGAGCGGCTGGTGCATGATAGTACCGGTATGAGGGAGGGCTTTGAATGAGTGTCGGCACATGTGTGGTGCCGGTACGATGGCTGTTTGTCGTGAGTTCGGCTTTACAGTCGCGTTATGTGGTTTGTCATTGCCGTACACTCACGCTGCGCGCCCCTGCGGACGTGCAGGTGGAGTTTGCGGATGTGATCGTTATGAACAAGACGGACCTGGTTTCGGAGCAGCAGGCGGAGCAGCTGGCGGCACTGCTGCGGCAACTCAACTCAACGGCCAAGGTATGTGACGTGCGTTAAGAAACTGGCCGCGAGGCGGAACGTACTGTGATTGCCGGAAGATGAAGTGACGTGTTTGTGTGTGGCATGTGCGTCAACAAAGGCGGCGTCGAGCCGAGGTGGAAGGTACCGTATGTGCACGGTATGCATGGTCAGGTAGGTGAGTGGGTACGTGTGTGATGTCCCAGCCCATCACCCTTAATGAGCCACATGCCCTCCACCATCACGGTACATTGCCCGCAGATCATCCGGACGTCCCACGGTGCCGTGGCCCCCTCCCACATCCTCAACACACGCTCCTTCGACATGGCCTCGGCGCAGCAGTCCGCAGGGTGCGCTGGGTGGGAGTCGGGGAGGGAGCCAGGAACAGACGGGGATGGGCTGCTCGGGTACTTGCGTTGAAGGGAGGGAGGCTGCACTGGCCTTGCTGCGGTTTGGTGGGTAGGAAGGCGGATGACTAGGCCGTGACCGTGGGTAGACCGTATCAGCTGTATAGGCATTAGCAGCTGCAAGGCACACCTCACTTGCCGGCATTCTTAACCATCGTTCTTAACCTTTCTTCCCCCTTCTAGGTGGGTGTCGCTTCTTAACGAGTTTGAGTCGGAGCGGCTCGCGGCGCTGCAGGAGGAGGAGGAGAGGGCGGAAGGGGAGGAGGCGGAGTCCTCGGCCCAAACCAGCTCCTCCTCCGATGATGCACGCGCAGGCGCCTCGCCCCAAGCGCAAGGTCTGGACTCCCATCACCACGACTGCTGCTGTCAAGACGCCAGCAACAAACACCAGGAGCAAAGCCTTGCAGGGCCACACCTCCATCACGACCACCACCCCCATGACTGCCACCATGACCACCACCATCATCACCACCAAGCTCACAGCGGCGAACACAGCGACGACTGTGACAGCAGCAGCGGAGGCTGCGGCGGCGGCAACGGGACTTCTAACCATAACCACCAGCACCGGCATCACCACCACCACCACCCGCACCGTGCAACGGAGGCGGAAAAGTACGGCATTCGTTCGTTTGTGTACTACGCGCGGCGGCCCTTCCACCCGCAGCGCCTGCTGGAGTGTGCGCTCAGCCGGCAGTGGGAGAGCGTGCTGAGGACAAAGGTGCGGGGCAGGGCGTGTGTGCTAGAGCAGCAACCGAGCCACGTACCGGGCAATTGTACTAATCATAGGTTCATAGCTGTAAGGTGTGTGGGGAATGTATGTGTGTGTAGGCTACGACAAGGCGTAACTGCAGATGTCAGGATCGTGAATGCACAGGCTTACAGAACATTGGGGCGTTGGGGAGCTACCGGTATGTCCCATCCCGTGGCATGTCCCGGGCAGCTGCCCTTGTGCATGCAGCTCAGTGCGCAGTACACAACACCTTCGACGACATTCCCTGTTGCCTATTTGCGTTGCCCTCACGACTAGTCTCCCTTGGAACGGGTTGGTTCCTGTCGTACCCCCAGGGTTTCTTCTGGCTGGCCACCCGGCACGATGTCATGGGCATCTGGCAGTCAGCGGGGGGCGCATGGCAGAGCGAGCCGGGGTACGTGAGGGAATTATTGGGTGTGATGGGCGGGATGGGTGCGGGCAACATGTACATCTACTGCGTGGTCGCTGTGCGGAGGCTGCTAGAGGGATGTAGGGCGCTGGCTTGGCTGCTAGAAGGGAAGGCAAAGGAAGGGCGATGTTTGCGGCGGATACATGCTCGCTGTGGCTGAGGATACATGCTGGGCAAGGCTTTTCATATCAACTTTCAGATCGTAAGTAGCATCTAAGCAGCCGAACCCAGTAGCGTTAACTCTTATCGCCGCGAATTGCCCCGCTCCCGCAGTGCGCCCTGGGCGTGCCTACTGCCCGAGTCGGAGCGACCCACGGGTCAGGACGCCGCCGGCTGGCACCCCCTGTGGGGTGACCGCTGCCAGCAGCTGGTGTGGATCGGGCTGCAGCCCGCCATGGACGAGGCGGGTCTGCGGGCCATGCTGGACGAGTGCCTCTTGACGGATGAGGAGATGGCACTGGGGCCGGAGGGCTGGGTGGAGCAGTTGGAGGATCCGTTGCCGGTGTGGGTGGTAGAGGGGGAGGAGGAAGGGGAGGGAGAAGAGGAGGAAGGGGAGGGAGAGGAGGAGGAGGAAGGATTGGATGAGGAGGAAGAGGGGGGTGAGGCGTGAGGAGGACGAAAGGAGAGGATGGGAATGGGGAGGTGGGAAAAGAAGGGAGGAGAGGAGGTGGAGGAGGGCGTGGAAAGCGGGGGCGTGGGCTGGTGGGGAAGGCGCTAGGACTGGATCTCTTCCGTGCGGGCTTGCCCGTCAGCTGGTGATGCTGCGTCATGGCATTGAAGACGCTGCGTCATGACCCCCCCGAAGCTGGCTTACATAGCTTACAACGTGCTTGAATTAAACGTTCATTAAATATCGTTAGCCATTCCTACCGCCCAAACGCCTGCCTGCTGTTGGCCACTACCTCATGCCACCGCGTATGCATTGTGCACACGCCCCACCACATTCAGCAGCTGCAACGTCTCATCTGCACCCGCAGCAAGGCTGTGGTCGGCGGCTGCGAGCGCCTCCAGCGCCTCAGCGAGCCGCAAGTCGGATGCAGCATCCGGGGTGCGGTCGCTTACCAGCTCGGCCTGGGGTTATATACGATGAGCCGGGGAGGGCAGAGCTTTCAGGTCAGGGTCCATCCTAGTGAAGTCGCACAGCCCACAGCTTGCCAACGGCAAGGACTGCAATCCAAACAATCCAAGTGCAGAAGTGTGCTGCACTCCACACAAAACCCACCTACTCAAAACCTACGTATGCCGGGTATGCGCCCCCCGTGCCGCCCACCCTACCTGTAGCTGCAGCAGCACCTGCTGCGCTGCAAAGCCCTCGGCCACCACGTCCTGGACTCGACGCTGCAGAGCCCCAAAGCGCCCATGGCCCCGCGCCTTGCACGCTGCAGCTAGCCCGCTCACCACCTCCCCAGGCACCTGACCAGACACGTCGAGCAGAGTGGAGCTGCGGCAAGGCAGAAGCAAGCCAGAGAAGAGAGGTAAGGTGTGGACGGGAACTTTCAGGACTAACGTCAAGTGGAAGCACGTCGGTTTAGGGAGTACAGGTAACCCATTGTGCCTGTACACTAGAGACCTGGTAGAGGTCTACATGGCTTGGAAGCAGGGAGAGCAGGGTCGGTTGTGGCCGCTTGCTTGCGTCTGCCTGTGTTTGCGGAGGGCTTGCGGAGGTCGTAGCATATACGTAGAGCTGTATGGGCCGTGCCCAACACCGTATGGTCTTCATAGCTTAAAATCGAATCGTTCATCACTGACGGGATGGTCAGCTGACAGGGAGCCCTCTTCCTATTGCGTGGGGCTTAAGCGCCACATGTGCCACGACTCACGTCCCAAGAACCGGTACGTCTCCCTTTCATAACACAAGCATGATTGCCCCCACCTGTCCACAGTGCCGGCCCCCAGCTTGGCTGCGCTCTGCAAGGTGGTAATGGCTCGCCGCAGGTCACCGCCACTGACCGCCGCCAGCGTGTCAAGCGCCCCGGGCGCCAGCTGCAACTCCTCGCGCTCGCTAATGTACTCAATGCGGCCTGCAGTGTGGCAGTGCGGTGCGGCAGAAGGGGTTCTTTTCTACCGTGTCGGACGAGTACCGGTACCAAACTGCATGCCTCACAACTGGTGAAAATAGCAGAACTGGTGACATGAGATGCCTGCTAAACATCAGGGCATGGAAACGGTACATGGCGTATATAACAATGCATGGCCCCGTCCCGTGCCTACCCGCCATGAGCGCTGCTTGTACCGGTTTGAATCGGAACTTGGCGCAGCGTGAGGCGAGCGGTTCGATGATGCGCGACACATAGTTGCAGATAAAGACAAAGCGGGTCACGCGGCTGTACGTCTCCATGGTGCGCCGCAGAGCGTTCTGGGCTTCCTGTGGGGTTTGGGGGGTCAAAGACCATACCCAACCATAGGAGACCACAAGTTAGGGCAAAGCAATGGGGGTAGGAGTTGGCAGGGCGGTTGGGGGTTTGGGGGGGGGAGTGATACGGGCGGAGTCCCCATAGCCACCAATCTAAACGATCAGGTGGGCGAGGTGTACCGATTTTGGGATCAAACACGGCGTGGTTCTTGCCGGGTTCCGGGTTCGGTCCTTCAACCGAAAGCGCCGTGTGTACGCCCTCCCCTAACTGCTCCTCCTATCCCAATCACGCTCCTCTCACCCATCCCTCATCCTATCCCCCCAGTGAGCCCCCCTGGATGGGTTCGCTTCTCCCGTTATCTCCACCTGCGTCATGGAGTCCGCCTCATCCAGGATGAGCAGCTTGTAGGGCGGGCAGGGGTACCCGGGCGCAGGCGCCCCCACCGCTGCAGCAGCAAAGGATTTAACCTTTTCACGCACCACGTGGATGCCGCGCTCATCTGAGGCGTTCAGCTCTAACACGCGGGTCTTCATCAGTTCGGGGCTGTGGGTGGGTGGGGAGGGAGGGAGGGAGGGCAAGAATTGTAACAATACCGTATACGGGTGGACCAAGAGGAGCCCTTCCATCCGTAAGGGTCAGCACCAATCATGCCCAGGTGAATCGCAGCAAACCAATTTGCCGGTCACAGGCAATACAGGCCCACATACCCATAAAGCTGACGGGCGATGGCCAACGCCGTTGAGGTTTTTCCCGTGCCGGGTGGGCCATATAAGAGCAGGTGTGGCAGCTGCGAGGGTGGAGGGGTATGTTCAGCGGATGCCCAACCGATTGTCCTGACAACTTCCTTCCAGCTGCGAGCACAGGTTTAGCAGTCACTTGCGTTTGCAGACTCCAGAGCGCGCGTTAAGGTGTTGACAACCTCCTCTTGGTAGGCAACCTCGCTGACGTTCTTCGGCCGGCTGAGCAGCGAAAACGAAGGCAGCCATAACTTGACTTGTCTGCTCACGGCAACAATAGTTGGTAAAGACTTACTACTTCTCAACCCAGGGCTGAGCGCTCATTCCCACAGGTTAGGCGCCGGAGCGCTTCTCCTCCAAGGAATCTAATAATTAAACCTCTACGTGTTGAAAAGTGCAGAATGGTGTCAAGTCTCAGACGTAAGTCTCAGAGCGCAGGATTCGCGCCTATTTCAGGCCTTCAAAAACAACTGAATAATAAAGTTAGCCCGATTTCTTATTTGGTCTATATGAAGATGCACATGCACAGGCTGTCCACTTTGCCTAACTCGCCAAAGCACCTATTGCCGTACAGCGACACGTTCCGGATTGAAGTACGTACGGGACTCCTCAAGCTAAAGGAGCTCCGGTCCCCCTTGTAACCTTCGCATTCTCAAGCTTGGAATCCGATCTTATCGGGGTAAATTCCCGATAGGATGGGCATGTCTCAGAAATATGGCCGAAGGCCCCGCGATTTTTGCGAACGCGATTCAGGAAACGAAAATAGTCTCCTTGTATTAGATTGGGGTCCATCGTCGCGGATCGGGTTTTTGGAACCAGCCTTGGAAATACCATTATTAGGGGTGTTTCCATGGGAGTTCAGTTATAGTTACGAGTACGATTGCATTCTCCCGCCCTACCGCACAACCTCATGAACCATTCCGGTCAAAAGGTGCTACAACAAACCAAAAGGTAGCAGGATTACAGAAACCAAGCCTATGCCAACCTAAGTCGTACGCTAATGAGCTTGCTATCATGCTATGGCCTAGTATCCCAGTACGATATCACTGTTAATTCCGGGTGGGCTACACAGCCGTGAAGGCTGCAATGCCCCTAGGGTGGCGTTTATTGCATGTGGATGGTTCTGCCACACGAGGCGGGGTCTGCGTGTGGAGTAACGAGACCCTGGCTGCTGATATCGAGTTCAGGTGGAAATTCAGCGCCTAAAGGCATGGAGAGCACTTGGTTTCGGGTCAAAAGCCAAGCGTTGGCTCTCGGAGGGCGAAGCTTGCTGGTGGGAGCCTGCTATGCGGCGCCTGAGGGGTCAACGATGTATACCTCAGTCTTCAATATGCGGCTCGGTACTCGGAAGGTTACGGATGGTGATTAGTAAGCATCAGTAGGGCACCCACGGATGAAATACCACTATTGGGCGACTTGAGTGCGCGGGTGGCGGGCATCATGGAGCTCAGTTAGGAAGACGTCCAGGCTACAGCTGAGTTAGCTGAATTAGCAGGGGTAATGGATGACAGCAGCACTGTGACGCTACAAGGAACACCGTAACGATGGCAGGGCTAATGCTCTAGGGCTTGAGTTTTCAGCTGCAGTGATGCCTGGCGAAGAGGTAGCTTTCTAGGCGCGACCAGAACACCGGATACAACAGTTAGCCATGGACGGTGGGGGATAAAGGTGCTGGGAGGTCATGGGTCTGGGGAACTGAGGACAGGGGAGCGAGGCCGGGCAGGTGGGGGCCACGACTAGGTGCCGGTGTTATATCTCATGGGATCGTAAACCATGGCTGCCTGCTAGCTGTCGGAGAGGCATAAGTGCAAGTTGCTCACGCAACAATGGTTGGCATGCCACGATACGCTGCAGTCGAACGGGACATGGCTGCAGAGCACCGGAGCGATGAAGACGTTCTCAATGGGAGCTTAAGGTCTTGCCCACGTGCCTCCATCAGTTGATGACGCCCAGGTTCAAGTCTGAAAGGCAAGCGACACCCACATGGAAAGCCGACATTCCGTAGGTACAAATCTATCCCCTTTTACAAACTACATTGAAGTCTTTATTAACTGAAGCTCGTCGTGGTGGCTGAAGAGTGCTCGTCCATTTGGTCTCAGTACAGTCTTGTGTAATCAGGGGCCCGAAATGCTTGGAGACTTTCCTTTGTATCACCTTATATAAGAAATTTATGCTGAAACAGTGTGCGAGTTATGCCTTTCCTCAGGAAGCTCCTCTGGTGCTTAAATGATACACCCCACATCAGTTTGTGCCATATCTTGTGCACCTTACAACATTGATCAGTGTAAATTTACTGCTAGTTCTCCTGAAACACTCATTGCTTGAACGCTGTGCTTCTGGTCCATAGTTATCCGTTTTTCACGTAACGTCTCCTAGAGTAAGAGGTAGTAACCGATTAGGAACATCGTAGAGCAGTGAGTTTAACACGACCCATTAGAGTCGTGGGACAACTAAATGTCAAGATGCTGTGAGGAAGCGGGCCCCAGGAGCTGGGCTGAGGATATCTGCACATACCGGGCAGCGCGAGGATGTCAGAGCTTCAGCACATTACGTGAAACGACAGTGCCAGAGAGGTAGGGGTCGAGAAGATACGGATGCTTCCAATGCCACACATGTGGAATAGGAACCTTCAAAAGCAGCACAGCCCCTAATCCACTCAGCACCCCAATACCTTTTGCAGGTACTCTCGGACCAACTATGTGCCCTTCTGCGATACGCGACACGCGCTGTTCCCTTACAACGATTTCGTGGATGGCAAGGGTGAGCTCAGCACTTAACAGGGCGGGTTTTGGCTGACCAAAGGTGGTTTCCTGTCGTCGTAGCCCCACACAAAAGAAGCATCTCAATCTGCCACCTCCACGCCTTCACGCCTGCAGGAACAGTCCGTGTGGACCCCACCATCACAGCTGACCGCTATGCGCGGCACGGCTGGGGCGACACCTCCCTGCTAAAAGAAGAAGGCTACTCGGGCTCACTGCACGCTCGCAGCAGCACACACAAACGTGGCAGGAGGAGACCCACATCACCCCACAGCGCTGATGGCCGCAACGGCTTGTTCGGCGTGTTGCAGGTACGACAGGCCGGGCGTTAGACATCCTCACTTGAGCATCCATACCGTTCTCGTCCTCCTCTTCTTCTTCTCCTTCTTGTTTTCCCATAGTACTGCTGCACCGGTCTTAACCAACGCGTTATCGCCCTCTCATTCTCCCAATCCCCCTTCCTTTCCTGCTCCCCTGCTCTTCCTCTTCCCTCTCCGCCCCGCCCCCAGATGACGGAAGCAGGCTGCTCGGACGGCTGGATCGGCCACCCCCTGGTGGATCCGGGCAAGGGCAAGCGGCCGGTGGCAGCGCCCTCGGACCCCAAGGGACGCCGAGACCTGTTCGATGTGCTACATGTGCGGGCGCCTGGTAAGGAAGGAGGGAGGAGGGCCGAGAAAGGCAGGAAGAATGAGGCATGTAATGGAGACACCAGGACTCGGAAGCCTAGGGTTGGGGAGCTTGGCGGTCGGAAAGCCAAGCGAGAGGAGCCAAAGCGGGCGTTGATGAATGAGGGGTGTTTTACCCTCATGCGGGTCACGCTTCTTCTTCGCGTTCTGGTACCGTATCCTCGTACCCTGCGCACATCCTCAACCGTCCCTCATCACACCACACTCCTCCGCCATCGCAGGCATGCCCGCTGACGACGCCTGGCTGGGCAACAAGCTGATCGACCCCGCCAAGGGCCGCGCGCACCCGCCCGGCCCCGAGCAGCAGCGCGGCAGGCAGAACCTGACGGACGTGATGGCCATGAGCATCATGCATGACCCCAGGTGAGGGCGTGATCGGGGGAGAGGTCTTGGAAGGCGCAAAGCTGGGCAAAGAGGGAGAAGCCTTGATTCTGTGAGGGGCTGGGAACGAGGTGAGGGCAAAAGGGAGCAGCCAAAGGGAGCTAGGAAACTGGACAGCGATGGAGGCATGGTGTGTTGGGGTTGTCGCCTTGCTGCAGTGGTGCTGTAGGTGTTGGTAATCAACGGGTTACTGGCGCACCGCCCTTCACCACCCGCATGCATCCTCTCGCCTCGTGGTCAACTTCCCTTCAGGCGTCTGGAACTACTGGCCAAGGGTGCAGACCCGCTTGGAGATGCATGGTGCGGCAACAAGCTGATCGACCCCGCCCGCGGCAAGCGCATCCTGCACAGCAGCCCAGCAACCATGGAGCGCCTGCATGGTTCCACATTCCGCCCCGACGCCGTCGACGCCCTGACGGGCCTGCCGTACAGCGACGCGCCGCGCCGCCACGCGCAGCAGGTGCCGCCGCCGGTGCCCGACACCGCGGACGCCGTCATTCGCGGCCAGGGCGGCGGCGGCGGCGACGAGCGAGGGCGACTAGGTAAGAAGCCCTTCCCGGACCTGCCGGCGCCCAACAAGTTTGACGGTCGGCGGGATCTCTACGCGCACATGCGGTTCAAGCCCTTGACGGAGGTGGAGCAGGTCAAGTATTCGAGGGCGTTTGACGACCGGGGCACACGCGGGCGGAAGACGGTGCCCATGCCGGGCGGGGACGACCCCTCCAAGGGACCCGACCTGCTGCACTGGCGCCCCGAGGTGCGGGTGGGGCAGTTTGTGCCGCATGGCGGGTTGGCGCAGGAGGGGCGCGTCAAGGGAAGCACCCTGAGGGCGACGGGGAGTCGGTAGCGGCTGTCCTGGCTAGGTCGGGTTGTTGTAACGAGGGTTGGTGTCTGCAGGGGTTGTGCGGAGGGAGGTAAGGAGTCCGGGATTGTGGGGACGCGCGCTGATAGAAGAGCATGTGATGGGAGGCGGCAATTGGGGTACGCTACCGGTTGTGGTACGCTGAAGGGTGGATAACGTTGAGGGGACGCAGGGCGTGGGGCTGTGGAGCGCAAACACAGCTGTGAACGCTGTGGGCATGTGTACGGATTAGTGCGGCGTGTCTTATTACCGTAAATGCCGTGACTAGCATGGGTGGAAAGCATGGGTAAGTAAAGGGAGAGTAAACAACGGATGTGTTTTTGGCATGTAGCGTTGCCGCAGTAGGTTGTGAACGCATCATGCCCAGCTACCGCACTGTTAGGGGCTGGTGTTGTCCGTGCGTCCTGCCATAGAGGCCGCTGCAACATGTGTGCATGTGTCTGGTGCGGAAGGCTAGCTGTTGAAGGGGGTAACGATAGGGCGCAACTGTTAACCCGTAGTGATTATGATAGTGTTGTCGTATTGAAGTGTACGCTTCTGGAGAAGGGCGGCCGTGTTACCGTAGTAAGGGGCGTTCGGGTACACGTACATGTCCTTGCAGAGCGGCAATACCGGTATACCGACACAGTACTTCCTGTCCTCCCTCCTGTAACAGTCCACATCCGAAAAAACGTCGCATGCCGGTATACGCGCGCCACATGGAACCATGTGTAACCTCACTTATTGTTACCGCAATCTACAAGCCGCAAACCCCAAAACCAGCGCACGCTTGAAGCCAACGTAGGAGGTGACCTGTGGGTCCGTCTCCTGCAGAACGCTTGCAATACTTTTTCGAGCTGACATCCAGCATAGAGAACACGGGTCATGAATACCATGCCTCCAGACTTAAATAACTAGGATATCCACGATGAGGTGTGCTCTATCAAATAGTAAATGCAGTTACGATGAGCATACTTGAATCAGCCTAGTTCCATATATACTCTTTCTGGTGGTAACCGTTGTGCGTGTGATCCCTGCTCCTACGTGGTTGAGGTACCCCCAATGCAGGTCCCAGCAGAATACCGAGTATAGGAAAGGCCCCAATGGAGTCGGCATTACTAGCTCCGTCATCAGCGGCGGTGCCTCCGAGGCACGTCGAACCCTCCTTTGCGGCCCTCCTTCGTCCACACCACCTGCACATGTGCACGCATGCAAAACGCATATCGTCATGCACGCATGCATCATGCCGGCGTGTCTCAGTCCTGCATGGCCACGTGTATTCATTGCCGGGCGTCTATAACGCCCGGCCGGCAGGCAGGGACAGGCTAGTAGCACAGCAGGGTCACGGGCTAACAGGCTTACAGCCCGGGCATGAGGGCGTTAAAGTCTTGCAAACTGCATGCCGCACCCTCCCACCCACATCCGCATCCACACAAAGTCACGAGCCATCTGATGCAAGGAAAGCCCTAGTCGGGTGCAGCCCCGTGAGTTCATACACCAAGGGACTGCCATTACAGGGACGGCATAACCCCCGTGTGCCCAACCCACTGCCCAAGGCCGCCGGCAACCAACCTACCTGAACCGCATCTCCGCTGTGCTGTCGCAACCCGAAGTGCGCGTTGTCCCCTCCGATCCGCTCCATTGCTGAGCCAGCGCCAGCCTTCTCGGACACCACAAGCCCCGAAACCTGCGCAACGGAACGAGAAGCAGGAGACATGGAGTAGTGAGATATTCCACAGGATGATGAGACTTCCCGGAATGCGAAGACAAGGCCGAGAACGGTACGCAACATGGGGTTCGGTGCTACCATGCCTGCAGATGATTACCACCGCGCAAGCAGAGTGTAGCAGAGTCATTAGCTGTCCATTACGACCATACATCCAACCATGCGTGCAAGTCGTGCAGCAATACCAGGACATACTCTCCTCCTAGTAACACCTGGTACAAATTCAGCTGCATCGGCATGCGCCAATATGAGTCACGCACCCCTCCACCGCATCTCACCTTGAATTTGTTCTCCCCGCTACTGGTTTGGTCCAGCACCTATGGTAAAGCGAGCGGAGATCAGCCGTGAGCCTTCTGACCCAGTTTCGGTCACTCTAATATTGAGGCATTTTTCCATGATGTGAGGCTCTTCCACAGCACACCGCGAGCCGCTCAGCCCGTGCGTGCAGCGGAGAGTAAGCGATGCTATCGCGCAATCCCATTGTGACATGCGTGCAAGTAACCGGTGTTAAGAGGATTGAACTGGTCGAATGCCGCGTGTTGCCCCTAAATGCATGCTACTGGCACTGCGCCCTCACACGAACACGAGACGCCTGCGCGGCGATTTCCCCCACTCCGTCCCTCACCGTGACCTCCATCAAGCACTCCCGGGCTTGCGACACGAGGATACGCGCCATGTAGACCTGCGACACGCGCTGGGTGATGTGCGCATCCACCACCACCTCCTCGCACGCGCAGCCGGACACGCAGCTGATGCGTGCCTTGCCCATGTGCTCGTAGCTCCGCAGGTGGTGCAGGTAGACGTGCACCTGCTCCTCGGCCGGGCTGCCCACACCCGAGCGGTCGGTGTCCAACCGCAGCCGCAGCCGGCTGCCCGGCCGCTTGGCCACGAAGCCGGGCTTGGGCTTCACGGCGGTGCCCTCGTTCAGGTACTCCCAGCCATCCGACTCGACAACCAGAGACCTGGGAGGGGGCGCGGAGGGGGAGGCGAAGGGGGCCGGTTGTGTGGGAGGCAGCCCCGCATGACCTTCCTGTCCGCGCACGCCCAACACGCGCCATCAACAACCCCTTGTATTTGAAACATGCATAAGCATTCGTGCATTGCCCACAAAGCATGCATGCGAGACTTGACGCTGCTAGCCAGCATGCATGGCAGCATGCACACCCTGCACACCCGAACATGCGCATGCGCTGACATTGAAGCAATCTACGTAACCTTCTGCTACATTATGGCATTTTGCTCGTCCTGCCCACCTGAACGTCTCGCCCACCAAACACATGGGGCTGCTGGGCGCCGTGTTAACTGCAGGCAGATGAAAAAGGAAGAGAAATAGGGGCACACTTACGAGACCGGTTTATGCACAAGGCGGATAATGACCCATGGGTCAAGCGGGTGTCACGAACCCCGGTACCGGCCCCTCCCGCCACCCACATTGATACATCGGCTCCGGCAGCGGCTCCTGCACGGCCTCCACATCCGCCGGCCCGTACGGCTCCACCAGCAGCCCCAGTGCCGTACGCTGCAGCAGGTGTACGGCGAGGTCCGCCATCACCTTGTGCCCGTGGTCGCCGGGGTGGTGGTCTGCATGGGCGCGTGTGGGGCACAAGTCGGTGCACCTGAAGATAGCGCATGCGCTTGGAACCTGTCTGCCGCCCAGCTGCCTCCCGCCCCCCTCGCTTACGCTCACCTACAAAGGTATCCTCCCACAGGAACCCGGGCGCCCCCTTGTGCACCGCCAGCCGGTAGAGTGCCGTACGCAGGGACAGGTACTGCACGTCGTAGTACTGCGAGATGGCGCCTGGGGCGTGCGGTGAGAGACGGGGTGGGGGAGGGGGGGGGTCAAAGACCATACCGAACCATAGGAAGCCACAGGTAAGGGGAGGGGGGGGTTGGTCAGGTAAGGGCCCACCATAACTGCGAAGGAGCCTAGGAGCAACCGACAAGGGCAGGCGGCATAGGCAGAGCAAAAGGTAAGGCACGCAGACAGCTCTATGGCGTGCCAGGGTTGACAGGAGCCTATTGGGGATGAAACTGCGCTGGCGACAGGCACACAGCCGTGAGGTAAACACGCACCAGCCCGCCGCCTACCTTCCGCATCCTCAGACGTCCAGTAAAAGGGCCTGGCGTGCGAGTTGCAAGGGCGGCCAGGCGGCATGCCGGAGGCACAACTCATAGAACGTACAGCAGTAAATGAAGAGCTACCCTACTTCTGCAGCCCCCTCATTGTGCCGTGGTGACGCTGAAGCCAGCATGTATTAATGCACACCAGAGAGGCACGCCAGCCCAAGGGCCAGGAGAACAACTAGCAAGCAAAGACAGCCCTCTCGGGACGCCAAACTTACTGGTATGCATCGTTCGCCTTGTTCTTCTCATGCCCTTTCGGGTAGCTTGCCATTCCGTGTATAGGCACGTGCATGAAGACAACGGCCGGGTGGTTGGGTAGCGCCAGGATGCGCCGTACCAACCGCTCCGTGTCTTTGACTATGGAGTTGTCGAACAACCTGGGATCCGTGCCATCGCTGTGTCCGGGGGGTCGTCAAAAGGGGGCCGCACACGTCACTGGACGTTCACTCATAACAGCTTCTCTAACATGCCCACTCTGTTGGGCTGTCAGGGGTGCCAAGGAGGAGGAGGTCCCCGTACGTAACAGCGTACGACAACCTCTTGGCCACGACTGCGCAACGCGCTTACTTTAGTGTGTACTCCACAAACACCAGATCCACATCCGGATCCACGGACAGCTCCAAGCACAGAATCATGTACGGCGTGGGCACGCCAGGCGTGCAGCCGTTACGTGCAGTGATGTTGGCTCGGGGGAAGGCGGAGATCTGCGGCAGATGGGTTGGCGGTTGCGGTGGCCGGTTTCGGAGCCAGACAAGGCGGGCGGTGGCTGCATGGGGACAGCTGTCGCCCGCATGACGCTTCTCTGATGCAGAGCCTTGACTCCACCCATTGAGAATTGGAGAACTGGCGGTGGCTGCATGCCAGGTCGCAGCACCGTACGCTGCACCCCTGCCCCGCTCCCAGGCCCTCACCACTCGCCCTTACCCCGCTGGCCTACCATCCACTTGGAAAACACACTGAACCAGTCCGTCACTCCTCGCTTGCTGGTGAACTGTCCATAGCTTATACTGCACGCACAGCGAAGGAGGTAATGAGAAGGTCAAAATGGCCGACGGGTGTGAAAGGGGGCCCAATGCTCAGCGGCACAGGACAGCGCTCGCTATAGCGGAGTAAGATTGTAGTATCGTGTTTTGGGTGTGGACATGCACACAGTTGGCGAAGCGACGCTAGACGGGATACATTCTGACGCGGTGCACTAGCTTGGCGGACAGGCGGTGCTAACGCGGGGGCCAGTCTGCCCTTACTCCAGGCCCAAGGTCCTATCTGACCTGCCGCCAATAACTGCGATCTTGAAGTTGGTTTGCTCGCGCGGCAGTATTAAGTCACGTACAAGCCTCCGGAGCCGGGAACTGGAGCCGACGTAGGCTGTCCCGCGATGCAGCTGAGGTCAGCCAAGAACCAAGGGGTGAGGCAAGGGGACGCAGTTATGGCACAGTGTTTAGGGCCATCATGCCGTCGCTCCTTGCTCCATGGCAGCATGGAGTGAGGGCTGCTACTGCCCAGGCGCCAGTTAATTGCCACCTGCCTGGTCTCGAGGTAGCGTGAACCGGTAATTGCCGAGCACCGAAGACAGCAGCATGCTGACAGGCTGCTTGTTGATTTCCACGGTGCTCCACGTATGGCCCCAGTCCCATTCCAATTCGGGGCGGTTCTTTGTGCGTTCCATGCCGCTAAGGCCCATCCAATCCTCGGTTAACCCACTTGACGGCCCTGTTAGCATAAATATGCCAAAGATACACGCCCATACAAGACTTAACCCGACATGGACCATCCTGCCTTGGCAGGAAGTAAGATCAAACATACGGCCTTCGCATAAGCTTGTTATAACAACTTTAGAAGGGAGCAGGTGCGGCTATGAAACGCACGTTTGGAAGTACACAAGGAAACTGATGAAGCATTTGCAACATAACTAGATAGGCAAGCTCTGGACTAGCAATCGAGCAGTAATTTCTAGCTATGGTTGTGCCTAAATGGAAGAGCTTCGAGCTTAAGGCTTAGCACATGGGCTTAGCAAGTCCGCACGACGACGTACAGCAGCTTGGACGAGAGGAGGAGACGCAAGCTTTGCCACCGCATGGTCTACCATAGAAATCGCTTTAACGCTCACGGAATACCACCTGATCCGATCCTTGTATAATTCTGAGTCGAACAGGGGGACAATGCAGGTCAGGAGCGTTTGTTTCTCTCATACATATCTGCCTCTTGGCCGCTAGACCTTAAATGAAGCTTACACGATGTTATAACCTGATTTACAGGTGGCCACGCGCACCCTGCGCTCTTCGGTGCGCCCCTTCACGCCAAATGCTGTCCGGGTGCCCCGATGCCTTGTAGTATCCGTGTCTGCCTCCGACCGCCTTCGACTGCATAACCTCAGCCCCGAGCCTGGCAGCCGTCACCTTGAAAAGCGGAAGGGTCGTGGTCATGCTGCGGGCCAGGTATGGTTGGGCACTTGCGGCGCTTAACGCTGTCCGCAAGATGCCCGCAGATGTCTTACACGTCTTATGTATGCTGGATTGTAGGGTGGCACTTGCGGCTTTGGTAACCGCGGCCAGAAGTCGCGTTCGGGCCCAAGCGTACGCCCCGGCTTTGAGGGTGGCCAAACGCCCCTTTACCGACGCCTTCCTAAGCTGCGCGGTATTGCCGGTGGTAAGTAGCGCAATTGAAAGGTCAATTTCCTGGAACAATTCTATTTTCGCCTAACGTATCTTGTGGCTATGCTCGACGATGGCACTTGTTAGTGTAAAATTATGCGGAACAGGTTGTTGGCAAGACCGCTTCCCTGTTGTGTAGAATTAGCTTCTGAAAATGGCCTTGCATGTAACGTCCAGGCTTTGTTGCGTTAGGACATGCAAGTCACTTGAGCTTGTTCCACGGCCAATAGTACTTTTACTGATAAGGGGGCTGTTCTATTTCAACATGGGGTCTATATATGATTAATTTCTGTGCATCTCGGTGTGCTTCCCTTCCTGGTATACCCTCTTCGGGGCAATCGTGCGACGTTGTATGTGTATTGCTTACCAACACACCGCTGAATCCAGCCTTTCAAGTGTAATAAACCATACGCCATTTTGCCTGGACTACTCCCCCCACCTCTCCCTGACTACTCCAACCCAACCTGACTCGACCTTAAGGCTCATCCATTGCCCGTATGCCACCCTTGGTGTACCCCAACAGGCATGGGCGCTGGCCTCCCGGACTTTGTGGTGGTCAACCTAGATGACCTGGATAAGCATTTTGCCGCGGGAGAGGAGGTTACGCTGGAGGCGGTGAAGGAGAAGATCGTGAACGTTAGCGGCCGCGAGGCGAAGCTACCACTGAAGGTGAGGGTTAAGGGAAAAAGCCAAAACAGACTGGGGTGCGTACAGAACAGGCGTTGAGCTGCATGCACACGTATCTGGGTATGAGCTTAGCACTTTCTTACATGGCTAAGTGGGCAAGCATGTTTGTTCCATTGTTCCAGCCGGGGTTTTGCAAGCGTTGCACCTAATCCGGGGTCCCGGCTTTGGGCCATCTGGTGGCTGGTGCATGCAAACCTGCGCTCGGTCTTTTTGGCCTGCCGTTACGATGGAATGCGCTCATTATGCCGGCACTAGATTAGGAAGGCTGCATTAGGGCAGCGAGCGCAGGCTAGAGTGCTGTTGACAATGCGGGCTGAGTGGGAGAAGCTTGCCGCCAGGTCAGGATACCCGTCGCTCACGAAGACACTTCGTCCTAGGTCACGCGAGTCATCACACCATGCACATCCGACTGCACACCTGTCCTCACCAGGGCGTTTCCGCTGCATCTCACTTTCTTCTGGACGAAAACAACCTCGCGTCTAATCCACTATACCTGGACTGCCCATCATGACGCTGCAACCACGCGTTTACGCCCGTCCCACGTACAATCCTGCCCGCCCTGCTCCCGCCTGCCTCTCCCTCCGCAGATCCTCGGCTCCGGCAGCCTGAGCAAGTCCCTGACTGTGCGCGCGGGGGCTTTCTCCGAGTCCGCTAAGGCAGCCATCGAGGCAGCTGGGGGCAAGGTGGAGAAGCTGGCCGCCAAGCCTAAGTGGACGCGCAAGCTGCACAAGAAGGTTGTGGCGGAGATGGCCAAGAACGGACTGGACTATGAGAAGGAGAAGCTGAAGAAGCGGATTGATAACCTCAAATCCAAGGGCATGTACGTGGAGCGGGTGGTGAAGAAGAAGGCCGCGCCGGCGGCGGGCAAGAAGAAGTAGGGAGGTTAAGGGATGAGGGCGGAAGCAGGAGGGTAGGGTGTGCAGTGGTTGGTAGGGCGTTGGGCTGAGAGTTTGGGGCCTGGGTTGCAAGAGGGGGCAAGAGGAAAAAGCCAAGAGGAATGCCCGTTTGCTTGAGCGCACAGTGAATGATGGCTGACAGAACATTAGGATGCCAGGCCTGCCTGTTAGAACCCAGACAAAGGAAGGGAGGCACGCAAGTCAAGAAGCGCCCTGAAGTTTTTGGAGTCGTGTTTGCGATTGCGGTCGTTGGGGTTCCAGTGGAAGCATGAGAAGTTTTTTTGTGTTTTACTGAGCTACTAGGAGAAGATAAGCCACGGGGCGCATGTACCGTTCAATGAGACCAGGGGGCGATGGAGAGGGCAATTTTGGGACGGGAAGTCCGTGCCCTCCCAGGCTTTACCATGCGTGTTTTGGTTGTTTGCGGCTGTATGCTGTAAGCCTGTCAAATGTGCCCTACGCTCCGGTACGCCGTACACTGCAAGCATGTGAAGACAGGATAGGGGCAGCCCATGCATGGCCTAAAGATTAGCCTTAACAGGTCCTGGGGGTAATGACTATTTAGGCACAAGTCCCGAGGGCGCGAGGGCACTCGATGAGGTACGACAGCTGCACGATTTGCGCTTCGCTTTTCCCCAGATCATTCTTATCCGCCAGAACTTAGCCGCCATTATGCTCACGTAGGCGTGTTAGTACAGTGCGAGGTCCGAGATCGTGACAATCCCTTGCCGTCAACCGCAGCTTTGCACCGATTCGTAGTATCCGCGAGCTTTCCCTTCCAAGAAGAATATCCCGTAATAGACAAAAACATTCTATGGATACTGAAGTACTGTATTAACTAGCGAACACCGACACAGTCGTGCCGACATTATGTTCGAAGACGGCCTTCATACCGCCACGAGCAAGGCGCAGAGTGCTTTAGAGAAGAAGATCTTACCTTTCTACCAAGAGTTGGAATCCGTCGAGGGCGAGGAGATACATGAGTACCTAGAATTGCACCGGGAAAGCCATGTCGCCTACCTCCATGCAGCCTTGGGGCAGCTTTCGTCTGGGTTTGTAGTACTGGACGCCAGCCGCACCTGGATTCTGTACTGGGTGCTTCATTCCCTGGCACTCCTTGGCGAGCCATTACCGCGCGATGTAACACCCGATCATCTCATCGCCTTCTTAAGAAGCTGCCAACATGAGGAAGGCGGCTTCGGTGGTGGACCGATGCAACTTGCGCACACCGCGCCCACCTATGCGGCCGTGGCGAGTGCCGTGACGCTTGGCGGGAAGGCGCTGGCCCTGATCAACCGTGAAAAGCTGCGTGACTTCCTCTACCGGATGTGCATTCCAGCAGAGCAGGGTGGCGGCTTCCGCGTGCATGAAGGTGGGTCGAGGCGCTCGTCAGCATCAACTGCACTGCTATGTTCCCCATCACCGCCACCGGTCCGTGGGTCCATGCGCTTGGGATGCAGTTAAGGCCACTCAGCGGACACCTTCCGCCACCGACCCGCACGTGTGGTTTTCTACAGGTGTATGCTAATCCCACATCTACGCCCTTGTGGTCATAATCGCTACAGTGTCCCTGCCTGTCTTCCCTTGCCTGGCCTGCCTCCATACTTTTTCTTTACCCCAATCCTGGACCCATCCTGCTCCTCCCCATCTCCCCGCCCCCCTGTAACCCTATGCACATTACCCCTCGAACCCTCCTACCGGCAGTTGGCGAGGGCGACCTGCGCGCCTGCTTCACGGTGATGGCGTCGGCGCACATGGCGGGGCTGGACGCGGACAAGGTGGAGCTGGCTCGGCGGGCGGGGCTGGCGGAGTACGTGAGGGCGTGCCAGGTGGGGATGGGGGCAGCACTGCTGTGGTGAACAAAACACACTGACCGTAACCATAGAAAACGACCGGAAGATGAGGGCCAGGTGCGGAAGGAGGAGGGGAGCAGGGTGACATGAGGACGTGCTGGGGCGCTTGGCAGACGGCCAAAGGTGTTTCTTTCCGCCTTTTTGTGTTTTCACCTCTTCACCACCCCATCTCCTTATCCCGCGCCTCCCTTCCTGCCTCCCTTCCTGCCTCCCTTCCTGCTGCAGACCTACGAGGGCGGTCTGGGCGGCGAGCCGGGCAACGAGGCGCACGGCGGCTACACCTACTGCGGGGTGGCTGCGCTGCTGCTGGCGGGCGGGCCGCAGCTGCTGGCGGCCGCACTGGACATGCCGCGACTGCTGGGCTGGCTGGTGCACCGACAGGTGGGGCAGGGAGGGCGGTGTCGTACACTGGTATCGTGGTGGGAAGAGTGACGTAGCAGTAACCCCTAGGGAGCGCCTATGATTGTATAGGGCAAGGTGTGGGAGGGAGAGAGGGTACTGGAGATTCAGTGGGGGTTGGTACCGCAACCCTCTCTTCTTCACTCTGCTGGCGCATTCAAGCCCCTTACCTTCCCTCCTCTCCCCTCCTCTCCTCCCCCTTCCGCAACCCAGGGTGCGGTGGAGGGCGGCTTCAACGGTCGCACCAACAAGCTGGTGGATGGCTGCTACAGCTTCTGGCAGGGCGCGCTGTTCCCCCTGCTGGCGCAGCTGCCGCAGGAGGCGCTCAGGCCGCCGCCGGTGAGAGCGCCGCAACAGGGGGGCAGGGCAGGCGCAATCGGGGTCCTGCGTCGACGTTCTCCTTGGCTTAGCTGCCTTTTTCCGCTACCGATCTTGACAACCGGCGCCCCATACCTTCCCATCCAACACATCATTAAGGCCCAGCTCCTAAAGCATGAAGTGGCGCAAACATCGCAGGTCACAACCCTGTTTTCGCAGCCCTCTCCGCCTACTTCCCGCGGTTTTCTCGTCTCTCTCCTTGCCGCCGCAGGTGCCCCCCTCGGTGGCTCTGCAGCTGCCCGGGGACCTGCTGCTGCCCGACCCGCCCATGATGGGAGCCGCGTCGCCCTTCGAGCTGGTAGGCTGGAGGGGTGAGGGGTACGGGGTGCATGCATACAAGGAAGGATGTGGGGGGCTTACCGATACCTAATATCCTGATGATATATCTTGATGCTCCAGGAAGTTGATGTTTGAAGGCAGGCCGTACCTTCCCAAGATGCCGCCCACCACCCCTCTTCATCCCCCCCACCTCCGCACCCAGGCCGAGGAGGAGGCGCAGGCCCGCATGCAGGAGTACGAGGGGCTCCGAAAGCGCGCCGTGGCGGCCAGTGAGGACGCGGACGGCGCGCTGCGGGGGGCGGCGGCGCGGCACAGCGCCACCAAGAGTGCGGCTGCGCGGGAGCTGCTGGACCTGGCGGCCAGGGCGCATGATGTGTGTGTGGGGGGTGCGGTGCAGGGGGGGTGCGGGGGGTGAAGGGAAGCAGCAGGCAGGGAGATGTTACTTTGCGGTAGGTGGGGTAAGGAAGGTTCCTTCTCTCTCCCACCACCACCACCACCACCACCACCCACCGTCTCCATTGCCGCGCCCTGCGTTTACAATTTCCCTCCCCATCCCGCCCCTCTGCCTACCCCTATAACCATGCCTTGACCCTATACACGTTACCCCGGCCGAGCCTCCCTCCCGGCCTCCCTCCCTCCCGCCCCTCAGGCTGCCGAGCTGGCCACCACCCAGATGGCCTCCTTCAACGTGGCCGCCTTCAACATCTGCCCGCCCGCTGAGCCGGAGCAGCTGCTGCTGCAGGAGCAGCAGCACGCAGCCTACCGGCAGGCGCTCGAGAGGTTCAAGCAGCATCAGCAGCAGGGGGGACAGCAGCATCAGCAGCAGGAGGTCCAGGCGGAGCTGCAGGGACAGGGGCAGCTGGAGGGGCAGCGCGAGCAGCATATGCAAGAAGCGCATGCCGGGCAGCAGCAGGGGCAGGACCAACCCATGGCGACGGATGGGACCGCCGCCGCAACACCCGGGCAGCAGGCTGTGTTTCCGCCGCTGCCGGTGCCACCTCCACCTCTGTTCAGCTACGAGGGGCTGCAGCTGTGGGTGCTCAAGTGCTGCCAGGCCAGCAAGGGCGGTCTGCGTGACAAGCCCGGCAAGCCAGTGGACTTCTACCACACCTGCTACTGCCTCAGTGGCCTGGCGGCCGCGCAGTACGCACCCGGGTCGCAGATCATGGGGCCGCGTGCGAACAACCGGCTGCGTCGCATCGACCCGGCGGTAAACGTGGTGGAAGAACGGCTTGCCTCCGCGCGAGCGTACTTTGCATCTCAGCCGCTGCCGCCGCTGCAGGGGCAGCAGCAGCAGGGGCAAGGAGGAGGACTGGGGCAGCAGGCGGAGCAGCAGCAGGGGCAAGGGCAGCAGGAGGGTGCGTCTACGTCGTCTGTTGCTGATCCCATGGAGAGCTGATAAGCTGATGAGGGGTTGGGGTGGTGTGGGATAGTCATTAAAGGTTAGCTGGGAAGGAAACGGTGCCTGATGTGAGTTGGTGTGCTGTTCGGGAGTTCATGTTTCCTTGCATTGGCTTGCCGTGTGTCTGTACGACGTTTCGCCGCTGCTTGGCGCATGGACGATTATGGCTCCGTAAGCCCCGGTAAACCCTTGGGACCAGACACTGCTGCTGTGCTTAACCGAGTGAGGCTGCTGTATGTTCATATGCACTTACTGCTGTGTAGGAGTGTTGCAAAGCTTCAATGGACCGCTGCTGTATGCTCTGCGCTGTGCTGCATGGTTACTTTGTTTGCGTGCGTGTGTGTTGTGCAAAGAAAGGCAAGAGGCTATCTCCCTCCCAATCCCAGCGTGCGCCGGGGGGGAGGGCAGGACGCAGGACGCATTTCATATGCAAGGAGTATACCAGCTGACGAGCACATGCAGCGCATACCAGACGCTGCAAGCCCGCGACTGTCAGGAATTCGATGTATGAAACTTTCTTGTGCTTACTTCCTTCCATCACAGCATACCAGCCACTTATCGAATCCGGGAAGGCCCGCTTGCCAGAGCACCGGCGGCCCTTCTGGCCAGTCTGGGAGTCCTCTTCTCGTACTGCCGGCTTGCTTCTCGTACCGTACCAGTGAAGAGCAAGTACCAACGTCTTGTTGCTTGCTGCATGGCAGCTACATGTGATGGGCATGCTAGCCGCAAGGGCATTACTGTTGAGGACAGGTTTTCCACCGTGCACATTGTCACCAACATCCACTCGATATCCCGCCGCCACAAAGGTACCTAACTGGGACCGTGGGTATGAAGGTATGCACACTCAGCCCATACCATCCGAGCATACACACCACTGCTGCTAGAGAAAGGAAACACCCATACCGCCAGCGACTCCTGCAATCCTGCAAACAGTCCTCAACGTTGCGTTATTCAACAGGCCGTTTTCATGCTGAAAAGAGTCGTTCGACACCAAAACAAAAACGCTAAACGTCTGCTAATCTGCAAAGCGGCATCTCAATTGTCACCGTAAGCCCCCTCACCAATGCAACTCAGGCTCGGCTTAAAGCCCGTTCAAGAGTTTAGGAAAGCCTCGTCTCTTGCCATCCCCAGCCCACTCAACGCCAGTCCCGCTGCCCCACTAGTCACCGTGAACCCAACAGCCGACCCCACGACACCCCTTTCGCCCCACTGCCAGCTATTACCGGTACCACAAGCACCGTTTCCACCGCATCGCTGCGCTATGTGCGCCTGCCCGCTCCTCCCACTGGCCCCCACATGCCGCCGAAACCAGGCGGCGCCGGCGGCCTTGCGAAAGCCGCAGCTCCGCCACCTCCTTCGCCAGCTGCCCCGCCGCTACTGCTGCTCCTAGAGGCTGAGAAAGCAAAGTCCGGTAACGCGGTTGAGGCAGAGGTTGCTGTCCCTGTAGTGGCAGGCGACAGGAAACCGCTTCCGGCGGCTGAGGTCCGCAGCCCCACACCAGGTGCAAAGCCAGGTGGAGGATGCTGCGCTGCGGCAGCGGCTGGGTTGTTGCTTGCGAACGAACTGCTTGCGAACGAACTGCTGTTGCTCACAGTGCCAAAGGGTGAGTAACCCACGGGCTGCTGTGCTTGCAGAGGGTGGCTCCACGTTCCGTTAGCCTGCTGCTGCAACTGATGCTGGTGTTGCTGCTGCGCCGGCTGTGACTGTTGCCGTTCGAATCCTATTGGGTTGGGTCCTAGCAGCAACTGGCTCCCCGTTTGGGTCTGCTGCTGTTGCTGCAGCCCCGGTGGCGGCGGCACTTGCGCCGCATTCCCGTTCCCTTGATACGCACCAGTACCACCATACCCGGCTCCCCTGCTAGCCGCCGCTATGCTTCCGTACATGCCCCCAAACATACCCCCAAGCCCGCCGCCTCCAAACGCGTTGCCGTACCCAGACCCCAGCGGGTTTCCATTCTCGTTACCGTTGCCGTACGCAGGAGGCCAGCCGCCGTACCCTGCCGGCTGCATACCAAGCCCCTGCGCCTGCATCTGTCCCTCCACGGTGCCGCCGTTCAACCCGCCGTGGCCAGGCCGCGTAAAGCTGTTACTGCTGCCCTGCGACATGCCGGCGAGTAGCTGTTGTTGCTGCTGCGGTGCGGCCATGTCGCCGGCCATAGAGTTGTTCAGCAGCCGCAGGATATCGTCCAGGTCCTCATCACCGTTTTGCTGCTGGTGCTGCTGCTGGTGCTGCGGCTGCGAGTGGGGGTACTGCGGGTGCTGCCACTGCTGAGAGGGAGGGCCCTGCTGCGGTTGGGACCATGACGGCGGCAACAGCGGCTGCGGCGGTGGTGGCTGCGGTACCCGTTGCTGGGGTGGTCGCAGCCCTGCCGAGAGCCCCGGCGGCATGTACGGCGGCGAGTGCGGCGAACGGGGCCCCCATTGCTGTTGTTGTAGCTGCTGCTGCTGCTGCTGCTGCTGCCAGGCCGCTGACTGTAGCTGAGACTGCAGAGGCGCTGGCACCGCCGCTGTCGGTTGTGACGCCGACTGACGAGCGAATCCTGGCGGCGGCGGCGGCGGAGCAGCCACTGGATCCACCCCTGACCCACTCCCCTGTCCCGCCGCTGCCCCTCGACCAAGACCTAGTCGCGCCAACATAGCCGATGTGGCGTCGATGGCTGCTTCCGCCCTCTCCGCCGCCGCCATGGCTCCGGTCCCCGCACCTCGCGCCTTAAGCGCCGCCAGCAGAGCTCTTCCTGTGCTGTCGCCTCCTGCTGCAGCCGCATCCGCACCCGCACCCGTACCTGCAGCGCCATCTCCTCCCAACGCCTGCTCAAGGGAGCTCCAGATGGGGTCGGCTGGCTGCGGCGGTGGTGGGGCTGCTGGTGCCGTGGCTAGGCCCAAGAGCTGACGGAAGTCCGGCGGCAGTCGCTGCAGCTGTTCCAGCACCGGCTGGAGCTGTGACGGAGGCAGCTGTTGCTGCAGTTGCAAGAGCTGGTCCAGCATTTGTGGGGTAATGTGGTTGACCTCCGCAGCAGAAGGAGGCGCAATTGCAGCCAACAGCGCAGCAGCGGCGCTAGCCGCTGCTGGTGGTCCTGCGGAGGGCTGCGGCTGCGGCGGTGGTGGTGGCGGCGGTGGCGGCGGCAGGTGCAGTCGGTGCCAGCCCAGAGGCGCAGTGCGGCTCCTGGGGTTCGTTGCGAGGTGATAGCGCCATTGCTCCAGGGATGTGATGGGGGAGCCCGCGTGGGTGGCGTCCAGCAGCAACCTGAGGTTGAGGAGGCAGGGTTGGGACTTGGGAGGGCGTGGGAGGAGGAGGAGGAGGCGTGCGCGTGGAAGGGCAGGAGCAGTAGTACAAGCAGCCACCTCCGAAACCAGAGCATGGTCCTCCACCCTTCCCAATAAAGCGCAAACGCATGTGTGACGTACCCCACTCAGCCGCGCCCACTCCCACCTGAAGCCCTCCTGCAGACGCGCCGGGTCGCGTTTCGACATCCGGTCGTGCCAGCGCTGTCGCCGCCGCTGCTCCCGCTGCCCCACATCCGCCTCCCCAACGCGATGCGCCTTGTCTCCTAGTCCGCCATTAAGACTGCTGCCGCCTTCCTCCTCCTCATCATCATCGTGCTCCTCTTCTTGTGCACTCCGGGAGTAGCCCAACCGTTCCATGAGCTCCGATGACACGGCCGACGGCACCTACACGGGAGAGCGTGTGGAATGCACAAATCAAAACAAGGAAAACGAGGATACCTAAGAAGAGCGAGTTAGAGGCAAAAAATTGAGGCTAGAGGAGCAGCGCAGCGGGGGGCAGGGGGGCGATGAAATAACAAGCGGGCAGTGAGCTAGGGGCAGGGCGGGCTCAAGGGTCCGGCAGGAGGGGCCAAGGGCAGCGGGGCAGCAGCGGGGTATCATCAGCAGCAGCAGCGGTCGGACACTCTCATACCAGGAAGAGCTCAAACTGGGTGAGGGGCAGCATGTCCGGCCCGAACAGCCAGGCCAGTGCACGAGCGGCGTCTGCGGGGCGGAGAGGAAGAGGCAGGAGAGGAGGGAGACGGAAAACAGGGAGGGGAGCGTGAGGGGAGAAGTACCGGTGGTGCGTGAGGTACCGGTAGTGCGTGGGCGAGAGGACAGGACATGTACGCCCCCGCGCCCCGCGCCCACCTGACTCGGACGTCACGTTCCGCAAGATGTGTACGGAGTGCCCAAACACCCACGCGATGTACGGCAGCGTGTTCTCGCTGCGTTCCTGGAGGTAAGAAAAGGAACGAGCAGGCCAAAACGACCCATGGGTCAGGTGCTTGCAGGCAGCAGCGGCGTCTACGGTAGAGCAGCGGCGGTGGAGAGCAAGGTACGGCTTGCGGCGTGCAGGTCTTAGGGCTTACTCATGATGGGGCATGGGGCATGCCCCACACGTCTGACCGCCAATCTCAAAGCAGCCTCCGCCCCGCCCAAACACCGGAAACTTATGTACGGCATGCCCATCTAACCCTTCCCCTTCCCGCGCAGCCTCACCCACCCTTGTTCCCACGCTTCGCGCCGTGTTGTCGTCGCTGTCGAACGGCTCCTCCACCGCCGCTAGGTAGTTCTTGTGGAAGCGGGCCGAGTAGCCGCGACCCAGCCAGGGGCTCACCCGCCAGTTCCTGGTGATGCCGGCAGGGGGAGAACGGGTAATAACGAGTATGGGTTTACTCGCGTGAACTAGTATAGTCCGTTCCCGGACACGTGCAGATATCGCATAGTACCGCGCCACTCCCATCCTGCCCCGTCCCGTCCCGTCCCGCACCTGTGAGCTGCCGTGTCCCGCCATTCCTTGGTGATGGCGGTGAAGCAGCTGAAGAACCACAGCAGCTGCCGCAGCAGCCCGGGTGCGGCCCCGGGCCCTGCCCCTGCTGCTGCCTCCCCGCTGCTGCTGCTGCCGGGGGGCAACCAGCGCCGCGCCACCAGCAGATCTGCCTCCTCCGAGCACCTGAGGCGGGTGTTATCGTGTGTTATTTAAGCCGAGCGTGTCGAAAGCGGTGTTTCCCGGGAAGATGTACCGGCACGGTGGGGAGACATGCGGTTTAAAGGGACCGGCAGCGCGCACACATACGGACACACCAAGCAACGCAACCAAGCTCAAACCCTCCAACCCCACTACGGTAAGCCCCGTTTGAGAGCTCAACTCGCTCCACCAGCGCAACCCGCTGTACCAGTACCATAGCGGCCCGCTCTTACTTGGCAGTCGCCACCGCCAGCATCACATCCGGCGGCAGGTGCGGGTCCTGCAGCGGCCGCCCCACACCCCGCCGCTCGCGCTCCCGCTCCCCCGCTGCCCCCGCCGGCTCCTCGTCATGGAAGAGCTTCCACATCGGCGGCAGCAGCGGGCCGTCGGGGTGGCTTTGCAGGCTGAACAGCGCCATGAGGGAGAGGCTCCAGCTGTTGAGGGTGCCGCAGTTGGCGGAGTTAATGTCGTGCTGCTTGGCCCAGAGCTTCACCTGGCGGGAGGAGGAGGTGGTGGGGAACGAGGGGAGGGAGGTGTGAGCGAGGGGTTGGCTCGGGGCCGTCTCAGATATCTCCCCAATTTATTGTGTCCTCCCTTGTTCTTATCCTCAGTCACATCACCCCCACCTATGCACCCCTGCTCCTGCTCGCCCCCGCCACACCCACCCACCCACCAGCCGTACGAGCGGTTTGAGCGCAGGCTGCAGGCCGTGCAGCAGCTGCATGACCGCCCCCTTGAAGTCGCAGCCGCGGGTGGTCACGCAGATGTCGCACTCGATGCCGCTGCCGGCCTCCAGGAACCTGATGTGGAGGGAGGAGGAAGGCCGGCAGGAGGGAGGGAGGAGGAGGGGCGGGCGGGGAAGAAGTTAAGTTACGAACACTATTGGGTGTGGGGAAAGCAGGTTGGGCGACGACCCGTGGTTCACTTGCCAGCCCCCTACCAGGGTACCCCTAGGCCGCAACGCATCCCCCAGCGGTGGCGCCACGCCGACACTCACTTTATGATGGGCACACGTGCCTCCAGGACGCGTGTGACGGGCCCCAGGGTCACCCCTCGCCGCTCCAGCTCATCTGCCAGCCGCTGCAGAAGCCTCGCGCAGTCGTCGCGTGTGAACCGCCCCTACAGCACGCATGCATGCAGAGCGGGAGGAGGGTGCGCATGAACAACCCAGTGGCTAGGATCGGACTGGATATGTATGGCACAGTTTGGGGTAGATAGGAGATAGCGGCGGGAGTGAACACTGTAACCAGTGCGTGAGGCATCAGGCATGTCCCGCATGTGTAGTGTCCCACACGGGGTAGGGTGGAGGGCCGGGTCGCCTCCCGTTCTCCCAGCTCATGCCACATGCCACCGAAAGCCCAGGATCCTAAGAATCTATTGCTTATAATTAGAGTGTCCTTGCCCCCGTTGGCTCGTACGGGCACACTGTACACGCGTACGAACTGCAACTGTAACATGAGACCGACCATGCTTGCCTCCTTACCACGTTAACTTGTGCGTCTCGCTGCGTGGACCGCCCGTAATCCAGCACATGAAGGGACATCTCCCCCGTAAGCGCTAGATCCAGATCGGATCCATGGCTGTAACACGTGCTAAGGAATGAACCATACGGCACGAGCTGCAGCCTGCACGGGGGAGGAAAAATGTCCTGCAGCAAAGCCTGAAGGCGCTGTATTGCGTCCTGGCGTGCGGCGCCATCACCGGCTGACGGCTCTCGTGTCTGGGTGGTACACAAAGGAAGGGGACGCGACAGGACGTGGGCGTTGTTTTGGGGCCTTGCCAGGAACAACCCATTTTTGGAACGGGTACGTGAACGATATCAGGAAGAAGAGAGATGAAGTAGGGTCGTTTGCTTTGATCTGGCTTGGCAAGCGGGGTATACCAACCGGTTATGTCCGAACCGAGGGCCTATTCGGGCGCCTGTGCCAAGGGCAAAGGAGGGATTGCTCGTGCTTTCAATCGCACCTTAGCGAGCTTGTAGAGACGATCCTCTAGGAAAGCTGCTGCATCCTTGCGGCACTTCGTCGTATGCTGTCCATCATCAAACTGCCAGCTGCGTTCTAAAGCTGTCTCCAAAGGATGTCGGGCCCTTGCAGGTACAGCTCCAAGGCTACTGGCACCAAAGCTGCTGCTGTAACTGCTGGCATAGCTCCCTGGCGAGGTCATGACTCCTGTGAAATTTACATCAAGGGCCGCCGCTGAAATGATGCGTGAAACCTTTCATGCTTAAAGATAGGTTTTGTATAGAACCAGCTGGCTGCGTCGATGATGGCAAGGTTAAGGACACTCAAGGCGGGTACAACCTGTACTACACTCCTCGATCGCACCACAGGCAACACCTTGCCAACGAGCTCGGCAAGCGTTGCTTTTGCTAAACAAAGCTGCCCCTAGCTTAGTAGTTGTACCAACTCGACACGGAGGGAACACGTAATTTCATAGTCGCATGGTTAAATAACGTTCGATTACTAACATGAATATTGGAAATGGGATCAGAGCTGCACAGAATACCTAGTTGTAGGCTTGAGCACGTGGTTGTCCTGGGCTGCTCAGACAGGTCCATTACTGTACTCACTCCTTTAACAATGCAAACTTACAGATAGCGAGCATAAATCAATTATGGAAGACGTGAGCCGTGCTGAGGAGTGGACTCGGCTCAAATGGGCGACCGGGTACTGCTGATACCCCAGCGCCGCTGGGTAGCCTGGGAGACGTATCAATTCTCCGGGGAACATGGCAGCTGCATTGGAGCAGATGGAGGAGGCCGATGAGCTACCAGAGCCGTCGCAAAGTGGCACCGCCAGGGATATTGCAGCGACGCTTGACGATACGCTGTTCCATGTCGAGAGTGCTGGACGGCCACACGATTGGTGGTGGGCTCTGAACAAGAGGAGGTGCCAATACGCAACTGCACTCTTCGGCAAGGATACTTGTACGTTTTTCGACGACTTTCTCACAAGCAAGCGCTGGCTACTCTTCACAGTGTCTATCACCCTGTTTTGTCTCTACGCGGCCGACGTATGTGATGTCGCGGCGTGTTCCGAGCAAGCGCGGACGGCAGTATCCGGCATCCTGGTGGGTTGCTGGAATTATGTTACCAGAAGTTTGTTTTATAGACGTGTACCGGTACTGCTGTGTTTGCAACAAATGGCGTAAGACCGTACGTACACTGAGGCTCCTGCTATGCTTGCAGCTCGCCATCTTCATTGTCTTCGGGCTGGAGGTCATTTTCAGCACTACCTTTGTGGAGAAGTACTTGCTCAGGTACGCCTCATTCCGAAAGCGCAGCCCAACCGAAATGCTGAGTCCGGCATTTCCACTTTTGAACCATCCTTTACAAGTCCTGCTCACATAGTCGTTTGCCCTCACTTGCGTGCACGTACGTATGTTCCACATACAGTAGCTGCTCCAACCCACTGTTACCTTGCTAGCTGCTCGCTCCTGATCATTCGGGACCTGCTGTCATGCGCCTGCGCAACACCCCGGCACCTGCCCTTCTCGTCCCCAGCTTTTTCTTTTGGGTGGACCTCATCGGCACGGCCAGCATTGTGCTGGACATCCAGTGGATTGCGGATGGGATCCTCAGTCCCGAGGACTCCAATTCGCTGCAAGTCACACGGGCGGGGCGAGCAGCCCGCATTGGATCCCAGATTGGTGAGTCGATGATGGGTCGCAAGGGTGCCCAACTGCCCATCAAATGGGTATATGGCTCAGGACGCATCTCTGGGAGCTGCATTTGGTCCAGCCAGGCAGAGATTAAGTACCAGGGGTTGGCGGGCTGTGGGTTCGGGCGATGTGTCACCTATGGTAGTGTCGGCCACAGCCGGACCCCGAGGCATGACCCATGGGCCACTCCGGCTTACCAGGCCCTCCTTCACACAATCAGCCGTGAACGTTGACCGGCTGTGGCACCAGTCACGTTTCGGCCTGTCGGGGCGTGGTTCAGGCGGGCCGTCGGGTCCCAGCTTGCTTGGGCTCCTTCCCCAGCCCCCCCGGGGGCCGCTGCGTCTATAGCCTGCTGGGCGCCTATACCGGTAGCGTCCTAGCCGGCTGGGGTGTGTGGTTGCCGGCCACCTGCGGCCACACTAGCAAGACTGGCAGCTACAGCGGTGGCTGCTGGTATTCGCATAATGCCAACAACGCAGCGAAAGGTAGCCTCGGTGCAGCAGGAGAGGCAGCAGCAGCAGCGACTTTGCGTTTGGAGGGCAGGCCGTACCGGAAGACACGTGAGCTGTACGGCACAGGCGCTGCACAGGGCTTGGCCAGTGGAGCAGCAGCTACGGCGGTGGCGTCGGCGGCGTGGCGGAACTTCCGGGGCCAATCTGGGCCAATATCAGAGTTCTCGTGCGTGGGACTGGTTCTACGGCACAGGCGAGGAGGAAGCGACCGAGTTCTCCTCATGGGGTTGCTATGGCTGTGATGGCGGAGGCAGAGCTGCTCTACATTGCTGGCGCTGGGCAGCAGTGACAGCGTACGGCAGCGCCCATGTCAATGCAACCCCCACCGCTACAAGCCACCGGGGCTATACCACCACCTCCCAGACATGAATGGGGTCTTCTCCTGATGGAAGGCGTGTCACCACCTCCCAGACGTGCGCCAGCAGTGGGGCTTGCTCCTGAGGGAAGGCGCCCCACCACCTCCCAGACGTGCGCTAGCAATTTGGGGTTTCCTCCTGAGGGAAGGCGCTCCTCGCGTCAGGGTGTGAGGGCTGTATGGGGAGAAAACAAGAATACCCAATGTGTTGAATGAGAATGGCAAACAAGATGACAAGCTCCTGGTGAATGAAATCGAGTTAGTCGAGCCGAACGTGTGACGTCTGGGCGGTCAGCAAACTCACCAAACTTCCCAGATATGGAGCAACCTTACCATTAGTCGCCAGCTGTATCGCATACTGGCTAAATGGACGTTGTGGTGGGAAACACAGCAGGCAGGGTTGGGACGTGGGGTTGTGCCCTCATGGCCGTGGCCGGTACCTGCACCCTGCAAGGGACCTGCACACACATGCAGCAGCCAGTTTTCTCAACACACATGCAGCTGGTTGCGGCAGAGCCGTGTTCGAATGACGGCGCCTTCCCCTCCGCAGCATGGCATCATTACTCGCATCCATAGCTGCAAGGCTGTGATGTGCAGGTTGGATCCCTGCGCCCCCTGATCCCAGCCTTTCCCCACCTCCCTGTCTATTCATGGGATTGGAAGTCCAGTCCTACGCTTCACTGTAATGTTTTTCCTCCATGTCTGGAGCCCCTGCTGGCGGCACCACCCGCATGACGCGCATCCTGCGCTATCCATAAGTTCACTTTTCATGCCGTCTTAAACCTACCTACCGGTATTCCTGATCAGCCCTATGCCCGGCCCAATGATGCTGCAACCCAACCCGCCAGGCCGCATCGCCCGCATGTTGCGCATCCTGCGTCTCTTCCGCGCGCTGCGGCTGCTCAAGGTGCTGCACCTGCGGCGGCGGGACAGCGGCGGTATGAAGGCTTCGTACGGAATGGGGACGGTGGGTGGGGGCCGGGGTTGGGGTTGGGATGGAATGCGTAAAGAATGCCCAGAAAGCCCTTGCGCAAAGGTTGAGTGTAGGGTAGTGCTTTACAACAGGAAACCCGCTGGCACTGTGAAGGAACCCAGCCAGAAAAAACTTAAAGCGAGTGGATGGGTACGTGATACAGACGCCTCCCGTCCCATATTCACCTAGTGTTACCACTATCCATCCATTCAACTCATGGTCATCTCCTTCCTCTCCTCCTTCTCCTTCTTTTCCTGCTCCCTGCTGCCCGTCCCTCCTCAAGAGTCCCATCCGCCCCACGGTGCTGGGTGAGCTGCTGGCGGAGTCCACCACCCGCAAGTGCGTGGTGATCATCCTGGTGGTGCTGGTGGTGGCGACCTTCCTGGTCACGTCGCCGCCGGATGTGGGTGATGGTGGTTGGGTGGCGGGGCCGTAGGAACAAGGATTGGCCGCGAGACGGAATGTACTGTGTGTGGTGTGTGGTGTGGTGGGGGTGGGGTGGGAGGATGATGGGAGGTAGATGGGACGGGGAGGGGAATATGTGGCTTATGAGCCCATGGGAGCTTCATGGTTACAAGGGCCGGGGAGGGTGGTGGCCTCCCGAGGGCTTGATAAGAGGAATCGTAGGGGAAGCCCTCAGTCGCAACGTTACGCACGTCGCTATTTGTTCTCAGAGTTCTCTGGCATCAAGGCCCGCCTGCAGCATGCATGCCAGCCCGCCTTGCGCTGCTTGCCGCATCCTCCTTACATCCTCCCCTCCCTTTCGTCTCCTCCTGCCTCACCTTTCTCCCCTCTCCCAGGCCGCCGACTACAACCGCCTACAACTGCTGTCCTACGGCGTCATGACCCCTCAGGCCTTCATTCAACACGCCTCCTACCCCGTCATCATGCTGTCGTACGTGGATGCCGTAACCGGGTCGCTCGTACCCTACCTGCCGTACAGTCGCAGCCACATGCGGCCCGCCTTGCAGTTGCGCACCTCCGTGGAGTGTGTCAAGTATGTGGGGCCGCAGCAGCACACGTGCGGCTTCCAAGACAACTACAGCGATGTCTGGTGAGGGGCCTGGGGCTGGGTCATATGTGCTTTTTACGCGTTAACTTGAGGCGGGACGGCCGTCGAGCCGAAACTGCTTGGACTGCAACTGCGAACATCCGAAGTTCCCTTGCAGGTTTTTACCCGAGACACTCCTGCCGCACGATTGTTGGTAGTCCTCTCAGCCGTGTGCGCCATCCAACATGCACATGATCCCTAGCCGCTTGCCTTACCCCACACATTGATCCTGTCCCCGCGCCCTGCAAACCGTACCTCAATGGCATCACGTCATCCCAGCCGCCACTCGGCACGGGGCTCATGCGGTTTTAACAGACAATCCAACTCATTGTGGTTAACCCAACATGTACACTCTACCCCATGCAGGTACGACATCACGCGCCCCATGCAGCGGAACGCGGGTCTCAACATGCTCCTCACCTCCATCATCATCGGCTGCCTGGGGCTGTCAGCTTACCTGTTTGGGCGGGACGCAACCACCTATGTCATCATGCCCATAGAAACCATGCTCAAGTACCTCCGACGAATGATCATGGTGTGTGCTGGGGTGTGTGCTAGGTGTGGCATGTGTGGGCCGCTGTACTGGGGGTTGACAGCTGCGTGCAGTGCTGGCAGCATGGAGTACCCTCGGATGCACAGCTAACCGATTTCAGTTACAGTTACAGTCTAGTTCGCGTGTACAATGGCCCGCACGAGCCTGGGGGCCCAAGGACACTATGATTTCATTGCGGTATTCAAGGCGCAACACGTCCTCATCTGTTACAAATTGGATGCACATGGCCGCACGCATGTGCAGGTGGGGGTGGACGGCGACGCTGACAGCGAGGGAATCAACTTCAGCCGGCCGCCTGAGACGGACGTGCTGGCCAACTACGTGTCCCGACTGGTCAACGAAATAGAGAACCAGCGCTGGAAGGTGAGATGAGAGCGAGCACGTCTTGTGTTTTTCAGCTGCTGCTGCTACTGCTACTGCTGTTGCTCCCACATGCGCACTAAGGATATTTCGTACGTGGTGGCGAGAGGCCTGAGGTGGTGAGAAGCCATGATGAGAGGTTATGATCGAAGCCGCATCTGGGTTTATGCCGCCAGCGTCTTCCCTCGTTACACGATGTCACTTCTAACAGAAGGGCACCCCGTTCTCAACACCTCGCATTTCCTCTCCGTTTCCTTCCCCGCTGTGCCCGCCCACCCAGGCTGAGGAGGAGGCTCGCATCAGTGACACGCTGCTGAATAGCATGGTACCGCCGCACATAGCGAAGCAGCTCAAGGTGAGGGCGTGCGAGATTGAGTCGTGTCGTCGCTGTGTTACATTGGGCCCGTTACAATTGGTTACGTTCTGTGGGTGCCGCGAGGTTAGCCTCATGATGTTATTTGGAGATTAGGCTGCCTCCATACCTTTACAGAGGCCGCGTGTGGGAGTGCAGCGGACGTCTTTTCATGCACTTTGTTGGCACCTGTCTGGCGTGGCTAGAATACTTGCACCCAGCACCGAACGTACTAGCACCCAGCAGCACCGAACGTACCAGTCTGCAACCACTGCCATCTGTCGCACAACCCTGCAGGAGTTGAGGTGGTGGGAGGCGGGCCCGGAGCAGCGTGCGCAGCCCATCGCGGATTCCTTCCCCAACGCCACGGTGCTGTTCACAGGTGAGGAGGAGGCAACCGCGACGGGCTTGTTTGGCGGGTTGGGCTGATGGTTTGCCGCCAAAGTTGGCTTACAGGGCTTGGGGTGTGGACTGACACATTTTCTACCCTGTACATGCCGCATTTGCCCCGCGTACCTGGCCCCCCATGGTCTCTCCCGCGCCCCTCCCCCATTCCCCTGCCCAGATCGTTAGTTGCCTCGTCAGTTTCCTTACGTCTATCCTCCTGCCCCCCCTCCTGCCAGACATCGTGGGCTTCACAACCCTGTCCTCGCGCATCTCCGCGGAGGAGGCCATGAGCCACCTCAACAACATGTACACCGTGTTTGACGAAATCGTGGAGAAGTACGGACTGTACAAGGTAGGTGGGGGCCAGGGAGAAACCAGCTCGTCCTAAACTTCTGATCGGTGCTCGGGGGGGCGATGCATGTCTGCGTCTTTGCCTGCTTCCCGGCACCAGCCCTCCCCCCTCTCCTCTGTGCCCAGTTCGTGATGAAAGGCCTCGTGCGCATGCTTCTATCCACCTGTCTTGACACCCTCCACCTGCATATCCCCCCCTTGTGGCGACTTGTTTGCATCTGCCCCACAGCAGCCCTGACGCCCTCCCTCCACCATGCAGCTCGTCAGTTTCCTGTTTTTACCCTCCTCCCGCCTCCCCCCCATTGTTTTGGCCTAACTTGTGGTCTCCTATGGTTTGGTATGGTCGTTGACCCCCCAGGTTGAGACCATCGGCGACAGCTACATGCTAGTGGGCGGAGCGCCCGAGGAGCGGATCGATCACGCGGAGCGGGTGGCGGCGGCCGCTCTGGAGATACGCGCATGCGTGCCGCTACTGCAGGTAAGGGGTGGCGGGGAAGGAGGACAAGCTTAAGGAGGACGAGCTCACCCACTTACGGTACTCATCCCTTTCTGTTCACCCTTCCGTTCACCCTGCCACCGCGCCCTACTCACAGGAGATCAGCGGCGAGCCGGACATTAACGTGCGCATTGGCATGCATAGCGGCTCGGTGACTGCCGGGGTGGTGGGCTTCAAGAACCCGCGCTGGCACCTGTTCGGCGACACTTGCAACACAGCCAGCCGCATGGAGAGCACGGGTGAGGGACGGGGGGAGGGAGTGAGGGATGCTAAACAGGAAGAAGCAAACTAACCGTGTGAGAAGAATCCACCATGGTTGCACCATGGTTACCAACCTAGGGGACGGGGCGCGAAAGGACGAGGGGACAGCTTCTAGGAGGGGAGATTAAGTGCGGGGCATGTGAACTAGCAACCTAAACCATTACCGTTACCCCGTGCCATGGTACAGTTGCCCGGTAGTTGTCTCGTCTTCTTACGTCCCCTCCGCTCTGTCTCTTACACTTGTGTACTTCAGGCGTAGCGGGTGAGATCCAGCTGAGCTGTACGACGTTCGAACTGATCCGGGAGCGCTTCCAGTGCAAGCTGCGTGGCAAGATTGCGGTGAAGGGCAAGGGAGAGATGGTGACCTACCTGCTGGAGAGGGAGGTGAGAGGAGCGACCCAGGGGTCGGTGGGGCTGGTGGGGCTTCTGTTATTGGGGTGCGGGACCGGGGATAAGGGCAAAACATAAGGTCTGATAACGAGGAGGTCGAAGCGTGCTGGGTGCGATCATCCGTGTTTGCGCCATTCCTATCCCCTTCATCCACAACCTGCTCCCTACCCCAGCTGATGCATCCCCACCACCATACCGTTCCAATCCGTCGTGCGCACCTTACTTCACCCATACATTAAACCCGCCTTTCCACCTCCTCCTTCTCCTCCTCACCCCTTGCAGTATGGTGTCTCCGGCGACCGCCCGGACTCGCCCACCCGCCCCGGGCAGCTGCTGGGTCGGGGTGCGGTGGCGGGCGGGCCGGGTGGGCTGGGTGGTGGGGGCGGCGCGCTGGGGGCTGGCGGGGGGGATGCGCTGGCAGACCGGGAGGCCTTCCTCACCAGCCCGCAATTCAAGAAGGTGCGAGGGAAGGAGGATTGGGTAAAGAAGGGATGTGGAATAGCCAGGAAAAGTTACGGTGAATACTCAGTTGCTCGAGCGCTTGCAAGTCGGTCAAAGTAAAAAGCCCTTCAGAATGGCTGAATGGAGAAGTTTCCCGTTGGCTGTAACCCTAGCCCCCATGTCCACCGACCTATGGGTCGCTCTGATCACCACAACTCCTTATGAAACTTCCTCCCGCCATCCTCAGGCCCTGGAGCGTTACGCCACGGCTCGCAACTCCTTCCTATCCGAGGAGGAGGAGCTCTGCAAGCTGCTGCGGCCGCTTGACGAGACCACAGCGGCTGCGGCGGCGGTGGCAGCGGGCATGACCTCGGGCGTGGAGGAGGCAGCTGCAGCAGTTGCAGCAGCGGTAGGATCCGTACCCACAGCTGCTGCGGCGGCAGCTGGTTCCGCCCCAGCCTCTGGCAGGCTGCCTGTGCTACAGCAATCGCAGTCGCAGCAGCCGGGGGGGGCCGGTAGCAGTACGGGTGAGGCGGTGGCTGCTGCTGCAGGTGTGGTGGTACCGCGGCTGGTTGCGGGTCTGGGTCGAGCGGCGTTCAGGCAAGTGGTGCTGACGGAGGGAGCCACGCCGTCAGATCTCAAGGTGAGGAGGGGGCCGGGGACCTCAAGGGAGGGGGCGAGGAGGTTGAAGGTGGAGGGGTAAAAGAAGTCCAGCTTCTGAGAGCGGGCGCCACTGCATGTGGTGCATCAGGGCCGGAGGCTGGCGGAGGAGTTTGCAAACGGGTGGCCATCGGGGGGTGGAAGGCAAGGAGGCCTGGAGGAAGCGAGGGATGGAGTCGGGACAGTGGAAGGAACAGCAATGGCGAGGCCGGAAAACGGGTGCGGGGCCCCCTCTCTGCTGCTCCCCCCACAAACCCTCCGCCGCTGCTCTCAAACCCCACATTCCCATCATGCCTCTCCTCCCTCTCCTCCACCCTTCTCGCCCGCCACCCCAGTCCCTGGCGCTGCACCTGCACGAGGAGCTGGCGCTAGCTCGCGCCATGGCGGCCGCTGCGGAGGAGGAGAAGGCGGCGGCGGTACGGCGGGATCTGTTGCTGAAGCTGTACGGCAGGGTTCTTGAGGCGCCCGGCATGTCACTGCGAGACACCTTCACCGTCATACTGGACACGCTGTACCGGGTGAGCGGTGGGGAGGGAGGGAAAAAATAAATATATGAGGGGAGGGAGGGAGGAGAGGGAGGGGGAGGGCGAGCGGGCCACCTCGTTGCCCAGTATAAGCGTACGCATGCATAAAAATGTTTATTGGCTGTGAAGTCAAATACCTACCGCCGCTAGGCATCCCTTGCCTTATCCCTCGCACCCAGGCCTCTGACCCCCTGCCCCGCTTACCCCCTGCCTCGCGCCGCTCTACCCCGCCTGCCAACCCCCTGCCACCACCAATGTTTCCCTGCAGCTCAGTATACCTAACCCCCCTGCCACCACTTGTCACAGGTGATCGAGTGCGACGTGATCAAGCTTTACCTTGTGGACCACTCGCGGGGGCAGCTGTGGCCCGCAAGCAGGCATGGAGCGGCGGATGCGAACAGGGTGAGGAGCAGCGGGGGCAAAATGAAATGAGTAGTGTGAAGCACAGACCCAGCAGCGGGGGCGGGGTGGGGATGGAGGGGCTGGATGATGTATCGGTGTAAGCTGGGCACGATACTGTTACGTTTTAGTACGACGTCTGAGAGGGGGGCACTAGTTGGGAGCGAAAAGCAGTGGCAGAAGTGCCCGATGACGGACCCATCATGCACGGAGCGGCCCCCTTTTCCCCCGCCTGCTACAGACCCTCCCGCTGTACGGCACCCTGGCGGGCAGCGCGGTACGGCGTGCGGCGGTGGTGCGAGTGGACGATGTGGCCCGAGAGCCGCTCTTCAACCAGGAACTGGAGGTGGGAGGTGGTGGGGGTGCTCTGGTGCGGGGGAGGAGAGGAGAGGGTTGAGACTGGAGGGGGTGACGACACAGCGGGCCGAGGTTGGCGAGGAGGGTTGGCCCGCAGCTTGGGGATTAGGTAAACTGCTTGGGGAATGCAGCCCTTCCTAACGTCATAATAATTAATAAAGCCCGTACCACTCGAGACCACCATCGCATCCTATGCCGGTCCCATGCGACTCCCGTCCCCTCTATTTGAAACCCGACCCTACCCTTACCCATTTCCTTGCCTTTCCTTACACGTTTCCTTTGTCTCTCCTCTCCTCTTCCCTTCTCCCTCTCCTTTCTTCCTCCCTCTCCCCTCCAGGAGCTCCCCGCCGGCTACTCCTCCAAGTCCATGATGGTCATCCCCGTCTTCGCGCCCTCGCACGTGCATCCAGCGCACGCCCACCACCTCCGAGCCTATGGCAGCGCATCCCAAGTGCCGCCTACACCAACCGCAACCGCAACCGCAACCGCTATTGCTGCTGCTACCATCGCCGCCCCTCCAATTACGGGGCCCGTAGCAGCTCTAGCTGGTGCACCTGCTGCCGCCGGGCCAAATGCTGCTGCTAATCCTGCCGACCCCAACAGCATCACAGCCACAGCCGCGGCGGATTCTGACGGCTTTTGCTACTACTCTGCTCCCCTGGCGCACAACCACCCCCAGCTGCCTCTTCAACCCCACACCACACAACACCCTCACGCCCATCCTCCTCCGCCACCTTACCACCACCAACATCCCCCAACACCTGCTCCTCAACACCCTCACCCTCCTCAGCAACCCCATCATCCACCTCACAAGCAGCACCCGCACCCTCACCCTCACTCTCACCCTCAACCCCACCCTCAGCACGCACCTCCGCCCCCCTCCCATCCTCCCAGCCACCACCACCACCTGCAGCCCCAACCCCACCACCCTCACCACCCCCACCACGCTCAGCACCCGCACCCCCAGCCACCCCAGCAAGGCGACGTCATCGCGGTCATCGTCGCCGTCAACCGTTGGACCCCCTGGGCGGAGGCGGGCGCGGAGGAGGGAGAGCGCCGCATCGAGCCCTTCAGCGCCGCCGACGAGGCCTCGCTGCGTGACGCCGCCGCCTCCGTCGGGCTGCTGCTCACGCGGCGTCGCGGGGAGGTTCTCCTAGCGGCGGCGCAGGCGCCCGGAAGCGTGGCGGGGAGCAGCTTTAGCGTTGCAGCGGTGCTGCCGGCGAGTGTGGCGAGGCAGCGGTTGAGGATGGTGGCGAGGAGGAGCAGCGGGGTGCTTCTGGACACGCGGGCGAACTTGTGGGCGTTGAAGCAGGAGGAGCTGATGGGGTGAGGGGGTGGGCGGGCGGTGGGGAGGTGGTAGGGAGCAGGAAGGGGATGACGCGGATTTGTGGAGGTGTGGGGGAGAAGGGTTAAGGGGTAGGAGGGCCAGAGCTGTGTGGCACTTAACCTGGAGGCGACCCGTGCATGTCCAGCGGCATGGTCCATGTCTCCTAACCTGTACTCCGCTCAGGCTGGTCATCTTCAACATGAAACGATACCCCATATCCGGTCCCCACTCCTCCCCTCTCCCCTTCCCTTCCCTCACCACAGCCAAGCTCGCGACGTGTTTTCCGCCCTGCACCGTCACGCCCAGCTGGCGACATCTGCACCAGCTGGAGCCTGCGAGCAGCAGCAGCAGCAGCAACTCTTCGGAGGAGGCGGCCTTGGCGGAGGCAGCCCCAGTCCCAGCCTCGCCAGCAGCCTAGGTGGCAGCGGAGGCGGCGGCGGCGGAGGAGGTGCGCTTGCTGCGCTTGCTGGCGGCGTTGACAATGAAGCCCTGTTGTCGTACCTCGTACGGATTGCCGGGGAGCAGGGCTGCGGGCAGTTCTTCAATCTGGCTCACTCGGTCGGGGTGTTGCAGGTGGGAGGAGGGCTGGGTGGCGGTGGAGTAGTGGGTTAGAGAGAAGGGTGCCGTGGCAAAGGGTTGTAGAAGCGATGAGGGGTGGGGTTGAGTGGAGGGAGAGAGGTAAGGTGGCAAGGAGAGCACTGCGGGGGTTGTTGGAACGAGAGGCCGTAACGAGGGAGTGCAGGACATGAAGAGGGATTGACAGCTCGGCAGGGATATATAAATATATATGAACGAAACAGGGATGTTCGGTGACAGCAGGTGCGCAGGCACTTCAGGCTTTTACATAGGACCATACCAGCAGCCATCCGAATTGCAATTCTTTTCCTTCCCAGACCACTTGTCAACTTACCGTTTCCCGTGTTTCTCTCCTCCTGTCCCCCTCTACTTGCCTTAACAACCCCTCCCAGGGCATCTACCTCACGCTGCGCTCCAATGTCGAGCTGGCCTCCGCCCTGGGTCAGCAGCACCTTCTAGCCTTGGTCATAGCCGCCTCGCTCGTCAACATACAACGGGAAGGCGAGTACCTACCCGGCATGGCAGCCGGTGGGGCTGCAACGGGTGCCGCCACCGGAGCCGGAGCCGCCGGTGCTGGCTACATGGGTCCCGGAGGCGGTGCGGCATGGGTAGGCGGAGCGAGCAGGGCGTCTAGGAACCGTGCTAGCCCGGCGAGTAGTGTACTGGGGGCGGCAGCAGCAGCAGCGACGGCGGCGGCGGTTCCGAGCCCTCGTGCGCCGCCGTCGCTGACGTCTCGTTGGAGCCCCTTCGCCGCCGGGAGCAGCATGCCTGAGATAACGGAGCAACAGGAGCAGTCGCCGCAGCAGAAGCAGCCACAACCGCAGCAGGAAGAAGGGCGGGAAGGAAAGCGGCAATCGGATGCAGACGGCGAAGACATGAGGCCCCCCCTGGAGGACGATGACACACGGCCGCTGGCACCTCTTCCGCGCAACGCCACGGCATCCTCGCGACACTCCCCGGCGTTCGGCTCAGGCATCCTGAGTTCCCAGCCTTCGAGCACAGCCACTCAACCATCTCAGCTAGCGACCGGCGGAAGTATGGGTGTTGGCATGGGCGCCATTGCAGCCGGCCCTGTATTCGGCCGCGCTCGTGCTGTTAGCGCTCGTAGGACGCGGCTAGCGGGCATTGTTGACGAACTGTTGTCAGGGGAAAGCAACATCTTGGCTTCGCTGTCGGCGGCAGAGGCGGCGGCGGTGAAAGCCAACGTCGTAGCACTGCTCGCGCTCCGAAACCAACCGACGGTCGTACTCGCGATGGCGGGATTGCAACCGCCAACGACGACCGCCAACAAGGCGCCGAGTGAGGGCCGTGTTGAGGAGACGCCGTTCGCGGCGGCGAGTGGTGTCGCTGCTGCCGCGGCGGCGCTCAAAGCTGAACCCAGCGGCGCTACCGGAGGCGCAGTAACTACGGATAGCGGCGATAACTTGGTAGTGGTTGAGGAGGTGACAGTGGATGCGCCAGTATCGTCGTCGGGAGCGTTTGCGGAGAACACTGAAGGGGAAAGGTCGTCAAGCAACCCGGATCAGGGCAAGGGAGCCTCGCCACTCAGCCTCACCGCGCTCATCCAGGTGGGGTTTACCCTTAATACGCCGGCCTTCCATGCAGCCCATGTTTGATGATCTTCGGGTCGTTCGCATTGAAGGGTTCTTCAAAGCAAGGTCTGGTCTGGTCTTCCGTTGCATGGTTATGTGCATCGGGCGCCTACATGCACCTCTTTCCTTCTCCTGCTCTTACCCGTTTCCGACCGTCGTTTGTCCTGTTTGTCCTCCATGTTCAGTTACCTGGCCCGTCTCCAGTACCTTCACATCTATCGTGTGCTTCCGAAACCCGCAGGCCGTCGATTCCGACCCCGTGCGTCTAGCTGAGACGCGAGTGGCTGTGAGCGCTCTTCTGCTGCTGGTAAGGATGGTAGCTAACACCGCAATAAATACGGTCATGATGCCCCTGGTGCTCGGCTGCTAGTGCTCGGCTGCTAGTGCTCCAAGTCACCTAGCGAGCCGCTCCTATTAATTTCACCAAATTTGTCACCCTCGGAGCAAAACCTAATCCCTCTCCCTGTGTGCCCGCACGCCCCCCTTCCCTCCACACAGACCTGGTCCGAGCTGCTTCACCTCAAGGACACCAGCACCGCCCTCTCGCTGCTGCGCTGCCGGGCCACGGATGTGCGCAACTGGGCCTCCCGCCAGGCCTCAGCCACAGGCAACGTGTCTAGCCGCCGGAAGAGCTTGGTGCTGCTGGTGAGGGGCTGGAGCGCTGGATGTCATTGCGACTGTGTGCTGCATGCGGTACACTCAGTATACTCGTGGTGTATGCTTGGAGTCAGCCCTTTGGTGTATACTTAATGAACTCACGGTCTGTTCATGGAGCCAGTCCTGTGCACATTTAGAGCAGAGCCTTGGAAGGGAGGAAGTCCTTGCGTCCTCGCCTCCTTGTCTGGTCGATTTCCTGGCCCTGCTAGACCCTCTCTCAAGTCACTCACCTCGGGACCATTGGCTGACTACTGGCCTGCTCTCATCTCCTGTTCATTCAGGGCGGCGGAGAGGACACTCTGGACGACGTGCAGAACCTGCTGCTGCTGGAGGCGCCCCGCTTGCAGGTGAGGGTGAGGGACAAAAAACGGACGAGAGGGATGAGGGAGAGGGGAAATGGCTACACGGGTAGCCAGGGGATGGCAGTCAGAAACAGGAGAAGAGGGGTTCAATGTCACGTGTTGCGTGTGCAGGTGTGGGTTGCAGAGGGACAAGTGGCATACCGGTAGCCGGGAGCCCAGGAGGCGCCACACCATGCCGGTTTGCTTCCATTGGACAGCAACTGACGTCCATGCCATCCGGACCTCTTTCCACTCGGCCACCTCCTCTACAGGTCGAGGTCATCCCCCTCTGGCAGCGCACCGTGGAGCTACTGCCCGGCCTGCAGCCGCAGCTCGACACCCTGCAAGCCAACCGGGCGGCCTACGTCGCCATGCTGCAGGCGGCGTCCGCCACCCAGCTGCTAGACGGGGTAACGCCGGCTGGCGCTGCCGGGCGGCCTTTGGCCGCCCTCGGCGGCTTCGCCGCTGCTGCCGCCGCCTCCGGCGGCGCCGGCACTGCCCCTTCTCCCCTGGGCTCCTTGCCACCTGGACGAGCTTCGTTGCTGCGCAATGCGTTAGGGACTCCACCCTCACGAGAGCCTCGCAGGTTCATCAGTGTTAAGCAGCGTGCGGTGACGAGCGGTCGTAGCGTGCTGGGTGTGATGCCGTCAGGGGATAGCTTGGAGGAGGCGGTGACGAGCGACCGAGGCGGCAGGAGGGCTTTCATGCGGGCGTCTAGCAGTCGGTCGTACACCGGACAAGGTACGGACGAAGGCGACGAAGGGTACGGCACGACGGCGATGGCGGCGACGCCGCCGCCAGCGGCGGCTACCGCCGCTGTCGCCGGCGGAAGCAACGTGATCGGTCGTCTCAGCACTGGCGGCGGCGGGAGCGGCGGCAGTGTAAGTGTGCAGCTGACCCGCCGTGGCGGTATGTCTATGTTGCGTAGCGTCAGCAGGGCTGCGCTGACGCCTGGAGGCAGTCGCCTGGGCCCGCAGCCGCAGCCGCTACAGATACAGCACAGCGGGCCTGCCGGTATCGCTGTGGCTACAGCCTCCGCATCCCTTGACCTGGGCAGCCACGTGTGGCCTGAGGGTGGAGAGCCCTCGCCGCGAGGAAGCGCCCTCAGCAAGAACTTCCAGGCTCCCACGGTGGGCCCGCCGCTTGCGGCAACATCCAACAGCGCCTTCCGGCTTCGATCGCAGTCTCAGGACATTAAAGATGCAATGTCGGAACTTACACCCCGCCGGGGCAGCATCACAAACCGCTTCAATCGTTTTTTCACTTCCTTCCGTCATACCGTCCACAATACCAGCCGCTCAGCTCATCCAGTCGTCGGCGACGCCGCGTCCGCCGTCACCTCCCCCATTGCCGCCGTCAGCGGCAGCGCTACCTCTCCCGTCAGCACCATCACCGGCACCGCCGCCAGCGCTAGTGGCGGCGTCGGTAGTACGGCAGTGCCCGCCGGCTCCGTTATCGTTGAAGTTCCGTACTCTGGCGTCCAAGAGAGCCCGCTGATCTCTCAATCCTCACAGGGACTGATTATGCATAGCTCGGGCCCTGTCGGCGGCGCCTTGACAACGTATCCCTCCGGCCCGCATCCGCACATGGTCGGAATGTCGTCGCAGCTCACCAGCTGGAACCGCTCGCAGGCGCAGACACCGGTGGCCATGTCTCCGACAACTAGCTTCATAATGTCGGCGCCAGCTTTGCCGCCGCCACCACCGATGTCGTCTCCGGCCTCGCCCCTACGGGCAGCAGCCGCGACGTTGACCGCTGCTGATCCCCGCGCCTCTGCTGCTGCTACCTCTGCAGCGGCAGCGGCAGCCTCAGCAGACACCGAGCAGGATAATTCCGCCGCCGCAGCAGCAGCAGCAGCAAACAGCACTAACTCGACCGCTGACGGCGTGTCAAGGTCTATCTCTGGAAAGAGGCGGCTGCGGACGCGCATACTGAACAAGCTGTCCAGTGTACGGTTGCCCTTCGGCGGCGGCGGTGGTGGCAAGAGTGGGCGAAGCTCTCAGCCGCAGCCTCCGCGGGCCTCTCCAGTACCTTTTGGAGGCAGTGGCATTGACGCTGCCGCCGCGACGACGAACCCTCGACCCAACTCCGGTCCTGCGCTTACCGAGTTGTCGTTTGCCGGTGTGTGTGGTAAGGAGCCCCCGTCTTTGCCGTCGCACCCGCTGCCGTCAGGACTGTCAGTGACAGCGGCGGCTGCGGCAACCTCGCGCTTTGCCGGACCGGCATCGCCGCCATCAGCTTCGTATCAGCCATTGTCGCCGAAACGCCGGTCGGCAGCGCCCAGTGGCGCACTAGCGCTGGCACAGCAACATGCCCTGTATGCGGCACGTGCGGCGGCAGCCGCGGAGTCCTTCGCCGCGTGTCAGTCGACCTCCGCCGCTGTCGCGGCATCAGCGGGTGTCGCATATTATGGCACCGGAGAGCGAGAAGGCAACCCGGAGATAGAAGCCTTCGGCTCCATCGTACCTCTCTCAGGGATCCTTTCAGGCGGCGTGCTGCCGACCGTTGCAGAACTAACGACGTCCGGTCGTAACTCTTCAACATCGACGTCGCCTCGTACCAATGACGGGCATGCCACACCCTTCCCTGGCGGTCGTATGTCGACCCCTGGGTCAATCGGAGGCGGGGCTGCCTCGATTCCCAGCCATCCATCACGATTCGCGCCGCTTTCACTTCACAATAGCGCAACACAGGCGACAATGGCTCACGCCGCCGGCACCGCCGCCGGCGCGGCCAGCCACCCCAGTGGTTCTATCGGGGATCTGAGTGTGGCCCCTTCGGGCGGGTCATCGACGACGACCAGGGCCCGCTTGTCCTCTGCCGATAGGGCCGTCGGTGGCGCCTCGAGACGTCGTCACGACCTGGCGGCGGACCTAGCTGCGGACCTGGCGCCTTCTAAGGGCGCCGCACCATCGAAGGGTGTCCTGCTAGGCCTAAGGCTGGCAAGCACTGCACTACGCTCCCTGGGCCGGGGTACCTCCGTAGACGCTGCCACGGCGGCTGCCGTCGCCGCCGCCACAGCACACGGCGGCGGTACACCTGAAGCGGCGCCGTACCTCGACGCGGCGCCGCCGACGCCACCGCTGCCGCCAGCAGCGGCGGCTCGCCCAGCGGCCGGAAGTACCTGTCGTCCCACAACTTCCGGTTCGGTTTCTGCAGCCTCACCAAGTGGCTCAAGAGGGCTGGGAACGGTTTCCGTCGGTTCGGTCTCCAAGACCACCTCACGCAATCCCTCGCGAATGATGACGCCAAGCGCCTCGTTGCGTCGTGGTGGCGTGGGTATGGGCGGCGTGGCTGCGTTACAGGCAGCCCTGGAGATGGCAGAGGCGGCGCTAGAGGGCGCAGGAGCGGCCGGTGGCGGTGGCGGCGGCGGTGGCGTCCATGGCGGCCATGGCTCTGGCGCCGGCGGCAGCGGCGGTTATCCGGCTGACCGTTTCGCCTACGACCGTGCATTAAGTGGTTCGTCTCCCGACTCGAGCCGTCGCGGAGGGCGTACGGCAAGCAACAGCGGAACGACGGCGGCAACGGTTGCGGCGGCAGCTATGCGCGCATCGGGGGACAGCCTGCCACTTCCGTCTCCTAAGCAGGTGCGTGCGTGTGTTAGTGGTAGCAGGCCAAGGACATTGACTGCGAGCGTGTGTTGTTGGCCTTGAGTGGGAAGGTCATACGTACGGGCAAACATGTCCGGTTTTAAGGGTTATGGTGCTTGCAAGTTTCATGTGTGCTTGCAACAAACAGGCCGAGTAAAACAATGGTACTTAACGGCGTCCCTGTGTAAACCTCCCTCCCAAACAGAAATTTGAAGCCTACAACAACCCAGCTTTCGGCTTGACGTCAGAGGACTCAGTCCCCAAGACTAGCGTGCCGCTGCTGATGCAGCCGCCCTCACGCTTCTCCCTTAGGCGCAGCGCAACAGCTCGGCAAGCCGCGGAAGCCGTGGTGATGCAGCCTTCATTCCCCGAGCTTCCAGAGGGTTAAGCGTTGTTTCAATCGGGATCTCGTTCAGCTTTCATAAAGGCCCAGGAAAATAAATGCGGGCTCCGGACATGCGCGGTCAGTCAAGAGAGTTTAACAAGTAGATAGGAAACCGAGGTAGGAAGGAGCCAGCCCGTTATGTTGTGGTGGCAATCCATGCGCACGTTCAGTATAGCGTTTAGTGATGCTCGACGAACCTTTGTAGCTTGATTTCGTTTCTGTTGTATTTGCTGTTGGGTGCGAGCGTGTGGGTACCCTCGCGTGGATGGGTTGGGTGTGTTTGGTGGTGTATGGTGGGTGGTGTATTGCGGATGGTGTGTTGCGGCCCGCCACTGCGCTTGCCTCGGGGTGGAACGGGAGCAGCGGGGCCCAGCGGAAGGGCTCATAGCGCTCGGTCCTTTTAGCGCTCTGCATTGTAAGGAGGTATGGGCTGTCCGATATGCGGACTTGTTGTTGGTTATTGTTATTTGCGCAGCCTGATGGCGGCTGAAGCAGGTGCGGGGTTTAGGCACAGCACAAAAGCTGTTGGCCACTGGATTTGCCTTCACCAGTCATTACTTTCATTGGCGCGGGAACCGTCGAGTAGGCGGTTGCATTACAACTGTCACTTACTGTTGGCTGAGGGAGGGCGCAAGGAGACACCTGATGCGATGCCTCCGGTTATGCTATTGCTTGTTTCTGTGCACGAGACTGTTCAGATACGTAGCTCTCGGAACAGACGAGGAGTTTACAGGGCAACTGCGGAACTCCGTTGTGTTTCGTGGATGACATGGAGGGCATGTAGGATTGATAGATCATACGGAAGTCATTTTGCCTTCTTCCCTCCCATGTTACTGGAGGGTATGCTAAAAGCATTGGCCGTACGATCGTACGGATATGGCTTCGGTTGCTGCTCAAATATCTTTGGAGCCTTGAGTCAATTTTAAGAACTGTGTAGGCCAATAATGCGATTTCGTGCGCTCCAACGACATATTTCCTGGTGCGAGAGGCGAAATTGTTCCCCCTGTGGGTTGTCCATTTTAGAGCGTGCGTAGGTCGTTAGGGTTCATTGCTCGTATTCACGTTTTGGCTGTTGGACATAATTTTGGGTAGAGGCAAGGGCACTATGGGCTGAGTTAATGTGAGTCTTTTACCAGTTCCTAACGCGGCTGACGGAGACCGACGCTAGCTTCCTGCACACGCCATTGTGTGAATGAACCTTGGCAAGGGCCCTCGGGCCGTCGTTCGTTTGGTGGGGTTCTTTCACCCGAAATGCAGGCCGCAGTAGGCCACCGACTGATGTAACTGACTGGTTTTAACTACCGGTCCTAGCCTGGCCTTACCTTAGCATCGGTGTTAATCAGGTTTCCCACGGTGCAGCCTTCTGGTGCCTGTCTAGAGCGGGCCTGCCCCTTTAGTTTTCGCGGGAGCTGCAACAGCATGCCAAGTAGGCTGTAGGGGATGTGCACAAGCCCCCAAAGGATCACCTGGCCTGATGAAGCTCCTGGAGCGCCTAGGAGGCACAAGTGGATGGCTAACAAGGGCTGTGCATTGGTGGCGGTAAGCAACATATGTGTGCTTACCGGTAACGTAGTAGGTTACAAGGAAAGCGCCAGGACGTCAACAGTATGTACAACAGTAGTGTTACAAGAAGGTAAGCGGCTAAAACACGGAGACGACCATGGCACGGAAGGGTGGAGGGGTGATGGGATAGCGTTGATGGATAGGATTACTCGGCCACAATCCATGGCGCTCAACTACTCCATACCGTCCAAAGACGGAACTTAGCAAGGGATTGGGCACCACCAGCACCAAAAGGCAAGCAGTGCAGTCATAATTAGTAAGTTACGTGCCCGTCAGACTGCGGCGCCTTACACACCGGGCGCCGCGGCTAGTCACGAAGCCACTAGACATGCATCACATAAGCAGAAGCAGGCATGCGACAGCCCGAACAACCACCGTGCAAACACAGGCATTGCGCACGCCGTGCTCTCTTTGACTGTCCACCGTCTCTCATAAAACCCATAGCACCTCTCCTCGGCCAAGCCTCGTTCCAAGTTATATGTCCATAGATAAACCCAATCGCCGGACCAGGCACCTAGGTTTTGGCTGTGCAACAGGTCCAATGCGGCTAAGTGAAAAGAAAACACGCTCTCGCTGACGTCAAAAGGCGCCCTGCTTGGCCGCCCTCTGCACGGCATCCATGTCATTACCGGCAACCCATGCGATCTGCACCGACCATTTGCAAACAAGTGCCATCCCCCGACCAAAACCCTCATGCACCAGCGCAGACAACGCTGTGAAAGGGCCCCGCGCTGGGACATATGCACAATCACGCGGACCAGCACCGTAAGTGTTCAACGTATGCCTACCTAGCGCTTCAAAACATCATTAAGACATCACCGCGCGGTGCTTGCAACCGATAGCCCACTAGACCCTTGATCCCATCCCAGAGCACATCGCCCCGCCCCTCATCCCCTGTCCCGTCTCCGCTCGGCCGGCTCATGCGGCTCATGGCCCCTCACGCCTGTCCCATCTCTCACGTTTTCCACATATCACTCCGCCGGAAGCCTCAAAGCCCCGCGCGCTTCTAGACACATGCAAAATGCCGAACTCTCTCATTACAACAACACCGCAACCATGACGGCACTTTTATGTCATGTACACACTTCCCCGGCGACAGGACAGGGCTAGGCTCTCCAGGCGGAATGATGAGTTGCGCTGCTCCTCTGGCAGCGAGCACCCTGACACATTGGATGCGGGGCTAAGAGGAGCAGGCAACTGAGCACTGGGGACCAGCCGACCGCATACGAGTTTTATTTCAATGTAATAAACGCTACACTTCGGCAACGTGACATGAAGTATGACTATGGCATGTGTGCCAAGGCTAGAAGCAAAGGCAGGCTCGCATGATCCTCGGATCCACAGGCGCATTGCTGCGCAGTTCTAAGAGGGCAATGCCCCCCAGTCGTCGCATACACCGTCATAATCAGCACCAGCGACAGCAGTAGCAGTGAAAATGGTATTGCTGCTGCCAATGCATGCTGCTTCAGCGGTCAGGCGCAGCCCTTCATTGCTGAAGGCTACCGGTGTTGTTTCGTTAACCCAGATACAGGCACCTCAACAAACGACCTTGCGGTTCCTAAGCCTCTTTATACGAGTCAAGCTGCTCACGATAGTTTGGTAGCTTGGTAGGCAACTCAGCTCCAGGCCTATGCTCGGCAGGCCTAATACTCCACATGTACTCTATCATCTGCTTTCAAATGAATCCAATTTCCGTGCGTGGCCCTAGGCGTCCCTTTGCTGCAAGCCCGAGTCCTTCAGCATGACAAAGACCCGGCCCTCATCGTCCCGGCTGATGCGCAGTGTGTTATCCAAGTAGGTGGTCAGCATCCAGAGGCTGGTGGCTGACCCGTGGGTCGCCATCATCCCGGACGAAGCAGATGTTACGTCCAGCTCAGGAGACACAGCACGCGACATCATGTCTTGAGCGGCCTGCAGACCGGAGGGAGGGTGGGAGTTAGGGATTTGGGGTTCATAAGTGAATGGTCTTCATTGCCGAGAGTTAGGAGGAGGCAGGAGTGCACGAGTCCGTTGTCATCATGCATGTGAAGGTGAAAACGGACGTGATAAACGAGAAAGGAGAAGCATAAACCCCGTGCAACACACAGCCATCGCATCAATCACCCGTACAGGAGCATGTCCGCTACCCCGCAACCCCAGACCGAACCCGTGGCCTGACCCCTGCCTTCGCGCTCTTACCTCGATTCCGCTGTTGATTGGCTGCACCAGCATCCTCCGCAGCGGGCTCAGGTCCAGTCGTGCGCCCAGCACCGTCACGCTGTCCGGCACCTCCAGCGCCGCCGTCAGCTGCGGAGTGGACACGTAGGTGTCCAAACCCACCCGCGTGAACCGCACCTTGAACTGACGCGGCGAGCGCACCTCCAGACCCGCCTCGGCGCGGAGCGATACCGGCATGGGCACCGCCAGGTCGATCTGGAGGGGGATGTTGGGTGGCATGCGGCAAGGATATGGGGTGACGTGTGCGCGGGCAAGGCATGAAGTGCATGACGGGTATGTACCGAAGCCCCGGGCGGAAGGCTTAACGTGCAAACGGAGGCATGACCAACGACATGGATCATGACTTCATGAGTATTCCTATACCGTATGCGTCACTTCACGGCGCAGCTAATACAAACACAGGGACACACGCGGCACATGCCTTGCCGCTGCCGACAGCCTAGCCACTCACCTTGTTCGTTGCTGTGAGTGTGACCGGGTCCACTATCTGCACCACCTCCCCCACATCCACCAGCGGCACCCCGTCCAGCGCGCCCAGCAGCAGCAGCGTGCCCACGTGGCTCGTGTACACCAGCTTCCACCGACCAGACACGGCGGACACGGCCTGGGGGCAGGAGAGGGGAAGAGGTGGTGGAGGAGATCGGGGTGGGAGGAGAGAATGACTTCATCCCATGAGCCCTTCATGCTACAGCGCAATTCGACACGAGGGCGATTCAAGTTGCATGCCACAGAAAGCCACCAAGTGAATTCCTTGAAAGCTTACATCGGTAGGAGATGTGTTGGGGTTGCGTCCCTCCAGGGTCGTCACCAGCTCCTCAATCGCAGCTCGCTGCTCGGCGGTGGCGTTGACACCGCGAGCGGTGCCGTACACAATATCCAGCAACTTCGCCTTGACGGAGGCCAGCGGCGGCGGCTCAATGGCGACAGCGACAGGAGCGGTGGCAGCGGCGACGGCGACGGCGGCGACGCTATCGTCCATGGGCAGGGCAGGGGCTGCGGCCGCCACCACTGCCGGCTCCGCCGCCTCCTCCAGTGCCTCCGGCTTCACCGCCGGTGCCTCCGCCGCCGCTGGCACGTGTTCCTCTGGAGAGGCAGGCGGCAGGCCTATACCGCTATCCTCCTGCGGCGTGGCGGCGGCAGCTGGCGGTGTGTGGAATACCCTGTTGAGTGAGTTGATCAGAGACGGAGGCAGCCCGGATGCGGCGCCAGCTGCATTCCCATCACTCTGCATGCTGCCGTTGTTGCCATTGCTGCCACCGTCGACGCCGTCGACGCCATTGCCGCCAGCGGCGTCATGGACGGCGGACACAACTGCTGATGCTGCCTCGGCGGTCGCCGTTCCGACTGCAGCTGTGGCGGCAGCCGTTACAGCGAGGGCGGCAGCGGCGGCTGCAGGGGTTTCCTCAGCGGCCGCTGCCGGTGGGAGAGAGAGCTCGGCGACCAGGTCGGCCCGCTTCTGTTCCTGTGGAGAGAGTTATGACAGATGAAGGAGGTGCGTTAGGATGGTACGTCGTACGGCAGCGGTGCAGCGGAGTGCACATGGGAGAACCTGCTGGCCAAGGATCACCAGCAGCCTACCGGTTTAAACGAGGCCAACAGAAGCAGCAGACCAGCAGAACATCAAGAGCCCACTGCCCTTCCTCACTAACGTAACCGCCCTCTGCTCCTCATCTGTCGTCTCCTCTCCCTCCCTGCCTCCTCACCTCCTCAAGCAGCTGGTTGATCAGCCGGATGCGCTCCAGCAGCCGCGCAGTCACACCACCACCGCCTCCACTGCCTCCACCACCACCAACAACAGAGGCTGTAAGTTCCAGCGGCCCTTCAGCCAGCGCCTCAAGCGTCTCAGCCAGCGAAGGCGGCAGCCCAGCCACCGCCGCGGCAGCAGCAGTAGATGTGGAAGGGGAGCTCCTAAATAACGGCGTGCCCACCGCCGCTGCGGTTGTAGCTGTGTCGTCGTCGTTGTTTGCAGCGGCAGCGGAGGCGGCGCTGGAGGTTGTGACAGAGGCTGCCGGTATGGCTTCACTTGAAGGCAGCATGAGATCCGTGGCCGTCTCCGTTGCCGCTGTGGCTATAGTGTCTGTGGGCGTGTCTGGATCGGGCATGGTAGTCACCAAGGTGGGAGGCGGCAGCGGGTGGGTGGGCTGCAGGTGGGCAACGGTTGAGCTGTCGGAGGGGACGGAAGCGGCCATCGCCGCCGCCGTAACACCCAACGCGGCAGCGGCGACGTCGTCAGCCTCGTCGTTGGCGGCCGCCGTAGCCACGGCGGGGGCAGCCGAAACTTGCAGCCCCTGTAACCCCGAATTGATGACATCAGCTGCGGCACCCACAGATGCCTTGTCGCCGAGCGCTGCTGCCGCTGCTTCTGCCGAACTGTCGCTGAGAGGCGCTTCGCCTACGTCGTTGTCGTATTTCGCCACGTTGATTAGTGCTTCCGGAACAATCTCAACGGTTGACTCTGCTGCAGCCTCGGCCTTCGCCTCCGCCTCTGCATCTGCCACTGCCGCTGCCGCCGCTGTCAGCTCTGATCCGTCGAGGGGCGTTGAAACGGAGTCCTGAACGTCTGCATGTGTTGCCTCCACAGTTTCGATTTTATTCTCCCTCGCTCGCCTCTCCACTGCTACAGCTGCTTCCGGAGCCGTAGAGTCCTCGCCAGTTACCGGTGCGTCAGCGGCAGTAGTCTCGTTTGACGCATCCCCCGAGGCATCTACCTCAGTTTGCTGCTCGTGCGGTCGTAAAACGAACTCAACGACCTCAGCAACGGCGGCGTCCACTACAGCCGGCTCAATCGCAGGCGTGACGGAAAAGGCGGCGACAGCGGTGGTCTTGCCACCGGGCCCTGCCTCCACCACCGCAGCTGCTTCCTCCGCTGCTGCAGCAATGGCCTCAGCAATAGCCGCCGTCACTTCGTCCGCCGTTGCCGTTCCTCCGGCCTCAACCGCAGCGGAAGCGCGGGCAGCGGCCTCCGCAGCCGCTTCTGCCACGGCGACGGCGACCCTGGCAGCGGCGTTGGCGGCGGCGCGGGCGGCGGCGTCCGCTACGGCGGTTCCCACGCGTGCAGCGGCGACGGTGGCCGCACCGGCGACGATGGACGTCAGGTCAGCTGCATCTGACGTGTCATCCTGCAAAGCGCCGCTGGCAATATCCGGAACCTCCATGGTAAGAGCAAGGTGGGGGCCGTCATCCTGGTTGCGGTGTACATCGGCCGCCGCCGTTAGCCCCTCTTCCTGGGCAGATGTGGAGGGTGTGGTTGCGACACTGGCCAACACTGGGGGCTCCTCAGCTGCCGCAAAAGACGCGACATCATCAACGTGTGCGGCAGCAACGGGCTCCTCCGCCCCCGGCTCAGCAGAACCTCCGTCAGTATCAGCAGCAGGAGCATCCCCGGCATCCTCAGCCACCGGGGCGTCTTCAACAGACGGCACCTCCTCCAGTGACCCGGGTCCCAGCTCAGTTGCCACTGCTGAGGCTGCCGCCTGCGCCGCCGCACCAGCTGTTGGCTCCACAGTTGCCTCTGTCGGTGCGTCCTCCTCCGCTGGATGCGCTGCTGCTGCCTCCGTAGCTGTCTCACTCATCACCTCCTTCACGTCCGCTGCCTCCACCGCTGCCCCTGTCGGTTCCTCTTTCGCTGTGCCAACCGCGACGTCAGCAGCTGCCTCTTCCGTCATCTCCACAGCAGCCGCTACCGCCGCATTCGCCCCCACCTCCTCAGTCGCCCCAGACGCCTGCTGCACTGCAGCCGAGCTAGAGGCGTCGCGGCTCGCCTTTAACGTGGCTTCCTCATCCCGCGCGGCCTCTATCTCCCCCACCGCCTCAGGCTCAGGCTCGGGCTCAGGCAAGTCAGGCACGACGCCTGAAGAGGAAAGAATCTCAAGCTGCTCCACTACCCGCTCCAGTGCTGCCTCTCCCACTGCTACCACCCCCTCAACTGCAGCAGCGGCGCCTTCGACGGCCTCTTCACTCGGCCTCGCTGCTGCCTCTCCCGCAGACTCAACGGAAGGCAGGGTCACAGCTGGAGCGTCCGTCGCTGCAGCCACTGGCTCGGCCGGGAGCACGTTGGCCGGGTCCGGCACCGCTGCCTCCGCTTCCGCCTCTGCCGCCACACACGCCGCAGCCTCCGGTGGGGCAGGAGCAGCTCCTTTAGGCGCTGCAGCATCCACCGGAGGGCAGTCAGCAGCAGTAGCAGGAACGGCCACGGGCAGGGAACCCGCAGCTAACGGAGTGGACGACGCCGCTGCGGTCGCCATCACTGTCTCCTCTACCTGAGGCGCCACCACTGCTTCTGCCTTGATTTCCACAGCAGGAGCAGCAGGTTGCGCCGAATCCTTGGCCTCTTCAGTATCCCCAGACGCGGACTCCATGGCGGCAGGCAGCGCAACGAGAGCTGGGGCGTCCTCAACTTCTCCAGCCGCCGCTGCCCCTGCAGGGACAGCAACGGAAGCAGTGTCGACCGGCGGTTCTGCCGCGGCCTCCACACGGCCTCCGACAGCGCCCTCCACCACATCCACCACCACAGGAGGCTCCGAGCCCTCAAGGGCTGGCTGCAAGGAGACCTCAGCAGCAGCAGCGGCGGCGGCCTGCACTGCCTTTGCATGCACCTCAGGAGCCTCTACCACCGCACCTGTCTCTGCCGCCTCCGGATAGCCCTCGGGGCAAAATGGGAGAGGGGCGGCGGCATCGGGCTCCGGCTCACCTCCTGCCTCTGCAGCGGAGGGCGCGCAAGCAGCCTGCAGCCCCACCTCCGTCGTCGCCTGCGGCTCAGCGGCGGCAGGCAGCGCGGTCTCCACCTCCACCGTCGACGTCGTCGTCGCAACATCTGGCTCCGCAGCAGCTGTTATGGGCGTGGCGGCGTCAGCCTCCTGTGCCAGCAGCTGCTGCGGCCGCGTCTCACGCACAGCTTGATCTTCTGCCACCGCCACCGGCACTGTCACAACATCCGCATCCGCCCTCGCCTCCGTACTAGCCTCCTCTGCTGGAGGCAAAGGCGCAACCTCAGCCCCCTCCGGCAGCGGTCCAGCAGCCACCACCACGTCAGCAGCTTTCACAGCCCCAGCCGCCGCAGTCGCCGTGTCAAGCTGGGAGACCGGTGCATTCGCCTCAGGAGCCTCCTCTGTAGCATCAGCCGCCGCCGCCGGCGACACCACATGCGACAGCTGCACAGCCGCCGCTTCCGGTTCGACAACGGGATCTGCCTCAACACTCGCCTCCGACACCACCACCACGGACGTGGCCTCCATCATCACAGCATCGGTCTCTTCACCAGCTTCCGCTGTTGCGTTTGCAACGGGCTCAGCTGCAGTCGCGCCCTCCGTTGCTGTCGCCGACGGCCCCTCAGCCGCCGTGTACATCGGCACCTCAACCGCCTCCGCCATAGGCGGCACAGCCACGCCACTTGCGTCAACAACCGCCACAGCTTCCTCCGCCGGCACATCTGGAACCACCGCGGCCGCAGCAGCCTCTGCCACGGCGTGTGGTGCGGGTTCAGGTGTCGCTGCGACGTGCTCCTCCACCGTTTCCGTGAGCAGCGACTTCGCAACTGCTTCGGGACTTGCCGTGCCAGGTGCACCGAAGGCGGGCTCCGGCTCAGGTATGGCCTCGGTAGAAGCAGCAGTTACCACCTCGTCCGTTACTCCCGTTGGCGGGTTGACACAGCTTGCCTCCTCGGCACGCTGTGCCAGGTCTACAACTGCTTCCTCCCCGTCGCTAGGGGTCGTGGCAGTAGCAACAACAGCAACGGGAGCCGCTGCCTGCGCGTCAGGAACCGCAGCCGCTGGAGTGGCCTTAGCCTGCTTCTCAGCCCCAGTACTGTCCGCCGAACGGCGGCCCCTTCCCATAACGACTGCCGCCGCTGCTGCCATTGCAGCGATGCCTCCGGCAGCCACCGCCGCCATCGGCAAGCCACCAGCCTCTAACACGGCTGCCGTACCCTCTCCTAGGGCCGTACTACTCGCCACCCTGGCCTGAGCAGCCTTAGCATCCAGCAAGCCGTTCATAGCACCCTCTGAGGCGACCTGCGCTGCCGCGGCCGCTGCCTCCGCCGCCTCCGCCAGCCTGGTCGCCTCCGCCGCCGCGGCCTTCGCTGCTTGCGCCGCCACCAGCGCCTCCGCTAGGCTGCTGTCGCTAGCCGCATATGCGCTGGCCGCTGCCGCAGCCGCCTTGTCCGCTTGCTGCCTGGCGGCCTCTGCCGCCGCCTCCGCTGCCGCGAGGTACTTTGCCGCTGCCGTACGCGCCTCCGCTGCCTGCTTGGCTGCCTGCGTTGCGTCCGCTGCAGCATCCTCCACTCGCTCAACATCCTCCCCAGAAGCATCCCACGACGGTAACGGCAGCGCCAAGCCACCGACCTGGTTCACAGGCTTCGCGTTAGACGCGGCGACAGCGTCCGTCACAGCTGCCGCACACGTGTCCGAGGCCTCGGCCGCTGCCGCCGCTGCCGTGGCGTCGGCCTGCCTGGCTGCAGCAGCGGACAACGCCGCGGCGTTAGCCGCCGCCGCAGCTCCTGCCTTGGCGTTTTCCGCCTCCTCCACGGCCGCAGCGGCGCTCTGCCCAGCAAGCACGGCGGCGGCTTCGCGAGCAGCCCGCCGCGCCTCTTCACTGTCGGGCGCCGCCTGCACCAGCTCATCGGCAGCCCGAAGCGCCGCATCGAGCTGGGCTCGAAGTGCAGCGCTTGGGACGGCCGCGAAGTCCGCGGTGGCATGCATGGGCCTGACGGCGGAGGCGGTGGAGGCAGGTGCAGCTAAGAGGGTGAGCTGCTCCGCTGCGTCTGCGTTGCTTGGTGAGGAGGAAAGCACGACGGCAGCAGCAAGGGCCGCGATGACCACGGGCGATGCAGCCTGTGGAGGCGTAGCGGCGTGTCACAGCGGCGTTGTGAGGAAGCGGAAACAGGAGCATGTCTGGCAGAAAGCAAGTAGGGAGCTAGTAGGGAGCCGTACTTACCTGGGAAGCACGGAGGGCACTGGCTGCCAGCATTGCCCCCGAGAAGAATGCCCCAGCAACAGGAAAGGGATCCGTTTGCGCCTTGTCGCATTGCTCTGCATTGCTGCCGGCCGGTAGGGATGGGGCCGGCTCCTCACTGATAGGGGAGGGGAAAAGATAAGGACGGAGCGCGGCGAGGTAAGTCTGTTCCGCCCACAAAGGCAGAGGTTACGGCTGTAAACGCAACATGCAGCGTGCGTTCCAGGCGCTTACCTGACATGGAAGCTCCTAGCCGGGCTTCTTCGGCAGCCCGGAAACACCTGTTACAAGGATAAAGCAGGAACCCGAGCGAGCTAGAGTATCAGTCATGTTTGAACTAAATTAATTGCTTCCGGTGCGAAGGGTAGCTGAAAGGATAAACGGTAAGGGAAGAGAATGTCCATGTCCAAACGGCTTGCACAATTTTTAACTCCGCTATGCGCTGTTTGGACTGAGTTGTAATATAAGTCAGCTCCATATACATGTTTAAGTACACTAAATGCATGAAACCCAGGAGCTTGCGAACACGTGTTGTGCATGGCCATCCTTGCTTAACACGTATGCTTACCTGTGCGGTCAACACATTTCTTCCTCTAAAGTGAAACCTACTGAACCCTATGCCAAAACTACAGCTAGGCGTTCGAGGGTGTTGCCCAGACGTCCCGGCCACGAACATGTCTCCTGCGGCTCCTACGTAAGCTTTCTTAGAGCGTGTGCATCAGAGCCCTTCAGCTACTGGGTTGCTCTCAACGTTCTCGCTGAAGCAGATGAAGAGGTCTATGCTTCCTGGAACGGGCAAGAATCGGCTTTGCCGTACGCAGTGGCCCAATCCCGCTAGACGCCATATAAGGCGCGGCATTAAGTTCTCCATATACACATAATTCATCAAATTGATCTGCGCTGTTCAAGTATTCTCGGTAGGCCTTCAATGGGCTCGGAAGCCGAGCGGTCATGTCAGTCGCTGAACGAAACATTTTACCCATTCTGCATTTTTTTCATCTTAATCCACTCACAATTAGATTATTGCAATCCCTTGACGTATCTAAAGAGCTCCCCAAGAGTTGTGCGTACCGGTAGCCGGTTCGGCCTCTTTACCTTACTGCCGGTAGCTACGTAGTCAAAATTTCTTAGACGACGGTGGGAAATCGCGAGAACAGACTTATATTCAACAATTTCATTATTGTAGACTAACACGTCCTTCCGTCACCATGGAGGCGCTCACCTGGCAACAAAACGTAGAGCTAGGCCCAACGGCTCATGCATGCGGCGACATGCCTCTTGCACTTTGCATACAGGACCGTCCAACTCGCATGCAGATGCTAGACTCCAAGTGTCCAACGGCGCCTGCTGCATGAATCTTGCATGCCTTAAACCCATTCAACGGCGCGAAGAATGTTCTTGTTTCACATGTCGTGCAAGGTGATCCCATGCGCTTTTATACTTCAACGCCCCCGCGCGTCATTCTACACTCCACGCAAATCGCGCCTTCTATAGTGCATCCGAACACCTGGCATACGGCATCACATAAGCCATGATGCAGGAGCTAAGAAACAGGCAATTCACCTCATTACCGAAAGCTTGAAGCGACATGCACCTCACTCACAGGGCCAAAGTGTGGCGGTTAAGACATTCCCGTCACGCTTGCCGCGACAATGATTTGTACCCTCGCATACACCATGATTATGAACCAAGGTTGACCATGGACCGAGAACCCACTCCGCGCACATGAAAGCACGCCTCTGTCCGCACACGTACACATACCTTTGCAGGCGGTAACAGGATGAAGGCTTACGGCAGGTGATCCGAGAGTCCCGCCAATATGCATGACCAGCATAAGCGCAGTGAGTCAAAGCGTGAAGTCAAAGAGATGTTGGTTAGCAGGAAGTTGCATGCACTGGCGCCCCAAGACACATACTGAAGCCCCTGAACAACTTCCCGACGCCAATAGTTCCACACATTTCGTCACTGCCCCCGCTAAACACTCAATGCTCCTCAGCTCAATGTCCACTTCGCATCCCAACGATAGCATAAAGCGCCCAACTCCGACTTTCAGATTGCAACAAGTCCTCCCAGGACACCCGTTACAAGCTCTTAACCCAAGGAGTGCATGTCAAACGGCGCTCCCGACGCTATCGATTAGGAGCCCCTGAAGCCATAGAGCGGCAGATGCATTACCTCTCGCCAGCACCAAGCCAACTGGAAGCAGCAGAGGACCTCCTCAACTCCACCGCTCACCTCGGCGAGCGCCGAGCAGTGTCCGTCGGGTAAATGCTCACATCCTGTTGGAGCAGGGCGGCAAGGAACGCCGCAGGGGAGCACTGTGTCAACCTAGACGGCTAGACCATAATTGCGGCAGCAGCAGAGGAAGCTCTTCCTGGAGTCAGCACTTGTACCTTGTACTCGCTCCTCCCTCAGTTGAGCTCTAGGCCCGTGTGGGCGGGGCGCTCACACGGGCAGGATACGGGTGCTCAGCTCACCTTCAGCATGACGAAGACCCGGCCCTCGTCGTCCCGGCTGATCCGCAGCGTGTCATCCAAGTAGGTGGTCAGCATCCAGAGGCTGGCGGCGTCGCTGACCGACCCATGGGTCACCCCCGGCGGCAGCGGCATGGAGTCCAGAGACAGCTCGGGAGATACGGCGCGACCCAGGAAGCCCTGAGCAGCCTGGGGACCGAAAGGCAGGACGATGCTATGACTATCTGCCGGTATAAGCAAGAACGGTCTGAAATGTGTACCTGCTTGAATGACGGCAATGCCGTGTTACATCCTTCCGCGAACCCGCTTGGAACCATGCGCACGCCCACATCCAAACCCGCACCCTCTCATGCGCCCTCACCTCGATTCCGCTGTTGATTGGCTGCACCAGCATCCTCCGCAGCGGGCTCAGGTCCAGTCGTGCGCCCAGCACCGTCACGCTGTCCGGCACCTCCAGCGCCGCCGTCAGCTGCGGAGTGGATACGTAGGTGTCCAGACCCACCCGCGTGAACCGCACCTTGAACTGACGCGGCGAGCGCACCTCCAGACCCGCCTCGGCGCGGAGCGACACCGGCATGGGAACCGCCAGGTCGATCCTGTTCGTCGCTGTGAGTGTGACCGGGTCCACTATCTGTACCACCTCCCCCACATCCACCAGCGGCACCCCGTCCAGCGCGCCCAGCAGCAGCAGCGTGCCCACGTGGCTCGTGTACACCAGCTTCCACCGACCAGACACGGCGGACACGGCCTGGGGGCAGGAGAGGGGAAGAGGAGGTGGAGGGGAGAGGAGCGGGAAGGAGAACACAGGAGGACGGTGTGAGGAAGGCGAGAGAAGCCACAACTCGTACGTCTATGCGCGGGTCGGGGTCCAGGAAAAAGACGAGACAGCTGGAGCGCTAGCTGTACCAAGCAAACCCCAGTGCCCTGCCTTCCGTCCCCTTCCCTCTTCCCGTCCCGCCCAGCTCACATCCGTGGGTACTGCGTTGGGGTTGCGCGCCTCCAACGCCGTCACGAACTCCTCAATCGCAGCGCGCTGCAGCGGAGTGGCGCTGACGCCGCGGGAGGTGCCGTACACCAGATCCAGAAGACCCGACTTGAGGTTGATGAGCGTGGCGTCGTAACGGCCGCGTCCCCGCGGTGAAGCCGCGGGCTGCGAGGCTGGCGAGGGCGCCTGCCCGGTCGTAGCTGCTGAGAGCGGTGGTGGCTGCTGCGGGCTGCTAGGCGGCATGACGGGCGGCAGCTGCTGTGCTGGGGTGGGTAGCTGTGACGGCGGCAGCGGCAGCGACTGCGGCAGGGACGGCGACAGCGGCAGCGACTGCGGCAGGGACGGCGACAGCGGCAGCGACGGAGGCAGCGGATCGCGTTCTAGGAGTTGAAGGATAGGTACGGCAGGCTGGGTGGGTTGATGACGCAGAGGCTGCAGCTGTGGAGGAAGCGGCGGCAGAGGAGGTGGAGACGGAGGAGGTGGCGGCGCAAAAGCTGCTTCAGGAACCAAACCCTCCTCCTCCTCCTTGACGGTGCCAACGACGATGCCATCCAGTGCCGCTGCAGGTGCAGGTGCTGCCCGGGACGGTACGGCCCCTGCCGCTGTCCTCTGCGGCTGCGGTGGCTCGTCCAGCAACCTTCCGATGTCCCGAATGCGACCCAGCACCTCCTCAGCGGTAGCGGCCGCAGCAGCAGTAGCCGCGCCGCCGGCGGCTCCCAGCGCGGGAAGACCCAGGAAACCTGCTGCTGCCGCGGCCGGGGCCTCGATGGGCATGGATAATGCCGCTGACGCTGCTACGGCGGCAGCAGCGGCGGTGGCTGCGGCGCCGGCAACAGGCGTTTGCACGGCGCTTGAAATCCCACCAGTTGGCTTGGACAGTGGCTGCTTCGGCTCCTCCTCCTCGACGTCGGAGGCCTCGGGGCTGTCGAAGGAGGACAGAAGCACGCTGACCTTGTCCAGTAGTCCCTCGGCGTGTTTACGATCTTGTACGACGAGATCTGTTGCCGCCGCCGCTGCAGCGGCTGCGGGCACGCTGGATGCCTCCTTTTGCAGCTCTTCATCAGCGACTGTGGAGGAGACGGGGATGGCCTCTGCCTCCGTCACCGTAACTGCCCCTAGCTCCTCCTGCGGTATGAGGGTGGGGGAGCCAGGACTGATGAGCGACGACGCAAACAGGTTGAATGAACCGAAAGCAGGTTACACAAAAACCTTAGTGCATGCCGCTTTGCAGTGCAAAGCTCTGCACTGCAGCGTTTAGGAGGTACACACGCAAGCTGCTAACAGCCTCTTCCAAACCAAGACACGGGTACGTTCTCCGCTACACCACTCCGCTTGGAAAGCTATCTCACCTTTTCAAGCAGCTTGTTGATTACGCGAATGCGATTCAACACACTGCCCGCCGCCGCCGCATCCATGGGCCGAGCCACCGGCTCAACCGGCACAAGCGGCGTCACGACTGGCAGCGCCGACCCAACCGCCGCCGTCGCCGTCGCCGTTGGCAACGGCTCCACTGGCAACGGCTTTATAACTGGCACCAGCTGTGGCACCTCCGCGTCTGGTTTATCGAGCAGCTGCGCTGACGCCATGGCTGCAGGCGCCAAGGTAGGTGTGGCAGCCATGGGCGGCGGTGTTGAGCGGTTCAGGACACCCAGCGCATCCTGCAGGGCCGACTCCACACGTGCACGTGCCGCGGCCACCAGCGCTGCCGTACTGAAGGCATCCGTACTGGAAAGGGGCTCCGAAACGGTTTCAGCCGTAACGGTTGGTAACGGTAGGGATGCCGACGTGGAGGCCGCTGTGGCGGGTGGGGACGGCGCCTCCGCTGAAGGCAAAGTCGTTTCCAAGGCTGCTGCTGCCGCTGCTGGCGGCGGTTCGGCGTCTGCAGACGCAGAGGCTGACGGCTGTGGTGTCGTTGCTGACGGTGCCGCAGGGGATGGGGAAGGGGCGGCTGGGGCAACGCCGTGTGCTACATCTGCTGGCGCTGCAAGCGACTCGGAACCGCCAGCAGCAGCAGTAGCAGCGGCCGCAGGTGAGGCATCGGGCACCTGTCAGATGTGTCAATATTGAGTAAGGCAGGCCATACGGGTAAGAAAATGAAGAAAAAAACAATCCAGGTGTAAGAGCTCTATCGAACCTTAACGGGACTGGTCCATGTGACGAACACCACATGCAAGACGGTAACGTGCGTGCGCGCGTGTGCACCCTTCTGCGCTGGGCTGGACGCACCTCCTTAACGGGCGCCGTAGCAGCGGTTTCTGCAGCCTGGTGCGGTAGGGGTGCGGCCGTCGCAGTTCCCGCTGTGGCTCGGCGCACCGCTGCCAGGGCGGATTCCACCGCGTCCATTTCCACTGCAGCATCCTGCGGGGTGGCAAGGAGACACAGGCAGACGACCAGGCCAGAGGTTAGGGACGTTTCGTATGATGCAAATCCTGAAGTTGTGTCAGGATGTACGAGTGGCAACAATTGCCACATCTTCAAGGGCTCATGGTTCGTAAACACCCGCTGTGAAGGCCACGCGACAACGGAATGGTTTATATCTCAGTAGCACCGTCATGTACGGCTGCTACAGCATGTACGGCAGGTCGTATCGTACCTGCAGTAGGGCTCGGACCTCTGCCACCGCTGACCTTACGGCTTGTGACTGGGATGGTGGCGAGGGGGGCACGGCGCTTGCCGCTGGGGCTGCCTCGACAGAGGGAGGTTGGAGTGCTGCGCGACCCGTTGCAGCGGTCGCCTGCACGGGCGGATGAGCAGGTCAGGAAGGTGGACTTGTAACGGTTAAGTAACGGTCATGTGCGGAGAGCTGGTTGGCTTTATGTGCGGAATGGGTAAGAGATGCAAGAGGGGAAAAGCACAGGTCTGCAATGTCGGGTCCGCTTGGCTCTTTCAACAGCATATAGGTGACGTTAGCATGCGGGGAGTAGCCGTCCTCAGCAAGTGCCGTTAGGGCGTTAAGTGTTGTTCCTAGCAGTGGGTTACCGTACGCACCTTCAAAGCAAACGCCCGTAAGGCCGCTAGCGCCAGCAAGAGGCCGCCCAACCCTGCTGCCAGCACATGTGAATGCCGAGTCGCGAAGCCCTGAGCCCCCGCCAGCAACCCATGGATTGGTGGGACGCTATGCGTAGCTGACTTGGGTACAGGTACATCACTGAATAGCACCGGAGAGGAGGACGGATCCAAATGTAAAAACATTTAATGCGTATTCATTTAAGGGTGATCCGAAGCACCTACACTAGTAGCATGTGCAAGAGCAGTTACCTTGGCACTAAAAGTTTCTGGCCTGGTTGTAATTTTGCTCCTGAACGAAGTTTGGAACGCTTTCCGCGACTCCCCTTTGGTGTTGCCTCCTGCAAGGTACCGCAAGAGGTCCATGGGCCAGCGCTGCAGGGAAGACAGCTTGGTGACCAGACATACCCGTATCTGTTCGACCGAAACTCCGTATGCTAGGGCAATCTGTGCCAACGTCTCCCCGGTCTGGTTGGACGAAGACGCATGCGAGACATGTAGGGCAGATGGTCAGTCGGTATCGCCCAAAGAGGCTACAATGCCACATGTTTGCACTACTATGTAAACCAATACGATTTTTATCAATAAACTCCAAGCTGTTTCACCTGCACTGTATGGAGAGTACCAATTTCAGCTTCTGCTGCTGCCGATAAAGCCCACAGCCGTCCTTGTATCCGAGAAGGCTTCCCGTGGTAACTACATCTAGCCGGAAGGAGGGGACCGCAGGCCAGGCCCCGAGGGCCGGTGGATGCGACCGATAGCATGCGCTAACGTTCGGCGACGATTCACCCTAAGAACAACTCTTCTGTTACCTAGGCGTCGTTTTCTAGCTGCGTATGCGCTTGTCGGTTATGAGGCATTTGGGATTAACACCCAAGCCGGCAAGCGTCAACTGGGTCAATGATCACAATCATACGCCTTTACGCGACTGAAAGATGCAAGTACACATACTCTTTCATCTAACCCACAATGCCTACTGAAACAATTGAGTGCAGGACTGTCGCAAGATTGTACGACACGGACAGTAAGTGTATGTCTTCTACCTCGTCTATGTCGGCTATACGCTTTAGCTCGTCGACTCCATGGACTGGACTGTCACAGTAACATTTCGGTGATTTCACATCTGACAACTGCGGCAAAACTCAGGAAAACCAGGGATGCTAACTTGGATGGACGTCTACCACAATAAAAGCAAGGTATTTACAGGTTTCCTGCCGTCGTCATGGAGATTATCGTTCAGTGGCCTTGCCAATGAGCGCCTGCTGTTGCGAAGACCCAACCGGACATCCCGCGACACGAATCGGCACGCAGCTGGAAAACGGCAAATCCTCAATTACCAAGTCGTATAACCAGGAACAAGGCACTAGAAGTGCAACGTACTGCAGGATCACTATAAGGCTTTCAGCTAGTGCCAAGCTAGGCAAAACTCCTCCATGGAACAATCCGTGGAACTCTACCCATTCCAACCTCCACAACCCATTATCCTACCAAAGCGTTCTGCAAATGACAGGCAAGCCGCCCGTTTATATACGTCATGCACACCTTCCCGCATACATCATTGTGTTTATGCTAAGCATGCAAACCCACTAACCAACTATCCAACCCCGATCTCCTTCCAAACCTCCCCAAGCATCCCAGGACTGCCAGGAATCTAATCGCACTTCACGTTGCGGTATATCGTCCGCACAAACGCAGCAGCCGCCATGTAGCCCACCGCGCCGCACAGCAGCGCTAACCCCAGGCAGAACATCGACGTGTAGCCAAAGTAGAAGCACGTCTGGAAGAAGCCCGTCATCTTAGTCTTGAACAGGAAGTAGTGCACCGAGTAGAGGAACACGTAGAAGGAGGTGGAGGCGGACATGCCAAACGCCGTCCACTGCCAGTGGTAATTTTCCGCGTTGAGCAGGAAGTAGGTGCCCACGATGGTGACGCACACGCTAACCACCAGCAAGATCAGTACGACAAGCAGCAGGAAGCCGTAGATGTAGTACACCTTGTAGTTCCAGAAGCTGGTAAACACAAAATACATCTGCATGGGGGCATGAGGCAACATGGGGCAGATGAGGCTAAGCGGATAAGAACCGTGGGGCATGCATGTTGTTTGCATAAGCATGGCCAGCGGTTGGTCCTCTCGCCGTGCGCTGCACGGGCTGTGCAGCTCCTTGCTATACTTTCTAAACGGATGCGCCGGTTCCTCGCTGCACATCGTACGTATCTAGTACCCACGCCGAAACGGGCCATAGAAAGCAGACCGCAACTTACAAGGCGTACAAGAGGGAGGAACAGGGACCCCACGCACCTCAATGAAGATCGACCCAAATGGCAGCAAACCGCCCGCAGCGCAGATGGCCCACGGCCGCAGATACCAGTGCTTGTCGGGAATGGGCGACGGAATACGCTTGACGCGGCAGGGATCTGCATGGGGACATGGGCATGAGCGGGATCGCCCCGGCAACATCAGAAACCACGGGTGCCAAAGCATGCAACGTTGTCGAACCCATGCAAGCAATCGGCGCTCGTGGCGGCGACCCATCCATCCACTGCGACTACCCATTACGGACAATCCGCAAACTATGTACAGCAGAGTGCTCTTGCTCACAGTTGGGGATGGAGTTCCAGTTGCGGCCCACAATGGTTCCAATGAGGCAGAGCGGGAAGGAGATGAAGCCCCACAGCAGCAGCACCGCCATGATGTACGCAAAGGGCACGGCGGCCAGCGAGTGGTAGAAGATGGCGATGGTGTTCAGCCCGAACGCAATACCGAAGCACAGCCCGGGGAACAGAGACGCCGACAGTAGCATGGTGCGGATCCAGTAGCGCCCCTCGTGGCGCGCGTACAAACCACCTGATACGTAACCGCCTGCGTGGATGTGCCGTATAAGGGCAGTGTGAAGTGTTGCGCGTGAGGACGCAGGTCGAACAGGATGTCCTTCGGGAGTGGTGCAAGAGGCGAGCTGCAAACCTTCACCAAGCATGCTATAGCGTGTCGCACCCCTTGCGGCTGCCAAGCAACGGGCGTAATGATGCAATCCCCTTACGAGCATTGCCGCGGCATGCCCCTGCCCACGCAACCACACGCGCCGCGTTGCAAACGTGACACCGTATATACGACCTTAGCCCCCTCCCCTTGGACCCATTGGCTGCTCCAACAGCTTTACCCCAGGCCACCATGGCACAAAGCACCGACGGCCCCACCCACCAATAAAGGACGTGAGCGCATAGGCGATGATAAAGCACGTGAGGATGGTTCCGCGCTCCTCAAAGAAGGAGCCCGCAATGGTGAGCAGGATGACCGAGGTGCACAAGAACACCAGCTGCACGCCCGTGCCCACACTGGCAGCCAGCAGCGTCAGGTGCCGGGGCGGGCGGAACACGTCCCCGTGCACCAGCTTCCAGCCCGACTCCTCCGAAAAGTCCCGCTCCAGGGATTCCGCATCCAAGGCGCCGTCCAAGGCATCCGCGGCAGAGCGCGCGTAACTGCAAGACAGAAGGCAAGAGGGCGGCAAGAAGGAACAAAAGCATGGGTTAAAAAACAAGCGAGCAACTGCGCAACGCACAGTGCAGGCAAAGCAAGGTGATGAGGAAGCGACGCGTGCGCGCACTGACCGGCCAAAACAATACTACGGCAAATTTGCGCCCATGCCCTTTACTTGCGCAAGCCACCAGCGCCACCAAATGCCCCAAAGCGCCCGTCCACGCATGCAGTGTGCTGCTCGGCACCCACCGGGCGTAGTCCTTGCGCAGGGTGCGCATGAGGATGATGGCCACTAGGCCCGTCAGGAAGAGCACCATCATGAAGGAATTCACCAGGGAGAACCAGTGGATCTGCGGAGGTGGCGGTAAGCGGGCAGGGGAGGAGGGGCCAGCATGGAGACACGGTGCAAGAGGATGGCATCATGCGAAGCGACGGCCAGGTGCAGCGCCCAAGGGCTCGACAGGAGCCGCCTGACCGCCTGGCTTGAGGACATGGTGAATACAGCTGGCGATTCGCTCTGAAGGCTACCCCCGCCTCTCCTGTACCCGACGTCTCAGCATCCCATGCCAGGGCAGATAGCTCCTCGTTAACGGATCTCCCATGCCCTCCTCGTGCGCTTGCCCGTCCGCCCCTATTAGCGATAGGTCCGTCAACTGCCAAGGGTCCCTTCCCCTTCCCGATAGTCAACGACGGCCACCAGCGCACCTTGTGCTCAAAGAAGACGTAGTCCAGGTAGCGCTCAAACCTGCGGGAGAAGGGGGTCTTGGTGGCGTGCCAGTCCACCGAGTACCTGAAGTCCAGCTTGGCCCCCGGGGCCACTAGCACGGGTACCGCCGTGGTAAGGTTGACTTGGATGATCTGAAGGGCGGGTCAAGTTGGGAGACGGTGGGGAAAGGGCGGCTTGAGAGCAGGATTGCGAAGATCCAACCGGCGCTGCGGTGTGGCGCAGTTTCTGCAAACTTGATTGCGTTACGTCGGTTGTTGCATGCGTCGCAGCGCCAAAGAAGCGGCAGGTTAACAGCACCCAATGCCGCCGCATGAGTCGTGTTTTTAACGGTCATGCCCCATGTATCGCCGCTAGGTTGCGGTCACCGGGACCATCACACAAAGCATTCTGCCTCACACAGCCAAGGGCACCGCCCACGCACCCTGTCGCCGTTGTAGCTGACGTCAATCTTTTTGCTGGTATAGATGTACGCCTGCTCCACGCCCTTGTCGTCCTTCTTCAGCTCACCCACGAAGCCCCAGAGGGGGAGCTGCAAATGCACGCAAGGGGTTCGAGCAGCGGAAGGGGAGGATGAGGAAGTTGACAGAACTTGTGAAGCCGTCAAAGATTGGAGCAAGATCGCAGCGTGCCCTGGATGCGATGTGGCCGCGGATGCGATGTGGCCGTGGATGCGATGCGAACCTACCCCAGCCTTGTCCCCGCAACTCCCTCCCGGGATGATGCCTGCACCCGCCAAGTAAGTAAGGACCAACACCCAAACCCCACTTACGTCGTCTATAAACATCTCGAACCAGTACTGCCGACGAATGGCATCCTCAAACACACTGGCTTTATGCTCGTCAAGGATCATGGAACAAATCTCCGTGCCGGTGCTGCTTTCTGTGGGAGGGGTGCTGATCAGGTTGGAGCACTTCCACAGTTTCCCAGAGATGCGGGGCGTTGAAGCGATGTACCTTTAAACTTGATGTCAAGCTGACTATGAATCAACTCGTTGCCCTGCAAAACTTCACCAAGACCGCCCCAGCTGTGCTGAGCCTTCATGGCGGGGTGTCTTTTGCAAAACGGCAAATAGTAGTAGTTATACGTTTCTTGTGGATTGTTGTAGGGACCGACTTTGTTGACCCATAAGTTGACCTTTTCATGGTCCTCATACTGCGGAAGGGAAGGTGAGCAACATCGGTGCGCATTCAGCATCCCCAGAAGCCCAGCCAAGTTGTCCACACCTTGTGGTTTTTCTCTGAGCCCCGAGCAACTGCCGCTAAAAGACCAAAGCATAGGAGGGTCCACCACGGGCATACTCTGAGCGGAATCCTGAGAGCCATGGCTACCCTACCGGTATCCTTCGTTAAGACAAGCTAGAGGCTCTTGCGAAGAGGTTATAGTGTGAGTATCGTTGCCTGACAATGAAACGGAAACTGGAGACTGCGCTTTCCCAACGACAATTGACTATAGCAGTGTACGATTGAAGTACAACCGAAGGTATGAAGTCGGCAAGCCAGGTGCTAGATACAAGCTTGCTTTTCCAACCCGTCCTGCCCTTCCTACACCACTTCTTACCCAGCCGTGCAGGGGTTGTTCTCGGACATATTGTGGCTAGCCATGCCGTTAACACACCACTCAAGTCACCACCTGCAACCCCAATTACCCTCTCGTTCCCTCGCCTGGGTGTTGCAGCCTCCCTACTAGAAGGCCTGAAATTTTTACAGCAGCTTTCATGGTGGTGCTGAGTTTACCCATCATTATGGATGCCCACAGTAGACCATCGTTAACTCGTGTCGCGTTCAGTACCACTACAAGCATGGTGCCCAAGCGGCAGCCTAGATGCAATTAAGCGACTAGGCCGTGTTACGGGGTGGCGCAGGGGCTCCATGACGTCGGTATGTTTACGGGTAAGCACGGCCACGGCTAGGACACGTACAAGAGGGGCAAGGAGCTAGGTTAGTGATGCAGTGGCAGTCTACCAAGCTGAATCTTGGGTAAGCACGGTTTCATTTAAGTAAGTGACTGGCATTAAAAAACTGTCCAGGGGCATGTCGGTGGATGCGTCTGGCTAAGCGGTAGAACACGAGAACGGTGTGGAAAGGGAAAGCACATGAGGACTAAGCGATGCGCCCTTGTGCTGGTGACTAAACCCTGGATCCCTGGACTGACGGGCCCTTATGCACTTTTCACCCCTGCTATGGCTGTTGCTTTTGACAGAAAAGTTCCCTATCAGTAATTAGTGGCAGCGCTGTACTGGACAGCAAGAGGGACGCGACTATATTTATAACCCCGCGCGTCCTTACTATGCAGCGCACTTAGATTGCTACATCTTGGGAGTCTCAAGTGATGAAATGGTTGCTCGGTTGTCTTCTCGTCCAATGGGTCGAGCCTATGCAGGTATCACCAACAGAAGTAAGCGTAAATGAACAGTGGGTATCACTCGCACGGTACATCCCAACGACAAAAAATGTTGTTATGAGTGCCTTTTAGCACCTAAGGAATGACAAACATACGATAAAGGTACGGCTGCCGTATGGTATTGCAGGAATGACGTTATTGGTCATATAGGTGCCCCTTGCTCGGCATAGCTTTACTGAGTTAGGAGGTCTTTGCACAAGAGAAAGATGCATAATAGTCAGAGCAACACCCCCCTGTTGGACCTTTCTCCTAAGTCTATCTTTGGCTTTGAGCCGATTAGCGGAGCCACACCCGGTGGCCACCAGCTGCGAACACAGAGGTCTTTGCTTGCCGAGCTTCTCCAGGCGTCAACTTTTGAGGACCCCGAAGATGATGACGATGAGGACTGCGGCACCGAGCGCTGTCTCTCAACACCAACTACGCGACCTACTTGCTGCACGTGCAACGTTGGGCATGGAGTGCCACGCGAGTACCACGCTCGTGGATGTGCTCTGACCTTTACCGACACAACCACGATATCAGAGGGCGACGTTGTCGGACCCCTGACGTCTCCAATACCTATTCCCAACAAAACGTAAGTGGATATTCACGACAAATTCCGTTCCGTAGCCAGCGAGTCCTGTGTCTGACACCTTTTCTGTCATGTACATCTTGCAGTTACTACAAGAACGCCAAGCAAATTGAGGAGCGCCAGCGCATTCAGTACCAGCGGCAAGTGTACCGGATGCAGCAGGAAGCGCATGAGCAGGCGCTGGCTGCTTGCCGAGGCTGAATCTGGCTCTAAAGTAAGCGGGCGTGTGCATAGCACGATAGCATGGTGACAATTGGTCATGTGATGGCTTGAAGCCTCCCATTGTCGTGAGGATGTTTTCATAGTTGCATTAGACAGGAACTGGGATCAGGCAACCGGCTGAGGGTCGTTGTCTTGAAAATGGAGAGCGCGCTCAAAATGTCTGTTGTAGCGCCGAGCAAGCGCGTGATGGTATAACAACGAGCACCAATGGGCTGAAAACAACTCGGTTTAGGATAGTAGAACTCATGTATCGTGCATTGGGTAGGTAGTCATGATGCGCCATGCCAGAATTGCGCGAACGTGGTAATCGCTGTTGAGACCATGAGCGCTGCCTTCGGTAAGGCCAACGCACATGCACTTAAGCGTTCATTAGCATTGCGAGGATTGTGAGATGAGCGAGCGGGTGAGTGACCAAACCCTTGTCGGAACATCGCTGCAAGGATGCGTGACGCCCGCCTTGTCGCGTATGGGTGCAGTTGTTGCTTGGCGTAGCTGCGTGCCTCGTTGGGTAAAACAATCGTGGGCTTGAAAGCAGTGGGTAATCTGAAACTTACTACCTTTGCGCTGCGGAGTGTTTACCATGGCCTTTCTTCTGCAGTCCGTGTGCCGAGGGCGATCCTCGGCGCGAAGGACTGAGTGCTGGTGTGTAGTGAGCTAATTAGCGTCGCGGCCGTGTGTAGCTCGCATCTTGCTGCCGTTAACGCGGCATAACTGTTTGTAGCAGCTAGTACGGTAGTAGCAGTGGCTGCTAGAGTGCAGTACGACAGAACTCTGTCTTTTCCTGTGTACTTTTTAATGGACTTTGCTATTGACTTTGCTTGTTTAACCCAGAGATATGAATTAAAACTGCTTGGAATTGTATGAATCAGTTGTTTTGGCTGTTGTGTTTAGCCTGGTCCATGGCCTGGCCTGTGTCTGGAACGACCCCTCATGTTCATCACCACTCATGTTTTCAGCGTTTCTTCATTCTATTCCGTTGGTTTGGCTGTTGGGCGCAAAATATTTAGAGCATTCAGATGCTGTTTGGGGCCTTGGACATTTCTATGGCCGGCATGTAAGACGAGATGAGGTTGGTTGGGCACGTCTGGTTGTTCAAATGCTACCGCTTGCGATCACGGCGCATTGCATGCAAGGTGAAGCCTAGGAGGTCGCATGTAGTATGTCAGCAGGTATGAGCGGTAGGTTACAGGAAACCCGATCACGTACGCTGTCCGAAAACTCCAGAACTCCTCTGCAATGCCTGTTAATTCGTCGTACGAAGGGGTGCTGCAGACCCAAGCAGGCATGTCTGTCCCTTGCAGTCGCTTACAGGCACGACATAGCCTACCACAACTTTGCTTATACCTATTGAGCTTCTCCTAACAACGCGCCCCTACCCGGTACATACATGCAACCAGCTTGCAGCCAAGGCTATACGCCCACGAGGATTTGCAGTTCCCTTCTCCCCAACAGCAATGCCGCCGAAACAGCTACTAGTGAATACAAATTTGCCACTTTGTTCCGGCGTCCAAATATTCAAAATTCTACTGCATACATGGAAGCCTACATACAAGCAAATGCGCCCTACAATCCAAATCAACCCAAATCAGAACCCATTTTAACCTTACTGACAAGTACCAGCATGCTACCCGGGTCCCGACCACACTACACCCCTCCAGCATTTGCATCACTCTTTTGGTTGCTTCCCTTAAGGCTGCCCTCACTCAGGTAAGTATGATCCAAACCCAGCGACCCACACTGCTTCCACCATTGACCCCAACTCTCTTCTCGCCGCCGCTCACATTTGTACGGCAATGACCCTCGGCCATCAAAACTGTAAAACGATCCTCGAGCAGATATGCACATCAGCAGCCATGTATGCGTGTGCAGCAAGAGCTCCCATTCACACCGAAATCCCTCACACAAGAACATCAAAACTGACTTGCCGCCTAGCTCCCGACACATCGCAGCAGGACAACTGCTAACGCAGACCCGGACCTAAGGCTGCCAATGCGGTGGAGTCCCCCAACCTTCACAGCTAAGCCGCCCGCAAAAGCCGCTCCACCTGTAGACAAGGGCACAATCGGAAAAATCTCCGTTAAGAGGACATAGCCGCGAGACGTCGTTGCGCGTGCGTTTCACTGCTTACGGGTAACAGGCAATATTGCCAAATGGCAATTTCAAGCGGCTCTCCCACCATTGTCCTACCACCGCCGACCCATCGCCTGTCTCCAGGCCTTATCAGTTATCACCCAGCTTTCCGCCAGTATCCTCCCTGTTGTCATCCCTCAACCGCTCGTGTTTCATTCCCCACACACACACCAGCCCTCCGTTCCCTCCCCGCCATGCCCTATCAGATCATGCAGAATCCTGCAGTCCCCAACCAACCCACCCCCATACTCCTGACGCCTTATCCCTCAGTCAGTTAGTTGTTTCCTCTTTACCCCCGTACTCCCCTTCACCCCGCCCAGCCCGCCCAACCCAGCCCCCTCACCTCGTCCCGCGCCTCCGCCTGCGCCCGCCAGTCCTCCTGCACCGCCTCCAGCTCCACAAGCCGCGCCAGCTGCTCCTGAATGCCCGCCACCTCCGCAGCCGGCACCTCGATGTCCATCTCAACCTCGATCTCTATCATGCTCATCACCCGCCCGTACCCCTCCAACAGCTCGATCCGTCGCGCCAACCGCTCCTCAATGTTGGCACGTGCACGCGACACGCGTCCAATGCGTGCTTCGTAGGCAGCGGCGGCGGAGCCGCTGCCGGCGCCGGCCAACGACGGCGGCAGCTGCGCTAGCAACGTTGAGGGCGAGGAGGAGGACGCGCTCACCGCCTCCATCTTGTTTTGCAGCTGCCACAGCCGCGCCAGGACTCGGATGTCTTCGGAGCTCTCAGTCAGTACGGTTGCAGCCTTGGATGCCAGCGCATTGTACTGCCCAAGCAACTGCTGCCGTACATACTCCACTCGTACCTTCGTGTCCGGCAGCTGTTTGAGCTTCGGAACCAGCACCTGGCTGCCAACCATGGAGCCGCCAGCCAGGGATACCGCGCTAGCCGCCAGCAACAACGGTAGCGCCGGGTCGAGCAGGGACGAGGCGGCATCGCCGCCAGCGAGTAGCACAACCAGCGGCAGCACCCAGCTAGGCAGGCTGTTGGCTTGTTCCGCAGAGACTGGGGGTTTCAGCAACGGCAGCACGACGCCGGTCTTGTGGTTGGTGGCGGTGAGGGCTTCTCCGGGCTTGGCGCCTGGGGGCGAGGCGTTGAAGAGGCCGCCCTTGCGGACGTTGCGGGTTGGCGCGCTTACGACGGTCACTCGCTCGCCCACCTGTTGGGTTTTAAAGGGAGCGGGTTGGGCAGGGTTGGAGAGGTAACGGTATGTACACATACCAAGGGCTATTGCATGAGGTTGGGTCTGGTGTTCATGTGATCCGCAGCAGCTGCCGGCATTGCCTGTAACCCCGCTTCAGAAGAGGATCCATGCAATGCGCAAGGCTAACAATGTACGGCGGCGCGCAACACCTCGCGTACGGCAGTCACCTGAGCGGGTACGGCAGTTGTCTCCGTGCCCACTCGGAAGGTGCGTGAGGTGCTGTCGGGGGCCTGCGAGAAAGCATGTGCGAACACACGATAGGGAAACCCCTTACGAGGAAGAAATCTAGCCAAGCGCTGTCTACGTAGACGCTCAACACCAATTATCCGCGTTTTCTGCGGGCCCCATGTATGAAAACAACGCCTTGTATGCCGGCATCAACCACGTATGAACCATGCGCCCCTGCAGGCACCCTCCCGGCCCCACCTGCAACACAAACTCGTGTACAGCAGCCACCGGCGGCTTGCGGATGAGCCCCAGCCTGCGCCCCAGCCCCCGCAGCAGCATGTTGCCCGGCGGCACCAGTGCGGTGGAGGAGCAGCTGAGCACGGTGCCGCTGAAGAGCTCGTACTCGTAGCGCGAGTAGCCGTCCGCCACCACCTTGGCGCCCTCCTGCACGCATGAGGGGGTTGCACGGGCGGGGCGGGGCTGGAGGCTTGGAAGGGGCAGAAAAAATCCCCGTTAGCCGTTGCCTGGTTGGGGCGGTGGTTTGTGCCAGCAGTTATGCGTGCGTGTCCGCTTTCCCGCCCCGGCATGTTGTGCAAGGGCCTGCACGTGTTATGAGCACAGGGGCCCTCACTGAACCTTTCCTTACTTCCTGCCGAAATCCTGCAGGACCACCACAATGGTAAGGGACTCCGTGGTCCTGAACCAGCCCCCTTGCCTTAGTCGTAGTACATAGCGCTGATGTAGCAGCACAACCATGGTATCCCATCCCAAGCTTACTTGCGGTTGGACCACCGTGAGCGGCCGGTCGGGTGCCAGAGGCGAGGTGATGACCTTGCCGAAGCCCACCTCCTCCGAGCCCCGCGGCAGACCCTGCACCTTGATGTCTGCAAGCACCTGCACGCAGGGCGGAAGGGACGTCGCCATGAGGGTGCTGAACAGCGGGCAGGCCCCGCAGTCCGTCAGGCTAGCCGGATCCCTCTTGACCCCCAATCGCTGCCCCTCCCTCACACCCATTCACCAGAAGTTTTCACCACGGGTTGCCTCTTTCGTCCAAAGCACAGCACGTACCGGTATTCTCTTTTCCCACCTCTCCCGCACCTGCAACGCCTCCACGATGCACAGCTGCTGACACAGCCCCATCACAAGCTCCGTGGTGGTCGCCAGCGTGGCAGCAGGCCAGGCAAACGCGACGTCCAGCGACCGGCTCGCCTGCGTAAAGCCACCAGCGCCAACACCACCACCGGCGCCGTTGCCTCCACCGCCACCGCTGCTGCCGCGGTTGCCGCCTCCGCGCCGTGCGGCGCACATCTCCCGGTAGACCCCCAACGCCAGCTGCACCCGGCCGCGCTGAAGGCAAAACCCCATGACCGCCCGCGCGTCTTCCTCGCGCGGCAGGTAGCCCGGCGGAGACTCATCCGCTAGGGCTTCAGCCAGGTCTAGAGGTGAGGTCGCGGCGGCGAGGCGGCGCAGGAAGGCGGGGCTGAAGAGGAATTCAGCGGCGCCTGGACTGCTGGCGCCCGTGCCTGAGTCGGTGTCTGGGTTGTTGGCATCTGGGTTGTTAGTTCCGGCTGCCGCGCGCGTGGCGCTGCTGTAGTCGGGGCCATTGTTGGCGTTAAGTCTGCTACTGGGGGTGGTGGTGGCGCTGGGTGCAGAGCCTCCCGCGGTCTGCATGGCGTCGTGTAGCGTCGCGGCATGGGTTTTGACGGAGCAGGAGAGATAAGGAAAGGTAAAAATGGGGAAAAGGGATGGGTTACCAGCATGGGCGAGCGTCAGGTGGGGTTGGTGCAAATGCATGCCGTGCAGTACTACAGAGGCAGGACGCGCTTGGACTGGGAGCGGTGTCGTTGGGGAACTGAGTCGACTCGTGCGCTAAGCGGCATAAGGGTGAACGTCTCCTAACCGATTGACACCGCATACAGAACGTTACGCTTGGTAAGCTAGGACAACACGCGGGCTTTGTAACGCAGCTGACCGATACGCTATGGGCAACAGCAACGAGCGAACGGCTTGCTTACGGCTTCCGGCTCCCGGTTGTCCACAGCTGAAGACGCCACACAAGCTGGTCGATGACACTTCGTAGCATGTGCTAGTCTCCATAAACTGCCTTGTGGCCGAACTGTTTGCTGCGGGTTGCATCCCAGTGCCTGGGGACTGAACAAGCGTTGCATCGCTCCAACCCAGTAAAAACGAAAAGCTAGTTCAAGCGCGTATATCTAGGCAAGCGGCTTCTTGGTAGATGCGTTGCGGGGCAGCGGGGTAGGAGCTGGGCATACCAGGGACTCCCACCCCGACAGAATCGGTGAGGCCTAAGGCTACGTGGGATGGCGCTATAATATATATGTATATTTTAGTTTAGACTACGTTTAAAATTTTGCCCGCATGTTGCTCTTGACTCCGCGCTCCGGGTCCTGATCTCTAGCAAGGTCGCTTTTTGGCGCCTCCCTAGCGCAGGATATATACAGCTAGAAACGTATACCAGCAAACTCGTAGAATAGGTTACATCCTCTTCGGCAGCGTCCTTCGCAGCTTGAGCGTGCAACATCTATGCTTGGACATCTCTATTGCAAACCTGTTAGTCGGTCCCCAAAGCCAGTCGGTCAATACATATGCACAAACCAGACCGCACAAGCCCAAGTTGCATAGCGCATTTATACAATTCTGAGGCAATGCACGGCAGGGTAAATTGGCGCTTTCATGGCCGGCGCTATCCAGACAATCCAAAGCTTTACGCATAACATGACTTGCTTGTATTATTGTTACTTACATTACATGCGGTGTGGAAACAAGCTGTGACGACTACGCTAGGTACGGACAGTTTCCTTCCAAGGATTGCAGACACCTGCAGAGGCTATTCCAACGGGGTTGCACGTTGATCTATAGGAGTGTATCTTTGATAGCAAGCTTTGTTTCCCTGTCCTAGTCAAACTGCTCTTGCCTTTGCCCATCTGAACCATAGGGAGGTCTTACATACGGATTTATTCGCAACCTCATTGCTTTTAAGACGAGTTTTGTGGGTGGACTGAAGGAGCGGCGGCTTTCTGGTTCAGCGGCCTCGTGGAGCTGCTTGTCTTGGGCACGGCCCGCTTGGGCCGTGCCGCGACCTGAGAAGCCATGAACAACTATCAGTAAGTTAAATTGTATATGTTGATCAGCTAGCATGCGTTCCTAACAGCTGGGCTTCTCTTGCAGCATTTATGAAAAGATCGGCACTGGGAAACACTCCGTTGTGTACAAGGGCCGTAAGAAGAAAACCATCAGCTACTATGCCATCAAGTCCGTTGATAAAACGCAGAAGGCGCGGGTGCTGCAGGAGGTGCGCACGTTCGGGCATGGGATTGTATGAACTCGGGTACAAAAACAGCTCGGTTCTTGGTGTGCAGGTGCGCACCATGCACGCTCTGGACCACCGGAACATCCTCAAGTTCTACGCCTGGTAGGTTCTGTCATAACTGCTTTTCCCCCTGCAACACCTACGCGCATAGCCTCGGGCTCAACGTGTAACTGTGGGTTTGACTCTTCCGCAGGTATGAGACCACCAACCACCTATGGCTCATCCTGGAGTTCTGTGTCGGTGGAGACCTCATGTCGCTGCTTCGGCAGGACGTGCGGTTGCCAGAGAGCTCCGTGCACGACTTTGCCCGTGACCTGGTGACGGCGTTGCAGTACTTGCACAGCAAGGAAATCATTTATTGTGACCTGAAACCGTCAAATATCCTACTTGACGAGAACGGTCGCATGAAGTTGGGTGGGTTTGGCCTTTCCCGTCGACTGGCGGACATCAACAAAAAGCCGCTCCAGGCCCTGCCGCAGGTGTGATTGGAGAGGGATCCTCCTGAGCTTAAAGGTGTTAGGGGAATGGAGGCCCATTGCAAGGGGTCTTGCCGCTGTGCTATTTTCCTCTTGACCCTTGGCCCGGGGAATGCAGTCTTCAGAAACACGTGTCACGCATTAGAAACACAAGTCACGCATTTGAGCGGAAGGGGTCTGTCTCTGGTTGGTCTGAACGACACAAGTCCCTCCTGTTGTCCATCTCCCAGGCCATGCGCGGCACGCCCTGCTACATGGCACCGGAGTTGTTCTCGGAAGGGGCCACTCACTCCACAGCATCCGACTTGTGGGCCATAGGGTGTGTGCTGTACGAGTGCTCCATGGGCCGCCCGCCCTTCCTCAACTCCTCGTTCAACCAACTGGTCCACGAAATCCTGAACAACGAGCCGCAGCCAATCCCTGGTAAGGTGTTGAGGATGGCGACGCCGAAGAAGTAGCCGGGTTGTTAAGCCATACCCGCGATTACCAGGGGTGGTTTCGATTAACAGCAGTACCTGCGGCGTCTGGAAAAGCGTGTATTCCTCGGTGGCGTTTACGCTTCCATGTAATCGTTTATGAACCCGCAGGTGCCAGTCCCGAGTACCATGACATGATTGCGCGCCTCTTGGACAAGAACCCAGCCACGCGCATTAAGTGGAAGGTAAGTGAACCCATGCATGCGTCGTTTTGCGTGAGTTGCACTTTTGCGGCTATCGCAAGGGCTTTAGTCTGCTGTTGCGTCTCTCTTCACCATGCCCGCTGGCTGCCTGTGCAGGAGCTCGGCGAGCATCCGTTCTGGCAGGTGCCGCTGCCCACACTGAGCCTGCCTCCTGAACCTGCGTTGGAGGCCTTTATTGCACAGTATGGGTTGGCACCCACAAAGGAGGAGATACGGCAGTCAACCCGGGATGGGCTCAAGGTACGCGCGGAGGTTCCGCTGCGATTTGGGCTATGGCGGTTGAAGAGTCATTTGGGTCGCTATGGTTACAAGTATATGACGAAGCGCAATGCCAAAATCACCAGTCATTAGCTAGGCTCGTAGGTAGCGATGCTTAAGACAGCTAGAGAGTTGCATGGCCCTGCATTGTATGAGAACATGTGCTTTACTGCCCCTGTACAGCTCGACAAGGGGCGTACCATGCGTCAAAGCGTGGACATCACCCGCTTGTCGCGAATTGCGCTGCATAACCTGGAGCGTGAGGGCGAGGGCGCCGATTACAGCAGCACAGCTGGGGCCGCAACAGCGGCTGAGTCGCAGCCCGGCGACATTCGTATTGACTCAGCGGACGCAGAGCTGGACTTTGAGGAGAACCGGGAAGAGGGTAAGCGTGCAGCGGGATTCCTCGCACTGGTTTTAGAGCAAGGGTCGTGGACATCACGTTTATGGCCATTATGGTGATACAACAGAAATGCCTTGCTAATGGTGTGCACGATGACCGTCATAAGTACTGACCCAAATCGCTGTCCCGTATCAGCTACACGTGCACGCACGTGCGTTCTAATTCTTTGAATGCGCCCTGTCGTTGCCACTCGCAGCTGCGGACGAGGAGAACCCGGCGTCTCCAGCAGCAAGCGACGACGGTAGTGTCATTGACCAGGGGTCCGTCACGACGTTATCGGATGGCCGCGTAGTCAGCGCTACGCCGAACGACGCCATGATGGTTCGCGCAGCAGCGGCTGCAGCACACCAGGGCGGACATGGAGCGCTCGGCGCCTCCATATCAACACGGCGCGGCGGTGCGGGAACGCCCGATGGCGGCGGTGTAGGGAGTAGCATGGCTGCTGCTGGCGGGGCAGGCCGCCCGCAGACGCGCGGCGGGGACGACATGGCACGGTCGACGTCGGGTGCTGGGGCCAGCGGCCGCGTAGCGGGTACGGCAGTCGATGTGGATGCAGCTGCAACGGTGGCTTCGGGCTCGGGAGCGGCCATGGATGACGTGATGCTAGTGGAGACAGGCCCGCTGGCGGCAGATCGGGACGCGACGTCGCTAGACGAGCTGATTTGGCATCCCTCAGACACGGCTGTCAAGCCTATCGTGGCTAACAGACGAATAGGTGCGTGCACGCAAAGCAGCGGCTTCATGCCGACGTGCTTGGATAAGGTCATTATGCAGGAGCGGAAACTTCAGTGCCGTTATTTGGATTCCAACTGGTATTTGCGATTCGCTAGTTCCCTCTGACAGGCAGTTGGTGGCAAGAGCTCCCCTTGACGACTTCTTAAAAGCATTCTCAGCACCGCGCTTGCTGTCTTTGTCGAAGGTCCTTTGCCCTGTGTGACGTGCACCCTCCCTTGATTCTGCAGAGCGGTTGCCGGAACCCCGCTACGACCCTGGTAGCCTCCCGTTCAAGCCCTGGTCCCTGAAGGAGATGTTGGGAGCAGACCAGCCAGACCTGGAGGTCTTCCTCACGCACATCTACAGGGCGATCGGGAGCGCGGCGCCGCTGAAGGTAGGTTGGTCGGGCTGAAACATGTTGGTGTTAGTGTTTACGTTTAGCGGGATCTGGCATGTTCAGAGTCTCTCGTTGTTCTGAACCCTCGGCCTCCCCCCGGACAAACGCGAACAGGACAAGGTGAACGTGCTGAGCTACTTTGAGACGCTTTGCGTCGACACCAACGCCGCCAACGTCCTGATCAACAGCTCGCTCACCATGCTGTTCATTCGGATGCTACGAACCGCTCGCGCGCCGACGCTGCGCATCCGGTTGGCTAGCGTGCTGGGTGAGTCGGCTTTGGAACGCCGCTTGGGCACCTGCACACGGCATGAGCGCAAACCTCACGACCTGAGCTGGAACGACCTGAGATGGGCATATTAAGACCTCGAATATAAGACTTCATGCTAACAGCGCAAGCATGCCCCTTCTTCTGGCGTCTAGGGCAAGTGGTTGTCATACGCATGTCTTCTGAAACGGCCGGTCCCGGCACTGGTGTCTAAAATCCTGAGATCTTACCCTGTTGCCTGTTTTCCATCACCACCACCAGGTCTGCTGGTGCGCCACGCCACCTTCATTACGGAGGAGCTGGCGGGCACTGGCGTTGTGGAGCTGCTCAGTGAGGCCCTCAAGGTACCTAGGGGTACATAAGGGGCAGTGACAGGGCACGGACCAGATTAACTGCTAGGGCATGCTAGGGCTATATCCATGCTGTCAATGCTTCCTAGTGGCCTAGCGATGCGGCAGGCCCTGCCAAGTGCCGTACTGCTGTTTGGCAGCGGGCAGCGATTAACAGATGTACCGTGATCGGTCTTTCCTTTCCACGGTCTGCAGGACAAGAATGAGCGGGTTCGCCGGCGGGTAATTGCCACGCTGGGCGAGCTGCTGTTCTACATCGCCACGCAGCAGCAGGACACAGCGGCGGCAGGGAACGAGGACGGGGCGGCGCCCCCGCCGGACCCTGCAGCGGTGTGGGGCATCTCCAGCAACACATACACGCAGGTAGGTTGCAATGACTCAGGAAGCATGCGCAATGGCGAGCAGACCCTGGCATCCTAAGTTGGCGATGCATGCATGCAACGGAATATTAGCCGTGCGTTCGGTGCCAACCGATGATAACCTGAGCCCATGCTGCTTGGCACATGACATCGCTAATGACGTTCTGGTTACTTATACTGCCAATGCCACCCATCGAGCATAGCAGTATCATGCAAACGCAACCCGTGTGGCTCCCCGTCCATGGCTGTCCTCCCCATCAGGTCATCCGATTGCTCAAGGACAAGGAGGACGAGGTGGCGGCGCACTACGCCGTCAAGACGGTGGAGAACATCTGCAGCCAGGGAGGCGAGTGGGCGGCGCGCTTTACGACGCAGGACGTGGTGCTCAGTCTGGTGCAAATCATTAACGGGCCGGGACGCGGGGAGCAGCTCCGGGCCACCGCAGCGTCAACGCTGGCGCGCCTACTCAGGTACATGCGGGTGCTTCCCATCTGTATAATACCGGTACCTGTAATTGCTGAAGTAGGGCTTTGGATGACGCGCTTTCGCGCTTGGCCTTGTAACGTGCCCTTACGGTGCTTCCCCTTGCCCTGATGTTGTCACCCGCAGGCACAGTCCCACCCTGACAGCACAAACAGTCGACAAGTACGGCATTCGCCTCTTTGTCGGCTGCCTGCTTGAAGGCGCATCCTCCTCACCCGCATCCTCTGGCGCTGCCAACGGCGCCGGTGCTACCGCGGGCACCAGCGGCGCCAGCAGCAAGGTCCAAACCGCAGCTCTCAACCTGCTTAACCTCACGCTGGCCCAGCCGGACCTCTCCACCCGCGCTCGTGCCTCCCTGGCTGAGGAGCGCGGGCTGCTGCCGGGGCTGGTCAACCTGATGGACCACTCATTGCCGCTTATCCGCGCCAAGGCGGTGGTCACCATCATGCTGCTTAGCAGGTACGTCGAGGGGATGAGGATGCTGTACACTACTTGTGGGGGTGAACCGGCTGTGCGGGTAACCTGCCGCATTGACTACTGCATGGTTCGCTTTTAGCTGCGGGGTTGCTGATCGCGCGTACTCTGCGTGTTTTTATCTGTTTCTGTTTCTGTTCGTGCCTCGTCCCTCCCTCTAGGTTGTCTCCGCGCTGGCTTCTGGAGGCGTGCAAGGCCAAGCTGATACCCGCCATCGAGCGCCTGGCGCGTGAGAAGGACGAGTACCTAACCAATGCCCTGACAGCGCTTCGAGCTGAGGCGGCGCGGGTGGTGACTGCCATTGCAGCCGCCATTTCCGAGGAGCTGGGAGGGCGGGGAGGCACGTCAGGCGGCGCACGCCGCAGCCCTGCAGTTCCGGCCGGCGGAGCAGGCGGCGCTCGGCCGCAGCCGTCCAAGTCGCCGCTCGCGCTGTTCCCTGTGCTGCTGCACCTGATTACCAGTCCACACTTCCGCTCTGCGGTGGTTTCGGGGCAGTTAGTTGCAGACCTGGCGAGCTGGCTTACGATTACTGCCGGGCCGGCGGCGATCGGCACAATGAGCGGAAGCGCTGCGCCTGGCGTGGCGTCGTCATCGGGATCGGCGGGGGCTAACCTCATGGCCGACTTTAAGTCTACGCTTATGCATGTGTTGGAGGTACGTCGCCTTGCGATAAGACGCACCAGGTTGCATTGTACAGTAGGCGCCCCTCGGCGGGAGAAAGAACGCGCACAATCACCGTATCTATGATGTCTCGGTGCTGCGTGCTAGTAGCCGCCATCTCCTTCCTGTTACTCTCACGCCTACCTTGATACCACATCTTCCTGTTACCTTGACGCTTATCATGATGCAACACCTTCCCGTTGTCCTGATGGCCCTTCCAGGCCTTCTGCCAGCAAGGCGAGCTGGTGCTGCAGCACTACACCGCCGTGCTGAACTCCTTGTTGCCGGCCCTCTGCGGCGTCGTGAGCGCGGAGGGTGAAGGCGGCGACACGCGCTTCTTCTGCCTGCGCATGGTCAGCGACGTGCTGCAGACGCTGCTGCTGGATGAGGAGTTGTACGGCAGCGCGCAGCAGCGAGCGGAGGGCGGCGGCGGCGTGGCGGCGGCGGCCATTGACCGCGTGCTGCGCTCGCACATACTGCCGCTGGTGCCGCGGCTGTTGCGGGATGAGGACCCCATGCCGCTGTACGCGTTAAAGGTGAGCGGTTATTATGCCCAAGCCTTGAGGACATGAATAATTTTCAATGTCATGTTTCGCTTAAACGCGAGCGTATGACAGGATTTAGGCTTGTGGTAACCGCTCTGTTGCTGTCATTCGCTTGGGCGCCTTTACCCTCCTTGCAAGCATCCTAACAACTCAACGTCTTCTTTGGCTGTTGCGCTCAGCTGCTGGGGGGCTTGCTGGAGATCAACCTCTTCTACGTTGCGGACGTGGAGGCGATGGGCCTGGCAGCGCAGTTCTTCGAGTTCCTGTCGCTCGAGCACTCGAACAACAACGTGCACAACATCCGGCTCTGCCGCCAGATCATTGCTGCCGGGTCCATGCCGGTCGCCAAGCTGGTCGAGCTGCAGGTCGCGGAGAAGGTACGGCAGCAGGGCGGTATTGAAGCACCGGGAAAGCACCTTACATGTGACAGCTGAGGCCCCCGGCCAAGCTTTGCGAGGGCTCTACTTGCCTTGTACCATCTCTGTACCTGTCAGAACACATGCCGTGTGTCCAACGGTACCCGGCTGACCTCCGTACATATCGAACCCACTGTTGTGCCTTGCCCTCGCTTGTGGTTTGACCCCCATGTGTGGCCCTCCCTTGTTTGGTCAGGTGGCTGCCGTACTCGAGTACGCCAGCAACCACGTGGTGGAGCCCTTCCTGGAGCCCGTACTGGAGCTCGTCAACACCATTCTGCAGCGAGACGCGCTTGAGGTAAGGGACGGGCGCCAAGACATCTTAAACTTCATTCGAATGGGCGACGTCCACTGTTAACCCTTTTATGTCATGTATCGTGCCCGTTCCGTCTGTCACCTGTACCCTCTTCTCCACCTGCGCCCCTTCCCTCCGCCGCAGGTCTCCCAGGGCCGCTCCAACGGCTCCCTGGCCGCCGTCTTCCTGGAGCAGGCGGGCGTGCTGCTGGACAACTGCGCGCACCCCGATCTGCCCGTCTGCAGCTCCGCAGCAAGCGCCACCTCCAGCCTCGTGGCGCTCTTCCCAGAGCAGTGCGCGCCCTGGCTGCTGGCGCCAGAGAACGCCTCCGCGCTGGCGACCGTGCTGGCAGGGCAGCACCTGCAGCAGCAGCCGGGCGGGGCAGGCGGGCAGCAGGGCGCGGTGGCGGTGCCGTCAGCGCTGCTGCAGCCGCTGCTGGAGGCTGTGGCCTTGGCGCTTGAGGTGAGGGTGGGGCGGGGTTGGGTACATGTGTGTTGTTGGGCGAGGAATGGTGGCACCAGTTCAGGCTGCGTGATGTGCTGCATGCGTTGTCGTGCCGTCGTCCATTGCTGTTCTACAAGTCCCTACCGTGCAATTGAACAACCGTGCACTTGGGTTTGTGATGGTGCTAAAGGCGTATGGCCTAGATAATAACATCCTGGCTTTTGGCCTTTGTTCAGATGGGTGGTGCAGCGTCGCCTTCAGAGGAGCTGGTTCAGCTGTACAATGTGGTTCAACATGTAGCGGACAGCTCTCAGGACGTCAGCGTACGGACCATATCAGCGGAGGTAGCACGCACGTTGGAAACGCTGCTACATTAGGCGGGGGCGCAGGAAGCCAAAAGCTGTTACGTCACGGGGGCATGCAGGGGGTGGGGGCGAGCGATTGTCACAGATGCGTCAGGAGCAGGGTATGAGCTCAGCCGCACGAGGGCGTGTCCTGTTACCGGAATGTGTGTTGCGGAAGAAATGTGCCTCAGCTGAGCTGGTGCGCGTGTGCGTTTGAGGAGTCTGGTGCTCATGTATGGTTTCTTTTTACTGGGTCTTACGCGCGGCGTTGTGGCGCTCGAGTTTCGTAGCCGAGGTCGAACAAGCGCGCTTGAGCGTTTTTGCGAAGCGTCGATAGCGGTGTGCTACATGAAAGCTGCGTAGGGGGCACTAACATGGTTTTCCCTGGTTTCCCTTTGGACATTGCACTGGGGTTATAGGCCGGGTAGTCGAGGGGTCTTCAGCCGCAGAAGCTCAAGGCGTGGTGCGCGGCTAGGCGCCAATGCCGATCCTTCCCGCAGCGTGCATTTACCTTTCCTAATGGGGCGCACATGACCGACGCACGCTGGCCTTATATTGCCTTAATTCACCTGCTCCATTGTGAGGCCCTGCGTACTTGCAAAAACCCATTACATTCACTTTGTTTCCAACTTAAGACAGGTCGTTTGTGGACGATTAGTGATGGTCCATGGTTCATGTCGTACGGAAATAGAACGGTGATGGCAGTACTGAGGCCCAGGACGAACCGTGCAGCAGGAGCGAACGAGGTTAGCAAGGTGTGTTTCTGTATGGGTCAATTGAGGCGGCGGAGTGGGTGATTGGCGGTTTACACGGTTAGGCTAGGCAATGTGCTACTCAACGTTCGACATCTGGGGATGGCTATGTGCAGGTGCCAATTTGCGGACGGCGTCACCATCGTGCCGTGCCAACTGCATCCTCTAGCCGTACCAATTGCAATTTACACCACAACCCCGCTCAAAGCCCGCTCGTTCAAACCCCGCTCGACTCCCTCGGTGGAACGTTCCTTCAATGCCGCTGGCACTCCTCTTGTCACCACAACCACTCACGGCTGAACAGTTCACAACGACCCTCCTTGGAAACCTGGTAACCTATAAACAAAGCATGTTATCACCGCAAGAGACGCTCGAACGGGAATTGCTCACGCTCGCCTAACACTCCATGCGTGACAACAATGGGGCACACTACAACTTATTGAAGGTTGACAGAAAACAAACTAACATCGTAAGCGCCTTATGCCTGAGCATATAACGTCTCTTTATTACCAATCATGAGGTGAAAGGACATGCAGCATGCAATGCTGTATGCCCATGGAACGTTCAAAACACTCAGAACGTTCATATGTGTGAGGGGAAGACACGAGAAGGCGTGTGCTGAAGCCCTGCGCGCACCTACACAGGTTGAAAAGCAGGTGTTTTGCAGCAACAACATGACACGTTGACACCGTAATCGTAAAGTATAATACTACAACAACATAACGTCCGCATCAAGTGGCATCCTACAACCCAAGTTGATCAGCAAGGGGTGACCGGACGCGTGCATAGTATCGTGAACACCATATCACCGTTCAATCCGAAATCGTATACGCGCCCGTTCCTACAAAAAGGGGCATCATGCATGGGCATGAGGACAGTAAAACATCGCATAACATGTCATCCCTCATGCTCCCCATCTCTTTCGAGTTCCTCGCCTAGCCCATCGCCGCTCAGTCACGAAAGTGCCCCAAACAGGCAACCATAACTTCATATCTTGAGACAAAACCAGTCGTATGCTCTGGGTCTGCAATTGATGCAAGCTAGATATGACTAGCACCTCCGTCCCGAGCAAAGTGTGGCAATCCCATTGAGTAGATGGGACATCTCTAAACTAAACGCATGAACTTCTTATGCCGGACGTAATCAACTTGTTCAACTTTTAGCGAAAGCAGTTCGCAAGGCCCGCGTATGCGCGGCCGAAGAGGGGGCCCCTCCTGGTGCACGCGACCTACAATGTTACTGACGCACGCTGTGATGAAGAATGGGCTGAAAATACAAAGCCGTCGTGCATCATGATGTCCCGAAAACAAAGCCCTGGAAACCCGCAGGCGGTAAAGCACGGTAGTGGCACACGAGAGTGACATGCAAAAACGACTTGCACAGACGTTCCTCCGAAAACCTGCATGCTGCATAAATCAGCGGGATGACTGCATAAGCGGATAAATACACCACCATACATTATACCGCACCGCTTCCTTCAATCCTTCATAAATCAGCTCACAGCGTTCTACAGTCGACGACAGGCCAATCCAGCCGAACCCTCCCAACATTCCTCACCAATTCACCTAGTAGTATTCAATCGTTATGTGGCCGCATGCCCCTCCAGGACCATCCATCCCCGCACGTCGCAACCCTCCTACTCGTCGCTCTCGGTAGCACTGTCACCATCGCTGCTGCTGGGGTCATCACCGCTATGCCGGCGGCGCCCGCCGCTCACCCGACCCCTCCCGGAGCCGCCGCCGCCGCCCCGACGGATACCAGATCGCATCTTGTACTGCTCGTGACGTAACCGTGTAAACTGTACGTACATTGGGGCCTCCGGGTTGTGGATGATGTCGTCGATGTTCTGCTGCATTAGCTCCAGAAGGCCCTGCATTGGGTGCGGTGAAACCATAAATCATCTTTACAAAAGCATGCATCCCGGCTGTGGAGAGACACGACGCAGCAGAACCCAACATAATGCGCAGCTGGCGACTCCTCAAGGTTTCAACGCAGAAGCCACAATACAGAATTTAGCAGTGCCAAGACAAGCGCTGCCCTGACCCATGGGTCACACCTTCCTCACCTGCTTTAATGGGTCACACCTTCCTCACCTGCTTGTCTTTTTGTGAGGGTTTGGTCTCCGCCAACACGGTCGCTCGCATCTTCGTGAGGCAGTTGAGCTTGCGAGCGGGCCAGCGAGGCACACCAAGACGCCGGCACTCCTTCTTGAAGCACGACAGGCTCAGACCCATCTCTCGGGCAACCTCCTTAATTGGTCGGTGGTAGTGCTGCGGAGGGGGAAGAGCGAGTGAGTGTGGGTAGTAGAGTGTGGGTACCCATCAGCCAAGGGTAGCTGAGAGTGCGGCCGTAGTGGCAATCCATGTGTTCACAGCACCAAGGGGTATATGAGAATACGACAACACACACCCACGAAACAGCAGGTATGTCCCAAGCTTGCAGGGCCTTAACAGAAACAGCACCCCCAGGCGGGCTGGCTCCATCACACCCTCCCCAGCGCACCTGGCTCAGAGACTTCTGCGTGAGGCCGATGGCAGCCCGCCGATAGCACCGAGCTGGCGGCCGAGTCTCTCCGCCCTTGTCCTCCTGTGCCGCACCCTCGCCGCCCTCTCCTGCGCGATCCTCAGCACCCGCGACGACCGCTCCATCCGCTGCCGCAACTGCTGCCGCTCCATCCGCTGGTGCCGCGGGCGCTGCTGCTGCTTCTGTCGCGGGGTTCTCGGGCCATTTCACGGCTGCCCTAGCAGCTGCCCGGGCCTTGGCGGCGACGCGTCCACCACGACCGCCGCCACGCGTGTGCAAGCGCCAGCGGTTAGCAGCACTCATTCGGCCTACGACTTCCTCCCCTCCGTCGCCGCTGTCATCGTCGCTGCCGACCCGTGGGTCAGGTCCGTCATGCAGGCGGCTGGGCTGCTGCTGCCATGGCGGCTGTGCGGCCCTGGGGCGGCTGGTGGTGGTGCTCTGCTGCCTTCGTAGGGCGTCGGGAAGGGAGGAGGCTCTGGTTGGCAGGCCGGAAGAGGGCTTGGAGGTCGTGGAGGTCTGTCAAGGGGTTTTGGGGGGGGGTTGAGGGTTCAGGGCGGGGGCTATGAACGGATGTACATGCGCATGTCGTACGCAGGTGATGTGCTGTCATAAAAAGCAGCACACATTGGGCAGCTTTAGAGACGGCATTCGCATGGTAGACAACTAAGAGTTGAACAAAAGCAACAGCTTGAAACGGGTTAGCGTTCCAATGATGGGCTGGCGACACAACAAGGACACCACGACAATGTCATTCCCACAAAAGGCGTCAACGCTCACATCGATTCCGCTGCCACCGCTGAGCTCCTCTGCGGGTGTCGTACGACCGCCGCCGCCGCCGTTTCCACTGGCGCCGCTAACCGCCGCCACCTCTGAACCGCTGCTGCCGCTTCCGGGCCCCAGGCGGCCCTTGTGACCAGTCAACGGCACGGCCGAAAAGCGCGGCGCAGCACCGCTGTCATCGCGGCTTGCAACAACGGGTGAGGGAGTCAAATTAGGGCTCAGGCAGTAGATGCCGGTCATGTGCTCCGAAGCCTGGTTATTGTTCTCGTTGCCGTTGCCGTTGTTGGTGTTGGTGTTGGCCTGAAGCTGCAGTTGCTCTTGTTGTTGCTGCTGCGGCGGCTGTTCTTCCTTATGCCGCTCTTGCTGCCGCTGTGGTCGCGAGACCGGCGACGGTGAACGCGCAAGTGGCGGGGGCGAGGGAGGCACCAAAACATCGTCGAACGTGCCGTGATGTTCGGGCACATGGGCGCACAGCATCTGGGCAAGATCCCGCATCTCTGATATCTCACTGTCGCGCATACCGAGCTGGCTGTCATTGTTGGAAGCCGCGGGCATTGCCGGACCGTCATTGACGTCCAAGGCCAGAACACCCCCATCACCACCACCAGCGCCTCCAATGATGCCGCTGCTCACAAGCCTTTGGCTGACGTCGTCTTCTGCATGTGGAGTCCAAATGTGCGACGGCGGCCCCGCCGCAACAAAGCGCCGGTCTGAAGCAAAGTGAGGCAGCGGCAGCAGAGGCCGCGAGACGACAGGGCATGCCGCCACGAGCGTAGCAGCAGCACCAGCAGCGGGAGCGGAAGCAGCAGCAGCGTGCTTAGGAGGTCCGCAAGGGAACCCCATGGCAGGCCCCGTTGCTGCGGGTGCGGGTGCCGGGCTTGAGGTGTCAGCTTGACTCAGGCCCACGCGGAAAGGCGACCAGAACTTGTCCCCATCACCATCGCTAGCGCCTCGCGTAGGTGTTGACGCAGCAGCTACGGCACCGCCTGCAGCGCCTGCAGCCGTTCCCTCAGGTCGGGGCTGCTGACAAGGGCTGACCGCCGGGCTTGCCGCCTTGGCCGCAGCTGCGGCTCCTGTGGTGTTGGGATGGGCGTCGAGCTCGATAGGCCAGCTCCATTCCTCGCCGTCTGGCTGGGCGGCCTGTTCATCCTTGGAGGTGCGTATAGCCTTGGCCGCAGGGGCAGGGATTGTTGTTGATGAGCCATAGCCCCTGCCCCTGCCTCGGGCCGCAGCCTCAGCCGCCACAGCAACTGAACTGCTCTCACCGTAGGTGTTGTTTCCCTGCATCGGAGCAGCCAGCTGGCTGCAAGGGGCCGCCGTGGGCACAGAGATGCAGTGAGAGTCAGTAGCAAAGGTGACCCATGGGTCAGCGGTCGGTCCTGCGTCGATGAGGCCATTCACGGCAGCTGCGGCCGCCGCGGTTGCGTCAGCCGGCAGTGACATACGCTGCCAGGTGTTCGGCAGGGACATGCAGAGATGTCCAGATTCCCTGGATGTGGCACCCCATGGGGTTCCAGGCATCATCGGTGCATGCGAAGCACCCATAGCATGGCCGTTGGAGGGTAACGGATTTGGAGCGTAGCCGGACGGTTGCATTTGAGGCCCGACTACTTTGATCCGCGGAAGGGCATGACCCTGGTCGTACATAGAAGGCCATGTCGGAGTCTGAGACAGCTGTCCCATGGGAACCCAGCTTCCGGGCGCAGCAGCAAACGTCTGCATCTGCGGACTAGCCACCATGGTTGCGGCGGAAGCAGCAGGTGCAGGACCGCTGTTGGGCTGCGGCTGCAGGAGCTGCTGCTGCTGCCTTGGCGGCTGCTGAGGCGGCTGCGAACGGTGTTGCAGCAGCTGCTGTTGCAGCGACTGTGGTGGGTGTGCTGGCTGCACGCTGTTCCCCATCCTTGACAGGCCGCGCTGCTGTTGCCCTTGTTGCCCATGGTCAGGCAGCGATGCGGCTGCAGGCCCCTTAAAAGCCAGGGCGTTTGTTGGCAGGAGGGACGAGGGCTCAAGCGGCGACGGGGGCGCTGGAGGAGGAGAGCCCATGAGCAGGGACCCGGCGCCAGCAAACAGCGGTGGCGGTGGAGGCGGCTTGTGCATGTCTGGGATAGGAATGAAGGTCTCGAGAACCTCGTCAATGTTGCCGAGCAGGGCAGCAACCTACAGGGAGCACGATGCGATGTGCGTCGCCAAATGAAACCGTTACCGGTATTGCGTGACTTTGCACTTTAAGTGCACGTCGGCCCAGATTTACCAGCTTCAAGCCAGACTGTAGGCACTCACCTTATCGTCATCGCCGTACATCACAACGTCCGCTGGCAGTTGAGGCATGTTGCTCTGGATCATGGCCTCAAAATTCCCTGCAATGCACGGCAATTTGCGCGTCAAGGCTAGTTGGGCTTTCTACAGTCCTACCCCAGTTCCCAGACCTTCTCTCGTCCCCTAAAAGAATGTGCATGCAGCTAACCTATGGCGCGGGGATACCTCTAATATGCAATATTAATGATTGCCCACATGCTGGTGCTGAAGGCATGCCAAGACAGGTGACCATGCATGCGGAGAGCATAACCCGTTTTGTCGAGCGAGTAACCCCTTGCGGCGGTCGCCAACGAGGCGAGCGCACCGTGAACCACAACCCGCGCAGGTTAACCGGGCCAATTTTACTTAATTAATCAAACTGACCTCCGGAGCCAAGCATTGGCAAGCTTGCCCCAAGCATCTCTGGAGTGTCCATGAACACGTCGTAGTCATTGTCCAGAAAGCGGCGCTCTCCTTCAGGCCGCATATTTGGCTTCTTTTGTTGAAAGTACGACATGTGTCTGCAGTTTGTCGGTTTAAGAAGGGCTTAGGCAAGGCGGCGGCAAGCATGCGGAGCAACATTTTCGTTGCTCAGCCAATTTCGCATGCTTCCCACTCTAATGTTACGGCGCAAGTGACGCATATAAAAAGGTGTTCATCGCATGCTGCTAATCTCCACGTACAGACACTTGCTTCCGATGGCTGATAGGACCTCACCTTCAGATATCCTCGAACGCGTGGAATGTTCTGCAAATGTTAAATAATTTCAAAGTCCTCAAACTAATTAAGAATACACGTGGGCCGAAATAAGCAACTTCGGTTCAGCTGAATCGTCCCGAACAGGAATTCCTGGTCAGAGCTGGAACGTCAGGTCATTTGCGACAAGCATACCACTTAGTTTTAAAACTATCTACGCTAGGATAAAATTACTGGCAGCGCTGAAGAACATCACATGAATGCTGCAGTTGCTATGGACTAGGAACGAAGTAAGGAAAGCGCCCGTATATCGTCCAAAACAAAATCATGTCACGGAACACCAAGTTGTGCCTATCGAGCGTATAGTTCACAATTGCGAACATAGCGCGAGCTTGGTACGGAAACTCATTCCTACGCTGTTTCGGTGACCCGTATGGCGTCATGCTGTGACAAGCAAGATAATGTTCATACAGATTTAAATGTCGACTTCACGAGAAGCCTGGCACCATCCGCACCGACAGGAACCATGTTATCTATAGGTTTCGGTGTTCTGGTCTACGGCAAATTACAACGTAAATACACAGTTGGCATCTTCTGGTCCTTTGGCCACGGGTATTGTTTAGGAAAGCCTCCAAGCATGGGGAACTGGTGATCTGGGAATCCGTGTTATCCGAGGCTACGGTTTTACCAAACAGTCCAGTTGAAATGTTCACCCGTTGCATCCGCTTCAAAATACGCCGCGTATCAGCAAGAGGGAGGTGAGAATATGAACCTCGGCTACGACAGAATATGAACCGTCCTGACAGCGTTATATTGTGAGTTACAAGTCGGCCCTTGAGGAACATATGAATTGTAGAGCGTCGTATGACACCTTCAGGAGTAGCTCTCCTTCCGAGCCCTAGGCTCATTTCCCGGCTGCTGACGGTTGCCTGGCTTGTTCAAGATTAGAGAGTCAGCAATTGCGTTATTATCGCAATATAAATGTACACTTCATCAATGTATTCTTGTCATAATATTCTCGACTAGGGGTCGTGTCTTGTTGGCGGAAAGATAGCTAGAGTCGCGGGGAGTGGCCTTGTCGCGCTGCTAGGGTGATTTTGACGCCATGTTGGTGGCAGGTGTGGTCGCGTACAGGTGTCTGCTCCTCCATTACCTCCACACCTCTCCGCCACACCTTTCCTGCTTGGGCGGCAATGATGCGGTGGTGCATACAGGGGGCTATGGCATACCTCGCAGCGCCCTACCCCCTTGCCACGCGCCAGCAGGACCGTATTCGCTTCTGCCTTCTTGTTTGCTGGAAGAGGTGTGTACGACGCTGCTGCGGCAGGTTACATTGGCAGCAAGCCAGGTAGGGTTGCCTCGCCCAGTTCGGGGCGTTTGTGTTGACGCAATTGTACGGTCTTATTTTACATTCGTTAGCATGACCAGCATTCCGCCAGCCTGCTAACTCGTAATGCTTCGGTAACAACAACATGGGTGGTGTCAACCACACCACCCATGCCTGCCCCCATGCCTGCCAGTACAGTCGACCCAAATGGCCCACTATAGGGCCCCTGTCCAACACTGGTAACTATGCAAAACGGAATCCAGTTACGACAACTAACGTCCGACGTACCCACGTATGGTTTCAATGCCCAACAATACCCCCGGGTGTCTCGCCGAATGGAGTCAGGGACTCACGATAGGGAAGAATTCAAACCCACCAGCAGCGTCAAACCGTAGCAACAACAGCATGTGTTAAGAAAACTGACCGCGAGTCGGAACGTACTGTGATTGCCGGAAGATGAAGTGCATGTGTGCATGTGTGTGCAAGAGCGAGTTAGGACACTCCATCCTCATGATGGCAACACATGCTGGCAAAACACGAGCAACAATGAGGGCAACTGCTTTCTTCACATCAGCACGCTCCCAGCCGTTCCCCCGAAGGCGGGATGGCGACATCCAAACAAACAAACAAACGAAACCACGATGCAGGACTTGTAAGCAAGCATCAGATTGTCTTTCCAGCATAGTTTCGCCGAGTGAGCAGCGAAGCAGGTCCATATTATACGTCATGCGTTTGCTAGCCGCCCATCTGGCCTCCCGCCACCCATCCAACCAGGGACGCTGCCCCCCACTGTCCTCTTCAGCCAACCGCCTCCGCCCCTCCTCCTCCTACCCCAGCACAACGCAGCTGACGTCTTCACATGAGTCTCCAAACACTTGCTTACCTTCTTACCTGTAGGTGTAGTAGGGGCTGGGCGGGCAGGTTGCGGCATCGCGCGCATGCTTGACTGTGCACTTGCAGGTGGCGTCCTGCTTGTTGAAGCCCTGCCCCGGCACACAGCAGCGGTCCAGCGGGGCGCCCTCCCAGGTCCACCGATCGGGTGCGGAGTCCGTGAACTTGCCTGAGGTGAAGGAGGCAACGGGGGCAAGGACGGGAGCAGGCAGCTAAAACAGCACCTTTGCTGCAGTGCGTACTCGTATACAGTGCGGGTAAATATTCAACGTCTGCCAGTGCCGGCAATGGTTACGCTTCATATACAGTGAGGAGGTTGTAGTACAACCGCCGCCCGTTGCCAGCCCACTCCAACCAACCAACCGCCAATCGCACCCACGGCCCTACCGGTGGGGTCCAGCTCCTTCACCGCGCAGCCAAAGTCGCACCAGGTGTCCGGGAACTCCTTCTCGCCGTGCCAGCAGCCGGCATCCGGCCAACCTGGGTGTCCCGAAGAAGGGCACACGGGAACGAAAGGTAACGTCAGCTGCCCATACACAACTGATGATCCATAACAAGTATATCGATGAGCACCGTACATTGGGCCCTCATGAGCACATGCAGTTCGTTCCCAGCCGCAGCCGCAGCCGCAGCCAGTGTCGCAGGACTACCTATGCAAGCTTCCGTTCTCTTACACATCGCCGCAACCGGGACATGCACCAGTGGCGGTAGTGGCTGTGTGCACAGAAGTGTGGTGTGCGCGAGTGTTCTCACCTGACTTGCCCCAGTGGATGCGCGCGCCGGCGTTCTGCAGACCCGTGGGTCCGCAGCGCTTGTCGCTCCGCAGGTAGCCGAACAGCGCCTTGAACACCACGTTGCTGCGGGCAACCGGCCTGGGGTGGGGGGCGGGCAGGGGGGAGGTGGGGCCGGAATACAAAAGCAGTACGACACCGGCCAACAAAACTGCGCCAAAACGACGGATACGATGACACACGCTGGATACACCCGCCAGGGAAGGACTCGCGCACTCATTCACATATAGCCGGCTTAGTTTCCAATTTTAGCAAAGTCGCAAAGACAGGGTCGTACGTCGTACCTGTTGTAGAACAAGTAGTCCTCAATGTTGAGCCAGAGCCGCGGCATGTCCTCCGTCAAACTCAACAAAGCGTTCTCCCGACCCGTCGCACGAATGAGTGGGTTGGTACGGAAACCGTAATCCGGTCGACCGTTGGCGCCGGTTAGTGCCGTACCGTTGCCGGCCAACTTGGATACGATGCTGAGTGGCGATGCGGATCCGTTGTACTTGTTGCCGTCGATGTTATCAGCGCCGTACAGGAGCTCCAGCATGCCCTGCCAGCAGTCGGCCATGCTGACTACTGGAACAGCCACCTCGTACTGCGTTGTTGTTAGGGAGACGGAGAAAGCGGAGATGGGAAGGGAGGCGTTAGGAAGGAGGGCGAAAGTAGCGTCGGAGGGCGCACATAGACGAGCATATAACCGGTAATATCCTACAAGGGCCATCCAGGCATCCATGCGTGTAGTAGTGGGGGACCCGGGCATCCAAGACCCAACCAGCATTTCTCAGCCTGTGAGCATACGCCACACGGCAGTCATGAATAAGCGTACGGACATTCACCTGGTCGTACAACACTTTGCGGATGTTGACGTTAAGGATACCCTGGAGAGGACGGGAGCCGAGGGGAAGGAGAGGGAGGGGCAGATCAAGGCAGCCGTTGCAGCGGTCATAGGAGCAAGTGAGGATTGGTCAAGGGTCTGAGCTAAGAGGTGCGTGCATCCCTGCGGCCCCGCAGCCCTTTTCGACTACCGTCTCGCAGCCCCTGTGTTTGAATCCCACTCCCAAAACCCCCCTCCTTGTTTGCCAACGGAATCCTTCTTTTCTCCCTTCACCCACCCGGCCCCCCTTCACCCGCGCACCTCTGGCTGGTACAGGTATCCCTCCAGCGCCTCCTTTGTCGCGTTGCGGGCGATGGTGTAGACCCCGCTGCGGGAGATGTCAATGTAGGCATCCGCCATGTTGGGTAGACCGTAGAAGACTGGAGGATGTGAGGGTGGGAGGGGGGAGGGAGGCAGGGGTGGGTTAGGCAGCTGTGGATTAGATGGGCGGAAGTGCAGCCTGGTGCTGCGGAGAGGTGGCTAACTTGGTGCAGCAATGTAAAGCCATTTGAATTTCCCGTGCAGGCAGTACCGAACCGAACCTGCATGCGCGATAGGGCACCAAGCTATACACTTTAGCCCCACAAACACTTCGGCTCCCCCCGACACAGGTTGCCCCAACAAGAAGCCCTCCTTCCTCTCCCTTCCACCCCGCCACTCACTAGTAGGCGGCCGGCGGGCGGGAATCTCCCATGTAGCCCCCTCCACCGCCTCCGCAGCTGCCTCCGCACTCGAGTTCATGCCACCCGCCGCCGACGCAGCTGCTGAGCCCCCGTCTGCCATGCTGGTAGTGCTGCCCGATGCGTCGCTAACCACCACGCTGCTGGTGCTGCCGTTGCCATTCGCACTTCCTGCGCCGGCTACAGCCCCGTTCTTGGCTTGCAGCAGTGTCACTTCTGGCTGCTGCTCGGCACCAGCAGCAGCACCAGCAGCACTTGCATTGCCGCCGCCGGCACGTATGCTAGTGCCCAGGTCCTTCGCAGCGCCCGCAAATGCATTAGCCAGGGAGCTAGCGGGTGCAGCGGCGGGGGCGGAGGCAGAGGCGGCGGCGGGAGCGGTGGCTTCGACTTCCGCCGGGCCGGCGAGGGAGGTCACGGCGGGGGCGGGAGCGGGAGCGACGGCGCCTCCCTCGGTGGAGTCCGCGGTGACGTTCTCGGTATCGGCAAGGTTGTTAGCGGGGTTGAGCGGCCAGGGGACGTTGATGACGGTGTCGTTGAGTCGCCGCAGGGTGGGCAATGCGGCGGAGGAGATGCCGGTGACCGGATCGAAGGAGACGTTTGTAAGCAGCGGCCAGACTGAGGGAGCGAGAGGGAGCGAGAGGGAGGGAGGCGGGAAGTGGGAAGCAGGGGGGCAGCAAGCGGGAAAGTGGGGGGCAGGCGGGCAGGTAAGAGGCCAGGAAGGAAGAAGCTTTAAAGGATGAAGGACGAAGAGCGTCCTTTTGCAAGGCTCTGCCCTTTGCTCCATTGTAGGCTGCTAATGTGGTTGCTAACTTGCTAGGCACACCACACGGCAAGTTTTGGCGATTTTTCATCACACCCCAGACACCAGAACGACCCCCCTAACAAGCAAAACATATCCTGCAACAACCTCCAACACACACCCTGTCTGCACGCCCGCACCCACCCTGCAGTGTGATGTTGGATCCCGGCTTGCGCACCGCCGCCTCCAGCAGCTCCAGGGAGGAGTTGTAGGCGGAGGTGGCGGGCGGGGAGCTGCGCGCGTAGGCGGACAGCACCGCCAGCCGCTTGGCGGCGTCGGCGGTGTCACCGCGGGTATACGACACCATGAGGAACTGGGGGGGGGAGGGGGGGAGGGTGGGGGGGAGGGTGGGAGGGTGGGTGGGTGGGTGAGAGGGTGGGTGGGAGGGTGGGTGGGAGGGTGGGTGGGAAGGAGGTTGGAGAGGAAGGGAGGGCCGGACGGCTGCCGGCGCAACGTACGGCCTCAAGCCCATGTCTAGTCTTGTGTCTGCAGCTGTGTGTGCGAGCAGCTGCTGGCCCCAACAGCTGAACCCACCCCACCAGCTGTTGCCCCCTCCCGCCCTCCCATGCTACTATCACGCACAGTAATCCCTCCCTCCCCCCACGTGTGGCTTCCCAAGGTATGGTCTTTGAACCCCCCCCTCTCCATGCACCCCACCTCATGCCGCTGCGGCACCCAGAACCACTCCGTCTCGTCCATCCAGGCGGGCAGGGTGCCGTTGGCGGCCCACTGCCGCTGCGCCGACCGCAGCAGCGCCAGGTACTCGGAGGCGGCCAGCCGGTGCAGTGTGCGGGTGACGGGAACCTGGGGCAGCAGCGGGGAGGAGGCGGAGGCGGAGGAGGGGCGAGGCGGGAGGGGAGGCGGGAGGGCAGGCGGCAGGTGAATAGGGTACCAAGTGGTACCGGACATGGGGTCCGAACATGAGGACAAGTGGGGCGAGGCACCAGGAGCAAGAGCGGCGGACCGTCCCCTCGCGCCAAACGAACTAATCCAGCCCCTTAACCGCCATTTCCACCCCACCCCCCCGCCACCTCGGACCTCACCTCCCGAAGGATGCGGAACTTGATGTGCGTGATAACTCCCAGCTTGCCCACACTCACACGCAGGGCCTGCAGGGGGAGGGAGGAAGGGGAAGGCGTATTGAAGGTAACGGCATATGGGTGCCGCAGAAGGGCGGGCGCCAATAAAGAGCAAAGCGTGAGGAGAGGACATGCCATCTCGCGATGCCTCTACCACGGCCTTAGTAGACCCGCCCCCCTCACCCTCCTCCTCCACCCCACCAATACCATCCCGGCTCTTCCCCGCCACCCACCCGCATGTAGAAGGGGTCGCTCTCGTCCGTGAAGTGGCGCACCGTGCCGTTGGCCAGCACCACCGTCAGTCCCAGCACCTGCAGCGGGGGGGGGGCAGAAGGGCGGGAGGGTGCAGGTGTGTGTAGGGGGGTGCGGGTGTGATGGGGAGTGTGGTGAAGAGGTGGAGCGAAGGCTACCGGATGTAAATAGTGGTAGGTGACGGCAGTAGGCAGCAGCGGCAGAAGGACTCCGGACCGGGCCAGACCGCGCTTGATGACCGCATACACTCTGCACCCTACCAGCCACCCCACCCCCATCCCCATCTGTGGTTTTCCACGGTTGGGTCCTGGTCAGTTAGTTGTTTCCTCAGCCACCCCACCCCACCCGCCGCCCCCGCCCCACCAGCCACCCCACGTCCCCCCCACCTGTCCTGACAGCGAGTTGTGTGTGAGGCTGCTGCCGTGCGTTCCGGTGGAGACTGCGCCGCCCACCGTTTGGAACACGAACCAAGGGAAGGCGGGCAGGGTCCAGCCGGTGGGGGCGGATTCAGTGACGTAGTTGGCCAGGTAGCGCAGCAGGTCGATGGTGCGGACACCTGTGGGGCAGGGAGGGGGGGTTGGAGGGGGGTTGGAGAGGGGAGTGGCGGAGAGGGGTGCATAGGGAAGGGGTGCATGGGGAAGGGGTGCATGAGGGTCGGGAGGGGTGCTTGAGAGGAGCGCAGTGCGGGGTGTGTGTGCAGGAGGCAAAAAGCAGATGCCGAGGAAGTGAAGACAGGAAGTGAAGACAGGAAGTGAAGACAGGAAGTGAAGACAGGAAGTGAAGACAGGAAGCGAGGGAAGTACAGGCGGCCAGGGCTCAGATCGCAACGGCGGCTACCCCTTACCGTCACGCACACACATTATGGCCAGTTATTTTAACACATTATGTGTGTATCGCTAAAGGCAGCCCCCTCCTCACGGTCAATCGTTGCTCATGCACACGCACCTCAACACCCTCAGGGGCTACTACTTCCCTCCCTCCCTCCCTCGCCCAGTTTCCACAATTTCTATCCCTCCCTCACACGCACGCACGCACGCACGGCCGCACCCGCATCCACGGTGACGCTCTCCTCCGTCTCGTTCACCGCAATCACCAGCGGCCGCAGCGTCTGCATCACAATGTTGGCGGGGCCCTTGGGCGGGGGCGGCGCGCCGCCGCTGATGAAGGCGGGTCCGCTGCTGCGGGGCCCTGCTCGGTAGCCGTCGGGGGTGGGGGCGGTGGTGCCGTTGCTGGCGCAGAAGAAGGGCTGGGGGAGAAGGATGGGTGGAGGAGGATGGGAGGAGGGTGAGGTGGATACACGGGGGAGGACATGGGCCACATACGAGCGAGCGGTTAGGTGATAGGTGAGCAAGATCAGCGAGCCCGTCACGTGGCGTGTGGAATAAGGCATAGTTTGATGGAAGCCAGTTAGGAACCCGGAATGGCTTCTCACCTGGTTCCAGGACCAGCCGCCTCCCACCGCCTGCACATGGCTGTGCGCCTGTACTGCCGCCTGCACGTCCGCCAGGGTGCGGGGGCTGGGGTGCGGGGGCGGCATCAGGGTAGGGGGGGAAAAATTAAATATGTGAAACAACGAGTCCCAATAGGGCTAGGGGGGAGAGAGGGAGGGAAGGGTGCGGCAGGGCAGTGGGGGAGAAAAATAGTTGAAAAGTTCAGCAAGGGTAGTGGGAGAGGGAGGGCGGGAGATAGGGCATGACAGGCGGGAGGGAGGAAGGGTGGGACGGGCGTGACGGGTGGGACACGGTGGGCCAGGTGTGCACGTGCGTTAAGCCGCAAGGCAGCGTGTACGACCAGGTGTCGTGATGAATGGGCAGTCAACGCTCACATGGATTGAGGGAGACTGACCGACTGGCCGTCCAACGCACGGATGTGGATCGCATACGAATGTAGCACCCGACCTCTCCCTCCCAGCCTCCCGACATCTCGTTCCAAATTAGGGCATGGCGATAGGGCAACCCATCCACACCTTCCCACCAAGCCCTCCACACAAAAAGCCCTTACCGCACAAGTCGGGTGGTTAGGTTGTCACATGAATACTCGTTCTGGAAGTTGGTAAGGTCGAAGGGAGCGAAGCCCTCCACGCCGCTGTTGGGAGTCACAACCCCCAAAAGAAACAGAGCTGCTGCCACAGTGGCGGCAGTCAGAGCTGCGGCGGCGACGGCGAATGCCGATGTGGGTGCGGTGGTGCGAGCGGGCCGCAGTGCCGGCCGCGATGCGTCGCCCTGCTGCCGGCGACGATTCAGCGCCATTGCTGCTTGTTCAGTGTTACAAGCGCTTCACACTCGACGGGTCTGTCTAAAAGTGGTATGTCTAGGAGACGGATTGCAGGTTGATGATGATGATTGCAACAACAACTGTTGAGCTCCAAGCGCGGATCGAAGGCCGCGCGAAGGCCGAGGACGCGGAGAGGGTGTGGCGTTGCGCTGACCCGGGGGTCGGCCGGCCCACGGCTTCAGGCGCCTGAACAAGATAAAAACACAGGATAGCAGGGACAGAACAACAGGAGGCAGATAATGACTGGGTTAACAGGCAGCTTACAAGGATGCAGTACATGTTTATTGGGATGGATATTGTGGGAGGAGAGGTTGCAGTGGGAACCTTGGGACCCTTGGGAAGGGAAAATGGGACTGCGCACGTGGGCCCATCGCCAGCCGCAGAGCAGGTGCAATGCAGTAATACACTCCGCAGATGCATCACATTGGAGGTATAACGTACTTAGACTAAACAACCATTAGTGGCGTTATCAGCTCGATGAAGCCTACCTGGTAAGCGAGCCTCAGGACGGTCCTGTCGTCTGCCGTCCCACGTTGCCGTGTCCACCTTAGGATACGTAACTATAGATATAAGCCTGCTTGCTTGGCCTGATTTTCTCGCAAGTAAGACACAGGCTTATAAACGGTTTAGAGCGATGTGGTTGCCGGTAATCTGAAAGCCATCTGTCGCATGATATGTGCAGAAAGACAGACGGGCGGACGATCAAAGTTCCTCCGGTACAGTTTTTCTGGTGCGAAGCGTGCTTATACTTACGACTTAACAATGCGATGAAAACAATAGTGATAACATGGAGGAAGGACACTCCAAAGTAGGGTGCGTACCGCATTCCGAAAGCGGACCCCGCCGTTGGTACGTTGCTGTTGCCACATGTGTCTGGCTGTGATAGCTGTACCGGGGTAACAGGTCATACGACGATCTGTTTTGGTAAGTCAAAGGTAAACCTGGGTAAACACGAGTTTTCGAGATGAGGCTTGCGACCTTTCAGGCCTGTCAGGCTGTGTCAAGGGTCGCTTGTGTAAGCGTGCAGCAAGAGCTGTTGCCTGCTGCATGTCGTCGTTACCGGTATACAGTGCATTGGCCGAAATGTAAAATACCGGTACATTGCGCAGTAGCAAAGCCGAAGCAGTTACTACGGATGTCACACAGAGCGACCCACGGTTCATCCCGGCACCGCACCTCTCCCGCTCGCGGAACGGATGCAAAAAAGCGATATACCCTGGTCCGCCGCGCTGCTGCTTGGCATTCCTCCAGCGCCGCAATTGAAGCATGTTCGCTCAAAGCTCAGAGCACTCATGGATAGGCAGGACGGGTGGTGACATCCAGAACCTAGCGCATGCAGCCCTGATGCACAGCCTCTTTACCACTGCTCCATTCCTGCTTACCCTCTGTAATACCAGCAGCTACAACTATGTGTACTACTACGTGCCGGCAATACCAGCAGACCAACAAAAGTACCTTCACCTCCGGTGAAACATGATGCAACGCCACATAGCCGCAAAAGAGAGCACAACCCAGCCGACACAGCTACACACGACGATACAGCTACATGGCACACAATAGGGCACCATAAAGTACATATAACGCATGCGGCAAGTGCCTAAGCCGCCGTGCGTCGAGTCCTTCCATTAATGTGAGTTGTGTACAGACCAACGCAGCAAGATACAGCATGGAAAATTCAGCTACGGGCTTGATCACTACAACTTAAACGGTAGCCTGAGTGCCTATAACCTGAACACCTAAACAACACTCATGCTCTCTCAACATTGCAGCCCTCGCAGTACGCATGTTTTACACGTTTCTCCCTCTCCGCAAAACTCCATTACGCCCTTCCTTGGCCTCTCCGGCCCCTCCCGCAATCGCATCCATAACCGTCCGTCCGGGTCCTCAAAACAGCAGCAGCAGCAGCAGCAGCACCAGCAGCACCAGCAGCAGACCTACCCAGCAGCAGACCTACCCAGCAGCGGCTTCCGCCCCTTCCACTCACGGCACCCCATCACCGTGGCAGCCTCCCCTCTTGAACAGCGTGTTGTACACCGCACCACACCGCTAGCTGTCCCTGTGCCGTTCTGCTGTCCCCTCGCGACGCAAGGCCCCGCCGGATCACGCACAGTACCCACACATGTGCCCTTCTTCCTCCCTGCTGTGTGTCCTATATCGTACATACCCTCCCTCTCCCCACCTCCCTCCGAATGCGCTCACTGCATGAGTCGGGATTTGGGATCGGGACTCCGTTGCTGCACTTATCTTTACATTCCCTCCCTCAGCACTCGTCACTATCCTGGTACATATGCAACCCCAGATACAGCAAATGGTCCGCGATGCTGGTACACAGCCCCAGGTAGCACGCGGAGTTATGGCAGGAAGGGTCCTCGCCGCTGCCGTCGCACATCAGCAGCTTGCGACCCACGGGTCCGCCGCCGCCGCCGCCACTGGGATCCTCCACGTCCACCTCCCACACCTCCCTCGCCACGTGCTGGAAGCCCATGAGCTGCAGCGGCACGCTGGGTACGATGTCTCGGTTGTGGGTGAAGCGCCAGGAGACGTCGATGAAGGTGTTGAAGAGCTGAGGAGCGGAGGTGGGAAGGGAGGACGGGAGCGATGGTGGAATGGTTGCAATCAAGGGCAGGCGTGAGGATATATGACCTTCCCTCTCAGTTCACCAGCCGTTGCTCTCCAAGCCCCTTCCGCCCGCACACCCTGACCCGCCGACGCAGCCCTTCCACAACCCCCATGCGCGTGACCACCCCTTTCCCTGCCCCCCTAACCCACTTCACCCCTCGCCCACCCGCACCCCTCCCTCCCCACTCCTCACCTGCTGATATGCCAAGTTGCCCACACGCGGCGCGCCGTACGTATACACCGTCACATGGGTCTTATTGTACGACAATTTGGCTTCCAGCGCCGCCAGCTGGGCTAGAGCACCTCCCATGGAGTGACCCGCGGTCACCAGCCGCGCCCCGGGGTGCGCCTCCAGGAGCTCCGAAACCGCATCTTTGAACGTGGCTTGCAGCATGCTGTTCGCCCACAACGTGTAAAACCCGGCGTGGATGAGCGCGTGCGGGAAATCCGGCACGGGGTACATGTGGTCGGTGCGCCAGGCACGCATGTTCTCCGCCCATTGACCCCAGTTGGAGGAGTCCGTGCCGCGGAAGGCGAGGACGACGGCGTTCCAGGGAGGGTAGAAGCCCGCGTAGGCTGCCAGGTCCCAAACGGAGTCGTACACCACGCGATGCATGGCGAATCCGCCGGTGACGTTGGCGCAGCGGGTGCAGTTCCAGGCGGCTAGGAGGTCGGGGTGGCTGCAGTAGGCGATTGAGGCGAGCTGGCCGGCTAGGGTTGCTTCATCGATGTCAAGCTGGGGTGGAGGAGGGTCGATGGCGCCCCAGCGGTCCGGCTGCGGGTGCGGGTGCTGTTGATGTTGTTGTAGATCGAGGGGTTGGTCTAGGGACAGGCTGGGGCCCGTGGCTAAGCGGGGGAGAATGCGAGGAGCTGTGCTGGAGAAGACTGTGGCGATCCCCGGATCGAGTAAGGAGCCGGTGACTGGAGTGTTGATGCTAGACTGCTGGGATGCTTTGTTGTAAGCTGCTTGTGCGGCGTTGGCGGTACTAAAGGAGTCGGCCAGCTCGGCATGGCCTGACGCGAGGCCTGAGCTGTATCGCGTGGACAACGTTTCGCGCAGGATGTCTTCAGCTGCATAGCCTTTACGCTTTGCTATAATCGACTTTGTAGATGGCAGCCGAGACGCGAATACCCCATCGAATAAGAGCGCTAGTAGGGAGAGGGCTAACATGCGACTGAATAAGCCCGAACCCGGGCGCTTCAAGTCGTGTAACATTGGATGAATTCAGTACCTAAAGAGCGTTTTGCGTATCCTGGTCTCTATATGAGATCATTACAAGGGTTTGAACCCCAACATCACTCGGCATGACGTGGACGTGGGAGGCATAGCCGTCACTGACATAAAATGATAAAGAAACGGTGTGCAGAATCAAGAGTTGGTAGAAGGGGCTGGCACAAAGTAGCGCTTATGGGCCCAGGGATGAGGTAACCAACCCTGAACGGCAATCTAACGCCACCATCAAACGGCACCAGGGCTTACTTCACACCGCGCAGCCTTATTTAGGTCGTTTTGTATTGAAAGCGCCACACATCGAAGTCCTCCCAGATGGCCGTTCCATGCTCAATATCACAACATCCCAACCGTCCTAGTTTGCACGCCCGCATTCCTTTTCGCAACTTGGCAAACCATTACACGTCAACTCCATTAGCGCCGCAATTACATTGCAACAAACTGCGCAAATCCGGAGGGCAATGGCCACGACCTGCACCCCACCACCAGCAAAGTTACTCCTACAGCACGCTTACAAGAAATGCGCACTTGTTTCTATCAGCTCTGCCACCGAATAGTCCTGGCGGCCCCGGCACATCAGTCAACAAAGGCTTCTCCCTCCTAGAATGGACCAATGGCATGCTGCCGCAGGGTCAACTGGTTAGCGGTGGGTCGTGGTAGTACGCACGCTTTGTGTCACACGGAGTGCGCTCTTTCTACCACACGGAATTAAACAGGCGGCGGCACGTCTGGCCCGCTCAATCCAATACCGCTAACCCTCCTCCTGCACCTCCCGGCCCCAACCTGCCCCTCGCCGCCTCGCCCCCAACCAACCCCGCTTCCCGCCCCGCCAGGCGTGCAGGCGGGTTGGCGGCTGACATGGCAGGCCATGGTGCGCGAGCTGGCGCCGCAGAGCCGCGGCGGCGCCTACAGCCGCCCGCAGTACTCCTTCAGCGGGGTGGTGGGGCAGCCGGGCTGGCCGGTGAGGGAGGCAGAAGAGGGACGCAGGAGGGGGAACGGAATGGCAACCGTGGCACAAGGCGCCTTTCTCCGCTCCCGCAATAGTGACCCATGCGCCTCCCCTTGCCTGTTCTTCCCCCACCTCTCTTCATCCTCTGCCCCTCCCTCAACCGCCCCGCCCTGCCCTGCCCTACCCTGCATCCCCCGCAGTCTGAGTCGGCTCGCTACCACCTCTACCTGGGTAACGCCTGCCCCTGGTGCCACCGGGTGGCTGTAGCGGCGGTGCTGCGGGGGGCGTTCCGGGAGGCGCGGACGCAGCAGCAGCAGCAGCAGCAGGGGGTAGAGAACGGGCAGGTGGAGGGAGCGGGAGGTGCGGTAGCGGCAGCAGCAGCAGGGGAAGGAGGAAGGGCGGCGGCGCAGCAGCGGAACGTGCCGGGCCTGCAGCAGCGGCAGCAGCAGCAGAGGCGCATGCATGTGGGGCTGACTTGGCTGGAGGATGACCCCACACGGGCCCGGCGGGGCGGCTGGGTGCTTGGGGCGCGGGATCCGGACCCGGTGTTTGGAGCTAGGGACTTGTGGTGGGTGGGAGGGCGGGTGGGCTGGGAGGACGGATGGGAGGCTTTGGGGTGCGATACCGGTAGATGATGGGGCTGATGGGGCTGCACACAAACCTGTGTCCGTAGGGCTAGGCGGTGCCGTACACTTCACCCTCTTCGGCTGGAGTTGCCGAGGCAGGCCTGTTGACTCCACGCAACCCGGTTGGTGCCCATGCGGTGTCTCCCTTCCCCGACTCTGTGTGGGTTGCGCCCCGCAGGGAGGTGTACGACAGGTGTCAGCCCGGGTTCCGGGGCCGCTGTACGGCACCCCTGCTGGTGGACACCGTACGGCAGGCGGCGGTGTGCAACGAGAGCTCGCTCATCATGCGTAGCTTGGATGAGGGGCTGCGGGGGCTGGAGGGGGGCGGGGGGGCGGGGGGCGGCGGGGGCAGCAGCAGTAGCAGCGGCGGCGGTGCGGGATGGAAGCAAGAGCGGCGGCAAGGGGAGCAGCAGGGCGAGCAGCAGGGGGAACAGGGGGAGGTGGTGTTGCGGCCGGAGCACCTGAGGAAGGAGATCGAGACGCTGAATGAGCGGGTGGGTGTGGGGTCGGGGGGAGGTGAAGGGGAAGGAGGAAAGCAGAGGGTAGAGGCAGCTGAGCAACATGCCAGCAGGCGGCGGCAGTAGTTGGTCAACACCGCATCTGCCTGCAACCCATGCAGCCCACATCCCGCCCTCCCGCCCGCCACACATGCATGCATGCATGCCCGCAGATCTACTCTGCCATCAACAACGGCGTCTACCGCTCCGGCTTTGCAACCACCCAGGAGGCCTACGATGAAGCGCAGGTACGCGCAAGGACGCGGACGTGTGTAAAACATGTGTGACGTACAATCCAGTTAGAAGACGGGGAGACGGGTCGGGTGTTTGCGGATGTTGGGTGCATGTGGTTACCGGTCATGCCTGGTTGCGCTCCCATTGCTGCCCCAGGCTGAGCTGTGGGCTGCTCTAGACGAGATGGAGGCCCGGCTGCGGCGCTCGCGGTTCCTGCTGGGGAACAGGTGGGTGAAACCAGCTGCATGCGTGGGAAGGGGGCGGGGGGGCGGGGGGACGAGGAGGGGCCCGGGGCGTGCGAAAGGGGCGGGGGCGGGTGTTGGGTGGTTGGAGGGCTGCGGAGGAGGACCCCCGTAGGTGCGGGCGCGACGAAACCCCCCGCCCCTGCATCATGCATGCATGGATGAGGGCGCCCAACCCCGCCTCATCCCATGTTCCCGCCCCCGCCATCCCGCCATCCCGCCTCCCAGGCTAACGGAAAGCGACGTGTGGCTGTTCCCCACCGTCGTTCGCTTGGATGCGATGTACGGCCCGCTCTTCAAGTGCGGCCGCCGCAGGGTGTTTGGCAGCGGCGGCGGCGGCGGAGGAGGAGGAGGAGGAGGGGAGGGAGATTACCCGGCGTTGGCTGCCTGGGCGCGGGACATTTGGCAGGTTAAGATTCCTGGATCTCTGATACAGGTACGGCATGTGGCATGAAAACTGGCCGCGAGGAAGAACGTACTTTAATTGTCAAACGATGAAATCCACTGCATGTTGCCGCTCCCTTCATGCTTCTGCTGCCCTATGCCCTATGCCCTATAATCACCCCCAACTCACCACCCGCCCTTATAGAAAATACCCCTTCACCCGCCGCTCCATGCCACCATACACGCAACAAACAGATCAGTGACACCCTGGACCTGGATGCGGCGCGTGCCTCATACTTCCGCAGCCTCTTCCCACTCAACCCCAGCGGTATCGTGCCCGCCGGCCCCTCCGCGGCGGACCTGCAGCTGGAGCGACCCGCGGGACGCGGCAGCAGCGGCGAGGGCCTGGCGGACGTATGTTACATGAGCTGATGTGTTGGTTTGCAGCTTGGTGGAAGGCGCAGATGTCATGTTTGCGGCACGTGTTTATGTGGACGCTTTTTCGCGGTGTTGAGGGCATGGATAGAAACCATAGGATGTTGTGTTAAGGGGGCGGCATGGGAGGCCGCTTGCGGAGCTATCCCTTAGTACGAGTAAGGCTGTTGCCTGTCGCTTCACGGAGCCGGAGAGCAGGTGCGCATAACCTTGAATGATCTAGATTTATAATGACCTAGTAACGTCCTTACGTCCTGATGCCTAATGCTCGTGCGGCGTTACAACTCGTCGGTAACTTAATGTGGCAGGAGAGGTACGGCGCGTGGCTACAGTGTGGTGCTTATAAAAGCAGTGCCTGGGGAAGCGGTGCCAATATGCTTCTATTTATTGCGATTATAAGGTGACATTTGAGTGGCCGCCAAAGACTTGACGAAGGCTTGACGCACTCATGCGTGTACGATTCGTCTTTACGTGTGCATAACCCTGCCAACAGTAAGGACTCTTCCAGCAACCCGTTCGGACAAGCCTTGGTTGAGCTGTGCCGTGAAGCTGAGCTGCTTATTATGAATGGTCGTGTGCCCGGTGATATGGAGGGTGAGTTCACGTTCTATCACGCCCACGGCCTGGCCTGTAGTATGATTGACCTCTTTATCTGCTCGCCTGCTTTGGTTTCGCGGGCATCGCAACTGCAAGTGCTGGGCATTCCCATTGCTACGGAGGGGCCCAAAGTGGGATCGAGGCTCAGCGATCACTGCCCGGTGACACTCACTCTGGACGTCGGATTAGGAGGAACGCGTAGGGGTGGTATCAGGGATTCCTCTCGCATGGGGAAGCGTGAGTGGGAGCGGTTCACGCGCCTGTTTGAGGTAGAGGATGCTGCTGTCGTACAGAAGATCGACGAGGCTGTCAACCAACTGGGGCATGGTCTCAACAGCACGGAGGTTGTTACTGTGGTCTGTCGGGCTCTTAAGAAGGCTATTGACGCCGCGTTTCGCCTGGATAGGAGGCAGGGGGCCAGTTCTAGTGCAGGCAGGACGGACAAGGATGCGCCTTGGTGGACACCTGAGTGTGCGGAGGCCCGGGAGGCTATGTTTGCTCAAAAGGCGCTCATGCGTGCTAACGGTCTGCTGGGGGATCAGGATGCCAAAGCTGAGTTCAGTCGGTTGCGCACGAAGTATCAACGTCTTCGCAGAGAGGCTAAGGACAAGTTCCGGGTCATGCATTTTGAAGGAGTTATCGAAGAATGTCGGGGGGATCCACGGGCGCTTTGGGGTCGGCTGAATAGTAGGCTTAGTCAGGGGTGCCCTATCACGGATGTCAATAGTTGGGGAGCCTATTTCAACGCGCTGTTTAATGGGGAAGTCAATGCGTTTAACGAAGTTTCCGCGGACACCATCCTTAGTACCATCAACGGTGTGCCACATGGGAGGGGGAGAGGATGGGCCAGGGCGACAGGCGATCGGGTAGCACGAGTCACTGCTGCTGCCGCACTTAACGTTCCGTTTACTTTGGCTGAAGTCATCGCTGCGCTGAAGTCCCTGCGTAATAACAAGTCTGGTGGTTTAGGCAGAGTGCCGGCTGAATGTTTCAAGTGTGCGACGAGAGAGGTTGAGGGTAGGAGGATGTACGTTTTAGCTCCTTACCTGCTCAAGCTACTAGAGCATATCCGCAGCACGGGGGATTACCCTGAGCAGTTTGAGATCTCTGCGCTTACGCCCATTCACAAGAAAGGCGATGTGATGGAGAAGGGTAACTATAGGGGATTAGCAGTGGGTGGTGTTTTGTCTAAGCTGTATGCGTTTATGTTAGAGCATAGGCTGTCTCGTTGGGGCGAGCTGGTGGGAGCTAGGTCGCCGTATCAGGGAGGTTTCCGACGCAAGCGGGGTACCTGCCACAATCTGTTTCTGTTACGTCACCTGACGGACAAACATAAGGGGGGGCGAGACGCAGTTGACCCCCTGTTCGTTTGTCAGATTGACTTTGAGAAAGCGTTTGACAAGGTGCCACGTGATCTTTTGTGGTTAAGGTTGGAGGAACGGGGTGTACATGGCGCTATGTTGGAGGCTCTCAAGACTTGTTACAACAAGGTCATGATGCGTGTCAGGGTAGACGGAGTGACGGGGGATCCTTTTGAATCTTCGCAGGGAGTCAAGCAAGGTTGCCCTCTCAGCCCTACGCTTTACGGGATTTTTGGCGAGGGGTTTGCTGACTATGTTGACGCTAAGGATAAGTGGCTCCCTGATGCTATGCGCGCCAAGCAGCAGACTCCTCATGCGGATGGCCGGCGTATCCCGTTGGAACTGTATGCCGACGACCTCAGCCTTTTCGCTACGACGCACAGACGGCTGATTGTGTTGCTCGCTGATTTGAGAGAGTGGTGTGAGGCCTTTGGGATGCGGGTGAATGTTCGTAAATGTGAATTGATGGTTTTCCACCCTCGTGCCAATATCCGTGAGGCTTTTGCTTCCCTTTGCCCCGTGGTGTGGACTTCTATTGAGGGAAATGCGCGAGTACCTATGGTTATTCCCTGGGTACAACGAGCCCGTTACCTTGGTTTGCACTTTGGTCCTGGCACACCTTTTGTTTCCTGCACAGAGGAACTGTTGACCTCTGGCCGACGTGCTATGTTTTCTCTTCAGCGTAAATTAAAACGCCTAGGTCTCTTGGTCCCTGCTGTTGCAGTTAAGTGCTTCGACGTGCAAGTCCGCTCCATCTTGTCGTACGGTGTCCAGGTGTGGGGGCCTGATGTGGTGCTGAAGTTAATGACGGACTGCGAGAATGCCGCGAGGTACTTTGACAGATCCTTGCGGGACCCAATGGTGCAGTTACAAAGGGGATTTCTTCGGGAGATTGCGGGTGTTAAAGTCTCGCCGGATAAGTTGCTGTTTAAGGAGTTTAACCAGCGCCCCCTGCATGTCTTTTGGTTGGAACTGTTTCTGAGGTTTTGGAATGACCTGGTCAAGCAGAAGGACACGGTCTACCACCAGGCGTTGCGAGGTGAAATTCGTTCGGCCCTCAGTACTGAGCATTATGATGGCTGGGGTTCTAAGGTGTTGAAGATTCTGAAAATGTTAGGGACGGATTTGACGGCCTTGGGGGGTGAGTTGGACTTGAATGCGCGTGTGGAACGTATTGCTGGCACGGAGCTAAATGTGTCTACTCTCACTAAAAAGTTTGCTGATAGAATGGATGCGGATTGGGAGGATAGGAGTTTGGAAGATGACCCGCGGCTTTTCAACCCAGTAGACCCCGTACCTGGGGTTGGAGTTAAGATGTGCAGGTACAAAAATTGGATGGGTGACCCGGTTGACAGGGGGTACATTACTCAGCGGCAGCATGTGAACCTGATGCGTTTTCGGCTGTGTGTGTGGGGCATTGAAGCCAATCGCCCTAGGGGTAGGCAACGAGTAGCGCGTGTCTGTCCTATGTGTGCCGTGCAGGGGTCGCCGGGGAGAGTGGAAGATGAGAAGCACATCCTCATTGAATGTCCCGCTTACGATGATTTGCGTGACAAGATATGGGAAAGTGGTGTCTCACGGGATGCTGATATGATTGCTGTCATGGGCATGGAGAATCAGGCATTGCTCGCTAGTGTAATCACTAGCATGCGAAGTCGCAGGATTGCGCAGACAGGGTTTATCATATGATTAGCGTTCTGTTTGTTGTCTCTTTTGTTTGCTTTTTCTTCATTTGGTTGTTTTCGCGTTTTTGTGCTCGCGATCCATGAGCCTTCTGGCTCGGACGGATCTTACGAGCTCGGTACGAAGCTTGTAACACATACATACATACATACCCTGCCAACAACAGGTTATCCTACCAGGTTTTGCCAACTCTATTTTTAGGTGTGTATGTTTGGTGAGGCGCTTGACCTGCTGCCTGTCAACCCTGCTGACCGGTTTCACAGTTTACAGGGGCTTTGCCCTGCCATGCAAACTTTCGCAATTTGGAACCAGAAAACATGTGGTTGGAAAGTAAGGAGAACGGCTTACCAACTACCTGCAAAAGGTCTTAGGTCAAGAGGGAGGCATGCGCAAGGTGTTGCGCTAGTTCGGGCCTCGTTCGCAGCCAGTCCCGAGCCAGACAAAGTTCAGCCATCAGCCTCGAGCCAAGCGCTAAAGCCGTCGGGCTCTTTGGCTCACTTCTGGCCAGCCGTCTCGTGGAATCGGTACCACCTTCAAATCCTCTTTGTAAGTTTTCGCCGCTGTGCTGCTATGCCCACATCTTATCTGAATGCTGCGAAAAGTGGTGCTATAGGTATCGCTCCTTATACGTTCCTGTGCGGACTCACGCTTCCATGCATGCCTTGGCAGGTTGACCAAACGGACACAGTTCGGGCGCGGCTAGCAGCAGGTCTTTTCGAGAGATGTGCAGAGTGGAATGGCCACGGCAGGTGCGAACATCGACAAGCGCATCACGCATCATGCGGCGATCGCCCTCGTACCTGCATACCTCCAAGACCCAGTTCACTGTAGCCTTAATCCTCCCTAACAAGCCGACCCATGCCAACCCCCACCGATCCCCCCTTTTCCTCCCTCCCTCCTTCCCCACACAGGGCCCTGGTTCCCTGGACCTGCGGCCTCTCCGCCTCCCCCTCTCGCGACATCCACTCCATATCCAAGCTGGCCGCGCTGCTGGTTGCCGCAGCCGGCCTGCAGCTGCTGCCCCGCTCCTTCACGCGCGCGCCCGAGGCCTTCGAGCCCGCTGACCTGGACCGCTACGACCTGCTGGTTGCGCTGGACAGCGGCGTGCTGGAGGGGCTGCGGCGGGCGGTGGAGGCGGAGTGCCCGGAGGGGGGGCCGGACAGGGAGCACTACATGCAGGTGGGGGGGTGGAGGCAAGGTGGAGGTGAAGGGGCGGCTGAGTTCATGCTCTAATAAGCTTGGGGACATGCCACAAGACCCATGATTTGCGTGGCGTGGGGCTGTCCTTTCAGGAGCAGGCAACAGGGTTTCCTACACCACACACCACCACAGCTGTCCCCGCGGAATGAGTTGTACCGGTGTTGACCTCCCCACGCCCACTACTCTCCTACAACTCTCTCTCTCCCCCGCTCCGCCCCTCTCTCCCCTCATTCAATCACGGCATGGTATACCGTGTACGCTTCCTTTACCCTCTCTCTCCCGCCTCTCATCTCTCTCCCGCCTCTCAGAAGCTGTGCCTGCTCAGCTCCTTCAGCCACTACGAGTGCGACGAGGTGCTCACGCGGCGGGGCGGCAGCGCGCTGCTGCCCGCGCAGCTGTCCGGCAGGATGAGCGCAGGGCCGGGGGGGCTGCAGGTGGGAGCGCCGGGCCGGGGGGGCTGGGAGGCAGGGAGCCGGGGGCGGAGGCGGGTAAAGGGTAGAAGCTGATGTGCAGCTGCCCGGCGGGGTCAGTTTAGGAGGCGGGCAGACCGGCGGTATCAAATGGACCCCCGTCCTCCTCCGTTTGCTGCTGACTCCGTATTGACGCCGTGCTGCATGTGTCTTTTTTCCATTCCCCATGTGTACCTGGCCTACGGGCTTTTCCTGGGGCTTGGTCCCCTTTGACCTTTGCGGCTCTGCCCTTTTCCTTGCAGTGTAGGACCGGGTATCGTCCGCTTTCCCTTGCCTTCCGGTTTGGGATCACTGTAACGGTCACATTCATTCACCACAACTCATATCCCGTATGATACCCCTCCCCTGCTCCTGCCCTCCACCAGGCCCTCCGAGCGGTCCAGGACATCCGCTCGCCCGACCTGGCCGCCCCCGACGCCGCGTCGCAGTGGGACGCGGCGGTGTGTGCGCTCATCCTGTCCACCGCCAGCCTGGTGAAGTACTGCATGGACGCGTACCCGGAGCACATGCCGCACTGGGACCCCGTGGATTGAGCCCAGGCCGGGGAGGAGGGCGGAAGGGAAAAAAGAAAATTCCAATGTGTGTTTTGAATATGATACAAGGTGCTGACAGTCCCTGGTGGAAACAACCGTGAGTGGGCGGAGGGGAGGGAGGGAAAAACGTAATGGCAAGTGAAGTTACTGGAGAGGAGAGAGCAAGTGGAGAGGGAGAGCAACTGGAGGGGAGGAGAGGGGAGAAAGGAGAAGGATGTCCGGCTAGGCCTGGCTGGGGAACCTCCGCTCTTGGGTGCTTGTTCATGGTTGCGGATGGCGTGGTGCACTGGAAGGAAAGCTGCAGGACGGGGGGGGCGTTGGCTTCTCATCTGTTGTGTTCTGTCTCCCCTAGTTATAGTGCTGATTGGGTGCTGACCCGCTTGCTTGCCGCTTGCTTGTCTGTGCCAGCTGCTGTATCATATGCGGGCGTACCTCATGTCTGTACAATACCAAGCGGTAACATGCCCTGACACGGTTTAGCTGTGTAGTGTTGCGGCCCGAGCCGTGTGCTACCGGTACTGCGAGGTTCGTTGTGCTGCTGTTTGCCAAGCCCCTTGTTGCACAATACGACCTTCTTGTTGTATGATATGGCCCCCTTGTTGTACAGTATTAGCCAAGGTGGATACACCTTGTTGTACAATACGGCGCTCTTGTTGTACAGTTGAAACCCAGGTGGCTGCTGACTCATCTGTATCTTAAATTCCTCGTTGCATCAATCTCGTTGGTAACCCATGTAAGCGGGGTATGTACATATGTTGTAGTTGACTGCCGTACAGTGATGTTGGTTGGTTATACGTTGAATGGGAGCCGTTGTGTGAGCGGTTGGTTTGTTCGTTAGGCCCTTACGCCGGTCTAAGTGTTTTGTTTCGAAGGCCGGGTGTCGGAATTCCATTTCTTGTTTTGCTCTGTAGTGTAGGCTTATGCGTTGGGAAGTTGTGAACGTAATTCGGTGATGCCTCTCGCCTGAGTGATGATCAACACTGGAAACCGGAAAACTTGGAAAGGTTTTTCTACATATGGAGGAGAGACGTCCCATGCGAATCTTTGCCGGCAGCTTAAAGCCGGAGACGCATGCTACTTTCATTAGTGCATTGCAATCATACACCTTTCAATTCATACGAGTCAATGATGGTGTTGGGCAGAGAGGAAATTTTGGGTCCTCAGGATCTGGTCTCGTAAAGAGGGGCTGTAGCCGCCGTACGGTGGTGGTTGCAGCGTGGATGTCGAATTCGGCGTTATCAGAGCCTCACACTTGAGCAACGTGTTGCGAATGCAGTTGACGTTGTTGGTGTCAGGTCTCAGGTGGCTGGCAGGTGCTAGGGGAGCGAGCTAGGCCGCCTGGAAAGAGGCCTACGACGCGTCCATGTGGGCGTGTGGGTTATAGCCCCAGTGGGCACCGCAAGCACCCTGGTGGAGCTTGGGAGTGGTGTGTTGAGCTGTTAACCCAACTGCGCCGCTGTGGAGTGTGTGGGGGTGCCGGTGTTTGTCTATTGCCTGATAAGCCCCTGCTTTGTCGCTAATGACGCGGTGAAGCTGAGCGCGAAGCAGAACCACGAAGTGTGTTGAACAGCCCTGTGGCTCGTGTTCGAGGTCCTCACGACCCACGGGTCGGTGTACCGGTTGCTTCAGGTCTGTGCGTGAAGAGAAGGACGTAGCGTTTCATGTGCCTGCCTTACAAGGGTACAATCCTGCACAGAACCAGCAGCCCACCTTACGGCACTCGCCTGTACTTGGGTTGCCACAGGCGGTTCCCCTGGTTGCAGCACACAGGGACCACTTACCGCCTAGCCAAGTGCAAGTGCATGTTCGTGACTCTGCAGTGCACGAAGCTGCAGTCCCGAGTCACGTGCGGTACGGCTGCCAACCACATCATAACACGGGCATGGCATGGATACACCATATGATGGTTGGCGAATGACGAAACACACTCCGACGACCTGCTGTCCTGATGCCGTAACACACGTTTGCAAACAACTGCAACACCGGGCCTGGTTCAACTCTCGTACCGTATCCATGTCAATCCTCCCAGCCGCCCTTGAACTGGACAACTCATCCTTCCTGCGCGTCATCAAGACCCCAAACACCGCACCCTGTCCACTCCTCCTCCACTAGCACCTCCCTCGTCACCCTTGCCCGCCCCAGCCCACCCCACACCATGCAACGGCCCCAGCGAAACCCTGCCCCTCCCCTCCCCCTCACATCGCACCATGTTCTTTGCAACAAAGCCTAGCCCATTTCCTCCTCCTCCTTCTCGCACCGCGCCCCCTCCGCTCACCCTCCCAGCCCTCACACGTTCTTCACCACCCTCACCCCGTCCTTATCCACTATCTTGATGATGTAGTGCGGCGGCGCCACCACCAACCGCTTCTTCACCTCCGCAATGCCGGCCTCAATCATGGCCACCGCCTCGTCGGGGGTCAGCTCGGGGTGCCACATCTTGTCGAACAGGGAGAGGGTGAAGTAGGAGCCTGGGGCGGGGCGGGGGAGAAAAGAAGGGAAGCGGAGGCAGGGGAGGCGGGGAATGAGGAAGGGAGCAGGGAGGGAGAGGTGGAGGTACGGAACTGGGTATGCAGAAACGCCTCAGCCCCTTAGAAGTCCTGCTGCGTCGCGCGCGCGAGGCGCACCAGAGCCTCGCCGACGAGGAGTAGGTGGTGGGTGGGTACGGGAATGGCTCGAGCCCTAAGCGACTGCTGATGGTCGTCATCAGGTGGGTGCCGGCATTGAAAAGTGGCACAACCTCGCAGTGCACGTCGCTGATGCACGTAGATGGGGGGCTGCACCATCTCCTCCCTCGTACCCCTCGACCCCCTCTCGTCCCTATGTGGTTAGGTACCGGTACCTAACACGAGCAACGACCCACGGCCCCTTCAAAAAGCCGATACCCCAACAGCAGGCTGCGACCACCACCACCACCAGCAGCATTCAACGCATGGACACTCGGCCTGCTCCTCCTGAGGGGGCGCCCTCTGCTCCAAGTCCCCCCTCGCACCAGGCCGGCCAGCCAGCCAACCAGGACAAGGGCCCAGCAGTAAGGCCCTGCCCGGGTGCTTCCGGATGCTCCCTCCCGGCGCCAACACAGTTCCAACAACCCCTCCCCCATGCAGCGCCCGGGATTGCGGTGCCACACCCATGAGGGATTAAACCACCCCCACGAGACACCATCCAGCGAGTGAGCCCCAAGCAGGTGCGAAGGCGCTGTCAGGCTGGCTGCGGTCCCTAGTGCTGGTGGCGGTGCTCCGGTGTGTACCTAGAGCAGATGCGATACGACACCGCTGACCCCTCCGTGTGTTGGCCCCCGCTGCGGCCCTGCTGGTCCCGACTGGCAGGCGAGGCCCCTACGTGTGTCGCTCTAGTAGCATAGATGCGAGGAGTGGCTGCTACTCTCCACACCCCCAAGTGGGCTGCTCGCCAAGCCTCGACTACCGACGTAGCTTCGCATGCCCTTTCCCGCCGTACAATCCATCGTCTCCTTTCTTCAGAACCCGCCCCAGCCTCAATCACACGAGCGAAGCGCCCCTCCCCTCCCTCCACACGCACTTGTTAGCCTCTTCACCCTTACCCCCTTCTCTTCTCCGCCCGCCCGTCCGCCCCAGCCCTCACCGTATCCGGTCCCCCCCGTGTTGATCTTGTTGAGGGTGGCCAGGTAGTCCATCCAGTACAGCGCCGGGCCGGTCTCCTTGTCGTACCCGGCCAGTAGCAGGTTGCAATGGTAGGGGGACTGGGGGAGGAGGAGGGAGCGGAAGGGGGAGGGAGAGGGGTAAAGAGGAAACAACTAACTGAGGGACAGGGGGTGCGTACGGCAGTAGTTGGGGGAGTGTACGGCGTAGGGTAAGATCGAGGAGGAGAAGGAGAAGGAATGGGGGAGGGATGGTGAAGGGAAAGAAGGTGAAGCGATGCTGGCTGCTTGTGTGTGGCTTAGGTGTAGCCACAAGAGTAACGGCCCTAGCATGTGTCAGCAAGGCCTGGTGCAAGGACCTGAAGATGTGGATCATGTTTCCCCGCGCATGGAAAGAGGCCTAGGGGACTCACGCTGCGCAACGCGGCCGCAAGCTCCCCGCGCGTGTAGTTGGCAACCGACTTGGTGCTGAGCTCCGTCTCGTTTCTTAACGCATACAGCTTGACGTTTGCAATGATGTATTCGCTAAAGTTAACACGATCTCCCGCCTCGCCCGCAATGCAGAAGACCTTGTGGTCGTCAATGGGCACGATCTTGTCCTCGTCCTGCTTAATGCTGATAATGGAGTGGCTAGCTGAGGTATCGCTGCATACCATAACAAAGTCCTTGCCCTTAATACCAACGAAGAAGTCCATAGTGGCGGGCCGCTTGCCCGCCCGCGGCGGGGCGCTTCACGAGAGGTAGATGCGTAGAGATCTGACAAGGTCAGTAGGTTCCTTGCAACGTGTAAGGCAGAACAACAGCTCCAACCAAATGCAACTTATGTTCACTGTGAGTAGACAATGGCTATGCGACTAAGAGCAGAACACATGAAGGGTACGGCACTAGGTGCTCAAAAAGACATGGAAGACAGACGCTGCCAGGAAGAGAGCTTATCGCCATATTTTGCATCGTTGTGAACACCCTATCAATTCTACCTGCATTTCACACGCTATCGTGCGAGGCCATTTGGGTCAACCGAACATTAATTGCACACATGCTTGCGCACATACGTTATTCCGGCTGCGTATTAGCCCTCTTATAAAAGAATAGAACATAACACGGACGTAAACTCGTTTTGCGATGGCGACAAAAGTAAAGAGCAAGATACAACGTCTGCTTAAGCAACTGGACCAGGACGACGATGGTGGCGCTGGCATCGACACAATCCTCCAGCCAACTACAAGCGAGGATGTCGCAGACGACCTTAGCGTCTTGGCAGCAACCCGGCGCGCTGCTGCAGCGATTTCCAGCACACCTGGCAGCTCGAGCACCATGGGGGCTTCGGAAAGCGCAGGCGCCTATACGGGCTTTACCAACAGCGAGTCGCTACTCCCCCACGAAGACGACAGCGAATCAATAGGGCCTTCCTGCTCGTCCCTAGACACAACTCCATGCCATCAAGCATCACGACCACCGCCTGGGAAGCATCACTTCTCTACAGCAGCCAACGCGGAGAGGGTCGCAGTCTTGGAACGGAAGGTCATGGCGCTCATGGCAGAAAACCGAAACTTGCAGGCGGCCTTCTCCGAAGCCATGTCGCGCAAGAATGCCGAGGTCGCGGAGCTCCAGGTGCGTCCTATGCTTGCTTGCTGTACTGGTGTGGGCTAGATAGCACACAGCACATGCAGCAACCGGGCCCCTAAATTAACATGTTCTGTACCATCTGTGCAGTATGCCAGCTGTTCGGTGCTCCCCGTTTGTCAGCGCTCCCCATCTCCCAGTTCCCACGCAAATACCCTTCCTCCTCCCCACGCAGTCCCACCTCGCCGGCACGGTCCGCGAGCTGTCCGCCCGTCAGCAGGAGCTGGAGGCCGCTGCCCCGCTGCTGGCGCTGCGGCTGGAGGGCTGGCGCGGGCAGCTGGCGGAGCTGCGGCTGAGTGACGCGGCGGCGGCGGAGCTGCGGGGGCTGCCCAGGGAGGCCAGGACGCCGCTGGACGAGGTGAGGGCTGGAAGGGGCAAAGACCATACCGGTACCATACCGTAGGACGCCACATGTTAAGGCAAAGCTGGGGGGGAGGGGAGGAGGAGGAGGGGCAGGGTCTTGGGGTGCGTCGCGCAGCATATGGTGGTGTTGTAGGAGTAGGCATGGGCGATAGCAGGGAGGACACATGCAGGGTATGGGAGTGGATGGAGGGTGTGGCAACCCAGCGTCTCACCAGTTGGCCCCCTCGCTCATCCCTCCACACACATCCCTAACCTCCCTCCCTCCCCCCCCACCAAGGTCCGTCTGGCCGTCCATGACGCCCTGCTGGACTCCCGCGCCGAGACCGAGCGCCTGCGCACCGCCCTGGCTGCTGCCCGGGAGGCGGCGGCGCGGGCGGAGGAGGCGGCGGCGCGGTCACGGCACGAGGCGGCTCGCGGCGCTGCGACGCTGTCGGAGCGGGAGAAGGACCTGGCGCTGGTGACGGAGGGCATGCAGGTGGGGATGGGGGTGCATGGGGGGGGGGTCAAAGACCTTACCGAACCATAGGGGGGGTATTGGGGGGTGGGGGTGACGCATGCATGCATGCATGCGTTGGGGCTTACGGTCCCACCACTGACAAACACCCACCCTGCACATCCCTCTGCCTGCATCCATCTCTAGAGCCCGGGGAGCCTTGTCACATGGCTGTTCCTTCCTCCTGACGCCCTCCTTACGCCCCCCACCCGCGCACCTCCCCGCCTCCCTTCCTGCAGGCCCGCATCGACCGGCTTGCCTCCGAGCTGGAGGGCGCGCTGGTGGCTGCCCAGCTGGGCGCCGCCAAGGGGGCCATGTACGACGAGCTGCGGAGCAAGCTGGATGCGGCGGTGGCGGAGAACCAGCGGCTGGCGGTGGTGGAGGCGACGTACAAGTGAGGGGGGATGAGGGTGGATAGTCTGAGCCGCGGAAACATTGACCCTGACCGTAGTTCACCGGAAAGTGAGGGGGGGAGCAGGGATGCTGTGGATGTGTACTCCGCACTTGGCTGGGTTAGATGGATTATGGGGTTGCGTATAATCATACTTGTTGGGTTAGTAGCAGCAAGCAAAGTACAAAGCGACGTGCAAGTGAGGGGGAGGGGAGGAGGGGAGGCGGGCAGATGAGCGGATGGGGAGGTGGCGGAGGCAGGACTGCAGTGAAAAGGGTGCGCCTAGGGGCAAAGGCGGCATGCAGGAAGGGGGCCTGGGGGCAAGGCGGCATGCAGGAAGGGGGCCTCAGAGCGGGCGGGTGTACGACAAGACATGTGGAGAACATACCAGCGGAACAGGAGTGGGCATGTAAGGGGGCTCTCCCTGATCTCCTACCACCCAACCCCCTCCTTTCCCCTCCCCCTCCCTCCCCCTCCCTTCCTCCCCCCCTCCCCCTCCCTGCCTCCCTTCCTCCCCCCCTCCCCCTCCCTGCCTCCCTTCCTCCCTCCCCCTCCCCCAGGAAGCTGGAGGCCCAGGCGGCCCAGGACCGCGCCTCCGCCTCCCAGAAGGAGCACACCTTCGAGATGCTCATGATGGACAAGGCCTACCTCAGCAAGCAGGTGGGGGGGGTGAGCAGGCAGGTGGGGTAATATCCCAGCAAGCAGGTGGGTTCCAGGAAGGGCATTACTCAGGTGGGAGGGGAGTGCGGGGGGCGTGTGCGAGATGAGCTGTGCGAGGACACGGGAGGGGAGGGCGATCCCCTCTCCGGACGCCTTCACACCGCCCTCGCCTCCGTCCCACTCCGCAACCCCCCACCTCGCTCCACCCCCACCCCCGCCCCACCCCCCCAGGTTGACTTCCTGACCGACCAGCAGCGCAAGACGGAGGCGGAGCTGGAGCTGCGGGAGAAGAAGATCAACGAACTGTCCAGACACAAGGTGGGAAACTGGCATGCTGTATGACGAGGCACAAGGTGGGAGGGAGGGATTAGTAATGGGGGTTGTACCGCCCACCCGCCATGCTTCACACTCTCCCCCCTCTGCACCTCCCCCCCTGCCCCCTGCCCCCCTCCCAGACGGAACTGTTTGAGAAGTTGATGGCGGCGGAGGCGCTCAAGGTGGGGCCGGAAGGGGGGCTTATTCCACATTTGCTGTATTACAGGATCGCGTATAGCCATGGGGAGGGGGCGGGGGACGGGTGGGGAAGGGGGCAGTGCTGGTAGCACCGGTACTTGGGGTCAGGCGGGTTGTTGGACCTTGTAGTACCCTACCGGTAAGTCCTTGTCAAGACATGGTGAGCGGGATGTGGTTTGTACCATAAGTTCACCATGACTCCGTGACACAGCCACAGCCCCTTATTGCATCCCTCCCTTTCCATGCCCCCCTTGCATGCGGCGTTGCCTGACACCCCGACCAGCTTCATACGCACTCAATACCTCGCACTGCACCGCACCATGATGTAGCTCAATCGCCCTAGCGCATCATCATCCGTACCACCCCGGCACCTCTCCCTCCTCCCTCCCTTGCTCCCCCAGGGTCGCCATGAGGAGGCTCGGCTGCAGAAGGAGCTAGCGGCGCTGCAGGTGGGGACTGGGGGGTGAGGTGGGGACTGGGGAGAAGGTGGGAGGTGGGGTGGGTGAGGAGGTGGCAGTTGCCCGAGGCTCGTAAGGCAGAGGGGTGGGTGGGTGGCTGGGTGAGGTGAGGAGCAGGAGACAGGGACGCGGGGAAGGCCTTTCCCTGTAAACCATTAGGCCGATCCCCACCCGAGCTCCTCGTAAACACTGCAGCTGCTATTGCTGTTGCTCCTCACCCCATCGTCAACCCCGTCTCTGCCTCCCTCCCTACTGCCAAACCCCTCCCCCTCTCCCACTCCTCCCCCCCCCCAGGAGCGCACCCATGCGGACCTGGAGAAGATTCGCGTGGAGACGGCAGGTAGGGGGGTTCGCTTCCCGGTTGCGCGAAGAGGGGCCGTCGGTCGGACCGGCTCGCGCAGTCAGTCCTCCAAATCCGCCATCTCACCGGACATGCGCAACCCCACCCGCCCAGCCCACATGAGCCCCCCTCAGCCCCTCTGCCCTCCTCCCCCCCCCTTCCCCCTCCCAGACGCCTACGAGCGGGAGGCCCGGCTGCTGCGGGAGCTGCGAGACGGTGCCGCCCAAGACGCCTCCCGCGCCAAGGCGGCGCTGGCGGAGCTGCAGGCGCTGCACGAGAAGACCTGCCTGGCGCATGCGGAGGTGACACGACGGCTGGAGCAACAGGTGGGGGGGAGAAGGGTGTATGGGTTGGAGGGGGCAGGTGGGGGCGCGGCAGGGGGGGGCGAGGGGAGGGTAACAACTGTGTTTATCATGGTGTCGCTCCGTCTCAGGTTTGAAGCCCCGTGATCAGCCGGTGTCGGTGTTCATGTGGGGCGGTTAGGCGGCTGCTCCCCCGTTGTGTGCGGTGTATGCTCTACGTCGCCCCTCACCTCACCTCCCTACCTCATAATAAAGATCTCCCCTCCCCTCCCGCTAATCCGGAATCTTCGTCCTTGTTAATCCCCTCTCGCTAGGTGGTGTCGCTGCAGACGGAGCTGAAGCAGCGCTCCTTCGAGCTCAGCCACTTCAAGGTGGTGGTGGCGGAGAAGGAGCAGCTGGTGGGGCGGACCAACATGCAGGTGGGGTGGGGGAAAAATTAAATATGTGAAACAACGAGTCCCGGGGTGGGGTAGCAGGGTGAGGCCCAATGACTGGTTGGATGTCTGTCTGGGCCTTCCCCTCCTCGTGTCCATTTCCTGTATGCATAAGCACACACGTGGCCATACGTTTCTACTCGCGGCAGTTCGTAACTCTACACATTTCCCTCCCCTCCTGCTCCCCCCTCCCCCCTGCTCCCCCTCCCTCCCCCCTCCCTTCCCCCCCACCCCCAGAACGAGTTGCTCCAGGATAAGCTGGCAGTGCTGATGGACAAGTACCGGGCGCTGGAGGTGGGGTGGAAGGGAGGAGGGAGGGAAAGGGGGGAGCAGGGCAGGCAGGGTGGGGCGCAATGGAGGGAACGCTGTGATCCGAAAGGAGGCGGACCCCCACCATCCCTACCTCGGCTCACTTCCAAATACCCACCCACCCAAACCCCGCCCCACTCCACTTCTACTCCCGCAGGTGGAGCACAACAGCCACGTCAACCGCGCCCTCGCAGCGGCAGCGGCGGCGGTGGCGGCGTCAGGCGGACAGACCCGTGGGTCGGCGGCGGCGGCGCAGGAGGGCGGCGGGGCTGCTGCTGCGGCGGCGGCAGGGGGAGAGGGCGGCAGCGGCGCTGCCACCACCAAGCTGCATGTGGAGTTGGCGCTCTTGAAGCAGGTGGGGGGCATGGAGGTAACCCAGGGTCGTCCAGAAATCAGCCATCGCAGCTCCGTACTCTCTCCCTCGCCTCACCCCCCTCCGTCACCCCCCCTCCATGGCATGCTTGCCTTCCGCCTTACCTCTTCCGTCCCTCCCCTCCTTCGCTCCCCATCCCTCCCCTCCCTGCCCCCCTGAAGGAGCGCGACTCCCTGGCTCGTGAGGTGGAGCTGCTGCAGGGGCGGCTGGCGGCGGCGCAGGACAGCCTGAGACTGGCAGCACAGCCGCATGCATTCCTGATAGAGGTATGGCAGGGGCGGGGGAGGGGAGGGAGAAACAGTGGGGAGGGAAGTAGTGGATAGGGGGCCGCCCTTGTGCGGGAGGCATACTTCTTATGTCTTGGCTCGGCCTGCGCCTTGCTGGGGGCAGTGCGGGGCTGCTGCTGCCTCCCCTACCAGGTGTCTACGTGTGCTACCTGCCTACCCGCCAGCCATGTCTGACCGCTGTTGCGGCTGCTGTCCACCATCCCCTGCTGGTCCACTTACCGCCTCCGTTCAGTAGCACACGCGCCAGGTTTGCCGCGTTAACGCTTGCGGGGCCTTCTCGCGCTGCCTTTCTTTTTCTTTTACTTTCTCCTGACCCCCCTGCCTCTGCCATTGCTGCTGCTGCTGCTGCCCTCCTCTTTACCCCCCCTCCGTCGCCCCCCCCTGCTGCCCTCCTCCTTGTCCCCCCCGTCCGCCGCTCCCCCTGCTGCCGCCCTGCTCAGGAGCTGGAGGCGATCAAGCAGCGCGCGACGCAAGCGGAGACCAAGGCGGCGGCACTGCAGGTGGCGCTGACGGCTCGCAACCAGGAGCACGACGCCCTCAAGGTGTGTGAAGGAGGGGGGCCGCGTGGTGGGGTACATCGTACATTCATCCTTGCGAGGGAGCGCTTTAGCCGGTACGAAGGGGGGGTGGCGCAGGGAGGGACGTCACGGCGGGTGGCCGGTCGCTGTCGTTACCATGCCGGTCCCATACGTCCTCCCGTCCCGCCTTCCCCTCCTGCCCGCCACCCTTCCAGGGTCACCTAGTTTGCCACTGTCACACAACACACTGAGTATCCTTCTTTTACCCTCCACCTCCAGGCTGAGCGGGATGCGCTGCGCGGGGATTTGGACGGGCTGCTGGCCCAGCGTGCGGCGCTGGAGGGCATGCGGGCGGTGGTGGTGCGGGCGCTGGCGGGGGGGCTGCCGCAGGTGGGGCTGGGGCTGGGTGGAGTTGGGGTTAGGGGGTGACGTTGTTGAGGTGGGGGACTGAGGGGTAAGAATGCGGCTTTCTTACACACGCACACACACCTCCGTGCAGGTGCTGAAGGCTGTATTCTGGCCGTGTCTTCTACCGTACTTCTCTTGACCTCGGCCTTGAGTAGCAAGCCGTGTGTCTTACCCCGCCATGTGGCGTACCTCGCCCAATGTGCCGTACCCCACCGAGCAGGTGCAGCAGGCCGCCGCCCTGGCCGCCTCCTCCCGCAGGCCTCCTCCGCCCCTCAGCACCACCACCATCCTCGGGGAGGGCTGCGAGGCAGCGGCGGCGGCCGCACCGCCGCTGCAGCTGCAGCAGGCGCCAGCGCAGCAGTAGGTATGTCAAGAGCGGCAGCGGCCGTGGCGGTTATACAACAGCAACAGCAACGACTTGGCAGTAGTGGCTGCTTGTCCTGGAAAAGAAGCAAGCGCATGCTCTGTTGAGAAGGACTGCGGCTTGGGGGATTTCTAAGGAAGAATTGATTGGGCGATTCCTGGTATATATGCGACATGTCTTTTGTGGTCTATGTATGATTGCCGGTACGGGCCCGCGTAAATGACCCATGGGCCGAAAGAGCGCACACGCCTTTCTTGCCACTAGTACTGCCTGACTGCGGCACTTGTATACGGAGGAGTGGAAGTTAAAAGAGGTACGGCAGGATGGTGGTACGTGATTCTGTTTTGTAAGCCGCCAAGCTAGATAGATGGAAGGAAGGAACACGTTTATACGGGGCGATCACGTAAATACGCTATACAGCGTCGTCAGGACATAGACTGCAAGTCGTCATTCGTTTGTCACCTATCTTCCAGCAAGGATCAACGAGCGTGTTTACTGTGTGTTAAGGAAACTGGCCGTGTGTATGGGCTTCACGCGTGAACAACAGCAATGTGCCGGCGCAACCAAGACCGCACTGATGCAGCTTGTGGAGGGAGGGTTGCATCCCAACTGAACTGTATACGGCAAACAACCCAGCTCTGCCGGCATGTACGAATGTAACAAAGGGAATGCTGGGGGTTTGTCGCGGTAGAGCGACCCCCCGGCGTCGTCCTCCACCCGTCAAGAGTCGAGAGATACCGTCAAAGCAACACGCTCAGCCCTTCTGCAGCACCTTCACTCCTGCTCCACCCGCCGCTGCGCCTCGCCACCTTCCGCTTCCCCTCCATGCTGGTGCAACCGCCCCTCCGCTTTCCCCCCTTCACCTTCCCCCGCCACCCCCCTCCGCGCCCCACCCCCTCCATCCACCCTGCCTGTGAACGGATCCACCCGCGCCACCAACGACAGGTTGCGGTAGTAGCCATTCGGTGTGCGGTCCGCCCCCGGGTGCCAGTTGCGGATCATGCTGCGCAGCAAGGGGTCGGGCAGGGTGTCCGGAGAGCGGTAGGCGGGTTGCTGGCGGCGGAAGGCGGTCGCCACCTCGCTCTCATGGCAACGGCCCGAGCGCTGCAGACGAGCGTCGGCGAAGGCGACTGCTCGCCGTAGGAGAGGGGGAGAGGGAGGATTGTGGGGTATCAGAACTAGAGGACTCTGGAAAGCGTGGAATTGGGACCCATGGGTCAGGGTGGATGTACAATTTTCTCCACCCGCCGTGTATGCGCGAGTAGGGAGTACAGCAGAACAACACTGGTGTGTTCATAACGGGCCCCACGCACCAAAATCGCGCCACTGTCGGTCCACCTGCTCCGCCTCTTTCCGGCTGAAGCGGGCGGGGCGGCCCAGCTCGTACACCCCAGCTGCCATGCAGGCACCCAGACCCGTGGAGAGGGCCCACGTGCTGTCGCCTAGGGTGGCCTGCAGGGGGGCGGTGGATTGGTGTGGGGGTTAGGGCGGGTGGTAGGAGAAAGAGTCGGGCGCGCGGAGCGAACCGTGAGCCATTCCCTTACAATACCGCATGCATTGGTAGGCCTGGGGAAGGGCCCCATGGACAGCGTTACAGGCGTCACATCTGCCGCCAATCCTCGGTTGCAGGTTCTGACGGGCCCTGCATGCTTTAAGAGCTCACCTGCAGTGTGAAGCTGATACCCAGACCGCTAGCAAGGCACACGGCGGCAGCTAGGGGGGCTAGCCAGCCGGGAGCCTCGTTCACATCTCGAATGCTGTGTGGATGCGGGAATAACGAGGAGTAAAGAGCATACCGGTGGAAGGGAGCCGGGTGGTGGTTAAGGAGTTAGCCAGTCGGCTCGGCGACAGCGGCAGCGGTGGCGGGAGCAGGGACAACAGCAGCCTAACCCACTGGGGCCCCAATCAAGGGCGCCGTACGGCACTCACCGCATTCCCAGCAGCCTCCGAGCCAGCAGCAGGATGAGCCAGTCGCTGGGTCGCTGTGTTTCAATGCGGCCAATGAACAGCAGCAGCTGCTGCAGCGGAGAAGCGAAGTACAGCGAGGTACCCCACAGCAGGCCAGCCAGCAGGTCAGCTACGGCAGCAGCAGGGAGGGCACCGGTAGTGGGGAACCAGCGCAGGAAGCAGGGGACAGCAGACGGGGAGAGATGGAGGATGAGGTTAGCGAAGCAATCCAGCTTGCGGCTTTGTTTAGCTCTAAGGAATTGCATTCGTACCTAAACCGAATCCGTTGGGTGCCGTGAGAGCGTCCACTGAATACAGGAAGTCCTGCACGGCGATATGGGCACGGAAAGGGAGGGTAAAGGGACGGCAGGGAGGGGGTGGGCAATGGGAAGGGAAGTACTGTTGCCCAGGAATTTGACTGAGGATTCGGGCCCTGCTAAGGGTGTTGCATCCTTGCAGGGATGGAGGCCTGTTGGATGGAGGAATTGTGATGCCCTAGCTTGAGTCAGCCGTACAAACGCGTACGGATAGCAGCATCCCAGGGAAAAGGTCATTTGCCCCGCCACCAGATACCTCGACATTGTCCGCCACAAGGGGGTATCCGTACGTTGCGGCTCCTGCCAACACCAGGGCTGCGCAACAGCAGGCAAGACACGAGTTTGTAGGAAAGCTTCTTTGGAAATCGGCGGAGCATAGGTTTTTCCCAGGGAGCCTCGGCCGGACTGTTGCTTGCCAGTTACACGCTTCCACTTACCGCCCAGGGCTAGCAGGTTGGTTGTGTTGTCAGGACCCGGTGTTGCACCCTTTCTGTCCTTCTGGCTGCAACACGCGACGCATCTTCGGCTCAGCTGTCGCCGGGAATGACGGCAGGACCAGCTCCTTGGCTCCGCATTGGGAGCTTGCAAGCGATGAGACAGGGCTGAACGCCCTGTCGCCATAAACCCATATCTACTACGACTTGTACATTGCAGTTGTTCGCGAAAGACATTTAATGCGTTCTGCGTTTGCAGAGCCATCCGCGTTTGGCAGCGACAGTCCTAGCATGTAAGCTTACAAAACTGTGCGCTAGAGAATCTGGCCGTCGCGTTTGATACGTTGAGGGGAACGTAGGTATACTGCTGCAGAAGATAAGCCTTTTGCTGAAGGAGTGGTTAGCGATAATCGTGTGGTTGACGCGGTTGACGACTGGCCGATGAAGTATCGTCCAGTAACTCTGAAGCCGTTCTTGCATTTTATTTTGTAAGCATTTATATGCATGATACTGAAACAACCTTGGTTAGCTGGTTCCGTTGCGGTGGCGGTTGTGATTGCAGCCTTCTAGTTCGAGAGCGCCTGGAGCCACACAGACAGAGCTACTGTTACAACGCTTGACGAGATTTCGACTTATGCACAAAGCCATACTCCTCCACAGTCAATCCCATATAACTGTCGAAGTCGTCGTTGACCGCCTTCATGGGCCCTACGAGAGCATATAGCCAGGTCCCTAACACTCCAGCTCAATGCCAAGGGTCCCCCTGCAGGCAATTGTTACCAGAAGCGAAGGAAAGGCTTTCTCTCGGGGCTCATAAGACACACTCCTCAAGCACTCCACAGCTGCGCCCTTCACACGGATGCCACAGTCGTCTTTCCTCCTCTCCGACGAGATGCAAGTCAGCAGCAGCAGCTGCAGCAGCTGCTGCATGGAGGAAGCAGCCAGGAAGCCCACTCAAGGAGCCCCCAGGAGCAACCCCTACTACCACTGCGCACCCCCTCCCTATTTGGATCACCCGCACATCCAAGGAGGAAAGTATCATCCCCTTCCATCGCCTTCAACCGATCCGCGTCCGCACGCCCCGCCCAGCGCTCCGCACGCCATCACTCACACCACGTCACCTGCTCCTTACCCCTCCTCCTCCTCCTCTTTCCTGCTCACTTCACCTACCGGTACACCCCACTCCTACCCCAAACGACCCCCGTCCGTATCCCATTCCGGCCCCGTCCTCCCAGCCTAGTACCCCCTTCCTCCCCGTCCCTCTCATCCTCTCATCAGCCCCCACGCCCGCCCGCCCCGTCCTCATCGTCCCCATCCTCCCCAGGCGCCGCCACAGGCACCAACACCCCCGCGCGCTTGTACACGTTATCCAACGTTTCCCCCAGGAATTCCTCAAACCCGCCGCCGCTGCCGCCGTCCGTGCCGCCCCCCCCGCCGCCGCCGCCCGGCCCCGGCGCCGCCTTCTTGCGGTTGTTGAATGTGATCCATGCGACGCCCAACAGTAACCGCTCGAACTGGTCGTAGTCGTACTCCAGCGGTTGGGGGTGCAGTACGAATGTCTCCGGGTCGGTGCCGCGTTGCTTGGCGAAGACGGCGATGAGGGCGAGCTCCTGGGGGGGGGGTTTCAGAGAGATACGAAAACCAGAGGTTAGGGCAAAGCAATGGGGATAGAGGAAAGAAGGGATGGGTACTGTGGATACATGGATGGGCCACATGGCCACATGGATAGGATACACACATAGACAACAAGTACACCAGAAAGGGAATGTGACAAGGGAGTCAGCAACAACCTCCCCCGAGCCCTACTGCCCCCCCAACCTCCTTCCGCTTCCCTCCCCCCCGCCTCGTCAGTTTCCTTATCTTTACCCGCCCCCCTCCTCCCCCCTGACCTGCAGGTTGAACTCCCGTCCCAGCATGCCCCACTTGGCCAGGTGGTTGCACAGCCAGCGCAGGTCCACTCGCACGGGGGCGCCGCGGGTGCGCTTCAGCTGGCAGCTGTCCAGCGTCTGCTCGGTAAGCCTGGGGGGGCGCCGGGAGGGGAGGAGGATGGCCCCAGGGGACATGGGAGGGAGGGAGGGAGGGTCAGCAAACACGAGGGACCCCCACCTCAAAACAACTCCAGCCCTGGCCACACCACCTGACCCGCTCCTACCCAGCAACCCTCTTTACCCTTTTCCTCCCGGGATCAGCACCCCCTCCTTCTCTCCCGCCCCTCCTTCCCTTTTCCTCCTTCATTATCACACCACACTTTGGAATTTCTTTTTCCCCCCCGCCTCCCCCCTCCAGACCAGCACCCACTTGCGTCCCTTGCGCAGCAGCAGCATGGCGTTGGAGTTGTTGATGGCGGGCGCGAACCGCTCCAGCCGGCGCTGCAGGTCGGGGAAGGTGGAGGCGGCGAAGCACTCGCGGAACAGGGCGCCCACCTTGACACTCAGGTGGTTGTAGGCGGCCTGGGAGGTGGGGGGGAGGGGGGGGAGGGAAATGAAGGATACCCAATGTGTTGAATGATGATGGCAAACAAGCCGGCGAGCTCCTGGTCGGGGGCGAGGGCGGAAATAAGGAAGCTGATGAGGGGACAGGAGGGTGGCACCCCGGGGCATGAGGTTAGGGTACTTGCAACGGGGGAGAGGGCGGGGGACGGGAGGGAAGGAGCCAAAGAGGGGGCTGCCAGGAGTGCCCGCCTAGTTGATCAGCCTACGCAACCGTAGCCCCCCCCACATACCCCCCCACACACATACGCTGTACGTTCCGACTCGCGACCAGTTTTCTTGCCACACACCCATCCCCAGCTCGCCCCCCCCCACCTGACTTTCTATTTATTCCCCCCCACCTGGCTAGGGTTCTCCGCCGCGTATCTGTGTGCCGCCAGGTGCAGCAGCGCCAGCATGAAGTCCAGCAGGTCGAAGGTGCTCACTCCGGACTTGGCCTCAACCTGGGGGGCAGCGGGGGCAGAGGGGGGGCCAAGGGGGGAGGGAGGGAGGGAGGGAAGGGTGTGGGGGAGAGAGGGAAGGAGTGGGAGGGAGTCAGCGGGTTGCACATGGCAACTCACGGTATGTGTGTGTAAGTGTGAGCAGCATGCCCCGGCACCACAGCCCCCCTCAGCCCCCCAGGGGGGCCCACACCTCCCACGACCCTGCCACATGTCCCCCCCGCCTCCCACCTTCCTAGCCAACGTCGTCTCCGCGGTGGCCACCGAGGTGAAGATCTCGTCCACCTTCTCTGGGGGGAACCTGGGGAGGGGGAGGAGGAAAGGGATGGGAGCGTGGGGTAAGGGGGGCACGGTGAGAGGCCGGAGCGGTACAGGAGACACACACCACCACCAGGTCCTAACACCATCACACACCACGCAAGGTGCCAGGGAAGCGGCGAGGCTCTTTGGCACACCTTGGTGGTGGTGGTGTGCGGCTGCAGTGGAGCTCACATCACAGCTGCTATCATAGAGGATGCACTGCAGTGCACACCCCACCGCACATAGGGCACAGCACCACGCGCACAGCAGCAGTGCTCGGTTCCCCCACCCCCCCTGGTCGCTCCCCCCCCCACCACCCACATGGTGAGGCCTCGTCATACAGCTCGTCAGTTTCCTCTTTTTACCCCCTCCCCCGGTCGCTCCCCCGGCCGCTGCCACCACCCCCCCGCTCCCACCTGGGAGTGATGACCTTCGCTGCCGCCATGGCCGACCTGAACTGCGGCAGCGTCAGGTTGCCCAGCTGCTCGCCGCTGGTGGTGGCGGAGGTGGAGCCGTCGGCGGACTGCAGCAGGAACATCATCTGGATGGCGCCTGGGGGGGGGGGGAAGTGGGTGGGTGGGGGGGTTGGGGATATAAGACGTCGCTACCACATGCCAACATGTGCGATACCCCGTCCGCTTCTCCTTGCTTTTCCTCCAGCTCTTTCTCCTCTTTACCCACCCCCCTGCTTCCGCCCCTCCTCCCCTCCTCCTCCCCCCCTGCTCTTCCACTCCCCCCAGGGATTGTCAGCAACTTGTATCAATATCACACCACGCTTTGGAATTTCTTTTTCTCCCCCCTTCTCCCGCCCCGCCCCCGCTCACCCGCGTACTGCACCAGCAGCGCCTTCACCTTGTCTAGGTCCTTCTCCGCCACCGCCGCGTCAGCTCGCAGCAGGTCGGGCTCGATCAGCGCACCCAGACCCTCAGCCTGACAGCAGCAGGGGGAGGGGGGGAAGGTGGAGGGAGGGGATGGGGGAAGGAGCAGGGAGCAGGGGAGGGAGAGGGGCAGGAAGCGGGAAGAAACGTGAGCGGCAAGCCAGCGTGACTTGACGTGGGGCGGACTCTGGGTGGCGGGCGAAGCGAGAGCACCAGCGCTCACTGCCCCCTCATGCGGCTGAAGACCCCAACCCCCACCCCCACAGCTCGCCAGTCTCCTATTCTTACCACCCCCACCTCGTGTGGCCTCATGAGACCTCCCCACCCCCCACCTCCACAACCTCTCCCCCACCCCTCCTCCCAGACCCACCTTGAGGTCCAGCTCCCGCAGCCAGGTGTCATGCGGGGGCAGCAGCTCCACGCCGTCACCCCAGCGGAAGGGGGGCGTGCGGGGGCGACCCTCCCACCTGGGCGGGGGGCGGGGGAGGTATGACACATGGGAAGGTGACAAGGGAGGGGTGGTTAGCCTAAAAACGAGCCAACACATGGGACGACCCTTTTGTTTCTGATGTTCGCTTACAACCTTTCAGCTACCGTACCGTGTGCTATCCTTGGCTCCCCCGCTTCAGGTCTAACCCTTGCTCTCACCCCCGCCCCCACACCTGACTTTGTACGGCACGGGTCCGTTGCTGAACTCCACGAACAGCTCATCTCCGTCGTTGAAGATCTCGTTGACCACGATGTCCACGTCCAACGGCTGGCCGTCCTTGTTGTTCACGGACTGCGGCACGTAGCGGCCGTACACCTCACCTGGAGGGTGGGGGGGAAATATAGATAAATGCATCAACGGGGGGGGGATTATATAAGTGAAACAACGAGTCCGAGGTGAGGGAGGTGACGGGGGGGTGCTCGCATGTACAGAAGGCGTAGATTGGGCATGAACAGCACATGGGTTGCTGTTCGCGTGTGACTGCTGCTTGCATGCGCTGGAGGGCCGTGACAAAGTAAGTCAGCGCGGTAGACTGGGGCTGTGGGGTGCCTTAGTCCAGGCAGCATAACCCACCTCGCTTGTAGGCAAGCCGCGAACATGACGCGTAGCCAATCCATTGGAGGATCTGCTCCCCCTCTCCACAGTACAGGTCTATAGTCTCATCTACTGTCAAACCGCTGCCCAAGGGCGACATTTGCACCTGCAAGCCGGTTAGGACGCGGGTTTGCGATCGCCGACAGGACACGAGCTCTATTTATTATATGCAGCATCCAAATATTGCTTATGTGATACGGCGCTAATCTGATTGGCGGACCTTAAGGCGCATCTTGGCAAAATGTCCACGTACTGAGGCAAAGGGGCTTCAACTACTGCGATGCATAATACACGAAACAAAGAATGCTGGAAAGGGTCAACGTGGCCCAGTAACCACTTTTGCTCAAAGGACGGTCGGTGAATGTTGAGTCGGAGAACTGTCTGGCGTATACCTATATGTCCTAAGTTAGTCTCCTAGCAAGGTTATGACCTAAATAACAATAATAGTGCAAAAACGTAGCTAGAAACGGTACTTTGTTTCCTTGCCATGATGTGCGTGCAGTGCATTCCATTAAGCACCGCCATTCCTTACCGGGACTGGAGATTACAGTTGGGTTCTAACGCTTTACACAGATCATGATCTGCTCTAAGTTCCGCAACTAGTCAGAGTAGTGCCCTGAATAGGCCAACGTGCTTCACCCAAACCCATGGAAGTAGAGACACACATTCAAGTAAATTCACACCAATGGCCAACGAATCTTTGGTAATTTCATTACGCCAAATTTTGTCAGAACACAGCGAAGGCCCTACTGAACACCCGTGGTTGCTCATTGATATCCATCCACTGTAAGAACGGGAGCGCATCACATTTACTCACAATCAGCTTAATGCCTTACCCTCGCCACCAAACAATGAGGCAAGCCGTGTCAGTGTTCCATCACCCAAGCGACGAACGATGGGATGTCGCCTGTCGCGCACCCAACCCATTAACAAAACAGCGGCCCACTATCTTGCTAATGCAACCGCCAAAGACGTCTAGTCGCCCGGCGATTGTGGTGGAGCCAATCGTAACCAATAATCCACACTGTCGTACATCCAACAAGGAAGCAACGCGCGCCAGACGCTGACCTAGAGCTCGAAGCGCAATCTCAACGCATTGCATGCACAAGAGACGCTGAATTCGATCTGCACACATCCAGTCTCGCCATGCACCACATGTTGCATGGCGCCGTAGCCCATCCCCTCCCAAACCCCGCCCAGCAACAATGAAAAAGGATCCGCACGGTTCCATTGAAGCGCGTTAAAAAGCATGCGGCCTAAAAACTCTCCGGTGCCTTATCCTGCAGGATACGCCGTGTACAGGAGCGCAGCAAATGGCTTCGGTCGCAGCGCAACAGCAGCCATCTTCCCACACTGAAGCTCCATTTCGCTAGCCCCCATGCTCGCCAACGTCCCGCCAATTCCAGCTTGCTAGCAGCTAGCCCACGCTACGCCCGCAAGCCGCAGGAGGAATGGGACAAAGCGTTTGACCACAAGCCTGCAGCTTATTGTCCGGGTGGCCGCATCCCCGGCGGTGGCATGCCCGGTGGGGGCATACCCGGAGGCGGCACTGCGAGTAGGTGGTGCGAGGGGAGCGGGTGTGTGGCAAACACAGGTGTCAGGAAGCGAGGTTGGGTGTCCACATGTCAGGGGCGCGTACAGCGGCATCATGTTTGGCCAACTGACCACCTGGACAACAACGACGTGTTGCTATCGTATCCCTTCGTGAACGCATAACCTTAGAACCAACGAGAGGTGCTACCTCCGTTACCCCCCGACTCACTTCCCGGCCTCGGCGGCGGCATGCCCGGCGGGGGCATACCCGGGGGAGGCATGCCTGGGGGCGGCATGCCCGGGGGTGGCATGCCGGGCGGGGGCATCATACCCGGTCGCGGCGGGGGCATTCCCGGCGGGGGCATCATGCCCGGGGGCATGCCGGGCGGCGGGGGCACTGCAGGGGGTGCGGGCAGGGCGGCGGGGAGCAAGCTCCGCTTAGGCAGGAAGCAAGATACGGGAGGACAACGAGACGTACGGGAAAGAGCCTGCCCACCCTGCCTACACGTCGGGTCTGTTGTTCCCCAGAACGCCTATACAGCACAGCCCTTTCCCCTTCGTCCTGTAAGCCCACCCTACAGGCCCGAGTACACTCTCCCCTCCCTGCCCGTCACTCACTTCCAGGCCGCGGGGGCATCCCCGGAGGAGGCATGGCGCCAGGCGGCGGCATCATGCCCGGCGGGCCCACTGAGGCGGGGGGAAGCCAAAGGGCGGGTAGGGCCGAACCAACGCCGGCGTCAGCCATAGAGGGCATGCAGGCAAAGGATGATAGCCCTTCTTATACCCTAGGCGAGGAGCACTTTCAAATAACGAACACAGCTAAATGTAGGCGCTGATGGCCGTCGTGTATCCCACAAAGGCCACGTCCTCTACACTCCCAGGGAGCAACGCCCGCTATTCGTACGACAACAGCTGCCCCCCCACGCGCAGTACAAGTCCTAGGGTAGCGCCCGACTCACTTCCGGGGGGTGGCGGCATACCAGGGCGCGGGGGCGGCATACCCGGCGGGGGCATGCCAGGTGGGGGCATGCCTGGTCGCGGAGGAGGCATGCCGGGCGGGGGCATGCCTGGCCGCGGCACCGGGGCCGCGGAGACCTGGGGCCGCGGCATCATCATGCCGGGAGCCGGGCCGCCAACGCCACGGGCTGGGCCAGCCAAGCCCTGGAGTCAGGGTTGGTTGGGGACGCCAGGGCACAAGAATATCAGGACTAGCACGGTTGTGATGGAGCAATGTTTGTTAGGATTCTTTGTTGGTGGTGTCAGGCGCGTAGATGGGTAAACTAGGAGCGAACTTAGCAAGAGGAAGTCACGGATATGAAGCTCGTGCCCAAGTCGGACTCACCGCAGGAGCTTGGCCAGGAGCCGCGGCGGGCATACCACGCCCCACGGCTCTCCCGATGCCCGGGCCGCCCTGTATTAGGGGCATAGGGTGAGGGGAGAGCGTCAGCGGCGTTCCAGAGCATCCTGCACACCTCCCCATTGAAGACTTGACAACCGCCTGGCCGGTAATCCCTAGTTCCCCTTATGCCCATGAACTTCTTACCGCTCCGGTCTGCGACCTCTCGGTCCGCATGTCCTCATTGGGCGGAGGACCTTCGATGGTCAGGGAGACAATCTCCTCCCCGCGAAGAAGGACGAGCCCCAGTACGCGACGCTCCTCACGCTGCAACGGTTATTATTCAGTTATTAAGAGTAAGTCTAAACAACATGTGTAAGGACAACGACAAACTCACCTCCTCCTCTGACTTGCCCTTCTTAGGGGCCAGGCGGCGGAACTCCTCAGAATCGCCCAATACGAGGTTCATATGGCGATCAAATGCCATAAACCTATGGACAGAGGGGCATTCGTCAAAGGCAAGTGGGAAGGGCAGTGGAAAGAGCGCGCTGACTGGCGATCGCCGCCGAAAAAAGCCTAGGAACGCACCTGCCAACAATCTGCCTGCTATCCACCAGCGTTACCCGCATGCCTGCATGACAGACGTTTGGGATTGGCGTAAGCTGCTGCCTAGTTGTTTCATGGCTGCCCGAAGGTCCGGCAAGCGCGCAACTCACGGAAGTTAATGTATTGAAGCAGCTTTGATGTCCGTGACAGCGCCATTTGTCCTAAGTTTCAGAGCAAGGGCCCCGGAGGGGCGAAAAATTTAGCTTGGATACCAAGCCCAACGGTTTGCAGAGTAGAAGGTGTGAATAGAAGGGGGCAAGCAATTAGTGCCCCTCAGTAGAGCCTATGACAAAAATGGCAGACATGTTGCTGCTGGCGAGGTTTTGCGGGCCCAAGGGCCGTACTGACCGCAAACCAGGGGAATAGCCGCGATCCATTCCAAGCGAAGTTACATCGTCTATACTCAGCGGCATAAGGAAAACTTTATTAATAGCAGACACTGGTTACCCTTCTAACCGTAAGCTAAGCTCTCGTAGTAAGAGTTAACCCAGAGTTCACCTCCACTCGAGCGCAAGCACTGCCTCCCGCCCCAAAACGTCGCACACGCTGTCCGTATCGATGCTGCTTCAAACGCCGCCGGTGTGTTCAGGAGGCCGCTTTACAACAGGGCCAAGACCACCCCTGCCTATCCGCCCTCATGGCTGTCGACAACGGCTTGTGGTCAGGAGCAGCGCATCCAGCAACGCGGGCGTCAAAGAGGCGCTTGGGCAGCTAAAGCAAGGTCCGTCGCCCTTGCGCTAAGCAGGCAAAGGTGCTTGGAGTGGTGGTGTGCAGGCCACGTGGGCACCAGCATACCGCCTGTGCATAGGCGCCTGGACCAACTGCAGGGGGAAAACCGATGGCCCTTTGAAGTGGGGTTCCCCCCCTCCCTCTTTCACTCGCCACGGAAAGCTTTCATGGAATGCATATTGGACCTGGCCTCTTGGGGAATCCTGCACACTGCGTGTGTGGACTGTGTGCGGTGCCGCGTTGCACACACAGAGCTACACGACGGGTTGCAGCACCATGGTTGCCCTGTGCCCCGTTGGCTTGCAAACAACGCTCCTTCAACGCCATGCATTGCGGATATCACTGATACCTTGATATGGGTTTAGGTTAGGTTGGGTCTGGAAGCCGTCAAAGCCCGACGTCAACATACATCCCACCTAATCCCTCACAGGCGGGAGTCCCTCCTCCTTCCCATTCCCTTCCCCACAACCTTTCCAACGCCTCCGCCCGCCCTGCCTTTTGGCCCCTTCCGTTCCCTTCCTCCCCTCCTCGCTGTCCTCCTCTTCCCGCTGCTGCTCCCGTCACAGGTCTGGCGGGCAAGCCCACCGTCGACCCAGCCTACATAGATGGCGCTGCCTACCTCAAAACCATCGGCTTCACGAACCAGGCGAGTCGGGGCATGGGATAATTCGTCTATTGCTGCATTGCTGCCCACTGTCACTCCGTCGGGGGCGCAACGAGGATGATACAGAACTGCGTTTTCCACATCAGCGTTAATGTTACAGCGTTTCCACATCGGCGGTGTCGTTACCGCAACGTAATAACCATATAAGACTAGCTCCTGCCCCTCCTCCTTCGTAGTGCCCGACATATGACTTGCTCCTGCTCCTTCTCCTTCTCCTCCCTCCCCTCCCCGCGTGTACCCGCAGGCCGAAGTAGCGCGCGTGCTGGACATTGCCATGAACCCCGACTCACTCTTCCTGTCGTACGGTGACGGCCGCCGTACCAAGAACGCCAGCGTGAGTTTGGATGGGTGGGGCGCCTGCAGCTAGGGGCGTTACGGTGCCGGTGTAGCACCATGTATGATTAACGGGCCTTTCGCACCGCACTCACTCCTTCAGCTCAGGGGTCACTGCGGGTCAGCGTCGCCTGCTCCTCCCTTACCGGTGCCTCCTTGCCGTCCGTGCTTTCACTCCCTGCCTCAAACCTACCGCTACTATCACTCCCAACACCATGCTGCTGCCCTACCACCATGCTTCCTTCCCCTCCCTGCCTGCCCCCTCCCCCCTTCAGGCTCGCAAGCTGGATGTGGATGCCGACATGCGGCCCGTGGTGGAGTTCCTGCTGTCACAGGGGGTGGCGGTGGGGGACGTGGCCAAGGTAGGGCGGCGGTAGGGGGCCAGCAGGGACCCGTCGCCATGCGACCCAAGTGCTCATGTTGGAAGAGGACCGTCTGCCCTCCCTACCCCTGCCCTCCCACTCATCTCCCCCCTCCCATCCCTCATACTCCCTCACTCCCGCCCCTCCTCGTTCCCCAGGTCATCAGCAGCCACCCGCCCGTGCTCAGCTACAGCGTGCCGGGGCGGCTGGAGCCCTTCTGGACCTACCTGGCCAGCATCGGGGTGCCGGACGTGGCGGCGGCGGTGACGCGGCGCCCCTCGCTGCTGGGGCTCACGGCGGACGAGCACCTGCGCAAGATCGTGGAGTACCTGCAGTACACGCAGACGCCGCCGGAGACCATTGTGGAGTATGTGGTGAAGAGCATTTGAGGGTGGGTGTGGTGGTGGTGGTGGTGGTGGAAGAGGAGTGGTTGCCAGGGGGAAGGGGTTGGGGCGGGGGTGGGGTTGGGGATGGAGGGGGTTTTGCAATGAGGTAGATGGCGTACAGAGGGGCGTGTGGTGGTGGTGAAGGGCGTGTGGTGGCCAGTGGGCGGCTGGGCTAGGGTGGTAACACGGCGAGGGATGGGGCGTACAACATGGTAAAGGAATGGCCGTGTGCTTACTAAGGGAGTTTTGAGTACTCTTTCCGCTGTTGGCGACACCTGGTTTAGCGTGATGCAATTTTGTATGTGCCCTGCATTGCGTGCAACACCGTGCCTGGGACTACGTGGGCTTAGGTATCTTATTTAATCCCCCGTTATGGGGTTGTTGTTTGCGGCAATGGAAGCGTCAGATTGCCTGGACTTTAGGTGCTTCACGAAAAATGTTAACAGAGTGCTAGCACTCATGGGCACGTGCGTCTCTCTGGTGGCGCTTTGAGTTCTATTGCCCGGGAATGCCGGGTACACCGGCAAAGTCTTGCCATTGTAACAAGCAGGCCGTTGTTTGGCGTTCACATGACCTGCCACGACGGGGAACAACCTGCATAGCCGTGCCCGAAGACAGGGTAAATAGCGCCTAACAGAGAGTGACGGCCCGTCCACAGCGCATCACGAGGGATGCCAGAATGTCAGGGACGTGGGGTGGGCCAAGTGGGTTGCCTAAGGCAGAGTTAACCTGGAACGCATCCCCGTCCCATGGGTCGTGCATGTCATCTTGGAGAATAAAGCAACGGGTCTTGCCATTATGGTAGTAATCCTGCTACTGGCACCGTTGTACGATTTTACGCATAGGTGACCCGATGGAAGCGTCTTGTTCTGCTTCGCGCTGCAGTCTCGCGGCCCACAACCCTACCCATTCAGCACGGCAGGATGGTCACAAGGGACATCCTGGAAGCGATGTTCTGGCCATTTGATACGGCAGAGGCAGTGCCACTCCTCATAATAAGGAATCATTTGCCTTCCCGACGCCGTGTGTCGCGTACCTCCCCAAAGCACAGGGCGGGACATGTGCACGTGCATCTGAGCATCTAGCAATAACGACCAAACATTCAATTTGTTTTAGAGTTCTAAGTTACCATTGGCAATGAAGTTACTCTGCATCGCACGGTGGGAACCGATCGTTCAATGAACCGAACGTTATGTTGCATTTTATAACGCCTACTAAGTATACTTTATAATGTTTGCAACATTGCACATGGAACCAGACAACCAATAGCGCCTGGACTATCTGCAAGTTCGGGCCGTGTTCTGGGCCTTATCTCTTGACAAGGCCGCGGGGCTCGCCACGCCCTGATTGCAACTTACTAACATCGCTGCTTTGCAATAACTTCTATCGGATAAACATATTACTATTAACGAGGAGCTTTGCTATAGAGTCAAAGTCCTTCCGACGAGTCAAAGTTTGGAGTACTGAGCCTCTGTACGAGACGTCATAGGGTAACAACAAGCGTGCAAAGGTCGTAAGACTGTAGCTTGCTAGCTTAGTACTGCTGACACGAACAAATAGGTAAAGCCACAACTTTGTTAGGTTGGATAGCCCGAACTTGGGGCGCGGCTTGCAGAAAGCCTTCCATTTAAGCTGCAATGAGAAAAGCTGCTGGATACAGCAGCGAGGACAGACAGAATGGGCCTCCAATCCCCAACCTTCCGGGCCATAACGTCCACTTCATGGTATGTAAGGGCATCACATCGTGGGTGTGCGACTGTAGTCCTGCATCTATGAACTAGTAAGACGCTTCTTGGACTTCCTGGCGTTCCATTACGAGTCTTATTATGATATAAGTATACATCGACACCTTCACCTCTTTGGCTTGCAGCTTTCGGCGGCTCGGCCGAAGGGGCAATCGTTACGATTCGTTAATGGGTACGCTGTGGCTGACGACCTCTCCAACGGGATTAGCGGCGTCTCCCTTCACCCACGGGGAGGAGAGGAGGTGCGAAATGGTCACCAAAGCGGGCACTGTATGCACTACAGTGGTATACAGGGCATTATAGGCTCAATACAAACCTAGCAGAGCCTTGGGAGACGACCTCAGGATGTCGAGAGCAAGCCGGGCCTAGCTAGACATACCGTTGAACCCCCCTGGGCGCAACCCTCCCAACCCTCCCAGCTATACGCCGCACGTAAGCCCATGTCGCCGTCCGCGTCCCGTTCCCCTTGACAACCCAACAACAGGACAACATGCCAGCACCGCCGTCAACCCGCACCCGCATCATCGGCGGCCGCCTGGTAGTGTCTCCCCAGGCGTCACCACCACCCTACGCCCAGCACGACAACACGCCACCACAGAGAGGGGGGCGAGACTACGAGAGCCCCAACGCCAAGCCTTCCACGTCACCCTACGGGCAGCGTGAACCGAGCCCCAAAATAACCGCCACCGCGTTTGTACAGCCCCACGACCAGCACGGGGAACAAAACAGCGGCACGCCAACTCGAGGGTCAACATGGGCCCAATACAACCGCAAGGTGGGGGGTGACTGCTGATGCCTTGGGTTGTGTGTCACATGGGAGGTTTTGAGCAGCAGACAGGACGATGGAGCGCAGGGACGTGCACGCTTCCTCGCCCAAAGGGTACACTGCTTTAAGAATACACAGCGAAAAGAAGCCTCTCCTTACCTCGCACGTTTCTGGTTGGCTGGTTGTCTGATAGGTTCTCATCTTCGGCGGCTACTTCCGAGAGGAGGTCATCAACAGCCCGCTGGAGTCCTGGCGGGTGCGCCGGGTAGCCATCAGGTGCGCTAACCAAGGGGGCTTATGAGGGCAGGGAGTGTGCGGATGAGGGCGTTTGGTTGGGGCCTTTGAGCACTGGGCCATCCTTGGGTTGGGGCGGCAGCAGGTGCGTGGTGTCAGCAAGTCTGCAAAAACATGCAGGGGGCTATGACAGGGTGGTGGCGCGGTCGCCATTGCACCGTTAAGTTCACGTATCTGTCCGTCAACATGTCCGCTGCCTGTGTTGACGTAACGCCCGCAGGTACCACCTTGAAAACGACCAGGTGGAGATCTTGGAGGCGCGCGAGGAGAACAGCGGCTTGGCGCAGGTGAGGGGTAAGGGCGGGATGAGAGCTAGAAAGTAGCATGGGGTGCGGCAGTTTAGGGGAATACAAGCGCAAACGCCATGTGTGATTCTCGGGGAGTGGGTGCGATTGCGTCCTGGCTAGGGGCCGCCGAGGCAGAGCAATGGCCTTAAGGGTGATGCTGGGGCAAGCAAACGCACGTTGGGGGCGGTCTGGGGCCTCTGTGATGGCTTGAGGGCTGAGGCGCCCAAGGGGTGCTTGCGCGGCGCGAGGTCGTGGTAGCGGCTGGGGCAGGATTGTCGGAGATTCCTTTGCCCGCACAGCAAATACGCTAAAACGCAAGGGTAAACGTATGCTGCACCCCTCATGCTGTCTCCGCGTTGCGCGTGCAACCTTTCCCGCTACTGTAGCCTCATCCTACCGTCCGGCCGCCCCTTATCTCACGCATCCCTTTTCCCGCCCCCTGGCTCTCTGCTGCCGTGCTCCGCAGGGCATCTTCCTGAAGCGCATCAAGTGAGGACCGGGGCCATGTGCCGCATGTAGCAGGGAACCGCGAGCAGCCTAGTGTGTCAGGACTGAGCAGCAGGTCGCAGCGCTCCTGAACAGAGGCGTCGAACACCTCGGGAGAACACCAGCTGCAGCCATGGGCACGTCGTACCTCTCAAACCAATACCGCCTCTACTATCCTACTAATCTTCCCAACCCCTATGTCTCCGTATGTCACCTTTGTAACTGCACAATTGCCCCATGCTCCCCACTTGCATGCCCTCCCCGTACCTTCCCTGCCCCCTCACTTCCTTCCCCACTCACATTCCTACCTACCTTCCTAACCGCAGCGCCGTGAAGGAAGACGGCTCGCCGCTGCGCTGGTCCGACCTGCGGGTGGGCAGCGAGTTGCGGTTGTACGGCAGGACGTACACCCTGGTCGCGGCCGACGTGGCCACACGCGCCTTTTACGCGGAGCGGGGCCAGGAGCAGTCCGAGGACGTGGCCTACCCGGAGGGGCCCTTCGACAAGCGCCGCAAGGTTAGCTCCTGGGTACGGAAGGGCGGGATGGGCGGGGGGGCAGGGGCTGGGGCGGTGTAGGGGCCGGTCGTGGCCACCGGCTGGGTTCCTTGGCGGATTTGGGCGGGAGGGAGAGAGCTGCTTGGGGGCACGGTGACGACCGGATGGTGTAAAAGGGAGCGCCCTATACTGTAGTTTAGAACCATTTCTCACAACTCCTTCCTCCTGTCTCACCTCTCTGCATCCCTCCTGGCCGCTGCCCAGCAGGCGGTGGAGGCCTCCAAAACCCGCCAGCCGGTGCAGCCCTTCAAGGGCCCGCCCCTGCCGCGTGATCCGCGTGACCTGGAGAAGCCGCGCATTGACCCTCGCGGCCCGCGCGCGCTGTTCGACCTGTACCGCCTGAAGCGGCCGGCTGAGGTGGAGGCGCGAGACAACGCCATCCTACGTTTCCTGTGCGCCTGGGACAACACGTCAGCCCTGTTCGGCGACATGCAGGCCTTCTCACTGCACTACCATGTGGTGGATGGCACGATAGAGGTGCGGGAGGTGCAGCGGCGCAACAGCGGCCGCGACCCCTTCCCGCTGCTGCTGCGAAAGTGCCGCCTGCCCAAGACGATACCGCCCGTCCGTGAGTCCGGGTGACTTTCGAGGGCGGGTTTCTTTGCTTCCAAGAACAGCATACTGGTTCCTTTCCGTTCTTCAGTTTCAACGCTGCCTACATGTGTAGCCACGCCATACAACAACAACCCCACACCCCTGCAGACGCATGTCCCAACCCGTTGCCCGGCTAAGCCCCATTTCCTAAATACGCCCCTCTCCTCGCAGACGGCCGGCCCATGTCTCCCGGCACTCGCCGCATGCTGGCGCTCGAGTACTACGACTGGCGCGACCTGAAGCTGGGCGCCTCGGTCAATGTGTACGGCAGGTCGCTGCTGCTGTACGACTGCGACGAGGCGACCCGCACCTGGCTGCGACAGAACGTGCCGGGCATCACGGAAGACGCGCTCACGCCCAGACATGTACGTGGGTGCTGCTGCTGCTGCTGCTGAGGGGAAGGGGAGGGCTGGCGGGTGTTGTTATGTGTGTTGCTCCTGCTCGCGGATTGCACACGGCACTGATAGAGTATAACAAATGCAATCCTTGCGTTTTGCAACCAGCCAACCGCATACAACTGAAAACACGCTGCTCCTCCGTCCTCCCCCGCCTACCTTTCAAACCACCATGCGCACGCACCCACGCCCGCAGGTGGAGTTCGAGCCGGAGCCCATCAAGCGGCCGCAGATGCCCATCCCGCCGCACACCGGCATCGGCAGCGAGGAGGACACCCTGCAGAACGTGCTGCGTCTGGTGCCCCGGCCGCCGCCGCGGCCCTACGCGGACTATCTGGACAAGGGCGACCAGGTGCTGCGTTTCGAAGCGGCATTTGCACCGTTGGAGCCGGGCAAGCCGCTTGCGGGGCCGCATGACGAGGAGCGGCGCTTCATCCTGTCCTTCCACCTGCTGGACGGCTGCATCTCCATTTTCGAGCCGCGCCGCAACAACAGCGGCATGCCGCAGGGGGCGTTCCTGGAGCGCACGCGCGTGAGGAACCCCGCCACCGGGCAGAACTACACGGAGACGGACCTGCAGGTGAGGAGGGAGTGGGGGCGGAGAGGTCTGGAAAGGGGGCAGAAGCAGCCGAACTAGGAACTGGATGGACCAAATGGCACATCATGGCCGCGGGATGGAGTTGACTGGCGCTGACTGGATATCTTGGCGTATCGGTATCCATGAGGGCTGACATGATGTCATACCGGTATGTGGCCGTGTTTGCGCTGCTCGTGCCGCTGCTGCCAGGTGGGAGCTGTGCTGGAGGTGTTCGGCCGGGGCTTCGTGCTGCTGGACGCGGACGCCTACACGTGCGCCTACATGGAGCGCGAGAAGAACCGCTTCCCGTGGGCGGACTACGAACATGTGAGGAGGGATTAAAGAAGGGGTTCTCAGGTCGCAATCTTAGGGGGTGGTGGGCTCCCTTGGTACCCTTTGCTTATTCCACAGCGGGTGCCCTGTTGTAGCCTACCTGCCTCCCCCTAACTTCGCCTCACGGACACTTCTTTGCCACCTCCTCACGCCGCCTCCCTCACTCCTACCGCCCTCTTTCATTCCCGCTTTCAGGTTCTGTCCAAGCTCTCCTCCTGGTTGTCGATGTACCCCGAGGAGCTGCCGGACCGCCTGCGCACGGACCTGTTGGCGGAGGACATGCAGGGCTGCGGCTACCTCACAAAGTACCAGCTGCATGTGAGTAATACCGCTGTACCGACAGTGCGAACACGCCATGCATGGCATGGCACGATAAGGGCGAGGGAAGAAGAGGGTGTGCAGTTACCGGTATAGGATGAGGCAGGCCTAATTCTGTCGGACCTCGGCACATGTGGGAAGTTCAGCCGTACTTTCTAACCTCCAACATCCGCACCCGTCTGCCTCCCTCCCTCCATCACCCCACTCCAGGCTGTGTTGTCCGCGCTGGGTTCCGACCTGAGCCCGCACGACGTGCTCACGCTGGTCCGCGCGCTGGGAGCCGACCGACAGGGGCTGCTCATCGAGCAGCTGCTGGTGGCACTGGGTCTGGCGCCGCCGCCGGAGGAGCCGGACGAGCCCGAGATTGTGGAGGAGCCGCCGCAGCCCGCATCCATGCACCCGCCCGTGCCCTTCCCCGCGCCCGGGCTGCAGCAGCAGCAACAGCAACAACAACAGCAGCAGCAGCAGAACCCCGGGGTCTACCGACCGCGGGTGTCGGCGGCCTGGGCGCCGCATCCCTCCACGTCCAACAACAACCCGGGCAACTCGCCGTTGACAAGCCGCGGCGGGTACGGACCGCCCCCGCCGGCGCCTGTGGCGGGCGCTTCGGGTTCCATGTCGGCTCGGACGACGTACTCTCCGGCCGGGGTCGGGAGTCGTGGAGGCTACGGAGCATCGCCCTCACTTGGCGGTGTCTCGGGTCACCGCATCCAATCCGCGTCGCCCATCCGAGTACAATCCGCGTCCCCCATTCGCGTGCAGTCCGCATCGCCCGTCCGTGTGCAGTCTGCCTCGCCGGTGCAGCTTAGAGTGGACGGGCAGCAGCAGATACCCTCGCAGCGGCAGCAGCAGAACTGGGCTCAGCCCCGGGAGTCGCCGGAGAAGGCGGCATGGGGCAACCTCCCAGCGAAGCAGCAGAGCGAGGGTGGAGTCGCGCGCCCCTCGGCGCTTCCCACCGGCGTGCAGCAGCCGCACTCGTTGTGGCAGACAACCAACATGGCGATCGGAGGTGTGGGTCATACCAACTCCTACCGCATGCGGCCTCAATCGGGCCGTTGAGGCATGGACACGGTGTGGGTGCTGCGGCTTGGTTTTTAAGGTTGCGCTTCCTGGCTTGCTAGGGAAGCAATGTATCTCTGTTCTGCGCGCGGCACAGCACAACTGCTTGTGCGATGTGCAGAGGGGTTAGGGGGGAGGTGTAGCGCGAAAGAGCAATGGCGGACACACCCGGCAGACATGTGCACTCTGACCCTGGGCAGCAATCTCAGGTAGACAGGGGGAGATACGGGAGGAGGGAGGGGGGCTGTGTTGGGTTCGGATGTGATCATCAAAGGTAGATTGGGCTCGTGTGTTATTGGGTTGGATTGGGTTGGGTTGCTAGGCCAAGCGCTTGTGCATTGTGAGGAGGGTGGGGGGGGGGTTGAGCATAGCAATCTCTCGGTACAGTGGTGTCGCCTGGTAAGGGCCATTCATGTCAGCCCATGGTGCTCTAGGAAGGATCCGTGAACACGATTAAGATATATATACTTGGTGTGCTGAGAAAGGGGCTTGTGAGGGGGCTGTGTAGCAACTGAGTCGGCGACAGAATCTGCGTCAAGGCGGCCGAAGCATTGAGGACTGTCAAGACCGCACTTCCGTCCAAAAGACCTAGCTGGGAGGTAGAAGTGGGTGAGCGGCCACAGCCGCAGGAAACAACACCTCCCGAGATCCGGCTGGTCTTTGCATAAGGAAAATCACCCAAGTCTTCTGGTGGTGTTCCTTCCATGGACAATGTTTGCAACCCTGATCGTGTTCTATTGTAGGTGCCCTATGAGGGTGGGGGCACCGAGACATCGCTTCGCTTGTACCTGCCCCGTCGGGTATCCGTGTGTTGTGTTGTATGTTGTCGAGTTGACCGCGCTGCGCGCTGCAACTGGCGGTGGGATGAGGACCCCTGGCCGCCGCCCTTGGCTTCATTATGGCTTCCTATCTAGGTCGAATATACCTGACATGCCGTAAACGCAATACCGTACATGTAACTATACTTCATGTAAGCCTAATGTGCTGCCTTGCTTCTACGCGCATGCATGTGGCGTGTAGAAGGTCATCTCCCAGTTTTGCCGCGGTATATCTCTGCGACATTACCAGTACATAATTTCCACCCGACCGTTTATTGCCAAGCAAGTGTTTCCCAGCCCTGTCTTCCAGCAAGAGAACTTGACTTTAGAATACTAATGATGACACGCTTGCTGCGCCGCAAGCGGCTCTTCCGGAGGCTTCAAGTCCTTCAAACCTGACGAGTCTTTCCCAAGGTGCAGCAGTAGAAGTCCGTATTGTCATTGTGTGTCACTGTGGTAGCAGTTATTATGTTCACCTTTGCGCGCAATGCGCTACTTCCTCTCCGTACAACATCGGCAGCCATTCGCTCTTAAGCCGAAGCTGCGACACCCTATGGCAGCAAAACAAAAAGACAACTGCAGCGAATCGTACGAGCATAAGCAGTGTCGAGGACATAAGCATTAAGCAATGTGCTTAATGGGAAAGCACCAGTAAGTCAACGCATGTCTATCCTGAACCAGCTATGTATAGCATCTGCTCACCCCAAAACGTATCCAGAAAAACTCCCCGTGGGACCTGCTACCAAGCAACAACAAGTCTTGGAGCCAAAAGCACAACCCAGGTCCCCAGCAGTACCGGTAGCATTCCCAGTCACCTTCCACCAATCCCCCATACTTAGCAGGTCTCGGCGCTCAAATATCCGTGTCATCAAAACACCCCAACCCTGCAGCCGCCCAGAGCAGTTAACTCCGCTCGGTCCTTTAGCAATACTCAATACCTAATAAAGCGGCGCAACTCCCGCCTCCCGCACCTCCTGCACCTCCTGAAAGCACACATGGAGGCAAAGTAGCCCCGTACACTTCCCGCTACCCGGCTCTCAAACGCTCCCCAAGCAGCATCACACCAGCAGCCACACCCCAATACACACCATCACACAGAACCCCTTCGGCATTCACCTCCATCACACTCATCATCCCGCCCAATAATCCCCTCCCAAACCCACACGTGCAAGCCCATCACGCCCCACGGCACCGGGGGCTCGCAAACCTCGGCGACCCGTACGGCTGAGCCATCGCCCGACTGAACGGATCCTCCACATCCCCAGCACCTGGCAGTGCCCCAAACACATAAGGCCCCGTGTACCCGCCGCCCCCGATGCCACCGCTGATACCCACAGCCCCACTGCTGCTACCACCCGCGGCAGCAGCAGCAGCAGCAGCAGCAGCAGCAGCAACACTGCGTACTGAGGCGTCAGCATCCGTCCCGTCCCCCTCGCCTGCCAGCAGCAGCGCGTGTTTGTGTGGGATGAGGAAGTCGTGCCAGTCGTCGGGTTCGCCGTCCACATGGCCCACGTCAGCGTAGTGGTCGTCACCGTGGTCGTGAGCTGGGAGGGGGGAAAGAGGGAGACGATGGAAGGTGAGAGGAGGGAAGGGGGGTGGGTGGGAAGAGGAAAGAACCAGACCATGTTCATGAGGGGCAAGAGGAAGTGGAGGGAAGGAGAGCAGGGAGGGTAGTCGTTGAGTGAGTGAAAGGAGGAAGAGAAGACTCATCGGCGATCCAGATGGATGATCCGCCGCCCTGCATGTGCTTCTCTCCCGCACCCTGCCCCATACGGCCATACCCCGAAACCCCCCCCCGTGTGGCTTCCTACGGTTGGGTCCATCTTTGTCCCCCCTCAACAGCCCTCCCTCCCTCCCTCCCTCCCTCACCCCCGCTCTCCCCAGCCCCACCTGCCGCCCGCCGCTCCGCCGCCTTGTCCACCTCGCTCCTCCAGTCCACCAGCAGCCATGTCACCACACACAGCGCCGCAGCAACGAAATCCCCCGTCGCGATCCCCGCCCACAACCCTTCCAGCCCCAGCTTTGCCTTGAACGTCAGCCACCAGCCAAACGCAACACCGCTCCCCCAAAACCCCACCAGGTTGTATCCCATGAGCTGCTGCTGCCGCCCCATGCCTCGAAGCACGCCCTGGCTGGTGCCGAATGCGCCGTCGCAAAACTGAAACGCGACACCGAACAACGAGATACCAGCCACCGCAGCGGCAACCTCCGCGTCCGAGGTAAAGAGATAGCCCAGCTTGTTTCGGAGCAAGAACATGACCACCCCGCAGCAAGCCTGGAAAGCGCCGCCGCTCAGCACAGACAGCCGCGCAGCCATGCTCGCCCGCGCCCCTCGCCCGGCTCCAAGCAGGTTCCCCACGCGAATCGTCGCTGCCGTTGCAACCGCAAACGGAAAGCTGATGAAACTGTACGTACACACGGCCAACAAGCTCGAATGCGCCGCCACCGCAACCGGTCCCAACGCCCCAGCGAACGCGGTAGTAATGTCAAAGCTCCCCGCCTCCAACGCCAACATGCACCCCCCCGGCAAGGCAAGCTGCATGAAGAGCTTCAGAATCCGCGGGGAGCAGGCTCGCGCCCAGCACCGTCGGCTGCGTCCGAGCCACCTGCCCCAACCGCCTGGGTGGTAGCGCCCCTGGAGCCACACGGCAACCACGATGTAGGCTGCCAGCTGCACGAAACGTGAGGCGGTGGTGGCGAGCGGAGCGCCGATGAAGCCCATGTAGCGGATGAGCAGCGCGTTGGAGGCGATGTTGAGGAGGCAGGTGCCCGCGGCGACCAGGGCGGGTGGCAGCATGCAGTTCTGGGTTTGCATGAACTTCATGATCACCACACTCCACATCTGTTGAGGGGGCGGGGCGGGGGGGAGGGGTCGAGCAGCGGGTTAGCAGCCGTCAGGAGAAGCGACGTAGGACGGCGGCATAAGCCGCATAGCGGCAGTCCTGAGGTAGTCCAGGGTAGGGGCAGACAAGGCCAAGAGACGGCGCCTTAGGCACCCCAACCAAAGTCCCTTCCGCCTCCCGCCTCCCCCACTCCCCACGTGATGACGCCTTATCACACGGTTCGTTAGCCCTTTCCTCTTCCTCCCCCCCGCCCTCCCAACCACCCAGCCACCCCCACAACCCACCATGGGCCAGAGCCCCGGTATGAGGCACCTGCAGAAGCTGCCCACCAGCTCCGCCACCTCGGGCCCCTGCATGAAGAGGCTGGCGGCAACCGCCCTGCCGTACCACAGCCCCACCGCCATCACCCCGCACAGACCGCTGAGCACCAGCCCCGAGGCGTACGTCCACGTAAGCAGGGAGCTATAGTCGTTGGCGCCTGCAGGGTGGGGGCGGAGTGGTGGTGGGGGATTAGATAAACTGAGCCGCGGAAACACTGACCCTGACCGTGGGGGAGGGCGATGAGTAGGAGTTAGGTAATGCGCACAGGCAGGTGTTTTGAATGCGGTGGGGGAGCGTGGAAAGTGGATTGGATGGAGAAAAGGTGGGAGGAAAGGAACGGGTAAGGGGAAAAGGTTTCGTTCGAAGGACTCCGTCGATGTGCGGTGTTGTAACTACCAACAGCCGATTACGCAGCACTCTGCAGCAAGCGACTGCCGCTGCGGTATATAGGACTTTGGGGCTTGAGGCTTTACGGGTCCTCCTCCTCTCCTCCTCCTGCGCTCCCACCTGCAGCTGCTGCCCTGCCCCCCTGCTGCTTACCATAGGCCTGGCTGCCCAGGGTATCCAGGGCGGTGGAGCAGCCGAGCAGGAAGAACCACATCAGGTTGAAGTACTGCGAGGAGGGGAGGTGCAGGGAGAGGGAGGGAGAGGAAGAGAGAGGGAGAGGAGGGGCAGGGGTTGCGGGTGTAAGGTGGAGGTGGAGAGAGAGTGGCATCCGGGGTATCCATCAAGGTGCGAGGGCATCTGTCCTAGTACAGAATTCAACGGGCAGCGATCGCCAGCCAGGGTGGGCGAGGCAGGTGTGGATGCCTGGAGCAGGGCCCCTCCCACGTGAGTGAAGGGCGGGATGGGTCGGCAACCATGATGCAACCCCATGGCGGAGTCTTGTCACAAGCTCTTGTTCCGTTTGATCCCACGGGAGTGAGCAAGCGCACCGTGTTTCCTAGCGCCGCTGCAGCAAGCTCCGTAACCCCCAGATGGCCCACGAAGATTTGATCGGTCACAACCATGGTCTGCGAGTGGGTAGCGGGGAGGGATTGTAGAGGAGTGCAGGGGAGCGGTTTGAGTTGGGCGTTTCCTGTTACCGGTAAGAGTCGCGACGAGGGGTGCAAGCATGGCATAAACAAACGTTACAATTGCCTGCAAATGCCAGCACTTCATAAGCCGAATGATACATCAATTCAATTCAATACCTGTGAGCTGCACGTGGTCACGATGCAAGGCAGCGCCAGCAGGAAAATTGAACGCAGTTCCTTCTTCCAGGCGCCCTTCTGTAGTTGCCGCTCGGCATTTTCAATGAGTGGGACGCTGTTGTCATCTATATTTGGTGCCATGTCGACGGCTGGCACTCAATGGCTGCGTATATCTACGCAGGACTGCTAACTACACGAGGCAAGGCTCGGTGTTCCATAGACACACCACAAGTATGTTTGCATATTTCGACAGCTGTCTTGCTGTTCCCGCTTCGGTAGAATGCTCCGGAACCGGTCGGTGATTTGCGTAGAAGGAAGCCCTGTTCGCCAACGGATGCCACGATACGCATTGGACTCCATACAAAGCTTTGCAATTATAATTGCTTATGTCCGCTACGAAATAAGCAGCTGCATTGGGGTTGTCCCTCGTCGCAAGCGCATGCAAACGGTGTTGGCCGTCGGCAAACGGTGGGGCCAATGTCCCCTGCGGCACAGCACCTGCGGGGCAGGAGCTTTGGCGCGCTGATCGTTGCCTTGATTCTCCTCTCTTCTGTGGTGCCCGGCATTTCTTGGGCATGGCTTCCGCACAAGCACGGTACGCCGTGCGGGATAGTTTCTAGTAGGGTTCTTCTAGTGCTGTGAAATGTAACTACGGAAGGTTCTTCCTGGCGGTAGTAACAACTGTTTACGTCGTCTCGTCCGCTGCGCATGTTGCGCATTGCCGTCCTCTTCCTGAACGGCCTTTCACGCCCGTGCACGCGTGCATAACGCTTAACAGGTAGCCTGCGACAAAGCATCAAGTCCAGGGACTATCCAGTATCTACTCAGAATGCCGGCTCGGGAGCCCATGCGTCACCAGCTGCAACACCCGAACAGCAGCTGCAATTGCAGCAACAGGGGGCCATGAAGACAGCACCCACCTCGGGTGCTGCTTCCCAAACCGCCGAGCAGTTGCAACAGCAGCACCAGCAGCAGCTCCTGCACCTAGCCCAGCTGGGCAGTGCTCGTTCCTGGACGCACCTAGCCAGCCTGCAGGCCGGCGGCTGCCAAGACACCACCTGTACGGCACCCTACACCATGTACGTTGTGAGTACGGCACCCGCGCCGTACACTTCCAACTCCATTGCGGTCCCTGCTGCTGCTGTCAACAGTCACGTCGCCGCCGCTGATGGTTTTGAGGAGTTCAACATGCAAGGCCAAGATGTCATAAGCAGCCGCACCGATAGCAGCCGTAGCGATGATGACGATGATGATGATGATGACGGGGGCCCTATGACGACGTGCTTGTCGCTGGTAGCTACCGGCTGCTATGCGCCGGCTGCCCGTAGCTCGCCCTGCTGTACGGCACTCGCACGACATCTACGGCAGATCGAGATTGGGATCGGTAAGTCCGGATTGAGCGGCGTTTGGGATGGGCGAGGAGTAGCTGGGAGAGGGGCGCGGGGAGCCGTCTGAGTTCGGCGGGGCAGCCAGGGCGGGAAAGGGCGCGGGGGCTGTGTTTTCTGCGTTGACGACCGGGCAGAGGAAGATGGGAAGCGTTACTGGTATTGGGAGGCCTGCCTCTTTCGGATGGTGCGGGAAGGGAGTTGTGGACGTGGCATGAGGCTGCTATGGAAGAGGCCCTCTTCCCTTCCTTCCGCTGAAGGCGCTGATCTCCCCCCTCCTTCCCCTTCCCCTTCCCCGCTGCTGCCCCATCTCCCTCCTCCCTCCACTCCTCCACACAGACCCGTCCTGCGCCTCCAGCGTCTCCTCCATCATGCTCAACGGCATCCCCCTCACCCGCCACTCCTCCATCATCAACTCTTCCTCCTCCTCGCACTCCTCCTCCGCACGACTCCGCATCTCCCACTTACGTCTGGACTATTGGTCTGCACTCGACGCCCAGCTTTGCATCACGCTACAGCCGCCATGCAACACCCTGGTCAAGCTGTGCGGCAGTAGCAGCGTCGCTGGAAGCAAGTATTGCTTGGTGTCGTACGAGGACAAGACGCACGACGACGCCAAGTGTTGTAATACCTGCCAGCTGCCGGTTGGTGACGGCGGCGGCGGAGATAGCGGTGGCGGCGGCGGTGGCGGCGGTGGGGGTGGCGGAGGCGGACCGGGAGGCGGCGGTGGCGGAGGCGGCGGCGGGGGCGGTGGTGGAGGTGGAGGTGGCGGCGGAGGCGGTGGCGGCGGGCTGAACGGCGGTATTCAGGGTACGGCGCTGCATTTGCGCGGTTACAGCGACGGTTGGTTTAGCAGTAGCAGCAGCAAGAGTGTGTACGGCAGTGGAGACGGCAGCGGTAGCAGCAGGACTGGTAGCAGCGGCGGCGGAGGCGGTGCGACGCTGCGGTCTCACACGCGGCGTCACCGGTTGATGCGGCCAGACGGCTGGGTGGCGGAGGTGGAGCAGGAGGTGGTGGAGGTATCGGGGGGAGGTGGCGTGTCGGGGGATGAGAAGGCGGGTAGCAGCGGGGGAAAGAGCGTGCGAGAGGAATCTGGGGGTGGGGTGGAGGAGGGGGACGGTGCAGCGGAGGAGGGGGAGGTGGTGTCGGGAGCTAGCGCGGCTGGTGGTGCTGGCGGCGGTGTGGGGGTTGGAGAAGGAGGTGGGCGCAGGCGGGGTGGCGGTATGAGCATCCGGAGGGATGCGTATGGAGGCAGCGAGGTGGAGATTTCATGGTGAGGAGGGGAAACGAGTGAGGAAGCGGCGGTGCGGCCATGCCCTGCAAGCTGCAACGTACCTGTAGCGTGCTGGCGTCTTTGTCGCTGCCGCAGGGCTGTTGTGAGGGACTGGCTGCATGCTCCTAAAGGTGATTGTAACCCTATTAGGGGCATGCAGAGGCCTGGTATTCCCTGCGCTGTCGAAGCGTCTCCTTACAAGCGCTGCATTCGAAACTACCACTGCTCAGACCCCCCGACAAGGGGAGGTATTCCCTGCTTCTTGTTCACCCATGCAAACGCAATCCTCATGCATCATCCCAGGAAAGGCTACACATCCTCTCCCCAAGTAGGCAGCAGTCGAGAATTGGGACACCACGTTCTGTCAAAATAAATACTGTCCCGCACATAAACACAACCTCAACAACAGCAGCAGCAGCGCCGTACAGCCCCACATGCATGCACGTGCTGCTGCTGCCGGCTGCCGATACTTATCAAGGCCTCTTATTATGTGTCCACACCACACGCAATAAATAGCTTTTCTCCTCTTCTTCGCACACAATAGGAGTCAAAGATCATGTACAGGCTACACACATGCGCGCGCATGCACGCAGCGGCATGTAAGTTAACAAGCGGCTCTCCTAAACCGCACCACAATGTCCTAGGGCTGCCCTTCCCGATATGTGAGACACATCGCATACCCCCTCTTCGTATCCATGCAAGACACTGAAATAAAACCCACAGTTCTTGCAACGTTTACTTTGCTTTATGCCGGTTCTTCACAACCCGATAAAGCACAAGCACGATACAGTGCTAACACTTGTCTCGTGGGCAGGCACGCAACACCCACACCAGCAGGCACTGTCGCTATACACACACAGGGATCACCCCACCACCACCAGTACCCGCCCGCAATCACACAGGAGCCCACAGCGCTTTGCAACCCTCCTGCCAGCCCGCCTGCCGCCTCCCTCCTGCTGCCTTCCTCCAACCCCCCCTGCTGCCCTGGACACCACCTCCTGCGCCTCCGTCCGAAGCTCCCCAAGACTGGGATTTACATCAATACCCCCCCCCCTTCGTCACACCTGCACCCCACCACAATGCAAGTACCAACCCATACCCCCCACCACTCTCCGCTTCCCCCACCCCTATCGCTTCTCCGCCGCTGCCTCACGTGAAGGGTGTGGCGGAGGGGTTGATCCCCGTCAGTCGGTACGCCTGCGCCGCCGCTGCGAAGGGCAGTCCCACCGCCACCTCGGGGCTGCGCGAGGCCACACAGCCCCAGATGGCCTCCGCAACCTCACCCGGGCTCTGAGCCATGGGCAGGGTGCGCAGCATCTGGCGGAAGGAGCTGCGCAACAGGCGGGGGGGGGGCGGGGGAGGGGGAGAGGAGGGGTTAGCGTTTAGAAGAGGAAGAAAAGGGCGGTGGCTTGAGGAACCCCGCATCTTCCCACTACGTCATGGCTTTACCTCCTGCTTCCTAGACCCCTTCCCTCCGCAGGCCCCGCCCCACACTTCCCAGCCCCACCCTCCCTCACCGCCTGTCCTCCTCGCTGTTACGTCCGTAGAAGGCGGCCCGCTCCATCAGGTTGGATCGCACCAGCCCCGGCTGCACCACCCCCACATGCACCCCCTGCCCCTCCACCTCCGTGCGCAGGGAGGCGGCCAGGGACTGTGAAGGGAGGGAAGGGGGGAGGGAGGGGGAGAGAGGTGGGAAGGGATGAGCGGGTGGGGGGAAGAGTGGGCGTGAAAAGAAGGGTCCTTCGGTTCCTGTCGTGATCCTGTTCCCCTCGTCCTCATCCCCCCTCACACGGTCAGTTAGTTGTTTGCTCAACCCCCCTCAGACACAAACCCACCCACCATCCCCAGCTGCTCCACCGCTCCCCCACAACCATCTGCCCCCCCACCATCCTCACTCCCTGCCCTGCGCTCCGCCTCCCTCCAATCCCGCATTCATCCCCTCTATTCCCCCAATGCGGAATATGCATCCCTATGAACCCCCCACCTCCAGCGCCGCCTTGCTCGCACTGAACGCCCCCATGTGCTTGGTGGGCACCCGGCCGCTGAAGCCCGTCAGAAACACCAGCGAGGGCCGCTCTCCACCCCCCAGGAGGCCACCGATACCCGGCAGACCCACACCGCCGCCGCCCACACCAGCACTGCTGCTGCTGCTGCTGGTGCCCATGGCTCGGGCGCCTGCCTTGAGCAAGACTGGAAGGAAGGCCTGGGGGGAGGGGGAGGGAGGGAGGGGTGGTTGGGTGGGGAGGTGTGTCTTGGGGTTGGGGTTGGGGCGGGGAGGGAAAGGGTGAGGAGGTGAGGGACACGGATGCGCGGGCCCTCCGCTGCATGCAGGACGGGCGGGTGTGTTAACGAACGCTGGCCGCGAGTAGGGCTTGCCGGAAGGAAACGTGTGCTTGTGGTATGAAAACTGCCCCCCCCACCTGCGTCACCTGAGTCGGGATATGGGATTGGGACTTAGTTGTTTGCATTTCTTATATAATTTTTCCCCCACCTGCGTCACCAGGTAGGGCCCCAAGTAGTTGACCTCCATCAGCCGCCGGGCCTCCTGGGGGGGGGGGTGAGGGTGGCTTAGGTGGGGGTGTGGCGGGGGTTAACGGTATCAGGGTCGTGTAGAAAGGGAGTGGGAGAGAGTGCGCAGAAGGGGCGCATTATAAGCGTAGTGGTTTCGGAGCATTTGCAGCAACTGCAGCGGGGCATCTGCGACTTGCCCCGAGATGTACACCTATCCCAGGTAAAGGCGGCTAGGTTCCCACGCCATCCCTTCGGCCTCCTCCCGTCCCCTTCCTCGCCCCTCCCCGCCCCCCCTCTCCCCTCCTCACCATCGCCGGCGTGTCCTCCACCGCCCCCCGCCCAAACACCCCCGCGCACTGCACCACCGCATCCACCCGCTCGAACTTGGACAGCACCGAGTTCACCAGCGCCTGCACCTGCCGCTCCTGGGGGTAGGTAGGTAGGTAGGTAAGAGGAGGTGAGGTGAGGTAGAGGAGAGGAGGTGAGGTAGAGGAGGTGAGGTAGAGGAGGTGAGGTAGAGGAGGTGAGGTGAGGTAGGTAGGTAAGAGGAGAGGAGGTGAGGTAGAGGAGAGGGGTAGGCGGAATCTGTACACCTTACTACCCTACTATCTCTCCACATAGCCTCCGCGGGCTTAAGGCTTCACGACTCCTGGGCTCATCCACACCTTCCGGCCACCTCAGTACGTTCCTCCTACCTCGCGGCCTCCTTTACCCCTCGCAAACCCACACATCTGCGTCCAGCCATCACAGTACGTCCCGACTCGCGGCCAGTTTTCTTAAAACAAACACACCCACAGTTTTCTAATCACCCACCTGCGTCACGTCCGTGGGCACCGCCAGCGCCGCCCCCGCCCGCCCCGCCGCCGCCGCGCAGTCGTCCGCCACGTAGGCCAGCCGGGCCGCCTCGCGCGCCGCCACCACCACATTGTAGCCCTTGCGAGCGAACAGCAGCGCGGCGGCGCGACCCACGCCCTGTAAGGGTGCGGGTGGGAGGTGGTGTGGGAAGCGGAGGAGAACCAACAATGCGTTGGGGATGGTGGTGCGTTATGAGAGTGCAGATGCTGCTGTACAGGGAGATGGGGGATGGGTAGGTGGGAGCTCCTCACGTGGACTAGGAACAGCAGCGGCGGAAGGAGGTGAGCAGGCAGGCAGAAAGGCAGGCTGGCAGGATGGTATGCTAGCAGGCATGCGGGCCGCTTGGTTTGGCTTGTAGGCTAGCGGGCAAGAAGGCGGGTCGGACGGTTGGGGTTACGAGGTTGGGCATGGTTAGGGTTGGGGTTACGGAGCGCAGGAGGACGCACCTGAGAGCCCCCCGTGATGACGACTGTGCGGCCGGTGGCCTTGAATGCGCCCTCCATGGGCGGAGTCATGTTGAGGTCGGGTCGGTGCTGCTGCTGCTGGTTATGGTGAGGTTGATGATGTTGGGAAGAGGAGGAAGCAGGCTGCAGGAAGCCTGGTAGCTGGATGCGGGGCGGGGCATTGACATTTGTGTTGAATGGGACGCGATGGTTGGGTCCACCGGAGTTGACTGCGGCGACCTGCACGGCAATGGATTTGATGGGTTATGCGTAAAAGGTGCTAGAAAACATGGAATGCACGGTAGCACTGAGTTTGAAATGGGTGAAGAGGGATGATGGGAACATGCCGGACAATGCACTCTGCAGGTAGGGCAACGCGTTTTCACCTTTAGTGCGCGCCTGGTTGAACAATGTACAGGGGCACGCCTGGCGCTCCGTGAAGGACATCCTTTAGGGGGTCACGAGCGGAACGTTAGCAGACGGGGAAGCAAGTGTATTAGCTTACATTTTTTGCCTACATCCAATGAAGGTATTGAAAGCTACGTGAAATGCGAAGGCAGGAACTCGGGCCTAGGCAACATGCCAGCAAGCGTCGCTGCGAATTCGCCTACCCGCTGTTAACCCTTGTCGCCCTCCTTTTTGCATATGAACTAAAGGCGCCATTTACTTTACTGCGGCAATAACTGGAAGAGCAGTACCCGGTCAAGGTGAGTCACGACAGAAAAAAGCGTTTCTTAATCGATAATCAAAGCAGCGCCCTTATGTTGGCTTCATGTTACAAAGTAGGTTGCGCTTTGGGCGGTTGAAACCCCACTGTTGGGAAAGCGGTTTCTAAAGTACGAACATGTGTACGGTGACCTTTTAGTCGCTGTCGTTGCACCTCTTGACCGCAATGGTTCGTGGGGTTGTGCGGTAGGGCGGAGGGCCCTACACCGTACCATGTAAAGTAAAGTAAAGTAAAGTAAAGGTGACCTTTTAGGTGCCCTCGGTCTCAGGACTTACTAGCAACACAACTAGTGCGTCTTTAACCCCATGCCTTTGCGCACCATATATGCAAGAAGCAACGGTATTTGCCACAGCCCATCTCCTAGCCCTGGTACCTTCGCGTTGCTTAGCCATTGCTAGACTTGCGCTTCAGCCGCCCGCGCAGGGCTTCCCATCCATCGCACATACGGCACGCCAATTCCGCAGCATTGACAAGCCTCGCCTCGCCCCAGATGAATGGTACTTCGGGCTTTATGGCAGCTTGTGCGGGGGCGATGGGTTACCGACTGAGTTGTGCGGACATGGAAGGGAAGTGCGCCGGGAAACCCAGGAAGGCATGTGCCGGAGATGGGTACGTATAAGGCCCGATGCACGGCAGATGCTGCCGCAATGTCTGGGTCTTTGTCCGCCTGGAACCTGGGGCTTACGGGAGAAGCGTTCTGGCAACATGTGTATTGTCGTACATGAACGGTACGCGCGTGGCTCCTGTACGGCACGCAGCTTTGGCTTTGGCCCTAACGCCAACGATTTATGCCGTTTCGATGAAAGACATGGGTTCCCATGAGAGGGGTGGGCGCCACCTAAACGAAATGGGTCCGCTGCGGCAGCTGCGTAAAGCTTATCGATGAAAGCTTATCGTCGACAGCTTATCGTCGACGTTCTAGACGACATGCGCCAAACACTGACGAACAAGCGTCGATTTAGGGCATAATCGGAAGCCAAATGGTTTCTTACTTCTCGGACGCACGCTTCGCCGACTGCCCTGCTGCTTGCCCGGTCGTCGGAATACATGCCGTTCACGGTCTACGGCCGACCGGGCCTTGCTTCAACCGCTCCGTATACAGTGCTTCAATGTCAAGGCCTTAACTTTCAGGATAATGCCTTCCAGTGCGTAATGGGTGCGCGTTGGATTGTTATACATTTAGGTTGAAGTTGGATACCCCAAACAGTGAGCTTGTTGTGAACACTGTTCAGCTAGCGTTTTACCTTCCCTGTTATTTACTATTACTGCACTGCAGCGGAAGACGTGCCTGAGAGCACTACCCACCAGCGTAGTTAACCACCGACTGGCGGCACCATGAAAGCCAAAAAGCAGAAACATGTGCACGTTGATCGTCGCAGTAAAAAGGACGACAGCGATTTAGAGGATGGCGAGCTGCCCGGCGAGCGGCTGCAGGATGTTGAGGAAACGCTTTCGCCACCACGCAAGCAGCGCAAAACATCCCACACTGATGCGGCTCCTGCCGAATTGCACTTTTCAAAGCATTCCGGAGCCAGGGGCGGCGGCGCTGGGAGCATGCATCACGCGAGTGGAACCCATCCGCCGCCTCAAAAGACGCAAAAACAGCCCTCCCGGCAGCACCACGACACCCATCATGACCACCACACCTCCGCTAAGCAACCAGGCGCCTCAGACAAACGCAAAACCCAAGACGGCGCCAGCAAGCACAGCGACAAGCTTGACAATCGCAACAAGCGCAAGGAGCGCGAGGACCGCCCTTCCAAGCACAGCAGCAGCTCTCATGCCAAACCGCCTCCAACAGCCACTGCCGGCGTCGCAGGCCCCGCAGCCGGCAGCCCCGCAGCTGCTCCCAAGCCCTCTCCCGCCTTCGCTGCCAACAAGGAGGCGCTCAAGGCCCGCCTGGCCCGGCTGGAGGGCCTTATGGCGGCGGATGCAGCAGCTGGTGGCGGTAGCGTAGCGGGCTCACAGCAGCAGCGGCAGCAGCAGCAGGGGCCGGGAGGCGGGACAGCAGCTGGAGGCGGGAAGTACCTAGCGGATGTGTACAAGGGGGTGCGTGAGGGGGCATGGAGGGGAGGTAAAGACCATACCAAACCATAGGAAACCACATGTTGGGGGGAGGGTGGCTGGTTCCCTCCGCGCATTGCATGCTGCGATGCGCGCCCATGCCCATGTGGCCGCGCAAGGGAGCTCACCTGCCTCCTCATGTCCCATGGCGCCGTCATTGCCCTCTTGTCACCCTGCTCTGTTGTCACCCCGGGTGCATGCCGGCATTCCCAGCAACCCCACCCAGCCGCCCTCCAGCCGTGCAATCTTGCTTCCCCTGCCCCTGCCTCCCGCTCTCTCCTCATTCCCCTTATCCCTCCTTTCCCGACCCCCTAACCCAATCGCTCACCCCACCACCAGGCTCGGCCCAGCGTGGAAATCAAGGGCGACCCCTCCTCCTCCTCCTCCCTGGCTACCTCCGGCCCGCCCATCCGGCTGGCTGACGTGCAGGGGCTGGTGCTGTGGGTGCTGTCGCCCGCGGCTAACCTGGTGGAGGCGCCGCGATGGGCGTTTGTAAAGGTAAGGCGGTGGGGGGCGGAGGGAAGGATAAGTGCAGGAACTTGAGTCCCAATCCCATAAGGGCGGGTAGGGCGTTTGTAAAGGCGGGTTGGGGGAGGGACTGGGAGTGGGAGGGGTACAGAGGAGGGTACAGAGGAAAGGCTGACCATGTGACCCGTCCCTCCACCACTACTCGCCACCCTCTTCCTTTCCGTCCCCGTCCCCGTTACTTACCCACCTCCGTGCCGCCTCCCCCCTTCCCCTCCCCTTTCCTCCCTCCCTGCCCCTTCCCCCCCTAACAGAACAAGCCCCTGGTGGCGGGTGCGGTGCTGGTGCTGGCCAGCGGCCTCAGCAGCGCACTGGCGCAGGAGAAGAAGGTGGGGGCGGGAGGGGGGCGGGGCGGGGGAGGGGCCTGCGCGCATGGGTTGGCTGGCGCCACGGCAGCGGCAGCTCCCTTGTCAGCAGCGCTTGAAGGAGCCCCCCAATAACCCCAACTATAGTCCCGACACACACACTGGGGGATTCCCAGCAGTGCTGCTGCAGTACCCGCATGGCGGCAGGCGAGGGGTGTCACACCCCGGGGGGGGCCACCGACTGCATGCATGCATGGTTCCCGACCCCTGACACCCTTGCCGCCCTCCATGCTTACCGACACCTGCCCCCATCTCCCCTTCTCCCCCCGCAGCACCTGCTCCCCTTCCTGAGCAGCCTTGGCCGGGCTGCCGTTGTTCGCACCTCGCCGCAAGCTAAACCGGGTGAGCGAGGGGGGTTGGCGAGGGTGGGTGGGGTGGGGTGAGGCGTACCGCTCCGGGCAGCGATCTCTCTTTCCTTCCCGGGTCGCCGCCCCGCCCCCTGTTGCCCCCTCCTCCAAGCTCCAACCGCCACCTCCCCCCCACCTCTCCCCCTCACCTCTCCCCTCCCCCTCACCTCTCCCCTCCCCCTCACCTCTCCCCTCCCCCATCCTTCCCCTCTCCCCTCCACCTCTCCCCCACCTCCCCCCACCTCCCATCCGCAGCCCACCACACCGCCGAGCTGCTCACCACCAGTGTGCCAATACGCATCGCTAAACGCAAGCGACCCGCCGCGGAGGAGGAAGCGGGGGCGGGGGGTGCGGCCGCGGGCACTTCCCTAGCAACAGCAGGAGGAGAAGGATCGACAGCTGCAGCAGCACCCACAGCAGCATCAGCGGATGGGGACAAGGCGGACCGGCATGCAGACGCCGCGCAGCAGCAGCAACATCCGCCACCTCCTCCCCCCACTGCCTCCTCCCGCAGCCCCGGACAGCGGCCCCCCTGGCTGCCCCCCGGCCCCTTCCCCCCCTCGCACTACGTGGCTTCCCTGGAGCAGATGAGGAGCCACAACTTCCCCCTGCCACGACTAGCAAAGGAGGAGGGGGAGGAGGAGGAGGGAGCGGAAAAGGAGATGGCGGCTAGGAAGGAGGGAGGGGGCAAGAAGGAGGGAGGGACGAAGGGGAGGAAGGCGGAGGGCGAGGAGCGGAAGGGCGGTGGAGGCGGCGCCGGAGGTTCAGGTCGTCTGGTGTGTCCGTCGGGTTACGTGGCGACACAGCCCTCAGGTACGGCACCTGGGCTGTGATGTGGTAGGGGTGGTGGGGTGTGTGTGGGTTGTTGCGGGGGCTGCAGGTGTGTGTAGCTGGTTGGGAGGGGGCGGGTAGGGGGCGGCATGGCGGTGGGTGGGTGGGTGGGTGGGTGGGTGGGCTATTGGAAGGGGAGTGGGTGGGGCACGGCATGCGAAAAGGGTAGACCTCCTTACCCACCCACCCTTCCCACCTCGCCCCGCCCACCTCGCTCGCCTCCCTCCTCGCACCCCTCCTCCTCCCCTCCCTCACACATGGGCCACCGGTATTCTTCCCTTTCCCCCCTTACTTCGTCAGTGTCTCATTATATATATATATATATTATTTTTACCCCCCTCCCCACCTCCCCCAGGCGACCCCACCGCTTCCGAGCGGATGATAGCTCTGGACTGCGAGATGTGCATCACGGAGGCGGGATTCGAGCTCACCCGCATTACCCTGGTGGCGGGGCCGGGCTGGGGGGCGGGGAGCAGGGCGGCGCAGCTGGCGGCGGCGGTGAGGGCGGCGGCGGAGGCGGCGGGGGCGCGGACACCGCCGCCGGAGCTGACGTCGGGAGCGGCGCCAGGACGGGGTGCAGGAAGAGGAGGAGGGCGAGGAGGAGGGTTGCAACAGCAGCGGGGTGAGCAGGAGGAGGACGATGGACAGGGGGAGGGGGATGTGGACTGGAGTAACGGCAATGGAGGTGGCGGCGGCGGTGGGGATTGTACGGCAGGAGCAGGAGCAGCAGCGGTTGGTTTCCCAGTGGGTGCCGTACTGCTGGACGAGCTGGTGGTGCCCGACCGGCCCATTCTGGACTACAACACGCGATACAGCGGCATCACGGCGCAGATGCTGCAGGTGGGGGGTGGTGGGGGAGGGGGAGGATGAGGGGCAGGTTGTTTAAGAAGGAAACTGACGAGCTGTATGAGAGGAGGGGAGGCCGGGATGAGAGGAGGGAGGGTGAGAGGGGGAGTAATGGGGAGCGGGGGGTTGGTGGGGAGCGGGGCTGGGGCAGGTGGGGGTGTGGAGGGCTGCGGCAGGTGGGGGTGCGGACCGCGGAGGGCTGAGGGCAGGCGGCAACACAGCATGCTACTGCTCCCGCCTTCATAGCTCGCAACCGTACGGATGCTCTCTTATCTTCATCTCACAATCCTCCTCTGACGCTCGCTGGCCCCGCCGCCCCTGCTGCCCCTGCTGCTTCAGGGCTGCACCACCCGGCTTGAAGACGTGCGGGTGAGGGGGGGTGGAGGGGGGTTGGGGAAACCCCTCGCTGCGGAAGCTGCATGAATACACACACGTGCGGTGACATCCAGGCTGCCCGCTGGGCCACACCCCACCACCCCACACCTCTGTTTCGCTCCCTGTACTAGCGTTGTAATAGGGGTAGCAAACGGGTTTGTAGTCGGCTGCAGACCACTTCCATGACGAGCTGACGCTTGATGCTCCTCCTCCTCTCTCCCTCCTCTTCCTTACCCCCCTTCCCACACTCCCCCCTCATTGTGTATTCTCCTCCCTCCTCCCCCCCCAGTCCCGCTTCCTGTCTCTGGTCCCCTCCGAGTGCCTGCTGGTGGGGCACGCGCTGGAGAACGACCTGGCCGCCCTGCGCACCTGCCACGGTCGGGTGTTGGACACGGCGCTGCTGTTCCCTCACCCCCGGGGGCCGCCCTTCAAGAGCGCACTCAAGGTGGGTGCGGGTTGGAGGCTGGGGGGTGGGGGGGGGGAATTAAATAAGTGAAACAACGAACCCCAGTCCTATATCCCGACTCCTGCAGTGAGCGCATTCGGAGGCACTAAAAACACGCATCTCAAATTACTTACCGAATCGTTGCTTACCGTAAACCGAGAGGGTGGGGGGGGTTGCGGGTGGGAGAAAGGGGAGGAAGGAGGACCTGCTGACTGCTGGCAGAGCAGAGCAAAGCAGCAGTACGCAGGCTGGGGTGGCGGGTGCCATCACGGCGCATGTTGCATGAGACATACTGGTGTCGGCGGTGTGTCAAGGAGGTGTGTCAAGGAGGTGTGTCAAGGAGGTGTGTCAAGGAGGTGTGTCAAGGAGGTGTGTCAAGGAGGTGTGTCAAGGAGGTGTGTCAAGGAGGTGTGTCAAGGAGGTGTGTCAAGGAGGTGTGTCAAGGAGGTGTGTCAAGGAGGTGTGTCAAGGAGGTGTGTCAAGGAGGTGTGTCAAGGAGGTGTGTCAAGGAGGTGTGTCAAGGAGGTGTGTCAAGGAGGTGTGTCAAGGAGGTGTGTCAAGGAGGTGTGTCAAGGAGGTGTGTCAAGGAGGTGTGTCAAGGAGGTGTGTCAAGGAGGTGTGTCAAGGAGGTGTGTCAAGGAGGTGTGTCAAGGAGGTGTGTCAAGGAGGTGTGTCAAGGAGGTGTGTCAAGGAGGTGTGTCAAGGAGGTGTGTCAAGGAGGTGTGTCAAGGAGGTGTGTCAAGGAGGTGTGTCAAGGAGGTGTGTCAAGGAGGTGTGTCAAGGAGGTGTGTCAAGGAGGTGTGTCAAGGAGGTGTGTCAAGGAGGTGTGTCAAGGAGGTGTGTCAAGGAGGTGTGTCAAGGAGGTGTGTCGAGGAGGTGTGTCAAGGAGGTGTGTCGAGGAGGTGTGTCAAGGAGGTGTGTCAAGGAGGTGTGTCAAGGAGGTGTGTCGAGGAGGTGTGTCAAGGAGGTGTGTCGAGGAGGTGTGTCAAGGAGGTGTGTCAAGGAGGTGTGTCAAGGAGGTGTGTCAAGGAGGTGTGTCGAGGAGGTGTGTCGAGGAGGTGTGTCAAGGAGGTGTGTCGAGGAGGTGTGTCAAGGAGGTGTGTCGAGGAGGTGATGTTGCAACGTCGTCCACCCTCACGCCCCAACTAGCTCCCCCCCCTCCCTTACCCTCCCTCACCCATCCCCCTCCCTTAACCCCTCCCCCGCCTCCTCCCATGTCCACTCCCCCCCCAGATCCTGGCCCGCCGCTTCCTGCGCCGCTGCATCCAAGAGGGCTCCCACGACTCGGCGGTGGACGCGCGCACCGCACTGGACCTGGCGCTACTCAAGATAAAGCACGGTAGGAGCGGGAGTGAAGGGAGCGGCCATGGTTGGGGCGGTGGTGGTTGGGAGGGGTGGAGACGGGTGGTGGTTGGGCCATGCGGCATGCAGGGGACGCCCACTCCCGCCCGCCTCTCCCTCCTTCCTTGACTGGCCCCCCAGGTCCCGCCTACGGCACCCTTGGCTCGGGTCCGCGCGCCTCCGCGCCCAAGCTGTGCGAGGTGGTGTCGGAGCATTGCGGGGTGAAGGCCTGCCTGGTGGACAGACACGACGTGCTGGGCAGGTGGGCGGGGGGAGGAGGCAGGTGGGCGGGGGGAGGAGGCAGGTGGGCGGGGGGAGGAGGCAGGTGGGCGGGGAGAGGAGGCAGGTGGGCGGGGGGAGGAGGCAGGTGGGCGGGGGGAGGGGGAGGAGGCAGGTGGGGGGTCAAAGGCCATACCGAACCATAGGGGGGGAGGAGGGGTTGGTGGGGGGGGGTTAAGAGGGTTCGGGGGGGGGAGAAGGGGAAAGCGTGGGGTTACAGGGGCAAATGGGGGGGGGTAGAGGGCCTTACCCGTACCCACGGGGCCGCCTTGTCCTGCGTCAACAACCCGCTGTACTGCTGCTGACGTCCTCGCACCTGCTCACCCTCCTCCTGCCCCCCACGCCTCCACGCCTCTTCCTGCCCACCCGCCCGCAGGTATGTGAGCGGTGCTGCTGCCGCCGTGCCGGTGGGAAGTGACGAGGACGCGGTGGCGGCTGCGGGGCGGCAGGCGGCGGGCGGGGTGTACGGCCTGGTGTGGACTCAGCTGACGGAGCTGTCCACATTCCTGTTCAGGAGGTGGGTGCGGGGGGGGGAGGTGAAGAGGGACATGGGTGGGAGGCTGAGGAGGTGGGAGGAGGAAGAGGAGGGAAGGAGGTGCGGAAGGAGTAAAGACATCCTTGTTGCGAAGTACACCACAAGACCCAGCCATGAGTGGCTGGCTGTACCCCTCCTCCATTGCCAGTTGCCCACTCTGTCGCTTCCCCTTGCGCGAAGGGCCCGGCACAAGGCGCGGCTGGAGGAGGAGAAGCGCCTGGCCGCGACTGCAGCGGAGGCAGCAACAACAGCAGCGGGGGGGGCAGCCGCAACCAGCGCCGCTACCCAGGTCACTGTCAGTCAGGCTGGCGCCTCCAAGACCGGCAGCAAAACCGCTTCCGCCGTGACAGCAACCGTTGCTGCTGCTGCTGCTGCTGCTACTGCCACCGCGGCTGTAACAACAACAGCAACGACTGCAGCAAGCGCCGGAGCACCCTCCCACCCCGCCCCGCACCCTCCCTCCCTCACATCCTCATCAGCAGCACCACCATCAGCAGCCCAGCACCAGCCCGACTACTCGGATGCCGTACTGGATGGCATCCTGGTGTCGTACGACAGGCGACTGCGGCAGCTCTGGCAGTCGCTGCCGCCCCGCTGCTTGTTCGTGGTGGCCACGGGGGCAGGGGACACGGCCGAGTACGACAGGTGGGGTCGGGGGGGCGGTGGGGGGGTGTATGGGGGGGGTGAAAGAGGAAACTAACTAGCTGTATGACGAGGGGTGGTGGGGGGGAGGGTTTGCGTGGGTGCCACACGCACCCACCCTGGTGTATGGGGGGGAGGAGAAGGAGGGTTGCCTCGTCAATAAACACCTGTCCTCCTGCTCACCCTTCCCCCTCCCTATCATTATCATTATCATACCACACTTTGGAATTTCTTTTTTCCCCCTCCCTCCCTCCCTCCCTCCCTCTCCCCCCCCCCACTACACAGGCGCTACGAGCAGAAGTGCAAGCGCTGTTGTCAGGGCTCGGGATTGCCGCCCTGGAACCAGGTGGGGATGGGGTGGGGGCTCCCGGTACCTGGCTCCTGGTGCGGCTCCGTTGGGGAACGCCACTCCCCCATGATGCTGACCCCACATGATGCCCGCTCCCCACTCCCCACCCCCACCACCCACCCGGGTTTACTTCACAACCAAGGTGAAGCCCCGCCATTCAGTTCGTCAGTTTTCCTTATTTTTACCCGCACCCCACTGCACACTCCCCCATCCCTCCACCGGCACCCCCACTGCCCCCCAGGACGAGGAGGATGCGTTGATCGGTCTCGCGGCTCGGGAGATGCAGGCGCTGTGTTTCGCGGCTGTGCAAGGGGAGTCGGAGGAGGGGGAGCAGGGAGGGAAGGAGGGGGCGGGGGCAGGAAGGCACTGAGGCAGCTCGTGGGACGAGCTGGGCTGCTTGGGGTGTGTTAAGAAGGCTGGCCGCGAGTCGGAACGTACTGGATCCAGCGGGGTGTGTGCACCTCTGTTAGCATGTGCACCTCCGTGTGCTCACGCGCTTCCGTTATGGCGGAGTATTTACGGTTTCATGCACTTCCGTTGTGCGTTGCGTTACGTCGCGTCACACGCGTTATGCGTTATGTTATGCGCGGAGTGAGGCCACTGCTGAGGGTGCTGCGAGGTTTGCTGCGGGGACGTTGCCAGCTGGCTGGCAGGCTTAGGAGAGGCATTGCGCCGCATTGCCTACCTTGTAGCTGACCTGTGTGCTGCTTCCAGCAACACCAAACACCACCAACACCGCCTGGAAAGCCTTGTTAGCTGTGTACAACGTGGACAAGCCGTGAGCACTTAGGCTGTGGCCCTCCCCCCTAACACACAGTCCTGGTGTGCTGCACTAATCCTGCTGGCCTGCTCGACAGATGGACGGCCACAACCCTCTCATGATGATGCCAATGATGCCAATGATGCGTGTCACGAGCGGCATGCTCCTCCAAATCACCCAGCCCCACCTCGCCCAGCCCAGCCCTCTCCAAACAGCAGGAGCACCCACCCACGCATGACCCCATGCGCTCGCGGTCACCCTTCCGCTTCCCAGTTCGGAGGAGGGGGACACCTTACCCCACACTGCCACAGCTCCCATGACCACACCACCAACCCCTCTAGCCACCCTCACAGCATTTGAAAGAGCTAGTTAAGGTATCAACCTCAGTCAACTAAGGCCTATAAGGGTCATGCTTCTGGTATCAAAGCTGCGATCAAAAGCGGCACCGCCGCCCCTCCCGCCAGCGCTAACAACGACACCACATTCCCGCCCCCACCCGCCACCTCCACCTCCGCCTCCTTCCTCCTCCCATCCGCCGCCTCCCAGCCCCCCTCCACATGCCCCCCTCCTCCTCCTCCTCCTCCTCCTCCCGGCTCCGCCCCCCCAGCACCCGCTTCCCCTGCCATGGCCGCCGGCAATATATGCTGCGTGGCTGCAGCCAGGAACGTACCGCCGGAGAACAACACCGCCAGCGCTATCGCCTGGTCACGACTACCGCCGCTGCTGCCGCCGCTGCTGCCGCTGCCGCTCTCATGCCACGACAGCAGCACCAGCCAGGCCAGCAGGTAGTGCGTTGCCAGGGCGGCCAGCGGGGCAGCCGCGCTGAAGGCGAGCAGGCCTGCGCATGTGGGGAGGTGCATGTGGGGAGGTATACCGGGAGTGGAAGGAGGTGAGAGGAGCTTGAGGCGGAGGAGGGGTGAGGAATGTGGTGCTGGTTGCTACCGCTAGTTGCAACCGTCGTACGATACCGCTTCTACGCTGCCGGAGCATCTCTAGCTCCCCCTAACCCTAACCCCCTCCGACCCCCCCCACCCTCACCTCTCAGCACCCGGCCACTGCCCCAGCCCGCGCCCCGCAGGTAGCTGCTCAGACCGAGCGCCACCGGCAGCTTGTGTGCCATCACGGCGGCAGCTAGCGTCAACGTCAGCGTGCTGCCGCTGCTGCTGCCGCCACTTCCGCCCTGCAGGCTGGCTGCGCCCATCGCTAAGCCGTCCGCCGCTGACGGTGTGACAAAGACAGCAACCGCGGCAACAAACAACCAGGTTTTGTGTGTGTTAGGGGAGGTTCCCCGCGTGAAGAGGAGGCGGCTGAAGCAGCAAGGCAGGCTAGCAACAGGCTAGCAAGCCAGCAGGCAGGCAGGCTAGCAGGCAGGCAGGCAGGCAGTAGCAGTAGCAGTAGCAGTAGCAGCAGCCCGGCATCCCTGCCCCCCCTCCCCTCACCCGAGTGCACCAGCAAGCCGCTCAACACAAGAGCGGGAGAGGACCCAACGGAGGAGGAGGAGGAGCAGGAGGAGGCGGAAGTCGAGGAGTGCGACCCTGCAGCAGCAGCAGCAGCCGCGGCAGCAACCCCACTCGCACTCAGAAACGCTGTGCCGCTGCCGTCTCCAGCGTTGGAGCTACCGGCGCCGTCACCAGCGCCGCCACACGGGTCCACAACCACCACTGCCGCCTCCTCCGCTGGCCCCGCTGCCGCTGTTGTTACATAACCCCCCCTACAGTGAGCGCTGGTCAGCTCGGTATCCACTACTGCAGGCACTGCCGTACCCGCCCTTCCCACCGGCCCCGGGTACGAAGAAACTGAAGCCCTATCACCAACCCTCCTACAGCCCTCCCCGCCACCAGCCTTCCCCTCCACATCCACCTCAGCATCCGCCTCTGCCTGTGCTTCCACCATCGCTGTCGTCGGAAGCGCGCTGTACCCACCCGCCCGACGCCGTCCACCCCCACCGCCACCCCCACCCCCACCACTGCCGCTGCCGCTGCATGCACGGCCTCCCCCCGGCCCCACTGCTGCCCCCCTGCCCCCCTCCGAATGCCCATGCCGCAGCTGCTGCTGCCGCCCCCCATGCCGCTGCTGCTGCTGCCGCCCCCCCTCCAGACCCAGTTGCAGCGCCATCATGGCTAGGAAACCCGCCACCAGCGCCGCACCCGAACACCAGCCGGGCAGCGGCCCACCACCACCTCCACCTCCGCCAGCAGAAGAGCCGCCCTGATCCCCTGCTGCTGCGGCGGCGGCGGCGGCGGTGGCTGTCACGCCCCCGCGCACGAAGGTTGTGAAGCCCTCCGGCAGCACCACCCCCAGCCCGCTGCCTAGCATGAGGCCCGCGGATAGCATGCGTAGCGCGGGGGCCTTGCTTGGTGGGGAAAGGTGGGAGGAGGGACGGGAGGAAAGGGAGGGAAAATAAGCTGAGCGCTGCAAAGAGGCGGCGAGGTAAGAGGGAGAGGGTACCAGGCGGGCGTGGCGTACAACAAGTCGTACTGGTTGGCTGGGCTCCAGGTTCGAAAGGTGTGAGAGTAAAGGGTATGCTGTGGGGACTTGCACCGTAAGCCCGCTGGTCTTTTGTCTTCCCGTCCTATCTCTTGTAACATTCCACATCGGAAAAGAAAGCCTGGCCCCCCAACTCCCAGGTCGCACCCGCAGGAGCCTCTCCAGCCGACCTCCGCCAGCATTGGAAAGACCGGAAGATGAGGCAGCTGCGCGGCCCTTCTTGCTCCTCCACCTGCCCCAGCAATCCCCGCAACTGAGGCCCACCCCGGGGAGCCCGGTTATGAGGGCACCGAAGAACATGACGGCTGCCGTGGCCCAAAGCGTGGCTGTGCTGTTGCCGTCGCTGCCATGCACCCCGGCGTCGTCTCCCGAGCCGAGTAGTCCACGGCCTTCCATGACCGTGGAAGACGCAAGGAGGGCTGAATCGGTGGTAGCGGTTGCGATGGCTGGGAATGTAAGCAGCGACGCAAGAATGACTATAATCCCTGTCATTACAGCAGCTGCTGGGGCTAAAGTTATTGCTTCTGGGTGCTCTTGAGTGCCATGGTCGTTTCTTGTAGACGGTAGGAGCAAGGGCAAGCTTCTGCTTGGATGCCCCCGCACAGGAGAGGCTCGCAGGGAAGATGTACCGGCTCGCGCAAGAGTGCTACGGACGGGAGTTGAAAGGCTTAAAGGGCCTGGTCGCACGGATAGCCGACCGAATCGAGTTACAACAGGTAGGCTCCTAACACAACCATAGCATTTGGATACCTCGGGTGCGCGCAAGCCTCGGACTTGTTTAACCGTCATGCCCTAGCCGGCAAAGAAGCGAACTACATTCTAGTTCAGGCCAAATGAGATAAGAAAGTCTAAGCCTGTTCTCTTACATTCAATCCTATAGATCACAGGCAATATGCAAACCTGACGGGACGTACATACGGACGGCCCAAACTCCGAGCGGCAAGCAAGGACGCTGCACCTTTGTTTATCACTGCAATATCACTGCCACAATGTCTGCTTGTAGAATAATCGCCTTTACAGGTGGTTCCCCGTGGATGCCTAGCATTGCAGCATGTATCGATGGAGCTTGCATGCCAGCCAAGGTATCTCTCCCAATGTCCGACAGACCGCAAGGCCTCAACCGGAATTAACACTACTTATTCAGCACACCTACTGCAGCGAAGGACCCTACAACGCAGTTACTGCCTACCGTGTGTGCCTGGATGATGCATGGATGGGCCAAGGTACCGTAGTTGCCCGTGCTAGCTTGCCGGTAGTTAGGTCTCCTCGGCTCCAGGACCGCCCAGTTCCTTAACACTGCGCATCAAGCTTCACCCAAACGTTGCCCGCTCACCTTGCGCCCAATCCTTGGGTGTGCACGTGTTCAAGCGAAGCCCTGTCCTGCTTACTGCAGCAGCCCCAGCCGTGCCGGAATTCCACATTTCAGACAGCTGGTGTGGGTGGCCCTGTTGGTTGAGCCTGAGGGGCCTGCTCGGGGGCTCTTCGGGCATCAGGGTTCCATGCGGCGAGGCTACCGGGTAAGTGCACCAACCAAAGGGATGGGGGCAGAGTGCACCTCCCGCCGCCAAAGGGGGTTGAGCAACATATTTCTACCGGTAAGCGCAACTGGGGGCAAGATAAGTGATGTAGGATAAGGTCTTTGTTGAGCGTCTATCGTATTCCAGCACGTGCAAGGCAGTACGTGTTTGAGGACTGGCAATGTGAGGGCAAAAGGGACGGAGCGACCCGCGGGTCAGCGCAGGGGTTCAAACACTACGCTGCATGTAACCATCAAAGCTTTAAAGCACACAGGGAGGCGTTGAAATCCGGTCCGATGGCTTAACATAATATCGGCGTTCCACGATAGGTCCAAACCCCGCATAAGCTGCCAGTTGCATGATGAACAGCCCCCAACAACAATTGTTATTACCCGGTGTCGCACCTAAACAACGATTTCATGCCCAACACCAATGGTCCCGGGGCTTCCGCCCCTCACTACCAGGAAAGTCACCAGAGCAGTGTCCAAGCGGTTACACACCACATGGCCGTCAGTTGGTCTAAACACACCACAACGCAATGCAGCTCCCCACCGCCGTGAGCATGCACATGAAGATATATATAGGGAAAAGACGATTTGAGAGCACAGACTCATCCGTACCCAACGGTCCAAACGCCAGCCAGGAGAAGAGGCCACATCTGTACGGTACAAGGTACCGGTAAGATCATCTTGCCGCCAATCATTAAATAGAACACACGGAGAAAGATCAGATCACATGGAAATTAGGGCCGGTAAGGCCTTGGCCTCAAACCACGAAGTCACTGTGAGCATTGTGGCAAAGCCTGTTAGGTCCAAGTTCCGAGGAGAAGAGTCAACAAGATACAATACACATCTAGGCGGGACTCCGGAAACGGTGGAATGGCGGCGCACACCGCCCGCCTTTTATTGGCTAGAATAGGTAGTAGGAGGGACAGGTCGCCAATTTGGGACCCTCCGCGCATGAAAGCTTATGTACAGCAATACCGTACCGCCATCTAAGAAATATCTGTGACTGGTAAACACGCTGGCAGTAACCTTCATCTTTCTTTTATGGACCGGATCAAATTCTAGCTCATAGTGTCACATACCGTACAGCATGTCCTGGTGCAGTCTTATCCAAGCCATCACGCGCATTCTGCGGCCTTGCCAGCCACCCTCAATTTATGTACCCGAGCTCCCTACGCCGTCGCAGTTGCCTCCCTGCCATACAGTACCATGCTTTGTGCGTTCACAAACACACCACACGCACGTCGTATGACATTCACAGTACGTTCCGACTCGCGGCCAGTTTCTGAACACATCGAATGGACACATCAGACAGGTGAATGCTTTAGTCACAACCCACAACCGATAACCCTCCACGCCGGAGTTCACAAGTAAAGCAAAGAAAAACATCGCTGCTATAACGTACCCTGAGGACAACACATTCCCTTATTAAGTTACCTTCCCAAAGCGCCACGGCGGTCGCTTCACATGCATTGTATACCTGCCGCAGACAGATGCTTTAAGACCGGTAACCCCACCAAGCCAATCATACAATCCCACCCGAAAGCCACACATGCTCCTACCATGTTAGGCCTCCCTCCTTAATACCTCCCACCGCCCTTCATCTCCCAGCTCAATTCAACTTAAATTCTCATCCCACCGCCCTACGGCACAATCTACGGCACAATCTCAGCCAGCAAGCACTTGAAGCTGTCCCGTGTAGCCGTCTTCCGTACCAGCTGATGCCCGCGACCCGCACCCATCCCACCCACACCCCCTCCCACCGCCCCTGCCGCCCCCGAACCCCCGCATGCGTCCGAAGCAATGGACGCCGCTGAGAGCTGTGGCTCCAGCACCTGCTCGATCGGCTCCGGACCCGCCGGCGCCCCAGCCGCAACCAGATCCTCAGGCGAGCTCAGCGCATCCAACCACCGAGCCGCATGCGAGTGTACGGCACGCATGCCTGGTAGCAACAACCCAACCGTCGTAACGGTACCTTCGCTTTGCTGGGCCAGCGCCAATGCCAGTGGTTCACCGCCTGTTTCGCTGAGTGCAATGCTGCGAGGTGGAAGAAGGTCGGCAGCGACTGCCGCCGTCGCCACGGCGGGACCCGCGGGTCGGAGTGCCTCGTGGAGAGACGCAGCGCGACGGAGGGGCTCCATGGAAGCGGCACGGAGCAGGGCGGAACTTGGTCGGTCGCCGTCGTTGTCGTCATTGGGCACACTGCTGCATGCGGCGGCGGCGGCAGCGGCGGCGGCGGCGATGGCAGAGTAGGTGGAGCGGAAGGGTGAGGGCGGCGGGGGAGCTAGGCCGGGGAGGTCTAGTGAATCATCGTCATCGTCAAAGTCCGCCTCATCCTCCTCCTCATCACCACCCGCTACTGCTGCGGTAGTAGCAGCAGGGGCTGCGGCGGTGGCGGTGGTGGTGGTGGTGGAGGTGGTGGTGCGGTCAGCAGAGGCAGATGCCTCCGCGACAACAGCTAGAGAAACCATTACAGGAGTGACCTGGGCGGCGGCAGGAGCCTCGTTGCCACTGCCGCTGCCTCTACCACCGCCGCCGGCACCCTCAGAGCGACTGGCAGTGATAAGCACCGGCGAATCCTCGTTCTCTTGTCTCTGTTCCGGCAGCTGCTCCTGCTCCTGCTCTTGCTGCTTAGTCGCCTCCTCCTCAACCGTGGGCAACAGCATCTTGAGCTGGTGTACGCTGCCATTACCGGGATCAGACATCATCTGCCGTTGCCGCTGTTTCTGCAAAACCTGCAGGCTCGCGAGTCGGTTAAGTGATACTGCCGTGTCACCGTTGCTTCCCTTGGCTGCGGCCGCTGGGGTGAACATGGGTGCGAGGGTGCCGCAGCGAGGCAGCGAGCCGATGGGTTTGAACGTGAGCGCGGCGACCGCTGTGGTGGTGCTCACGTTGCGGCTAAAGGAACATCCGTTGCGTTTCAGGATGGGTTGCGGTGGAGATAGACGCAGCTGCCGGTTATCCTCCCCCTCGTCGGAGACGGGTGCGGCTAGGGTGGGTTGCCGTAACATTGTGCGCGAAGGCAGGAGCAGCAGCTTTTGCTGCGTCTCGGCCGAGGTTCGGAGCAGCGATGGGGACTGCACAAGTTGTGGTGGTTGAACATTGGCGGTTGGGTTTCGCAGCAGCGAAGGTGACGGCAGGAGGTGCAGGCGCTCGTTGCCCGGCTGCAGTGGCGGCGTTTGCGGCGCCGCTGGAGGAGAGGGCAGCAGTTGCCGCCTGCGGTTCTGGCTTCCAGGAGGTGAAGTGCGGAGCAGGGATGGCGACTTCAGCAGGTGACGTCGAGAGCCGGCAGATGAGATCTGAGGACGCAAGGAAGGACCGTGCCCCATCACTGGCTGTGGCGGTGTCGCCGGGGATAACAACGGCGCGCTGGGACGTAGCGACGTCGGAGACATTCGCAGCGGCAGCGGCAGTGTCTGCAAGTCCAGCGGCTCCTCCTCACCGCCGCATGTCGTACCGTCCAACCCGCCAGCATGCGAGTTCCGCCTGGCTTCCGGCCGGTCAGGCAGGATCAGGCCGGCAAGTGGTGCATGTGGCGGTGCCGTAAACAGGGGGTGCTGTTGTTGTTGAGCTTCCGCACCGCTGCAGCTGACGCCGCGACGGGGGGTAAGGACGGCAGGATGAGGCTCCGACACCGCGCCTCCGCCGCTGCCACCGCTTCCGCTGCCACGGCCCTGGCGGTGAGGAAGGGCATTGCTACCACCAGCGGCATGTGTACACGCGTATCCGTCGGCAGCATCGCCCTCCACCCTGGCATTGAACGATTCCGCCGTCACCATTCCTGGGTGATGCTGCTGCTGCTGCTCTTGCAGCTGTCGGTGAGCCTTCTGCTGCTGCTGTTGTTGTGTGCAGCCGTCGACACCGCCGCCGCCGCCTGACGTCCGTTGCGGCGACGCTCTGCAAGGCTCCCCTTCCGGTCCCACCACCACCGCCCCACTACCGGTATCATCCGCATGACCCTCACCGCAGCTGTTCCTAGGAGAACCTAGGGGAACCGTGAGAACCGTGATGGCACCCCGAGGCGATGGCAACGGAGCCGTCCCTGCGCCCTCCACAGAGACTCTACCGGTACTCGACCTCTCATCACAGCCGGAATGCATGCGAGGTACGGCACATGTCAGACCCGGCGCTGCTTCGCTGTCACCGCTCACGGGAGGGCAGGCCGCTAGCAGCGCAGCCGCGGCGCTTGCGGCTGCAGCGTCCGCGACTTCGTCTGCGGTGTCGTCCGCGGGCGAGACGAGGCTGCAGTGCACCTTGGGCTTGCGTGGGTGGCGCCAGGGGTGGAAGACGTCGGAGAAGGCGGAGGCGGAGAGGTTGGAGGGGGCCGAGGGGGACACCGGGTGCTCTGGGGCCCAGCAGGAGCCGTCGGGGCTGTTAGAGGCCTGCTGGGGAGGGAATGGAGATGGAGAGAGAGGGGCGGAGAGGGGGAGGCGGTGAATTTGTTTTCAGGGGAGCCAAGCCTGGTGGTTAGGAGAAGAGATCTAAAAGAACGGCATGGTGCGGAGGTTTTCGTGGATGCATGTGCAGACCGCGAGTGTGAACATGGAAGGCTAGATGCTGGTTGAAGGTGGAGCGAAACTTTGCGACGGGTAAACGCACGCTACCATGTTTTTTGGCTTACCTTCCGTGTCTTTCCCTCCCTGAGGTCTTCAAGAGACGCCTTGTCGGGGTTGCTGCTGCTGTGGGAGCCGGAGCCGTACGGGGTGGCGGTGGCGTGCTGGTCCGCGCGAGGGGTGTCTTTTCGCCGTTTATGGCCCCGCGCCCCATCACCGCTGCGTGTTGAACCAGATATACCACATCCAAAACAACTTAGGAGGCCATGGCGCTGATGGGATTCCCGCCGGACCTACGGGAATGCGATGGTTTTGGCTCAAGACAACTTGTGAAATTTCGAGCCTACAACCATCAGGTACGTAGGGAAATGAGTTCTGACGCACCCAGGATTCCAATAAAACGTCAGGATTCTCCTGAGCATCTGCCGAATGTGTCCTTAAGCCCATTGATTGTCACACCGCCAGGAAATTCCCTTTGAAGCCGCCTTAGCTGTTGTCTAATGTTATCATTGAATGAAGGAATGTTGCGGAATAGTCCTATGCCGACAAGGCAACGATGCAGCTATATTAGGCCTAGGTATAAGTTGATTGCAAAAAGTTGGCTTTATCTTGTATCTGTGTTTGGTGACTAGCTGGAATGGAGACTAGATTGGAATTCCCTGCGTTCAGTCAGCTGCGTCGGAAGTGTACGGCAGCAGTCGTGCGTTGGTTGAGAAGGCTGACTGAAGTGCAGGAGGGCCATTAAGGAAGGCTCTACAAGACCAGCTTTATGTAGTCGAAACCTACCCGATAAATGCCTTCGATATTTGTTTCATAAGGAGCCAGTAGCCTGACATCCGAGGAGGCGGGTGTGAAAAGGGTTGCTACCGCGACAAACTCTTTACAAGAGGCGCCTATTCAATGGTTTAAAATATTATTTACGCTTTCTGGTTGTGCACACTTATTGCTAACCTTTCACCCGTAGGCGCAATGGCTTTGGGCATGCAACATACTGTTAGGCAAAGGACAACCAGGGCGTCCCCTGTTTGCATTTAGCATTCGGCAGGAGAAGAAGATTATGGACGCCGATTTGAATATCCCATCAAGCTCGTGGAAGTGTCGCAGGCGCGTGACCCGGCCCTAACAAGCGAACCAGCAGCCAGAAGTTGCCGGGGAGGCAATTGTTACAGCTTATGGGGGAGGCACTGAAGGCCCGCGGCCCATTCACACAGTAGGGCAACCTTCGCCGGGGCAGCTACCAGCAACCTATCGTGTGCGCAGCCGATTCTACCAACACCCTTCACTGCCGTGGGGTTGACACATCTGGACATCCTGAACACCGTCCGGGCATCAGCTATTCCCTCTGCTGAAGCTGTCCCCACCTGTCCATGCTGCTTGGCAAGAAATACCCGGAATCCCTTCTTCTCGTCCATTATCTCTCTTATTCAGGACCCATTTTGCCGACTTGCAGCCGTCGTGGATCTTTAATCCCCAAGTAGGCAAACGGGTAAAACATTAAGTACAAGACGATGACCAAACCGATGGCCGCAGTTGCCGATGTCAACATACACGCGTTAAACAAAGTAAAACACAGTGCTCATCAATCGGGCTGACTACCGATCGTTGAAGCTCTGCGACACACGTGCACAGTAGGAAGCACACACTTCCAATTAATTCCCTCCTTGCTGCACCTACCAGATGCCCTCCACTGGATGCTGTATGAGGCCCACCTAGGTTGGAACCTCCCTACAATACGAACCTCCTTGACGATACATACCTGCCTACCGCGGTATCAACTCAACCAGTCGCACTATTGTACAAGGCAGGTAACCTGGTAGCGCCGGGTGATGCGAATGTAGGCATAGTCACTCCAAGGCAAAGTAATGCACAATGCAGGGGCATGGACTCCCTCTCATCAGGTACAATTCGCATGGGCCGCTATAATAAATACACCGCCCCCTGATTAGTGTGGGCCAACACGAGCAGTACATCAGTTCTCTTTCGTGTAGTACGTCCCTCAATCAAGCTCACGTCATCCATGCATGCTTAGCTGATAACTTTGCAAGCCGTCCAGGATGATAAGGATGACTATATACAGCATGCATCGCGCTTCTTCCGAGCTCCCGCCGCTCTCTCTCCCAACCTTCCTACACCTTCACGCCACGCTGCAGCACACTCTCGCTCCCTCCCTCCCTCGCAGGTGCTGCCCCGCAGCATTGCCACACCAGGATCTCATGCATAGGCGGGAACACCCCATCTCCTGCGCTCTCTCGGGTTAGGTACACTGTTTACCCTCTTTTCCACACTCCTATTGTACAACCTACGTAATCTACATGCCACAGCCGCGCGCTTTCAGCGCCTGACACACACGCTCACTTCATCTTCCGACATCCTTATGTTCCTACTCGCGGCCAGTTTTCTTAACACACTCTCAACCTCCTCTCTTCTCACGCTCTGACTCCTCTGTAATCCTCGCATTCTCTCCTCTCCTACCCTCGTGCTTCCCTCATGCTGGTATGCTGCACGCCCTCTCCTCTCATCTGCATCCCTCGGGCCCTTAACACTGGACTCTTTTTGCTTTCCCTGCCCACCCCTCACACCGTCTCCACCCTCAGCGCCCGCAGCGCCCTGCTCCTCTCCTCCGGCCCCATGACCGCCAGCTGCGCCGCCATGTGCGCCCCCAGCCGCTCCGCACCCGCCTCGTCCAGCCCCACACCCAGGCAGCGCAGGGCGGGCAGCAGCGCGCAGAGCTGCTCGTAGGAGTAGGACGCCAGGCCGCCGCCGCGCATGAGCCGCAGGTACACGGCGTGGGGGAAGCGGAAGGGAGAGGAGGAGGTGGAGGAGGAGGCAGGGGAGGGAGGAGGCAGGGACGTGACGGGCGTCCAAGGAGAGGCTGGGAGGGAGCGAGTGTGTTGGCGATGTTGAGTGCTGGTGGGGTGGCTGCGGGGTTGGTGGTGCCGGTAGGTTTGGCTGGTTGGGGATGGAGGAGGGGCGGAGGAGGTGTGGAGGAGTGCGAGGGCTTGCAGGAGCGCGGTTGAGGAGGCGGGGTCGAATGGACCGGGATGGCAGTAGCAGCAGGCGTCCAGGTCGGCTAGCCAGTCTTCACCTGGGTGGGCGCCCAAATGGACCAGCGAGCACAACACGGAGGCAAGCTGGTGCGGATGCAGCCGGCGCAGGCGGTGTGGTGAGGACAGTTCGTTGAGGCATGCGGTCAGGAAATCGTCGAGGCCGGAACGGCGTCCAGTTCCAGCGGCAGTCGAGGCATAACGGTATAGCTCCTCTGCTATTTGGGAAGCACTGAGTGTACTTTGCGGCTTAGAAGAGGCCACAGAGCAAGTAGTTGGATGCTGAGCGGCTACTGGTACGCAGGTCCGCGCGCCTAAGCAGATGTCAGCAGCATGGCTGACAACAGGAAAGCAGCAATGATGCTTGTATCGTGGCGCTTCCCAGAAGTTACCAGTTGCTGCGAAGCGTCGTCGGGCGTTTGTTGGGGTGCGTGTGCACGGAGAGCAGCGCATTTGGGACAATTATATGGATGAGTAACAATAACAAAGGCTCAGTTTGTCAAACAAGCGCAGTGGCGACGAATAAACGATAAGGTTGAGAAGCTGTCACTGGATGGGTCACAGAAGTTGATCCGGGGACGCCATACGCTGTCCAAGCAAACAGGATTACAATAGTTACAAATGTGTTTCTTGTGATTATTACGCGTTTGTCAGAAGGCAAAAGGCAAAAGCGTTTGCCGCTAACGCCGTACATAACAGTGATAGATCATGCTTGTTCCAGCCCTTCGCTGAACGTTCAAGTTGCAGAAGCTATGGCTCTAGATGTGACTGGCCTTAAGGCCTTAGGATTAGCAGGATGGCGTAAGCTGAACACAGAAGTTTCCGGCTTGCATCCAGCGCTTTGGTTCACCCCCGACACTCTTCCCGTTGTCGGGTTAGATGTCGTGGATGTACAGGACATTTTGTTTGCCTTGCGGGCGGCGGATGGGCATGGGCGCGGCATTGCGGAGTCATGGCTTCGTGCGTGCCAATGCGCACAGCTTGCGCACGATAGGTGCGACATGAACCTCACAACCATGCACGCTAATTGCAGGAATACTCCGACACACAATTATCAAACTCCCCATTCCTTTTAACACCACCTGCCCTTCCTCTCCTTCTTCCCATCCTCACTTCCGTTAACCCTGCCCTTCTAACCTCTCCCCCAACCCTACCCTCAGGATTCTTCGCGACCTGCAGGATGTTGACCGCAACCTAACCTTCTGGCAGCGGCAGGTGGCTGCGGGTGGCCATTGGTCGCACTCCTCCTTCATGCTCCTCAGTCGCGGCCCGCTCTCCTTCGCAGCCGACGTGGCGGGAGCAGCCAAGCGGCTGCAGCGCCTCACAGGCAGGCTACAGCAGCTGGCTGAGGCAGCTATGGTGGCGGCGGAGGAGGCGGGGGCTTGCTGGCCGAGGCTTCTGAAGCAGCGGAGGGCCGGGGAGCAGGCAAGGGAGCGGCTGGGGGAGGCGGGTGAGGAGCCGGGCGAGGGCGCTGCAAGCGCGACAGACATGATGCAGCATCGGGTGAGCGGGGCGGAAGTGGTGGCGGGTGGCGGGTGATGTTGGGGCCGTAGATGCTGCTGGGCTGGTGGCTGTGCGTCGAGGGAATGGGAATCTACCTGTACGGGATTCTATGGCTACCGGTACTTGGGTTTGTGCTCCGAAATTGCGGTGTGTGGCGCCTCACTAGACCCCATGGCACCCCGCACCCACATCCGGCCGTGGACCGGACCTAACCCTACGTGTCCTACGCCCTCACCGTCCTACGCGCCCACGCTACTACGCTACACCGCTTCCGTGCCCGCCACCCCCCAGGTGCTGCTGCTGCGTGCTCTACGCTCCCGACTGGCTCGGGCGCTAGCACAGCTAACGGAGGCGGCAGGTGGGGCGGGGGGAGGGATGGGATGCGGGATGAGGAAGTCCGCAGTTGCGCGCATGGAAGCTCTTGGGCCTGAGGGCGCAACAGGGCTGAGTGGAACCAACGCTGCCCTCCTCGCACCTTCATGTCTATGGCCTATGGGCTGATTTGGGTCGCGGGCTGGATGGGCTCGGCTCCGCGGGTTGCTGTTGCATTTGGTTTTCTGTACCGCTATAGTTGATTTGGTTGCTCTTTATTCCCTCTGCTCCTGCGCAGCTCTGTTGCGGCTGGGCCCGGGCGCGCTGACGCAGCTGGATGCCCCCGCGGCGGCGCGAGGAGCGGCGGCGGTGGGAGCAACGACCGGCCTGGCGGGTACGGCAGCGGCGGCGGCTGACCTGGCGGCGGCGGCGGCAGCGGGCGCCTCGCAGCGGGAGCAGCAGCTGCAGGTGCGTGCGGGAGGGGCACACCGCGGTGTGTGTCGGTGTGGGCGTTAGGAGGGCGTGGGTGTACTTGGCTTCCCGGCTCCCTGCATGTTGTCAATCTACGGTCATCGCCTGCTGCGGCTGCTGTTCTTGCAGTTGCTTACCTTCTTCCTCTTCCTACCTCCCCCATGTCGCGGGGTGGTGACCACCAGGCGGTGGAGGATGCGGTGCGGTGTGCCGTGCGCGGCATGCTGGCGGCCCTGCAGGGCCTCATGCACGCCGAGCACCACCACAGCCACCAGGAGCACCACCAGCAGCAGCACCAGTCGAAGGGTGATGAGGGACATGCGTCAGAAGGCCGGCAGCCCGCTGCCGCCCCCGGCCCCGGCGCCGCCTCCCGGCCCCTGTCTCAGGAGCTACGGGAGCTCTTGGACCTGCTGCGGCTGCGACCGCTGGCAGCGCAGGCGCTGCAGCTCAGGCCGGGGGGGCAGGGGGCGGCCGGGGCGGCCGCTGCGGGGACGGAGGAGGGAAGGTCAGCAGCTGGGTCCTCCGCGGCGGCTGTGGCTGCGGCTGCTGGTGGTGGGGTTGGTGTGCCCGCGGGAGTGCTGGAGGTGACGTCGGGCGGGGGCTCCGCGAGGACGGCGCTGGACGCAGCCAGGAGGGCGGCGGCGTTGTCAGGGCCCCTGGTGCCCCTGCCGTCCAGCGCCCGCATGCCCTCCCGCTTCCAGCTGTACTGGCTGCGGTACTGTACGGCAGCGGGGGTGCTGCTGTACGGCGGGGCCTTCCTGCTGCGCCACAGCCGCCTGGCGGGCAGCGACGACCTGGACAGGTGAGAGGGGGGCGGGCAACGGGCAGTGGTGCGTGTGTCACGTGCGGCGGGTTGGCTTGGATGAGCCTGGGGGCTACGGGAAGGGCTCCCGTGTCCCGTGAGGGTGTTCTCTTCGGTACTCGGCAGGTTAGACGCCCGTCTCCAGAAAGGGGCGACCCAGATGGCGGGTCTTTCGCCGCTGCTGACCTTACCCTTTTTCCCAGTCCTAAGCCCTTCCTCGAGCAGCTCCTCGCAGTCCCCAGCTCCTACACTACACATCCCAACTTGACCCTACTCGCCCATCTCCCGCCGCCCCCCGCACGCAGGTGGATCCTAACCGCCCTCACCGCCGTACGCTCCGCCCTGCGCACCCACGTGGTGGAGCCGCTGCTCGCCGTACGTGACGAGCTCTTCCGTACCTTCCGCGACCGACCTGCCATCGTGTCGCCCCAGGACTTCAGCGTCAGTCGCGACTCGCTGCTGCGCATGCTGCAGGACTTTGCTGCCGACCACAAGACCACGCCGCTGCTGCCTCCTTCATCAACACCTCCGCAAGGCGCTAGCGCCAGCAGCGGCAGCAGCGACGCTAGCAGCACCACCTCTAGCAGCAGCAGCAGCAGCGCCCCGCCTCCTCCCAGCCCCTCTGATGCCTCCTCCTCCTCCCCCGCCTCCACCACCTCTCCCTCCCCCTCTCCAGCCCCTGATGTCCCAACCGCCTCCGCTGCCTCGTCTTCCCCCACCGACGACGCCGCGCTGGCCTCCGGCATGTCGCTGCTCATGCGCTCCTACGAGACCGAGCTGCGCCACCCGCTGCGCAACCTGCTGCTGGGAGACCTGGCGCGTGCGCTGCTGATCCAGGTGCAGGGAGTCAAGGTAGATGGCGAGGCGGCCATGCTGCGTATGGACCAGATCCTGCGCGCCAACGAGCTGTCGCTCAGCCTCATGGCGGCGCTGCCGGCGCTGGGGTTCACAGTGGCGGCGGCGACGGGGCTGGCCAGGTGGGATGGGGGGCGCAAAAAGAGGAAACTGAGGAGCTGTATGAGAGGGGCGGGGTGGGGGAGGGTGGGGTATAGGCACCTGCTGGAGGCCGGCCAGGATCATGCCCGGGGGGTCCGTTGATGGTTGACGGTGGTGCTGCTGCTGCTGCTCTAGTCGGTGTCAACGGGTTTTTTTAACGGTAACTCCTTCCTCCCTCCCGTCTCATCTGTCCGCGCCTCTCATCTCGCCATAATGCCACCACGCCAGGCTGCTCATCCCCCGCGCGCCCGACCGGCGGCGCGAGGCCATTCCCTCGCGGCTGGCCATGGGGGCACTGGAGGTGGCGCTGGGGCAGCTGGCGGAGGCGGAGGAGCGGGAGGGGCAGGGGCAGGAGGCGGGTGTTGCGCTGGAGGAGCTGCGGGGGCTAGTGGTGTTCCGGCTGCACCAGGTGGGGGAGGGGGAGGTTGGGGGGAGGCGGGGGGTCACACCGAACCATAGGAAACCACAGGAGGAGGAGGGTGGGGAATGAGCAGCAGGGGGAGGCCGGTCATGGGAGAGCGCTGGAAGAGCCTCGTCCGGTAGACATGCAGGGGACCCTATACCTACCACAAGCACCTCGGCTCAGGCTCACACATTCGTGGTAATAGCCCTTGCCACGTTCGCGTAGATGCCAGTACTAGACACGACGGGTTCCTACAACCCACCTCACCCCATCCCATCCCGCGTCTCACCCCCCCCCACACCACCTCCCCCGCGCCTCCCCCCGCCCCGCTCCCCAGGTCTACTCCCGCGTGACGTCGCTCTACGCGCACGCCGACCGCACCTCTCGCTACTCCGAGTGGCGCCCTCTGCATGCAGACCTGCTGCGGCTCGCCGCGCCCGCCCCCGCCGCACAGCGGCTGGCCACCCACCAGCGCATGATGCGCACCTACACCGTCTTCCAGCGCTAGGCGGGCACTCGGCGGCACCAAGGGCGCGGAAGGCGTGTGGCGCGGGTTTGGAGGTGGGCCGCTGAGGCAGCGGATGGGTGTTTGTGATGTGTGTGGAAGGGATATAGGGCGTGCGAAGACCAGGCGTGCGAAGGAGGGGATACTGTTTAGGAGGGGTAGTGTGTAGTGGCGGTGGTGTGGTTGAGATGGGTTGTTACTTGGCGAGGGTTCGACGGAGTGGTTTGGAAAGGGGTTCATGTAGGTTTATGGAGGGTGCGGGGGTTTCAGGAGGATTGTTTGGATGTGGGTCACATCTGGGCGTACGGGCTGGGTTACGAGCGTGCACATGGGTTGGCTTTCCTGACCGGTGGAGGTATCCTTGTGCCGCCCTGTGGAAGTGTTTGGAGCTGCAAGACTGTGTATGGATTCTACTCCTATTATCGTAGGGGCTATATCCTTTGTTGGCCTATAGCTGTACAGGCGGGATTTCGTGTGCCATAGCGACATGAGCACGAGGATATCCTCCCGGTATACCCACCCTGTGATCACGGGCGGACGTGTCAATTCGTTCAAAGCTGGTTTTCTGTTGTTATCGCATATAATTATAGGGCCGGCTAAGCCTATTTTATGCCCGCTGGCTTGCGGCTGTTCGACTTCTACTTGCGCTTGTTGCCGACTTCTCGTTTTAGCGTTTAAATGCTATGCTGCCGCTACATGTTTGCTCTATAATAAATGTAAAATGTAGATAGTAATCGTAAACGCGCTTCTATCAAGGAGTCCTTTGCCGCTGCTCCGACGCTGCCATAGCTTGGCAATACTTTCCGCTTGACCCGGCTTGCATGGGATTCATAATGCTCCAAATTGAACGCTCGCAAACTTCGTGTGGAACTGCCGGCCGTGGCACCCTTAATTGTTTCGAGTGAAACGCTGAAACCAAGCGCCGTACACAGTTAGGAGCATGCATGAATTCATAATAGTTTGTACTCGCAAGGCCTTGAAAGCGTCCTGGTGTGACCCTACTCTATTCGTCTCATATGCGGGGATGAAAGCATAGCTAACTACTTCTTGTCGGGTCCATTGCACGTCCATCGCCTCCCGCTTCTATTGCCGAAAGCGGGCTTGCAACCATCATGTCTGATCGCATGACAGCTCCTGTGTGCTCTCCCCTGGTAAGCTTTATATCCTGGGCTGGCCTTTTCCTGCTCGACTGCAACCCCCTATCATGCTTCCATGTCAACTTGCTCCCTGACCACGCAGGTCTTGAGTAGAACTGCACCGTTGCAGTGCCCTGCCACAACTCCTTCTACTGGAAGACACCACCAGGAACATTTGAAGGCGGTCTATGACAAGGCGCAAGAGGCTCTGACCGCGGCATCCTCGGTTGTCGCCGATATCGCCTCGGGCCTTTACGACTTGGAATCCTGCCAGACCGATGTCTCTGCTCGCCTATGTGGACGTCCTTCTCGGGTCATCGGCAAGAAACGCAAGCTCAGTCCCTCCGTCTATGACTACAACGACTCGTGCTTCTTCGCCTCATCCAAGGCCGACACGCCAACCCAGGTGGGAAGCTATGCTTGCACGCTTCGCTGGTGCCTCAAGACGCCGTGCAAGCTTGCGCCTTCCCTTCACCCAACCTTCAATTCCTCTTAAGCGTTAGACAGCTGTCCTGAACACCGGAACATTTTAGCGATAGACCGCTTTCTTCACAGCCCAAACATACACGCAGCCCGACCTAAGACGCTATCCTAGCAACAGAATCTACCTTGCCCTTCTGCATAACCTCTCACGCACACTTTCTGTTGTCCCCCCTCTCTCCTTCCACTCTTCCATTGCATTTTCTTACCCACACGCTGCAACCTCCCTGTCCTCACCCGCCCCCGTCCCCCTGCAGGAGCTCCTCCCCGCCTCCCGCAGCGAGCTCCGGAACCACCAGCTGCAGGCGGTGCGCTGGCTTGCCTCCCTGGAGCGCTGCGGCGCCGGCGGCGTGTTGGCAGACGAGCTGGATCAAGACCGCCGAGCCGAGGTCGCCGGCCTCATGTCACACCTCGCCTCCAACCCGCCCGACTTGCTTCCGCTGCCGGTTCCAGTACCCATGCCATCACAGGCCTTTGCAGCTCAGCAACAACAACAGCAGCAGCAGCAATGCCAGGGTGCTGGTCGGCAGACGCAGCAGGGGCAACAACAGCAGGCAGGGTTTGCGGGTGTGGGCGGTCCTCTGTCAGCGGCACCGCACACGGCTAATGCGGTGGTGCTGCTAGCGCCCGGCAGCTCGCTGGCGGCCTGGTCCGAGGCCATCAGCGAGCATGTGGACGTGACGGTGCAGGTCTACGATGGGTCACCAGCCAGTACGGCGGCGTTGCAGACTGCTTGTGCAGGTGGGCAGGATGGGACGGACGGTGGCTTGATGTGGGTCGGAGTGTGATGGAGGGACATCGTACGGTTGTGTTGGCATGTGGGTAGGGGAGGATAGGACGTTGGATAAGGGTAGATTGTCCAAAATCAATCGTCGGGGCTGAGTCAGGAGTGGTTGAGGGGAGACAGCGAAGCTGCAAAAACGTTGCTCTATACCTTTACTCTATAGTGTCTATACCTTAACTCACCAAGGTTGTCCAATGCTAAACCCCTTTCCGCCATTCCCCCTCCTGCCCCCTAGGTTGCGCCCCCTCTCCCATGCTGCGTCCCGGCACTGCGGCAACCACTCGCCGAACAGCCAACGGTGGCGCCGGCCCCCTCACCGGCTCCGCCTCCTCCGGCAGCAACAGCAGCGCGGCTGGCGTCTTCCCACCCGTCCTGCAGCCCGCCCCTCCCCTCCAGCTCTTCCGCGCCTGCACCTCTGCTGGCTCCTCCAAGCTGCTGGTGGTGCTGGCCCCCTTGGAGCACCTGCCTCGAGACGTTGCGGTGCTGTCACAGCTGCCGCAACGCATGATGGTGGTTGACCTGGCGGCGCGACCCGGCGGGGGAGGCCGCAGGGAGGCAGGCGGCAGCGGGGGCGGCGCCGCGGCGGCTAGCGGTGACAGCAGCGGCAGCGCCAACCGGCCCTTCGGGCCGTTTTCCTCGGGCTTTGCTGTGGGTTCGGACTCGGGGCCGCGGCAGCCGTGTCCACGGGCGGAGGGCATGGACCTGGAGAGCTACCCGCACCTGCACCTACTGACACGCATGCCAGCTGCAAGCCGGGTGCTGCTGTCAGGTAGATTGGAGGGGAGGACGTGAATCTGGGTTGTTTTTAGGCTCATGCCGTCATGCGCCTTCTTGCCTCCTGGGTGCCTAGCGCATAGTCGATGTTCGGATGCCATTGCTTTTTCTTTAGTCCTTATCGCAATCCTTCTCCGCCGTGCTCCTTGCTTGCCTCCCCCAGCCGGCCTCTCCGAGCCCCGCGGCGACGGCATTTGGCTGCTGCTGCAGCTGCTGGCGCCCAACGTGCAGCAGCCGCTGTGGCAGGCGGTCAGCGAGCTGCAGCAGGGGCTGCTGGCCAGCGGGGACGTGGGCGCGCAGTGCAGGGTGAGTTAGGGGCTTGGAAGGAAGTGAAGTCCAATGCCTCTTGGCGCTCACCGTTACGTTTGGCTCACGGTTGACCAATGCTCTGGCTCGGCTCCGTTGGGTGCTTCTCCCGCGTAAAGCCATAAGACCACGAGGCAACGCAATCTCATTCCCCGCTCATCACCTGCTCCTCACTCGCAGGAGCGTGTGCTTGGAGAGCTGCGCGAGCGGCTGTGGGGGCTGCTGCGGCCGCTGACGCTGCACCGGCGCGCGCGAGACGTGGACCTGGGCACCATGCGCTCTGCCGCCACCAGCCTCAACCTGTACGACCACTTCTCAGCGGCCAAGGCGGACGGGGGCGCGTGAGTGGGAGGTGGGCGAGGGAGGGACGGCGTATCGTCGGTTTCGCCCATGTACTGTTTGTTTTGGTGACCCGTGGGTCTCGTTGCCTGACTGCGCGGAGCGCTGATTTTGCTGCTTTAAGCGCGCGCTAACTACCTGGGATCCGTGGGGAATTTGGGTGGGGCTTTTTGAGTCTGTACGTATGCGTCTGCACCCACGCAACGTAGGAGTGCCATGCCCATTTGACCAAGCCAGACGCTAGTTGGTTGGTTGGGCGGTTCTGTTAACAGCCATGGCAGGCCCCCCTAGGACATGTTGGACCTGTGTGCGTGCGTGCGTGCTGCGTGCAAAGCATGCCCACTAGTTACGAGACGAGGAGATTTGCGAATGTATGTACGGGTATTTTAAGATTGCGAACTTGGTTAGGCTGCGAGGTCAGTTCCGGAGGCTGCTGTGCCGTCCTATTCTGTGCCACATCGGCTCACGGTCGCGAGGATGCTCCCGGGGTAAGCGGTGAGTAAGCTACGCGTGGTTTGCTGTTGGGGCGTCCATGCATGCCCAGCATTAAGGCTGGCCTCCACCGTTTGTTCGGACCCGTTCATATCTACAATTTTGAGGGTGAAGACGAATTTTGGTCATTTCGGACTTTTCATGCGGGTATTTCATGCATTCACACGTCGCCGCGTCTAGACATAAGCCACAGCCTGCCACAGTCTGCGATCGCACAGTGTATTCGGCGAAGCAAACACATGTGTGCTCTGGCTCAAGAGCTACCCTCTGGCGTGCTTGCACCGCTATACGTCGTACCGGACGTCCCTGGCGCGTGTTTATGTACTACGGTGTGTTGGCGATGCACTTGCCTATTGGTTGGTGTGACGGTTAAGAAGCGTGCGTTGTAACTGTACACCAACTGCCTGCTCTGGCTGTTGCTATGAACAGTGGGTGCATGGCAGCTTCATCAGCTGCCTAGTGATGTAGCTAGCAAGGTATCAAAGTATGGCCATTGGGGGCAAGCACAAGGCACGCGGCAAGTCATACGTTGGCTTGGAGCGCTGTCCCTATGCATAACCTCGGCTGCGTGGGCCAGCAGGGGTAGTCCGTAGTACCTGGCAACCCAAGCAGCATTGTCACACCCCTCTTACTACCATGTCGACAAACCTCAAGCCACCATGCCCCTTCCCGCCCCCAGCAGCCTCCCAGCTAGGCTACTTGGGCAGCTTCAGCTCCTCAGGTACGTGGCACGCCTCCTCACTCAGCAGCACCACCGCCTCCTCCATCACCGCCATCTCCGACAACCCACAACCGTCCCGGTGCCCCGCCCCGCCCTGCGAACCAAATCCACAGCAGTTGGCGCCGCATGTGAACACCGCGACCGTCGCAAAGTCCCAGTTCGCCGCTGCGTTGATGGCGGGTGTGTGTCGTACCAGATCCGCTCCCTCCAGCCACCCGGCGCAGTCTAGCACCAACGCAATCAGCGGGGCGACCAGCTGAAGCTCGAACACGCGGGGGGCGCCGCAGTGGGAGCAGGGAGGCGGCTGGGGCCCGTCCTTCAGTGGCCACAGCGGCTCACAACCGCGACCGTACCTGCATGCAAATGCAGAGATGTAGAGCGAAACGCACCATGACGGTTGGTGCTTTCAATGCTGCAGCGTCGCGTGAAGGTGCGGCTGCGGTGACTGGTCCACAACCCCACTAGATGTTTCCTACAACGTACAATCCCAACCCGGATCCCAGCCAAACCCCAGACAACAACATCCCAATGCTAGGCCGTGTGTACAACCATGCGCATCCCCCGTCCTCCCTACCCTCCCTCTACAGCCTGCCCCCACCCCCCACCTGGCGCACTGGTCGGGTTGCCTGGCCAGCCGTGCTGCGTACTTGAGGTACGCCCCATGCACCCCGCGCACATGGTCCTCCTCGTACTCCTCACCCGCCCAGGAGCCCGGCTCGCTGCCCGCGTCATCACCACCCGCTGACATCCCGGCATCATCGCCCTCCGCTCCTTCCTCCTCCTCCGACATGTGGCCATCAGAGCCGCCGCTGCCGCCAGGCCGCTGCTGCTGCTGCTGCTGCTGCGCGGACGGGGCATGCTGAGGGTTTCTTCTGCGGGCCGTGTTGTTGCTGCTGGCAGCGGCAGCGGCGCTGCAGGAGGAGGGGGAGTCGTGTACGGCGGCACCGCCCCGGGCTGATGCCCCGCCCGCCTGCTGCTCCTGCCGCTCGTACTCGGACAGCAGCCGCTGCACGTGCTCCTGCTCGCGGCGCCGCGCTGAGGAGTGGGGGCCTGTGTGTGGTGGGGATACACAGGGAGTATGCTCGGGCGATATGCCAGCATGGGTTCCAGTCTGAGCTTGATGGGCTTATGCGGTATAGATCCATGTAGGCAGAGGTTCCAAGGTCCTGCTTTACCTAAGCAGCACGAGTCTCTCAGGTCGCCTTACCCCGCGCGCGCAACGCGTCCCTGCCCACTCAGCCGCCCTGCCCCCTCCCTACCTGCCGGCTCCTCCACCCCAATGATGTGAAACTCCGGCAAGGGCGGCCCGGCCATGGGCAGCTGCACGCTGGGCACCGCAGCACCCACCATCACTGCGTCCTGCTGCGAGGCCTCCTGATCCGCCGCCTGCTGGTCCCTCTGCTGCCCTTGCTGCATGCTGCCGCCTCGGCGCCCTCCCTGCCCCTGCCCCTTCCCTGCCTGCCCACCCTGCCGCAGCTGCTCCACCTGCCGGGCGGCGCACTCCTCCAACGCCGCACCCAGGTCACTGAAGTCCATGTCATCCGCCACCGCCGCGGGGGCCCCAGCAGCAGCAGCAGTAGCGGCCCCTGTAGCGTCCATGGCGCCTTCGTCGAATCCCGCCCCGAAACCGTCGAAACAGTCTACACCCGCTGCTGCTGCATCAGCAGTCCCTACAAAGTCGAAACCGCCTCCAAACGGATCCGCAGACTGCTGGTGGGGCTGTGGCTGCGGTTGAGGGTGGTGTGGGGGCAGCGGGGCTGCGACAGGGCCCTGCTCTGCAGCTGCAGGGGCTGCATGCATGGGGGCCTGCTGGCATGAGGCCGCTGCCGGGGTTGTTGGATCTGAGGGGCTGGGAGGACTGGGGCGCTGGCATCTGAAGGCCCGCCAGCTGCCTGCCGCGGTGCCGCAGCCAGGGTGGGCGCAGGCCAGCACCAGCAGCACACGCTCCTCGCAGGGAGGGCAGCCGGCACGCCGCGCCTCACTGGCTGTCAGGGGCGCGTATGCCTGCCGGTTTGTGCATGGGTGGGGTGGGGAATTGAGTACGGTGGTTCTTTAGTTGAGTTGTGGCATTCATTAGTGACCGGTCATGCAGGCCCATCATACGGCGATAGATCTTGACGCGGCGGGTACAAACGGTGCAACTGTTTAGCTTCAGCAAACCCAGCTATGCACGTGCCGAAGGGCCCCACAGGCCTGCCCTACTTGCCTGTAAGACGAGCGATAGGGGTTTTCCGCAGACCCCGCACTTCGATGAGGCCTCCCAGTCGCAGGGAGCCGTGCTGGAGCTGCCAGCGGCCGGCGGTATCCATGGAGCGCCGCCGACCTTTGTGAGATAATGACTCCGCGGCTCCTCGGCAACTAACAAATCACCCGCAACACCTAATACTAATGAGCTTGTCTGTGTATGTGCCATAACTCAGGTTGCCTGTTGGGATACTTAGAAACCCGGCTGCCGGTAGTTAAGCATGACAGGAGGGAACAGTAAAGTTATTCAGCAATTATAAGTTCATTCACACGTGTTCTATCGTGTGTCAAAGTTGTGCAGCGGTAATATTCCGGACTGCTGCTCACCCATCAACTAGCGTGCATAGCATGTACGGCTCAGCAAGCGCGCGATGCTGCGGTGCTGCGTTGCACGCTTCGCCAAGTACGTTATTTAGCATATGTTAATGCCTTGCCTGTAGAGGTACCGGTACACGCCATCACTGTAAACACGTAACATTTTCCCGCTGTCCCAGCTTGCTTATATAGCTAACCTGCAACGTGCAGCTTTTACAGAGTTTTCATGCAAGGTAAACTAGAAGAAACCACAGACCCGACAGCTGGCTGCTGGTTCACGGCGACACATGAAGCGCACAAGAGAAGAAGGGGCGTGTCCGCACACGAACTCTGATACCACTGCCGTAGATTTCGGTAACTTGCTGATCCGTCTAGAGCGGGGGCAGGATGCTCCGCAGGTTTGTCATGGGTCCGTCAAATGGGGCCGTGGGTTGCAAGAAATTGCGTCCGTTCCTATAGTTGCTGCATTCCCTATGCGAGTAACGCGTAAATACCCGCAACTTGTTGCAAACGCCGTCTTTGGTTGTGACCACGGGGTCCTAACCGCCGCGGCCAACCGCCATGGCATGCTGCCTTGCCACGCAGGGTGTTGGACCCCCCATCGGCGCTTCCCATGCATGTTGCGGCTGCGGCCAGTACATGGCCACAGGGGGATCGCTGTCATGTATCAGTGGAGACAACGCCTTGCGTGGCTGTGCTTGCGGTGAGTGTCCTGGAGGATGCCTCGATGGTTTGACCCGTTGACTCGGACCAGGACTTACCGAAATCGCAAGCTTTGCGAACAGACCCTGAGGGTTTCCCTGCCTGCCTGCCTGCCTGCCTTGCCGGCTTCCGCGCCTCTCAGGTTCCATGCTGCTGGTGGATGTGGCGCGCTGCGAGCTGTACTGCTGCGGCTGCCGGGACTACGTCTACCTGCCGGCCTTCGATGAGGGTCGTCAGGTGGGGCCGAGCAGCAGCAGCGGGGGCTCCTGGGGATAGGAGGATCCTGGACGTGGAAGGTACTTGGGGCCTCCTCCTGTGTGTACGACAGGCACCCTCCGGTAGCACCTTACGGCCAGCAGCTCCCTCTGAACTTTGAAATCTGGATCCTTTTGTAGCGCTACCTTGACCTACCGCAGCACCTCCTGCTGTGTCACGGCCCAACCCACTGACGCACAAACCGAAACGTTGATCATACACCATTGGCCAGTATTCTTAACACGCCATCCGCATCCCCACCCCGCACCTCATCCCGCAGCTAGCCCACGTGGTGAAGCGCTACGTGGACCGCGGCCTGAGCCCCGGGCTGCCGCAGCACGACCCGGGGCGCGAGGTGCAGTGCAAGCGCGCCCGTGCCGCCACGGAGCCGGCTCTAGCGGCGCTGCGGGCGGAGCTGGCGGCAGCAGCAGCCGGGGCGGGGGCACATGGCGGGGCGGGCAGGCCTGCCTGGGGTGCAGACGAGGGCGGCTGCAGCACTGCACGCGCGGTGAGCATGAGGGCAGGCATGATGCGGCGGGAGGGTGCATGTTTGCGAACTGGCAGTATACCTGTTGCTGCCCCCCATGCTGGCCACGTCTTGCGGAAGTTTGGAAGAAGAGCAGTGCAATGTGTCCAAAGCTGCTGTCCCCCCACCATGTGAGTGGTCCCTCCACTGTGCTCCCCCAGGAGCGGAGCCGCGCAGCAGCAGCCTCCTCGCAGCAGCCGGGCGGCACCTCCTCCTGCTGCTGCGCCTCCCCCTGCGCTCCGGACGGTTTCCCCGCGGGCCTGCGCGGCCTGAACAACCTGGGCAACACCTGCTTCATGAACAGCGTGCTGCAGGTGTGTTAAGAAAACTGGCTGGTGTGTGTGGGGGGGGGGTCAAGAAAGGTCAAACCATAGGGAATCACGAATGAGGGCAAAACAATGGGGGCAGGTGGAGGGGGGGTGGCAGGGCGGCTGTGGGGTCGGCAGTGGCGGTGGCGGTGGCAGGGGGAGGACGCGAGCACATGACACGCGACACGCATGGGGAAGGGCATACGGCGTGCTTAAAATACACCCACGCGTGCCGTGCCATGCCAGCCCTGAAGTCGGGTACCGGTAGCAGTCGCTGAGATCGCCGTTTGGGGCTGTACGATGCCCCTCCCCACACATTCTAAGCATGGCTGTTGGCTGCCCTCCTCCCGGTGTGCTGCTGCCGCTGCTGCTGCCGGTCGCAGGTGTTCATCCACTCGCCTCTGCTGCGGAACTACTTCCTGGGTCAGGGCCACACGCACGGCGCATGCGGGCAGGGGCAGCACGCGGGGGCGGGAGGCAAGCCCTGCCTGTCCTGCGAGTTGGTGGGTGGGGCCGGGTTGGGACGGGTGGGGTGGGGGCAGCCCTTGATGCCCATGCTCATCCTGTCTGGGGGAGCACACATGCAGGAGCGTGTCCTGCTGCCATCATGCTGCGAGTAGTGCAGCATCGCTGCGATGAAGCATAGTCGTTTTACGACACCCCCGCCCACCTCCCCCCCCCCCCCCAGGACGCCGTGTTCGCCGCCGCCTACTCGGGTGAGCGGGCGCCGCTCAGCCCCACCGACTTCCTCTACTCCTGGTGGACATTCGCGGACAGCCTGGCAGGTGCGAAGGGCTGGAGCGGGCGGCTGGGGCTTGAAGGGTGCTGAGGTTAAGGCTACTGGGAAGGGAGCGAAAAAGGCGGTTAATGCCAGCGCAGAAGACCTGTACTCGCATCTCAGAATATGTACTTAGAAGCGCCCTTTCCCTCCATGCCCCCCTCCCCCCACCAGGCTACCAGCAGCAGGACGCGCACGAGTTCTACCTGTCAGCGCTGTCGGGCCTCATGTCGGCAGTCATAGCGCCGCCCGCCGACCCGCCGCGGGGGCGGTCCGCCGGCGCCGCCACCGCCGGCAGGGGCGTCAAGCCGGAGGGCGGCCCCCCGGGTGCGGTTGCGAAGGAGGAGCCGGAGAGGGGCGACAGCCCGGTGGGCCCCGGCAGCGGCGGTGCTGCTGCGGCGGCGGGGGGCTCGGTGTCGCCTGCTCGGTGGGTGGTGGCGGGGGAGAGGCGGCAGGGTGCGGGGCAGGGCGTGGTAGCGGCCGGTAGCTTAGCTGGGCGGGGTGGGGGGGCATGGGTGGGGTGCTTGGGTGAAGTCATGCATGCTGCTGCTCGTCCGTGCTGCATCTTCATCATCCTTATCATGGCTGCTGCGCACCAGCTGGGGCTCCGGCTTGCAGCGGGAGGGGAACAAAGCCAGCCTGGGGCCCACTTCACATGGAGCTCGGCACTCCCCCCCTAACACCCCTCCCTCAACACACCCATTCCCTGTCTTTCCCATTCCCTACTGGCACCCGCCTGGCCCCACGGAGCAGCTCTGCGGCGGCAGGCGAGGCCGGCAGCAGTCCAGCCGGTGCGGGGGCTGCTGCTGCTGCAGGCCCCGCAGCGGGCTCCGGCAGCGGCGCCAGCAGCGGCGCCCCCAGCCGGCCGCTGAGCCTGGTGGACTGCGTGTTCGGGGGGGTGCTGCGCAGCGACGTGACGTGCAGCGAGTGCGGCCACACCTCCACCGCGTACGACCCCTTCCTGGACATATCCCTGGACATGGTAGGAAGGGGGGGGGGTGGGAAGGGGGCTAGGTTGGGTGGGTGCGGCTAGGGGTGGGGTGGGGGGCAGACAGACATTGCCTGCCGAGTGGGGTAGATGGTGTATCTTCAGTTCCCCACCCGACCCGCACCCCACACCTGCACCCTGCCCTCTGCAGGTCGCCTTCGGCGCTCCCCCGCCCCGTCATGCCGCCACCCTCATCCCCAGCAGCGCCGACCCCGCCGCCTCCGAGCTCACCCCCGCCGCCTCCCCCACCGCGGAGGACCGACACACAGGCGGCTCGGCACTGGCACTGGGGGGCGCCGGCGGCGGCGGTGGTGGAGGTGACACCGAGGCCGAGGGCACCACCACGGGTAACACCACCCTGCTCCCGCCGGGCCGAGGGCGGCACCCTGGCAAGGCGGCTGCCCGCCCCTCCGCCTCCGCATGCGACCCCTCCTCGCAGTCCGTGTCTCTGGCCTCGCAGTCGCGCTCGCCCTCCGAGTCGGTGATGCCGGGTGCTGGCACCACAACGGGGGCGGAGGGGGTGGGCGAGGGCGCGTGTCCCTCGCCCTCCACCGGCAGCGGCAGCGGGCCGTGCGATGAGATGCTACAGGAGACGGCGGAGGGGAACCAGATTGTGCTGGTGGGTGGGTGGGTGTGAGTGGGTGGGTGTGGGTGGGGTGCTTGTGTTTGTAACGCACCATGCGGGGTGTGGGGCGAGCGGGTGGCATGACCGACATGACGGGGGGTTTTAACTGTTAGCCTGTCTGACGCACAAAGTGAACCTTCATGCCGTGAACGTGACCCCGTGACTGAAACACGCGTGGCGTGAAGCAGAGCAGCCATGGCGTGTCGTGTCTCGTGTGTGTTGCACCACCACGGCCAGCCGCGTGCGGCGGCATACGGACACCATGACACCGGGTATGCCATCGCACACTTGCGACCTGCTCCCAGACTTCCTCCTCTCCTCCTCCCTCCTTCTTCTTTGCTTCACTTCTCATTTACTTTTCCTGCCTCCAGGGCTCCTCCTCCGCTTCCGAGGAGGACGGCGGCGCTGCTGAGGGCAGAGCGGCGGAAGACGGCAAGCAGGGTGCAACGGAGGAGGAGGAACCCGAAGAGGAGGCAGCACCACCACCTGACATGGCGGGGTACCCCGACTCGGATGCCCCGGATGCCGCTGCCGGGGCGGAAGGCGCAGCAGCCCGCCAGACAAGAGGTGTGGGTCGGCGCCGTGGCGTGGGTCGGCCGCCTGTGCTGAGGGCAGCAGCAGCGACATGCAACGGTGTAGACCGGGCTGCTGCTGCTGCTGCTGCTGCTAACGAACATGCAGGCGCCGCTGCTGCCGCCGCCGCCACGGCGGCTGGCGCAGCCGCCGCTCGTACGACAAGTGACTCTGTAGCTGCAGCGGAGAGCGCCGCGGAGGGCGGCTGCCTGCTGGAGGGCCCTCCCAGCCCCTCCACCTGCGGCGGCTCACCGCGCACCTTGTCGCGCCAGCCTAGCGTGGTGGACTTGGTGGCGGCGGAGGCGGCGGAGGCGGAGGGGACACCTGGTGCCGCAGACATGCTTGACGTTAACGGAGGCGGTCCCGGCAGCCGCGGGGTCACTCCAGGTGCCAGCGCGTCTTGCGCGGAGGAGACCAACACCACCACGGCGGCGGGGGCGACTGCGGATCGAGATGAGGACTCGGAGATGCCGCCGCCGCCGCCTCGACCGCTGGCGGCGGGAGAGGAGGGCGCGGGTGCCGCCGCCGCTGCTGCAGCTGCTGCTCCCTCCTCCGGACCGGGGAGAGGCGGCGGGGCAGCGGGAGGAGCCTTTCGGCCGCCCCGGGGGCGGGGCCGGGGCGGGGGTCGGGGTCGCCGGGGGGGGTACGGGGGGCGGGGCGGTGGTGGTGGCAGGGGCGGAGGCGGTGGGGGGGCGGCGGTGCCGCAGATGGGGCAGGCGGGGGCGTCCCCGGGGCAGATGGTGGATGCCCGGCTGGCTCGGCGGTCGGGAGCGGAGGCGGAGGGGGGCGGCAGCTCGGCGCAGGTGAGGGGGTGGGGTGGGGTCGCGGTGTCGTGCAGGTGCGCAGGTGTGTCTCTTGCGGAGATACGGAAATACGTTACGGACACTGCTACCACCGTATTTGGAGGCTGCATGTCTCACCCGTACAACGCATAACATCCTCGGTTCCCCGCCCCGCTCCCCGCTCTGCAGGCCGCCACCGCCGCTGCTGCCAGCGCGGGTTTCGCCACGTTGCAGGGCTGCCTGCGCCACTTCGTCACCCCCGAGCGCCTGTCCGCCTCGGAAGCCTCCTGGGTGTGCAGCTCCTGCCAGCGCCGCCAGCCCGCCATCAAGCAGCTCTCCATTCGCCGCCTGCCGCCCGTGCTGGCCCTGCATGTCAAGAGGTTCGAGCACCGACACCACCACCACCACCACCATCAACACCACCGGCTGATGCAGCAGGGGGGCGGGGGGCCGGTGCAGGCGGCGCTGGGCGGTGGGGGCGGGCTGGCGGCGGGGGCGCACGAGGGCAGTGGGGGCGGGGCGGGAGGTGGGGCCTCGCGACCGGGGCGGCATGCGGCTCGGAAGATCCAGGTAGGCGGGTGGGGCGGTGGTGGGACTGGTAGGGGCGGGGGGTACTCTGTACACACGCTGATCAACGGTGGCTCATCCGTGCCTGTCTACCTGTGTGCATGTGCCCCCCCCCCAACGCATTCCTCCTCGCCCCTCGCAGACCCAGCTGCATTTCCCGCTGTCCCTGGACTTCGGGCCCTACACCACACCGGCGGTCCTTCGAGAAAGGTACGGTCAGACGCGGCATATCATTCCTGCTGCGCACGTGGGTTGGCGAGAGTGGTTGGCAATAGAGCAGTTGTAGGGGCTCCGCTGACGTGTAGGAGACACCGCTAGCATACTAGCATGGCTGCTTCACTTCCCGCGTTAGCTCCCTCGCTCGCTGTCGCAGGTACGGCATGGGGCCCGACCCGGCGACCACCAGCGCTCCGGACGCGCCCATCAAGCCCGACCCGGATGCTCCATCCTCCTCCGCCACCGCCGCCCCTCACAGCAGCGGATCCAGCCACTGCCTCCCGCCGCCCCCCAGCTGCTGCTACCAGCTCTTCGCCGTCATTAGCCACAAGGGGGACCTGTCGGGGGGACACTACGTGGTGTTCGTGCGGCCGGGCGGGGGCGGAGGCGGGGCCGGGGGCGGCTGCTGGTACCAGTGCGATGACGCCTGGGTGACGGCGGTGACGGAGGAGGATGTGCGGGCGTGCCAGGCCTACATGCTGTTCTACAGCGCGCAATAGCAGGGGTAGGGGGGTTTTCCGGGGGGAAGGGACATCGTCTGCTTGCATGTTGTGTGTCATGCGAGGGATGCTGTTGGGTTTAATTAGGGATATGGGATAAGATGTGTAGCCCAGGTAGCTAGCCCGGGGAGTGGTGGGAGTAGGTAGCGCCCTAGTTATGGTGCGTCTGTCTGTTTGTGTGTATTGTGAACGCCACACCCGGCGGGTAGTAGTAGCGGCGCGGTGCAGGAGTTTATCGTGAGTCGAGTGTTTGGTGCCGTAATGTTTAATCAATGTATATGTGCGGTGTATGACGGTTTAGGTGTCGTGCCGTTGTGGTTACTCGCCTGTTGCATGCCGTATGGCATACACTGATGCAGTGCCAGTGCAGCTCAGAGCCAGGTATACCGGCACCTGCATTGCTACCAACAGCTGCATGCAAGGACGTGTGCCATCGTGGCAATGGCTGGGAGCTGGTGTCTCTCTGTCTGGGGGTTCACGGATCCACAGGCGTCAACATTGGCTTATACCTAGGCTGTGGCGGTGATGGTGGTTAATGCGGCGGTGGAGATGTTATATTGCATGATACCGGTACCAGTAATGTACGGAAGTCGATGAGCCGCCGGTGCAGCTAGGACAGGGCGTTGGTGACGTTGCTGCATGCAGCGGGTGTTTGTCCACCTGTCCACATGCCTCACAGAATGCCGTGCAACACATCACAGTCGGAAGGTATGAGGGGGGCGGCACAGCGACACAACTGCACGGCGCTTGGTCGCTTGCATGGCAGAGGAGGAGGAGGAGGTGCATGAGCTACCGTTTGTGTTTGGTGATGGGCAATACCAAATGCATGACACCTTGAACGAAACAACGTCGTACAACATGAGAATAAAGATACGACAGCAATGAATGCACTGCGAATCAGCTGGATGCATAACGAAACAGCCGAGACGAAAGAGGCCATGCACCCGTTTTCGAGCAGAGTCGCCATCACAGCGCAATGCAACACCTCGCTGACATGACCACCCACCCACTGCTGCTGCTCTTAACACGGCTCCAATGCTTCTCATGCTTCACAGCGAGAGCCAAGAGCTTCATGTCATGCCCGCAACCCCTCATTGGGACCCCTCATGCCTGCCTGCCTTCCACCACCGCACGAACCGCAAGCGCCAGCCGCCTCATCCCCTCGTCCAGCACCTCGGGGCTCACTCCCGCAAACGACAGCCGCAGGTAGGGGCTGCGCGGCTTGTCACCCCCCTTGTCACCCGCCGCCTCCTCCTGATCCTTGCTGCCGCCGCCACTGCTGTCGCCCCCCACACCGCCCCCCACATCGCCCACCTCCGCGTCCGCCCCCCTGCCCCCGGCTGCGAACACGCCCCCCGGCAGCACAGCAACCCGGGCCGCCACCAACTGGTCCAGGATGGCGCCCACGTCGGGAACATCTGGGGGGGGAGGAGGGGAAAAGAAGGATACCCAATGTGCTGAATTAGAATGGCAAACAAGACAGGTCGGGGAGGGGGCATGCCGGGCGGGGGAGGAGGTGGGAGAGCAGTATTCATGGGGTTATTAGCAGCAGGGGGAAGTGGTTGGCATACACCTACAACACACCTGTTCGCAACCCGTTGTTGGCTGCTTCCGCCCTCCACTCCCCACCTACCACTCCCCTTCCCTCCCCCCTCACCCCTTAGTTTGATCCACATGAACATGCCCGCCTGCACCGGGCACCACTCCGCCAGGCCGGACAGGTGCCGCCGGGCAGCCTGCTCGGCGGCGGCGGCGCGGGAGGCGTACAGCGCCTGGGGGAGGGGGGGGGACGTGCGAACGGGGCGGGGCGGGAGTGGGTATGGGTGGGGTTGAGTCGTCTAGGAGAGAGGTCTGACGGGCCTGAGGGCCCCTCGGGCACGTCACCGCACCCGTGTCCGCATCGCTGTCCGCACCCGTGTCTGCATCGCTGCCCCACTGTTGCAGAGCCCGTGTGTGCCGCCCTCTGTGTGTGCTACGATAGGCTCCCCATGCGCACCTCCCACCGCACCCCACACCCCGCCCCACCTGCAGTTGTCGCAGGTAGGCATCGAAGCCGCTGCGACCCCACTGCTGCAGCAGCTGAGTCAGCAGCACCTGGCAGGAGGGGGGCGGGTGTGGGAGCCGTCTCTTGGCAACCTTCTAGGCAATTACCGACAGGAGGAGAGGCAGAGGCGCAACGACCACAAACCCCGTCCAGCACTGCAGCGCTGTGGGAGCCCCGGCCGCCGCTATCCCTCCCTCACCTTCCCCTCCCTCCTTCCCCTCCACCCCTCCCGCACCCCCCCCCCAAACACCTGTGTGAGGTCCCACAGGTCGTCACACAGCTCATTAGTTTCCTCTTTTCCCCCACCTGTGTGACACTGCTCCCCCCCCACCTGTGTTACGCTGCATGGCCCCACGGTGCTCCCCATCACCCAGTTGGCCAGCTTGGACACCAGCGGCTGCGGGGCGGTCAGCCAACCCAGTCGGTAGCCGGGACCCTGGGGGAGGAGGGGCAGGGAAGGTGGGGGGGAGGGAGGCGAGAAAAGACAAGTTACCACCCAAGCCGGCCATGCGGTGAATGACAGTGGCAGCGCTAGGGCGAAAGCGAGGTAGTAGAGCCGTGGGAGCGGAGAACGGAGAAGGACAGGGCGTGCGGGCAGCAGGCCGCAGCCCTCACGCCGGGCGGAGAGGGCGGCGTGGAAAGCTGACCACCCGGATTGCAATAGGCGTCGCAAAGCAAACCGCGTTGCAGCGACCCGCATTCACGCCCCCCCCCCTACAACACCCCTCTAGTCTCCCCTGCCCTTATCCAGCCCCCATCCAGTTCCCAACCCCCCACCCCACCCCACCCCACCAGCAGTTTTGAAAAGGTGTCAATGCGTATCACCCGCCCCTCCCGGTCCAGTGACAGCATGCTGCGGGGCAGGGCTGCCAGACCACCCGCTCCCGCTGCTGGCCCTTGCAGCTCCTCTCCCTCCGCTGCCCCCTCTGCTGCCCCCGCTCCCTCCGCGGCCCCCCCAGCAGTTGGGTAGCTGAGCCACCAGTAGGCGTCGTCCTCCAACACCAACAGGTCCGCAGCGGAGCACACCTGAGGGGGGGGTGGTTGTGGGGTGGGGTGGGGGGAAGGGGGGGGGTGCGGGTGGTCGTGGGGTGGGGTGGAGGAAAGGATGGAAGGGAAGGGCACGGGTGGCGTGTACGGCGCTTAAGACCGGTACCCTCGGAGCACACATACCGCTGGGGGGCGCTGGGTAGGGCAGCAGCAGCAGCAGCACCACCTCCCCCCTCCCAGTTCCCCCACCCCACCCCACCTCCAATATGCGCCGCTTCCTCTCCTCGCTCATGGTCACTCCCGTGGGGTTATGTCCCGTGGGGATGCAGTACAGCAGCCGCGGCCGCCGGCACCGACCCGCCGCCGCCGCCCGCTCCGCCGCCGCCAGCTGCTGCTGCAGGTGGGAGGGGTCCAGCCCGCCGGCGTCTGAGCGCACGGGCAGCAGACGCAGGCCGCGGGGCAGGAAGACACACTCCAGAGCGTGTGTGTATGTGTACTCGTCCTGGTTGGGGGGGGGGGAGGTGGGGGGTGTAGAGAGGGAACAACTAACAATCCGTGCGGTTTGGGTTGGGGGGGGGGGGTAAAGGGGCGGGCAGGCTGAAGCAATTAGGACGAGGGGGCGACGAGGACGAGGACGATGACGCGTGATGTCATCAGTGCGCTAGGGCTGACCAGGATACGATGGGTCCAACCATGACCCCTAATCACCACCCGCCCTCCCCTCACTATCAATCCACACATGGTTTTCCTTCTTCTCCCGCCCCACCCCCCCCTCACCAGCACCAGAGTGTCCCCCGGGTCGGTGAGGCAGCTGATGACCGCATTGATGGCGTGGATGGCGCCGCAGGTGAGAACCAGGTCGCAGCGGGGGGCAGGAGCAGGGGGAGGAGGAGGGGGGGGAGGAGAGGAAGCAAGGGGAGGGGCAGGAGGGGCAGCAGGTGGGGAGGTGCTGCTGGCTGGGGGGTGTCCTCCAGCTGGAGGCTGCGGGAGGGAGGTGGGTGCGGGGAGTGCTGCTCCCTGCACTGCCCCCTCCTCCTCCACTGCCACCACCCCCTCCACCGCCACCCCGGGGTGCAGCTGCGCCGTGAGGCCCCGCAGCCAGGTCAGCAGCGGGGTGTGGCCCTGCGGGTTGAAGTTGTACTGCTGGGCTTGGTGGATCTGATTGGGGGGTGGGGGGTGGTAAGGGAGGACAGGGGGGTGACAGGGGTGACAAGTGGGGTGACAGGGGTTCATACAGGAGTGAGGGAGGGGAGGGAAGGACGAGATGGGCAGCCGCACAGGTGGAGGGAGAGGGAGAGGGGTGCGGCTGGTGTGCCGTGTCGGTCCCGGACACGGCGGTGCCTTCCTCATGTTGCACGCTCAGGTTGCAGCTTGCAGCTTGCAAGCAAGCCAAACCTCCTGCTCCACCTGCTCACCAGCTCCTGTTGCTCCCCCAGCCTGACCTCCATCCCGCCATGTGTCAGGGCGGTCAGGGAGGATAGCGGGAAGGCCTCAGCGGGGGGCAACCCGCCCGCCAACCGTACGACATCGTTCAGACCGGAAAAGCGGTGGATAAGGCCTGTAGAGGGAACGGGCAGAGGACAATTGGTCCAGGTAAGTCTTTAAGCATTGTCGAGCAAACGCGCTAGTCGCCCGGCAATTTGAGTGCGGATCCGGAGCCCGATGCTGGTGACGACATGTGTTGCAATGCCCGGTACTAACCAGCTAAGGACGCAGTCTTGAAACGGCGTGCCTCCGCGCTCCAAAAGCGGTCATAGTCCATATTTGTATGTAACTGCGATGCGCCGGTCCCAGGGTGCCTGCCACGTCGGCGTGCGACCTGAGATACCGGTCTGCGGTTTGCAAAAACCAAGGAGGAGCAGCTAGATCACCGATCCGATTTAAATAGATACATCTACGTTTCGCCTATTGTTGCATAGAACGTCTTAGCAGGAACGGTAGCAGTGCCCGACGTCGTATACCGAACAGAAAGGCGTCAGCTCCTCCTAAGAACTATGCCGCTGACTTCAGCTTACAATATTATGCCGTGGCAGATTGCCATTTGACTATGTGTTACTTACTTCGAATTGCGTTCACTGCAACTTTCCAACTTCTACTTGACAATGACAGACGAGTCGACTTGCTGCTTTAATCGTTACTAGACTAGCTTTGACTGCTCATGTTAGCTGAACCAGTCTGAAATAGCTGTTGCGGACAGTCCGCAGCAGGCTAGTTCCTCATCCCAGACGCTAAAGCATGCCTAGCAGCGTCCGCAGCTCGCGAAGCTCGATCAAAGCCGATGACGAATTCGTGCAGCTCGGACCTGGAATGGGAGGCCTGCACCAAGTCCACAGCCACCGCTCCAGCAGCGGCAACAACGCGGGCGTGCTAGCCCTCGACCTGCCGCCCACCCGAACAATGCACTCCTCCTCCACCTCACGCTCCCCCGGCAAGCTGGAACACGCCACGCGCTCTCAGGTTAGTCCGTCGATACTGGACCAGCGCGAGGATGAGATGGATGCGCTGCTTGCAGCCGGCAAGCCTGCTGTCTCTCCTGAGTCCTGACCTACCACCGCTCCTCGTCCTTGCGCCTCGGATCGCACCCTTCCCCTCCCTCCCTCTCTTCTCTTCCCTCTCACCACATAGTTCCTCTTCTCCCTTTCCCTCTCGCTCCCTCCCTCCCTCCCCCTCTCCACAGCTCTTCGGCGTGCTCTCCCTGCTGGCCACCGCATTCCTCTGGGGCTCCTACAGCCCCGTCCTCAAGTTCCTCTTCACCTCCCCCCACCCGCCCAGCGCCGCCCTCATGACCGCCTGCCAGTCCCTGCTGGCGGCGGTCCTGCTGCTGGCCTCCGCATCCCTGGGAGGCGGCTGGGGCGGCGGCTCAGCCTCGGCCCTGAGGGGCGGCGTGCGGCTGGGCAGCAGCGGTGGTAGTGGGCCGAGTGGAGTGGCAGCAGCAGCGGTGGCGGGGGCGGGCAGCAGGCTGGCTGCTTGGTGGCGGGGTGCATGTCGGCAGGGGCTGGGGGCGGCAGTTCGGGAGGTGCTGCAGCGGGCGGGCAGCGGCCTGGGCGGCAGGCTGGGGCTGCGGGCGGGTGCGGGGTGGGGCAGGCGGCGGCAGCGCGAGCCGCTGTTCCCGCCCCGCCAGCCGCTCTACTCCAGCCCGCACCCGCACACGCACTTGCATGGCGCGTCTGCAGCAGCAGCAGCAGGAGGAGGGTTATCAAGCGACGGCAGTGGCAGTGACGGCAGCGGGCAGCACCACTCGCACCGCCTGTCAGTGAGCCAGCAGGGCCACCTGTCCCCGGCAGCAACAGCAGGGGCCCCCCTCAGCGGTGACCCCGACACCCCACCCGGTGACGCCAACGTGGATCAGGGGCCCGCAGCAGCAGACCACCACCACCACCACGGAAGCGGTGTCCGGGGCGGCAGTGGCGGGGGATGTGTGGAGTCCGCCCTAGGCAGTGCCCTGGGCGCCGGGTGCAGTCCGGGTAGGCAGCTCGGCGGTGGGGCGGTGGCGGCGGCGTACGCCCGCTCGGGGCGCGTAGCAGGAGCAGGTGGAGGAGCAGGTGGAGGCGGCGGAGGTGGTCACCTGCTGACCCGGCCGCTGAGCAGTCTGGCGGCTGCGGGGCTGGAGCTGGGAGCATACAACTTCTTTGCGGTGCGGGGGGGGGGGAGGGCGGGGGGCGGGGTAGCGGGAGGCTTGGGACGAGGGGGGTGGAGAGCAGCGGACGTGGGGTAAGGGCTCCCTGTTGTACTTGGCTCCCCGCTTCTTCGCTCCCCCTTGCTGCCGCACTGCCTTCTCCCCATCCCTCCACCTCCACCTCCACCTCCCCTGCCCTCCCCCTCCCCCCCATTGACAGGTCGCCCTGGGCACCTGGGGGGTGCAGCGCATCAGCGCCACCAAGGTCGCCTTCCTGGGCCAGGCAACCAGCCTCATCACCCCGCTGCTGCTGGCGGCAAGCGGGCAGCGGGTGGCGCCGGTGGTGTGGGCGGCATGCGGGGCGGGGGCGCTGGGGGGGGTCATGGTGGCGGCGGACGGGGCGCAGCAGCAGCAGGGGGAGGCGGTGGCGGCAGGAGGAGCGGTGTCCCAGGGGCAGCAGGGGCAGGGGCAGGTGTCCCGGGCAATGCGGTTGGAGAGTGCGGTGGAGGGCGGTGGTGGTGGGGGTCTAGGCGGTGGTGGTGGTGGGGCGGGGGCGGCGGCGCTGCCCCCCGGGCTGCATGCGGCTGCTGCCTCGGGGCTGCCGCCGGCGCTGTCGGCTGAGAGCATGGGCGCAAACTACGTGCTGGCCAGGTGAGTGTGGGGGTGCCGGGTGCGGGGGGTTGTCGATGGATGGGTGGGGCTCACGCAGCATTTACCCCCCCCCCCCCACCGTGCGTTCCAAGTACCGAGTTGCGTCTCTTCTGCCGTGGTTTGCCTCCCCTGCTCCTACTCACGACGACGGACGCGCACCCCTCACCCCCACCCACCCAGCTGTGTGTTTTACGCGCTGGGCACGGTTCGCATGGGTGTGCACAGCGCGCGCTTCCCGCCCCTGGCGCTGGCGGCGGCCAGTGCGGTGGCGTACGCGGCGCTGGCGGTGCTGTGGCTGCTGGCGGAGGTGGCAGGTGGGGGGGGGTGGCGGGTGGCAGGGGGTGCAGCAGAAACAAGGAGTGATGAAGGGTGTGCTTCCTTCGTGGCATGCGGCATGCGGCATGCAGCCAGGTCGCTTCACATTCGGCCGTATACCCCCCGTGCATCCATGCAGCCAGCATCCGAGCCTCCCCAGCACCCCCCCTTGTCCCCCTCCACTCCCCTCCCCTCCTCCGTCAGTGTCCCCCTCCGGAGGGCGGGCCGACTACGCGGCTGCTGCGGGGCTGCTGCTGCGCGACCCGGCTGCCCTGGCGCTGCTGCTGTGGGCGGGAGCGGGCCCCGGGGCGCTGTCCAGCTACCTGCAGGCACTGGGGCAGCGCATCGTGCCCGCGGCGCAGGCGCAGGTGGGTCGGAGGGAGGAGGGGAGGGAGAGGAGGAGGGCCCTGCGTGGGGGAGGGATGAGGGGGTGCTGGGGGCTGGAGGATGCATGCAGGGTAGCTGAAGCTAGGGTAACAGCACCACGTGCACAGAACCCCGTTACCCGCAGCTGCACCTCTGCGTAACCCACCTCTCCCGCTTTCCCCCTCCCCCCCTTCCGCACCCCCTCCTTCCCCCCTTGCAGATGCTGTACAGCAGCACCCCTCTGTGGTCCGCGCTGATCGCCCAGCTGCTGCTGCGGGGTCAGGACGGCGCCATGGGTGCGCTGGCCTGGCTGGGCGGGGGGGTGATGCTGGGGGCGTCGCTGATGGCGTCGGTGCTGGATGCGAGGGGGGCGGGGGCGGGGGTGGGGGGGAGCAGGGCGGGGGCCGGGAAGGGTGGGAGCGGGGGGGTGGGGGTGGCGGGTGCGGGAGGAGGAGCGGGGGCGGCGGAGCGGGGGCAGCGGGCGGGTGTGCTGCTAGGGGCGGTTGGCGGTGGGGTTACTCGGGGTGATGATGATGAGGAGGAGCGTGACTTGTGAGGTGGGGAGGTGGGGAAGGCATGTAGGGAGCAGGTGTGTGAGGCAGCAGCTGGAGGAGTGGTGGGATATGACGGGGCTAGGGGCGCGTGGTGAGGTGTGACTGGTGTTCTGGGTGGAGGGAGTGTGGAAGGCGGGACATTGGTGGCTTAGGGAGGTGTACACGGACGGCGGGGTGAGGAGTTGCTCCCACGTGGTTTCCCCCACGCAACGTGCTTCCGGAGGGTGCTCTGATGCAGCTCCTGGAGCTGCACAGCCCAGTCGAGTGGCTGCAGGAACGTGTCGGGGCTCAACCCGTACAATCCCGGTCTACACCCCCGTAAACTATCTGTGGCTAGCGGGATACAGCGAGTCGAATCTCCTATGCAGCCACAGCCCTGATAAGTGATAACAACCTGCTCAACACGTTTTTCAACATGGATACGTGTTTTGCGACCATGCGGCTTCTGCTCAAACTGCACTCAACTTGCAGAGCGGCACGTCTGGGTATGTAGACTATGTACCGTAAGCAAAGACCCTGTCAGCATCCTACCTACCTACCTACAGAGCCTGATACCGCCTACAACCGTACCTAATCCCTGCTACCTGCGGTGGGAGCCTTTGCCGTATTGTCAACAATATGAATATGGTTTGCCACAACCAACCACGTGCCAACATTAGAGCCCCCCAGGACATGCCTGCTAACATGTAATAACTAGGAGAGGGCTGCAACCCACATGTGACATGCCCGCACCTGCCGTTCGGATATACCGTATGTGCCTGTAGCGCGGCACTCCTGTTGTTGTTTTGCAGTTTTAGGCCGAGTGGGCAGCTAGGTGTGTGCCAAGACAACCTGCTGACAAAATGTAAATACCAAATGGCGACGGACCCCTTTGTACGGAAACCTGTATGGCTAACGGCTAACGGCCACTCCGTATGTTGTCCTATCAGATAGTCAGGTTCTTTGTACAACAGCGCATTTAAAAACCTGCAAACATCGTCAACATCTCACTCATTATTCACGCCCTTTCCTAACCCGCACGTGCCGGGTACGGCAAGTCAAAGCCGTACACCACTACAGCGGGCGCCTGACCACTGCTGCAGCACCGACCCATGGGCGACCCGCGGGTCACCAGCTCGTCGTCCGCATCACCATCTCCTCCTCCTCCTCCTCCGCACAGCTTGACGATCCGCTCCTTCCCACTCCGATGGCCAAGCAATGCTGCTCCGCCGCTGGGTTCTTCCTCATTCTCGGGGGCTTCCGCTGCTGCTGCTGCTTCTGCTTCTGCTGCTGCCGCTGCTGCCATGCCGTTGCCCCTTTCTTCCTCGCCACCTACCCAAGGACCACGACCCTTCTGAGCGCCACCGGAGTAGTAGCTCCCGGCAACAGCGTTGCCCGAAACCAGCAGCAGGGGCTGTACGGCAGCGCCAGAAGCAGCGGCAGCATGCTCCTGGCTTGCATGGGGCCGGGGCAGGCGGCCGCGTCCGTGATGTCGCAGGTCCGCCGGCCAGGACCCGATGATACACATCGGTGTGTCACCACCGCCGCCGCTGCCGCTGCCGCCGCCAGCGCTGTTGCGGGCGGTCCCCTGCCCTTGAGTGGGAACAGCAGCATGGCTGGGGTGGATGTGGCTGGTCGTCCTGCCCGTCCCTACGCAGCCCACCTGGCCAGCCTGCCCCCGCCGCCGCTCCGCACCATCATCACGCTTGCAGTGACCGACAGGCAGCTGCTGTTGCTGCCGCTCGGAAACAGTGCAGGGGTGCGGAAGCAAGCGGTGGTGGTGGTCCCCGCACAGCAAGGCGCTTGCAGCCGCGGCGTTGCCGGTTGGCGGCTCCGGAGGGGTCTGCCCCTGCTCCCGCTGCTCCGACGGCAGCGGCTGCGGCGGCGGCAGCGGTGTAGGGTTGGGGGTGCAGCAGATGTTGTCGTGGCAGTGCTGGGCAGCCCACCTGGAGAGAACCGCCTGGCGCCGCCGCCAGGGTGGTACGTCCAGCCCCTGGCACCTGGGGGCCGTGAGGGAAAGGGGCGGGGGGGAGGGGACCCGGTTGGGGTTGGGGCAGTCGCGGGATTGGGAGGGACAGCTGTAGGCGTCCCGCGGTTGAGCAGCGCACAAGGGAAGACAGCTACCATAGAAGACACGATTACACCATGAGAAGGCCCCCTTGTGCTTGCATGCAGACACTCCTAACAACCACTACCCTCCACTTCTCATCCGTTCACCCCACCTCACCCCACCCGCACCTGAAGTTGAGTGCCATGGCGGTGCACATGCGGCCCGCCAGTGACAGCAGCGCCTCTCGGGGACCCACCCACACCTGCAGCAGCACCAGCAGCAGCAGAAGCAGCAGGGGGCCGGGCGGGAGGGGAGCGAGGCCGCGGGGGATTAATTGTTGAACGGGAGTGCAGGGCTTCTCACTCTTGCATGCGCACGGAGAGGGGCAAGCAAGCAAGCGGCAGGGTTTGTGGACGCGACGCTGCCATGCGCGTGCGCCCACACTAACAGGTAACAGGGGACACACAAACACACAGGCTCAGCAACAGGACACGGATACCGTTGGAGCCACATGCGGTGCGGTGTAATACCCCATGCTTCCCACACTGCCCTCACTGCCCACACCCACCTCTGGCAGCGCCGCCACCTGCGCCGCGTACTCGGGAGTGGCGGGGCTCACACGGAACAGCGCCCGCAGCTGAGGCTCCACGAGCACAACCGGTGCAGCAGGGGTGGCGGTGGCAGCAGCAGCCGCAGCAGCCGCAGCGGGGTGCTCGGCTGCATGCGGGTTGTCATGCAGCGCCACCACCGCGTAGGGCTGACGGCTGCAGAAGAAGCAGCTGCCACCCCCGGCACCAGCACCAGCACCAGCAGCAGCCGCACACTGCCCGCCTCCACCGGTGCTGCGGCGACCGCACCTGACGGCGCCGCCTGGCGGGGCGGGGTGAACGAGTCGAGCTGTGAAGCCGGGACGGCGGCGGTGGCGGCGGTGGAGTGCCGTACAGAGACGCGCTAGGATGTGGGTGTTGTGGTGGTCATGTCGGTGCTGCGGGGGGGCTAGTGTGAGGTCTGCTAGCAGGGAGGAGACCTGTGGAGGGAGAGAGGAGAGACAGAGGAGAGGAGGGGAGGGCGTGCGGTCACGGCGCCTGGTTGGCTGGTGCAAGGTGAACGGTATTTAAATCGCGATGGGTAGGATGGAGGGATGGGCGACTGGCCTGTTGCAAGTGGTGTTAAGTGCAATGGGACGTCGACTGAGGTGAACAGCACGGGGATGCGTTGAGCGCGGGGTTGCAGGTGAGCGCGGATGCTGCTGCTGTTGGAGTGATGGTGGGGGTGGTGCACAGGGGTGTATCGATACATGTATCGACCATCCAGCATGCAAACGGTGTCGCCCGTTACTACTCGCCTCCTGTTGCAGCCAGCAAGCACCGGCAGCAGGTGACTCGTCCAGCCACTCGGCGAGGGAGGGTTGGCGTGCGAGGTGACAGATGGGGGGAGTCGCTGGGGTCCCTTCCAAATCCTGTACACGTATGTGCGGGGATGGTGAAGTATGAAGGAAGCAAGCAGCAGTTGTACATCAGCGAAGACCAGTGCGTCTCTGGCTGCGGCACGCAAACGGCGCGCTTACATACCGCATTCGCATTGCCGGTTGCGAAGCTGTAATCTTCAGGAGATTCGGTGTCGAATTGGAATAGAAGGTCGGATGCTTGGCTTGACATGGCGTGTGGTGCCGTCCTTGCGTTGTCGTGAGCTGTATCACTTTGGCTGCGTGCGATTGTGTGGGCAATGCAAATTGATGTAGTATAGCTTGCAAGGGTCGATTCTGTTGCATAAATGGAGATAACTTTCTGTAAGTTTTGATATGTTGATCAATGTGCCTGCCGTGTGCTAGAGCTGATCAGTTTCGTTCGGTTCCGCGTGCGCCACGCGCTGACCCGGCATCGTTCGGACACGCGTCACGAGTTGTTGTGCACGAGTTTTTGTGCACACAGCCAAATTTACTTAACCTGCTCTGCATGAGGATTTGGTGAGGTTGCGAGCTTCTCGAAATATGTGCGTCTGGACTGTTGATGGTACATTACCCATACTAACTGACGTCCCTCGTACAAACAGATGCTACTACACGATTTCGTATTCCCTTTTAAGCTCTCTTCTCTACTATACAGGGTATGTACTCACGTTTACGTAGTTAGGAAAATGCCCCTTGCTTCAACTGCCGTTGCTGCTGCCGTTCAATCGAGCGCGCGGCTGCTTACGCATCTGGTCGGGCCGGTTGTCTGAGACATTCACGCTGCGTTTTCAGGCAATGTTTACTGTATTGTTTGGATTTCAGTAGTAAACTTACGCGACGAGCGACGACCACTTCGTGGCATACCGGTACGCTCTCGAAGCGTAGCATATACAACCGGTACCTTACTAGTTGAAGCAGCAATCAGCAGCCTAACATTTATTTTTACTACTTACTGGCGTAGTTCAGCCGCAAAGACTGTGTTTGAGGCATGCGACGACAATAATGCTGCGACGCGTCAGTCCATCCTTAATCTTTACTGTCAGCAATTCGTGCGGCAAGAGCTGCAGGAGTTAACACTCGTTATAGGCATTGCTTTATCACCCCTCACAGCGTTGTGAATTCCTGTCATCCCTTACACCCACGGTTAACCGAAATTCCCAGCAAAGCAGCAACGGGAACGGAACCGCCTCGGATAACGCGCATCCACGGGTGCCGCCAAGGCCTGCAGCGCCCTCCTCGCATACCACCTCCTCATGGGGCCTTACGGGGCCCTGGGGCAACGCGGGGGGACATCCTCGTGCGAGGGGGTCATTTTGGCCTCATGGCCTCACGGGCCCCCAAACCTATGGTGCATACCCTCAACACGTATCACCCACAACATCCCAAGCGAGCCAGGCCCAATCATCCCACAAGGCCCACAGACGGGAACGTGAGCTGGGTTTAGACCGTCGTGAGACAGGTTAGTTTTACCCCACTGTTGGACCGATTCCGCCCCCAAGAGTCCAACTACTACCACCACCACCACTTGGCACTCAAGATACCTGCAACCCCCATTGTAACGCTCATGGAATCACACGAACACACAAACACGGTCGCAGCCAGTTTTCAACACACACACACAGCGCAAGCGGCACGACAAGACAGGGCCCTCTCTCATATCACCATCCACCCTTAGTGTGCATCGCAAACGGTACCGATACAAACACTACGTACAGCCCCTGGCACCCGAACGCGCATGTTCATTGCTGCTACACAGCCACCCTCCTTCACCCCTCCACATGCGGCCAACCCAAGCACCACACCTCGAGCTGGCAGCGCACGCGGGGGGGGGAGCCGGCCTGAGCTGCCAACAGCCCATTGCCAGGACAGGCAGTAAACAAGCTCACTCGGGGAATGAAAGGCTCATGACTTAACTACCGTAACTAAACGCAACAGAGGGGACAAGATTGCGAGGGCATAAAGCATGATTGCAGGTCAACAACAACAGTAGCAACAGCAAGAACAACACAAAGAACAACAGCAAGAGCAAAAGCAGCTCACGCATGTGGCATGAGCACCCAACCCCAACCCCAGCACCCAACCCTGTACGCGCACACACAAACCCCAACTCACACTCACACCGCTACAGCAGAGCTGGAAATCACGTATGTTGTATGTACGGCGGAAAGATATAAGACAGTAAACTGTGTACGTAAACTGTGTACGTGAAGGGCGAGAGAGCACACCGACGTGCCACTCATATAGGGGGGCTGGGGGAGGCAATGCATCGCCAGCCATACTACGCCCCCAGCAGACTTGCGGGCAAGCAAGTACGGGAAGCAGGCAAGGAAGCCAATAAGCAGGAAAAGACGACGTTGTCGCAAACCTCGCAGCACACGCACTGCAGTTGGTTGCTGGCCACTACATCCGACTAACCAGCCAACCCCTTTTCAGCAAAGCACCGGGTACCGGTATGCACGTAGGCAGGCCTCCTTCCCCGCCCGCCCGGCAGCTTCTTCCTCAAGTCGTCTCGGTTTACGGTAAGCAACGATTCGGTAAGTAATTTGAGATGCGTGCTTCTAGGATAGTGTCTCCGAATGCGCTCACTGCATGAGTCGGGATATGGGATTGGGACTCGTTGTTTCACTTATTTAATTTTTGCCCCCTTCCTTCCGTTCCCTTCTGCGCTTCCCTCTCTTCAAGAACGACCCCTTAGAAGGAAACAGCAGTACTCCCCCCGGTCCCTGGCGCCTCCCTCCGCGTCACGATAAAGGGCGGTACGCCCCCCCCCACCCCATCATCATCCACCATGTCATCCCCAGGTCACAACCCCTCATTCCCCAAAGTACAAGCGGGCCAGCAGCTGCTGGAACTGGTCGGCTGTGAGCGCCCCCCAGCCGCAGCTGTCAGCCTCGGTGAACACCGCCTCGGCCTCGTGGCGCTGAGGGGGGGGGGCGGAGAGAGTGGGGGGCGGAGAGGGGGGGAAGTTAGGTAAGCAGGGCGGGAGAAGGGAGGGGGGTGAAGGCGGGGCGGGGGAAGGGAAAGGGGGGTAAGCAGGGTGGGTGAGGGCAGGATAGGATCGGGGCGAGTGAGGGTAAAATGGGAGAGCAGGGCGGGAGCAGTGGGGCAAAGAGAGGCGCAGGTGGAGCTGCAGCATATGGTCCCAAGGCGTCATGTCAGCCACATGGGCCTGGCCCCCCCTCCCTCCCCCCACCTGCAGCAGCTTCTTGCCCCTGCGGCACATGGCGAACACAAACTCCTCCCGACTGATGAGTCCGTCCTGGTTCAGGTCCAACACGCTGGGGAGGGAGGGCGGAGGGAGGAACGGAGTGGACGAGTAGAGGAGAGAGGGGGTAAAGAGGGAGAAATTAGCCGGAAGGAGAGGGTGGAGAGAGGGCGGTCAAGGGGTGCAGAGGGGGTAATTGGAGAGGCACATGGGCAGGTCCGGGGGCGGCAGAGGTGGTCGGGGCATGCGGCCCGCTGCCATACTGCTACCACTGCTGCCACTGCTGTTGCAACCCCCACCCCTCCTCCTCACCACCCACACCTTCCCAACACGCCCCGGTTCCTGCTCGAAACCCAACCCCGCCCCAACCCCGCCCCTCCCTCACAGCCCACCTGAACATCTCCTCCGCCACCGGCTGTACCGGGAACAGCGCCGCCGCCGCCGCCCTGTCCCCCGCCGCCAGGGTCACCCGGCCAGGCTGGTAGAGGGGGCTCATGGCGTCCCGTGGGTCGCTGCTGTGGGGCAGACCCAGCGCGTGACCTGAGGGCAGCAGACAGGTGCGGGTACGGGCGGGTAGACAGTTACAAAGGGAGACAAAGGTATGAACGGTCGCTAACCTCCTCACCCTCCCCAACCCCCCGCCAACACCCAACCCCTCACCCTCCTCCTCCCTCCCAGATTACGAAATCCCCTGCCCACCCCATCTTACCTATCGCATGCAGCAGCACCGGTCGCAGGTAGAACCCCCCCGGCACTGCGGGCGCCGCCGCCAGCAGCCACTGCACCCCCGGGTCAAGGTGGACGGGGCCGCGGGGGGCGGTGCGGGACAGCTCCTGCCAGGGGCCGCGGGGGCTGCTGCTGCGGGTGGTGGGGTCGCGAGGGGGGGTCGAAGCCCAGGTGATGAGCAGGTCGGCCTCTGCGGCGATGGGGACCTGCGGGGGGAGGGATTAGGGGGGTGAGGGAGGGAGGGAGGGGTGAGAGGGCGGGTCACCTGGAAGGCTGTCCCCTGGTAGGGCACGCTACCCCTCAGCTGCATTGTGGCCCCCTGCAGCTTCCTATTCCCCCCCCTACTGCTTTGCCCTTATCTGTGGTCTGGTATGTTCTGGTATGGTAGTCAGTTCCTCCCTCCCTCCCTCCCTTCACACCAGCCCTCACCTCCAGAAAGCTCAGCGCCACCCCCCCAGCCGCCCACTCCGCCAGCACCCCCGCCACCTCGTCCCGCACCGCCTCCCCCGAAAGGTAGGGCGGGCAGCCGCCAGCCCACCAGCGCACAGCGGCACCCGGGGGAAAGGCGGGGGAGGCGGGGGCAGGAGGGAGGCTGGCGCCCACCTTTGGGGGCGCGAGAGAGGGCGGGAGAGGAGCAGAGGGACGCGGAGGAGCGCAGGCGTCAGTTGCTATCGAGTTGTTGTGGGCGGGTGCTTTCCCGAGTAGCCCCTCCCCCCTAACCTGGTCATCACATCTATCTCCCAACCCCACCCCCTCACCTGGTCCGGCAGGTCATCCACTCGCGGCCGCATCATGAGGCCCCGAGTGAGGGGACCCGCCTCTCCGTCCGCCTGCAGGCATGCATGGGCGTGTGGGGGGGGGATCGAATACCACATACCGAAACATAGGAGACCACAGGTTAGGGGGGGTGGAGCGATACGGGAGTGCAGTGATCATTCGCGTGGTTGATGAGGCGGAGTGGTGGGGCCTCTAAGCATGCGACCTGTTAAGCTGACAGCGGCCACCTGACCCTGATCCACCACCCCCCGGCATCTGCAGCAGCATGTCTCTTTCCTCAGCTCCCACCCGCCCGTTATCCCAGCACCACCACCACTGCCCTCCTTCCCTCCCCACCCACTTATCCTTATACTTTCCCCACCCTTCCCCGCACCCACCCACATACACACTCGCCACCCACCTCCAGCCCCAGGTAGCTCTGGAAGCCTCGCACCGCCGCCTCCGTGGCGCCCCCGAACCAGCCGGCCTCCGCCTCCACCTCCGCCTCCCCCCCAGCGCCGCCGCCTCCCCGGTACCAGCCGTAGCGAGCCAGGTAGGCCTGCAGCTGGGACACCTCGGCTGGGAGGGGGAGGAGCGGTGGGGGAAGGTTGGGAAGGTGGGGAAGGCAGCAAAGAGGCGACCATGCAAGTGATGATAGTGGTCATGATGATGACAGAGGCGATCACGATAGGCGGTAGGGGTGCGTGTGTTTGTGTGGCGGCAGCCAGCAAGGCAACACAGCGAGGCTGCGGGGGTGACCGAGGCGACAGGATAACAGCCAGCCTCGAGACAGGACAGGGCCTTATACGCCACCCACCCACCCACCCGCCTCCTCCTCCGAGTGCTCCCCCCGGTCCGCCACTCGGCGCAGCGGCAGCGAGGGGGACGCGAACAGGGGGCCCACCAGCTGGGACGGCAGGAGGGGAAGAGAGGGGAAGTGGGAGGAGGAAAGGAGGGAGGAAAAGCAAAAGCAAGTGCTACGAACCAATGATAAGCTGCAAATCCGACATTGGGGGTGATAAGGGCGTCTCCCTTCCCAAACACAAGAGGAATCCCCCAGCCCAGTTGACCCACGGGTCACCCCCGCACCTGCGGCTCCAGCTGCCCCTCCCCCAGCTCCACCTGCCTCCCGCTGAGCAGGTCCACCGCCACCACCTCCACGCGCGCCTGAGGGCGGAGTAGTAAGGAGGAGAGAGAGGGGGGTGGCGGGAAGGAGGAGGCAGGCCGCAGGGGGGAGCAGGACTGCAGGAGGCACCCCAGCCGCTGCCGTACGGCGGCTTTTGCTGTCGTACACGGCATCATCACAAGCAGCAACCCATGGGACGATACACATGCACATGTGTCACCTCTCCCCCTCCCCTCCCCCTCTTCCCCTCCCCCCCTCACCATGTGCCTGCTGAGCCCCTGCCGCCTCAGACACTCGCTCACATCCATCGAGTGCACTGCCACCGCCACCGGCACCGCATCAGGTCCGGCCGACCTGCCGCTGTCTCCCGCCTGCCCCCCCTCGGCCCCTGGTACGAGCACAGCCGCCCCGCCGTACTGCGGCAGGGCGGGGAAGTCCTCCGGGCGGGGGGGCGGGGTGAAGGTGGCGGGGGTGGTGGCGGTGGGAGAGCTGCCAGCAGCAGGCCCCCGGGGCAGCAGGAAGACGTGAAGGGCTAGGGGGCGCCCAGACAGCCTGGGTGGGGGTGTGGGGTTAGGAGGGAAAGAGGGAGGGGGTTTGAGGGAGGGGTGTGGAGGGGGGGACTGTAGAGCATCTGGGGGGTGGGGGCAGCATGATGGGCATGGGCCGGAGGGACACGTTGGCATTCCAGGTGCCATTGGAGGGAGGGGCTAGCTGGAGAGCTGGTTAGAGGCATGGAACTACTGCTGTCGATGCTGCTAGCAGATGCCCCACGCAAGCAGTACCGGCACCCGGGCGACCCGCGGGTCACCAGCCCACCACCCCTCACTCACGTGGCGGGGTTGGCCTGGAAGCGCACCAGGGTTGGGGGCTGCCCCCCCTGCTGCTGCCGGGGGTCCGGGAAGGCGGGGAGGCGGTCGTACCGGTAGCCCAGAGCCTGAGGGGGGGGTGGGTGGGAAGTGGAGGTGAGGTGGGAGGAGCGGCAGAAGATGCACCTGAGGGGGAAGTGTGCGGGGTTGGTGTGTTTAGAGGCTATGCCCAAACCCACACGCAGCCCCCCCCCCTCACTCCTCGCACCGTCGTCACCCCACTCCACCCCTAAACTTCCGTATCCCACCCTGCCCCACCTCCGTTTTGAACGTGTGTCGCGGCGTGAGGGGCTCCCCGGTGGCGGGGTGGCGGAAGGGGCGCAGCGGCTGCCGGTAGAGCCGGGAGTTGAACTCGTTCTGGCGGGGGGGGGGGACGGGGGGAGACAAAAAACACACGAGGGAGGGAGGGAATGACATACCGGTACATTACAAGGAGTAAGACCCCAGATACCAGACACCCCCCACACCCCCGATCCCTCCCCTCCCGCACCCACCCACGGAGCGTACTCCCCGCCCGCCGCATTGGGCGCCCTCCGCCCCCTCAGATGCGCCTCATACAGCCGGTCACTGCCCGCCGCCAGCAGGAACAGCAGCGGGTGGAAAGCGGCGAGTGCTGCGGGTGCTGCTGGTGGTGCCGCTGCTGCTGCTGCTGCTGCTGCGGAGGAGGAGGCGGGGGAGGAGGAGGAGGGGCCGCAGCAGCAGCCGCTGCTCAGCGGGTTGCCGCACAGCGCCAGCATGCAGGTGTGCACGCACTCCAGACTGGCGGCGGGTGCGGGTGCCGGTGCTCCGGGTGCTGCTGCGGGTGCTGCTGCTGGTGCTGTGTGCAGGCCGGGGCGGCAGCAGGCGGCGCGGCTGTGCTCCCAGGCGGTGAGGGCGGCGGCCACCTGAGCCTCCACCTGACGGGGTGGGGTGAGGGAGGAGGAGGTGAAGGAGGAGGAGGGGCGCGGGTAGGCGGCGAGCAGCGTCTAGGTGTGCGGGCAGAGGGTGCTAGGATGAGGGCCCACTCGGCCCGCCATGAGGCGCCCTCCTCACACGCCCCCTCTACCCTCCTCCTCCCACCCCCTTATGCGCCCCCGCACCTGCATGGCCCGCATGCCTGCTGCCAGCGCCCCCTCCTCAGGCAGCTGATACCCGCACCCCTCCGCCCCCGCCACCAGCGCCTCCAGCAGCACCGGCCCTCCGGAACCACCCCCCTCCGCCTGCCCCCCAGCCTGCCCCTCCGCCTGCCCCTGCACCCCCAGCTGCTGCAGCTGCTGCACCAGCGGGGCCGGCAGGGCGGCGAAGCGCTCCCGCACCACCCGCGGCAGCAGCTGCCCCGCCACAGGGCCGCGCTCCCAGCCCCAGTACGGCAGGGCGAGGTGGCCGTCGCGACCCAGGGCCCGGTCGGCAGCCTGCGGGGCGGGCAGGCAGGCAGGCAGGCAGGCGGGAGGGGAAACGCGATAGTGCCTTCTTGGGGGGTGCGTTGACGGCCCCATCCCCGTCGCCTTTGCGTGTGTGTCTTATCGATCGATCCTGCGCTGCACCCCACCTGCACCCCGCTCGCGTCTCCTGCTACCCCTTTCCCCATGTCTCCTTGAGTTTTTAACTCACCTGCAGGGTGCGCTCGAAGTCCACCAGATACCCCCTGTGCCAGCCGGGAAACGTCTCAAGGCCACGAGGGCAGTAGGACTTGTCCCAACCATGATACCCTGCGCGATGTATGGGTGCGGATTGCGGAGAAGGAAGACGTACGGCGATAGGGTGCGAGGGGGCGTGAGGGTGCAGCTGGCGTTTTGTTCGTGGCCGGGGTTGAAGGAAGACAGAGGATGTGGCAGGCATTCGAGATACCGCGCAGCAGTTTATGGCGGCAACTCAATTGGAATCGCGTCAATATGGCTGTTGCAGAAGTGTTCTCTTCAGTGCTGTCTGGGTGGTTTGGTGCTAACTGGCTCGGGAACCTGACATGTGAAAGCATCATCACCCGTGTAACTGCAGTTGCTAACATGTCAATCCCATTGTGACTAAGTACGCATTTTCAATGCGCTCAATTGGCACAACGGTTGTCACAAGGTCCTGGGCTGTTCGAATACCTACGTGCAAGTCGGAAGTACTCGGACGGCGACGCCTCATCATCGAACCCGCCAGTTTTATTGCGGGAATCCGCCGCCCACCCCGGCTCCATCATCTTCTCAATCGCGTCACATACGCGCTGCTGCTCCTCCAGTGGTAGCTCGCGAATATCACGCCGGATAACAACATCCGACGTAGGAACTGATGGGATATCGCCAAGCGGAAACGGCTTTGGTAGCCCTAGATTATTCAGCTGTTTCTCCAGGCGCTTAGCTAACGACGTCATCAGTGAGCCTCCTCGCTGCTAACCGGTGTACTCTTAAGGACATGCGTCGATTGCGCTAAGTTTTGCACCAGCTTGCTCTCCCACTCATTACAGCTAATTACAGCTTGTGGATCAGGCGTATTATATACATGATTGCCTGAGTAAGCTTGAATAAGGTGGACGTATTGTGTTAAGCCGGATACTGTATACAGCCCGTTTTGCGGGATCACTATATGCTTCTGTGCATAGGAAGCATTTTCAGCACTCGGTTTCCAGCTGTCAATGCGTGATTTACACTGACGTACCGGCGGCCGTTAAAAGGTTCGTTGCCGGTGAAAATCGGGATGGCCTGCAAACCTTCGGAATGCCCATCATGTCAAATGCCGGCAAAAAAGGAACTCCATAGACAACGACAACATGAGATACCATGACGCCACGACCGGTTAACCCCTTTGAAAGCAGTCGAACATGTCCTAGAGGACTTCAATCAACACTTGCCAAACATACGAGATGACATGCAACCTAACCGGCGTAGGAACGCCAGCCTGGCGGCCACCGCTAGTGCCATGTCCATTCCGCTGCAGAACTAAGCCCCATATCCTCACTGGGCACGCCCCTAGGCAGCGTATAGCGACTGGCTTACTACGCCTCCCTGCAACAAGTGAGAGGATGGACCGATTAGGCACCTTGACCCCAGGGGACGCGAGCCATCCCGCCATGGCCGCTCCGGACGCCGCCGCACTTGACGACTGGAGTGAGGCGGCCGCATGGGAGGCTGCAATGCAGGTGGGTGATGGCCCTGATGAGCCTGTCGGTGCACTGGAGTGCACCGCTGCCTCCCACCGGGCAGTAGTGACGGCAAAGACGGGTTGACGACAGGACGTACACCGGTCACTCTGCCGATGCTGTTGCAACCGCCTACGGCGTATGGGCCGCCAACAACGACGACGACGTGTTTGCGCAGTGGTGGGCACACGACCTCAGTGACCACCCTGTTGCTTGCTCCGTATGCACAACCTCCTTGCGATCGCATCCCATACCCCAATATCCGCGCCACCCCGCCCCCTGGCTGCCCTTGTCCCGACCCCTCTGGACCACCCCGCATCCGTACACCTAACCCTGACCCCGCTCCGCCCCCGCTCCGCCCCCGACCTCCCCCCCTTGCATGTTACATGGTCAGTTAGTGATTTCCTCTTTCCCCCCTCCCCCCGTTGCAGTCCGCCCCCCTGCCGCCCTCCGCCTCCCCCCTGCCCGCGGCTCTGGCGGGGCTGGCTGCGCTGCTTCCCGACCTGGCGCCGCGCTGGCGGGCGCTGCTGGCGGCGCGGCAGGTGGGGAAGGGGGGAAGTAATAATAGATAAATGAGAAGTGGCTGGGTGGTGCTGCCTGCTGTGTGCTAGCGGTCTCGCCTCACCTGCGTGACCCCTGACCTCCACTCCCTCCTCTGCTCCACTTCTCCTTCCCCCTTACTCCCCTCCACCCCGTCCACCTCCTCCTCCTCCCTGCTGCCCCCCTGCTGCTGCCCCCCTGCTGCTGCCCCCCTGCTGCCCCCCTGCTGCTGCTGGCGGCGTCAGGAGCTGCTGCGCATTGAAGCGGCGCTGGGGGGGACTTCAGCAGCAGCAGCAGCAGGAGGCGGAGGCGGAGGGGAAGGCGGGGCCGATTCCGCCTCCTCCTCCTCCTCCTCCCCCCTGCTGACCCCCGACGCCGCCCTGCAGCTGCTGAACCGGCTGGAGGGGCTGGCGGGGGAGCTGCGGCCGCTGGTGCCGCATGGTGGGGGAGCAGGGGGGTGGCGGGCAGGATGGCAGGGGAGGGGCGGGCAGGGGCGGAAAAGAGGAGAAGTGAAGCACTGGGGCGAATCCAGGGGGCGAGGGACCGGCTGTGCTGCTGCCTGCGGTTAGCTCGCTAGACGCAAGGGCGTACGTTCAGCCGCCGATCCTGGATGTGTGTGTCAGCCAGGAGGACCGCCCCGCCCCCAGGACGCCCGCTCGTACCGCCCCACTGCAGCTCTTCTCCCCGCTCTGCACTGCACTGCCTTCACACCTGCATCCCGGGTGCTGCTGCTGCCGCTGCTATCCGCCCGCTTTGCGCCCTCAAACCCCTTCCCCGCCTCCCCTCCTCCTCCCCGCCAGCCACCACCGCCTGCCTGCACCACTGCATCATGGTGCTGGGGCCGCTGGCCATACGCGCAAGGTGGGGCCGCACGGGGCCACACCAGCAGCAGCAGCAGCAGTCCCAACCTCAACAGCCCCCCCATGAAGAGCCCCAGCTGCAAGCCCCCCAGTCGCCCCAAACCCAGCTGCCGCTGCTCCCCCAGGGTGACGTGGCGGTGGCTGCGGGGGCGGTGCGCGTGGCACGACACAGCCTGGAGGCACACCTGGAGGCGCTGATGGAGGTGGGGAGGGGGATTTAGGATGGAATAATGGTAACAAGGTACCGGTAGAAGGGCTGTCCTCTGCGCTCTTGTGCCGTGGTCCCTCCCAATGCCCTCGACCGGTGTAAATCTTGTCATCCGGTAACAGCATCCGTTTACCACACCCGCACCCCCCTCCTTCCCTTCCCACCCCCACCCAGCTGCAAGTGCGGCTGGCTTGCCGGCTCCAGGCGGTGGCGGTGCGGCTGGTGTGGCTGAGAGAGGAGATGCCGGTAGGGGATGGGGGGAAATAAAATGATAAAAGTGCAGCAACGAGTCGCGAGGGCGGTAGGGGGTGGGGGCCGGGTTGGCAAGGGGGGTCGAGCAGAGGGCCATCTGAGGGCCGGTGACGTCATCGAAGCCGTTTGTACGTTCGTACGGCTGCTAGCTGAGACCCGCTGTGTGGCGGTGAAAGCACCCGCCCCCCTGGTGACCACTGACGCCTACCCCTCCAACTGCTAACCCCCCCCAAACACACACGCACACAGGGTACGGATGTGGGCAAGCTGGTGGCGGCCCGACTGGACCTGCTGCTGCCCGGAGAGCAGGAGGAGGAGGAGGATAGGAATAAGGAAAACTGACGAACTGTATGACGAGGCAGGGGGAGGGGGAGCAGGAGGAGGAGGAGGAGCAGGAGCAGGAGGAGGGGCAGCAGGGGCCGGACAGCTTCCCGCAGCGGAGGGATAGCGCACATGGCTAGTGGGAGCACTGGACACTGCTGCCTTGCGGGAGTGCAGCACTGGAGAAGGAGGCCTGGGCTCTGAGGTTGGGGGTATTGCGCCGTGGGGGTACCGCTCCCCCTGCAACAGCAGCCCTTCCACGCATGGACGATCCCCCATCATGCCATGGGGCCGCTGTAACTGGATGCGCCCCAATAAATAATAATTTACACGCGTGATCGCCCGTCCGGAAGTGCAAGGGTTGGGGCCTCCAGCCAACCTTCAACCATGCCTTCAGCCAGCCAGCGGTAGGGCTTTATACAAGCCCCACCTCCTGCCCCGCCTGGTCCCTCACAACTCACAAGCATTCCAGCACCGCCTTTCTGTAGCCCCCCCTCCCGGCCCCACCGTCCTGTCATTCCCTCGGGAGGAGTGGTCCATGCGACGCATTGCCACGTCGCCACAGTACGTTGCGACTCGCGGCCAGATTCCCTAACACACATGGCCACGCCACACTTCACCACACCTCCATTTCCCCCCTGAGCAGCCGCGAGGCCACTACACGGGGGCACTACTTCCGCTTCTGTCAAATGCCGCCTCACCGCACTCAGCTCCTATACATAACCAGGCGCTACACAGCCGCGCCTGCTGCGCCCTCGTATGTGCTGCGGCTGCTCCCTCCCCTCGCTGCTGCACGCCCGCTGCTGCTGCTCCTACTCCCCAGGGTGCTGCTGCTGCCCCCCGCTCATCTGAACGAGTCCACGGTAAGCCGCCAGCGCCCCTTGCGCAGCCGCCGCAGCAGCACATCGCGGCCCTGGGGGGTACTCAGCCTGGGCAGGAGAGGAGGGGAGGGTTGAGAGTTGAGGGCGCACGGGCGAGAGAAGAGGGAGGCAGGGAGGTGTGGCGGCATCTGAAGATGAAAAACGCATGCGCCATAGGGCGTCTGAAAGCAGTCAGCGCTGTAACATGTAAGGTTACATGGCCGCGACGCGCACACCCCTTTGCTTCCCCACCTCTTTTCCAGGCCGTGCTTGTTGACTCGCTTCTTGCGGCTGGGCTGGTAGGTGTTGCCGCGGTTGCCGCACTGCAGCGGCACGGCGGCACCCGGGGCGACCTCCCCCTCCGTGGAGGGCAGCTGCTGGGGGAGCTCCTGGGGTGCGGGGGCAGGGGCGGGCACTGCAACCGGGGGAGGGGGAGGCGGGGGGGAGGAGGCAGGGGATGAGAGGAAGAAAAAGAGGAAACTGACGAGCTGTATGACGAGGTGTCACCATGGATGAGAAGGGAGGGGGTGGTGTGTTGGGACGTTGGGGTGCATGGTAGCGAGAGGGTGACAGCGTGGGAGGGAGAGAAGAAGGGAGGCGGGGACATGCGACACCGTGGGAGAGCAAAAGAAGCGTGGGCCAGCTTGATATGCGGGGCGAAGCTATGGGCTGTGTCCGGAGTAAGGTTGCCCTCTGACATGTACCCATAGCGCCGTGAATTGCAACCCCTCTCGAGCCAGTGGCATCACCCCTCTGGCGGAGCGCATTTCCTCCCACCTGGCGACCGCAGCGGGATTTGTATTCCCAATCCGGATGGCGCACGGAGCGGCTCGGGCCGGGAGGGGAGGCTGTCCAGCAACTGCAGCGGCTGCTGCTGTTGCCGTTGTGCGGTTGCAAGTAACTGAGCCACGTTGAAGGAAACGATGCGGGAGTCCCACAAGCATATTGATGGCTCAATTTGCGCTGCCGGCGCGGAGCCACGCCCAAAGAATACGTCGACTGATTGGTCCGAAGCAAAGTTGCTGAGGACTTGTTTGTCTCGCAGCTGTGAGCTGGCTGGCATAAAGCTATCCACCAGAACGCGAGCTGATGTCGATACAGCATCATTGTCAAGCACTGCTGAGGCCGCCGCATTGTTTTGCGACAAAGCTACGCCTAGACTTCCTACATTAGGCTTGGTCATCTGTGGCATCCCCATCCATAGCCGTGGCAAAAGCCTGCTGCCGATCGACGTCGTCGACATTGTTCAACTCTTTCAACAAACTGCAAGCTAATTTAACAGGCCATCAGGTTCTTCGGGAAACTTGCCATCCTGGGGCTTGTTGGAAATTGACCGAGTTGATGAGTAGAGGTACGACACTCCCCATCTCTTGCGTCCCGTCTGATGACTTTGCCAACATCCTAAGACGTGCGCTTTATAAAGCATAAGCGGAAGTACAAAGTAGTAGCGGCTACACAGCACAGGCGTTAAGCCCTTGGGACGTGCCACGGTTACCCTATGCAAGCGCTCTCGACCGTCTTCAGGCGCGCCGGGCCCCTTCGGTTACCCACACACCTCACACCCCTCTCCTCACCACCAGCGTACTCGACATTAAGCACCGCCTTTAGCGCACGCTCTTTGCCAAGCGTTAGCGCACTTAAGTCCTCAACCCGTGCCCTTCCCGCTAGTCGCGGCCACGCCGGCTCAGCTGCGGGCTCCTCGCCCCTTCCCTGGAGCCTCTTCCCTCGGCCCCTCTGCAGCAGCTCCGCCGCCCCGGAGTCAGCCGGGCACCGCAGCAGGCGGGTCCCGGCTCGCCCGCAGGCATCCATGGAGTCCCGAGTGAGTGGTGCAGCAGGGGAGGGCTTGCTTGGGGCGGGTAAAGAGGAAACAACTGGGGGGTGCACAGCAGAGACAAGATTCATGCGAGGAGTGGAAGCAGGTAACAGCTGTGGAACCCCTGCTACCAATGGCCTCCCGCCACTCATCTTACCACCGCTTGCTAACCACTTACTCATCATTCACCACCACTCATCTGACGCCGCTGTCCCCCACCCCTCCCTCCCCCTTACCCCACCCTGACGTACAGGACCCCGGTGCCCCACCGCCCCTCACTCACCCACCCGATCAGGATCCTAGCCCTGCTGCTGCTGCCGCCGGTGCTGCTGCTGCTGCTGCTGCCTCACCATCCTCCTCTTCCGCCGCCGCTACTGCCTCCGCCGCAGCTGCTGCCGCCGGTGTTGCTGCCCCCGTGCGCATAGCCGTGGCTCAGATGACATCCGGCGGGGACCAGGAGGCCAACTTCGCCACATGCGCCCGACTGGCCCGGGTGGGGATTAGTTAGATGGAGCCACGGAAATACTGACCCTGCCCGTAGTAGGGTGGGGAGGGCGCATTGGGGTGCGGGAGCAGGGAGGGATGCGGAGCCGGGCTGGGGATGGAGGCAGGGTGAACCGCTGCAACCAATTTAACCATGTGACAAGTCTTGCGCTTGGGTTGCATGCAGCCTGGTTGCGGCCTGGCTAGGGGCCAGTGTGTTAAGAAAACTGGCCGCGAGTAGGAACGTACTGGGATGCCAGTGTGTGTGTGTTTCTCCCCCGCCTCGCGGCGCACCAGTTAACTACGGTAACCTCTCCCCTCCCCCCTGCGCAGGAGGCTGCTGAGGCGGGCTGCCGCATGCTCTTCCTGCCCGAGTGCTTCGCCTTCATTGGCGCCTCGCCTGCGGAGGTGCGGGGGGGGAGGGGAAAGTTCAGGGCGGGAGGGGGAGGGGAGCCGTAAGGGGTGTGGGTTAGTGCCGCAAGGGGCAAACCCGTGAATGAGGGTGGATGGACTTCCGTTGCTGTGTATCCTGGCTGCCGGGTGCCCTGTCCTGTCCGCCCTCCATCTCTCTTGAACGCACGGTACTCCAGCCCAGTGCGAAACGCGGTATGCCATCCGCTCTCCCCCCTCCCTCCCTCTCCCCCCACCTCCCCATCAGTCCCTGGCCGCCGCGCAGCCGCTGGACGGCCCCCTCATGACGCGCTACCGGGAACTAGCCAGGTGGGGAACGGAGGGGCGGGCGAATGGGGATGGAAGCAGCAGAGGTACCTCTGGAGGAAGGCCCCGCCAGCCACCACCACCCTGCCTGCCCGCCTCAAACAACACACTCCCCCCCTGCCTGCCGCCCTCCCCTTCCCCCCCCCGCAGGTCCCACGGCTTGTGGATGTCGCTGGGCGGCTTCCAGGAGACCGGACCCGACCCACAACATATGTAGGGGCTGGGGTCGGAAGGGGATAAAGAGGAAACTCATAAGCTGTAGGTCACGGCATATCCTTGGGGTGCGAACATGGTAGCCGACCTATCCCGCTAGCGGGGAGGGAGGCGACGCCTGGGGCTGGGTGAGGGGATAGCCCTGAGGGGCCCTGGAGGTAGCACCTGTCGGCTTGTCGATGAATTCGATTACGGCACATTCCAGTGTGTGCCCCCCCAACCACCTGGCTCGTCCTTACCCTGTCCTGTCCTTATCACATGTCCTGACTTTCCTCCCTCCCTCCATGCCCTCCCCCCCTCCCCAGCTACAACACGCATGTGGTGGTGGATGCGGAGGGCCGGATGGCGGCCGTGTACCGCAAGGTGGGGCGGGGGGCGGGCTGGGCAGGCTGGGATGAGGGAACGGGGCTGGGCGGGGGGAAACGGAGAAAGGCAAGGTAGTCATAAGGTGTTTCTCTCCTAGCGCCAATGCCGCTGCCTACCCGTCCACGATACCAACCTCACAATATCCGTCCTGTCGCCCTTTCCTTATCTTGACTATTCATCCCTTCCCCCCATTAATCCCCTCCCTCCACCCCCCAGATCCACTTGTTCGATGTGGATGTGCCCAACGGCCCGCTGCTGATGGAGAGCCGCACCACCGCTCCGGGGGACAAGGTAGGGGGGAAAAACAGGGGGCGAGGGAGGCCAGGGCAGGCCAGGGAAGGTTGGTGACAAGCTGATGCGTCTTTCGCATGTGATGTCAGGGCCCTCGCTGACGCTCTCGCCAGCGACCCCACTGCATGTCTACTCACGTCCGGTTCTCGCCCCTTCTCCTCCCACACTCCCTTGCTGTCACCACCACCCCTCCCTCCCCCCCCCTGCAGGCAGTTGTGGTGCCCGCCACCCCCGCGGGACCGCTGGGCCTCACCACCTGCTACGACCTGCGCTTCCCCGAGCTCTTCGCGCACCTGACATGGGAGCGGGGGGCGCAGGTGGGGGGCGGGGGAGGGAGGGGGAGAGGGAGGGAGGGGAGAAACAGACCGGGAGCGGTGGAGAGCAAAGCGGGAAAGCGGTCGGTCTTTCCCACCGGAGGGGAGGGGGGTTGCCCCATCCTGCAGGTTCCCACTGCACCCCACCCCACCTCACCTCCTTTACACCCTGCTCCACGCTCCCTTTCCGCCTCAAGAATGCCCACTGCTACAATGGCTAGTCTCCTCCTCCTTACCCCCCTCCTGCTCCCCTCTTCTTCCTCCTTACCCCCCTCCTGCTCCCCTCTTCTTCCGCCTAACCCCCTGCCCACCCCCGGCGCTCACTGCATGAGTCGGGATATGGGATTGGGACTCGTTGTTTCACTTATATAATGTTTTTAACCCCCTGCTCCCCTCCCTGCACCAACCCCTCTCTCAGATCCTCGCCGTCCCCTCCGCCTTCACCGTCGTCACCGGCGCCGCGCATTGGGAGGTGCTGCTGCGCGCTCGCGCCATAGAATGCCAGGCCTACGTGGTCGCCGCAGCGCAGGCGGGCAGGCACAACGCCAAGCGGGAGAGCTACGGACATGCACTTGTGGTGGACCCGTGGGGCACTGTGGTGGCGGCGCTGAGCGACCCGCGGGTCACCGGCATAGCGGTGGCGGAGGTGGATGCGGGGCTGCTGGCGCGGACGCGGGAGCGCATGCCGTGTGGTGCGCACCGGGCTAAGGGCAGGGGGGCGTATGTGGGGAGGGGGGCGGAGGATGCAGGAAGTCGGGCGGCTGAGGAGGGTGGGAGATGATTAAGGTCTGAGGAGCAGAACGGACACTGACCCGGGCTGGGTGGGCGGGGTTAATAGGGATGAAGATTCCGCATGAAGCATGGGTGAGCGGGGTACGGTTGTGGAAGGCGCTGTCAGGGTGTGTTAAGAAAACTGGCCGCGAGTAGGAACGTACTGGGATGTCGGAAGATGAAGTGTGATGTCAGGACTGCTCGCAGGCACCGTGATCTGTCGAAGATCGTATATCGGCCGTGTATGATTAATACTGTTGTATGCAAGTCATGATGAGCTGAGGTGGCGTGTGGTATTATGAGGGGTTAGATAAACTGAGTTGCGGAAACACTGACCCTGATTATGAAGGAGGGCGATTGACGCAGTAGCGCGTACCTGTTGCTGCTGGGTGGTGGTGTCTGGTTACTGTGCTTCGTGGGAAGCTGGGAGGAAGGAAAGGCCAGGGCATGGTCGTGGTGGTCACTTACCAGGGAACGTGTAGAGAAACTGTGAAGGTGTGCACGGTAATCACAACACACTGTGAGAAACGTGAGCTGATGCTGGCTGCGGCCTCCCAGCCAGATACCGGTACCCTCTTAGGGCTCTGATGCAGCAACTCTTAATGAAACACACCCCTGTTTGAAGCCCCCTCCGGTTAAAACCTCTAATGGAAGGGGCCCGCCGTCGGCAGTCCCCCCTACCTAGCTTCCTGCCCGCCCGGCCTGACCAATCGCCTGACTGAGGATCCTCTCCCCCCACACACACCGCCACCACCACCGCATGAGGCAGCCCAGCCAGCCGGCTCTGAACCACGTCATCATCAGCAGCAGCAACCACCACCCTGCAACCACCAATCTGGGTGGCCGGCACCCCAATCCGCCCCAGCACCTCCGTGTGTGCGTGTGTCGTACACAGGACAGTCCGTGCGCCTCTCTCCACCTTGCTGCTCCACCAGCCACAGCTACCCGGATGCCACTACCCTGGATGCCACAACCCCCGCCCCGAGGGCCATGCGTCCAAAACAACCATGCATGCGACTGTGACAACCCTCGCAAATACGTTCGCTGCCACCTGCTGCTGCTGCTTGCTGACTACGTTAACGGAGATTTAAGGGAATATACCGGTATGCACACCACGCAAAGCAAGGCGCCCCTCCTGCCTCCTTCCCTGCTGCATCTCAACCGCCCCCAGCCCCTCCGCCCCCGACCTGCTATCGCCTTCGCTGGCAACCTGCATGCATGCACCTATCGCCCCACACCCTCCCTCCCTGCCTCTCCCCACCTCATCCCCTTCCACCGGTCCGTTACACCCCCAGTCAGCTAACAACCTAGCGCCCAACGTTCCTGCTCCACACCCCAACGTATCCCTTTCTCCTGCTGCAGCCCCCTGACCTCTCCTATCCCCCAACCCCATCCACACAACCTTCTTCTCCCATCTCCCTCCTCTTGCCTCCTCCCTCCTTCCTCCTTCCCCCTTACGTCCTCTGTAGACACTACAGTCCGTTTTCCTTACTAGTGTTACTACCCCGCCCTCGTCACACAGCTCGTCAGTTCCTTATCCCCCCCTTCTCGTCCGTCTCCTCACATTTACCACCCCCTACTACTCCAGCTGCGTCATGTACACCGACAGCTGCTCCAGCGCCGCCAAGCTGTCCAGCTCGCCCCGACTCACAGGCGGCGCCACCACCTCCAACGCCGCAACCCCGCCCTCACCCCCACCCCCCTCCGTCGCCAGCTTCCAACCCCGCGCCTGCGCCGCCGCCACCGCCTCCTCCTCGCTGCACCCACACAGCGCCGCGAGGCGGGCGGGGGTGACGTGCGAGTAGGCGGCTGCTACTAGGTCTAGCTGCCGTACCCGCAGCCGCTCGCCTAGGGCGGTGGCGAGGGGGGCGGCGGGCGGGGACCAGGGGCCGGCGCGCAGGGCCCGCCACACGCCCTCGCTGTTGCCCTGCCAGGCGCATTGCAGCAGGCGCCAGGCGGCGGAGACCTAGAGGGGGGGAGGGGAAGGCGGCGGGGGGAAGGGAGTGGAGAGGGGGCGGGAGGGGTCGGGGCGGGATGGGGTGGAACGTGGAAGAGGGGGCGGTGAAGGATTGGGAGTGTGGGAGGATGCAGTGGTGGAGAGAGGTGTAGAGTGGTGGGGAGTGTGCAGGAGGGTATGGTGGGTGGGGGAGGGATTCCAGGCATGCGCATGTGGCAGTGTGGAGATGAGGACGGGCGGGAAAGGGTGGTCCGCAGGGCGCCGCGCTTCCTTGTGTGTGGTGTCGTGCACCGTACCTGCGGGTCCGCCTTCACGGTGTCCGGAAGGCGCTTGTACAGCATGCGCGCATCCGGCAGGTCGCCGTTGTAAACGTGGGCCAGCAGGTGCAGAGCAGCTGGCCAGCCATCCGCCAACACCGTAGTCGATGGAGACCGCAGCTCCGCCTCATCTAGCAGGCCGGCGACGGCTGAGTAGTCTTCATTCTGCAATGCTGCGTTTACTTGTTCCATGGCCGCGGAAGCTATTCCCTAAATGCGTCCTAACTGCTGGGTGCTTCCGCGATCTGAAGCCCTCGGGTGACGAAGGTCAGCACTTATTAGGTGTACGTATTAGCGTTAGTAAGGAATGGTTTGGTCGGACATACTTGCACGATTATAGGGGCCTTGAATAATGGGAATGAAAGAACCGACTAACGTTCTGACAGATAAGGCTAGCATTAAAGTTACACACAGCTCTGATAGAGTGCATTGAACTATATGAATGTCTGCTATGCTGGCTTGCCGGGGTGGACTGAACCGAAATCTCGTACGGCTTGGGTGTGACCCGCAATGACGCAGGATTTTTTCGCCTTTGGGCCTGCGCATACCGCGGACTGCGTGAGGGCAAGGATTATCCCCGGAGTTTTATAACGATCGGCGCTAGTCCGAAAGAATCCACGCATACGCTTGCTTAGACTTGCGCGACCTCACGCAAAACTCTGCGAACTGCTTGCCTGCACCGCAATGCAGACAACGATGTCACAGCGAGTGGCCTCTGCGCCAACAATCAATCCAATTGGTGTCGGCCGGGCGCCTGTCGTCGTCCATGGCTTGGTATCCATGCACAGCGTCAACTCCCAAAGAGGCTCTACGAGCAGTAGCGCAACTTTCAGCAGTCCCTTATTGCGTGCATCGACCAGCGTCCGGACAGTTTTCCAGCCAGTCGCCATTCGTCGCGGCGAGCATGCCATGACTCGTGCGTTTCTAAACGGCAACGGTTCATCGGGCCCCAAGGCCGTGCCTCCCCAACCGCCGTACAACGTTGTCATCACCGGCAGCACCAAAGGTGAGCGGTGAAGGGTGTGTCGCTCCAGGTCCCGTTCGGGCTCGCGATGCAGCATGCAGCATGCCCGCGGGATGTCTCGCATCCTCCGGAGCCAAAGCCAGATGCCAGCAAGCATACACGTGACATCCAACGCCAGAGATGTCACGGCCTCCGCTGCGAGCTGGTGGCTTGCGTTCGCACTTTCCCGCCGGTCAGCCTTCTGAGCCTATTGGTGTGCAGAACCAGGGGGGCGCAGAGCCCAGTCGCGTCTTGGAACTCCGGAATGTACGGGCAGTAGATTTGACACATATACACACACAGCGCCCTAACTCCCTTTGCGTAAACCGGGCATCTGCCGTACCTTAGCTTGTCCCACCCCAATCTGCGAACATGCGAACACGCCGCTACCCCCCTCCCCCCTGCCAGGCATCGGTCGGGCCCTGGCTGAGGACTTCCTGCGGTCGGGTGACCGAGTGGTGGTGTGCTCGCGGTCAGGTGGGGGTGGGGTGGGGGGAGGGGGCGGAGAGGGATGGAGAGAGGGGTGGAGGCAGAGGTGTGGGGGAAGGAGGCTGGGTGGAGGGGGCGGGCAGGTACAGAGAGGACGACTGACGCCGTCATGTACATGCAGTACCGGCTACCGGCAGTGTTGCATAGCAGCTGCATGGCTGTAAGCGGGTGGTGGAGGGCTCTCTCGGTATACCGGTACCTGCCGCGGCAAGGAAGGCCCCCTGATCACTCGCATTCCCGCACGCCTCCTGCCAACCACACCTTTCCCTGCCTCCCCTGCCACCGCCCTGACACAGCTGAGCGGGTGGCGGAGGCGGTGGCGGAGCTGGGAGCCAAGTACGGCAGCGAGCGGGTGAAGGTGGGGACTGGGGAGGAGCGGGGTGTGGGGGCGGGCGGGTTTCTCACAACCCCAACAACCCCTCTGCCCTCCTCTCCCCTCCTCCCCTCTCTCTTCCCCCACTTGCATCATTAAACACCTTGGGATTCTTCTTTTCCCCACCCTTGCCAGGGTATCGCAGTGGATGTGGCGCAGCCGGGTCAGGCTGCGCAGCTGGCGGACTTTGCAGCGGAGCAGCTGGGCGGGGTGGACATTTGGTGGGGGGAAAAAAGAAATTGCAAAGTGGGGGGAGGGGGAAAGGGGAGGGGAGGGTTGCATGGGGGGAAGAAGAAAAGAAGAAAACATGCAGGGGGAAGGGAGCCAATGCTTTTAGACCCCAGTGTCCCCATGTGTCCCAACACTACTTCCAGCATCCCTCCAAGCCCGCCGCCCGCCCGCCCCGCCTCCGTCTCCCCCCGGGGACTCCGTTGCTTCACTTTTCATTTATGTCTCTCTCTCTCTCTCCTCCGCAGGATCAACAACGCCGGCACCAACGGTTACCGCTACGGCCCGCTGTCCGACAGCAGCGATGAGGAGCTGGCGGCGATCGTGGGGACCAACGTGCTGGGCGTCATGCTGTGCTGCAAGGAGGTGACTGGGAGGGGGAAAATAGAAATTCCAATGTGTGGTGTGATAGTGGTACATGTAGCTGACAAGCCCTGGTGGAAACAACCGTGAGTCGAGCCGAAATGGTGGTTGAAGCATTGCGAGCTTAACTTACCGAAAACGTACCAATTATGGAGCAACCTTCCCGTAATCGTGGGCGTGTGGCTGGGAAGGGGTGGGGGCCAAATACCGAATCATAGGAAAGCACAGGTTGGGGCAAGACAATGGGGATAGGAAGCGGCAGGGTGGGGAGGGGTTTGGTGGCCATGCGGCCATGACTCCTTGCCCCCGCACTGCTCTGACCTCGGATCCCTCCACGCTCCATCCCACGTGCCCCAACCCCCTTGCCTTTCTCCTCCTCCCTCCGCCGGAACGCCAGCGCTTCACCTCTTCTTCTTCCTTACCCCAATCCCATGACCATGTCGTCTGGTTCGCCAGCCCCATTTAACACATTGGGCACACTCTCGGGTATTCAACGTATTCTTCATCCCTACCTCCCGCCCCCTCCCCGCGCCTGCAGGCCATCCGCCTGATGCGCTCGCAGCCCCGTCACGGCCACATCTTCAACATGGACGGAGCGGGTGCGGACGGCAACCCCACCCCCCGCTTCGCCGCCTACGGAGCCACCAAACGCAGCCTGGCGCAGCTGGGCAAGTCGCTGCGGGCGGAGCTGGGGAGCCAGGTGGGGGACTGGGGGGGGGCTGGGGGTGTGGCGGGGGTTGCAAGGGAAGGTAAAGAGGAAACGACTAACGAACCATGTGATAAGGGGCTTGGAAGGGGCGGGGTTGGTAGGGGAGGGGAGGGGTTGCGCTTGCAACGGCCTGGAAGAGCAGTTGCGGGTTGTGCAGTGCAGCTGCTGCAGTGGGTGCGGGGAGTTGGATTGCCGGCCGTCGGTGCGCCCTTCACCTTGCGCCGCTTGCTGCGGCTAGATGCCACATGCGGCTCTGCCTCCCCGTCAGCGTACCTGCCCGCCTGCCTGGCAGCGTACCTGCCTGGCCGGCCTTCCTGACCCCTCCCCTGCCCGCTCCCCTCGCCTCCTTAGTGTCAGTCGGTTAGACAGTTTCTTCATCTCTCTAACCCCCTTTCCCTAGCTCCCACCCACCCCTTCCCACTCCCTCCCCCGTGGTGAAGCCTACATGTCTCACAGCTCGCCAGTTGCCTCGTCAGCTTCCTTATCTTTACCCCCCTCCCCCTCCCCCCCAGATATGGGATTGGGACTTAGTTGTTTGCATTTCTTATATAATTTTCCCCCTCCCCCCCCCCAGGGTATCCGCCACGTGGCGCTGCACAACCTGTCCCCCGGCATGGTGACCACGGAGCTGCTGATGGCGGGCGCCAACACACCCACCGCCAAGTTCTTCATCAACTGCCTGGGTGAGGGGAGGGGGGGGACTGCTGGGGCCGGGTTGGGAGGGGGTGGCAGTGGGGGGGCGGCTGCCGTTGCACTCGTGCAACGGGCATGGGATTGAAAGGGGGGATCCCTGCCTTCAACCTTTCCATCCTCATCAAGACATCACCGGGTAATGGTACGGGCCGCTCGCTAACACTCCCCTTGTCTTGTGACTCCCTGCCGCCTCCTATCCCTTTGCCTTGCCCTCACTTGTGGTTTGGGTATTTCTTTGACCCCCCCCTCTATCCTACCCTACCCTGCCCCCCACTTACCCGGGCCCCCAGCCGAGCCCGCCTCCGAGGTGGCGGCCTACCTGGTGCCTCGCATCCGCTCCGTACCTCAGTCCTGCGTGCACCCCGTGACGGGGGCGCTGGCGCCCGCCTACATCCGCTTCCTCACGCGGGACAAGGCGCTCCGGCAGATTGCGGCGGTGAGGAGCGAGTGGGGATGGTGGGGGTGGGGGTGGGGGTGGCAACGTGATGTGGCTGGGGCTGAGTGAGCTGCAGCGGCTGGGCGCGGGAGGGGTGCGAGGAGGGCTGTCTCCAGCAGCAGGGGCAGCAGGTGTGGTGAGGAGGTCCTGCCTGCTGTCAACTTGTCGTGCACATGTCCGACATGTGGGGTCTGGGTGACCGTGTCCGACAACTACACCCTAGCAGTAGACATCTGCACAACCACCACTATACAGCTCGCTGGACAGTCGGCAGCTCATCGCCACCGCGGACTCAGTAGGGGCCACTAACCCCATTTGTTTCGTGACAAACTGCTTTCCTCAATCCCCATTGCTTTGCCATAACCTGTGGTTTTGTTATGCCTCCCTGGCCCCCCTGACGTCTCTTCCTCCCTACCCTCGCCTGCAGCGCCCTACCCTCCCAACAACGATAACAAGCATCAGCTCTTAACCTACTTTACCCCGGCCCCTGGTTACCCCCCCCCTGCTGTGTGTCTCGCAGCGGCTGCTGACGGGTGCTCGCAAGGGGCGCTGGGTGAAGGAGGACGAGATATGAGGGACGGCTGGCTGGCTGGGGTGTGGGGAGGAGCTTAAGGAGGAGTGGCAGGAGGGGGGACAGGAGGGGGGCGGAAGGGGAGGAGGATGTATCGTTCTGTGGACATTGTGCTACATTAGTAACCGAGAACACATGGTGCCAAAGCACTCCCGGGTCTCCGCGGCTCAACTGAGCTTCAATTGGGGAGCGGTAGCTCGTACTCCTATTTCACCGACGTTGCACGTCCAAAAACTTACAGCATGAGGTGACAAGGGCCACGTCTGTTCAGAACACATACATCAACCTCCGAACATTCCATTCAAGCCGATCCCTACCCAATCCAGTAAGTACCTGCCTAAAGCCAAGGGGGATCCCCGCCATCGTTCGCAGAACTCCCTGACAAGCCAACCACAACTAAAGCCATGCCTAAGCAGCTCACGACAAAAAACGCTGCCAGTAGGATCAACCGTATAAGCATCAGGTCCTACGCTTAAGAAACCGTCAATGCTTCGCGGACTTCGCCGGCTTAGCAGGGGCGCTCTACTAGAGGTTGCCGTTAGCCAGGGCTGCCGCCCTCTCCATTCTCAGCGCCTCCCTGCGCGTCACGCCATCTGCAATTTGCCGCTCCCGAAGAAGGGTAAGGCACTGCGCAATTTGACGACGCAGGTGCTTGTTGAGGTGGCCCTTAGGGACCTTCTCGGGGTCCGGCTGCGGCTGGTTGACGTCGCCTGGCTTCATCTCAACAATACCACGAGTTCTCTGCAGCCACTTCACGCTCGCCAGCTCGCGCTTAAGAGTAACCGACTTGTACAGGAGCTCCTCGTTCGACAGGCCATTAAAGTCAGCCATTTTTGTGCGCTTGAATTGAACGATCACGGAAGCGCGTTGCATGGGCACCGGCGCGGCTGCTGTGCGCACCGGCCTCGCTGCGGTGAAAGCGCGAGAGACCTGCATTCTAGTCAATTTATAAGCAGGACCAGTGACCTGCCTCTTCAGCTGGGGTAATTTCCTAAACCTAGAGTTGAGTGGGTTGTAGGGAAGTCACAATCTCACAGACAGAATACACGTTGCCGTACGCAATCCTTGCAAACTGTAGTACCATACATGTTAGGAAATCAGCGACCGGGCATTGGGAACATGCATTGAGGACACAATGGAACGAAAGAAGCATATACACGGTAGTGCTTGGACTTAGGTGGAAATCGCAAAGGGAATTCGACCCCGACAAAAGGTCGCGCCGTGCTTCTGTGGCTTACGTACGAGAGTCATGGAGGAAGATAATAATACAAGCAGTATATCGTTATGTTTAGACGGTACTTTAACAGGTCGACCGCTTCCGGGGTCTACGGGGTCTACTGGTAAAAGGGAACGCATGGTATCAAAAGCACTCTCAGTTCTCCGTGGCTCTACTAAACTTCAGCCGCGGAGAGGGAGTTCATATTCTCGGTTCGCTGACGAGGAGGACGAAGACGATGAGGATAGCGCATCTCAGGACGACTCCGCCCTGCGCCGCCGCACAGGAACAGGCGCAGCAACTATTTCCCGTAGAAGCAAGACCACTTCAGTAATCCAAACAGCGGAGAGCCAGCGTCGGAACCCGCCTCGAGGGGATTGGACACCGGCGGAGGAAGTCGTGCTCGCATACAAGCATATGGAAGTTGGCAATAAGTGGACAGCAATTTCCAACTATCTGCCGGCGAGGAGCGACAACGATGTAAAGGTAGGATGACGGAAGGCGAGAGCAATCGTCTGTTTGCCTCTGCTTCTCGCGGCCATCCGTCGTCCAAAGCATGCGGCCAGCTACGCCTGTCACATCCATTCCTTTCTCCTCCACCCTTCCTCTTCCACAGCATTAAGACGTATTAAACAGTGCCTAAAGGCCAGTCCATTGTCCGAAGGTTAACCACCCGCACTCTCATTTCTCTCATCTGTACCCTTCTTTGTGCTTGTGTCCCACTTCCCCGTCCCCTTCCTGTACCTCCCTGCTCCTCGCCCCTCCGCTCCGCCAACCATCCCACAGAACATCTGGCACAGCACGCTGCGCTCTAAAAACGCCGAGCGCCGCTCCTTCCTGCGCACCTACGCCCTGGCGGTGCGCGACTGCGCCCACGACCCCGCAGCCCGACGGCAGGCCTACGAGGCGGCCACCCGCTCCTGCGGCCCGCCGCCCCCCCTGGAGGAGGCCTTGGCTGTCGTACAGCAGCAGCACCTGCAGCACCTGGCGGAGCAGCAGCAGCTGGAGGAGGAGGAGGAGGAGGGGGCGCTGCAGAAAGGGGGAGTGCAGCAGGAGGTGGTGACAGGGGGCCAGCAGGAGCAGGGGGGCGCCCTGCTGCCGGACAAGCACCAGCACCCGCACCCCTGCGGTCGACAACAGCATGCACAAGATCACCCTCGGCAGCAGCAGCAGCAGGAGGTTGAGGTTGAGGTGGTGAGGGAGGAGGAGCGGGAGGGCTGGCGTCCGGCGGGCAACAGGGGGCAGCCGCAGCAGCCCCAGCAGCCGCAGCAGCTGCGGTTGGTCAAGTCGGAGGTGCAGGAGCGGCTGCCGGCACTGGCGCCCTCACTGACGCAGCAGCCCTCGCGCTGGTCGCAGGGGGGCATGCCGGCAGGCGGTGCTGCGGGGGCAGGCCCGGAGGGGGACGGCACCGGCAGCAGCAGCCGCACCGGTAGCGGGGAGGCGGGGGAGGCCGCCGTGGTGCGCTCCATGGGTGGGTCCGGGTGGAGGGAAGAGGGGCGGGGCCGAGGGCTGCCCTCATCGCCCTTCACCCAAACACACATTGAGGTCTTGTCCTCTTCCTCTCTCGCTTGCCGCGCCCGCACGCCCATTGCCCCTCCCCCCACGGACACTCCCACCCTCCCTTCCTCCGTCTCCCTGCCCACAGGCCACACCAGTCCCACTCCCTCGCCCCTGCCCAGCCACCCCCCGCCTCCGCACCACCCACCCCCCGGCGCCCCCCTCGCGCCCTGCTCCAGCCCCCTAGAGGCCCTAGACGCTGCAGCGGCCGCCGCGGGTGGGCTACCGCCCTACCAGTCCCTGCTGCTGCGTCCCCCGGAGGACCCCTCGTGCCGCCTGCTGCACCTGCCGCCCGCCGCCCTGCCCCTGCTGCCTGCCCCCCTGGCCTCCGCCGCCTCCTCCGCCTCCTCCCTGCCGCCCTCCTCCCGCACCAGCCGCGAACTGGACTCGCCCTGCCTCGTCCGCCTGTCCACCCTACACCTGGCGGACCCCCACCAGCAGCACCACTTGGTGGCCCGCCAGCAGCAGCAGCAACAACAACAACAGCAGCAGCTGATGGGGGGAGGTGGATTAGGCGCGCAGCAGGGACCGCATGGCTTGGCAGGGCAGCAGCAGCCGTACCAGCAGCCCCCTGCCTTCCGGCCACTGTCGCCGCTAGGGCCCTCGGGTGACTCCCTGCTGCCCGGCTCCTCCTCCACACCTCTCTCCTCATGCGAGCAGCCGGGCAACTGCGGTAACCTGCCTGGGCACCAGCAGCACCAGCAGCAGCACCCGCACCAGCAGCAGGGCCCGGCTCAGCAGCAGCAGCCCTCCCTGGACGGGCGCAGCAGCAGCACCACCTCGGAGCTGCTGCCTAGGCCGCCCACCCGCACCTCACAGCCGGGTGAGCAGCAGCAACCACTTGGCCACCCACCGCAGCAGCAGCAGCAACAACAACAACAACGGCAGCAACCCGCGTCGCTGCTTATGGCTGGGTTATTACATGGCAGCGGCGGGGCTGCTGTTACCGGCCCCCGTGGCCCCGGGGGCAGTGCGGGGGATTTGGATGAGCTGTTGGGTTTGGGTTTGGAAATGAGTGCGGAGGAGCTGGGGGCGCTGGTGCGAGGGGGCGGTGGGAGCAGCGCGGCAGCAGGGGGGCAGCAGCAGCAACTGCAGCTGGCGGGGACGAGGAGCGGCCGACTGCAGCAGCAGCAGCCGTACAGGGTAAGGTCGGGTCGGGAGAGGGGCTGGAGAGCAGGGGAGGGGCTCGCTCCTTCAGGATTGGGCACGACTCGCTGCCGCCTCCGCACTTTCATGCGGGCGCATTCCTCCGCTGCCTTTCTGCCTTCCCGGCTGCATGCAAGCCTGCGTGCCGGGGCTCCATTCGGGGTGTAATTGCTACATTGGTGACCCCTCCCGCCCGCCTTCCTGCCCTCCACAGGTTGTGTCTCCCCCGCCGGTCCCCGCACCCGCACCCAGCGCAGCCCCACCCGCCTCCCTCTCCTCCCGCTTGCTGCCCCAGCGCTCCTCACCCCACCATCATCAACAGCAGCAGCAGCAACTTCCAGACGGCTGGCCGCCCTCCCACCACCACTACCAGGCCTCATGCAACCCGGCAGGCGGACTCGCGGGTCGCTCCTCCGGCCCCCTCAGCGGCCCCGCTCCGGTCTTGTGCCTCGAGCTGCCGCCGCAGCTGCAGCCGCCGCTTCCCGCCCACCAGCGGCCCGAGCACCAGCACGGCATGCCTCCTTCCATGCAACTCTTACAGTCCATGCAGCCCTCCTCCCAAGACCAGCACCAGCACCAGCAACAAGCCGGTGTGCTAGACGCATTACTACCTGACCTGTTGCTGCCCGACCCACGGGTCCAGATGGTGCTTGGCGCCGGCAGCCAGCAGCGGCATTCTTCGCAGCTACTTGCAGGAGGGACGGCAACATCAGTACCGGGAGGCAGCCGTGCGGCTGCAGCCTTCGCCTCCTTGCAGCCCTTCTCGCCAAACCCTTTCAAACAGCAGCAACAACACCAGCACCACCACCACCACCACCAACAGCAGCTCCAACTTCAGCAGGGAGAGGAGGATCCGCGGGGATTGAGCCTAAGGGCGCTGCATGGGAACGGGCAGGGCGCCGGGAGCTTCCGCGGCAGCCTGGAGGCTCTAGCCTGTGGGAGCGGCGGGAGCGGGCAGTACGGACCCATGGGTCTGTCCGCAGCCGCTTCCGGGACGGGACTGGGGCTGGGTCTGGGCGCTGCTGCTAGCGGCGGCGGCTATGGCGAGCTGCCTAGTTTGGTGAGCTGCTCGTCTGTCCCAACTTGGGACCTGTTTAGTTCAGGTAGGTTCGGGGGAGGGTGCGGATGGAAGTGGGGCGCGTGCGGGGAAAGGAGGGGCGGGCAGGGGACGCGTAGGCGACATGCCCCACCGGCAACCATGGCAACCGCTTTGCAGGCACGATAGCCCTACCTGTGCCCCCGCTGTCCGCGTCCTCTCACCCCCGCTCCAGCAGGCCGGCAACCTTTCCTAGACGGGGCGCGCCTCACGCACCCGCACCACCTGCTCAGCAGCGGTGGCGGCGTCCCCGGCCCCGGCCTCCTCGCACCCTGTCTGGGCGGTGGTGGCGGCGGCGGCGCAGGCAGCAACCCCAGCAGCGGCCTGCTCTCCCCACCCGTGCTGGCCCCGCACGGCGGCTGCTGCTCGGCGATGCTACCCGGGTTGCTAAGCGCGGAGCAGATCTCGCCCTTCACCGGCGTCCCGCCGGCGGCGCCGCTTAGCTGGGGGTCGGGTCTGCTGCGACCGGGCGGCAGTCTGGGCGTGACGGCAGCAGGCATCATGGAGGCGGAGGGAAGTGCTGCTGCTGCTGCTGGTGGCGGCGGCGTCGGCAGCAGCGGGGGTCGTACGCTAAGCTCGCCGTCGCCCTTTTGCTGCGATACTGCGCAGATGGCTCGGCTGCGTGCGGCCGGCAGCACGGGTGGCGGCGGCGGCGGCGGTGGCTGCATGACGGTGCCTGGATTCGTTCTGCAGTCCTCGCCCCGAGCAGGCGGCGGCAGCGGCAGCGGTCTGGTGTGTCGCGCCGGCGGCGTTGGCGGCGGCGGCGGCGGGGGGCTCAGCAGCTTGGTTGGGGAGTTGTCCTCGCTGGCTGCCCCCGCGGAGGTTGACGTGGTAACCATGGGGTTGGACTCTGGGGATCTGTTGGAGTGCATGGATTGCGAGCCGGCATCAGCAGCAGCGGCAGCAGCGGGGGGCGGTGCGGCGCTGGTAGGGGAGCTGGGGATGCGGGGGTTGGGGGAGAGGGGGCGGTGGACGCAAGCGGATGCGCATGCAGCGGGGGGGCTGGCGATGGGGGGTGGGGGCTCGCTGGGCTGGGTGGCTGCGGGGCCGATACCGGCGGCAGCTGGGGGGTGTTACAGTCACGGCGGGCAGCTGCAGCGGCCGCTCCAGCAGCAGCAGCAGTATGGGCATGGCCGGCAGCAGCAGCGGGGTGGCGAGGATGTGGGGATGGGGGCGGGCTCAGTGTTCCCGGGGTCATCAGCCGGTGGGGGGTGGGTGACGGGCAACACGCGACGACTGGGGCCCCTGCTGCGGCTGTAGCAGCCTGCGGCTGCGGGGAGGCGGCGAGTGAGGGTGCGGACTGGGGCCGATGTCAGCACAGGGGGATGGGGGTGGTGTATTGGAAACGGCGCGTGCGTGTCGCGAGGCGGCTTATGTGCAGGCTGCCTGCGCTTCAGACTGCTCAAAGACTTGTCCTGGACTCCTGGTGTTACCTGGCGCCCACCACCTCAATGGCGTGCCGACCTCTTGTGTTTTCTTGGCGCGAACAAGTATGTGCGTGTTTTGGATGTTTTAGCTATTTGAGGGCTGGGTAAGGCCCGCAGCCACGCACCACACATAACTTAACCTAACCTCGCAGCATTTGACTTGTCGACTTTGACCTGCACCATTCTGCGGGACTCTCGGTCGTATATTTCGATACACCTCATTGTGTGTGGGCGAGCTGCCTGAGACATAGCTCTGCCCGGTGGCTTGGTTGCGTACCGGTACACCTTGTTTTGCTGTTGTGTGTTGCTTGGCGGTGAGCCCTCCTTCACTGTCCTTGTTGTTGTGTGAAAGCACGCGCGCATATGAAGCACACTGCTAAAGCACTTGGTGCGGCACACTTTGGGGGTAAGCTGTCATTGCATGTGCGGATTTGGAAAGGGGTATGGACGGCTGCGCATGGGAAGAACGAACCAGGGCTGGGCCGTGGTCTCTCGACTGCCTGAAAAATGGCGTTGCAGGCATTGGGGGCGGGGGGTAACTCCGTGTGCTTGCTGGCGACAGTCGTCACTGCAGGTGTTCGTTTGTTTATTGTGTGTTCTTATTTGCGGGATGTGCGGGGTGGCGGCTTGAAGCTGCGAGGAGTGGCGTCATGGGAGGGAATGTTGGGCTGTTGTCACGCTCTTGAGGGTTTGGGGCATGAGGGGTCCGCTGCTCTGAGCCTTACAAACGAGCGGGCGTAAGATATGGAAAGCCGTGCTTAAATGTGAACTGCTGCCGGTCTGAGCCTTGGATATGTGTTTTGCTTAAACAGTCACAGCGCTGGAGCTGAAACCGGTTTGAGGGGCACCGGCGTCTTGCGTATTGCTGCTGCTGTTGCTTTCTGGTGCTCGTTCTTTTGGCGTATTGAGGGTCCTTAAACATTCCTCGAGGTGCATGGCATTGTCCCCTCTTTGGTGCTTGGTTCCTGCTGCCTGCCTGCCTGCCTGACTGCGTGCAAGTGGGGGCAGAGGATTGCCTGGAAGCGCGCTCTGGGGGCATCCTGCTGTTCGCGATGGCAGGAGGCTGCACGATCATATTGGAGAGGAGGTAAACAGCGAACACTGCCATTGCGCTCGAGGACTTGGCTGGCTGGTGTGCGTGCGTGCGTATGGCTGTGTAGGGCTGATGTAATGCCTCGTTGGTGCCCCAAATGACGAGGCGGCTGCAGCAGATCTAGTTATTATGTATTACTAGGTATTCCTCCTGAGTGTGGTCGCTAGCTAGCTTGCTACTGCTGTAGTGGGATTGGTGGGGCTGGTGTTGCAGCAACGTTACAATGCGTGCGAGGTGTGCGTAGTAGTAGTAGGTATTCCCATTGACATGACGTTTTTCTTTTTGACGAAACGTTGATTGTATACGGTGGTTGTGGTGGTGGTGGTGGTGCTGTTCGTTGTTCCTCGAAAGGCACCTGCTGTTGGAGTGTCGTGTGTGCATTGTGGTTGTGCATTGTGTGAATGAGCGTTTGTTGCGGGTTATGGGGCAGTACACAAAAACAACGTGGAGTTGTTGACGTTGAGCTGAGGGGGAGGGACCAAATTGGTGGTAGTGGTGGTGGTGGGGTGAAGAACAGGGCCTTGTTACGATCCTTGCTGTGTGTGCTCTGTGCTGCGAGGTCAGGCAGCAGGAGATGCGGTTGGCATAAGTTGTTACTTGAACGCGGCAGTCACTCAGTCCCCGTAGCTCGAAACGAAGAAACGTATACGTAGTATACGGTTTCGGAGGAGCGAAGCGAAGGGAAGCATAGACCGTCCCCGTGGTTCACGCTCCAGGGAGGAGAATATTCTGTACTAACAGACTTCCAACCGCTTTCGAACGGCCGAGAGCTAAACGTTCAGCTTCCCGTGCAGCGCTAATGACGTCCAGCAGTTGTCGCGCTATTGTTTCGGCAGGGAGTTAGGAATTTGCAAATATTCGCGGCTGTCACTAGTTGTGGCTTAAAGGCGCCAATTATTACGTCCGACGATGGCACTTTATTATTGTCTGCATATTTTAACAAGCAAACACAGCGAATTCATTGCGGCTGTTGCTGGGCGTAGGAAGATGCGCGATGACAGCCAGTAAAACGTCTACCGGTATTAGGGTGAGCTAGCTACTAGAGTCATCACAACTAGGACATAGCAGACCACGGAACTAACAGTGACGCTTCGACAGGAAGCTGGACGGCGGTGGGGGTGTTGGCAACGTAATCCTTCGTCCTTCGATGACGTGCCGGCCTTCGCAAGTTCTTAACAGATAGCAGATCATTGAAACGTGGCTGCCTCTGGGTCGTTCCTCGTGCGGAGCCTGATTCGCCCTTCCTTCCCCGTGCTGCGCATGCTTCCGTCCCTTCCACCCTTCCCCTTGCAGCTCCTTGCCCATCCCCATGCGGTGCCGGCCGACCCATGCCTTTCCCTGTACGAGCTTCCCTGCGGCCCCCAGTGCTTTCCCCCTGCCCTTCCCTGAACACCCGCCCTTTCCGTGAGGCGCCTGCCTACCCTTGCTCTTACCCGTGCTGCGCCTGCCCTTCCCTGCGCGTCCGCCCGTCCCCACGCGGTACCTACCCCTCTATGCCCTTCCCTGTGCGGCCGCCCTTTCCCTCACAACATGTGTTTCTCTCCCGTAGCGAAACAGGTGGCGCGTTACCGTCCTAGCAGCAGGCGGCGTCAGGGCATTGCCGGCCTGGCAGTGACAGCTTCTCCTTCGCAGCGCAGTACCAGCGGGCTGTGGGCTGTCCTGCAGCTCATTACTGGCCTTGCAGGGAGCATGCAGTGTTACCCCTGATGCGCATTTCCTGTCCGCAGCGTTTTCCCACTGGCAGTGGTTGGCGTGCCTTCCAGCAGCGAAACCCCGGCCCAGCAGAGGGCATGGCGGCCTCTCGTGCGGCGAAGTGCATGACTATTAAGGGGGCAGGTTGTCTGCCCGCAGCACATAACTTCGGCTTAACGGTCGGCATGCCTTCCGGCGCTCTCTCCCGCAGCGCATTACCGGCCTTGGGGTCGTCAGCCTCCCATGCGGGTATTGCCAGCTTTGCTTACAGCAGTTGCCTATCTTACCCGGCGGTCCAAGGTGTGTCGCGTCGGCAAATCAGCCATCATTGGTTCGTCTGGGTTATCGGCATCGCTCAGGCCCTTTCGCAGGTCCCTGGGGAGGGTGGTGATGCTTGCACGCAATGGTGCCGATAGCCGGGAGAGGCCTTAATGCATGTGGGCGCCAGGAACTAACTGGGAAGAGAACAAGAGATGCCTGCATCGCTGCATGCATGGGCGGCAAATATTGGACAAGGCGACGGCTGCATGCACAGGGGACCGGCGTCTCTCCTCTCCCCCCTTGAGGCAGATACGTGATGAGGAGCGTTGATATCGAGGACAGGCGGCCCTGGAGACTGCAGTGAAGGATATACAACAATACGCGTGGGGATTTGTCCCGCACCTTTATGGCCTGCCGCGTCGCTAGGCTTTGCATACGGTATCCGGGCTTGATGACGGGGCGTTGGCCTGTGCAGCAGCGGCGCCAGGAGCACTATCTAGCTCTAGCGGGGGGCAGATGGGGCCTCGGGTATCCCCCCGCAGATCTGGAGTCCATGCATGTGCCTGCTCGCATGCACCCTTGTTGTTCCCCAGTGCGGGGACTGCATGGGCGCGCCGGGCTTTGGGCAGGACGTGTGAGCGCCGGTGGTTCAGCAGCGTGCCTCTCCCCGTGTGGCTCCCCTGCGGCTCCCCTGCCTCTCCCCGTGCTCTGCTTACCTTCCAATGCCGTTCCCCGTCATTGCCCTTCTTTCGAGATTAGAAACGAATAATTGACCGCTACAGTGGCCGCTAAATGACTCTTCCCCGGGCGGCACCTGCCTCCCACTGCCTTTCCCCCGTGCGGCGCCCTGAGTGAGGCCTCTCTGCCCTTCCCACGAAGTTCCTGCCTCCAAATGCAGTCATTCCTGCACGCATATGCGCCAGCTAATGAGCAGGGTGGGCCGCTGGTCTGGTGGCTTCGGGTAATTGACTTGGACAGGAGGTGTCTGTGTGCGCGCATGATTGTTTTGTACATGGGATCCATGCATTTACATCAGCGCGGTCGTTGAGCACGGTTAGTGTGCGTACAAGCATGGGCGCCTGTACTTGGGCATGGCGGGTATGCATGCCTGTATCGCATCAACGCATGGGCCGGGTGTGCGTGCATTCTCGTATCGGCGTTGATGCATGGTTGGGCGGAGGTGGTTGGGAGCTGCAGTAATGCTCGGGCTCATGGGTGCCGGTTCATGGCTGGACGAGAGGACGTCTGCACGCTTGAGCACTGACGGCTTGAAAGGGTGGGGATGCATGCGCATGTGGGCGCCGATAACTGACATGGCAGGTTGGGCCATCGCTCGGCTGTGCCGCATAGTAACGCGGGATCTGTTGCCAAGTAGAATGCTACCACGGTTGTTCTACTTGCTTGCTCTTCAGGTGTAGCGGAGCCCGAGCGTGTTGCGTGCGTGTACGCCACATCCCGTCGTTAAGCATAGAACGAGTGTAGATGTGTTGCTTTCCAAGACAATTAGTATTCTTACCAGGCCCTTCCCTGCTCGGTCCGTGCCTCCTCCTGTTCCTCGAGTTTCCCACGCCTGGCTGTGTAGGATAAGCTACAGCTACAGCTGGGCGGGGATGCATGCGTGCATCATTGGGCACGGTCGTAAATGGGCACGGTGCAGTGCATGTGCGTACCCGCGTGGCCGCCAGTAGTTGGGCATGGCGGGTATATATGCATGTACCTGTGCCGATTTATGGGCCGGGTGTTATTGCCGGGTCGATATGCACTCACGCAGCAGCGTTGGCGCATGGGTGTGTTCGACGGGGATGCCAAGGTGCAGGCGCTTGGGGAGGGTGGTGGTGCTTGCGCGCCTGGGCGCCAATTTCCATCAGTACGAGAGGATGTCTGCGCGCATAGGCACCGGGCGGCGTGGGGCAAGGCATGCCTGCTTGCATACACGCTCGTTGATGGGCCAGTGCGGGGACTGCATGGGCGCGCCGAGCTTCTGGCAGGACGTGTGGAAGCATACGTGCGCCGGTAGCTGGACAAGGCGGAGACGATGTCATGACTCGGACGGGGTTGACGGGTGCAAGTGCGCCCGTACTTCGGCACGGCGGGACTGCTAGTTTGCATGTCGCAGCTGGTCTGGCAGAGAGGCAGGGTGCACGCGCGGATGCTTTCATTAGCAACTGAGCTGCGTAACTGTACTGATTTTAGCCACTGCGGAAAGATGCCCGGACGGATGGTTGCTATGTGGGCGAGTGGTGACGACGGGAAGATGTGTAGTAGTGCAGTGGTAGTAGGGTCAGTACCCTATACTAACGCACAGGTGCCAGTATCAGTACCAGTATTTCGACATATTTCGACAAGGCACGGCACGGCATGCGCGTATACGCATGTATGTATGAGCACCAGTATTCGGGCAGGTAGGGCAGGTCTTCGCACTCCACCACCTGTATGCATTGATATCCTGCACGTTTCCGCGGCGTCATCAAGCCATTCGCGCTTCCTAACCGTTCAATTGCTAGCAGCCTCGGCGACAATCACTGCCACTCCGCCTCTGAAGCATTGGAGCATCCTTCTGCATCCTCACGCCGTACATGCGTGCAACCGCTCTTTCTTCTCGACATCACCTGCCGTTCCTACTCGTAGTCCAGCTCTCTCCCGCGAGCTACGGGTAGCTCCCGCCGAAGGCGGGCCTTACTAGTGACTACAGAGCTCAAGTTAGAGGTTCTATACGACAACCTAACGGCTTCCGTACACCGGTGACCAGGGTCACCGGGCCCCTCGGTTATATCCAACCTCCGGGCCGTGCAGCAGCGCACTCTGGGCGCACTGCCCATCTGCATGCAGGTACACAAACCGTACACAAAGGCGGACACATGCTACCAGCTGTGCAAACGATGGCGCGTGTGTTTGGCCCCACATGCAAGCACGCATCGCATGCCAGGGCGCGCCAACAGCTCCCAGTGTTGAATGTGCGACTGGTGGTGCGGTAGTCGCTGCCAGCACGCCTACTGCAACACTCCTACCGGCTTCGAGCACCTCCTTCAGCAGCCTGCATGCATGCAACCCAACCCGCCCGGGGCAGTGCGGCTCCGTGAAAGACGGGTGGACGCAAACACACTGCCCCTCCATGCGACTCATCACTCACATTACTTTTTGCACCAGGCACCAGGCTAGCAAGCCTTCACTCCGTCTCTGCGATTATCCCAGGAGGCCCCTTTCACGGCACAAAGCGCGGTTTAGGCCAAGTACCATCGGTATCACCGCTACGACGCTAGGTCATCCCCTCATTCGTTTTCACCAGCACAGCCCCTCCCAATGGGCAGCCTCACACCGCAGCGAAGCTAGGGACACGGGAGGGGGGGCGTGCAGGCTGTGGCATGTGGCCCCTCAGAAGGGCAGCTCGGGGCACCCAGTGGGCTCCATTCGCCCCGCCCCGGCAACCGCGTTACGTAGGTCCCGAACATACTCCTGAAGGGCCGCCACAGCGCGTGTTGTTGTTAGCGGGTGTCCTTTCAAAGCGCATGAGATGCAGATGCGTCGCTTAAATGGCAGAGCAGCCTCACGAATACGTAGAGGAGCACTAGCAGCTGGGGACAAAGTGGTACATACATGTGGCAACTCAGCGGAGGGCACATACGGCACATGCCGCCGGGTGCTCTGGGCAACACTGGGGCGCTGTCTACGTTCCTAGTGCTGCTAGGGCTGTTGCTTCTGAATACATACGTAAATGCACGCATGCATGCAAGCAACCAGGCATGCATGCAAGCGGCTAGGCATGCATGCAAGCGTCAAGGCATATACGCATGTCAGACTTGCAAGCGTCCAAGCGCGCATGCGTGTCAGACACGCACGTCAGACGCGCATGTCAGGCGCAATCCTCACCAGCGGAAACAGCTTGCCCAGCCCGTGATGGAACTGGTGGTAGCGCTCGGCGCGGTGGAAGGGCAGCTGGTCGGAGTCCACCACCCACACGCTGTTCAGCACGTCGTCCTGAGGGGGCGCGTTGTGGGGGTGTGGGGTGGGGCGCACTCTGTCTCAAGCATGTTGCCGTGTTTCCACACCGCATCCTAAACCTCATGGTTGCCACTCGTTGCTCTGGACACTCCGCCTGTCCCTCCCTACCTCTGTCGGCCTGCCCCGCTCCATGTCGTTTCCTCGCCCCTCTCGCAGCACCATGCCATACTTGTTCTCCTCCTGCATGGACGGGAGAGGTACGGCAGTTGGGGCAGCCGCAGCAGCAAGGTTGTGTACGGCAGCCGATATGTATGAGTGTAGGTGGTGAGGAGATGCGAGCAGGCCTAGTGAGCAGCAGCAGCAGCGGGTTCCGGTCCCTCTTCGCCCAAATGAAGCGCATGCGAATTTCACAGGGGAGTCCGAACGACTCCAGTGCGACGCACAACCCTATGAAGCGGCACGTGGTGAAGGAGCAGTACTGTGGACTGTGCAGTACTGTGCGGCTGACTGTCGTACTCTGCATTGGGCTCGCATTCGGTGGCAGCAGCGGGGCAGTCGCCGCAGTCCTGGGGCAGCACTGACCTGGATGACGTGGAAGAGGGGCGAGCGAACGCCGCCGGGGATGCCGATGACGTTGCGGTAGGCGGGTCCTCGGTCCTGGGGGTCCTGTGGCGGCCGGATGCATGGGCGCATGCATGTACGGGTGGGTGGGTGGCGCGCAGGAGGATGCTGTAAAGTGTTGCTTCACGTGCTACCTGTAGTATCCTGGGTCATGTATCATGTGATGCAGTCTTCTGGCATCAACGGCCGATCTGTCCTTTTCTGTCTGATAAGGCATGATACAAAGACGGTAGTGGAACACGCACACAAAGTCATCATGTTCGACAGTCCAGGACGTTCTCCTACTTGTGGCCAGTATTCCATCCCTCGTACTATTGCTACAGCATGTAGCCGCTCCTGAAGCCAGCGAACGGCGAAAGGACTTCCTAAAATCCCGCCACGCCAAGCCCCTCCTGCCCACAACCACCAGCAGCAGCAGCAGCAGTGCACGTACCAGCCGGTCCATGCCGCCTTCAATGGGTCGGAACTGCCTGAAGTACAGCGAGGCGAAGGCATGCAGCTCCGCCTCACCGACCCGCGGGTCGCTGCTGACGCCCAGCTGCACCACCTCCGCATGACCCAGCATGTCGTACCGCGTCTGCATGCCACACGCCGCAACACAGGCACGCGGAGATGGAGGCCGCCCGCCCGCTAGGTGCTCACATCGTGTTCGTTTCGTGCTCACAAAGCCATGCACACAAACCCCGTGGTATGCAAACGAGAAGGCATGAAGTCCCGTTCCAGTTGCTGCTGTGTCGAAGCGCACGGCGCCGCCTCCCAAGTCAAGAAGCACATTACCCAGCCCATCACAGCCTCCCAGACGGAGAGCATGCAGTTCGTTGAAACCCCCTCCTCACACACCCTAAACCATGCATCCATCTCTATCCTTCTCTCCCTCCCGCCCACCCGTCCTTCTTCTTCCCCCCCCCACGGCCTCACCCTGGGGTCTCCATACACGTAGCACACACGCCCCCCGGGCCCGGCGCTGTTGCCCCCCGCATAGCCCACCAGCGCCGTCACCCGCTCCGCCGGCCGCCCCAGCTGCCGCAGCTCCACCTCCGCGAAGTCCCGCTGGCGGCCCCAGAAGCAGCCGTTGCCAAAGTAGACGCTGCGTGCGGGGCGGTGAGATAGGGAGTCATGGTGGTGGAAGAGGGCGGATGCCATGGGGAGGGGAGTGGTGGGTAACGAAAACGAAGAAGATGTGAAGAGACAGTGAAGAGGTGGTCAGGGAAGGGGAGTGCTGGGGGATTGAGTAGAAGCCTAGAGCAGTGCCATGGGTGGTGTGGTTGGCGGCTTGGTTTCATGAGAGTGAGAGGTGCGCATGACAGAGACGCTGAGGGGTCGAAGGCATGGTACCATGTATTGGTGATGATGCATGGAGAGGCGCACTGCCGCGTGGACAGGGTTTAGGCTGAAAGGGGACGGCTGTCAAAGTGCAGACTGGCAACGGGTGTGGCGGAAGTCAGCCGGGGACATGGGAGGCTTGCTGATGATGCAGCGACTTACGTTTGCAGGCCACTGCTGCTGCTATCATCAGTTGTCGCAGTACCTGAAGAGGCGTTTCCTGCTGTTTGCAGGGCCGAGGAGTCGCCGCTGGGTACGGATGTGGCCACAGCTGCTGTGCCCCTCGGGGGTCCCGCTGCTTGCAGGGCCGCCACCCCTTCCTCCGCTGCACCAGATGCAGCAGCAGCCGCAGGCGGAGGCGGCAGCAGCAGGCATGCTGCATGCAGAAGAAACAGGAGGCCAGCCAGGTTCGTGGTGTTCTAGGTAATGCACGAGGTAACAGCAGGAAGCGCATTACCCATAACGTCGTAAGGCCCACCTCAGGATTGCCCCACCTGCCAGAGCCGCACATGCCAGACCGCATCGCAGCGCCGAAAACACTGCAGCGGCACCCCCACTCGTGGAGGAGGAGGAGGGGTGGGAGGAGGGGCAGACGGGTGCTGCTTCCGGGACAGGACGGGTCGCATCCAGCTCGCGCTCCGAGCAAGGACCGGGTTCCCGGATTGACCTGGCGTGTAATATGTGGTTAAGAGGTCTTGTGGGGAGCTTTTGCAGCGCAAGGAGCATTCTCTACACGCTCGCCATCCGAATTTACCTGGGGCGATACGCAGCGGCCACACGGACAACTCTCGCGAATGTAAAGCATCGTGTTCCAGGTGTTCTCATATTCTCCTTATGCCGTGAGCAGCCATGGTGCAGGCTTCCAGCGGGTCGAGCATGTGTGGCGATGCAAGCCATGCTTCCGGCAAGCAAGCAAGCTGCCTTTGCAAAGCTCGGAGTATCAAGTAATAGGTACAATTGCAATAGTTCAGCAAAGAAAATTGTGCTTCGGCCGTATCCTGTGTCGCAACCTCCAAGTAGTGTTGACACCACTCGTTTGCTTATGGTCTAAGAGCGATGCCGCGACAAGCAGCGTATGAAGCAATATGAATACACTTTAAGTATAGCATTTATTCATAGAACTACAGTTTGATTTGCTTTTTAGGCTGCTGCAACCCAACCGCTCTGCCAAAAGTCCGTTTTCGGTTGGTTGGGTGAGATCGCGACTTATCACCTTCTCTCCAGCGATTGTTTTCGAGGGGGTGTTTTTCATCGCTGCTAAAGCGATAGAAGTCGGGCCTGGATAATCGCTTATCGCCTTCCCAACCAGCCAAGCCGAAGGATTTCGGCGCTTATCGCTTCCTAAGGCGGCCTCCTGGGGTCACATGTGCCCATAGCCACCTAAACCCCAATGCGGAGGCGCTTCTCACTGGTCCCAGTGCCCTCCTGGACCCAAATCCCTAGCATATGGAGGGTTTAACCCAGGGGGTGTGAGCGATGAGATACCCTGGGCGCAGACACCTTATCGCTTTCCCACGGCCCTAGGACCAATTATTTATCGCTTGAAAAGCGACCTGTCGCTGAATCAAATTGCTTTCCTAACGTGGGCAAGCAGCTCGCAAGCTGCTCTCACATTTGCGCCTTCAATGGTATGCCGCCAGAACAGAGAACCAGCGGCTTACGTAGCAAGCCATTGCCTTCTGTGCATCGCGCAACATTTACAGTCGCCCACTGACCGCTGCAGCCGATCCCAGGCGCCGCTTCCCCTCCCTAGCGTTGTGGAACAGCTCGTCAGTTCCCTCGTCAGGCTCTGCGTCAGTTTCCTCCCCTTTCCCCACCTGACACCTTCGCGCGCTGTCAGCCATTAGCTGCAGCTCCTCGCAAACTCCAGCCACGGACAATCCGAAGCGCCATAACCAAAGCCGTAGGACACATCGCCCTGAAGATGCCGTCCTCCTAAAGCTGCCATACGTCTCATCCACCCTCCACCACCAAGCCCTATGCCATAGTCGCGCCATGACCCGCTTTTGGCACACAAGCAACCGAAGCGAGCGCCCTCCTAGCGCACTAGGATGACTCCCCGCCACCACCATCGCCCCGCCCCACGACTACCATACAAAACGCGGGGTTACGTACGTGGGTACCGCACGTCCGCTGCGTCCCCCCGCCGCACCCCCTGCTGCTGCCGCCGCCGCTAGCACCTCCGCCGGCAAATGCCGCTCGCACAGCCGTTCAAGCGCCGCCATGTCTACAGCGACCTCATCACCAGCGAAAGCGTCTCCCTGTTGGGCTCCGGACGGAGGAGATCCGTCGACCGACCCATGGGTCGATCCCGGCAGCAGCTCCCCCGCGTGGATGCCGCCAGCGATGAGCAGCGAGTCGATACCCGCGGCCGCCGCGCTGTGGAGGGGGTTGAAGGAAAGAGAGTTGAAGAAAGGGCGCCGGAGAGGGGGCGAGGAGGGGGCAGACAGGGCGCGGCAAGCGGCGATATGTGCGAGTATCCTGTACCGCAGTACGGTACTTCCAGCATCCCAGCTGCAGGCGGGGACGCTTCCCCTTACCCCCCCCCACCCCTGCTGTCGTACCTATTCCCTCGGCTTCCGTTTACAGGTATCACAACCGCCCCTTCCCCCCTCTTCCCCTCCTCTTACCCCCCCACTCACCCCGCAATGTCATGCTCCAACGAATCCCCAACCGCCAGCAGCTCTCCCGGCCCCAGCCCCAGCGCCGCCCCCGCAGCCGAGTAGATCAGCGCCGCCGGCTTGCCCATCAACACCACCCGTCCGCCAGCCCCGCCGTACACCGCTGCAAGGCTGCCGGGCATAGGCACCAGCTGCGACCCGTCCACCGTCACCACGTCGGGGTTAGCCACGATGAGCGGCGGAGGCATGAGCCTCCCTCCCCGCCTCTGCCCCTTCCCTTCCGCATCTTCCCCCTCCTTCGCATCCTCCGTATCATCCTCCACCTCCCCCACCGCTGCCGCCCTCCTCAGCAGCTGCTTGAGCTCCTCCAACGACCGCTCCGCCACCCCGCCGCCCGGCAGTGACACACCCTCCGTGCCGTGCGCTAGCAGGAAGTCAGCGTCCCGTGGGTCGGTCACCACCTGCAGCCCGTACCCCTCCAGGCTGGCGGGTCCCCTGCCGGCCCAGTTGATGTGCAGTACACGCCGCCCCAGCGCCGCCCACCAGGGGTCGGGGCGGAGGGTGAGGTAGCGGTGGGTGAGCTCCCCGCTGGTGAGAACACCTGGCAGGCGGGCGGAGGTGGGGAGGTGAGGAGGTGGGGGTAGGGTGGATGGCCTCCTCAAGGATTGCTACACGCAGTTGATGTTGCCATAAAGGCCCGGAGCACAGCCGAACCTCTCAATCACATGGGCGTACACACCTCGTATCGCCTCTCCCACTCCATTCCTCTTCCTCCCTGCCTCCCAGCAACGCTTTCTTCCTTCCTTTCCTTTCCGTCCTCCTTCTCCTCTCTCCCTCCTCCCAACTTGTCTCCTAGTGCTCTGCTTCTCCTCCCTCCCACCTCCCACCCTCGAAGCACTCCCGTGGGAAGCCCAGCTCCGCCAGCTTGTCCAGCGTGCCGCCCGACCGGCGCGAGGAGTTGCTGAGCACCAGCAGCCGCAGCCCCGCGGCGCAGGCGGCGCGTACGGCAGCTATGGCGCCCGGGTAGGGGCGGCGGCCGTCGTGGAGCACACCGAACTGGTCTAGCAGCAGGGCCTGGAGGGAAGAGGAGGAAGAGGAGGAGGGGAGAAGGCAAGGGGTGAGTTTCGGAGAGGAGGATACACCCCTACCCCCGTTGGTACATCGCACGTGTGACGTGCGGGATCTCACTTTGTAGCGGCCTGCGAGCTGAGACAGCCCTGCGACCCGCTGTGTGGCAGCAGCAGCGCTGCTTTCCAAGTGGCCTTCTGGTTGAGCTGCTTGGGTGAGCGCCGGTGGGTCAGATGCAGACGACGACATGGAGGTAGCAAGCAGTCGGTGCGGTAGAGGGATGGTTGAGTGGTGCTTGGGACGGTTGAGTGGGCGTGGCGCAAGACGATGTGTTGAGGCAGAGGAGGAGCGAAACCCCGGGCTGCAACTACCCAGGCGTTTGCAGCTGGGATTCGCCGGACAGGTTCCTAACGAATGCCCGCTGGCTGCCGGTGACATTCAATTGATGGGCGCCCTGGACGGCTTTAGTTGACGAAGTAATGCGACCTAAAGCTATCCTTGCTTTCGCAGGAAGAAGATATTCTGTTAGCGAGGGCAGCCCCAATCATGTAAAGCTGTTAATGTATTGTGGTTTGGATTGGGATCGGATAGACTTGCATCAATGAGCTAGGTATGGTTCCAGAGCAAACGTACGAGGCACCGTTTTCCTCTTTTCCACCTGCATTTCCAACGGCAGGTCATCATATGAACGAGTATCACTGGTAGCAGTGTAATCTAGGCAACATGTCCTACCGGAAGACTGTCACTGCTGCTCGCCGCGATAAAAAGGGAGGGCGAACTGGCTTAACGGAAGAGCAAAAGGCAGAGATTCGTGAAGCCTTTGACCTTTTTGATACTGATGGCAGCGGCACGATTGACGCGAAGGAATTGAAGGTGGCGATGAGGGCGCTTGGCTTCGAACCAAAGAAAGAAGAGGTAGGTTCTTACTCATTATATACTCTTCTGACTGCCATCGCAATGCGCTAGAATACTCTCGTACTCACGAGGATATTAGCTCGAAGCGGAAGTTGCATTCCCCAAAATTTGCGTGTATCCTTGCCCAACGAGCCCCATGCACTTGCTGCCTGTCGCAATCCAATACAGATCAAGAAAATGATCTCGGACATTGACAAGGACGGATCGGGCACCATCGACTTTGAAGAGTAAGTTCCAGAAAGGCGAGCTACCCTGCCACCTGGGCCAGGGCACCTCTACCTTGGCACCTCCCATCTCTTCCCGGGAACCTTTCCCCGGCCTCCGCCCCCGCCCAGCCAGCTCCCCAGCACCTCCTAACACCTCACCTGTGACGCTTGCGGTTCCCTCATCCCGCTACTGCTGCTGCTGCTACTGCTGCTGCTATAATGGCCTCCCCGCCTGCACCCACCACCACCATTACCACCACCCCTCAACCGCCCATTCTCAATCAGCACATTGGGTGTCTTCGTTTCACCCCCCTACCTCTCCCACCCTCCTCACAGGTTTCTGAACCTCATGACCGCCAAGATGGGTGAGCGCGACTCGCGAGAGGAGATCCTGAAGGCCTTCAAGCTCTTCGACGATGATGGCTCCGGAACCATCACTTTCAAGGTAGGGAGCAGGGATCACGTTTCGAAAGAAAGGGATGGCATCGTCGCACGGCACTGTTGCTAAAGCTACTGCTGCGCTGCTCAGGACGTGTCGTACCGTCGTACCCCTCTCACCCTTCCCCTCCCACTCGGCCCTCAGGACCTGAAGAGGGTAGCCAAGGAGCTCGGGGAGAACCTCACGGGTGCGGCAGGGGGACAGCGGGAGGGAAGGAAAGGGTGAATGGCGAAGGGGGGCCTCCCGTGTGGTTTCGGAGGGTCATGACGCCCATGAGCCGGCTTGGGGCATGGGGTATCCCCAGCATGTGTGTCCTAAACTCGACTCTCCACTCCCACACTCTTGCCTCCCTTCCCCTTTCCTCTTTCTCTTTCCTAACCTCACCTCCCTCACCTCCCTCCCTCCCTCCCTCCATCCATCCACTCGGCCCCCAGACGAGGAGCTCCAAGAGATGATTGACGAGGCGGACCGGGACGGGGACGGGGAGGTGAACGAGGAGGTGAGAAGGGGGGGGAGACACCACCAGTCGTGCAGCTGTAATCCGCGACTGTTCCGACATCCCCCCCCACCACCACCCTGCCATCATCCTCCCGCTTCCCCGCCTGCCCTCAACCTCCTCGCCTGCCTTTTCCCCCCTCCACCCCTACCACCCCAGGAGTTCATCCGCATTATGAAGAAGACGGCGCTATTTTGAGGAGAGCAGGGTGAGCAGCCATTGAGAGTTATGACGGGGTGGTGCTTCCAGGTTGCATGTTGTGGGGATGTGGTTGGTTGGCGCAATAAGGGGTCTGCTGGGCGCGGTTACTGGGGGGCGCGGTGACTTATCATACTATTCCCATTTTGTTATACGTGACTCTGAAGACGTTGTATGACGTGTTGTCGGGCGCATTCGTGCGTTTTTAGTAATAAGTGCATGCTTTCGCCTGTGCATGGGGGAAAAAAAGAAGACCAGACGTGTTGAGTGCCAATGGCAGGCTAGGTGACAAGCCCTGGGGGAATGAATTCGAGTGAGCTGAGCCGAACATGCGACGTCTGGGCTGCCAGCCAACCGATCCAACTTACCACACATGGAACAATCTTACCTTTAGCTGGAGGGGGGCCCTGGAGGTTTACCCCGCACGTAGCACAGGCAGGGGTTGCTGCCTGGAGTCTTACAACGCTGGTGCAGCAGGCACGCACACTAGAAGGAACTGCAACAACTGATGCATGTCATGGCGAGCGGAATGGACGTTATACTGTTACGTGCTTGCGCTGGCTGGCCGGCATAATTTGTCAAGCAAATTTATCAAAGCGACGTGTTTTGTGGATGAGCTGCTACTTGTTGGTATTTCCAAGCAGGGTAGTGGGGGTAGTGCTATTACTATACTCGTGACATGGACGTCTAACTTATGCATGCGATAGAGGTAGGCAGCGATGGGGTAGGGGCTGGGCTGGGTGGAGGGGGTGCAGATGCGGAAGGGAGGAGGCCTGCTGATGGGCTGATGGGGGGTTAGGAGGCTGGGGGTGTCTGTCTAGCTAGGGTTGTGCGTTACACGCGTTGTAGCACCGCGTTGTCTCTCTGCGTTAACTGCTGCGTCATGGAAACTTGAACAGAGATGAAGGCTTATTGGAATCTAACTCGTTGCGTTGTATGGATAGGAGCATGGTAACGCGATGGAACAAGCACAGTACGGAAAAGGGTTGTAAAGCGGTTGACCCATGGGTCAAGGTGCATCACGTCCTCGCATGGTCACACAATGTTGCGTTCCTGCTTTGCAACCGAACAACATACCCAAACATGGTACACAGTAGCACAGCGTTGCGCCCCCCGCAATCCACATTCCAACAGTCCAGTGGCGATCCGTGCATGACATGCAAGAAACATGGAACACGACACCCCGCACACGGGTAACGGGTCGCAAATATCGGCTACCAATTCTCACAGTTCTCGTCCCGAAGGTCACTCTTAAAGAATGGATTCAAGTTTGTAATGCTAACAAGCCGTGTATATACTAGAGCATTATGAAGGAAAATTTGAATATTAATTGGATTCCAAAAACCAGGTCAGAAACCAGCAACATGTCACGAGTTGAAGGGTAAGGGCAGGGTTAACCTCCCCGCAGACCGATACCAGCAGCTTTGGGGCAATAAACATGTTAAACAGTGGCTCCGAACTTAAGCACGGTCCCCAAACCAGTATATACTGCATACGATTGCCGCATCCATTACGCAAGTCCCAAGCACGCAAACCCTGCAAAATAAAAAACACATCTGTCGCCAGGCTTCCCATAATCCTTTGTACAACGCCCCTTCCCTGTTCAGGAGCGCTGCAACAGCAGCCCGGGCAGCAGTCCAGGCAAGACACCCAAGGCAAACGCGCAACGGCTTAGAGTTACGTGTCCAGCACGCCGGGACTGGCAGCAGGCGGGCTGGTGTGCGTGGGCGCCTCCTGGTACTCCAGTGTGGTGGAGGCAGCGAGGAGGGGGCCCTCATGGCGCCCTATCTCCACCTGCGTGCAGCCCCCCTCGCCGCCCCCCTGCCGGTGCGGGTGGTGCTGCGGGTGCTGCGGTGGCGACCCCGACGTGTGAGGCGGGGCGGCACGAGGTTCCTCCGCGGGGGGCAGCCCGGCTGCTGCCACCGCCTCTGACGACTGGTCGGCGCCCGCTGCCGGCTGCTGCGGCTGCTGCTGCTCATGCGCCTGTTGCTGCGAGCCTTGGGGGTGCGGCTCTCTAGAGTGTCCTACCGGCTCTACCTGCCTCTGCTGCCGCCGACTCCGCCGCCGCTGCCGCCGCCGCCACGCCTGCTGCCCAGTCGTCGACCCCTCCACCCGGCTCAGCCTCCACCCCGCCAGCTGCGCATGCGGCTGCAGCACCAGCACCACCGACCCCACCGGCTCCACCGATACCGACACCACCGACCCCACCGGCTCCGACACGCACCCCCCTTCCACCCCGGCAGGCAGCGACCCGGGTCCCTGCCCGTTCCCAACTGTCGTCACCGGTACTGCCGCGCTCTCCAAAGCTACCCCGCCAGCCGCAGGGCTTCCTGCCGCCACCGGTAGTGGTGGTGGCGCCGGCAACGGCACGCCAAACACGACCACGCTGGCCAGCTGCCAAGGCAACAGCGCAACCGGCGGTGCCGGCGTGGAGCCCGCACCGCTGCAGTCACCACCACCGCCATCGGCGTCACTGCCCGCCAGCAGCAAGCGGTACATGGTTGGCGGCGGGCGCATGCTGCCCTCGTGCCCGCTGTACGGTTGTTGTACGGCACTTGCTGACGCCAGCCCTCCGACGAACCGCAGCGGCAGCCGGGGAGGGGATGTGGCGACAGGCAGCTGCTGTCGGGACCTCTGCAGTGGGGGGCAGTGGCGGGACATGGGACTGTGCTGCTGCACTTGGCATTTCTTTTCTGCCCCCCTGCCGCACCCGGGGCTGTGTCCGTCAGCTTTCACTCCCCGCCCCGCCCCTGATCCCAAAAGGGACCTTCAGCAGGGATTTTCACTAAGTGGTGTTGGCACATTCATGCATGGCCTGGCCTGGCATGATGGTTCCTGTTCCTTTTCCCCGGCCCCCGCCCTGCCCCCTCCGTTGCTCCATGTTTTTTTTGTCTATTTTGCACCCCAGCCTCACCACCAGGTTCTTGTACACCAGCAGTGCGCCCAGCAGTGCCATCACGCTGCCCAGCCCCATCAGCTGCCAGCCGAACAGCGTGCGCCGCATGAAGATACCTGCCAGCAGGATGGCCACACCGCAGGCTGCAGAGCCACCACAGGGGAGCATGGATGCATGGTAAGAACCGAGGGGATGGGGGGTAAAGAGGAAACATCTAACTGACCGTGTGGTAAGGCATCATCATGGTTTGCAACATGTGAGCCAGCCCAACATGTGAGGGGATGGGGGGGACGGGGACATGGCGAGAGGGCAGGTGGGTGCAATAGTGAGACAAGGGAAGGGAAGGGGAATATCTGTGTGGGGAGACAATGCCCGCTTACATGTGAAGATTGCCGGACAGAGCCATAGGAACGCACGAACATGCCTTGAGCGGTAGTTCCCGAAGCGGGGTGCCCGATACATGTCAGCGCAAATCGCAAGAAGTCCAGCAAATGGCTTTACGAGCACTACCAATGGGCGTAAAGGGTGATTGGGTTAACCCCCAGCTGCCGGTATGCTCAGACACTCCTACGAGCGGCGGTTGCAAGCTCGACCTGTATCTGACAGGACTTGATTGCTCCTCGACTGGCTACAACAGCTAGCTCTTGGGTATAAATTTAGATGCAAGTTATTTAACGTGTAATGCGATTAGCGACCACAGAGTGAACTGTGCAGCCTACACGCCATAGCCTCGCCTACATGGGTTCCGGACGAGTAAGAAGTAATCCTCATGGGCTTCCTGCTTTGCCGTTTTCTCACGTTCGACCCATAAACATATTGAGGAATATTATATTCACTCGAAGGTCCAATACGCCAACCGAGTTTGGCCCTCCGTACACCTGTGGATTCAGGACGACAGCCGATTGGCGATAGCACTCACAATGGTCACAAATATATTGTTCCAAATTGGAAAGGCAGGATGAGTTGTAGTTATCAGCCGCAATTAACCTGCTTTAATGGACACTAGCCGAACCTCTGCACCTTCCGATGTCACACTCCGCCAACTTATCCCTTCTTGATTATCTAGTATCCACCCCCCTAAGGAGTACGCCATCCATGAACGGCACGCATAGCGAAGGAAGAAGCTGTCGCGCACTGTTTGCTTAAAGGAATGTTGCATGTTCATAAACATGTAACGCAGATGTATGCTATTTACTGACACTGTTGGTTTTGTAAGCGGTTGCTTGTAAAGGCATGTGAAACTCGTGACAGGAGATACCTGCATGCTACCATGTTACCAAGTTTAGAATCTCCAGCTGCCTTTTCGTTCCGCATTCAATGTCACTCAAAAGCTGGAAAGGTAAATAAATTCGTCAAAGGCGCAGCATTTTGTAGGTGCATCTAGGTTGCGGAAAGAGCGCCCTCCATGAACGCGAGTAAACAGTCCCCAACCAGCTGGCAAATTTCATAAAATTAGAAATTATTCTTTCCTAGACGCTTGGTTAACACTGATAAGAACATGCTATGTAACTAAAGTTTTTGTTTGCATTTTTATACGAAGTACGGCTCTACGAAGCACGCAGGTCAGTCTGTCATCCCTACAGAAGCTGGAGGGAAGGCTCTCCTGTGGGACAGGCTCTCCATATAAACAGTGAGCAACTACCTTCATCAAAAAATAGACAGAGCATTTGTATCAAACGCTTGCGAAACACACTAATAACGGGTCGCGCATCTGATGTCTTACGGGTATACTTTTTAGTCATATGCGTGGTTGCCATATACATTTGTAACTAAGCGTCATATTCATACACGTGCTAGCCGCCGGATTCTTATTTTCCTGGGATATCTTATCTTTCGTGACTACGGCACGATGAGACTGCCAACGGCGCACGTCGTGTGCGCCTTTCTTGCCATGCTGCAGCTTTGCTATACATATCCGAAGTACTGGTATGACAACCAGGCGCTTTTAGCTGATTACAACGCAGCGCTACCCTCACAGCCAGGGTGTGCCGAGCATCCCACCATGGCGGTCCTGACGGACATCTCGCCTCATGGCAGCCCACAGCCGGCAAAGTAAGGGAAAACCTACTACGGTATACCGCTTGAACGTTTTGGTTAGGCTCGGCAACAAGTCAACCCTGCTCATTATTGTCGCTCATTTCCAACCCCACCCCTTCCAGCACGGCATTTGTGATAGCCGATGCCGCCTCTACCTTGCCAACAAGCACATTGTGTCCTGGAGGAAATTATACGGCCACGGTACGGAAGATGACCTGACACTTAAAATCGAACTCGTGTAACATGTACTTTGAATTGTTACAATTGCCACATCGCGGCTTGAACGGAGCATGTACACAAAGAACATCCCGATCTAGCCCCGGGTTGGCGCTCCCATACCTTGCCAGTAAACAGCGCCCCTGCGGAATCTGCAGCTGCCCTATTCCCATTCCCGCATCGCGACCAGGGCGGCGATCACAGCCACGCACCGCTGCAAACCCTGCCCTCCGCGCTTGGGACTCGTTGTTTCACTTATATAAATTTTTGCCCTCCGCACTCTGCCCCCTCAGGTGTCATTCGGGTCAGACTCGGCCGCTGGCCGCTTGGCTATGTTGACTATCAACTCCTCTTCCGTCGCCTTCACCTCCCCCGCCCCAACTGCTTCTTGGTGAGATGGCAGCTGGAATCGAGTCCAGGTCCTCGCTCCTCGCGTTTGCTCTCCCGGGGCCCACGCAGAGGTGCTCCTGATCCCTCGCCTCCTTGCTAACCCGCCTCTTTCCTCGCCCCCTCCCTCACTCCGCAGCCCCAACCTGGTGGATTTGGGCGGCTCTGAAGAGGAAGGGTTCGCCAGCAGCTTCACCGCGGCTTTCCGCGTACCTTGCAGCGTAGCGGGTGGGTGCATGGGTAGTGGGCGAGGGGGGCGGTGGTAGGCGGGCGGGTGGTGGGTACGTGGGCAGGTGGGTGGTGGGTGCATGGGCGGGCTGCGCACGGCAAGAGCATGACGGTGAGGATGGTGGGGGTGCGAGCGGAGGAGGATGCATGCTCGTGCGTAGATCCAACGCAATGGCCCGAAACTCCTAACGGGCTTGCATCAGCAGGCTTGCCATTCCTCCCACCGCTCGCCAGAACTGCATGCGGCTTACCACACCCACCTCATGGTTTCTTGCCCCCAACCCTCCTGCAGGCAGTTCGCTGCTGCTCAAGGTTACTTCCGCCGGGGAAGACGGCTTCGTAGGATGGGGGCAGAGCGAGACTACCGTTACCGTGGCGGGGCCGGGGTCGCCGCTGCTGGAGCAAGGCGGAGCGTGCGCCACTGTGTCAGCTTCATGTGAGGGGGTGGAGGTGTGGGGAGAGCAGGGGAGTAGCTTTTGAATTAGCGGGGGACGAGAAGTGTGCTTGAGAGAAGGGTACTGGCTGTCCTTCTGGTGGTTGCTGCGTGCAGCGAAGTGCAGTCCGTAGGTGCGCACTTTGCCTTCCAATGCGTGTTTCATGCTCTTGTGTTTTGCTCACCGCTGTTAGTTGGTGCTATTGGGCATGAGGTGGGTTGCGGCGAGGTGCAGCAACGCTGCTGTCCTCCTGAAAAAGCTTTCATCCGCCCATCTCCATATGCCCACCGGGCTGGTGATCTTCCTTCCCTCCCTTGCAGGCCCGAACCTGGTCCAATCCTCGTCCTCGCCATCCCTACCGAGGCCTCCGCCCCCTCCGCCCTCCCCTCCGCTCGTTCAACCGCCCCCCTCGCCTGCCGCGCTCGCATCCAATGACCAGCTGCCCTCCAGCCCCCCATCCGAGTCGACGGCAGTGGTGAGGCGGATGGGGTGCGTCGGCTGCAAAGGCCCACCATCAGCGGTGTGGGCCCCGAGCATCTCCCCTCCCGCTGCGTCTTACTGCCCTCCCGCCCTCCCCTTCTCCTCCCTGTCCGCCAGGTCTCCAACTCCAGCGGCTGCACCCCCAGTAACCTCAACTACACCTGCATGGCAACAAGGGTAGGCGGGGGGTGGGACGCATGGGGAGTAGGGGCAGCCGCTGCATTCCCCCTCTCACCCTTTAGGCCCTTGTCTCGCTGCTACCTCTCTGACGGTGTTCCTGTCTTGCCCACTTACAGGGCAAGATTACCATCCACTGGAGCGTCAACACCACCTCAGCACCCAGCAACCCCTGCACGCCCGCCACGCGAACCGAGCTGCAGGTAACTCGGCAACCCAACCTAACCTCCACTGGCAAGTATCTTTGCGCGCTGCTAACGCCCCTACATCTCATGAGGCCTACGGTTTCAGCGCCGCATGGAAGTTATCGAGCGAGGGTACATGGATGCACATTGGGTTGCAATTTTAGCCACCCTGTCACTGGCTGGTGACAGTTGCCGCCCGACTCGCCCCCTCCGCCCCCAGGACGCCGATGTGGCCGAGAACGGAACCCTGCATATCGCAATCCAGTCCGCTGTGACAGGTGACGGGAGCGGGGGGGGGACACTTTAAGGGAGAAGGAGGCTAGCGGCACATGTCGCGTTTTTATTGTCCATGCGATGAGAGAGCACTAGTCTGCAATAGCAAACCGGTGGGCCTGTCCCATTCGCCCAATATGCCGAGTTCTCGCCATTACACGCACCGGTCTAACTCGTTCGTTTGATGTCCCCGTCCGGTTTTCAGGCTACGTCGCCTTGGGCTTTAGTTCCGACCCGGAGGAGATGTACCCGAGTGACATCGTGCTAGGCTACGTGCAGAGCAGCGGCGCGGGCTACCTCAAGACGTTTTACGCGGAGGTGCGTGTCAGTGGGGGGCGTGGCTGCGGTGGGCGGGCAGGGTGTGTGTGTGAGGCTGTGAGGCGTGGAGAACACACGGGGGCATGTTCCCGATGACACGTCTGAGCTGCTCTTGTCAGCCCGGTCCGTGTTGTGCATCCATGTCATGTGATGGCAGGGACGTGCCCCTCAGCGGCGGGGAGGGCACATGCGTCCAGGACGATTACAGGGCCTGTCAATTATCCCTTCGCCTGGTTCCTTCCCGTTGCTGCAGGAAGAGGATTTGGACGAGAAGGACGTGTGGCCTCCCTCCGGCTCGTCCAGCTGGGCGTACGACAGCGGGGTGCTGCAGAACTCCTCCTCCGGCGTCACCACCCTGTGCTTCAGCCGCCGACTGCGGGACGACCGAGCCAAGGCATCACCCGACCTGCGGGCGGCCACCGGAGGGGCGGCGGCAGCGGGGGCAGCAAGGCGGAGACTGGCACAAGACGAGGAAGGTAAGTGGGGCTGCATTCTCAGCCGGTTTGGGCTTGCGTCTCTCGCTCATGCTACGCTACCCTCTTCCCGCCCCCCCACCTGCAGCCGTGGGTGAGCTGACACTCATCTGGGCCGTCAGCCCCGCCCGAGGCCTGGTGGAGCACACCGCCGACAACGTGGGCGGCTTCTTCCTGGACGTGTCCAGCGGCGGCGCGGTTGAGGCGGAGGGCGTGGACGAGCGCTACTGGATTAACGTGCACGGAGCGCTGATGGCGGTGGCGTGGGTGCTGCTGCTGCCGCTGGGAACCCTCCTGCCGGCACACAGGTAGGGGGGCAGGGGCTGCATGTGCTGGGGGCATGGAGGCACCGGCACCCTGCCCGGCTACCCCTCGTGCCCGTTGTTACCTCTCTCTGTCCCTCGGTGCCCCAGGTGGCTGCTTGGCGACATGAAGATTTTCGGCAAGCACGCGTGGTTCATTCTGCACATGGCCTTCCAGTGGACCGGCATGGTGCTCTTCTTGGCGGGCTTCATCGCCGTGTACGTGAAGCTGGATGATGGCGGGGAGCTGCCGGGAGGAGATGTTGGGGAGGCGCATGAGAAGATCGGCATTGCAGTCATGGCGGCGGCTGGGGCACAGGTGGTGCTTGGGTACGTCCGACCCGACCCCAGCCACCCCAAGAGGGGCTTGTGGAACCTCATGCACCACTATCTGGGTCGTGCTGTCGTGCTGCTTGCCTGGGCCAATGTCTACATCGGCATTTACATTTACCACGTCAGCGAGTTTGAGGCCAAGTACAAGGAGTGGATCACACCCATCGCCATCGTGATGGGGCTTCTGGTGAGGGGGAGGGTAGTGCGGGAGGGCCAGCTAGGCAGGAGGGCTGCGGGTCAGTTCTCAACGGCAAGAGGCTTTAGCATGAGCCTTCAGCCTCGGCATAATGTCCACATGTGCGCTTGCACCCAGCCACGTCTTCACATCCCCTGGTGAACGCTGCTTGGGACACGACGGTGATTACCGATGTATCAAAGGGACGCATTCCGCTTTCCGGCACAGCGTATGGCATCCAGCGCCTTTTTGTGCGCTACGCAACATTGGATCATCAACTCACGGCCTGCTGCTCCTTGCCACTGCCGCCCCTGCCTGCCTGCTGTGTTTGCCACACTCGCCACCACAGGCCCTGTTGGAAATCGTGCTACGAGTGGCAGCGCCGCCGTCGTCCACCAAGCAGCAGCCAGCCTCGCAGCAGTCCTACCTGGTAACGGCGGATGGAGGCAGCGCAGCGCCGGGCGACGCGCCGGCGGGCGAGCAGAAGGGGCAGGCTGCCGTGTGATTGCGTGCGGACAATACCAACAATTGAGGACTAGGAAGATGAGAGGTAACAGGAAGCGAGGCAATTATACGTACGGTCAAAGAGAGGGCACATATAAACATACATTCGTGGAAAGGATTGCAACATGTGTTATGAGATCCGTGTAGGTGCGGAGGCGTGATATGAGGGGTAGGTTTGGGAGAAGGCAAGGCAAGGCTGCAGGCTTGCCGGCGAAGAAAGCAGCTTTTAGCACGCAGTATTGTTTGCCGTTTGCTAGCTTGTGACACCGGTGCATGTTACGTTTTGAGACCGCACTGTGCGTGAGCGGTTGCGGAGGTGTCTTGAATAAGGCTGTGCCGTCGCGCGTCCAGCTGTCGTCAGACTGCCTGTGTGTACTCTTGCGTGCGCTGGTGCCAGGCACCTTGTGCGATCCATAGCATGTCATGTGAGGCATTTCATGGGCCAACACACGCCAGCTTCATTGGATGGTAGAGGATAACAGCCCCTCCTCTTTCTGACATGTTAAACTTAGCGCGCGTAGTAAGCAGTACTTAATTGCATGGAGCGTATGCGTTACGTTGCTGTATCGTGATGGGCACGACGAGTATACGGCATTTACGGAGTTATGCGCGGACAGCCTGACACGGTATTTATGGTAGCAGCAAAAACCGTTGTCTACGCGAGGAAGTAATTAGTGAGTAGTAGCTCGTAAGCGCTCCGCGATGCAGTGCGTCGTTTCGGTCCATAAACTCAGCCTCTGCCGCAACAGTCTGACCTCCGCGCGCAAGCTTGTAAACCACACTACACATTTGCATAGGAAAGCAATGTCGGTAACGCGTGCGGCGACAAACGGCCAACAAGCTAGCTTTATAACGGATGACCAGGAGGCAAGCACCTTGGCCTCCACGTTTAAGACAGTTGCCGTCCTGGGCATAAAAACGGAGAAGCAAAGCAACCAGGCTGCCTTCTACGTGCCGGAGTACCTTGCCAACGCAGGCGTGCAGGTATACAATTATACATTGTGGCCTGATTTTTAGGGGCCTTCATTATAGCCTACAGGCTTCGGCATACTTATGAGCATATCCTTGCTAACAGGTTGTGCCAGTTCCGGTGTACTACAACGACGTGACCGAAATCTTAGGCCGGCCAGTCTTCCGGTCTGTCACCGAGGCCGCACGGCAGGCTGGGCCCCTGGACTGCGTGGACGTATTTCGGAAACCTTCGGACGTCGTGCAGCACATAGACGACATCATAGCCGCAGCGCCGCGGTGTGTCTGGCTGCAGAGCGGCATCCGCTGCCCGGAAGCGGAGGAGGCCTGGGTTCGTGCCGGCATTACAGTCGTTGCGGACAAGTGCTTGATGGTCCTCCACCGTCAGGCAAAGTTGTGAAACGTGGGGGCATGGAGCAGGTTGCAATTGTCCTTAGTCATGATCTCGTTAGCATAGTGCGGCGCACCTGCTTTTACAGGGCGGGCAGCCGATAATGTATGCAGGAATAAATGACATGCATGGCCACTGATGGTGTAGCTGGCTTGCTGCATTTTCGTATACACGATCGAAGACGAACCGGCAGCAGCCCCTTCTCCTCCCAGCTGGGAGTCGAGCGGCCGCGTGTGGTTCGTAAGGGTGCTGTTCTACAGCTTGTCGCGGTCGCCCCTCTGCCCTGGAATATCCGGATTGAGTAGAGGGTCGGTGGTGTTGTAAGCATATTTCGCGCTTCTTCCGCTAGCCGTAAGAAGTCGATGCTATGTACGGCATTACGAATAGCAACGACGAACACTAGGCAGCCACGTATTGGATTGGCCAAATACCGCTCTTTTCGTATACATAATGTAATGTTGTTCGTCAGAGAGTAATTTATACCTGTCAGACTAAACGACCACGCGACTTGACGGGTCGCGCTCAGCCCATCCTGCTGCAGCATTCTACTTGTATACCCAACCGGTGATAGCTACCACAGTCGGTTACTTGCGGGACATCAGATACCTGTGATTAGCGTGGGCTACGGCAGGATGAGGCTGCAAACGGCGCACGTCGTGTGTGCCTTGCTTGCCACCGTGCAGCTGTGCTTTGCATATCCTATGTACTGGTATGACAAGCAGACGCTCTTAGCTGATTACAACGCAGCGCTACCCTCACAGCCAGGGTGTGCCGAGCATCCGACCACGGCGATCCTAACGGACATCTCACCTCATGGGAGCCCACAGCCGGCAAAGTAAGCGTCAAACTGCTATATTGCTGTAACATTTATTCTTCATGGACATGGCTTGTTGGATCGTTGGACGGTCAACAATCAACGTCAATTCGCCTTGGTCATTCCGTCCCATCCACTCCCTCGCAGCGCGGCATTTGTGGTTGCCGATGCAACCACAAACAAAGCAAACAATACATTATGTCCTGGAGGGAATTACACTGCCATGGTAAGGGCGCTGGCGTGACTTTGCAGCCGACATTTGCAATTGCCACAACGATTAGCAGGCGCAGCAGGAAACAAGATACAATCTTACGCGGCTCGGTGTAACTGCAGGCCCCCGTTTTCCTATTTGTAAAGAGTATGCTTGCAATACCCGTGGCTGGCGTATCGAATTCCGCTTCGCAACCGTCCTGGTCGGCAGCAATCAGGATTGAACCCCGCTGCAAAACGGCCCTCCGCGCTCTGCCCCTCAGGTGTCATTCGGGTCAGGCTCGGCCGCTCGCCGCTTGGCCATGATGACTATCAACTCCTCTTCCGTCGCCTTCACCTCCCCCGCCCCAACTGCTTCCTGGTGAGATGGCAAAGCTGGAAATGAGTCCAGATCCAGGTCCTCGCTCCTTGCCTTTCCTCTCCTGCGGCCCACGGCAGACGTGCTCACGGCAGAGGTGCCCCTAACTGCCTCCTTGCCAACCCTCGCCTCCCTCCGAACCCTTCCCGCCTCTTTCCTCGCCCCCTCCCTAACTCCGCAGCCCCAATCTGGTGGATTTGGGCGGCTCCGTGAAGGCAGGGCTGGCCACCAGCTTCACCGCGGCTTTCCGCGTACCTTGCAGCGTAGCAGGTGGGTGCATGGGCGGTGGGCGGGCAAGTTGGATTGCGTACAGCAATAGCCATGAGCGTGAGGCTGAAGGTGTGAGCGGCGAGGGTGGTCCTCTGTAATCCATGTGCCCTCCCCCTGTGCCCTTCGTCTCCTTCTTCTCCATCCCCACTCACCCATCGTCTTACCCCACCCCTCCGCAACGCATCGTTTTTTCACTCCTGTAGGCAGTTCGCTGCTGCTAAAGGTGACGGCTGCCGGGTTAAGCAGCGCGGTAGGGTGGGGGCAGAGCGAGACCACCGTTACCGTGGCGGGGCCGGGGTCGCCGCTGCTGGAGCAAGGCGGAGCGTGCGCCACTGTGTCAGCTGCATGTGAGGGGGTGAAGAGGGGTGAAGAGGCTGGGCAGGGGACGGTGTGAGAGAGGGGGAGATGCTGTCCGGTAGTTGTTGCTGCTGCCGCTGCGTGCAGCAAACTCCTGACCATGCTGTCGCAGATTGGATAAGCTCCTTGCCTCTCGTGCCTCTCGTGTCTTTTTCCTCTTGTGTTGGGTCCATTGCTGGTTGCTGCTGTGGGCTGGGATGCGGCAGCGCTGCAGACCTCCTCATGCCTAGGGCCCCATCTGTCCGCCTCCTTATCACCTGGTCGATGTTAAGCTGCGTGATCTCCCTTTATTCCCTCATCTCCACAGGCCCCGGCTTGGTCCAGTCCTCGTCACGCCCGCCCTCGCCGCCATCCCCACCGCGACCTCCTCCCCCTCCGCCCTCTCCCCCGCTTGTACAACCACCCCCCGTGTCCACCGTCCAGCTTCCCGCCAGCACACCGCCGCCCACCTCGGTGGCAACGGTGAGGTGGATGTGGGGTGTGTAGTTGAGTAGAACAAGAGAAGGGTTGAAAATACCGTGTGTGTGGCGATACTGAGGTGCTGTTGGGCCACTGCGTGCACTGTTTTCTAGGGCTGTGTCTTACTGCTGTCCAAAGCGCTCGTATCACGCCCTGCTGCCGTCCCTTGCCCTGACTTCCCCTCCCTGCTGCCCTCCCTGCCCCCAGACATCCAACTCCAGCGGCTGCACCCCCAGCAACCTCAACTACACCTGCATGGCAACTAGGGTAGGCGGGGGGTGGGACGCATGGGGAGTAGGGGCAGCCGCTGCATTCCCCCTCTCACCCTTTAGGCCCTTGTCTCGCTGCTACTACTGACGGTGTTCCTGTCTTGCCCACTTACAGGGCAAGATTACCATCCACTGGAGCGTCAACACCACCTCAGCACCCAGCAACCCCTGCACGCCCGCCACGCGAACCGAGCTGCAGGTAATAACCCAACCTAAGCCAGCCCAACCTCCAGTTGCAAGCTGTCTTTGTGTGTTGCAGGCGATGGGTGCGGGTTCATGGTAGGATATTTTACGCCGGGGGCTGAGGAGCCGTGAAACCCCTTCCGCAACCCTGTTAGTGGCTGATGATAATCCGCTGTCGCCCGCCTTGCCCCCAGGACTCCGATGTGACCCAGGTCGGCACCCTGCACATGGCCGTCCAGTCGTCAATGCCAGGTGAGCGGAGGCAGGCACCGCTCCTGCTGCTGCTGCTGCTGCTTCGCCCGCATGATTGCTGCGCCTCACTTGCTGCTTTGTATGTGTTGAAGTCCCTCCGTCTCCGCCTTCGCCTCCTCTCTGCGTTATTCCATCCTCCGCATGCATGACGCCTACTCGCTCCGCTGGCTGCCCCATTCACTTCCGCAGGCTACGTATCTCTGGGGTTCGGCTCGAATCCGGGTCGCATGTATCCGAGTGACATCATCCTGGGCTGGGTGACCTCCAGCGGCTCAACCAGCCTCAAGACCTACTATGCGCAGGTAAAGGGTTGTAAGCTGGCTGGGTCGCCGGGCTGAGTCATACCGGTGATGCTGCCGGAGGCGTTGCCAACGCGCATGTGTGCGTGAATGGTGCCTTCTGCTGTGGTGCTGTAGGCGGGACTGCATGTGTAGTGGACTTGCTACAGGGCGTTTGCTGAGGATCCTGAGCCTGAGCTTGCTCTCCCTCGCATCACAGGGCGAGGATCTGAGTGATGGGGACGTGTGGCCTCCCTCCGGCTCGTCCAGCTGGGCGTACGACAGCGGGGTGTTGCAGAACTCCTCCTCCGGCGTCACCACCTTGTGCTTCAGCCGCCGACTGCGGGACGACCGAGCCAAGGCATCACCCGACCTGCGGGCGGCCACCGGAGGGGCGGCGGCAGCGGGAGGGGCGACGACCGGAAGGCGGCGACTGGCGGCATCACAGGATGGTGAGGACCGAGGCTGCTCGCGTCTGGTTTAGGACTGCCGACGGACAGTGTGACCTCTAAACTCACCCAACATTGCTCTCCTCCTTTGCTGCTGACACTGGGCCGCCTCATTCTTGCCCCGACCCTCACCTGCAGTTGCGAACCAGCTGGCTCTCATCTGGGCGGTAAGCAGCAGTGACCGGCTGGTGCAGCACACCGGCAGTAACGTGGGCGGCTTCTACCTGGACGTGTCCAGTGGAGGCTCGATTGGCGCCGGGGGGGACAAGCGCTACTGGATCAATGTGCACGGAGCGCTGATGGCGGTGGCGTGGGTGCTGCTGCTGCCGCTGGGAACCCTCCTGCCGGCACACAGGTAGGGGGGCAGGGGGCTGCATGTGCTGGGTGCTGCGAGGGTGAGAGGCGCAGGGCTGCTGATGCCCCTAGCTTTACATGTCCCGCTGCTCCTCGTGTCCATTGTTGCTGCTGACCCTCTTCTGTGTCCCTCTGTACCCCAGGTGGGTGCTCGGCGACATGAAGGTTGGTGGCAAGCACGTGTGGTTCCTGCTGCACCTGATCTGCCAGTGGAGCGGTATGGCGCTGTTCGTCGCCGGCTTCATCGTAGCTTTTGCCAAGCTGGAGGACGAGGGCGGAGAGTCATCGGGCGGCGAGGCAGGCGATGCGCACGGGGGCATCGGTGTAGCGATTATGGCCGCCGCAGCAGCACAAGTGGTGCTCGGCCACGTCCGACCCGACCCTAGCCACCCCAAGAGGGGTATCTGGAACCTGCTGCACCACAACCTGGGTCGGGCTGTCGTGCTGCTTGCCTGGGCCAACGTCTACATCGGCATCTACGTGTTCCACGTCAGCGAGTTTGAGGCCAAGTACAAGGAGTGGATCACACCCATCGCAGTCGTGATGGGGCTCCTGGTGAGGACTGGGAGGGCGCGAGGGCTGGGTCTCTGTTTTGGCGCTGCTCGTGACCTCCTGCTTGTACCTGCATGTGGCTCTCCACGTGTATGCTTGTAGCGTCTTGGTCCGTGTCTGTGTATCCTGAGCGAGGGGCACGCTGCTTGCGACCGCTGCTGTATCTCCAGGCCATGCCGTTCGGTTTTCAGCTTGTATACGCCACTCGACATATCAGTATTGTCTTGGACTCGCAATCGTGTTGCTCCTTCTGCCGCCCCTTCCTGCCTGCCTGCTGTGCTTGACGCACTTCCTTGTCCCCGCCGCAGGTGTTGTTGGAAATTGTGCTGCGGGTAGCCGCGCCTCCGTCGTCCACCAAGCAACAGCAGCCAGCTGTGCAGCAATTGGCCGCAACCTATGCGGTGTCTGCGGAAGGGGGAGGTGCGGAGGCAGCGAGGGGGCGCGGAGGGAAGGGGCAGTCGGCGGTGTGATATTGCCAGGAAAGCGGTTGCAGCGGTTGCTCGAGAGACTTGGGAGATGGAGAACCCAGAGAGAGCCGAGTATGCTGTGGAGAGGAGGGTGGCAGTGAGTGGCGAAGAGTGAAGCGTGCTAATGTTGCTTTATGCTTTGTACTTTACTTTCGGTGCGGCAGGGTATGTATAAGAGAAATATATACATATGGATATGCATATCCATATAGGCATGTCTATCCGTATAGGCATATACGGAGTATTACCAGTATGAGATCCAGTAATATGGGCACAGGGGTTAACGTTGGCGGAGGATTACCTGCAGGTAGGATGGGCGGAAGCATGGTCGGGATGCGGTTGCACAGTTGGGATGCAGCAGAGGCGCAGGAGGGTAGCAGCAGGTCGCGATTGATGACTGAAAGATTCTTCTCAAAGCGTTGACGTGGTGTGCGAGAAATCTCACGAACGCAAACACAACTTAGCAAGGAGAGGACAGTGTGCATACCGGTACGCCGGAGTAGCAGTTGTGTGGGCATGGGTGACGAGAGAGAGCTATGCGATGCACCGCATCATGCAGTATCGCCCTCTGCGTGTGATAACAGGCGGAACATTGCCCTGCTGCAGGAGTGTATCTGCTGCGCTAGGTGTTTTGCTGTTGCTCCTAGGCAGGAGGTGTAGGAGATCTGTACAAATTCCTATTAATCGTTGCTACCTGACCTGACTTGCCTAATAGTGTTCGATTGCTCGTTGGCTTGACTTCACTATTCCTTTGCAGCGCGTGCCGTACTGCCAGGTGAAATGCTGGTGCATGTCGGTTTGCATGCTGCAGGCACTGGTTCGTCTCAATGTCGTTCGTACCATCGGATTACTGCCCATCACGAGGGCTGTTTGTGCCACTTGGTTCCCTGATGCTGGGGGGTGGGCAGTATTGAAGCATTCACCTGTAACCTGTCCGCTTCATGCCGGAACAACAGTGCACACGCTTATTATTTCCGCAGTACTAGGGTCGGGTTCGCCAAGATATCCAGATACCCGGCGACTGTAAGCTTGCAATCCGCCCAGCTTACCCGACTAGATGGGCGTCCGTTGCAGAGCGCTCCCCCATCCTCCAACCCCCATACCTGCAACGCGCGCGTGCACCAAGCAAATGCTGCAAGGTTTCGGTGTGGGAGTATCTAACATCCAACCTGCGGTCCAGCGGCAGGAAACGCAATACCGGTGGACAGGTCCCGTGTTAAAGTGGACAAGCAGGAAGGAAGGTAAGCAGCTCCTCCATGGACGCTTGATTGTTATGAAAGCCCCCCAGCCCCCACTTACACTGGGGCCGTGCTCAGGCGCTGATGTGGCTGATGCCGACCAGGGCAGTGTGTCTTGCTGTACGGGGCATACATGAAGTTACCACCTGGTTTGTTGGGCTACCTGGTCCAGGTTAGGCGCGACCCATGGGTCTCACCTGGGGGGGCGGCGTTAACGACAGCAGAGGATGGGTATTATGTAAGGTCATAGGGTGGCTTAGGTGATGGGAAGGTATGGAGGTAGGACTGACCAGGTCGCTGACTTACCTGTGAGAAGTGGTGTGGCTTTGTTTGGTAGATCAGAAGATTACCCGCAACATGACCGGACAGTGGGGACAGTGGGGGAGACAACATGCAAACCCTGTTTCAGCACGCTGACGGCATTGGCGAAGAGCTGATCACGGAGTTGTTGCTCCGTGAAGCTCAGCTGACGCCGATGCTCCTCAACATCAGCGTCAGCTGAGCTTCACGGAGCAGCAACTCAGAAACGTAACCAGCAGCTCTTCGCCAATGCCTTCGCCCGTCCTGGAGGACTTCCGTCCACCGGATCAATCCACCAACGGCAAATAAGTCAAGCGAAGACATGCCTGTCTGGTGTTACAGCATGTACGTTTATTTCGGTACGTTGTACTGCGATATTCACAGTTCCCCAGGACGTTGCGGGCATGCATGCTGCAGTTGACGCCCATGTGCCATGTCAACCGGCAGGGCTCTGCAGCTCCCCATACATCCTCTCTCATTATTATCAAGCGAAGACACCAGGGCTCCACCTCACAACACCACCGTTGGTAGGTCCATTATGTGCGTGTTAGTAGGGTCATTCATTCGTTCAATTAACCCATCCATGCAACGACATACCGATATACGACCCCGGCAACAATCACCGGGTATTCACGAACGACAGTGCTCAACCCAGCAGCGCTCAACAACTTACACCGTACGTAGGAAGTAGCATCATTCGTACCAAACATGGCAGGATGTGGCCCATGCCACACGCCAACAAACCAACGAAACCCCCACCATCTTGCCGGGAAAATCACGCGCGGGTTCGCCTCACAAGTCACAACCCGGCTCACATGACGCGAACACGCCCACATGCACAAATAAGGACTGAGGCATGGCTGGTCACGAGCGACAGTCATGCGGCCTCCTACGTATATCGCACGGCACCTGCTCACTAAATGCAGCTCTTCTTCGGGAAAGCGGGACCACAAGTTGAGGCTCACTGCAGCACAACTTGTCCAGCTTTCGATTTGTGCATACCGGTAGGTTCACGGAATTATCCCCTACATGGCACCTCTCTCCTAGCAACCAAACGCCCATGCATGGGGGGGCATACCACAGCCTCTCACTCACACGGCGCTCTCCACACGGGCAATCACTCCATTACCACCATAATCCACTACCCATTATCTACGAGCCGGCTAGGCGAATTGCTGTCCTTGCTGCTGCACATTGTACAGAGGTGCCGGGTATGAGACTCCGCCTCCCGCCGGCGGCGGGTACGGAGGCGTTGCACTGCCCGCATGCAGGTAGGGGACTCCGGCCGCCGGTGGATATGCGGCCGGGTAGGGGGGTGCACTGGCGGCAGGAGGATAGGGGACTGCAGTTCCGGGATGCGGTGGGTATGCGGCAGGGTAGGGCACTGCGTTGCCTGGCTGTGGGTAGGGGACTGCGTTGCCTGGCTGTGGGTAGGGCACTGCGTGGCCCGGAGGTGGTGGGTAGGGGGCTGCAGTTCCCGGCGGCGGGTAAGGGGTGGTGCCCGGAGGAGCAGGGTAGGGGGCTCCGCCGCCGGAGTTCCATGCGACCTTGCCTCCTGGGCTGGGCGGCGCTTGCGGCTGCAGCTGCAGCTGCTGCGGGGGGGCGGCCGCACCGGCAGCCGCAGGAGGGGCGTCGGGCGCCATGAAGCGAAGCACGATGTCGAGCATCAACTGCGGGCGGGCGGGGGGCAGGGTTGGGTGAAGCGGGGTGAGGCGGGGTGAGGTAATGAAGAGTGACACGTGGGAGTTTGAACGGGCGGTCATGGGAGAGGCTGTTGTGGGGCTGCATGATTTGGAGTACGGTAGGTAGCTTGACAGCATGGCTGCTCGGCGTGTTCGCAAGCGTGCGCGCTTCATGCCGGCGTGAGTCTCCCACTACATCCCCCCCGCCGCCCTACACCCTCCCACCCACCCCGCCTCACCAGTGCTCCCATCACGATGGCAATGGGCAGGATCCAGTGCTTGTAGCTGGCCTGCCACTGGCTCACATGGTAAATGTAGATGCCGATGTAGATGTTGGCCGACGCAACCAGCACACTCAACCGACCCAGGTTGTGGTGCAGCAAGTTCCACAGTCCTCGTCGCGGGTGTTTCGGGTCGGGCCGCACGTGTCCCAGAATCATCTGAGCTACCGCAGCCGCCATGACCGCGATTCCGATCTTCTGGTGCGCCTCCCCCACGTCGCCACCCGGCATGCTGTCCTCCTCGATCTCCAGTTTGATGTACAGCACCACGAATCCCGCGATGAACAGCGCCATGCCGCCCCACTGGCACACCACGTGGCCCAGGAACCAGATCTGCTTGCCGAACAGCTCCTTGCCGCGGAATACCCACCTGACGGGAGGGGTGGTGAGGGTGGTGAGGGTGTGGGGGCAAGTGAGGCGGACCGACAGCAGGGAAGGAGGGAGGGAGGGACATCGGACATCAGCCCTACCCTACTGCTGTGCCCCTGCCGCTTCAGCCTCACATGTCCTTTCATGCCCCGGACCGCATGATCAGCACCAGCTACCCCACCCCCAATCACTCACCGGTGCGAGGGCAGCAGGGCACCCAGGGGCAGCAGCAGCCATGCGACCGTCATCAGCACGCCGTGCACGTCGATCCAGAACTTGGCGTCCGCGGTGGCGTCAGCGGAGCCACCACTGGTCACATCCAGGAAGAAGCCGCCCACGTTACTGCTGGTGTGTTGCACCAGGCCGCGCGTGTTGCTGACGGCCCAAGAGAGGCCCAGACCGGCTGCAGGGAGGGGGAGGGGGAGGGGCAGGGAGAGGTTGGGGACCGGAGAGGAGGAGGGAATGCAGTATTACACTGCCCCAGACAGCCGTGTTCAACCCCATGGCAACAACTGGCAACGCGAAGTGAATTCAAGCAGCCACCCCGCTCCTCACCATCCTGTGATGCCGCCAGTCTCCGCCTTGCTGCCCCCGCTGCCACTGCCCCTCCGGTGGCCGCCCGCAGGTCGGGTGATGCCTTGGCTCGGTCGTCCCGCAGTCGGCGACTGAAGCACAGGGTGGTGACGCCGGAGGAGGAGTTCTGCAGCACCCCGCTGTCGTACGCCCAGCTGGACGAGCCGGAGGGAGGCCAGATGTTGCCCATGCTCAGGTCGTTACCCTGTATGACGGGTCAAACGGTACAGGGTCGGGGTCACGGGAAGAGGGGCGGTACGGAGCTTCCGTACGGTACGGTACGACGACACCAATGCAGTGCCGGCCCGTACCTCTGCGTAGTAGGTGTTGAGGATGGCTGAGCCGCTGGAGGTGACCCAGCCCAGGATGATATCGCTCGGGTACATGGAGGAGGGGTTGGGGCTGAAACCTATTGATACGTAGCCTGCAGGAGGAGGGGGGCAGCGTGGGGCAGAGGGATTAAAGAGGAAGCACCTAACTGATTGAGGGAGTGAGGCGAGCAGGCGCCCGGCGTGAAGAGGGGGAGGGCAGTGGGCAGCCCGGTGGCGCATCGGTAACGAACAGGAGACGCCTCCCCCGGGTGGTGGCATGGGGGACACCGGTGACCGCTATCTCGGGCGCGCCGGAGGGCGGCTGGGAAGGTGCATCGAATGCGGTGCATGGGTATGTATACGGTAAAGGTGCCGTATGTATGTGGAGCGCGGGCCCTCTGTCACACTATGTACCTCCCCCCGCCGCCCCCCCGCATGAGCCCCCCCCTTCCCCGCCCCCCCACCCCACCTGTCACAGCGGACTGCACTGCCATGTGTAGACTGCCGTTCTGGGCGATGTCAGAGTACTGGGGGGAGGGGCGGGGTGAGAGGACACAGTGGGTGGCGGATAACATTGAGTTCTTTTGCGAAAGTGGGGCCTTGTGAATGGCTGGAAGAGGGGAAAGAGACGCGTTCAGGCACCCGTCCAGTGGTCCGGCGCCTGCACGCGCACATGCCCATGACTGCGGCTGAGGGTGAGCAACGCAGCCCAACCCCCAATCCCAGCCCCCCACCCCCCGGGGTGGCGCTCAGCTCACCTGTAGCACAGTCCGGTTGGTGGGTGTGCACGCGGTACTGGGTGCCGAGGTGGTGTTGACGCTCCAGTGGATGGTGAGCTTGCCCTGTAGTAACATCATACAGTGTGAGGGGTGGGGGGTGTGCGGGAGTGAGGAGGGTCACAGCCAGAATGCCGGCGGCGGATGCTCTTGATGCGTTGATGTGCCCAGCAGGGACGAGGGCACGGGTTGATGGACTGCTACGGGCCGGTCTGCAACCTCACACCAACGCACCCCGGGGCGCCTAACATGCCGCATGTAAGCATGCATGCCACCCTGCCAGCCCACCCCAAGTCCTCAACCCCCCTCACCTTTTGCGCCATGCACTGGTAGCCCAGGGTGCTGCGAGTGCAGCTGGTGGCAGCCTGGGGGACCTGCGGGGAGAGGAAAAGAGATAGGGTTAAGTGCAAATCCCAACGAAATACCAGTGGGGAGGGAAGGGCAGCAGCGGGAGACCCATGGGTCATCAAAACACAATTAGCCATCTTATGCATGCATGGTTACGGTGCAAGAGCATGTGCCAACAAAGCTGTTTGCCTTGGTTGCCCGCCAACCCGCACACGGCACATTGCAGGTACCGCACATGCACCGCGCGACTCACGTCAGGTGGGGAGGGCGGCATGTTGGGAGGCGAGGGCGGGGAGGGCGGCGAGGGCGGTGCTGGGGACGGAGGGCTCGGCGAAGGGGGCGAAGGGGATGGCGGCGGAGGAGAAGGGGGCGACGGCGGCGACGGCGGCGGGCGGGGACGCAGGTCGGGCTGCGGGCTGGGAGGTGGTGGGGAGGGAGGCGAGGGCGGCGGAGGAGAGGGAGGCGGCGGCGGAGACGACACAAGGCCACCTGCAAGGGCACCGGGTCAGGAGCAGCGACAGCCATTAGCGCTCAGGACTCCGGATTCACTGCGGCTAGCTCCATCGATACAGTCTTGAGAGTAAGCGGAGCGGAGCGAGGAGGGAGGGCACGAAACACAGCGGCCAGCTGCCTAGCAACGCCACTGGCACCAGCACCGGGCCTGCCCTCCTAGCCCCACTTGCCGGGAGCTACAGCCCCCTCCACACACACAGACTCCGCCCCCTAGCCTCCCCTCCCCCACACGCTCAAGTCCACTCCCTTTTCAGCCCAGCCCAGCCCCTCCCAACCCACATGCCGCCGCGTACGAGGCGCAGGAGCCGCTGGTAGCCGACAGCACCGTCAGCGTCTTGGTGTTCTGAGTCCAGGCGCGGCCGGAGCCGGTGGCGGCAGCAGTCGTTCGGAGCACGATGCTGCTGCTGGCTGCGGGGGGGGAGGCGGGGGTTCGGGTCGTGGCTTGTCAGGCCAGGGGGACCAACACCAAAGCCACAACACACCACATGGGTACACCACATGTGGTAGAAAGGCGGTGCAGTCACTTACGCAGTCATTTTCGCCCCATCAGCCACTTGCTGTATTGCATTGCATTGCACTGCAGGCATAACGCCTGCACATCCGCTACCTCCTTCTTTACCACCCACCTGCTGCGCTGCAGGGCACCTTGAAGGTGGCGGAGAAGCTGGTGGACACACCGGACTTGGAGCTGCCGCCCAGGTCCACCCGATTGGTGCTGTTGCATTTAGGGAAGGGGGGAAGGGAGGCGGGACAGGCGAGGGCAGGCGAGGGATGAAGTTCAGGGTTGCCGTACGGATACAACCGGTATTACTACGTGCACAGGGTCGCCGTCACTTCGTGCGGGGAGAGCAGCACGTCGTAGCAGGGCACCTCAAACGCGTCGTACTGAGGAGGCAAAGAGAAAGGTAGAGACAAACACGGTACCAGTGTAACGCCCATCAGCTGCTGCTAGGCTGGCCCGCAACCGCCCTGCAACGCTCTGCTGCGCCCACTCACCAGCCGGAGGTGGGCGAGGGTGAGGTGAAGACCACCGAGCTGAGGTCCGCGCTGAGCAGAGCTAGGCGCTTCGAGCCGAAGGATACCTGCGGTCGTGTGGTGGGAGGAGAAGGAGGAGTCAGAGTGGGGTTAAACACGGAATTACGCCAAGCCCGGTGGTTTGAACACGAGGGTGAGAGCGTTAGTTAGCAAGAGCTGAAGGGCCAGCCGCACGCAAGAAACGAAGCCGCCTCTATTACGTAAGCGATTGGTGTGTTTGGGATTTGTAATGATCTTTGCTGTGAGCACGAAGCTGCATGCACTTGCGCTGCAACTGCAACTGTTAGTAAAAAAGTTGGATCCTGCAACCGTCCCTTGCAACCGTCAGGAGCTCAGGACGCTTCAGTAACCTCTGCACCAACTAACCTTAAGGTTGTATGTTCCTCCTGGACACACAGTGTCGCCTGTCGCGCTTGTCGAAGCATCAGAGACGACGAAACTGATGGAGCTGGGGGACGGCATGAGGAAAAGGTGGATGTAAAGTGTAAGCATGGCACATTCAAGTTCAAGGACGTAACTAACACAACACCAAAGCGCAAATGGTTCACGATTCGCTAACAGACGTAAGCTTCTCACACCTGTCCGTGTACGGAGTGCCATGGACGTTGCCGCTGATGGACCATGATGCCGACGGATGATCTCCGCAGGCTGGCTTTTGGGTCAAATAGTAATTATAGTATGCATACCAGTAGTTTGGAAATGCATTGCAGAACACTGCTAATTGCAGCAATGCAAGTACAATGAGCGCCTTGCTTGACTTCATTCTTCCAGTTGTTGTCCTTGATGGCTCACTGTTGTAGAATTACCACTTTAAGCGTCGGTAGCTTAGGCGTTCATCAGAGTAGCCACGTTTGATACACAGTCACCGTTCACTGAATAGTCGCGGTGACGAGCGGCTTCCTTGTTACAGATGCGAGTAACTACAAATAACTTATATAGGTTTCACCCAGCTCCTACTAGGTGCATGCGACGCGACGTCTGCCCATGGCGATGAGACTGTAGATTCCTTCGTAGACGACCAATCGTATAGCGTACGACAGTCAGCGTTTTACGCTCTCAGGGGGCATAAAATCTCAGGTTGCATTCGCCATAGTAATTTCTTTTTCTTTGTGGATTAAACTGAGAACAGGGTAGTGTTGTTGCCAATGCTCGTTGTAAGACGGTTATGTATTTACAGCTCCATAATTCAACAGTCGCGAAGTTGTAAGCTCAGCCGAGAAACTCCTAAAGTCGATCTTTTCGTGAGGTCAGACTACCAGCCACGGGCACTGCCCTGTCGGGCACCAGGGGCAATGAAGTTTCACAACTGTTATCGTAGCTTCCCTCTCACGGAATCCTTTTGTCTCCAATGTGATCCTCGCGTCCCTAGACCGCACGGCATTAGTCATTCAGCTTATGCACAAGCGCATACGTCATAGCCTTAGGCCGTCTTAGGAAGGGTAGGAATTGCATACTGACGCTATTGTAATAGCTTGGCAAGCAGGCCATTACGTTGTTCTCTCGGCTTTTCGTTGAGGTTCGATGGGGTGGGGATGCGCCGGCAGGAGGGCAAGACCATATGAAAGCTTCACGCCTAACTGCAACGAGGCTGCGACTCCCCAATGTTGCATCGACCCTCTCACCCTCAGCTGCCGTATGTGCAAATCCTCGTACTACGGGGCATTCCTGGAATGCAGTGACATCAACGACGCCCTATGCAGCACAGATAGGACGCAGGAGCCTTGCGCATGTATCCGCCCCCATCACATATGTACGGTAGCTTTTCTCTCCACCCTGTCACGCAGCAAGATGCCTAACGCATCGCCCTGCGCCGCAAGGGCGGCGTAAGGTTACGTCTCATCACACAAGCATGTGCTGCATTGCTTACAAAAACCCCGCTCCTGTTGCGGTTGCATGATCACATGCACGAATGGACGACAGTTTTCTGCGGTTGAGGGAAACACCTCCTGTTCGCATGCCCTCTCTATTGCATGCCGGCTTCTCTCCATCCGCATTCGACCATACCCAAAATTAAGCATTGATATACAGTCACTACTTCAACCAGCCACATGGTGGCATGGTCGCGAGCCGCTGTCTGCGCACTATCTCAGCCTCTGTCGTCACACACCGCCAGACAGAACGAAGAGTATTTTGTCAAAGGTGATCCAGCTAATGACACACGCCCGCATTCACGATTTGCGCTGTCAGAAACCATAACGGGCGTTCCTCAAGCCAGCAAAGGTCGCAACATATGCTCGTTGTCACCAATGTCACCAACCACCACAACATTACCGGTATCACCAGCTGTCGCCTGGCGACATAGCGTCACCTAGCTCGCATGCATAGCATTGCTAGCAAACAGGAAGATTCTTATTACGAACGAGCAGGGAAAGCCATTATCAGCGGCAAACGGGCATGATGATGCCAGATTGCGCCGCAAGTGTCCCCGCTATAGTACGAGTCATAAGCGAGATTACAGATCACGATCTGTAACGATTGAACTAATACGATGTATACCCAGTTTAACCACCCACGCATCACACGCGACTCTCACGCCCGAATTGGCTTCGCAGGGCTCGAAGTAGTGCCTGTGTCGGCTACAATGTTAAGGTCGGTGAAGTCCGCCTTGTGGTGGTGGTTCACGCGGACCGGCGGGCCCGTCAGGCGCAGGAAGACATCAACCAGCACCTAACGAGGCGAGAGGTAACGGGAAACGGGGAACGGAGGGAAGAGGGTTAACGTTGCCGGCAAGATAACGGTAACGGTGAGGGAGACCATGACCAGGCAGCTCAGAGAGTTAATGCAAGTACCGGTAAGTAGGCTATGCGCACAGCAACAGCAACGGAGACTGAACTACCGGTGCTAGCACAACGTGAAAATGGCGCCAACGTGCACACCAGCTCCCCCCAGCCCTTACCAGGAGCCCCATCACGATGGCAATGGGTGTGATCCACTCCTTGTACTTGGCCTCAAACTCGCTGACGTGGTATATGTAGATGCCGTGGTAAACGTTGGCCCAGGCAAGCAGCACCGCCGCTCGGCCCAGATAGTGGTGCAGCAAGTTCCACAAGCCCCTCTTGGGGTGGCTGGGGTCGGGCCGTATGTGGCCCACCACCACCTGCGCCCCAGCCGCCGCCATGACTGCAATGCCGATCTTCTCATGCGCCTCCCCAACAACTCCTCCCGGCAGCTCCCCGCCATCATCCAGCTTCACGTACACGGCGATGAATCCCGCCAAGAAAAGCACCATGCCGGTCCACTGGAAGGCCATGTGCAGAATGAACCACGCGTGCTTGCCGAAAATCTTCTTGTCGCCAAGCAACCACCTGGGGTACAGACGGACAGAGAGAGATAACAACGGACACGAGGGGTAGTCGGGCATGTAGGCATGTAGGCACCGGCACCCTTCCCGTACCATCCCTGCCCTTCCTTGCACCCAGCACATGCAGCCCCTGCCCCCCTACCTGTGTGCCGGCAGGAGGGTTCCCAGCGGCAGCAGCAGCACCCACGCCACCGCCATCAGCGCTCCGTGCACGTTAATCCAGTAGCGTTCGTCCACGCCCTCCACCTCAACCGCGCCTCCGTTGGACACGTCCAGGAAGAATCCGCCCACGTTGTCGGCGGTGTGCTCCACCAGGCCTCGGGCGGGGCTGACGGCCCAGATGAGTGTCAGCTCACCCACGGCTGCAGGTGGGGGGGGCGGGGAGAGGGTAGCGTAGCATGAGCGAGAGATGCAATATATGTATCAAAAATCTGGCTGAGAATGTAGCCCCACCCACCATCCTGTGATGCCGCCAGTCGCCGCCTTGCTGTCCCCGCCGCCGCCACTGCCCCGCCGGTGGCCGCCCGCAGGTCGGGTGATGCCTTGGCTCGGTCGTCCCGCAGTCGGCGACTGAAGCACAGGGTGGTGACGCCAGAGGAGGAGTTCTGCAGCACCCCGCTGTCGTACGCCCAGCTGGACGAGCCGGAGGGAGGCCACACGTCCTTCTCGTCCAAATCCTCCTCCTGCAGCAATGGGAAGGAACCAGGCGAAGGGATATTTGACAGGCCCTGTAATCGTCCTGGACGCATGTGCCCTCCCCGCCGCTGAGGGGCACGTCCCTTCCATCACATGACATGGATGCACAACACGGACCGGGCTGACAAGAGCAGCTCAGATGTGTCATCGGGAACATGCCCCCGTGTGTTCTCCACGCCTCGCAGCCTCACACACACACACCCTGCCCGCCCACCGCAGCCACGCGACCCCCCTGACACGCACCTCCGCGAAAAACGTCTTGAGGTATCCCGCGCCGCTGCTCTGCACGTAGCCCAGCACGATGTCACTCGGGTACATCTCCTCAGGGTCGGAGCCAAAGCCCAAGGCCACGTAGCCTGAAAACCGGACGGGGACATCAAACGAACGAGTTAGACCGGTGCGTGTAATGGCGAGAACTCGGCATGCTGGTGCATTGGCCAGCAACCAGCAAGCCGTGCAGGTGGGAACAGGTCCGTCGGTCTCTTCAACGAAGCTTTATCGCAAACTGGTGCTCCCTCGTCCCTCGTCAGGGTCATCAGTGTTTCCGCGGCTCAGTTCATCTAATCCCTCGTCACATGGCCCAGCACTACAAACGCCGCGTGTGCCTGTTGCCCCCTTCCCGCCGCACGGGGTCCATGCGCCCATGTCATGCCACCCACCTGTCACGGCGGCTTGGATCGCCATGTGCAGCGAGCCGCTCTGGGCGACCTCCGCTTCCTGGAAGGGCAGCGGGCGGGGATAGCGGTGAGGACGATCACACATAGCAACCCACGTAGCAGGGATCGCGCAGGCTGTCATCCCTGCAACTGCCGGCACCAACCGCTGAGCGACAACCCAGGAAATAGCTACCAGCTCAAAGCCGTCACGCATGAAGCTGCGCGGCTTCATGCCAACCGGTTGTTGCCCCCCAACATGTGCCTCCCAACATGCGCACCTGCAGCTCGGTTCGCGTGGCGGGCGTGCAGGGGTTGCTGGGTGCAGTGGTGGTGTTGACAGTCCAGTGGATCGTGACCTTGCCCTGCAGGGAGGGCATAGAGAGGAGGCGGCATGGGGTCATGTATGAGTCGAAGCGGAGGAGCGCAAGTGGCGGGGCCTCATGCCACCCTGCCAGCCCCCCCCAGTCCCCAACCCAACCCCCCTCACCTTTTGCGCCATGCACTGGTAGCCCAGGGTGCTGCGAGTGCAGCTGGTGGCAGCCTGGGGGACCTGCGGGGAGAGGAAAAGTGGGTGCGAGGGAGCGGGGGTTTCAACACAGCAGCAACCTGCAACACGCGACAGTGTGCTGGCCGCAACCAGGGTGGCCCCTGGAGAGGCCAGGAGAGGCCGGGGAGCCAGCTTCCGACACAGGGACACCAGCAGCAGTCACTGGGCGCCCGTCAACAACAGCTACCGCCCTCCCATGCCTCTACTGCCACCACCACCCTGGCCATCCAACGCGCATGTCTGCAGTGCCCTCGCTGCTGCTGCTGCAGTCCTACCGCGGTGCGCTTTTGGGTTGCACCACTATTATTAAACACAGCACGGTACCGTACGTTCTCCTTCTTTCCCTACCGCGGTGCTAGGAGGCGGCGGTGGAGAGCCTTCCGACATCTGGATGTCCGACGGCGGCGGGGAGGGCTTCGACGAGGGAGGCGACGATGAAAAGGGAGGCGGGTTGGGAAGTAGGGAGCGCGAGGGGAGAGAAGGAGGAGAGGACGAGGGTGATGGGAGGGATACGGGCGATTGCGTTGAGGAGGAGTTGAGAGGCGGGCTGGGGTGGGTGGGAGGAGATGGCGGCGTGGCGGGGGGTAATGGAGAGGGCATGCCCGGGGGAGATGGCGGCCGTGGGGAGGGTGGGGAGGGCCGGGGTGATGGTGGTCGGGGTGCCGGGGGACGGGGAGGCGGTGACGGCGGCTGGGGAGGTCGTGGTTGCGGCGACGGGGGAAGGGGCGGTGATGGCCGTGGGGATGGAGGCGGTGGGGGTGAGGGTCGGGGCGATGGCGGTCGGGGCGGTGGGGGTGGGGATGGTCGGGGGGACGGTGGTTGTGGGGGCGAGGGTCGCGGGGAGGGTGGTAGGGGCGACGGTGGCCGTGGCTGCGGTGACGGTGGGGAGGGTGGCGGAGGTCGTGGTGAGGGGGGAGGGGGTGGTGAGGGGCGAGGTGCGGGGGGTGGGGGCGGTGATGGACGGGGCGACGGCGGGGAGGGAGGTGACGGACGGGGCGAAGGCGGTATAGGTGATGGGGGATGGGGAGATGGTGGCGGAGGAGGCGGGGGACCTGGGGAGGAGGTCAAGGGTGGGGGGCAAGCAAGAGCGGTCGAAGACAACTCAGTAGGCGGCTGCAAGGCAGCTAAGACTACGGTCGCTCTGCGTGCCCCCCAGCGAGCTGCCGTTACCTGATCCTGTCCCCTCCTGCGCCTCCAACCCAACCATATGCATCCGCCAGCCCTTCCCCGCCACCTCCATATCAACCACTTCCCGGACTCACAATACACGGAGGGGCAGCTCTTGGCCACGCTGAGTGTCCTGCTGTTCTGGCTCCACCCCCGGGTGGCGGTGCTGGTGCCCGCAGAGGTCACCATGAACAGCAGCACGGTGCCTGGGTGGGGAGGGGGGGTGGGTGCGAGGTGGTGAGCGGGGAGCTGCAAAAGGGTAGCTGCAGCACTTGCAGGCCCTGGTCACAAGGGGCGGAGCCGGATTCATGGTTCTCATCGGGCATTATGTGGGCTTTGAACGAACCCATGTGTGCGCGCGCATTGTGCAGCCCTCTCGCTGGGGTCCAGCCCCTCCGATCCAACCACCCTTGAGGCCCCTGCCGCCTCAAGAGGCCAGCAGCCATCAGCCCCCCGTGCCCCCGCCCACCAGGTGCTCTAACCCTGAGCTCAAAGAGTTACAATGCCCCGCGCCCTCTGTGTGTGTGCCTCTCCCACATGGCACCTACTCGCAGCGCTGCAAGGCACCTTGAACACGGCCGTGAAGCTGAGGGCGGCCCCGGAGTTCATGTTGTTACCCAGATCCACTTGGTTGGTGCTGTGATAGGGGAGGTGGCGGCAAGGGAAAGCGGGGAGCGAGGGGTATCTCGCAAGGCCGGAAGAGAGGGGCAGGCGCACGGAGGAGGACAGCAAGGGTGCGGCAAAGGGTGGGTCACGCTAGTACGCAACATACATGATTGCGTTTTCCCAGAATGGGTCGCGTTGGGAATATAGCTAGGCTGTCAAAGTCTGGCAAAGTTGGCCCCGCCCGATCTCACCATGAGGGTGTGGGAGAGGGATCCGTGAAGTTGACGCTGGAGGAGTTGGCGCTGAGGAGGGCCAGGCGCTTCTCCTTGAAGGACACCTGCAGAGGTTGGGTTGACAAGGGTTGAAAGAGCTGGTCCCAAGCGTGGCGCCCCCCTTTCATAAGGCCAACATGTGCATCATGCACTTGCGACCGGATGACGGCATGCTGTGTGTGTAAGGGACGCCACCCAAGGCACAGCGGGAGTATACACGCACTCACAACAAGCAACCCCGGGTGTGGCCACGTGCTTTGCGCTTATTAGTATATGTATGCTTACCGTGACCTTGTAGGTTCCTCCCGGGCAAAGCGTGTCCGACGGAGAGTTGGTGGAAGCATCAGCAAACACGAAAGCAATGGTCCTAGCGACATGGTGAAAAGCGTCCAGGGCGGGTTAGAACAAAGAAATTGGATATAACGTGTTGCAGTCATACGTGTCATCAAAAGCCCATTCTTACCCATCTATGACTGGAGAGCCATGGACCGAAAGCGACGGTAATACTGACGTGGAGGGGTGTTCCCCGCAAGTAGGCTTGTAGGGTAATGAGACGCCGAAGTCCCTCTTAAGGGCGGTAGCGTCGTACCAGTATTGTGTAAAGGAATTGCAGAGCCGGGCTGTTGTCAGCAGCAAGACGCACGCGAGGTGCGCCGCCGTCCAGTTCATAATTGCATACGGCACAAGTAACACGTGGATAGGCTTTCAAAAAAAGGGCATACGGGCAAAGCCGAAGAGCAAGAGGGAGAACCGGGGGTTTGTTCCCGATTTGGGACGGGAATGCCGGAACCCCAACTGTGCTACGTATGGGACATGTCCGACTCTATTTATTACAGCCCTGAAAGCCTTATCCTAGTCCAAGCCCGCTATCTTGAAGTCAGAAGGTAATTCAGAAGTCAGTCAGGCGCGCATTATTGTACGAAAAACCGTACAGCCTTTGTAGGTAGACCCTTCAGGTAGAATCTCTTGCACAGCTAGATGCAAGCAAATAATAACAGTCTCTGGACCGAAACGAATCATCTAGATGACAAGGAAGCCGAGGCAGTTGTCGGTTGGCTGGAACACGCTGCAAACCCCTACGACAGTGCGCGGCGACCTGCCAGGCTCAAGATTGTAGAGCGGTAGAGGCGGCACGCACTTTGACAGCCTGAATTTGCAGACGTTGCGGCACAGCTACGGCGCGTGTAATACTGTGGCATCGCATCGACAGTACCCTGGAAAGGAGCCGACGTTGACGAGAAGGCACAACAACGCAGCAAGGGAGCTTAGGGGCATGCGGGCATGGCAAAAATGGTGACAGCTGGTTGTGCACTGCCCAGCTAGTTCACTATCCGGGGTCTAGGTGTGGGGCAGCTTGGCTAGCCTAAGCGATCACCAAGGAAATGACCCGTGATTTAGCCGTCATGAAGTTTAAAGAGGGCCGCCACACATTTCGTGTTGCATCGTGGTAACTTCGCATGCCTGCAGGGAAAGCCACGCATGGTCTGGGCTGCAATACCGTACCCAGGGCCTGCAGTGCCCTGGGTCGAACAAGGATTGGCGTTCCGTCGTTTCCGTTCCATAATGCCAATCGTTCAATTCAGGCAATCTGTGACATTCATGTCAAGCACAACCCACGAGGCCCACTCACTCTCGCCTGGCCGGAAATGTGTCAATGTGTGACGCACCAGGCAAACGCCCCCTTGCCATGCAAGGCGAGGAACGCGGAGGCTGCTATGACACAGCAAAATACGGAGGCCTGTAGGGGACCCTGACTCAGACTGATTTTGGTTTTTATAGTGTCCTTGGCCCCCCTGGCTCGTACGGGCACACTGCACATGCGTACAGACTGTAACTGTAATAATAGCAACCAACAACAACCAACACCCTTACGTTAAGGGTGACCCTACAGCACCTGCCCCCAGACTCCACTAATGACTGCTTTTATTGCACAATCCTGGCTCTCAGGCCCTATACAGCCTTGACGCCAACCGTACAAGTCCTGAACAAGTTGTGAAGCGTGGGTGAACCAACCATACCTCACTATGCCAGACTCATGTATATATATACATATGGGATGGAACAAACCCTCTGGAAATGCATATGTGCCCTCCCTAGATTCGCCTTCGTTTGCATGAAACTATTAAGGGGTGGGAAACCCTTAGATAACACGGCAAATAGACCCAAACTCTCGAATTAGGGAGGTCGACATGCCCTTGTCAGGCAGCTAGGCAACCCTCCTGGCAATACCCTCCTGGTGTCTCGCTCACTCCTGCCATCAGGCGACAAGTACGACAAGCAACAACCATGCATGCGCATGCCTCCAATAATGCTTACTCGTTCCGTGAATGCCAGCAAACGGAAACGCACACGGCTCACCAAATGGCCATGCCAACTGCCAGCCTACAAGATGCTAATAGCATTATAGCATTGAAGAATATATGCTAGCAGCCAATGCTGCACAACGCAATACATAAGCAGTATCAACTGAGCTACCAAAGTGCACGGGGCAGCCTTCAGCCTTACATCGCACTCATGTGCATGCTGCATGCCCCGATACCATCCATAACTTCCCCACTACAACAACATCCAGCTTAACGCCGAGCCAACATACCACAGCTCCTTAATTTAAGATATAAAGATACCTCAGAACGCCGCAGGCGGTGCCTCCCGCACCTCCACCACCCGCCACACGGCCCCTGCCCCCTTCGCTGCCGCCCCCGCCTGCTCCCGCCTCACCACAACCTGCAGCCTCTCCCGGCTGCTGAAGGCCGCCGGTCCGGGACCCGCCCGACTGACCTGCGAGCCCTCCGTCAGCAACACAGCCGTCATCTCCACCTGCTGCTGCTCCTTCTCCCCGTCTCGCTCCTGCTGCTGAAGCCCAGGTTGGGATGAGGGCGCCTGCGAGGGCGTGCGGTCGCGGTGCAGCAGCTGCTGCTGTGGGTGCTGGGGTTGCTGCAGCTGCTCCACCACCACCTCTACACGGGTAAGATGCACACGCCTGAGGGGGGGGCAGGCAGGAGGGCGGGGGCGGATTAAAGAGGATGAAGGGGGTGATGGAGGAAACGACCTTGCGACTTCTGGTGGGGTTACCGCACAGAAAGTCCCAATGCTCCCCAAAGCAACCGCCTGGCTTAATCCATACGTTGCCCGCGCGTGCGGCGTACGTGTTGATCCTTGGCCCGTCTCTTATCTTGCCATGCATCATCTTAACGACCCACCTGCCCATCCTGGCATCTCTGTCCGCCTCCGCTCGCGCCCTCCGCAGCGCCCTGCCGCCCAGCAGCGACCCAAGCAGCGCACTGCGGTCCCGTGGGTCGGTCAGACCGGGCGCGGCGGCGCGCGCAGCCGCCCAGCCGCGCAGCAGCGCCGAAGCGGCCGCCTCATCTAGCCTCGCTGCGCTGGCGTAGCGAGCAGCGAGGCGGCTTGCATCCTGCGAGAGGTGCGGGACGGGTTGCGAGTTAGGCGTATAAGCTAATGGCGGAGGGTCAGGCTTTCAGGGACGGCGTACGGTATAGGCTACTAGTTGCCTCCACATCCCACACCGGTCAGGCTATCAACATGACAGCCTCCATAACCCTTCCCACGCACCTCCGCCGTCGCCACCAGCTCCCCAGCCGCCTCCTGCCCGACCGTCTGCAGCGGCCCCGCCTCCGCCACTCCGCCGCCCCTAAGCCACCTCCCCACCGTCCGCGCTGCACCCGATATCTGCGCCGCCGCCGCATCCACCGCCGGCGGCGCCGCTTCGATCGCCGCCTTCACGCCGGCACCTCCGCCGCCCGTTATCACACGGTGCCCCACAAACGCCGCCAACGCCCCCAGACACGCCGCCTGCGCCGCAACCGCCGCCACCCGCCGCATCGCCTGCCGACTCCGCACCGCCGCCACTGCCGCCGCCCAGGGGTTAGCTTCGCCGCCGCCGTCACCACGGGAGGCGCGCTTGGAGCCGGCGGGCCGCACCAGCCGCCATCGTGCCGTCATGTGCGGCCGCAGGTGGCCCTCGGCGTCAGGGACCCACAGGGAGGCCGCGGCGTCAGCGGCGGCGGCCTCAGCAGCAGCGGCGGTGGCGTCAGGACCCGCAGTCACGTCGTAGAGGGGAGCAGCCGGGGAGGCACCGGCAGGAGCTTCTGTAGATGCGGTGACAGAGTCGGCATGGCCGGATACGGAAGGCAGGACGTCGGCGGGCGTAGAGTTGGAAGCAAGAGGAGCTGACGATGACGATAAAGGCGAGGTTGCCCCAGATGCTTGGGTGAAGCCGCTTCCGCTGCTGCTCGTGTTGAGGTAGCTGTCACCATCGTTCGGGGTCATCACAGCAGGAAACGGCACGACGTTGTTTCGGAAAGGAGACGGGCCATCCTGGCTGTTGCTGTTGCTGCTACTTCCAATCGTGTCCACTGGCCTTCCCTCCAGCCCTTGCCGCTGTTGCTGCTGCAATGACGCTGTCGTGGGCTTATCGAGATTCGAAGCGAGCACCGCCGACCTTCCACCGGCGATATCGCACACATCAGCACTCTCCTCACCCTCCTTCAACCGGTCCCCTGCACCAACCCACGGAGCATCCACCTCACCAGCTACCACGGTCCGAGGCGGCAACGCGGTGTCGCCAGCCGCCGCCGCCACTACACCCGACGCCGCACGACGCAGACCCGCCAGCAGCCCAGCGGCGACAGCGGCGGGAGACGTCGTCTGCCTAGGCTCAGTCGCCGTACTGCTACCGCCGCCGCCGCCGGTCCCCGGCCAGCGAGCCAGCGGCCCCAGCGGCGGCAGCCAGTTAGCTGCGGCTGAGCTGACGGCACGTGGCGGCGTGGCGGCGGCGGCAGCGGCGGCGCTGCCGACGGCGGCGGCCATCGCACTCGCCGCGGCAGCTGCTCGCGGACCGACTCCCTGCAACGCCGCGCGACTCTGCGCCAACAGGCCCATCGCTGCCGCCGCTCCGCTGCCTCCCGCCTGCTCACGCTGCCCCTCCTCCTGCTCCTGCAGTCCTCCCTGCCCCTGTCCCTCCTCCTTTTCCTGCTGCTGATGCTGGGAGCTGCTGCTCCTGGCTGCCGCCGCCGCCACCACCGCCGCCGCTGCCTGCCAGAGCTGCCACAGCCGCTGCCGTGACGCCTCCGACACGTGGGCAACCGCACTGCCCAGCGCTGCAGACACCTGCGCCTCGCTGCTGCGGACCGCCAGCAGCTGTGCAGGAGAAGAGCGAGGAGGGAGGGGTGAGGTGAGGTAAGGCGGGAGCCGGGTGTCATGGGCCGCGCAGAGGACAGACGGAAGAGGCAAAAGGGCGATGTAATACGGCCAGCATCAAAGTCGGAAACTGAAAGTTCGTACAGCGGAGGGTTTCAACTGCGTGCCCACCTTGTTAAACAGGATGACCCGTGGGTCTTGAAACCACCGTGCCAGCGACACAGCCTTCCTGCTCCTCTTGCCAACCCCCGCTCCTTCCGCCGCCGCTGCATCTCCTGCCTCCGCCTCCGCCGCAAGCGCCGCAGCGGTCTCGGGGAAGCACGGCATCACGGATAGCTCCAGCCAGCTCTCCGCCCAGCCGTACTGCCGCGTCATCTCATCGTCATCCTCACACCGGTGGGGCTCCTCCCCCTCGTGCTCCTGCTCCCCCGCATGCTCCTCCGCCTCATCACCATGTGCATGCATGCGATGACGACGGGCGCGGTGACCATGATGGCTACGGTGATGCCTGTGCTTGTGCTTGTGCTGCTGTCGGTGCAGGTGGGAGTGGTCATCAGCTGTTGTCGCTGCTGCTGCTGCGGTGGGCCCTGCAGTAGCTCCTTCTGCTGCGCTACCACCCAATGCAGCGGATAGCGCTGCGAGGGGCGGCTGGTTCCCGGCGGCAGCGGTAGCTGGGTTTGCTGAATTCGTCTCCAGCTGCTCGTCCTCATCACAGCTGCTGCTGCTGTCCATGCTGCTGGTGCTGCTGTGGTGGCCGCCGGTGACGGAGCAGCAGCGCTCCCTCACCTGCACGGGGGTAGGGGGGTAAGGCAAGGGTGCAGGGGGGTAAGGAGGAGGACGGGTGGCGAGTGCCGCATGAGGGCGGGTGCATGGTCGGGTCATGCAGCAACGCGCGGCTCGGAAACGACACCCGAGGACACATAACACGGCCGCAACCGCCGCACAGCTAGCAGGCCATGGCAGTTAAGTTGCCAGTTAAGGGGAGTTAACCCCAACTGCTTTACCCACCAAGGGCATACTCTCTCGATCTTCACGGCAGCCAAGCCCCCCTACGTTCCTACCACTTACCGAAAACGACAGCGCAGCAGCAGCAGCAGAGGCGTCCGCTCCCTCCGCCGCAAGCGCCAGCTGCGCCTCCAACCTCCGCAGCAGCCCCACCTCCTCATCCTCCTCCTCCTCACCACCACTTCCATCAGCGCTGCCCCCGCCACTGCTGCTGCCAGCTTTACTCACCGCTGCCCCCGCTGGTGCTGCTGCTACAGCAGCCACTCCTGACGGCGCCATGCTGCCTGCTGCAGCCGTTCCGCTGCTCGCTGGTAGCGACGTCGCCGCCGCTGGTGCTGCTTCTGCTGAAGAAGCCGTGGTGGTGGTGGTGGTGGAGGAGGAGGAGTACTCCTCGGGCCCAGCTGCCTTGCTGCGGCGCCCCAACAGCGCCTCGCAGACGCTGCGCTCAAAGGACACGTCAGCAGCGGCGGCGGCGGCAGATGGGGCGGTGACGTCATCCTGCTTGCCTTGCTGTTGTTGGTGGGCGACGCGCTCAAAGTAGGACAGTGCCTGCGGTTGTGTTGAAGTGGGTGCGCTGCCACAATATCAGTTATGGAAACAACAAGATGCGGCGGCGGCCGCAGCCCACCCCCTATACATTCTGTCGCCATGCAGTTCAAGGCGGATTGTTGGGAACAGGACGATCCCTATTACACACTACCCATCCACCTACTCGCGGCCAGTTTTCTCCCCCACCCCCCCACCTGCAGCACGTGTTGCGGCCAGCCGGTAGCCACCCCCTGCGCCAGGTGCGCCACTGCGAGGTCGTACAGCTCCTGGTCGCACAGGGGCGGCGTGGGGGCGGGGGCGGGAGCGGGGGAGGAGGAGGAGGGCCTGCGGGCGCTGTTGGCTGCCGGGCCATACAGAGAGATCTGCGCGCATGCATTCGAAAGGGAGGGAAGCGGGTATTAAAGGGAAGCTTAGGAGGAAACATTGCCAACATCATGCAACCCTACCCATGTTGCCATGCATCCTCCAAACCACTACACTCCCCTCGCGGCCTCTCCCCTGCCCCTCCCGCTCGCCCGTCTCACGTGTTCCGCCGCGCTCAGCAGCCCCCTCAGCGGCGCCAGCAGCTCGCACCGCTCCTCCGCACTCAGCACGGGCGGCCAGCAGGGACCGCAACAGCAGCTGGCAGTGGAGGAGCCGGCGGAAGAGGAAGAGGCAGCGGACTCCGCAGCCACACGACTGCTGCTGCTGCTGCTGTTGCTGCTGCCAGGAGCGGCGGCTGCAGGACCCAGCACGCCGGCCGCTGCCGCCGCCAGGAAAGACGCCGGCGACGATGAAACAGCCCCATGCGAAGGGTCCTGGTGCTGGTGCTGCTGGGTGTGCTGCTGCTGCTGCTGCTGGTGTTGGGTGTTGGGCTCGGAGCAGCTCCACAGGGCTCCTCGCAGCAGGCTGACGGCCCGCGCGCGGCGAGCAGCGGCGGCAAGTGATTGTGCGCCTCCTCCCCCTGACGAGGGCGGTGGGGGCGGCGGAGTGCCGCGCAGGAGCTCCTCAGCCAGGGCCACCGCCACTCCCTGTGCATGGCGGGGGGGAGCGGGGCGGGCGGGCGGGGCGGCAGGGCGGCGGAGGGTAGGAGCAAGGGCAGGAGACTGGGCAGGAAGGCAACGGTGTAGGACAGGCAGGAGGCAAGGTGGTGTGGAAGAAGGGATGCAGCTGTGTACCCGCGGGCAGCCTGTGCATGACAGCACGAGGACGGGGACCGCCCCCTCCCTCCCTCCATCTGCCTCTCCTGCCCACCTGCAGACAGCAGGCCACCTCCTGTTGCAGCGCCTCAGACACCCCGTGCCGCCACAACACCTGGTGATGGCAGGGCAGGAGGCCGGGCGTGTTAGGAAGCCGAGTGCCAAGCAATTCTTTGGGAGGAGCCTTGCACATACGCACACCGGCACACCTCTGCCTTCCTCGCTCCCTCAGCCCCAAGTGCCGAGTGCAAACCTACAGCCCCCCTAGTACCCCCCAGGTCCCAGTCACCTGCAGTGCCGCCTCCAAGTGACCATGAGCCGCCTCCAGCCCACCGCAGACTTCTCCCTGCTCGTCCTGCAGCCCCCCAGCTGCTGCACCTCCGCCCCCCTCGCCTGCCTCCTCCTCCTCCGCCTCCGCCCCGCCCGCCTCCGCCGCCAAACTGATGTGAGACAGCGCCACAGACAGCGCCACGTCAGCAACTACGTCAGCCCCTCGCACCACCGCATGCTGCTGTTGTTGCTGCTGGTGTGGTGCTAGTGGTTGTTGTTGGTGGTGATGCTGTTGGTGTAGATTGAGGCCGAAGCTTGGAAGTGAGAAAGGCGAAGAGGGCGTGGTAGCACCAATGGGGGGGGCTGGCGGAGAGTCGTGACAGGCGGCGGACTTGAGGAGGGAAGTGCCGTACCGGACAACATCGCCGTACTGGCCTGACTCGCGGAGCAACGCCAGCGCAGCAGAAGCTTCGGCGAGGTTGTGAGCCTCGTTGCCAGCCTTGGAGTGTGGGAAGCAGTTGGGAACGGGAGAGGTGGGGGGCGCTTGAGATGGATGGAACGCTGGGAGGAGAGTTCAGTCGCAGCTAGACGACGAACTGTTAGCATAAGTTACATTGTAGCTTCTTTGCTAGGGCCTTCGGAAACCATGCGACGCGATTGGTCGTGAAACAGCTGGAGAGCACACTGTATGGACTGCTTTCCATGAGCCCTAATGCCGCGTCGCGACATTGGCCAACGGGTTTTACTGACATGCGGAGTTGGCCGCAATTGAACGTATGCACATTGCAGCACTGCCCTTACCTTCAGCGCGTCCAGCAAACTTGTCTTGGACAGGACGACCACGCCGTCTTGACCGGAGGCCAGGAGCATCCCATCCTCTCGGTCGCCCAATAGACGCGCTATTGCTGAAACGGTGTCCGGCGAGTAAGTATGCCTTAGGAATGCCTCTTGACCCAAAAGCAAAACTGAGTCCTGGTGCCGCGACAGCGTCGCGGCTGGCATGTTTTCCTTCGCGCCAACGGAGTTGCTTCGGAAGTATGTCAACACCGCGCCCTGGTTCCGGTTGGCGTAGGCCCGTGTCGTGGAGCGATGTCCATGGGGTTCAACACGGACAGGCGCTTTCGGCCCGAAAGTGGCCCCCGCGCAATTGCCCGTAACAACGCTTGCTGCGCTGGACGCAAGTCGCGGCAAGGCGGCCAAAGAGCAACCGCTTTGTGCCTTGCTTGTGAAACGATAGCGACACTCTAAGGAGGCCATGCCCGCTTGCGGTGCAACAGGGCTTGCAGAATGCAAGGCACCCAAAAACCCGATACAACGCAGGCTGGGGAGCGAACAACTGACGGATAATTGATCGCACACTTGATAAACTTAACTATGCGCTGAAAATGGTGCCGCGAAGACGAAGGATGGCCAGCGGAAGCATTAACTATTTGTGTCAAAATACTTTTAGTGTTTAACTTTCATAAATAGGATTGTAATATGAGAGTTGAAGGCGTATGTGGGCTGCTATCGCAGAGCAGCTTGACGTGGCAATCTTCAGTGTACAGCTTTTCCCTTTGCGCTATCCAACGTTGGGCCATGTTGCTTACTTGGCTCTTGATCACTGTAAGCAGCGCACTTTCGTTTACTGGCGTATTATTTACCTCAGGACTGCACAGAACGTTTGGAATACGCGCGCAATTTGCAACACCGGCCCCCTTGCCGGTATCTGGCTTGAAGTAACGCCATCCCTGCTGAGCCGGGGCCATGGAATCAGGCAGAATCAGCTACAAGACAGGCAGCAGCAAGCAAGAGACATCCACTCTGCCCCACAAGGCTTTTGAAGCTGCGCTGGAGCTTTCACAGCTTCTGGACACAGGACTCGACAAGGAGACGTTAAGCATCCTGCTTGAGCTCCTTGACGCGGGAGTCAACCCCGAGGCGCTTGCAACTGTTGTGCGTGAGCTGCGGCGCGAGGCGGCCGATTACCAGGCCGCTGTGGAGCGCGTGAACGCGGCCGCTGCGGTCGCGGGCCAGGCGCAGCGCGTCAGGCAGTAAGGGGCCGCAGGGGCCCCTCCGGCCTGGCTGGGCGGGTGGGAGGCCCTCAGCCGTACCTCCCTCTGCTACCCAGCCCCGCTGCAGCGGTGCACACCGACGGCAGCCCAGCATCGCAACGAAGGGAGGACTAACGGAGGACTGAGCCGAACCCGAGCGTGTTAGGAAGCTGACCAACGACGAACAGACCAGGGAGCAGCATTGCCCCCTACAGGGTCGGGTGTGAGGACAGCCACTGTAACGTCCAACAATAGCAGCTTAGCAGTGTTTCCGTACGCCGAAAGAGACAACAGACAGCACACACATAGCATATTCATCAGCACCTGGCAATCAGGAATTAATCAAAGCGGGAAGACCCCATCCGCAGCATCTCTGCACGCAGCTAGCACGGAGTAGCCGGCAGCCCTGCAACTAGACACACTCACACGCAAGAAAGCCACAGCTAAACAAGGAAACTCTAGCACCCTCCAGTAACCGCAGCAGCAGCACCAGCACTCACCACATCCGCGCTAGCAGTACCTCACACCCCAGGCGGGCCAGCCCCTAATCAGCCCCGCAGCAGCCCCCATGGCTGCCTCCCCCACGCGCGGCGGCACGGATGGCTCCCCTGGCGGTGGCCGGGGGCTGCCCATCGGCGGCGAGGGCAAGGACATGGTGCACGACATGCTGGCGGCGGCGGGGCCGCAGGGCATTACGCAGGTGCAGGAGGTAAGCGGCGGTGGGGGGGATTAGTAGGGATGTATATTCCGCATTAGGCTGGATGCGCGGTGGGGGAAGGGGGCAGGTGTGGGGAAGGGAGGTGGGCGGCATGTCGGTACCCTGTCCTCGCGTGGGCGGCCATGGAGTGCTGCTCGTTACCCGGCTGCTCCTATCTGTCGTGCACGATGGTCGTACGTGGCAAGCGGCCTGTGCGGGGTCTGCTGCAACCTTGCAGCCTTCCAACCCTTACGGCGAGCAACAGCCCGTCACACTCCGCTAGCATAGCCACCGTAGCCCGCTAGCTCCCTGTGCCCGTCCGCGGGCGGGCGCCTGCCGAGCCTCCACAGGGCCGTCGGCGCCTGAGCCCTCCGCTCACCGCCGGGTTCTTCTCTCCCCCCTCCTGCGCGCATGCATGCAGGCCTGCCTGATGCCGTACCCGCTGGTGCGCCACCTGATGGGCATGTTGGAGTGCATGGAGGTGACGAGAGTGGAGGTGGGTGGGAGGAGGTGGGGGCGGGTGGGGGGCTGCAGGAGAGGCGGCTGGGCTATGAGCAGTAGGGCTGTGCGGCGCCTTTTCCTGTGGTAGCTGAGCCTCGTGTGGTGGTAGCTGTGCCTCATGCGGCAGCCACCACCGGGGGTTGCTTTGCTAATACCGCTACCTGCCCCTCCTCCCATGCTGCTGCCTCCCCACCCACCCCAATCTACCTCCCCCCCTTGTCATACAGCTCGTCAGTTACCTGTTTTTTCCCCCTCTCCCCCCGCAACAACAACACATTGGGTATTCTTTTTCCCCCCGCACACCAGGCCCACCCTGTGTTACCCCCCTCTACCCCCTTCCCCACCAGGCCCACCGCGCGGTGCTGCAGCGCGCCAAGGAGCGGCTGCTGAGTCGGGTGGCCGCCCTGGACGCGCGCGCGGATAAGGCGCGGCTGGAGCGGCTGCTGGCGGCGTCCTTCATGTACCTGGGCATGGCAGATCTGCGGGAGGTGGGAGGCGGGGAGGGTAAAAAATGGGGGGGGATGCTGGTGAGGGATGCCTGCATGGGGAGTTATTACGCCCTGCTCTGCCCTGCCCTGTTTGCTCATCAGCATTGCTGTCCCCGTCTTCCCCGGTCCCCCTTTTCTGTGATGGGTTTGTTGGGTTTCCCCTCCCCCTCCCCCCGCCTTCCCCCCTCAGGTTCCCCTGGCCGTCATGGAGCGCCTGGAGCGGGTCCCCCCTCCGCACCTGAAGCAGCTGGCGGCGGACACGGAGGTGTTCAAGATACTGCCGCCGGGGGTGCAGCGGCAGGTGGGCGACTGGGCAGGAAAGAGGTGGAGCAGCAGTTCCGGGGGGTGCTGTCGCAGGGAGCTGCCCTGTTGCAACGCCCCCGGTACCCGTACGTAAGGGTTGTTGTGTTGTCCTCCGGCAGTTGGCCTCACCCCCACCTCTTCCCCCCACCCCAACCCCACCTCCCACCCCAGGTTTGGGAGTACGACAAGAACCTGCTTCAGAACGACGCGCTGCCGCTGGTGGGCGCATACAAGTACGAGACCGCCACCTACATGCGCGCCCTGGCAGCAGATGAGTTCCTGCCTGCAGTATTGGCGGCGGCGCAGCGGCTGGCGCCCCGCCTAGCAGCGCCGCCCTCCGCCGCCGCGGCGGCGGCGGCAGCAGCCGGCGGCAGCGCCGCCGCCGCTGCCGACCCCGACTCGCTAGCGGGGCTCGGGAGTACGAACAGTAGCAAGGGAGGTGGCAGGGGTGGTGTGGGTGGTGGAGGGAGGTACCGGGGAGGTGGCACGGGTGCGGCGGCAGCGGCGGCGGCGGCGGGGGTGGGCGGTTCACACATGCTTGGCGGCGGCGGCGGCGGAGGTGGCGGCGGCGGAGGGGGTGGTGGAGGAGGAGGAGGGGGTGCGGTGGTGGGGATCACCCGCAAGATTCTGCGCAAGGGGTCGCGCATCACTCAGGCGCTGAAGGGCATGGTGGGCAGCAGCCCCAAGATATACAACCAGGTGGGGGGAGGGGGAGGGGCGGGGCGCGGTGGGAGAGAGAGAGAAGTGGAACGGGACCACGGGAGAGGGGGGAGGGAAGTGGTGAGGAGGCGGGTGGTGTGGTGAATAGGATAGGTAGACTGCAAGATGGGACGTGGATACATGGTCACGGCGTGTGTGTTTAAAGCTGGGAGGGAGTCGTACTATGTTATGTGAAGCTCTGTCAGTTGGGGAGGGGAGCTATGCCTGGATTACCCAGCACCGGTGCTACCCTCTGGCACCATCGTGACATTGGCACGACTCCACACCCCACATTGGCCTTCCCTTTTACCCCCTCACCCAAATCTCACGCACCTTCCCCCCTACCCCATCACCCCGTCCCTCACGCACCCCCCCCTCCTCCTCCCAGATCGTGGAGCTGTGCACCGTCAAGTTCCGGGACGCGGAGGGCCTGTACGTGGGACTGCGCGAGTGCTCCTACGCCGCACTGCGCTCGCAGCTGCTGATGGCGCTGCACGACGACACCAACCCCGTGGCGGGCCGCGACCGGTGCCACGAGCTGGCGTGGACGCTGGATGCGGGCATTCGCAACGGCGGGCTGAGCGACAAGCACCTGGAGAAGCTGGGGCGCTTCTTCGCGGATATTCTGGAGGTGGGTGGAAAGTAAGAAAACTGACGAATCGGGTGACGGGGCTTCACCATGGGTAGTTAGGTGAGCCTGGGGGGGTGGGGGTTTACGTAAACGGGGCCGCGACAGCCGGAGGGGAGGTAGCGACGGGGAACTGGGCGGCGGGTTCACTGCCATGGGTAGGGACAGGCAGGAGGGCACATGTGTGTAGTCTGAGGATGTTGCTGACGTGTCGGCCCGCTCGCTCGCTACGCATGCATCTGATTGACGCGCTCCCTTACTCCAGTTCTTTGTGTGCTGCTACTAACCCAACGGATTTGACTAATGCGCAATCCTAAAATCCAGCTGAATGCGGAATCTTCATCCTCATTAAACCCCACCCCACCCCGCACCTCCCCCCAGGCGGCGGAGGAGGCGGAGGGGCTGGCAGCGGGTGGCGGCAAGCGGCGCAGGGGCGCCAGCGGAGCGCTGCCGGGGGGAGCGGGGCGGGCCGGCAGGTGCGGTGGGGGGGGGAGTGGGGGAAAGCGATGAGGTATGTGTGTGGGGGGGTAAGCCTCACCCTTACCGCTGTCTGCCCTGCCCTCCTCAAATCCCTTCTCTTCCGCTGCTCTGTCCCCCCCCCCATCCTCAACTCCCTCCCCTCCCCCTGCCCCCCACCCCGCCCCCCTCAGGGACCCCCTGGACGAGGCTGAGAGCGCGGGTGCGGGTGGTGCCGGCGGCGGTGCGGGCGGTGTGGTGGAGCCGCTGCGGGTGCTGGGGGACGCGGGGCTGGTGCTGCGGGACCCCTCCGCGCTGCACCTGCTGGCGGCGCAGGTGCTGGCGCTGCTGCAGGTAGGGGGGGGACGGGGAGGCTGGGGGAGGCTTGTGGATACGAACTCCTTTTGCTGTGCGCACCGTAATGTTATATTCTCGCAGTACCTCCTTGCCTTCGCCCCCTTCTCCACCCCTCATTGGGTACGGTATTCTTCTTCCTCCCCCCCCCCGAGCAGTCCGAGGTGGTTGCCGCCGAGCGGCTGCCCCGCGACGTGCCCGACCTGGCGCTGCTGCTGCGGCTGATGCAGCTGGCGGTGGAGTGCCGCAGCATGATGCGGGACAGGGACTACAGGTGGGAGGGGGCGGGGAGAGGGAGGAGGGATGCATGGGCGGCCGGCATAGGGGGTTTGAGCAGCATGTACCCGCGTGCTGCTATCGTGTACTACATCCGAACCCCTTACCACGCCTGACCCGCAACCCGCACCCCACCGCCCTTAGCCCGTCCACCCCCACTCACCCAGTCAGCGTATCCTTGCGGCTCAGTTTACCTACCCCCCACCCCCCTCCACCCCCCCACGCAGGTACCCCGAGCCCGACCGCACCGTGCTGCACGACCTGCTGCCGCTGCTGGCCTCGCTGCTGGTGGAGCACCACACGGCGGCAGTGGCGGCGGGCATGGAGGCAACTGCGGCGGCGGCAGCGGCGGCGGGAGGAGGGGGACATGGAGCAGCCACCGGGGGGGGAGACCCGTTGCTGCACACGCTGCGGGGTGCTGTGGGAGGAGGAGGAGGGGGGGCGGCAGGGGGGGGCGGTGCGGCTGCGGCGGCTTCATCGTCGTTGCTGTTTGCGGGACCCGTGGGTCCGGAGCCGAATGCGATTGTGGAGGAGGTGGAGCTGGAGTTCCCGGACCAGGCCACAAGGAGCAGGTGCGGGGGGGGGTTGCTGGGGGGGGTGTTAGTAGATGGGTTACGGGTACTGGCCGTGAGTACTCATCCCCTTCCCCCCGCCCCGCCTGCAGGATCTGTCAGGCGCTGCGGAGTAACGAAGTGGCTCGTAGGCTGGTGCAGGTGAGGGGGAGTGAGGGTGGAGGTGGGGATGGGATGGGAGGTGGGGTGGGATGGCTGCTGCTGGGCACACAACACCTCCTGAGCCCCCACACCTCGCTGCCTTACCTCTGCGCACCCCAACCCACTCCTTAAGCCCATCTCCCCCTCACCCCCCCCACCCCACCCCTGCCCCTGCAGACGTTTGCTCTGGAGCGGCTGGCTCGGGGCGACTACCTGGCAGCCGTCAAGGTGGGGTGGGGTGGGGAGGGAGGGAAGGGGGTGGCTACCGTGGGGTGCCGTCCCTCCTGCGCCTAGCTAACGCGCCCATTCCCTGCCCCTCGCCACGTTTTCCCCTCCGGCCTCTTCTTCTTCCCTCAACCCAACCCCTCGAGCCCCACCTCACTCCTCGACATCTGGGAGCGCCATCACCCCCTCCGGTATACTACGGTCCTCGTCAATCTTTCCCGCGGCTCAGCCTACCTACCTACCGGTAATCCTCCCCCCTCCCCTCCCCCGCCTAACCCCTCAGGTGCTCTCCCTGCTTGCCCGCGTGCTGGTCCCCGGCTGCCTGGCGGTGGAGGCGGCTGACTTCGCCGCCACGCTGGCTGCCCGGCTGGCGGAGCTGGTGAAGGGGCGGCGGCTGGGGCCGGGCAGCCGGCTGTGGCTGGTGGCGGTGGACAACCTGCTGGTGGCGGCGGTGGATGCGCACACGCAGGTGAGGGGGTGGGGCAGTGGGGGGTGCTAAGGAGACTGGCCTGTGTGTGTATCAAGGACAGCTGGCCGCGAGTATGAACTGTGTGTGTTAAAATAACTGTGTGTGTGTATGTCTTCAAACGGAAGGCTGCGAGTAAGATCGCGCGGTGCGTATATGTATATGCGGGGGGATGGGAGCGGAGCGGAGAGAGTCGTGGGAAGGGGGTTGGTGCGCGCAAGAGGTGCGGTAACCCCCACCGCCTCCCCCGCCCTCCCTGCAGACGCACGAGGAGGTGCTGCGACTGCTGCTGGCTGCCGCGCTGCCCACCCCCGACGGCCGGCCGCCGCTGCTGACCCCGGCGGAGGTGGATACCTACCTACGGGCGACACTGGAGAACAGCAAGAAGAGCAGGAAGAGGTGCGGGGTGGGACGGCGGGGAAGATGGGAAGATGGGGACAGGGGAGAAGTGGTCAATGCCACGGTTTCAAGTACATTCCCAACCCGTTTGTGATGGATGCCTTTGCGATGTCCCATGCGGATAACCACATAAAGTTGGTCCCCTCCCTGCGCCTGCTGCTGTGCTGCCAGGTACAAGAAGTTCAGCGGCGGGGACGCGCTGGCTCGCTTCCCCATGTGCCTGCTGGCGTCGGACATCGGCAGCGACATCGGTAGCGACGGCTGGCCGGGCATATTGCAACTCAAGGTAGGGAGCGGGGGCGGTGGGTGGAGCGGGGTAGGAGGCGGGGGCGCTGGGCTGAGGGGGCGAGGAGGCGGGGTGGGGTCTAGTGGGTAGAAGGATAGGGTAAGAGGCGGGAAGGAGGTGTACGATGGTGGGTACCGGTATCATGATATTGGACCCTGACTGAGGGCAAAGGTTGGGCTTGGCTCAACCTCTCACTCCCCTCATATCAACTCCTGACTGCCAGCCCTTCCCCTTCCTGTTGCCATGGCGTACCTACCCCTACTCCCCATATCCTCGCCCATAAAGCTTACCTTCCCCCTCCCCTCTCCCCCCCCAACAGCTCAAGGGCGCCGACGGTGTCCGCAGTGTGTACGAGATGTTCCGGCGAGTGCCCGGCATCAGCCCCGACAACGCACCCGCGCTGTTCGAGTACCTGGCAGAGACCAAGCAGTAGGGAGGGGCAGGGAGAAGGAGGCGCAGGGGACAGCAGTAGAGGGTGGAGCGCAGCAATGGCAGACCGGTAGCGGTGGGGGTAGCGCGGCGGTCAGCGGTTCAGCGGAGGGGATAGGGGTGGCGGCGGTAGCGGCAGAAGCAGAAACAGTAGTAGAAGCGAGGCTGGGCAGGTGCACGCTGATGGGTGCATGGGACCGTCCAGAATGGGTTGTCTGAGCAGGTGGAATGGATTTGGGGGCTGAGGTAGGGTGCCACTCAGGTGGTGTGCACACTTGGGTATGATGTAGTCGGGTGGTACTGGTGGTGGTGGGTGGGCTAGCTATCGGATAGCGCTGGCATGGGAAAGAGGTGGCCATGCTCTACGTCGCATGGCCTGACCAGCCAGCAGCGTCCCGAGGGGTACCTTGTATGTGTGAAGGGGTGCGCCCGCATGGCCTGGAAGTCAACAGCGGCCCGAGAGGGATGTGCGAAAGTGCTGCCCGCAGCGCCTGGCAAGCCCGAGGGAGAACGATGAGGCGTGCGAAGGGAGGAGCCCACATGGCGATATGGGACATGCCTGACCAGCCAACACTGCCCCGAGGGTCATGTGGAAGGGGTGAGCTCGCATGGCCTGGCAAGCCAACAGCTGGTGAGGAGCCCCATGGTGGACAAGCTTAGCGGTAACGTGGATTATTCGTGGCCGCAGCGTAAGCACCGGTACAACAATGTGTCAAGTTGCATGGGGTGTTCTGCCTTGCGAGGCTTGCCTCACTTTGTCACTTGACAAGTCCCAAGTGGGTCCAGTGTGTAATTGCTGCTATGGTAAGTGTGCATAGTCTGGTAGCCTATCCATGATCGCTGCCTTAGAAGTAGGCTTCGCATTACAATACTAGGCTGGACATGGGTTGCGCCTGCCATGCGACCTGAAGGCCAGACGTCCACGCCTGCAGCAATATCTTATTCTATACAATGTACTTTAAGACACAAGGTTACGGTAGGGTCTCGCCGTCTGCTCAACCGCAAAGGTCAGCTGGGCAGCTGCTGGATTCGGATTGTTTGAACGGCTGTTGTATATCTCTGCCTCGTTACCATATATGGCGTCTTCCTTGCCTTCATCGATTTAGTACTTGCAGTATGTAAACATACCCAGCTGTGTCGACTATTGACCGACTCTTTGACTGACGCTTCACGGATAGACTTCGTGACCATGGCCGACACTTTGTGCTGACCTGACACACGACCGTCGCCAAGTTGTTCAGCTGCCATTAGTATATTGGGTTAAGGGTAAATGATGAACGTCGCGAGGAATCCGCGTCAAGCCGGGGTGAGACTCGCGTGAACCACAGCGGCAGGCCTCTTGCTGAACTGTGCATACCATGCCTAGCTCTTCACTCTCTGTGCATATCTCAGATGTCGTTTATTGTAATGAACGCGAGTCCAGCTGATCAATTGCACGGTGCCCGTTTCCATTGTCACAGGCCAACGATACCGAGGCGCGACGGCCAGTCGGCTACTGGGCGGAGTTTAACAACTGGTGGCGGACCAGGCTTAGCGAGCATGGCTGCAGGCCATCACCTGCTGAACTGGCTCAGTAAGTGTTGACGGTCAGCGCTCAGGATTGACAGTCACATTCGCCGTGCTATTTCCGGATCGCATACAAATGAATCTTTACTGCGTTGTGCTTAACGGTATATGAGAACGCAATACTTGGCTGGCTTGAGCCTGGAGGCTGGCATAGTTTGACCTAACGGCTAGAAACGGCCTTGCGACCTTAACCTACGGCTTGACGCTCACCAGCATGTCCAACGCTTCCCTGTTCAGATGGTTCGAGGATAATGCGTCGCTCTGTTGGAAGCCGGAGGAAATGCCGAGCCTCAAAGAAGTCCGCACCCATGCTAAATGTGAGTTGGTGTTTGGAATGGACCTGCGCGGCACTTTGGTAGCAATCCCCATACAGCTAACTTGGCCAAAACCTTTGCACGCAGGCCTCAGGAGCACAGAACAAGTTCGCAACTACTTTCGTAAATACCGTGCAGCGCGCAAGGTAAGCTGCTTCATCCCGCATCACTGACATCCGCTGCTCATTCATCGCCTCTCACTCTCCTGCCCGGGCTTATACCTCCTCGTGTCCCCCTTTCTGAACAGGAACATCCTTGCATCCATCCCACAACCTGACACCCATACTGCCTCCTATCTCCATCCAGGCCAACTCCACGACCACTAGTGTACGCACATCTGGGTCAGACTCCGACAGCGAGGACGCAGCCCCGGGCGAGTACGGCACCGCAATCCAGTCGGCGCTCGTCGGCTGCGGCGGACGCCTCGACCCTGGTATCAGCGTAAGCCAGGCGGAGGCGCTGGGGCTCATGCCCTTTGTCTTCGGTGCTGCTGGCGGCGCTGGGCTGTTCTTCACCGGCGCCGGAGGTGCGCTAGCGGGCCTTACTCTGCAGGCACCTGGTGCCGCGCCCGCGGCCTCCCTACCAGCGGCCAGCAACGCCGGCAACAACAATGGCGATCAGGGTTCCTCTCCCAGCCGTTGCCGCCCCGCGACTAGCGTTTGCAACAGCCAGGTATCGCTGCACTCGCAGCGCCTTGGCGCCTGCGCCGTCCCTTCCGCCAGCGCAGCGGCCGCTGCTGCAGCAGCGGCGGCGGCAGCGATTGCAGCACACGCCCAGCAACAACACCCGCACCCAGCGGTAGCCAGCAGCTCGCTAGGTTTGCCACCCCGTCAGCCAACCTCCGCCGCCGCAACTCGGCCCGCGGTGCCCCAGCTGCCGCCCGCCGCCGCCGCCGTGTCGGGTCCCGTCATTAGCTTCTCCCAAGGCGGCCAGCCACAGCACTCCGCGCACGGCCCAGGCCCCACCCGCAGCATCGGCGGCGGCATCGTGGTTCGCCTGCCGCCGGTACACCGCTCCAGCGCCACCTCCGCCCGCCCGCACAGCACCTCTTCAAAGCACACCACCCCGGCACCCGAGGCGCCACCCGCCAAGCGCCAGCTCACCGCCCAGCGCGCCGCCACCACCAGCTGCGCCCGCCCCACCGTCTCCGGCGCAACCAGCTCTGTACGGCTGGACCTCAGCGGCGGCGCAAAGGTTGCCGGCCATGACAACGGTGGTGAGGGTGCTGACGCCGCGTACCACGTGGTGGTGCCGCCCGTCAAGACTAGTCGGCCTGTTGACAACCTGGGTGCAGCCGCCGCTGCGGCGGCCGCTGCCATGCGCCCGGTCTCATGTGGCAGTGGCGCTGCGGGCCCCGGCGGCGGGTACTATCGTCAGCCGGTGATGCAGCAACCGCAGCATCACCTTGCACCGCCCCTACCGCCTCAGAACGCAGCCTATGCATCCCATCAAGTCGCCGCGCCCATCTCCCAAGACGCCCTTAATCAAACTGGTTTCATGTTCCCCAGCAGTACGGTAGGAGTCACGAGTATCGCCGCTCCCGCTGCCGTTCCAGCGCCCATCAAGACCGAGCCCGTCGTGGAGCACGACACCAAGGCTGACCGCGCCGCAGCTGCTGCTGCCATGGGTGCGGCCGGCGACGCCGCACCGCTGTCCCCCACCCAAGCCTTCTTCAGCAGCTGGCCGGGCGGCGACATGGAGGAGCTGCTGATGGACCTGCCGGACGATCTGGGGCTGGGCCTCACACCCGGGGTAGGCACTGCGCTGGCGGCCGCAGCGGCTAAGGAGCTCGGTGGCGGTGGCGGCGGCAGCAATGACGCAGCCGCGGTCGAGGCTGCTGCTGCTCCGGTAGCGGAGAACGAACGGACGAATGCCGACATGGTCCAGGCTGTCGACCCCACGCTGCCATTGCCGGCGGCGGCAGCGGCTGAAGTCGTGCAACAGCCGCAACGTGACAATGCGTCGTCGCTTCGACCAGCTGGCCACGGGAGTAGCCAAGTCCGCGGCTGCGGCGGCGCGCCGGCCGCCATGCAGTGGTGGCCAGCCGCACATGCCGCGCCTGCTGCGTCTGTGGGGCCAGCGTCATCCAACGCAACCGTGGGGGCCACTGCAGCCGCTGCTGCTCCTGCCGCTGTCACTGCTGCCGTCCCCACTGCCTCCGAGGCTTGCGAGCAGCTTATGACGCCCACCGCCGCCACTATGGCCAGCGTGCTAGCAAGCGAGCAAGCGATGGAGCGAAGCCGTGTGGTGGGAGCGGCAGCAGCGGGTGGTAGGGCTGCGGCGGAGGGGCTGTCGCCCTACAGCGCCTCGCAGCTGTTCAACATCCTGGGGGTGGCCGGCGCTGAGGCGTCCAAGCAGGCGCCTGTTGCGAAGCCGACAGTGTCCACAGCGACACAGCAGCACAGGCCGCATGTGTCGCAGCAGCAACAGCACTCACATCAACAGCCGCCTGCGCGGGAGCTCCAGGTACGGTGGCTCGTTGACATGTCCGGGTTATGGGTATCTGCAATGTCCCCGTCTCAACGTGCGGCGGTTTGGGAGACGTTAGTCTAGCTGACACAGTCTTGGTATGTCTTGTCTTGTGTCTTGTTCACATCTTTCTGCCCCCAATTCTCTGTTTTACCATGCCCTCGCAGGCCGCCAGTCAGGCCCCAGCTCGCACCGCGTCAATGGCGCCCGACCAGAGAGCCGCTGCACCGCCTCCGTCCGCCGCCTACCCCAACCCCTACCCGCACGGCTGGCCCTACGGCTACCACCATCAGCACCACCACCATCCTGCGGACTCCGCGGCTGCAGCTGATCCGAGCACCACCTCCGCACAACAACCAGGAGCACCTCCAACCGGCGCCGCGCCCTACCCGCCCAACATGTGCGGACCCGTGCCGCCGTACCCCTACCCCAGCCACCCCCAGGCCTACACGCCGTACGGTCCCTACCCGTCGCCACACCCCTCGTTCTCCATGCCGCCGCACCACCCATACTACTACCCTCCCCACCATCAGCTTCCACCGCCCAGTGGCTACGACATGTACGGGTGGCCGTCGTACTCCATGTCATCGCATGCTGCCATGTCGTACCCGGGCGCTCCGTACGGCCCTGCGGGCAGCTACCTGGGCTACTACCACATGCCCCCGCCGTCAGCGCTGCTGCCCACCGCATCCGAGGCGGGCACTTCAGTAGCGGGTACAGGCCCGCCGGAGGCCTCCAGCTTACGTGTGCGGGCAGCCTCCACTGGCGGGGGATCGGTACGGAGGTTGGGGCCCATAGGCCAGGTGCAGGCCGCACCTGCAGCTGCCGAGCCGCTCATGCCGGGTCGCTACGTGTGGCAGGCGACCACTGGCGGCGGTGCGGCCGCCAGCACCCATCGCACTGGCAGGGAGGCCGATTGCGGCAGCCCTTGTGCCGTCAGCCGCATGAAGGGCGGCGAGGGCGCCGTGTCACGCGGCGCCGCACGCACGCAGTCGGTGGCACAGGCCAGCTACTGCTCTCGGGGGGCTCCACGAGTTGCTCAGAGTGTGGGTGCAGCCCCGAGCGTAGCGCACACGGCTGTGGCGGAGGCTGTTAAGGAGGACGTGGAGGAATGCGTGGAGAGTGGCAATGTCGCGCATGGGGCAGTGGTGGCTCCCACGGACCATCAGCTGATGCCACCGCCACCACCGCCGCAGCTGCTCCAGCGGCGGCAGCAGGTATCCCAGCTAGGAGCCGTCGCGGACTGCAGCAATGCAGGTGCGGCGCCGCAGGCCGAGCAACATGGATGCATTGCCAATAATGTGGTGTTGGCTGCCGTCAACGCCGCTACCTCACCTGACCAGACCCCAGCTATTGACTCCCCAGTCAACGGTCTCGGTGCACCCCTGCATAACAGCATTCCAGCTTCTGTTGCTGCTCAACTTCCACAACTCCAGCAACAACAACAACAGCAACGTGCCGACCAAGTCCAGGCTCCACCAAACCACGTCAGCGACAGCGCCGCAGAACACAACAAAGACCACTGCGGCTTGGCCTCGCCCTCACTGCCCGCCCAGCACCAGTCCCACCAAGAGGAACATCGGCAGCCGCAACAACAGCAGGCCCCTGCTGCCCAGGCCGTAGCCAAGCGCTTGGACGGGGAGACAGCTGCCGTAACGGCTCGTACGGCAGGCGAGGCTACCGGCGGCGGCTACGACGACACCGACCTGCTTGACCTCTCCTCCATTACCGCCGGCCTCTTCTCGCCGCCCGCCAGCGTCATGCCCGCCGGCAGCACCCGCACGCTGGGTCGCAGCACTGCAACCACCACGGGGGCTGCCACCTCGGTAGCAGGCGCGGATGCCACACCCAGCGCTGCGGTTGCCTCTGCTGAAGCCGCCGCCTCAGCATTCGCCTTCACGCCCATCCATGCCTATACCTCTAGCCGCACCATCCCCTTCGTCTCTGCCCCGCGTGCCCCGCCCACGGCCCGGGCCGCTCACCGCAAGCAACAGCTACAGCTTCCTTTCAGCATTCCCGAGCATGGTCAGGGCCCCTCCAGCGTGCCCACCTCCGCTCGGGCTCCACCTGGGGCAGCCACGCCCCGCACCCTCTACACCCCCCGCGGCGACGGCTCGCCCCTCACCAGCACCCTTCTTGCCTCCTGGCTGAGCAGCCCGGCCAGCGTGGCAGCGTACGACGTGTGTGCGCGACTGGGCCTGGGCTTGCTGGGAGAGGAGGAGGAGCAGCGAGCGAGTGTGGGGTGTGGCATGACGGACTCCATGCATGGCGACAAGGCGGAGGTGGAGCAGCAGCAGGCGGTGAAGGAGGAGGAAGAGGAGGACTGTGGGGTGGCGCAAATGCTGGGACCCTCGCCCCCGCAGCCGTATGATGCTGTCAACGCCGCCAATTCGGCGGCGGCGGAAGTGCGGCCTGACCTGACGGCGCAGATCCGCATCACCTACGTTCCGCCACAGCAGCAGCGCCCGGGGGACGCGGTAGTGGATGCTGGCGTCGTCTCTGGTGGCGCGGTGGAGAAGGACGGCAAGGAGACCGTGTTGGGTGCGGACAGCAGCCGCGGCGTGCAGAGCGAGTGGCAACGCTATTACGAGGAGCAGCAGCAACAGATGAAGATGGGTGCGGCTCCGGCTTCCGTGCCTGCTGTTGAGGTTGGCGCGGCGCTGTGAGAGTGACCTGGCGCTCATAAGATACTATTTGACGGGATCAGAGGTGAAGATTACACTTTAGCTGACGCCCTTCACGGTTTCTAAAGCTACCCCGTAGCGACCTAGGCTCATTCATTTCATGTCATTTTACGTCATTCGTCTCCATGCGGACTAGCCTTATAACCTGAAGACGATTAGTTAGTTAGTCACAATGACAACATAGCACATAGCCTCTAGTTCCTGCAGCGCGCGGCGCTGGATAGACGCCTCCGTTTTGGTGGGATCCCAGAGCACCGAACATGTGCAGAAACGGGATTTGTTCATGCTGCTAACGGTGCCGTTGCCGCCGCCAGATGCACACATCGTAACCCAGCCATGACTGGGAGGTGACAGCCCTTAGTTCGGATCCCAAACCCCGGAGCACGGGAGTTGAGGCCGTTGAAACTAGTGTTTTAGTCTCATGCGATGCGGACGTAGCCCCTGCCCCTGGAAAAACTCTTTATATATCCAATAGATAGAATGCGTACATAGGTGATTAGGTACGACTGTACAGAACAAGGTATATCACGGACTATTAACGCCCAATGTGGCGAATGCGCAAATAGTGGACATAACCGTCAGTGGTCAGTATTAGTAATATTGGTATCTGTTCGTTGCCCGTGATCTCTCCGTGTTTAGCTCTAGGCGTGAGGTCCGAGTGTTGTTGGTGGCTAAAGCTCCCCGTAGACGTAGACAGCGGCAGTCGTGTGATTGTAGAAAGCGCCATGCTAATTGTGCAATGTATTTGGTGTTGTAGGTAGTTGTAACAACCGAGGTAGGCACAGTGCGTGTGGTAGTAGCCCAGATGTGTACAGCCCGGCGTTGCGTGCATGCGAGTGGTGGGCAGGCCGTGTCTCGCAGATCCCCAAGGGCGTGTGATGTACTGTCGCTCGCGGAGTATCAACCGCTGCTCTGTGAACGACACAACAACCGCCTGTGTGCCGACCAGGTTGCGGCTTCACGCCAAGCAACTAAGTCAGCCTAAATGCATTACGCAAGGCTCTGAGGAGTATGCCTTTGAAGGTCACCTCCCAGTTTCGCCGCTGTAACGTCATTACCGCGACATTACTACCGGTAGTACATGGATGAACTCCTTTCTACCCGACCGTTTAATGCCAAGCAAGTCTTTCCCAGCCCTGTCTTCCAGCAAGAGAACGTGACTGTAGAATACTAATGATGACACGCTTGCTGCGCCACGAGCGGGTCTTCCGAAAGCTTCAAGTCCTTCAACCCTGATGAGTCTTTCCCAAGGTGCAGCAGCTGGAAGTCCGTATTCAATGAATGGCCGTTACAATGGTTCATTGTGTGTCACTGTGGTAGCAGCTATTGTGTCGTCCTTAGCGCGAAATGTGCTACTTCCTCTCCGTACGACAACGGCGGACATTCGCTCTAAAGCCGAAGCTGCGACGCCCCATGAGCCTTCCAACGTGTTGGGAAACCATATGGACATCGGGCGGTCACATCTTTTAACCTCTCGCACTCTCTGCTCACTCACAAATGGCTGGTAGTTTGACAGTGCTCTTACTGCCCCTGTCCCCTGAAAACAAACACTCAAACTTGACCACAGCTCCCTAAGCGGTACCCATACAACTATTGCCCTCATCTCTCCTGCCCACAGCAACTTCGCTTGCAGGCGCTCTCGCAATTCACGGCGGCCCATTAACAGTTCGCCACAAAGAGCCCGTCCCCTCCTGCAGCCTTCACGCCTTCTCCTCCTTCTGCTCCCCTTCCCCAGCACCACCCACACCACCATCTCCACCTCCAGAGGCACCACCCGCAGCCGCAGACAGGCCGTACGAAGGCACATCCGTGAAGGCCCACACCCCGTCCAGCTCCCCCCGCCGTATGGCCGTGAGCGCCACCGCCCCTAGCGTGGCCGGCACAATGTAGAGGAGCGCTGGCTGACCCAAACCCGTGACGTCATTGGCAACAAATGCGGCTGACAGTCCTAGCACGTAGGCGAACAAGACGGGAGTGAAGTAGGTGCGATGCTGGAGGACCACCTCCGAAACCGGTAGATGCCCTTGTTGCTGGTTGTGATGGTTGTGATGGTGCTGTTGCCGCTGAGTGTTCAGTAATGATTCTTGATGCTCCTGTTGTTGTTGTTGTTGGGATTGCTGTGCTTGGCTGCTAGACGTCTCTACTTTTGCGACGTTCGTCGTGGAGAGTTCCGGTATCGGTTCGGCAAAGTCAGTGCCATTAGCCCCCACCGCCCGGGCCCGCATATCAGTCACGCGGAATGCATCGTACCTGCGGGCGACCCATGGGACGTGGTTCATAACTACCGGTAGCAGCAGCGGCAGCAACGTTACGCTAGAACCCATCATGAGGGCTACAGAGCGAACTGCAGATGCCACCGCATTATGCCCGACTGAGGGAGCTCTGTGAAATACCAAGTGATGCCAAAAAGGTGCAGGACTGCTCATATCCTGAGCCGATGCTCCTCCATTCCTGGCATTTATTTAAACAGATAGGAACCTCTCCCAACCTTGCTTGTTCCTCCCCTGCCCTGCCCTGTCCCTACCTGAGGGCCAGGCAAGCCAGCAGCCCAGGCACCGCTATGTCACCCAGACCCAGCAACGAGAAGGGGAAGGCGGCTGCCGCAGCCTCGAGGGAGCTGCTGCCGCCGCCCGGCAGGCGCGGGAAGAGGATGCGAGTGGGTCCGGACACCAGGTCCGAAGTGGCGACCGCCAGCATTACGTTGTCGCCCACCACCTGACGAGGGGAGAAGATGAAGGGAGGGGTGGAAGCAAGGAGAGGGAGGCTTAACGTCGGCCGTTCCTACGGGCAGAAACATGTACGGAGGGTATTACCCCCTTCACAGCCCTTAGCTTCCGAATTCCTATGAACGATACCATACCACCCTGCTGCCTCCTCGCTTTTGTCCGTCCTGACAACGTGTTGCTTAAATATTGGAGACATGTATATATATATACCTTGGGCGAGCCAAACACCCAAAACACGTCGTACAGCAGCAGCCCCGTCAGCAGCAGCCCTGCCGTACGGAAGCTCCTGGGCCCCACGAGCTGCAGGATGTCGGAGGCGATGAGACACGCCACCAGGTTGTTGAGACTGAAGTTGGTGTGGCCGGATGCGAGCTCGGCGGAGGGGAGGAGCAGGGCTAGGGCCACTGCCAGGATGTCAGTGGGGGAGAGCTGAGCCTGTTGTTTGGAGAGGCGCGCGGGGAGAGTGGGGAGGAGGGGCGGAGGAGTGCGGCAACAGGAGGTCGAGGCGAGCTACCGTACACTCAGTTCAGCAGGCCTCTGCTATGTTAATTGTGAAAAACACCACAAGCCACATCAACTCAGCCCGCCCTGCAGCACCCTGTACCGGATTCGCACATGTCGTATGTCGTTCCCCGCCTCGTCCTTTAACAGCCCCTCCGGCAGCCCGAACCGAATGCTAGGCGACCCCAGCGGGCCGCCCACCTGCGGTCAGAACAGCACGGCAGCAAATCAGCCAGGGCTTGGTCCTCACCGGCCCCTCTACGGCTATACGACTAAACACCCAAGCCCAAACCTGACCTGCCCCGCACCACCCTCCGGTTAGGTTCCCCTCTGACCCTCCTCACCCGTCTGAGCAGGGGCACTGCCGCTCCCCCAACCGCGAAGCACCCGAGCGCCCAGAAATACGCGTTCAGCAGCACTTGGACGTTCAGGTCTGGGAGGTATTTCAGGAGCAGGTAGAAGCCGAAGAGCGACGCGGAGGCGAGAAGGGGGGCCAGCGCGCCCTGGGGTTGTACGGGGAGGTAGGCGTTGGGCGGGGAAAAGACGGGCGAGGAGGCGCCGTAAGTATGTAGTGACCCATGGGTCGAAGACGCACGATGGCACCTCGTACGCGTGATTGAGGGTAGGGGATATGTTGAGGCGGCAGGCGTGAGGGTTGGAGACACAAGGCGCCCCCATGAGGAGAGCATGTGGGACGCTCTGTCCTGCATACAAGTACGGCCCTAGGGAGCGAACTTCTAGATGTCTAAGAGTACCGGTACCTCTTTGAGCGAGATCTGTTGCCGTTGCCGTGTTGTAAGGCCCTTATGAGCCCCGATGTAGATAGTGGTCAGCGCAAGGCCGACAAAGTACGGCACATCTGCCATCTTGGCACTGTGGAAAACAGGCAGGCTGCCAGCCAGTAGCAACGCCACTAGACTGCCGTACGCCCTAACAGCGTCATCGCTCGCCTCCCACCTCCAATCCGTGCTACCGGTGGTGTTCTCATTGCTACTGCTGGTGGTAGAAGGTGCGGTAGCAGCTGTACTAGCAGATGCAGTAGCGACGCTTCCAGCGTCGTTTCCGTTGGTGTTGCTGCTACTTACGTTGCTTCCGGCAGTGCTGCTGCCGTTGTCGTTGCCGTTTGCGTTTTCCCAGCTGCTGGTGGCAACTGGACTCGGGGAGGGCGTGCTGGCGAGTACTGAGGCACCACCTGAGGAAGGAGGTGCAGCAGTCAGGAAACAGCGTGAAGAAGACACAAGCAAGGGAACACAAGGGGATGCAGCTGACACCATGGGAGTGAGAGGGTTGAGGAGGACACCGGCCCGGCAGCTGACACCATGGGAGTGAGAGGGTTGAGGACACCGGCCCGGCAGCTGACACCATGGGAGTGAGAGGGTTGAGGACACCGGCCCGGCAGCTGACACCATGGGAGTGAGAGGGTTGAGGACACCGGCCCGGAGTGCCTTTCGCAGCTTCCCATGCGAGCCCCATGAAAGGAAAAGACAGAACGCTGTAGCTATAGGGGGGCGGCGGGTGGAATGGGAACTGTCGTTAGCAAGACCGGGTAGCGTGGGGGAGGGGGAGAGAGGCAGAGGGAAGAGGAGGGAGAGGGGTTTGAAGCCAACAGTGCAGTAGGTTGCAACAGCTAGGACACATGCTAGCCAATCATCTCGTCATCTGACGACATAAAGTGCCACCCGTGCTTTCAGTTGGGCGTGCCCCTAGCATCGGCGAATGCTGTCACATGTCTTACCGCTGTCGCTGCCACTCGTCGGCACGTGTGAGCATGCCACACGCACGCCAACACGTCGCGTCACGCGTTTCACGTCCTTGCCACAACGGTATGCCACATACGAATGCAACGAGGTATAGCCCCGAAATGTGTGGCAGCACGTGGTTGCTTGAAGGCTGAGCATTGGAAGGTAGGCTGGATGCTTTGCGTGGAATGGTGTGGACCGGAGCCCTATGCAAGCAAAATCAGCCCGACCAACGCTAAGATGCCGAACAATGCGGCAGGATACTAAGAAAAGTAAAACCACGGGTAAATAGCATGGCTTTGGGCAAAAAGCGACCCATTAAGGGGTAACACGTACGGCAGGGTTCTGCACCTGATCCCCGTTCCATAAATAGCATAGTATAATGATATTTCTGAAACCATAGCGCATTCTATTGACCTCCTTATTGTAGCTGTGATTCCTGACGTGACCCAGATAGGAGAAACTATTTACCGGTACCTCTGCTAGCGAATGCTTTCCCTTCCTACATCTTCCTTCTGCAGCTCGGTTGTATCTAATGCACTAGTAGCAACTGCAGCCCTGCCCGCGGCCACCCGCAGACTAACTGCGCTGTCCTGGTAAGAGTTTTCCAGGCAATGCTTAGCGACTCTAAATTCGGTGCCCAGCTTTACAGAAATGTGATTATGAACGTGCACGTTATATTGATGTTTTATGTGACCTGCGCATGAAACAAACCCTAATGCCGTCTGTTCGCGTCCACTCAGGGGACGAAATGTTGAAGGGCAGTGTGGCATAGATTCGTCTTTATTAGTATTTAAGCCAACACCCGTCTTCGAGCTGCACGAGTCGGAGTTATCCCATGTCGCTGCTGGCAAGCTTAACAGCGCGGCTGTAACGACTCACGGCGAAGCGTGGACTTGGGGAGATGGAAAAGGCGGAAAGCTTGGACATGGCTCGGCGGACCATGTGCATGCGCCTCACAGGGTGAGAGCTGACGGGACGTTTGGTGAAGTCCTCATCACCGCGCAAGCCCATGCCTAAAAATGTATTTATGAGACAGTCAATTGTCACTGTTGCATAAATCGAGCTGTTATGGCACTGTCCTTTGGTATAGTACTATTTCCTCCACCTGCCATGTACCCGCCCGAATTCTCATCCTTAACCCCGACCCAGATCGAGAGCTTAGTAGGCCGGGCCGATGTACGGCAACTCGCCCTCGGTGATCACCACACACTGTTCGTGGATGGCTCGGGGTCGCTGTGGGCTTGCGGAGAGAACAAGGAGGGGCAGTGCGGTCTGGGGACGCCCCTCGAGGTGATCGCGACGCAGCACCGCCGGGCGCACTACGAGTCCTTCCGAGCCTTCAGGGACTCCGTAGCCGCGGTAGGGGCTGAGGGTGGCAGTAAGAGCTGTGAGGTGCCGTGGCGCATGGGAGGCAGGGCAAGGTGGTAGCGACCTAGCATGCCTGAGTTGGGAAGCGCTAGGTGGGATGTACGGTACCGCTTGTACAGCCATGTCGATTCCGGGCTCCAAGCAACAACTCCGCTCTTCCTCTTCCCACTACCTCGTGTTTTGCCTCCTCCTCCTCCTCCTCCTCCTTACGGCCCGCCCCTAACTTGTGGTCTCCTATGGTTTGGTATGGTCTTTGACCCGGCCCCCCCCCCCAGGAGCCCCGAGTCAGTCGCGAGCAGCGAGCCAAGCAGGCCATCCACGCGCTGCTGGGCACCTCACCTCAGCATGCACAGCAGCACGGCCATGCGAACGGCGCCCATGGGGGCAGTGGCAGCGGCTGGCAGGGTCACGGCCATGGCTCTGCAGCCCCAGGCCGCTCCTCCTCCTCCTCCGGGTGGCAGCACCTAGCTGCAGCGGGAACACACCATGCAGGCGGCAGCGGTGCCGGCGGGCAAATGTACGGCAGCGCAACCCGTACGGCACTCAACTTTAGCGGTTTGGATTTCGAGAGCGCCTTTGCAGCCAGCGGCATTCATCCGGGTCAGCAGCCCACGCCGCTGCGCATCGGGCGGGATCAGCACCCGCTGTGGGATGTGGTGGCGGGGGCGGCGGGCCGGGCGACGGCGGCGGCGGGTGGCTTGCCCCTGGGCGACATGCGGGTGGTGCTGCCGAGCGGTCTGGAGGGCGAGACGGTGGTGGGGGTGGCGGCCAGCCGCTTCTTCTCGGCTGCGCTGACTGCGGCTGGGGAGGTGTGGACCTTTGGCGCTTGCTACAACGGCTGCCTGGGGTCTGACAGCAGCTGGAGCTCCTCGGCGCAGGTGGGCGGCGGGGTTTAGGGTTCTAGGGTGGGCGGTGGGGTGCTGGCCTGGGGGCTGGGGAAGGGCCCTGTGGTGCGGTGCGGTGTGCGGAGAAATGGGGAGGAGGGGAGCGTGAAAGACGTTAAGGGGCTGCGTGCACTGCGGAATTGGGCACAATCTGGGGTTGTGCTTGCTGTGCGGCGTACCGGTATTGTTGCGCCCCGCCTCTACCGGTACTACACGCCAACTAGTTACTCCTGCTGTTCACGTGAACACGTAATGTGGACAACATGTGGACACATAAGTAAGACGAAAGAGGATAACCTAGTTAACCCGTGTGCCGATGACCCCATGACGTCCGCAGAGGGTCTCGGGCGCCCTGGCAGCCTCGCTGGAGGACGGCGGCGGCGCGAAGCAGGTGGTGTCGGGAGGCACCTTCTGCGCGGCGCTGACGGCGGCGGGGCGGGTGGTGCTGTGGGGGCGGGTGCCGGGCAGCGAGGCGGAGGGCGGCGGACTGGCGGATGCGGCGGAAGCACATGTGGGAGGCGGCGGCGGCGGCGGGCGGATGTTGGGCATGACGGAACAGGGCGTGGATATTGTGACAGGTAGGTGCAATGGAGGGATGATAAGGGAAAGGGTGTGGGTGATGATGGACGTGAGGACGGCAACCTCTGTTGCCTGAGACATCCTGGTTGCTCTTGCCTTGGTACGCCGGGTCGCGACGCGGCCCCTCGTTCACCGCTGCCTCCTCCTTCTCCATCCGTACAGGCGGCCGGCTGCTTGCGGGTGTAGTTCCTGGCCTCCCGCCCATCACCCACATCGCCGCCGGGCAGCAGCACCTGCTCATGTCCGACGGAAGCCGGGTGTGGGTGCTGGGCCGCATGCTCGACGCCAGCGGCGCCGTCGCGCTGACCGCGCCCTGGCGGCGGCCGGCGCTTGCGCTGACGCTGCCGGCGGGAGACGCGGTACGACAATTGGTTGCCGGGGTGCACAGCGCTGGCGTGGTTTCGGAGCTTGGCGAGGCGTGGGTCTGGGGCCGGTTGTTGGACCGGCATCACGTGGACAGCGTAGCCAAGCGGCACCCGAACCTGGCGTTCGGCGGGGCGGACGTCGGCAACGGGGGCGCGGGTTCCGCCACACGGAGGTCAACTCGCACGGCAGCCGCAGCGGCGGCGGCGGCGTCGCCCCTGCTTCCTGAGGACGTGCGGTGGGAGTGGGCGGGGTACGGCGGGCGGGAGGCGAGGCGGTTGGAGGGGCTGGGCGGGCCGGTGCGGGCGCTGGCGTTGGGCGGCTGGCATGCGATGGCCGTGGTGGAGTGAGCTCCGCGAGTAGCCTACGGGGGCGAGCAACAGGGGCGAGGATATGGGGCACACAGCTGATGACGTGCTAGGTGGGTGAGCATCCCGATGAGCCCTCCGTCCTTCGTTAACGTGATCAACTTGTGCGTACCGCAGCGGATGATTGTTGAGATGTCTGTGTTGTGAGGCCTGACACGCGGCTTACCGGTCCTTGAACCTTTATTAACGGTAACGGTATGTGGTGTGCGTTGCAGCCCTAGGTAGAGATAGACCCACATGGCCAGTGACGACAGCGTCCGTGTAGCGCTGCCCCTGCTTTCATGGCCCACTTGACGTTCTGCACTAACGCTAGTAAACCCGCTCCTAGCCGGCTTAGGCTGCCCGTTGTATCATATTACTTAGTAGGCACAGTGCTTTGCGGCCTCACACGCATGCCCCGGACTGGCGCTTTCCGTTTTACGGTGCTTTTGTTAACTGCCGTAGCTGATACGTGTTGCAAACGGACTCCTCATGCTAGCTGTGATCTATGCACCCATACATCGGAACCATGTCGTACTACGACTACAAACTGAAGTATCAATGTACGGAGGGTGACTAAGACCATGCGCGACTCAATAGCACTGTGAGACAAGGGCTGTCGTATTAGGTGTGATCCAAAATGTACACTACCGTATGTATTTATTGGGAAGTGAAGCGAGCTCTCGGCTCGTGACCTTGCTGTATGTGCAGGATGCAGCGTGCGGAGATTTATGGGGGTGTGTAGATGAGGAGCGTTATAGCGGTTAGGTAGCGCTTAGGATGCTGGTGTCTTGTAGCAAGCGGTAGAAAGGAAAACTTCCCCAACCTGGCCGTCAGGTCAGGCCTGTAACGTAACACAGTGCAGAGGTGAAACCCGCTATTGTGTTACTCCATGGTTGCCCACAAGCGCATGCACCAGGCGTGTGTGTGTGCTGCTCCCACTGAGCCGTTTGTGCCCGGTTTAGGGCATACCGGTAAATGCAATGTTGCTGATAGCGGCCAACGCAGCCAGGGGCTAGGTGAAGTCAGCGGAAACGAAGCCAAGCCGTTAAGCCAAGCGACGAAGGAAAATGCAAAAGTACGCAAGGGCTGTCGCATGGACCTTCGTAAAAGTCTGACATGCGTTATATAGCTCCTGGCAAGCCGCGACTCGCAAACCCGGACGTTGGATGGATGAGCGGGCGATGGATGTGCAGTATGGACCTGCCGCCACCGCTCAAAAGAAATAGATGCAGGATTTTATTAAAGTTCCTGCATCTATTGTGAGCTTCATACATCAAGGGGAGTAACTTAGCCCACAGTTTGGTAGCATGTGACGCGCCATTAAACACCGTAAGGACGAAAGAACGTGTTGCTGTTGAGGAATCTGGACACCAGTGCATCATAGTGCATAACGTAATACCCACACTTTCCAGAATGATGTGGAGTAATCGTGCGTCTTGCCTGAGGGAAAGTGGGAGCAGGTACGGCATGCGACGACTCGCGTGATGCTACCCCCGCTGCTGCTACATAACCTGGGCTTCTGCAGCAGTTATCCAGTAGCTCGCTGAAATTTATAATCATTCACAATCTGATCGTCCGCTATTTGTACTCAACGACAAACCGCTCGTCGATCCGTCGTCACGTTATATCCCTCATAGCTTAAGCTAGTCGCCCTTGCAGATATGGCCCTCACCATGACAATCAAGCGTACCGCTGCGGTTCCAAGCCGCGTTACTGCTGACCGGCTGACGCGGGCCGTCGGCATTAACCAACCCACCAGGATGGCGCCTCGCCCGCGCACTAGTGTCAGGCCCCAAGCCCTTTACCTCAGTCCTTACAATCGTGTGACGGTCCGCCCTAAGCTCTTCTACCGCGCTCCGCAATCCGCTTTCGGGCTAGCCAGCCGACTGGCATCCGAATGGCTTCGAGAGACGACATCTTGCGTCCATCCCGTCGACATCCAGACATTCGAGGACCGCTACGAGCTTCAATCAGATTGTCCCGGTACGTTAGGTTATCATAGGACTAAGCAGTGTGGTATCCGTCACATATGTCTACCCATTCATTGACTTTCTTAGCCTGACGTCTGTCATTGCTGCTTTCTACTCTAGCCCAACTTTGGCCAAGCGGTACCGGTATCTGTCCCCATATCCGCTTATATCTACCGGAATGCCGTCCTGTCTACCCAATCCTTCATTTTTGCCTTCCCAATCCCAACGCAATTGTAACCCTTCCCCCGTCCCGCATGCCTCCTCCCTCCCACATCCCGTTCCCTAACAGGCATGGGCGAGGAGGATGTGAAGGTTGAGATCAGCCCCGAGCGCGTCCTGTCCATTTCCGGCACCCGCAAGACCACCAGCAAGCCCTCCTCGGCCCCAGCAGCGGCATCTACCGCAACCGCACCTGCTGATGCTGAGCCCAGTTCCGAATCTCCCACTGCTGCCGACACATCCGCTTCGTCTTCATCCTCATCCGCACCAACGCCATCTTCCGCTTCGCCCTCTTCTGTTTCCAGCCAGCCGGCCGATTTCGCCGTGAGCTACCGTTTTAGCCGCAGCTTCAAGCTGCCGGAGGATGCAGAGGTGGAGGAGGTAGAGGCGGCGCTCGAGAAGGGCGTCCTGACGGTTCGCATTCCCCGTCGCGTGGTAGAGAAGGCCAAGCCGCGTCGGGTGGGCGTGAAGGCGGTGGGAGTAAAGTAGAGGAGCTTTGGTTTGCTGGGATTTTGAGGAGGTGGGAGTGTACCTTATTGTGTATCAGTATATGGGCTGACGCCTGGCATGCGTGCGTGCATGCAGGCATGTGGAAGATGGTAGTACTGTGTTGTGCCCTTTGTGCGTAGCTGGGGTGTGCATTGGGTAGTGAGTATGCACACGTGTGCAAGCGTTTAAGGAGCACAACCGTCATAAGGTAATTGGTGTGGGTGTTCAGGAGTGAAAGTGCACCGTGCCGCATTTTGCACGCATATCAAAAGGAAGTGTTGGCCATGTATGTAAGGTGCAATAATAAAGTGACCAAAGGCTCCGCAGTAGCGTGCAGGTTGTACAGTTATTATTATAACTTCATCCGGTCCACCGTTGTACATGTAGTAACTTTGTACGGTATGTTGTACAGGGCTCGTTGGCTGTACCTGTGTACGTTGCCCACTTCTCCTTTTTCCTAAAATTGGTGCAAATCCGGTTGATGTAGTCTAGTCTTGCGAGTAGTGGCGAGGAAAGGTGTAATGCCTGCAACATCAATGTAAGCTTACTGTGAGCAATAAGCCCTACACGTATGACTCAAGATGATGTCGTATTGGAGCAGGCATATGGAGGTCTACACTCCCAACCATGCATTGCTACATGTGCTATGCCTACACACATGTACTTGAATCTCGTCAAGCCATCACATTTGCGACAAGGAGCCCAACGGCTCCCCCGGCAGTATCTCGTACGGCAGGTGTCTGAAGCGGCACTGCCGTATCGCCTGCGCCGCGCTTCTCACCGCGTCGCTAAAGGGGTACGTCTCTCACCCCCTTCTAGTATATCTCTCTCCCCCCCTTAGTATGCAACTAACGCTGCACAGCACATGTGGCAAGGGCGCTACCAGGCGCCTGCCGGTGATGCCTGCCTTGACCACCCGCCGCCGCCAAGTCGCTGCCGCTGGCACCAAGGCTGTAGGCGCGCGCACTCGCAATCCTGACATCGAGTTACGCCTTTTCGAACCTTACTAAGCCATTTGCCGGCGTTCGCCCCCGTCCACTAGGGTCTCTGGCCGTGGTGCGCATGGGATTTGACGGTGCCGGCAGGAAGTGGCGGCAGGAGCTCTGCCATTCCCTGCCGGCAAATGACTTACAACGTATAGTAACCTTGTACGGTGTGTTGTACTGACGTTGACTGTACCTGCGTATGTTGCCCTATTTATTTTTCCCAAGAAGTTTGGTGCAAGTCCCGTTGATTTAGTACAGCCCTTCTGAGTAGTGGCGAGGAAAGCTGCAACATTCATGCAAGCTTATTGTCAGCAATAAAAACCCTGCGCGTATGACTCATATGGATTTCTTATTGCATTCAGCTGACTTCCCAGCCATGTATTGCTAGATATGCTACACACTTGTACAGAAACCTGTCAAGCAACACATGTGCGACATCCAGCCTTGCAGTTTGCTTGCATTCCTCATGTGCGCCGTCAACCATAATGATTGCATCACGACAGTTTAGAGCCCGACCCGCAGCACTGCCGTCAGCAGCCTGTAATGGCCTCCGCACACAGGACGGTATACGGTACTGCTCCACAACAGCGCATCCGCTAACCGCGACGGATACCTGTTAAACTGCGCCGTCACTGCGCCGCCATGCCTAGCGCAATGCCTCCATGTGCGCACTCTCCTGCAGTGCTCATGCCTTCCGCCTCCCTTACCTTCCGCAGCACACCATGACTTCCATGCACTCACACGCCCCCCTGCTGACGGACGCCGGTCCTCGCAGTAAGCCTCTCCACCTCCCACCTTGTAATTAGCAAACCAGTACGCACCTAAATTCCAAAACCCTGCAACTCCGGTACCTCTGACACACCTGCTGCCACCACTACTACTACTAGCTACCCCTGCATCCACGTATCCCTGCCCTCACATGCAACTGCTACCATCTATAGGGACCTATACCATACAACACCACCTGCTGACTCCGCCTCCACCCCTTCCCTTTTCCGAACCTCCTCATTGCTGCTGCTGTTGCTGCTGTGCCGCCGCTGCCGCCCCAACCACCGCCGCTTCGGCCGCCGCCGCCGCCTCCGCTGCCGCCAGCAGCACCGAGTCCTCCCGTAGCGGCGGCGCCCCCGGCAGTACCTCGTACGGCAGGTGTCTGAAGCGGCACTGCCGTATCGCTTGCGCCGCGCTTCGTTTGACGGGCTCCGAGGTGGCGTACTCGAAGATGTGGTGAAGCTTGGGGGCCTGCAAGGGGCGGGTGGAAGGAAGGAGCAGCGGAGGAGGCGTCAGGACTCTTGCAACACGTGCCGTACCCGGTAGCACCCATCCGATTACTCATCAGGCCTACAAACTGCACCCCCCCCTCAAGCTCAGTTTATCTAATCCCCCTCTTCCACGTCCCATCCCGCACGCCACATCCCTCTTCCTCCTCCTCCTTCTCACCGCGCCGCTGTCCGCAAGCACCTCCCTCGCCTCCGGCGCCTCCGCCACATTGCAAATGGCCGTCATGGCGTTTATGCACAGCTGCTCGTGCGTGGGGTTGAGCACCGAAACCAGCCCTGCCAGCCCGCCCGGCGTCTCCACCACCGCATATTTGCCCTCCCGCCGGATGGTGATCGCCGCCAGCGCGCCCACAGCGGCGGTGGCGAAGGGCACCGGACAGGCGGGGGTGGCGGCCAGCAGCAGCAGCGGCACGCTGCCCACCTGCAGCCAGCGAAGAGAAGGTGGTGGTGGGTTGAAGAGGAAAGGGGAGAGATGGTGAGTGGCGCGCTTCCTAGGGTTCGGTTCCCATGCTAGCCCCAACTCAACCAACCTCACCTGCACGGCCTGTATCTTGCCATCCTCCCGCGAGGCTAGCGCCCCCAGCAGCTCTGCAGCCGCATGCCGCACGGGCTCCGGCTGACCCGTGGGTCGCAGCAGCTCCGCCAGGTGCGGGATGGCGTCCGCCGTGTCGATCAGCTGCGACAACACCTCCGCGTTGCGACGGACCTGCGCCCAAACCCGGGCTTGGTAAGTGAAGCGTTTGCGGGGTCCGTGCGCGCCATAACGATACGCATAGCCGCTCAGCTCACAGCCCATAACGGCCCCGTACTCTCACAGCTGTGTTATAATCCAGCCCACCCACCCAACTTCCCATTCACAGCCTGCCTCCACAGCCCACCTGCGTGCACGCGTACAGCAGCGTCAGCCCTTGCTGCGCCCGCTCGAACGCCCCGCCCGCCACCTCCTGCAGCACCAGCTCCATCACCCGGGGCAGCAGGCTGGCCAGACCCTCCAGCGCCCGCCGGGTGGAGTCGAAGCGAGCCGCCTCAATCAGCGCGCCGTAAGCGTCATCCCGTACCGCCTGGTGGGGGCGGTGGGGGGAAGAAGAAGAAGACCCGGTGTGTGGACCAGCGAATGCGGGGGACGCAGGATGACGTGGCAATTGGGTTGTAGGGTTGCAAAATGAGGATGAGGAATGGAAGGGTGTGGATAGTGCCGGTAGGGGCCCCGAGAATGGATGCGAGTGCTGTCTTGTACCTGTAGCCCTCACCATCCCTCGTACTCCTTCGTGCATTATCTCCCTCCCTCCCTCCCTGCCTCGCCCCTTCCTCCCACCTCGCACTCGTCCTCCAGCGCCGCCGCCAGCGCCTGCAGCCCGCCGTGCTGCACCAGGTCGCGCGAGCCCACCTCCTTGCACACCAGGCAGCGCAGCGTGCCGGCGGCGTAGGTGCGGGTGAGCGGGTCGGGGTCCTACGGGCGGGAGGGGCGGACGGGCGGGAGGAGGAGAAGGGCTTAAGAGAGAAGGGAGGAAGGGGGGGTAAAGGGATACGGGGGTAATGGTTGCTGGCGAGGGGGACGGGCGGTATGGTGGTATCCATTTGTGCAACCGCAGTTGCCTGGCCTATCAGCTGTGCCGCTGTCCTGCCTGCTCATCAGCCTACCTGCAGCAGGGCCACGATGGCTGGAGTAGCTCCAGCCGCCACGCATTGTATGTGGTTGACTGGAGATGACAGCAATTCACGGGCCGCTAGGAGTGATTTTTGCCGTACGATTGGGTTGTCGCATTGGAGCTCCGAAACCTGTTGGGTGGAGGGTGAAGAAGAAGGGGGGTAGGGTGAAGCCCACGTCGTGCATGTGATGTCTAGCTAGTGCAGGTGTGGGGCGTGTTGGAGGTGTGCCTGATTTAAGGTTCTTGGGGGGTCAGGATTGCGAGCCCTTGTGTTATAACATGTGCATCCGCCTTTCCGGATGTACCTCCTGCCCCACCATGTCCACAGGTGGCAATCAAGGACCGCCCAGCCACCTGGCACCCCAACCATAGCCCCTCCCATGCAGCTCCCCAGGACTCGTGTCCCACCCAAATTACTCCCTCCTAGCATGCGTACCAATTTGGGAAACGCTACTTTCTCAAAGCCACGCGTAACAGCCGTCTCGGGGAGGGGCTTAGGGTTAGGCTTCGCTTCAAAATCCTGGATGTGGCGCAGGTTTGCCTTGATCCGCGCTTGACTATCCATCTTTCTAGACCTAAGCGCCCTTAACGCCGCGCGATGGCCCCTTAGCACTGAAAGCCACTGACTTCAAAAATTGTGTTGTCAAGGCCAGGTGAACATGGAAAAGTAAGCTAACGAGCTGTTATAGACAATAAAAAGCACAGCATTGTTAGAAGTGTAACCGCAAGTTGAAAAGGGTCAGGTCGTCGCTGGGCGTACTCATAGGTGGAGGCTGTTGCCGCAAAGAAATACCAGATCAAAGGACGATTGCATATGCTTGTACTGTGTCAGATATGGAGCTCAACTTCTGGGTTATTCCTAGTCACTTAGCCTTCTGTACATCCATAAAGTCTAAGGACCTGCGATCGCATAATACCTGTACCCATTTCCAAGCCGGCTTGACAAACATAGAAGACCCAAATCTTTACATAATCATTAAGAGATTACAAGTCAGCGATACTAGCAGTAACTGCAAGTCTCCTTTTGCAAGGAACACGACGAGGGGAGTTCTCAGTTGCAAAGCGAGGCCATAACTTATTGTACTTAGTATTTTCTAGAACTAGTTCCGCCGATGGCAAGCGCAGCGGCGCGCGAGCGATATGCTCGGAAGAATGAGCAAAACGAGCTTGAGCGTGCCTTTAACACAATAGACAGCAAGGGCGATAAGAAGATTGACGCAGAGGAGCTAACGGAGCTTTTCCTGCGGCTGGGACATAAACCCAAGCGTGGCGAGGTGGAGGACATGATATGGGAGGTGGACGAGGACTGCGACGGCTGCATAAGCTTGCTGGAGTTCCAAACGCTATACACGCGGTGCCGCGACGACAAGACGGGTTACGAGCCGCGTGGGCTTTTCAACGTGGTGGAGTTCGTGATGAACGACAAGAACAACCAGGGGTTTATCACGCTGGAGGAGGCCATGCAGATCATGTACCTCCGGTACGGACGAGCGGAGCTTGACATGCAGCTGGAGCAGGTGTTTGGCACGGCAGACCTCAACAGCGGCAAGATTCTGACGCTCACGGAGTTCCTGCACTGCCTTCACACCAACCAGGTGAAGCAGCTGCTCAACCGCGTAACAGCCAAGACGTACAAGGCGCCCCCGCCACCCCAGAAGCGCAAATGATTGGAATTGGTCGTGGCTTGGGGCAGGAGGCAAAGAGGTGGGCTGCAGGTCAGGAGGGACGGTGCGAGGTAGCTCTTCTAGGGTGTGGGCTTGGAAGTTCGGCTCTGAGCGACGTGTACAACATAGGATAGGTGAAAGGGTGATGTTAGGGGTAGGATAGGTGCAGGAAAATAGTGCGTGTGTGGGCGGAGCGTGAAGTTCGTGGGTCCTGTCAGGACGCGGCTCCCCGACAGCACCACCGCATGTGTATAGTGGCGTGTATAAGGTCAGATAGTGATGCCGAGTAAAGTGTTATGTGTCTTGGCGCTTATACGGCAAGGGCGGACCGAGCAACGTATTAGGGCCATTGTGGTGGTTTGTAAAAGGTTCGCCGGCACCGCTGGCTTAGGCAAAGGGTTTGGCGCCTACTGACATTGATTGCGCAAGCCAAGGTCGTGGCAAGGGGATGTAGCTAGTAGGGCGCTGTAAGGACTGCGTCCTTCGCTGACAGGTCCTGCAGGGGCCGACGATGGATACTGAGTACCCCTTCTGCCTTATTGCTTAACTAGTTCTCTGTAATGGTAATAGTAATATAACTTTCTATCATCCTAAAGGCGTTGGGGTGCTACCAAGGATTCGTGAAAGGGCTTATACGAAGGCCTCCTTGGCGAAAAAGGCCGGTAACAATTTACATATTAACAACAGCTCTTCTGTTCATTAACAACGACGCACTGTCTGGCATTTTGACGGTTCAAATACGCGCCTGTTCAGGAGTAAGCGTCGTACGCTATTGACGGACGCTCTTCCTGTCACAACGCCCCTGCAACTTCAACAAGAACTGCCCCAATTGGTATCGTAATGACGCCACATTGCAAATTCGGACTATACAAACCTACCGGCAGACCTGCAGCGCACGCGCAGCCGTCGCGCGTTTCCGGTTGCACCTACCGCTCACCTGCCACCCGTCATATTTATAAGCCTAACAGCGCGGATAGTTACCTTACGTTTACCACATCTAATCACGACCATTTTGAGGGCTTAAATCGGGAACTGGCGGCCACTAATAGCCCGCTTGACGCGGGCGACTTGCCGCTTCGCGGCGGCTCACCTCTCAATGGAGTCCTGAACTCTGACGATGACGTAAGATGCTTTCAACAGCTCGAATAACTGTGCCGTGTTTGGTATTAAGCGTTCCTTTTTGGCTCCGAAACCGCATAATTGCGAACATGCTCGTCTCTTTCGGGGCTCGCGAGAGTTCTTCCAAAATTCCAATCCTGGACACGGCTACTGTAGGTGCTGGAGGCTAGGGTGCCAGCAGCAGCTGTGCCGGCACCCACGATTAAAGTGACTGGCGAGCTGCGGCGCAAGGCATGGGCACTGAGCTCCGTGCTCAAGGGTGAGTGTGGTAGCCTGGCAGCCTTTGACCACAAAGGGAACCCCCCCTCGTGTCATTCACATCACACCTAACCGGCTTCTCAGGCCAGTTCCTTACGACAACGCTGCCCCAAGCCACCGCTATCTCGCTGCACCCCTCACAGCCGCCTCGCCCACCACCGCTGCTCACCACACCTCACAAACCAAACCCATTCCCCCCGCCCCGCCCCGACCCGCCCCGACCCGACCCGACCCGACCCGCCCGCAGTCTTTGTCAGCCGAGTGGACCCCAACTACGCCCAGCCCTGGCAGATGTGTCCCCAGCGCACCAGCACCGGCAGCGCATTCGTGCTGGACACCGACAAACGCACCATCCTAACCAACTCGCATGTGGTGAGGGGGGCAGCTGCTGGTGCTGGTGTTGTTGCCGCCCTGGGGGAAAGGGGGGTATCCGGCATGCGTGGTGGGCGAAGGGCGATTGGCTCATGCGCGTGGAGGGTCGGTGGCTTGCGGTTGGGTTGCGAGAAGGGATTCGTGTGGATGTGGAGAAAGGAACACGCGCAGGGGTATGGGATGTTGATGTGTTTGATGTGTCCATGCACGTTGGGTAAGGCAGTGTGACGTCGCATGGGCGCTATGTTCGTCACAGATGAACCGTGGGTCGCTCCTAGGTATCCAAGGTCTCTCGCGGCGGATCATTTAGGGAGAGTTCATAGGCTGACGAGCATGCCGTACCGGTCCTCAGTTACACTGCCACCGCCACCAACCCAAAGACGAACAACACCAACACGAACAGCTCCAACACTTGCATCGCTGCATTCTCTTCATCCGCCGCCGCTCCTCACCAGGCCCAGATAGCACCACCCTTTCCATCGCCACCGCCCTGTCCGCTCCCCTACCGGCCCCACTACGCCCACCCTTCCGCCCTGCCCCACAGGTCTCCAATGCCACGGCTATCTACGTGCGGCGTCCGGGTCTCGCTAAGAAGTTCAAAGCCGAGCTGGTGTGCGAAGGCAAGGTGCGTGGGGCTCGAGACTACCCAACGCGCGGAAAGCAACGAGAACACGCGCACGTGCATGGATGTGCATGGCAAACCCAACCGCGCATGTGCTTGGATGTGCTGAAGGGGGTTTGCATGAAGGGTATAGGAAGCCAAAATGCGTTCACAGCAATGCATTATCCGCTTCCTTACAAAACCGCCTAACCAACCCTGGATCAGCCGGTGCACGTAACGCACTCCCTCACCCCACCCCACTCCCTATCCCACCTCTCCCTCTTCCCCTCTTCCGCCACCGCTGCCGCCAGGTGTGTGACCTAGCGCTGCTGACGGTGCGCGACGACGCTTTCTGGGCCGCGGAGCTGCGTGGACTCGACTTTGTGGACGTGCCTGAGCTGCAGGTGGGGTGCTGCTGCGGGTTGGGTGGTTCGCAGCTGTGGGTTAGGTGGGGAGCTGCTGCGGGTTAGGTGGGGCGCTTGCGGCCTCCCGAGACTGGGGTTTGGGAGAGGGAAACGTGCCAGGAGTGTCGGAGGGAGTGAGACTGTGGCAGCATGCGCGTTTGTCCTGGAGGCACGGGGGTGTCTTTCCGTCCAGGGTTATGGCTTAGGCCTTAGGGCAGTCAAGGCCGGCAGGTTGGCAGGTTCTGTGTGAGCCGGCCAGCACTGGCACGCGCCCGCTTGCACCTCCCCACCACTCGTACGCTCCTCACGTGCTGACTGGCGCTACCCTCCCGGGATGTGTGCACGCGCTGTGTCGCAGAGCCCCATTGCTGTTGCGGGCTACCCTGTTGGAGGTAAGGCGGGCACCCCGCATGTTGCGGCTTGGCACGTTGTTTGGAGGCCGCGTGGCCTGTTGTGAATGTCTGTAATGAGGGGTACATGCCGGTATACGGACGGGCTTTAGCGTGTACCGCAATCTGCTGCTGTGCACTGTGGCCCCTTCTCCCGTGACCTCTCCCCCTCACCGCACCGCCCGCCCCCAGGTGACAACATCAGCGTTACAAAGGGTATCGTGTCTCGCATCGCACTGGTTCGGTACTCGGCGACCGCTCGGCTGCTGTCCATCCAGATCGACGCGGCCATCAACCCAGGTAACAACGAGGTTCGTACGGCACCTGCCGTATCTTGTCGTGTTGCGCTCGGATTCTTAGCGACCCGCTGTGTCCTGTGTGGCTTGCATCTGCTGTGTGTCTTGCTTTACGACGCATAAAAGTCATAGCCCTAACTCGTTCGTTGCTGCACTGGGCGGTGGCTGTTTGCATGCGTTGCAGGCAACAGCGGGGGACCCGCGTTCGTGGACCTGGAGGGAGGCAAGGTGGCAGGTGGGAGGGGGGGGGGGTTTGCAGCAAGCATGACTGCATATGGCTGTATGGGGAGAACCGCGTATCTCGAAGGGGTCAGTCCACAGACAGCGTGAGTGTGTAGTTGAGTAGAACAAGAGCAAGCAGCTGGGATAGGTTCGCATGTGAACAGCGAGTACAGGCAAAACAGAGGGAAAGCTGTTGGGGGGTAAGCTGGGAGAATGCAGTAGCTTGCAGCTACCCAGGATGAAACGTTGGGACGTTTGGAGAGGTAGGACGAGGCTGATGACGGTGAGCCGAGGACCCCGCCTGATTGCTGCCAACCGCACACACCCACTGCCACTCCCCCCCCGCTGATGCCCCAGGTGTTGCCTTCAGCAAGAACGTGAGCACCTCCACCGACAACATCGGCTACATCATTCCGCACCGCGTCGTCAAGCACTTCCTCGCGGTAAGGGGTGTATGTGCCTCGCGGTAAGGGGTGTATGTGCCTCGCGGTAAGGGGTGTATGTGCCTCGCGGTAAGGGGTGTATGTGCCTCGCGGTAAGGGGTGTATGTGCCTCGCGGTAAGGGGTGTATGTGCCTCGCGGTAAGGGGTGTATGTGCCTCGCGGTAAGGGGTGTATGTGCCTCGCGGTAAGGGGTGTATGTGCCTCGCGGTAAGGGGTGTATGTGCCTCGCGGTAAGGGGTGTATGTGCCTCGCGGTAAGGCGGCCCCAAGGGGAAGACAGGCTGTGTCGCCTGCATGCATGTGCCTCGCTGGCGGTAACAACCCCACCTACGTACGGCATCAACCGTGGTGGGGCTGTACGGGAAGCTGTGCCGTACATCCACCCACACCGGTTGGGGTGGGTCCGTGGGCTGCGGAAACTTGTCATCCGGCGAACGTAAGGGTTTTCATGGTGCCGGCACCGAGCCCCTGCCCCCTACTCCGTCCCCCGCCACCTCCCTCCCCCCCTTGCAATCTCCCCTCCCGCCCAACGTCCCAGGAGGCCGAGACGCACGGGTGCTATCGCGGGGTGCCCTCCCCGGGCTTCCTCACGCAGGACCTGGAGAACCCGGCGCAGCGGGCGTACCTGCGGGTGAGGGGGGAGCAGCCGGAGGGCAGTAGGATGCTGTTGTGTTTGTCTGTTTCGTGGGACCTTGCGTTGGCTCTGCATGGGCGTAGTGAGCTGGTGACCCATGGGTCTCCATACCTACCTTCCGGAGTTTGGATGTCTACGCCCCAACTTCACATCCGCATTGCAGCCTCATGGCCGTGGTGCCGCACACGCATGCACACATTGCCGGCAATCACAGTACGTTCCGACTCGCGGCCAGTTTTCTTAGCACACATGTTATCCTATCTACATGTTCATCTATACTTCCGTCCGTTTTCCTCTCCCTCGCTTGCTGCCCACCCCTCTTCTCACCTTCTTCTCACCCTTCTCTCACCCTCCCCTCAGATGCCCGACGGCGCCTCCGGCGTCATGGTGGTGAAGACCGACCCGCTCAGCGGTGCGCACGGCACCCTGCTGCGGAACGATGTGGTGCTCGAGGTGGACGGAGTGGCGGTGGCGGACGATGGTGGGTGGGGCGGGGTGAAGGTGTGAAGGTGTGGGGTGTGAGCAGCCCCCCTCTTGCTTGCCCACATCATCCGAGCACACCTCCTCCTTCCCCTCCCCCGCAGGCACGGTTGAGTTCCGAGAGGACGAGCGGCTGGAGTTCGCGCACATCATCCGCGCCAAACACATCGGAGAGGACGTCCACTTTAAGCTGCTGCGGGACGGACAGGTGCGGCGCGTGTGTTAAGAAACCTGGCCGTGCGCGTGTGCGTGGGTTAGGAAAACTGGCCGCGAGGCGGAACGTACTGTGATTGCCGGAAGGCGAAGGTGCGTGTGCGTGTATGGAAGTTAACTGGCCGGCTGGTGCGTGGGTAGGGGGATGCTGGGAGCCCTTTTGACTACCTACCTGGATCGCTACATGTGGTTGCCTTTGGGGTGGCCACATCGTGTCAAGTGGCATACCGCATTGCACCACATGATGGCTGGCCTTGACACTAACCAAAGCACCATTCCTCTTCTTCTCATCACGTGATCACCCCATCTCGACCCCGCGGCCCCCGCCGACCCCCACACGCCCAGCCTAATGCGGAATGCGTATCCCTATTACCCTCCCCCCCACGGCACCCGCATTGCTGCATTTATTTTAATTGTCCCCCACGCACCCCCCCCCAGGAGGTGTGTGTCAGCTACCCGCTGCGCGCCAAGGACCACCTGGTTCCCGTACTCGACGCAGTGGACGCAGTACCGTCGTACTTCATCGTGGGGGGCCTGGTGTTCGCGCCGCTGTCCAGCCCCTTCCTGGAGATGGTGTTTGGGGGCGGGGGCGGCAGGCGCAGCCGTCGGGCTGACGTGCCGGTTCCGGTGCTGGCGGCGCTGAACCAGAACAAGATCCGCAAGGGGCAGCAGGTGGGTTGTGAGGCTCTTGTAAGCTCTTGTAAGACTACCGGTAGTGTGTTATTAACCCCATTACGGTAGTGCTAGGTGGTGAATCAAGTCAAAAGTCAGCACACGGGGCTGTGTTCGGCCGAAGCGGCTGCCTGCGTGCTTCAAGTGAATGGCAGGTGCCATGTTTTGCCGTCCTCTCCTTATTCCGGCGTTGACCTCCGTTGTGTTGTCCTCAATCGGGTGGATTGGTGGTGGTTTCTTGGAATCCCGGCCCCGCATCAACCATGCCGGCGTATGAACTCTCTGTCTCCCGCGCGCCTCGCTGCCCTGCCCTGCTGCGCTGCCCCACCTGCTGCCGCCCCCCACCTGCGTCCCCTCAGGTGGTGCTGCTGGTGCAGGTGCTGGCGCACGAGATCAACCACGGCTACCGATACAGCGTCACCCCCTGCGAGAGCTTCAACGGCCGCCGCCTGCACTCGCTGCGCCACCTGGCACACTTGGTAGACACGTGCGATCAGCCCTTCCTCAACTTTGGACTGGAGGTGAGGTGCTGGGCAGGAGGGCTTGGGGAGCCGCACATGGATGGTGTGGGAGCAGGTCCATGGCAGGAGTTGTGTTTGGAAGGGACGAGCGGTTGCTGCGAGTTGTCATTGCTTTACCATGTACCTTTAGGACTGGTATGCATGTATGCATGTACTTATCGCTTGCTGTTGATGTTTGGAACATGCAGGGCGGGAGGTTGATTACGCTGCAAACGGCGGAGGTGCGGGCAGCTGGGCCGCAGATTCTGTCCACCAACGCGATTTCGTCTGACCGGTGAGTTGGCATCACGGCTTTGGCACACGATTGGAACTTTAGCAGCACTGACAGCAGTACTGCCGGCATCCAATGCTAGTGGCGTCGACACGGCAAACGACCACCCTGACGTAGTAAAACTCGTAGCGGTTTACCCTTATCTCCTTCAATCAACCGAAAGTGGCATTGCTCAGACCTACTTCCTGCTTTCCGAGCAGCTGCGTTAACCGACCCATGGGTCTTTAATGCCATGCCACCCTCATCCCATTCGTCCTCCTGCTGCCGTTCCCTCCCCCCAACCTCAGCTCCCCGGACATGCGGCTGCCCCAGCCGGAGGATGAGGACTGGGAGGCCGCGGGGCGCTGGAGCGACGAAGAGGACCCGCTACTGGGAAACGGCGGGGGCATTGGAGGCGACAGCGACCAAGATGGGTAGAGGAAGGAGGACATGGGTTGCGTTGCGAATTGGGTGGCGAGGGAATTCGTGGACGTTGCTATAGAACGGGCGGATTGATGTTTGCGAGGCGAGGAAGCGGAAGGTGGATGGAAGATTGGAAGGATTGCTGTTTTGAGCAATGGGGGCTTCAGGTCTGGAGGAATGATGGGTGGTGACAGTGGCTATGGCTATGGACGGATGGTATGAGAATCGGACCTTTGGTGTTTTTATGAACGTGTTTTGAGGTTGCCTCGGTTAGGCCCGAAGACTTACGTGGAAAGTGTTTTTTCCGATGGCAAGTACGTGACACATTGGGAAGCGTGTGCATGCTGTGCATCACGCCTTCCAAACTGCGAACTGGTTCCACTCGTCGACTCCTTTATCCGCATATGTGCATGTGCATATTGCATCTGCACGGCTGTACGGTTGTGTCGTAGACGCAACAGCAGAGGTTTCGGGCGCCTAGAGTCGAAACCCCGTGTTCTGTTTCCGAAGGTGGGAGCTCCTGCTGCTGCTGAAAACAAAGCTGTTTGGTGTCCCGTGTCTGTTGGTTGGTTCTCTTGGTTTGGTCAGTTTGTTGGCTGGATGACGACGTTATATGGTGGCTGTGCTAACTCGAAGATGAACCCGGACAACAGCTTCGCCCGCCTTGTTATGTCTTAAACGCTCACGTGTGGTGGTGCGTGTGTTGTGGTATCGGTACGGCAAGGACCCGTGGCGTGTATGTGTGGAGCCGGTGGTGTCCAGGAGACGTTTTCGACCTGCCTGCTGCGGGTAAGGATGAGTCCGTTCCACGTCCCAAATCCTGCATCACTTTTTGGGCGGAGCCCTTGCCGTGATGCGGCATTAAAGGGGGTTGGGGCACCGTTTCATTCGAGGCACCGTTGGCTGGTCAGGCCATGTGGGCTCTCCCTTCACACGTCTCCTCCTTGATTCCTACATCATTCACCATAACCGGCATCATGCACTCGTCGCCTGCGGACGCACGTTCTCCGGGGTGTGCTGGCGTATGGCGAGCTCGGGTCCGCACTCAACGTTTCTGGTGTCACAGTGTCCGACCAGCTGGATGCCTTGCTTGCGCGGGTGCCGCGTAGCTGGGCTCTTGCGGCACAGGAGGTCCTTACGGGAGCTGTGGCAGTTCCTACGGCCCAGGAAGCCTGGGCAGCCATCTTGCGCGGCCTTGTGTGGCAGAGCGCCAGTGGCCTTCGTGTGCCCGCCCTCCGCCTCACAGTCCGGCTCGGCACGCAGCTCCAACTCTCCCCCGCGTTTCAAGACCTGGCCAGCAAACATACTGCGTACATCTGCGAGGCGTACGGTGTGGAGGCTGTGCCGCATGACGCGTTGTCTTGCCTGCGGAGCACCTTCCGGCGCCTCTGGCGGCTGCGCTGGGAGAGCTGCCACAAGGAGGCTTTGTGGCGGCTTGCCCTCAACGGGATAGCGGGGTTTCCACTGGCAGCCTCACACGTCGCACGTGCGGCCGCTGAGGGTCGCGAGTTGGCACGGTTCTGTCCATGCGGTGTTGCCATGTCGGGCGGTGGGCAGTGTTGGGTGCGCCGGCATTTGTTCTGGGACTGCTGTGTTGCTAGGAACCTCCGTGAGGCTATGGGTGCGGTTATGGGGGTTGCGGAGGGGCCTCTCAGTGTTGAGTTTTCGCGGGCCCAGCTATGGCTTGTTTTGCCCCCACGTGGGATTCAGCCCGTCGTTTGGGATGTTGTGGCTTTGGCTGCTCTGGCGGCACTGGAGAGAGGCCGCCAGTACTTGTATCGTGATTGGGATTCACGTACACCTGTTTCCCCTGGTCGTCTGCGACACATCGGCGCCGAGGTGGTTGTTGATTTCTGGGCTAGGATATCCTCGTTCGCCAGTTTAGGTATCATCCCCCGGGGTTGGGCCTCGGTCCCGTCGGACCACCCGTTCCTTGCCCGTCAGGGTGGCCGTGTTGTGTTTTGTGGGCCGCCTGATTCCGGTTCTCCCCCTAGTTCTCCATGATTGTGCCTCTGGTTGGACTCCTGGGGCCTAGTTTGGCTTAGCCTCGGTCTGCGGCCATGTGTGTTTGGTGTTGGTGATACATGGTCTGACACTTGGTCATCGGCTCCCTCCTCAGTGCGGGATGTCCCCCTTCGGACATGTTTCCTTCAGTTCATTCGTGGGCCCTGTGGCTCTCTGTACTAAGTACTTCGGCTGTCCGTGCTTGGTGTCGGTGGTTTGCGGCCTTTCTGTCGGGCCTGGTGTGCCCCCTGGGGTAGGGCGGTCAACGCTCTGTTGGAATGTACGTCTAACGATTGGCCAGTAAGGAGTCCTTACTGGTTGGTCCTCCAGTGTAATCCTCGCTTCCTAAACAGTATCACCCACACAGCCTCGCAGCACCAGTGTCCGCAAGGCCAAGTCATACCGGTACCTCGGTAACTCCACAGACTTCAGAGCATGCGGCATGCCACAGCAGCTCCAGGGCTGGAGCTCTGTGTCAGCCGGTGCCCCAGCATCACAGAAAGCACAGCGCTAGGAAACTTGCGACATGGACGCCCCCGCTAAGCTCTCCCCATGAATTTGGTGCAGGCTAATAGTGCTATCAAACCTATCACGGCACCCACATGAACCCACATGGCGCAACACGGCCTGGGACCAACTCAGAAACACCCCCCCCCCCGTTTAGAGACAAAGGCACTCGCCACCGGGGCGGAACTAGGTGCCGGTATGCAGCAGCAGAGCAAGCACCCAACCCAACCTCCAAACCATATCGGGTAACCAAACCAACCTCAATGGATACCCAACCTCCAACGCTGTACTAGAGACCCTTCCACATGTTGTATGCTTTTCAGTGAGAGAAAGCCGCCTCGATAAGCTTCTACCACTTTAATCTCAGGCTCACCACTGCAGCATACACGCAACACAGACGTCACGACGTACAGCTTCTCAATTTCGAGGCTCAGTAACCGAACTACTGGTATCCAACCGCAAGTGGAGGGGTACTCGGTAGAAACTCACACTTCGCTCGAGTCAAGCTTAGCTGCCGTGCGTACGTGACCGGGCGCCACACTCGCACCCGATCATACGCCGTACAAACGACCAAAGTTGCATCCGTTAACGCAACAAAGGGTCTATTCAAGTATGGACCAAACCTGAACAGGGGGACGCTTGCTAAACGAGGAACGAGCGCGTAATTAACAAAACGCGGTTCTTAGACCCTTGACCGGCAGCATTGTGTTCAGCGGAATCCCATCAGGCAAGGAGAGGCTGCGTGTTGACACGAAGTCAGCCTCACTAAATTTAACGCAGAAGAAGAATACCTTACCTTGCCTGCCATAACTCCTGTCAGCCAGCGACCGCAAGCACTGCATACGGCTTCAGAGACATTAGGGTATTGTACAGCACAGCACGCGACACATGCGGCTGTCCCGCAATTAACCTCCTTTGCTCTGCACGTACGGCTATGACAGGAAACAGTCTAGAAGTACGATACACGAAATTGAACTCTCTCGAAGTCCCTCCATCTGAAGGCCTTGTCACTTGCACCCACCCACCCTTATTTTAGTCATACTCCCAAGCATACCTCTATAATGAAAGCAAACGATGCCCCCGGCCATTGCACATTGGCTGGACGCACGTCGGGATCAACAGCGCTGCGCTGCGAGATGAAGAAATAGATATACAAACACACTAAAGAGCGCTTTCACTCCTCCATTAGGCAATTGCCCAACCAAATAGCTATCGCACACCTCGATACTTCTTGAGGATGTCGGTGGGGAGGGAAACACGCGGCTACACACGCGCATGCGCCCCGCATCCCCAACCGTGCCGCAAACCTCAGTACTCGGTTCCTCCTGCTCTGCACTTGAACGCATAAAGAATGCAACGCCCGTGCTAAATGCACTCTTAAAGCCATGCATACAAACACATGCGGCCCCATGCGGGCACCTGAAGAGTGCAACGTTCCTTTGGTTTCTTCCTTTCCATACTTCTGTTGGGGCTGGCATCAAAGTTTCTTGAACATGCATGGAAGTCTACCACAAGCTGCACCATCTCGCTAGGGCAGGCGTGTTTAGGCAATGCCGGGCCCATGAAATTTATGGGCCCAGCGACCATGGAACCCTCCATAACCAATGCTTCCATGCAAGCCCGTTACGTAGCGTCTTCATGCCTTTTTCCATGCAAGCTCTCGTTATCGCCTCCCTTCTTACCTCACCCGCCCTCCTCCTCTCGTTCTTCCCCTTGCCTCCTACACATTGTCATTTGTTTGCTGGAGGTCCGCAGCAGTCAGGATCGCCGCATCCGGCACGCACAGCAGCATCGACCCCAGCGGTTCCACCACCTTTTCGGGTTCCTGCTGCTCCGACTCCCGTTCCTGCTGCCGCGATCGCCGCTGGGAGGGGCGTCGCTGCTCTTGGGACTCGCGTCTTGACTCATCATCCGCCGCCTGCTCCTTGCCTTTGGGGACCTCCACAGGCTGCTGCCCATCCAGTACGCGCCAGTGGTTGTAGTTTTGCACGAAGCACCTCATGAGCGGCTGCGCTCCCGGGAAGGCGCTGCTGAGCGCGTGCACCAGCGGCAGCGCCACGAACTCGTAGAAGCCCACCTGGCTCTTGCTGACTCCCTGCTTGGCGCGGTCGAACAGCGAGCTGATGGGCAGCCCCAGCTGCCGCTCCCGGTCGCCCTGCCGGAAGAACTCCTCCTCCAGCTCCACCAGCCAGCGCTTGTGCACCTCCAGCGCCTCACCCAGGTGACCGATGTCGGCGCACTTGAGAGCAACCTGCAGACTCAGCAGCCGCTCCGTCTCGTCTACGGGCTTGGGAGGCGGCTCGGACCAGTTGGCGGCGAAGGCGGCGCAGGGCTCCGAAACCAGGGTGCTGTCCGGGGTGAAACTGTGCAGAAGGAGGCGGGAGTGCAAGGGAAGGGGGCGGGATGCTGGGATCCAGGTTGAGATGTTGGGAGGTCACATGAACGAACACCGTAAGGGTGGCATGATAGCATAGTGATGCTCATGGTTGAGAACAAACACAATTCCTTGTGTTATGGCCCGCCATGATACGTCATGCAAGTCAACTTTAAAGGCCAAGCTTACATGGTTTGCCTGCCGCAGGCTCGCATGTCTCGAGAGGCACACTTATAGGCGACGCAGAGCGAGTACCCAGGGCGGGGAACCAGGCTCACCTCAACACGCGCGACAGCGTCCTGCGCAGGGTTCTCCGAGCTAGCTGCTTTGGCTGTTTGCTAGACGCCGGTCCCCCACCAGGGGACGCCGCCTGCTGCTGCTGTTGCTGCTGCTGCTGCGAATATGCCGCCAGCCTGTGCACGGTGCTGAAGTGGCTGAGTATGGAGAAGTGTTGCTTCATGTCGGTCGCCAGCACCATCTCAATGACCTGCTTGCGGAAGCTGCTGCGCTCCGCCGGGCTCAGCGGCGCCAGCAGGTCCAGCTCGGGCCGCAGCAGCAGGCTGAAGGACGCGGCGCAGTGGTGGTTTTCCAGAGGGGAGCGGTCGTTGTAGCGGACCGCGAGAGAGTCCGACGTGGCAATCAGGAAGTCGCTGGTCAGGCCCGGGTGGCCGTAGTCGTGCACGATCTGGGTCATGAAGTAAAGAAAGGCACAAGACTCGCAATCCATGCTGCAACAAGGGCCTGGCGTCACCACCAGAATTATCATGCATAACACGGGGGACGCAGCAAATTACCGGTACGCGCCAGACCATGCGCCGGTACAGATGCACCCACTAGGCCAAAGGTTGAGGCCACTTGCATGCATGCTGGGCCCCCTTCATGTCCCTTCCTCGTCCCTGTCCCTGTCCCTTCCCCTCCACCCCTTACGGCCCCATGCGCCCCATGTTTCGTCGTACTCCGCATTCCACGCCCCTACTAATCTGGCCCCTCCCACTTATTGTTCCTTCCCAACTGCCGCGCCGCCGCGTCCATAGGAATCCCTTCCACGTCATATTCGCATGCTCTCGTTTCCCGTCTCGCCTCTTGATTACTACGCACCCCCTCCTTAACGCGCCCTGCCTACTTCTTTCCCTATTTTTCCGCATATTGGCAACCGCTTCCTCTTGGATACTGGACCCGCTCCTGGTGCGGCTCTGTTGGTCTGCGTCTCCAATCCTTATGGCCATGGCACTTCTGGCCTCCATCTCCAGGTAAGTTTCCCGTAACGCGTCTCGATAACATGTGTGCTAGTATACCCCATATGCGTGTTGCTTTGCATTTCGTGACCGGCGGCGCGGCGCATGTCTCCCTAGTGTTACCACGCAAGGCGGCTTCTTCCTCAAGTCGTCTCGGTTTACGGTAAGCAACGCTTCGGTAAGTAATTTGAGATGCGTGTCTTTAGAATAGTGTCTCCGAATGCGCTCACTGCATGAGTCGGGATTTGGGATTGGGACTCGTTGTTTCACATATTTAATTTTTCCCCCCTTCCCGCCCCTCTCACCGCCGCATAGTATGCCGCCAGCAGCCCCAGCGGGTCCAGGTAGTGCACGTGCAGCTGCGCGGAGTACACGATCACGTGCAGCGTCTGCAGCACGTCCGCGGCGTGGGTGGCGTTGTGGTAGGGGTTGGAAGACTGGTAGCCCGCCTCGATTTGACGGAGAAGCCTGCGCGAGGCAACTATTGATGTTGTGCATGGTGGAGACTTGGAGACCCATGTGTCAAACTTGCCACTTACGTGAGGATGCCCGCACGGGATATAGACGCAGAGTGCAGTGTCGACACAAGGATGAAGCGCCATTGCACTTTGGCCTCAGAAGCACGTACCTGGCAAGGGTGACAGGCTTGAGACGAAAGGTCGACAGCAGCTTCGCCCTCTGTATGAGATAGAAGCCCAGAGCTGACAGTGCGTGACCCTGCGTCGCCTCTTGCAGCGCCCAAGAGTCAAACTGCCAGCTGTCAGCCTTCGCGAGCAGTCTCTCCACCTACAAGGTAGGAGGAACGACATGACGTCATGCGTGCCATGCATCCTTGGAATGTCATGCACTTCAGAGGACCATAACACAAGGAGGAGTGTCCGTAAAGGGCAGCCCGGGCGCATGCCACGAGTAGAGGGTTTTGACCCTGGTCTGACGGACGAGCGCGGACCGCAGTTCACTGCAATCCCTTGGCCATTAAGCAACATTCATGCTCTCGCCTATGCTAACCCTACCTCATCAATAACTGCTATCGGCGGGGGAAGGTGTCGTCTAGCGGGCGTGACTGCGGCACTCCCATTAGGCGCCGGCGCCGCCACCGCCACCGCTGTTGCATCCGCCACGGACACCGCGCATTTGCCGCTGGCTGCCCGCGAGGGGCTACCAAGCAGTTGACCCAACCGGCTGTTGTGGGGTGGTGCAAGCAGGGAAGCCTCGGAGGCCGCATGCCCCCACGGAGTCAAGGGATGCGCAGCGTTGCATGGCAGAGAGGCATTGCGAGTGGCGCTGAAGCTCCCGTCGATGAAACCGTTGTTCCCGCCTCCGCCGCCTCCGCCAAGCCATCCCAACTTTCCGCCTCCGTCCAGGGAGGTGTCCCGCGGCAGGCTACCAAGACTGGCTGTAGAGCCACGTCGTGCAAACAAACTCATTACGGCTGACAGGCGACGCGGAACCAGCCTTTCCGCTGAATGCCCTGCCACCCCGCCGCCGCTGCAGCCGGCCCCGCCTTCCGTATCGATCATACCGCCGCTGAACCCTGCCCCGCACGCGCCGTCTTCCTTGCTCACCATCGCAACCGCGTTGTTGGCCTCACTTAGCGCTGTTGATGCCGTACAGATGCCACATGATCTGCGACCGGTTGTACGGAGATCCCCAGGCGCCGTGGCCCCATCAATTGGCTCATGCGTCAAGGAGCTGAACGCATGCTCGGCCAAAGACCGCCGCCGTGTGGAGATGACATTCGTAAGGCCCCGGCCGAACGGCGACTCCAGGGCAGCACCGCCCCCTACTGAAACCCCGCCGCCGCCTGCGCCACGACGAATTGATTCCAACGCTTGCAAACCTGGAAAGTCAATGCTAGAACGACGCCGAGACTTGTCCTTGTGCAGCAATAGCGTCGCGGCCTTCTCAAGCAGTCCCGGAGGTGTTAATGGTCCCGGCATGCCACCTGGGCCGACAGGTACGGCACCCGCATGCTTTGAGTCTCGCCCGCCATTTGCCGTGGCATCCGAGGTGCCATCGGGTACGGCACCGTCCGAGCTCACATGCAGCTCCGTCCATCCGGGCGGTTGCGGCGTGAGGATGAGAGCTAACGCACTCGACAGGTTGCTGCAAACCCGCTGCTGGTCCTCCTGCTCCTGTTGCTCCTGCTGCTGCCCCGACGGCTGTTGCTGGTTGTGACCAAACGGATGTAGTGACGGGTTGGGGCTGGTTTTGGTGCTAGGCGTGGAGCGCAGCAAGCCGCTCAGCGGACTGCGGCTGCAGACACCACGCCTGGAGGCGGCCGTCTGGGGCACAGCGGGCAACATGCTGATCTGCGAGCAGGAGGCGGGAGCGGCAGCAGCAGTGGCCTCTCGAGGCGAGGTACGGCCGTGTCGTGAAGCGCCGGCCGAGACGGAGGGCCCCAGCACGAAGCTGCTTCCGCCGCCACCCAGCTGCTCCATCAGATTCTGAGCCACATCGGCCTGCAAGGAAGGCAGCAAGGAAGGAGGGTATGGCGCATGCAAGGGTTACTGGTTGCCCAATCGACCCACATCACAAAGCCGACCCAGCCCTCCAACCGACCCACATCGAGATTGGCCCCTTTGATATGGTAGTTCAGGTTGAGTGGCTGGTAGACGTCCATGTTGCGCATCAACACGGTGCGGATGAACAACACGTCGCCGATGTCGGGTAGCCTGCCGACCAGCAGCTCACCCATCATGCTCAGCAGCAGGTCAGCCGGAGTGTCTGCAGGGCACGCCGGCCGTTAGGACAAGAGGAGTGAAGGGAGTGCTACTGCCCTCTTCAGCAAGACCCCAACCTGGCAATTGTGTCAGCATGAGCTGAAGGCCGCCTGTTCGACATGCAGAAGAGCTGTGTGTCGCATGTACATGCAGTGCTGCGGGCTGACAGCTTGGAGTGGATGCAGCCAGCTGCAGCACATTAACCCTCTCACCTGCTTTCATGATGCGTGCTTTTCCGAAAGACCGGCTCCCTTCATCCTTAAGCGACTTGACGATCTCACGCGGCAAGAGAGCCTCTAACAGCTCTTGGTGCCTCCGTCTGCACGTTTGGAAAGTTAGAGGAAGTAAGGGCAAGGGTTGCTCCAGGCATCGGAACATGCTAACCAGGCGTTGCCGTTACGTCTGCGGCCATGACTGATGGCTTGTGGGTGACGCATGCCGCGGCATGACACGCTTCTATCGGCATGTTGGGCTTCACCTGGGGACTCAATGTCTCAACAGCGACATGTGACATGCCCGCCCTGCTGCCCTCTATACGTGTACCAGTATACAGTGTGCGCCATACCTAGATGACACAACCGCATACACCAGGGCCACGTTTGCTACCGCCAGGACAGCGATACCCGTGAGCAGGCAGCCGTACCAAGCCTGAAAGCGGGATTGTGAATCTACACTCAAAAGGCAGTCAGGAACGTTCAAGAGGAAGCTCCCTGCCGCGGACACGACAACGGATACGGAGTAGTTCTTCCTCTGTTTTGCAGGTGCCTCTTGCCACCCTGTCTCTGTAGATGACCCGCATGCGTTTCTCGCCTAAAAGAGAAGGCTAGGACATGCCACCGGGCAGCTTTACTGAGGCAGCCCTCGTCGGGATGCCCTACTCCTTGCAGGGGGCCCAAACACATCTAAGGGTTTGTGACCGCCAATCCGTCTGGCTCACCTTGGCTACCTTCTGGTGGGCGCCCACAGCATGGCTTATGCCCCAAATTCCAACGCCAAGAGCAACATACACAATAAGCAAAGCCCATAAGACTCTGCTTGGGTGGGACGTGATCAGGTTGCGGACAGCCTGCAACAAAGAATATTGTAGCTTCGTTAGACACAGGGATGATGCAATAACTGCTGTAGGCGCCGCGAGCCGGCGGGGGTGCAGCATGCTAGCAATCCCAAGCAAGCGAACGCGCGCCATAACGTGCAAGGAGCCAAAACGTTATTTACCTGTAAGCAACCTGTTACGCCGTAGACACAGCGGCGCGTGGCAGTTTGGGACGTGCCTTCTCTGTGATTACCGTAGGCCATGCTCCAAGCCCGATAATCCAAATTGGATAACCCAAAATGTCAGGATACAGTAAGCGATATGGAGTATATACTGGAGAGTTCAAGCAAGGCATAAAATCCGGACTCTCACTTCCAAGTTGCACGGTCAGTAGGCCATCATGATTTAATATAAGCATCTGTTTTACGGACAAAAGTCCGTGTTATACACTAGCAAGGCTCTGGAGTCACCAAGGGTGCGTACAATAGGCACAAACTGGGGCTCTGGTTGTCAGTTGGATGGGTCTTCCCTGCATTAGGTTAAGAGATACACCTTGTCATTAGGTCATATTTATTATAAAGCTAACTTCTGGTTGCTTATGCCTTGTATCTCAGGCAAGCCGCATGATGGTTTCAAACGTACTTCGCAACGCTTTAGAATTGCTTCGTTACACCTATCTTGAAGATGCTTCTGCGTGTATCTGGGTTTCTTTTGTATCATTTGGTATCTGTAACTGTCGACTGCCTGCTCCAATACGCACTGGGGGGGGGTTGCATGCTTGCATCAGCCTTTTATATCAGCCTTTTAGACGAGCAAGCTCTTGTACAAAAAGGCCAATGTGCCGCTATGCAATGCGCCGGCTGAAGTCCATTTGGGCTTATATAGACTTCGCGAACGGGGCCACATCTCAATAGTCACACTTTCGGCACGACGGCACAGCAGGTTGAAACTGTGGTTACAACGCATATCCGATAATTCTCCATGGCAACTTCTGTGCTCGCACCCTGGGCATGACATTATGTTTGCAAGCGCCCCACTCGGACTCAACCCCAACACCCCATGCAACGCGGTTGGGCAACCCACAGACATGTTCACCACGGCACCACAGAGGCTCCAAGGCCTACCGTCTAGCAATGTCGTCCTGTACATGTGTGGCGTCTTAGTTCCAACAACCAGAGCGCAACCTGTAAAGCGCTCCTTAGGGTGTAGTCGCAGGGTAGCTGCACGTGGCAGCACCTATGACATAGCCGACTTCGCTGACGGCTTATGAAGCTATGTATGCTAATTCCCTCACGGAAACGAAGAAGAAATGCGTTAGGGCTCAGGTATGTTGCTTACGCCATGTCCTATCATAACCATACACGTAGGCTGCCAATTTGCTGTTGCTGTTTTCTTGCCGGAAAGCGTTGATATGCAATGCCTACTTGGATATCGTGACACCTGTAGAATGGCAGGCCGGGAGAGGCTTGCCTGTACCGGTATGTCGAGAGGCATCGTAGCAAGAGACAGTACAGGGAGGCGGGGACACAAGTGAGGTAAAGACCGTGGTAATGGCAAAGCGGGTGTGTCCACTGAAGTGAACAGTTGGGAGTTAGGGGTCCTAGAGGCTTACGACATACGAAACATGCTGCTGCCGCGCTGCCGTACCGGTAACCTTCCGAGACCAACTGACTAGCCCTGTTTCCATGGGCGCAGGTTTGGTTTCGGACAGTTCCTACGTGTTTCCATGAGGACTGTCGTACGAAATTTTCACGCAGGAACTCCCTATTTTCCTACGGCGCCTCCCCCCTCGTAGGAAAATAGGAAGCCATAGGACGGCGTTAGCTGCCGTAAAAGTGGAGCGAGTGGAGCGCAGCCGGAGCGGAGCATCGCCTTTGGTTAAAGCCTCTAGCCTTTACTTGTTGCTCTTTTTGCCTTGCTTTACTTGTCGCGCGTATTGCCTTCACGGCCCTCATTCCTGACTTCTAGAGCGGTTGGAATATGAGCGTATGGCGTGGCAAGGAAATTTAAAGCGAGCATCGATCTGAACCTTGCGTGGCCTGAGTCTTATGTCCGAATGCTCGGTTACTGCGAACTGAGCATTTCTATGCATATTAAGAGCCTACAGTTTGAAACACAAAGCAAAGCAATAGCTTGTGTGGCGCCCCACAAGTGCAAGATCATGCGCGATAGCGCAGTGTCCCAACTTTCGCTGCACTCAGTTAGCAAAGCACGAGCAAATTGGGAAACAATAGCAGCTTCCGCAATGCCAGATGTAGCAGCGAGTATGAACATAGCCTGTCCACGATGATGGCACCGCCAACCATGTCGCTGCACTTCCCGTTCCTCAAACCACGTGAAACCTACCAGTGTGGCCCTAGTACCTTTGCTGACTTCCTCAGGGAGCAATTCGCCCTTACCCTTTCTGGCCAGGCAACCAGGCACCTCCTGATGGACCCATGGGCTCTGTGGTGACTGTGCCACAGCAGAGGCAGACCCGGTACCTGCCCCTTAGGTCCTTACCGCTAGGGTGCAAACTCCACAAATGAGTCAGAACGACAACCCAGTACCTAGAAGTATGGATTCCACGATAAAGCAACCATTCCTTCTTCCTTTCCCTTGTCACCCCGGCCTTCTAATATCTCCCCTCCGAAAGGATGCTTGGCATGTGGGCTACTGCTTGAGCGATGGTTCGAAATGGAAGAGCAGGAATATGATAGAACATAGAGAGGACGGAGGAGGCACAGTGCTGCCGGCAAAGGATCCCCACAACAGGCCAACACCAAACAGGTGACCGCAGTGTTACTCTGTTTGGGAAGGGTGCATGGTGTGGCATAGGCATGGCATACCCATTCAGCCTACTCCCCGACAACCCAGGGGGCTTGAGGGGTGGGGCCGCAAGACTGGTAAGAGACCGAACGCGTATGCATGCGAGAACCTGTAATATGCCCCAAAACACGCAAATGCAAGGTGAATTTGAGGGACGGTATAGAGCACGTATTCTCTAACGGTTGACCCTTGGTGCGAGATCTAAGCAGCTACACGTTCAAACACAGGCTCAGAGCATGGGTGCCTAGATCTGTTTGAGAATGATAGCGCATCCTTGGTAGTGCCTTGCCACTGGCCACTGGCCAGTGCCTTGCCACTGGCTCCTAACCACTGGATGGTGCTCATCATTGGAAGTGCCAAGACGCCGGATAGAACATGAAATCTAAGCAGCTATACGTTTAAACACAGGCTCAGAGCATGGGTGCCTAGATGATAGCGCATCCTTGGTAGTGCCTTGCCAAGGCTCCTAACCACTAGACGGTGCTGATCATTGAAGTGCCAAGACGCCGGATAGAACATTAAACATAAGCACCGCTCCTACTATAGCGTGAAGACGAATGAAGTTCAAGAAACAAGCTTTGCGGAAGAACCAAAGGAAACTTTTCCGCGTGCGCGCAGCACAAAATGCAATAAATGGTTCGATATCGCCATAATATACTGGCCAGGTACGGTGGTCTCAGCCTTGGTTTCTCTATTCCATGGAAACAGTCTCGTAGGAAGTCGTAGGATAGGAAGGGGTACGACCAGAAACCAAAATTCCTACGAGCCCATGGAAACAGGGCTACTGGGGAGGCACGATCTTGCTTGCGTGCCCAAAATTTGAAAGCCCCATGGGCCCAACCATACCTTATTATGCCGTATCCTGCGCTTGCGGCCCATACCCACGGTGACTATCAAACCTGCTAGCGGGTGGCGCTGCTCCAGGAGCTACAAACAGGGCCATTTCTGATTACACATCCGATAGTACCGCTAGTACGTTCCTCATTCCTAGTTTTCTCTTATAGCGCCGACTCAGCTTGTGGGCCCAGCAAAATTAATTCGCTGCTTGCTCGCTTGTAAGCTGGAGTGGTCTACAACCTTTTTCATTACTATATAGTTATTCCTAAAGGTTTGGCAAACCTCTACACGTTTCCGAAATCTTGGACGCGCCCGTTGGTTAGCAGGTGAGGATTGCTTGGCACCCATCGGTTGAGGCGATCAGGGGATCTGTGCTGCAAATGGTCTACTTGTTCCTCATAGGAAACCATAGTCTGCGGCCTTCGGCACGATAGGGCCTAGCAAACGCCTTGGTGATAGGCCTGTCGGCTTTGCCCCACCTTCCCACAGCACGAGGTTGAGAAGGGGGCGCAGCTTAGGTCACCGGACGGGGTCCGGCAAAGCTGCTAAGGATTTCCAGCTTGTATTATGATACAGGGACCCGTCAACCCTTACATCGCGGAGGCGAGCGTAGTCTATGCAGCTGCTCCCCTGCATCCCCTTGTATGAACAACCTGACAACCCTTTCCCTCGTAAAGGCTTCCTGACGCACATGTACATACTTGCGACCCCCCCCCCAACTCCTTCCCCACAGTGCACCCCTATGGCGACAGTCACCGCCCCCGGAAACACCAGCAGCGGCTGCATGTTCTCCTCCTTCAATGATGAAGGGGTGCCGTACCTTCAGATCTTCATTGGATTCACCGTTGCGGTGTACCTGTTCCACACGTACCTGGATGTACGGCAGCTGAGGGTGAGGACGTCCTAGGAATCCCAGGATGCCCCTGGGATGCATTCCCTTACTTCTTTGGCTGCTGCCTTTCCACCTCTGCAACCATGCTTACCGCTCAGTACTGGCCGACTGATAGTGCTTTCCGGATACCGTCGTACTGTCTCCTCACCGCAGGCCCTTCGGCGGCCGCAACCTCCACCTGCGCTCGCGGCGCTCTTCACCAAGGAACTGTACGACAAAACCCAGTCGTACAGCATCGAGAAATGGTGGTTCGCCTCCGCACACAGCCTGTACAGCGTCATGGAGACGCTCGTACTGATCCTCACGGGCTGGTTGCCGTACGTTTGGACTGCCTCTGGCGCCGTACTCGCAGCTGCCTCGACGCATCTAAGTCCTGGATGGGCCGCTTGGGGCCGCGGGGAGATTGCTCAGACGGTGGTGTTCGTGTTGGCGCTGTGCCTGGGGAACATGGTGTTGGAGCTGCCGTGGGGCATCTACTCCACGTTTGTTATTGAGCAGCGGCATGGGTTCAACAAGCAGACGCCGGGACTGTATGTGTCGGATCTGATAAAGCAGGTGAGGAGAGGGCAGAAGGGTGGGGATGGAGGGGGAGACGGGTGTGATGCGGCATTGCATATCTACATCGGGGCTTCGGGGGGCTGTGAAGGGAAGAGCAGCTGAGGCGAGCTGGTTGGGGCTTGTGCCGAGTAGACGGTCCGGAGAGCTGCTACTGTGTTGCTGTGTATCTCTTTTATCGCGCTCATTGTCCTTATGCTGCAACGCACGCGCGCATTCTAATCGGTCCGTCTCTCCACTTCCTGACTCTCCACTTCCTGAGACACGCCCGCCCTCCGCCCCGTACCCTTCCACGTACCGCCCTGCTCCACAGATGCTGCTGGCGGTGGTGCTGCTGCCACCCATTGTGGCGGGTGTCACGTACATCCTGCAGGTGCGTGGTCGGTAGCGGATCTTGATATACGGAATCCCCACTCTTCATTGACCGCGTTACGTCGTTGCTACCCCTGGCTTCCTGCATTGCCGAGCTGCACCTCCCAAGCCCTTCCCTTCCCTCACGCCCCTTTGCTCCCCGCCCTGTTACCCAACGCTTGCATGTCGTCACACCTGCCCTTCCTCTTCTTATTCATCGTTACCGGTACCTTCCTTGCCCCTCCTGCCTCAGGTTGCGGGTCCGCTGGTTCCGCTGTACCTCTGGGCCTTTGTGTTTGCGTTGAGCCTCTTCCTCATGACCATCTACCCGGTAGTCATCGCCCCGCTCTTCAACAAGTACGAGCCCCTGCCCGAGGTGGGAGGAACTCCCGTTCCAAAGCCGCTGCTGTTGCATTGTCGTACATTGCTGTCGTGCATTATTGTACAGTGTGAGTGGCTTGTTACCGGCCGCTGCGCCCTCCATGGGTGCTATGTGGGCTTTCGGACCTACCTTCGTGTCTAGGCCGCAACAGGGGTGCACGACTCCGCTGAAGCTCGCTGCTGGCCACCTTTTCCGCCCCGAGTGCGTTGTTCTTCTGTTTCCTACATAATCTCGGACCCACGAAGCCGTTCGCTGCCCCTTTCCCCTCTGCTTCCGCTCCTCCCAAAGGGCTCCCTGCGTTCCAAGATCGAGGCGCTCGCGGGCAGCCTGCGCTTTCCGCTGCGCAAGCTCTACCGCATGGACGGCAGCCGCCGCTCCGCACACTCCAACGCCTACATGTACGGCTTCTTCAACAACAAGCGGATCGTGTTGTACGACACGCTCATCCAGCAGTGCAGTGAGGAGCAGGTGGTGGCTGTGCTGGCGCATGAGCTCGGTGGGTCGGTCGCTCGACTGATGTGGGTCACGGGGGGTTGGTTGACTGATGTGGGTTGCTGCCCTGCTGCCACGCCTGCTTCCATCACCCCCCCCCTTTCGTGACTCCTGCTGCCCCCACCTTGACGGCATGCCCCCAACCCCTCCACACCCCAGGTCACTGGAAGCTCCGTCACACGCCGCTTCTGTTCGTGGTGAACCAGGTCGTGCTCCTCTCGCAGTTCAGCCTCTTCACGCTGGTGCGCAACAGCACGGCGCTGCCCGCGGCGTTCGGCTTCGCAACCGGGGGCACGCTGACAGCAGCTGGCACCGCACCCGCCTTTGTGGCGCTCATCCTCTTCCAGTTCATTGTATCACCGCTTGATGAGGTTCGTGAGGCAGGGGCATTGGGTTGCATTAGGCCTTTTGCAGGTTCTATCGTGCGCTACCCGCTCCCTTTCAGGCTAAAACCCAGAGAACAACTAGCAGTGCCTTGGCTTGGACTAATGTAATATGTAAAGCATGTACCGGTAGTACGCAAGAGTCGTGTATGGCAGTACGGGAACCCTACTGCGTGGCCAACATGCTTACATACACCCCTCATGTGGGTGCTGTCTGCTGTGTATGTGCAGGTAATCCAGTACGGCAGCAACGTGGTGAGCAGGATGTTCGAGTTCCAGGCGGATGGGTTTGCGGTGCGCACCGGACACGGCCCGCACCTGCGTTCCGCCCTGCTGCGGATGGAAGAGGAGAACAAGGTACGGCTATGCGGTGTGTGCCGTTTCCCAGTGTCCCTTGTCCTGGGGAAGGCTTGCATGCGGAACCGTATTGATACATGGCGGGGTGTTGCTGCTGCTGGGTAGTGATGTAAGGGATATCGCCGAGGCGGGGTGTTCGAGTTTCCGTCGCCTAAGCTTGCGTCCTTCCATCTCACCTCCAACAACCGCACCCACGCCGCCTGCTCCTGCTGGCTGGACACTGCAGGGCGCCATGCACGTGGACCCCTGGTACTCCTCCTACCACTACTCCCACCCGCCCCTGGTAGACCGCCTGCGTGCCATCGACGCGGCGCAGAAGGAGCAGGAGAAGAAGGCCAAGTAGTGGAGCTTACCGTGCTGTTGCCAGGCTACGGGAACGACTGCAGGAACTAGTGGTTTCTTGGCAGGCACTGAGGACGATGAGGGGGGCCACCTGTCGCTTGGGGGGACGTCATGTTATGGTAGTCATTGGTACACCTGGTGATTGGTGTAGGGCTGGGCTACCAGAACGGCGACTGTCGTACTGGAACGGAAGGCTGTACGAGTACGGCAGACGTGCGGAAGGCACAAACACACGTTATGTTGCAGTGATCATTCTCCGGCCGCAGCTGCAGAGGCACAGGGATTGAAGACATTGGCGTGGTCAGAATCAGCTTTACAATGTCAGAGAGTGCTGTCCCAATTCACCGTGTCCAAAAGTAGGATCGTGTTCTCCCAGCCTCTGGAGCAAACAGCATGCGCATGTCATGCGAATCCAGGAATTATATTAAATCACATTACCCTCCGAGAAACAATCCCTTTACCAACATTCCGGTCACCCAACTTATCGTGCCAATACTCTTCCAATACCGGTACCCGTACCTCCCTAAACTCTCCTGCATGTGCGCCGTGACGTGCATGAACAGCCGCATGCGCCATGACACACCGGAATAGCACATCCGCCACAATAGCACATCCGCCACACTAAGGCAAAAGTACAGCAGAGGTATCCTACAGCTGTACAACCAAACTATAACAAACAGGGCGTAGCCCAATGCCAAAGGGAAAACTGGCAACAGTGGCGGTCCCTGATATACTTCACCACAACACCTCTACACGCCGGCGGAAAAAGCGCTGCATTTGCTCTTGTAGGACGGGCGTAGTATCCAACCGTTAGCCACCAAGCAACGGCAGGAGCCAAAGTGGCATATGCAAATACCGACATCCAAACCTTTATTCAACGTCACCCTGCATATCCTCGCCCTTTATAGAGAGAAAGACCCAGATCGGCAGTTCAGCCGACAGCACATGTCCCTCGTCTTCGTGCAACCAAATTCCTCGTTTGGAACTAAGCACTCTACGGGGCCGGGGCCGTACCACAACCCGAACGCAACCCCCGGTCTGCTAGACACCTCGCATTGATGCACGTCATTTCAGCCCTCAGAAACCCAGCTTTGGAATGCTGTAACGAGATAAAGAGCACTATGTAAACAGGCAGTCAGGCACAGGCACGAACTCTTCGGCCCACAGCGCAACGCCGTGGCAGGATGTCGGTTGGAAACAGGCCGCGACCCCAGGCTGCACCAACAACACCCCATGCAGGAACCCTACAACCCCACAACATACTTCACCACCTCGCGGCCAGCTTTCTTAACACGCATCACCTATCTGCGGCCGGAAAATGTTTAACACACATCACCTCCAACGAGCGAAGGCGGTACAATGCTAACGCGGCACATCACCTCCAACGAGCGAAGGCGGTACAATGCTAACGCGGCACACCCCTCCCTGTCTGACATGACAGATACGGCGGTTCGCCACAGCGACCAGGAGGACGGATACTTGGCGTCTCTTCTTTGCGTTCTCTACACGGGTAGTAGAACAGTTTCAAAATCCGGTAGCAAACAACAACGGTCAGGGCACTTTCGTATTTCAGAAAGCCAGGCGCCACACGTCATGTAAGGCGAGGCAATACATGCCGTTCGGGTAGGCATGGCCGCGTAAGAAGCGTCCACATGTCCATGCAGCACATTCCCAAGGTGCCTCCACATGACACGTCAAGAAGGCTGGCTAACATGGACACGATTTAGGACAGGATCAAACGTACTACAGCATCCGGTGTCGTGCTTGCCCTAACGAATCCCAATGAATTAGGCATGAAAGGTTACTTTGGCCGTAATTAATTGACTCGCACTCATCCAGCAAGGGCCCTTACCCGTGGTGCACGCGAACGCTATCCATAAGCTCTATACCCCAAATGCCACCGGTGGAGGATGTCTCGTAGCCACCACCAGGCGTCCCTAAAGCACGCTCTTATCCACCCACAACCCATATTCACAGCCTGGCTAATGAATCATCCATCGTACGTCAGTGCCCCCAGTCATTCAGCATGGCAAAAAAACGCGCCACTTGTAGCATGCGGGACTTACATGGACAAGCGCGATAGCACCGTACAAAGGCACCACTACGACCTGGACGCGATAGCGCCCCATCCCCTAGGCCCCTAAGCCTCATGATAGTACGGTAGATGCTGTACGGCTTCCTAGCTGGACGTCTGCGGTGCTGCAGTGCTCGGCTCGGGGCCCGAGGCGCTCAGCTTTCGCCAGTGGTTGTAGTTTTGCACGAAGCACCTCATGAGCGGCTGCGCTCCTGGGAAGGCGCTACTGAGCGCGTGCACCAGCGGCAGCGCCACAAACTCGTAGAAGCCCACCTGGCTCTTGCTGACTCCCTGCTTGGCGCGGTCGAACAGCGAGCTGATGGGCAGCCCCAGCTGCCGCTCCCGGTCGCCCTGCCGGAAGAACTCCTCCTCCAGCTCCACCAGCCAGCGCTTGTGCACCTCCAGCGCCTCACCCAGGTGACCGATGTCGGCGCACTTGAGAGCAACCTGCAGACTCAGCAGCCGCTCCGTCTCGTCAACGGGCTTGGGAGGCGACAGCGTTTCCGGCGGGCTGCTGGCTGCGCCACCTCCGTCCACCTTGACTTCTTTCAGCTCCGGCTGAAGACTGTTGGAAGGGAAAAAGCCGCATTGCAACAGAGGACGCAATGGTATGGAACATGGAGGGACACGGGTTCAGACAAAGGGGACTGTGTTAGAAGCGAGAAGCATGAAGCGGTGTGGTAGGGACGAGTGAAGTGAGAGCCGCATGGTGCTGGGAAGTACCGAGGGTGTCTACTAGATTAGACGTGCGCAGAACGCAGGGCTTGAGCGGACGGATTCCCGTCACCCATAGCACGCAATGCAACCAGCCCAAGTGCCAGCGAAGGCTGCGGGCTCGCTGGTATCGTGTGCAAAGCACTAATACCTTAGTACACTGTACACTAGCCCCAACACCGCGCCTACTCCCCACTCACTCGAAGGATCGCCTGCCTGGGCCCGACTTGACCGTGCCTACTGGAGGCCCGGGGCTACCGGGGTGCTGCTGTTGTTGCTGCTGCTGCTGTGAGTATGCCGCCAGCCTGTGCACGGTGCTGAAGTGGCTGAGTATGGAGAAGTGCTGCTTCATGTCGGTCGCCAGCACCATCTCAATGACCTGCTTGCGGAAGCTGCTGCGCTCCGCCGGGCTCAGCGGCGCCAGCAGGTCCAGCTCGGGCCGCAGCAGCAGGCTGAAGGACGCGGCGCAGTGGTGGTTTTCCAGAGGGGAGCGGTCGTTGTAGCGAACCGCGAGAGAGTCCGACGTGGCAATCAGGAAGTCGCTGGTCAGGCCCGGGTGGCCGTAGTCGTGCACGATCTGGGTCGGAAGCGGCGGAGAAAGGGGTGCGAGTAAGCTATGCAAACAAGGCACGCATGTGATTTGCTCCTTACGAGGCCGCATCCCACTGCTCCCCTGCCCCCTTGCCCGCCCCTCTCACCGCCGCATAGTATGCCGCCAGCAGCCCCAGCGGGTCCAGGTAGTGCACGTGCAGCTGCGCGGAGTACACGATCACGTGCAGCGTCTGCAGCACGTCCGCGGCGTGGGTGGCGTTGTGGTAGGGGTTGGAAGACTGGTAGCCCGCCTCGATTTGACGGAGAAGCCTGCATAACACCGCCCAAGAATGCAGATAAAAGATGGTTGACAAGGTTACCCTGGCAACGACGCGAAGCTATAGCTTGGGTTCCGGTGAACACAAAAGGCGGATGTGAGGTGGCAGAACAGCAGCAGGACTCACGGCATACATGCATGCGTGACCCATCCATGTTACCCTAATCTTGTAGACAAAGAGGTCATTCAGACTGAAGACGAAACGTCAACAGTGCGTCCTTCCAACTTCGACCCACACACGCACAAGACTCCAAGACCCACGTTCCCTGGTCCCAAAGCAACCCTGCTCACCGGGCCAGCTTAACCGGACTTAGTCCAAAGTACTTGATGACCCCCGACCGCTGCATCAGGTGGAAGCCCAGGACGGACAGCGCGTGGCCCTGCGTCGCCTCCTGCAGCCGCCACATGTCGTACTGCCAGCTGTCCACCTGGGCCAGCAGCTGCTCAACCTGCATGGGAGCAGCGTCATGCAGCAGGAAAGAAAGCAGGAAAGGGTGGGGTTCGGAGTGTAGGGAGGCAGGAAAGGGTGGGGTTCGGAGGCTTCAAGAGGTAGGGACCGAAGGATGGCATGACCGGGCGAATTGGGCTGCAAGGTCGCGCGTCCGCTGCTCGGCTCTTTGTGTGCTCCGTAGGCCAGCTTTCCGTCCCTCCGCACACGCACACGTACATGTTGCCTCCTGGCATTCGCCGCACCTCGCTTAATGAAACAGCTACGCGCAGGACGACATTACAGGTAGTAGATGCCGCCGCCTCCGCAACAGCCTCCGAGGGGACATAGCCGCCCCCTTCCCCGGTGACAGAAGGCGACATCGGGCCCCCCTCCCGCGCGGACAGCTTCAAGCCCAGCCGACTGGGTCGCTTTTGGAGCTCCACAGCGCCCTCTCCAAACATGCACGCGTCCATGCTACCCCTCCTGCCTCGCACGAATGACATGAACCTCGCCCCCAGACCGGATGAGGAAACCGGGCGAAGGCTTGCAACCATGGAGACTGGCCGCACGCCTGGGGGCTGCCGGCTGCTGGGAAGTGATGCAATCGCCTCATCACCGGATGCGGTTGCTGCTAGGGATCCCACAGCGCCCAAAGCTTCCACGTCGCCGTCGCAGGCCGCGCCGCAGGCCTCGTTCTCCGTTGTTGTTGCTTCGGTACTTGAGAACGCCCGCATGACTGACGACACGCTGGCACGCCGCTGTTTCGCGCGGATTCTGCTGCACATGGATCCAGAACTGGACTGCCGTGACACGACGCCACACGGCGACGGAGACACGGGAACCGCAAAGTGGGCCATGGCCGCGGCAGCGTCGCCGGCTGAGCTGCCCAGTCGCGCGTTGAGGGACACGCGACTGTCACCGCCGTATAGCAGTCCATCCGGGGAGAGCAGGAAGGATAGGGTGCCTGCGATGGTATCTAGGTTGTGCGGTACAATGCTCGAGGGCTTGCGGCTTAACCCGCCGGCGCCGGCGCCGTCTTCTGCCTCCACTTCCAGCTTGAATGCGGAGAGCGGACTGCCTTCGCCCAGCTGCTGCATGAGCGATTGCACCACGTCGGCCTGTGGACGGGTTGAGAAGGAGAGAGCTGGTAACACAGCACAGAAGGCACGCTACATTCGCCGTACAAAGAAGCATGCCACGGTTGCATGAGGGGGTTAGGCAGGTACTGTACGTCAGATACTAGGCTTGCATCCAAGCCCCGGTCAGTCACGAAGACGGGGTTGAGACAAGCGCATCCAGTTCGCGCTACCCACATCGAGATTTCCTCCCTTGATGTGCCCTCTCAGGTTGAGTGGCTGGTAGACGTCCATGTTGCGCATCAACACGGTGCGGATGAACAACACGTCGCCAATGTCGGGCGCATAGCCTTCCAACAGGTCCGACAGCATGCCTAGAAGCATGTCGGCCGCAGTCTCTGGAACCGCAGAAAGCAACAACAGGGGAGGCAGGACGGGCTTACAGGTACCAGTTATGGCAACAGACACCGGTATGCTGGACGTTGCATCAAGCGTTGAAGGCGTAAGAGGCTGCAAGGTGGAGAGCGTGTGACTGACAAGGTGTTGTTGACTAGCAGGGAATGAGGGCGTGTGGCAAGGACGATGCGAAACACACCTGAGTGCTGGCACCTGGGGCCGTCCTCAGAGCCGCTGGCCGGAGAGAGGTTCCTGGGCAGGAGGGCTTCCACCAGGATCTTGTGCCGCGCTCTGCATGGCACCCAACAGCCAGCAGACAAGACAGTGTGTAACAGCAGAGTGGTATAGTAATGTCCCATACACGACTAGCTGCGCGACGACGACCCATGGTTCATACATAACCCGTATACATCCTGTGATCTTACAAAGGACTTGTGTGAAAACAACTGAGCCGCTTTACTGTAGTCACCACATAGCTGTCCATAGCTGGACTTGTGTGAGCTAACGTGCCTCAAGCGAGCGGGCCTACCTGGACAACAACGCCCAAAACAGCAGCAGCGAAACCGCGACTGCAAAGATCACGACCGCAGCCAGGAGCCCGCTGTAGAGCCGTGGAGTCCAACCGTGCTTGGGAGCGACCCGGACAACCCACTGCAGGCATTCGGAAACGGTAAGCAGGTGAAGGCCCCGCTCCCATGCCGGCAACAAAACACGTGCAATTGCTAGCGCATGCAAGTGTAGATGACCGTGTAAACACATGGCAAAAGGCATTTCAAACCCAGTGCGAGTCTTTGTTAGCGTCAACTTACATTGCCGTTGGGTAGGGTGACGTTCGCCTCCACCGGATTGGTTGGAAGCGCTGAGCTGCACGCACGGACACATACAAGATTATACAAGGTTTGCTAGGTTGTGCTACATCTTACCGCCAACCTGCGGCTAAACAACGGACAGCGCCTGGCGCCGATAGCCTGCTTCCAATACATGTGAGTTGCGAACAGCGCCGGACAGTATTTAAGACAAGACAACAGCAAACGTGCCTCACCTCGCAGCCACACGGCGCAGGTCCGCCTCAGCAGCACCCATCGCCTCCACCTCAAAGCGGTACCCCAACGTCCCCAGCTTCTTCAGCTTGGAGTCCTCCGCTTGGATGATGCCTTGCAGGTCGATCAGAGTGGAAACCTGCGTACATGTACGTGCCCAGTCAGTTACTGGTCTGTCCTTGTCCTCAAGCCCATCCATACAAGCTTCCGGGGGCTTGCGGCGATCGTCGGTCCTTATGACGCCTCCTCCGCGTTTTACGTATCGTTCATGCACGAAGCACAGGACCACGCCCTTATATGCGCCCCTGTTCTAACCACCCAGGTACCAGTAACTCACAAAGCCCCAGAACTTGGTGCGTGTGGTGGCATTGTAGGCGCATGGCTCGCCGCAACTCCCATACGACGACGGAGCAGCGATGCCAAACGTCTCATCCGAAGCCACACCCGAGATGAACACGGGGTTCCGCACAATGAGCACCCGGTCGCTCTGCATGTAGGACAGGGGCCCCACCAGCGTGGCTTGCCCCTGCTGCACGGCCCGGGTTGCGCCCTCGGTGTCGCCGGGCAGCGTTGCTGTGGCACAGATAGGCGTTGGCAGAGGGACGCACAGCGGACAGGTTCAGAAGGGGCAGGGAGGCCGGGCATGCGTACGGCAACTATGACACGGCCCGTTTTAGGGCCATAGGAACCGCCATGCGTGTCCGCTGTTCAGGCACACAGACAAACACTATTCCTTTACATGAAGGCAGCATACAGCATCATAGCAGGGGCGCAACCATCTCCCCCTTATTAGACTCACAGTTAAAGATGTCATAACCCATTACCCCGTTGGGAGGAGCGGGAAACACGTCCCGAGTGACGCCATGTGGCGCCAATTCCAACGCCTTTGCCCTTTGAGTCAGCGGGGTCTGCGACCAGAGTAACACGCTGTCCTTAAGAAGAAGACCAGACAACGCGAGGCTGGCTGCTGGAGGAAGAAGGGCGAACATCTCTGCACAACAGACTTTCCGGGGGCCCGACAACAGCGCAGAACGTGCACCGGTAACGGGTACCACACCTCCTACAGTCCTAAGGAAACTGGGCATTCCCTTGCGTGTCGCAGCCGCAGTAGCCAGGAACAGAGAGCAGCACCCACCTGCGACATGAGCGTGGGAGCCAGACCACGGAACAGGCCGCTGGCTGCCTCGTATTGCGGATTGTAGTTGACCATGGCGGCCATGAGTGTAACCGGCGCTGCAGCCATCTGAACCTGAAATCGAAACCACTCCGCTGTCTCCATAGCAAGGCGAGAAGCGCGGTCCTGGGGTAGGCAGGAGTCGAGGTGGCGGCGCAGGGCGGGCACGTGCCTCAAGGGAAGTGACGGTCTATACACGGGAAGCAACAATTTGCAAGGCGGTCCAAACACTTCGATCGTGCCCGATCGTGAGCACATGATAGGGAGGAGCCTGGTTTTTATGGTTATAAGTAGTAGCTGAGACACGCCGCGCAGTTGGCGTTAATTCTACAGTCAAGAGTTAAACAAGTCAACTGTACTGGTATGCGACGGGCACTCCTCGCTGCCTAGCGAGTGAGAATCGGCCAGCCCGAACTGCGACTTAAACACCACTGTGAACATGCGTTTGCAGATTTATCATACTGGTAGGTTCAAACCCCAATTGCTAAGGTCGTTAAGGTGGCGAGCTTGAACGACGATAAGTATGAAGAGCATACAATGTTTGAGACGCCATCGCTTAAAAACCAACGCTCGAGAAGAACGCAGCCACCGGCGACGTCGGCACATTCACGCATGCAACCATCCACTAACCTTGGCACTGTTATCATCCATCTGCAAGGCGCGCGTTACTCCCCAGATGCCAACACCAAGCAAGATGCCCAACAGCGCCAGCGGCCATAGCAGCGTAGACGGGAACACGCGAACAATGCGGGTGGTCTCCTACACATAGCAGTGTTAGCAGAGTAAATGCGTGCACAGGCAAAGACAAGCAAAGCGTTGTGTTGTAGTCACACCTGTATGGCTGCCTGAGGACGCCTAGTCCATGAGGTCCGTCCACCAGGGCGAAACCCGTCCTCACGCTGCGCTTGCAGTGACATCTAATAAACCTAATTGTTAAAAATATCGGCGCCTAATTCGATACATAGGCAAGATAACCGTCTTATTAACGCCTGCGTTATTAAGAAGTTGACGCTTAAGCAAGTAGGTTTGAGTAGGAGCGCGCTATTGCACCGCTTATAGTGATTCCTGTTTCACACCAAGTTGCATTCGCAGTACACGGCTGTACAAGGCAAGAACCGAAACGATTAGGAACTCTGGTCGTACAGACTGTACTTTACAAAGGGTACGAACTTCTGGTTAAGGCCTGCTCCTCCACAGGCCCCACGCCCGCGGGATCGGGTGACTTTTGCGGAAAAGTCAGCCGTAAAAGTCATCTACAAACGCGGTGACTTTTACCCTTAGTAGCTTAACAATAGATTGCTAGATATAGGCTAATAGTTGACTTTTAGGCTGCTTACTTCGCAGCTCTTGAGCTAACACGTTACTTTTTTATGCATGCGAAGCCACCCACCACCACAGCAACCTGCAAACATCCAGCCTTACTCACCTTTAAGCTTTTACACGCTCATCGACCACTACATATGGCAGGTGTCGATAGGAAAGCGCAGGCTAGCCCCGGGGTCCTTCAGCGACTAAATGCCCACGTTCAAAGGATAGGTCATGTAACCTAACAACTGTGAATCATACCGCGGGGCCATGGATGTTGGGGAGGCGGGAACGGGTGCTACTCTTATCTGTCCCCGTGCAACGCCTGTCTTCCCCTCGTGCAGCCCTTGCCTCCCTTGCCGCTTCCCAGCCAGATCTGTGCCTACCACCGTCATGCCTTCTATGCGCGGCGTTTGCCTTCCCATGCGCTTCGCGGCCCCCGGTTGGGTTCCCAACTCCCTATGCCCTTCCCCGTACCGTGCCTGCCTCTCCATGGCCTTGCCAGCCCGGGGCCTGCCTCCCGACACCCGTTCATGTGCAGCACCTGCCCCTCCCTGACCTTCCCTGTGCGGCGCTTGCGTCCTTAATCCCGTCTCTGCACGGCCCCAGCCTACCTTTGTGCCTGCCCCTGCGCAATACCGCTTGTCCTCCCGTGGGATGGCTATCCCATGCCCTTCCCCGTGGGCCCCGTCGGCGCCAGTGTCCATGCCCTTCTCCGTGTGGTGCCGCTGCGGCCCTCTGAGGGACTTCTGTGCCCTTCCCCGTGTGGCGCCTGCCTCCCCACGCCCTTCCCGATGCTTCACCTGCTCGACCTGCCCTGTGCTTTACCCCTCATTTCTTCTTATTTTTACCCTCCCTCCCGTGCAGCGCCTATCGTCCTCCTGGCCCTCCCCACACGCGAGTTCTGCTTCCCATGCCTTTCTCCGTGCAGCGCGACGTGAAGGGCCCTGTGCCCCAGCATTTTTATGATGAGCCCCATGTGAACATAGCCCGCACAGCTTTCATGAACATCCACGCCGCGAGCAGCAGCACTAGTTATTGGCACTCACATGCGCATGCATCCCACCCTTTCCAGCTGTCTGTGCTCAAGCGTGCAGACATCCTCTCGTCCTGCCAGGAACCGGCACCCACGAGCGCAAGCATGACCGCCCCTCCCAACCACCTGCGACCAGGCATTTCCCACGCACCCACCCGTGCATCAATGCCGATGCCTGTATACATGCCCACCAGGCCCATGCGATACATGCATGCATACCCGCCATGCCCAAGTACCGGCGCCCATGGTCGTACGCACACTAGTCGCGCCCAACTATCGACCTGTTGGATGCATGCGCATACAGACACCCCCTGTCCTAGTGAATTACCCAGGCCATCGCCCTGCCGTGCTCCTAAACTGGTGCATATGCGTGCAGGAATGAGGGGACTTGGGGACAGAAGCTTCACGAGGAAGAGCCATTAAACGAACATAGTAGCGACCGTTCATCCGTTCAGTAAATTCGAGGAACGGGCAATGACAGGGGGAGACAGGGCCGCACGGGGAAGGGCAGATGCACGGGAAAGGGCATTGGAAGGCAAGCACAGCACGGGAAAGGCAGGGTAGCAGCAGGGGCGCCACACGAGGAGAGGTATGAAGAGTCAGGTGCCGCGACGGGGAAAGCCAGGGGTTGGCAGGCGTCGCGTGTGGAAGGGCGGCCGCACGGGCAAGGGAATGGGGAGGTAGGAGGCGCGCCCATGCAACGGAAATCTCGCTGAAGGACCCCGGGGCTAGGCCTGCGCTTTCCTATCGACACCTGAGATATGAGTGGCCGCTGAGCGTATAAAAAGCTTAAAGGAGGCAACAGGAATAAGGCTGGAGGTATGTAGGTTGTTGTTGTGGTGGATGGCAACGCTTGCATGAGAACAAGTGAACGTATTAGCTCTAAACAAGCAGCCTAAAAGTCAACTATTAGCCTATAAGTAATAATCTGATGTTAAGCTACTAAGGGTAAAAGTCACCGTGTTTGAAGATGACTTTTACGGCTGACTTTTCCGCAAAAGTCACCCGATCCCGCGGGCATGAGGGGTCTCGCTCCTCCGTCCAGCACATGCAGAGCAGATATTGCAATAAAAACTGAGAACGATGGGACTACCCTTATGCCTTGCTGTGAAGTACCTTCCTCCCGACGCATGAGGATGGTACTTCTTTTAGGTTAGCCTGTCCCCAAGCGCGGGGGCAAAAGATTAAATCAAGGATCTCTCACAGCATAAGGCATAAATGAATGCTCAATTATTTGCGATGGGCGGGCCAAAGCATTTTGCGCAGGGAACTTGGCCATCAGCAGGGAACCAGTGTGTCGAGCGCCCTGACTATAATAGACAGGGCCTCTGACATACTGATACAGGAGTAGCTCGGGGTTTGCCCCCTACAGGTTTGCAAGGATGTTGCTTACAGGCTAGCGGCTGTTGCAAACAGCTGAAACACAGGTACACCAACAGCACGTCAGCTGACGTATTTATTAATGTCGCGATAAGCAATTGCGCTTTGCTACTGGCGCTATTCGCCCGTCGTTGTTGAGGAAATGCTAATCAAGGGGGCAGGGCCTGGACATGGGCAAACTTACAGTATTGCCAAACTATGCTACGCCTCCCAACTAAAGCTGCACACTGCACTTGAATCATCACCCTAACGTACGAGATAGCAAGCACAACGTGTCTTCGGAATCCTTCGTGGGTACTCCCTCCAAAGTCATGGCTTCATTGGAGGCATGGGCTCGCATACGGCATTGCCAGCCGCCTTGGTCGATTGCCCCTAGCAGTGGACGCTTGCAAAACTCTTTCAGTACCAGCATGAAACGTTATAATGGACAGCATAGCAAACCGGGTGCACGGATGACAGTATAAAAAGCTTTCAAGCTATGCATGCACATGGATGAAACGGCCGAACTACCACATGACTAACTGCTGCTCACGAGTTCATGGCTTCTACGAGGCCTGATAAATGCATGTAAAACCGATCTCAAACGTCCCCTCGTGCACAGCCGAAGAGATAACACCAGGTGCCCATCACGACCTCTTAGCCCTGGTGGTAGCATTATTGCTGGTTAACAGCAGGGTAATGCGGCTGCGCGTACGGGTAGGCAGCAGGGGGCATCTGAGCGCCTGGGGCAGCCGCCGCCGGTGGGTAGCTCGGGTACGCAGGATACGCGGGGTAGCCAGCTGGCGGGTACTGGGCCGGCGCGTAGACGCCTGCAAGGCCAGGGTGACAGCATGGAAAATATAGGAAAGCAGCAACAGCTGAACACTGGCTATCATTAGTCCTTATACGCGCCATGTCCAGTCGTGTGTCAACGCAATTGGTTGACGCAGGACAACCCCAGCTACGTCGCATGCGTTCCTCCTGGAAGCTGGTTACACAGAGGGCTGGGAGTGGCCCTACCTGGGTACGGCGGCGGCACGGTCGCCTGGGGTTGCTGCTGGGGAACGGGCTCGCCGTACATGACACCGCCATCGGGGTTCTCTACGGCGAGACCGGGAATCTACGAAGGCGCAGTGGGGAAAGGGCAAAACCGAACTGTCCGTCGCAAAAGCATGGGCACTTCCCCGATGTTGCATTCACCCTATCCTAGCAGGTGATCGACAATAGGTTAGCCCGCAACCTTAGCTAAATTATGAGCGCCAGCGTTCACGTCACAGGACGTGCAGCATTCTGCTGCACCTCACACCGCACTGGCAGCGTCAAACTGCCCCAGGGGACCCAGGACACCCTAGAAGCACCCAGGGGTGCACCCTCACCTGGCTGTACACGGCGTGGATCTCGGGGTGAGTCACGCGGCGCTGGTCCTTGTCCATGGCGTAGCAGATGTAGATGGTGTTGATGGCGTCCAGCAGGAGACCGGCCACGAAGAGGAGGGCGTACAACATGCTGCGAGGGCGGCAAGCGGCACGGCAACGGAGTTAACAACAAGGTAGGAGATTCGGATTCAGCAGCTGTGTGGCAGGTGCCAAGGCGTGGACAGCAGGCACGACGACAGCATAGAGAATGCAGCTTAGGCTGGCAGAGTTTTGCAGACGTGCGCACATCGTAATCACAAACTGGTGATACCAGCACAGCGGTTGTTCGCCTCTTTTTCCATCTACCGTTCCAGCAGGGAAACAAAGGTGGCGCTCCCCAAACCATGTCCCCACATCTACTTACAAGACAAACGCCACGGCGGCGGTGGCGAAGGTGACTGGCCACACATTGTCCGAGTTCTTGTTAGCGGCGTAGGTGGCGAAGAAGACGATGCCAGCCCAGGTCAGCGACAGCAGCCCAACCGCGAATTGCAGCACCGAATCAGGAACCCACCTGCAGAAGCAACAGCACGGCCGCTGTAGATTCAGCTTTTCCAGTACTAGGGTACGTACTAGGCTCGCCTTGGGAAAGAGCTTATTACACGGAAGGCTACGAACCAGGGCCATGACTATGGACGAACGGCAATGAGGCATCCCCAAAATTCATGTTCATCTGGCATGACAATTCAGTCAAAGCCGTGTTGCACCCCCGACGTACCAGACACTGTAGGTCTGCAGGAAGTTGCGCTTCAGAGTGTCGAACACCGACTTGGCGGCGGGCACGAATGCGTCGCCCGTGATGGCGGCCGCGATGGTGGCGAAGCGAGTGAACTTCTCCTGTGGGTTAGGACATCAGGGGTTGGACGTCATGAGAGCAAGGAAGGGGATTGAGAACGGGTACTGCACGAGCGGTTGTGCAGGGCGACACGCATGAGGCAACGTTTTCTCTACCCTAACATACCTAATGCACCCTCACCACCATCCCGCAACCCACATCCGCCACGGGCAATACCGGTATCACCATGCAACCCACCATCATCGCAAGCAGCGGCTGCGCAACGCAGTTGATGATGCAGCAAATGATGTTCTTGCGTGATGCACGCTCCAGCGAGCGGCGGATCATGCGCAGGATTGCCAGGATGGCGGCCGCAAAGGCCACTGAGCCGAAGGAGCTGCGCAGGCAGTGGTCCAGCGCCAGCCGTACGCTGCCGGGCCGCATGCCGTCCGAGGAGGAGCTGCCGAAGGTGTTGCCTGCGATGCAGAAGCCGAGGATCATGGTGAGAGTAGCGAGCTGTTTACAGAACTGCAACGGGATACACGCCCGGGCACATAGCGACACATACGCAGCACGAAAGCGAACATAACGATACGCACGCAGCACAAACGTAAGCTTGACCACCTAGCTGCCGCCGCAGCACGTAAAGCCGGGGTCCCAAACACCTTAACCCACCTGCCAGCGACGGCGAGAAGTACCACTGGGAGATGGTGTCTGCAACCGTGTAGAGCTTAAGCTGCATGATAAGCATCCCGGTCCAGGAGATGAAGCACGAGGCGAAGAACGCAAAGGCGCCGGCCCAGGTCTCCGTCTTGAACCGGCAGCAAGGTACCCTGCGCGCACGATATGCAACGCGCCTTCAGGCAGAGCATGCAAGCTATCTGCAAGGGTAAACGCATCAAGCGTAGGGATGCCTGATAGGAACCAGCAGGCCTGGGATTCATGGCAGCATATACAGGCACCTACACGTTGTACATGCTGTCCAAGCAGACGGCACTCTCCGGGCCGTTAGGGTGCATCACGACGTTGGGCATCTTCTCCACGTGGCCCACGTTAACAGCCGAGAAGAATCCCGCGGCTCCATAGACTAGCACGCACAGGCCAACCAACTTGATGCCGATGGCAGCCGGGATCAGACCCAAGTTCTCATTCAGGCCGCGACCTGGCATGACACGGGGAGGCAACGCAGCATGGTAATGAGTGGGTAGAGAAGAAAAGCCAATGCTGTTTCAAAAGCAGCGCCGCCCAAACTCACCAGCAATGGCCAGGAGTTCCGCGCACATGCGCAGCTGCGCCCGGATCCACCAGTAGAAAACGGCGGTGATGATGGTGAAGATGAGCAGGATGACGCCAAAGGGGATCGCGCCCACAAAGAAGCAAACAAGGGCGAACAGCAAGCCCGAACCCACGGAGAACAGGATGGTTGCTGTAACCATGGCCTGTGGGAGAAACGCAGAGGGGAAGGGTGACAGACGGCAGAGGGCTAGTGTCGGATGAAAGGAGCTAAGGATGGAAGTGCATGGGGTTGCTCTTGGGGGTGCGTAACAGCCGGGTCTGCATAACAGCCAGGTCTGGTGTCTTCACTGGTGAACGTGTGAAGGCAACAGGTTGCTCCAGGCAACCAACGCCTATGTGTTGGCTGCAGGCAAGGGCCTACCTTGGCAAAGCGGCGGAACAGCACTAGGTACAGAGCTGACGAGAGCACTGCCAGGACCGCCGTGATGGGAAGCCATATGGAGATAGACTTCTTAAAGGCGCGCAGGAAGGTCTGGTCCACGTTGAAGGACACTGGCGGGTGCACTGCCTAGCGTGCCGTGTATGGGAGAGGGGACAAGTTAGGGCTCAGCAATAGGCCAGACTGGCAACTAGGCAACGACATAGTTGCATATCCCCTTGAGGATTACCCAGCAGGGGGGCAAAGAGGGGTTATAGAAGACAGGAGAAGGTGCAGGACGCGATAAAAGAGAAGCTGCCTTACCTGATACGCTTCGATGTCGCAGCTGGTGCTGTTGTAGTAAAATCCGGGGTTGTACATGCCGCTGTGCGGGTCCCTGCTCCATTGTGTGTAGAAAGCAGTTAGAGGAAAGCGTCCTTGCTAATCAGTGGTTGGCCATACGATGACGGAGTCAACTCCATCCAACTGTTCAGAATCCTTACGTATGCGTGAAGCAAGGAATAGCCCAAAAGAAGACCAGCGCAGCGAGCGAGACGTATGCAATTGTCCAGTAAGAATCGCGCCGGGGTCGCTTATCCATGTTGTAAAGGGCTACGCCCGAATTGTGGAGGTATTCGCTACCACCAGGCTGCCCACCATCAGGGGCGCCTGCCCTATTCTCTACGTCCGGGTCCATCGTGTATCTCTGATAGTACCGAGGAGACAGGCGTTTCAAGGAAACTGGTGTTAAGGATAGCCCCAATCTAAGCTTAAACACGGCCACATTTTCGCCTTCGTTTTCTTTCAGCAATCAGTTTGCATCGGTTGATTGGCCGTACCCCAGGGCTTGCTTCTGCATGGTTACCTAGCCACCTTGCACACCTTTAAGATACAGAGTACTACAGCTCCGCACGTCGTTTATTGCCTAGGGCGGTGGGAGAAGGAGCATTTCCTCTGCTTCCGACTCTGCAATAGTGGGCGGCCATGGTGTTCACCGGCGCCTTTACCGCTTCGGGAACTACCACCGCAAAGGAGCCATACCCCAAGGTCAGCTTAGGCAGCTGCCGGAAACAACAAGAGCCTTTGATGCCAAAAATCGTCCTCGCACACCGCTTGGCTACTGTTGATAGTAAGCTTTTATTTACCATCCATGACTATTTTTTACATGGCTGCAGACTAAGTCTTCCGTGGATGAGCGGGGTGTGGATGCCCCCGCTCCGGCGGTGCTAACGAAGGCAAGGCCTACATGCATGATGTTCTTTGCCCGTTAGTAGCTGGGATATGTGAGCTGTTATGCATTGTTGGCATTTCGGCGTTCGCAGGCGGCAGATAAGCACGATGTCGTCGCCTACACTATGACCAACGCGCCCCTCGTTGGCCTAGCCGGTTTGGCAGCGGGTGTGCAGGAGGCTTACATGACGTTCGAGGTAAATCTTTTCCTTTACGTGATCCGGATTTGACCATGTCTCATTCTTGACCCAGTGCCCTCGCCCAACACCCCGCTCCCAACCCAACAGCGCCTGCCCCCCAGCCTGTCGCGGCAGCACTTTAAGCAAGCAAAGCTTCTTCTTGGCATTATTGGCAAGAAGACGGCTTATGCCACGCTCCTGGGTGCTGTCTTCTGCGCCACCGACGCGTATGTGGAGAACGCGCGGGGCAAGCACGACCTGACCAGCGGCATGGTTGCTGGCGCCGTGACCGGCCTGCTCTTCGGCATGGGGCGGCCCATGCCCCAGCCCGTGGCCTGGCCCCTGGCGTTTGCTGCCACAGCCGTGGTGGGCGACTTCATTGGCGAGGTGATGCCCAACTACATGAAGGACTTCAGGTGCGACGCTAGGGTCAGGCATGGAACTGCTACACGGGGAGCAGATGCATGGACGGCCTAGGCACCGAAGCGCACACTATTGACGGGGCCTAGAAAAGGCATAACGACATAACGGATACCTTGGGCAGCCAAGGGTCGGTCGGAACGCCCGCAGCTTGTCTTGGGGAATGCCTAGACAGTGAGCGCACATTAGGACCATGCATGGGCACCGTAGAAACCTTCCGTGTTAAGGAGCGCTTCCGATAAAAAAAGCGACGGTTGCCCCGTAGGCGACGGAAAACTAACCACGGTAGCCACCACCTACACTGCAACAACACTCCCTGCCTCCTGTGTTTTAACCTGCAGGATGTACGGCCCTGTCGTGGGCCGCGAGAACTGGGGCGACCCCGTGCCCCCCCGCCCGCCCATTCTGGACACTGGCGCCGCCGTGCGCCCCAGCGACCCGGGCCAGGTGAGTCGCGAGGAGGATGTAAATGGGATCTGGGTATGCAGCCTTGCTAAAGAACCACGAGCGGCGATGTACCAACTAGACTTAGGTCAAGCTATGACCAGCGCTTGCTTACCTCGTCTCAAGAGGGGTATCCGGATAGTGTCACTCCCTAAAGTGTTATTTCTTAATTCACGTGGCCCCCTTCTCCCCCACCCGTTCGCATACCTGCAGTTCTGGCGCGGCTACTAAAGCGCCTCCTCTCCTTGTATGGTGCAAGGATGGTGCACGGAGTGGCTTATCTTCGGTCGGTTTTGTGATATTTTCACTATGGTGTAGGTGTGCATCGTTGCGCAGGGTCGCTTTGCGTGCGCCCCTGGTAATGGCACATGGTTAGTGGCGTGCGGAGGGCCCCTTGGGAGTGGCTTGCTGTCGGGTTATCAGATTGTGTACTTTGTAAAGGGCTGTCACGCGCGTGTAGCGTCGGTGTGGGATGCTCCGACGTGGCTTGAAGGTGGGAAGAGAGGGTCGGTTAGGGTGCATGCATTCCGTGCGGATGCACGGGGGCCTGTAACAACGTGTGACCTCGCGCTCAGCCTCTCAGCTGTAAGCGGCCATTCGGATTCTTTGCCACGCCGTACAGATATGTTAGCATAGGGTCGGAGCTCGGGCTAACTGTGTAGGAATGTCGAGTCACCATTTTACCGGATACATTTACCAGAATGCAGCAGTACAGCAGTCTTCGAAAGACAGACCTAGCGTTCGTTGCTATGCAAGTGACTTCAACGTACGCCATTTTTAGTGCATAGTATACATAGTACAGGGGTCAAATGCCTGCGTCGGACGTGTAGGAAAGACCTAATGCGGGTGCCATATCGTGCGTGCCAGGCGTTAAAGCACGAGCCTTAGGAGGGGTTTCAATTATTAGCAACATGACCAAAAAGCGGCGCACGCTGAGAGCAGAGGAGGAGGAGGAGGAGGAGGAGGCAGTAGCCGATGAGGATGACGTTGGTGTTCGCATGGCCCCTAATACCAATTTCCTAGGACGCCTTATTCGTGGCGTCGCGAGCGGTAACCAGCGGCAGATAGATACGACTACCAGCAACGCGGCGAACATGGTACGAAGGAATAACAAGAGGCTCCTGGTTCTATGAGCAAAACTTCCGTTCTGCCACAGATAAGGCGGTTATGGGTATTTGTTTGCTAATGGGAGGGCTAGGCCTAACCCTCTTTGCAAGCTTAACCGTCACAAGCAGAAACATGTATGTTGGCCTCCACGGAGCGGCATACGTGCTTTCCTTGACCCTAAGGCGCCCAATCTCGCTGCCCGCAATAACACAGCGTTTATAACACGTCGCCATGGTGCGCACGCGCGTCCGTGGAAGCGAAACCACACTACCCTGCCCTCCCTCAACCCACCCCATTCCTCAACGTAGTCTATCGGCGCCACCGGCGCTGCCAGCCTCCGACTGCAGCTGAATCGCGCGGCCAACGCAAAGACAGCTCGCTACCAGTCCCTTCGGCGTGTGGTGCTGTCCAGTGCAGCACAGCAGCGCCTTACGCTATGTACGGCCTTGCTGGCAGAGGTGCGTTTTCGGCAGAAGGCCATGAAGACGTTCGAGCACCCGGTCGTGTGTTGGGAGGCCCTGGTCATGTTTCCACGCCTTTTGGGTCGCTGCCATTCCACAGGTCGCACAGGGATTTGGCTTCCGGCTGACGGTACGGCGGCCGGATGGCCAGGAGGTGGGCGCACGGCAGGCCATGGCGGCTGTGGCTGACATGGACACACTCTCACCGCGGGGGCCAGCGGCGGCAGCGGCGGCCGAGGGCGGAGCCGCTGGTGACGGCGGCGCCGGGGGAACCCCGGCTGCCGTGCCGGACGGCGAGGATGAAGTCGAAGACGAAGAGGAGGACGGCGGCCTGGTTGGGGCAAGGATGGGGATTCCTGTAGTCGCAGCTGCTGCCGAAGGCATGGACGCGCCTGCAGGGGAGCGGCTCTTGGATGGACATGACGGTGACGCCGGCGGAGGCGGGGGAGGCAGCAGCACAGGTGTGGCCGGAGCGGCGGGCGATCCGCTTGGCGCCTTGGAGCCTCTGCACGTGGATTTGGATTTGGATTTGGAGTCCCAGGGCGTGCTGCTGCGGGTGCCGCAGCTGCAGTCTCCGCGGCAGCGGGCGACAGCAGCAGAGCCAAGTACGGGGCTTGCTCGGCGCCTAGCTAGCTCGCCGGTGAGAGGGAACCCGCGGTGGTGGGCGGGGTCAACACTCTGAAGGGCTTGCATGCGGTGCTGTGAAACCCGGGGGTCCCCAATCTGTCATGCGCAGAACATGCGATATAACCCTGCCATGCATAGGGGTAGTCGCTAATAGCCGCATGCCGTGTCGTACGAGTACGAAGCCGCTGCCGGTCCCATCCTCGACCGTTCCTGCAACCCCTTCCCGCAGACCGCATTGCGGCCGGCTCGACCGGGGGGCCTTGGCGGACTGATTTCGAGTCGGCTGACGTCAGCAGCGCTGGGCAGCATTGGGCTAGTGGGCGCCAAGAAGACAGCGGCCGCGCAGGCGCTGCAGGCGGCCCGCCGCCGGTGTGTGGGGCGTGGGGCGGGTGGGGATACAAAGCAGCATGCAATGAATCATGTCTCCGCGCCACCTATCTCGCGGACAAACGCGCTGAAGTTCATGAGGCTGTATCATGCATTAGGTTGTGGACTTGTTCTTGCGTGGGAGGTAGAGGCAAACCAAGCGCCAGAGGGCGACTCTGCCGTACACGGTACTCCTGGTCCTGACCCGGGAACCTGATGAACTTGTGTGGCTTGTGGCCCCATGCTACCGTCCTTTAGGGCGCTGCGACGTGCTACCTCCAACGCGGGTGCTGAAGGAGGTGACGACCAGTTGGCGGCTGCAGCTGCGACATCCACCCCTGCTGTCGACGCAGTAGCCGCAGTGCTTGACGATCCCGCCGCGGACACGCCTGTACCGGGGCAAGCGCCCCCGCCAGGCGAGGCTGGGGCGGTCCCGGCAAGCGGTGCAGGTGCAGGTGAAGGCGGCGGCTCTAAAACCACGTCCGCTGGCACGCACAGGCACATTGTGTGGGATCCTGAGAAGCTCAGCAAGACCCCGCCGCTTGCGGCCTCGACGGTTGCGGCAGCGGCGGAGGCGCCGCCCCCGGCTAAGCGGAGACGCGCATCTGCGCCTGCTGGTGTTGCTGCTGGCGGCGGGGATGCATTGAAAGATGCGGATGCAGAGGAGGAGGGAGCGGCCGGGGGAGAGGTACCTGCTAGTCCTGAAGCGGAAGCGATGGAGGAGGAAGAGGGCGCGGGCGGCGGAGCGGATGCGTGCGCATCTGTCGGTGTTGCGGATGACTTGTTAGAGGAGGAGGGGTATGATGGAACTGCAACCGCAGTGGCGACAGCGGTAATGGAAGGTCAGGAGCAGCAGGACGGAGAACGAGGAGGAGGCCCAGGGGCGAGTGGGAATGCCCCCGAGGCACTGGAGGCTGAGGAAGGTGGCGTCCACGACGCAGCGCAGCAGCCCGGCAGCGACGACAGGGGGACTGAGGAGGCACCTGGAGCAGGCGCCAGCGAACCGCCCAGGCAGCGGGAAACGGATGCCGAACAGCCCAAGCGCCGGGACGGCGCTTCAGCCACCGCTAAGCCCTGCGCACCCGCCAGGGAAAGCCGCCTGCTGGGTTCGGCACTTGCCGGAACGCTGGCGGCAGCAGCAGGCGGCAGTAGCGGCGGTCGGCCCAGAACGGCGCCCATTTTTGTCAAGACTGGGAGCCGCGCAGTGACCCCCCAGCCAGCACCAGAGGCGGGGGCTGCTAGGGGCGAACCTAGCGGCTCCGCGGGTGAAGAAGAGGAGGAAGACGGCCCTAAAGCCCCGGGCAGGGTGGGAGGGAGTGCAGCAGCCACGGCAGCAGCAGGGCAGCTGCGTGGAGGCGTACCGGTCGTAGGCGGCAGCAGCAGCAGGCAGGCGCCTGTGTCCGGGGCGGGTAGGGCTGGAGGAGGGGGGTCTGCTGGGAAGCTGTTTGGGGCGGCCATGCGACAGCTCAAGCGAGGCGGCGGGCAGGGCTAGCGGTGTGCTGTTGCAGATGTCTTCAATAATTGAATTAAAACTGGGACGCGCAACGGGCATTGACCATGGGTGTAGTAGAAGGAGCTGTCACGGTGAGACAGTATGTTGCAGTTGTTGCTGCCATGACGGAAGGCGTGTAGAGTGTGGGAGGTGGAGTGGGCTAGCGGGTAGTATCCAGCTGTCCACATGTATATAAGGCGGGATTGAAGGCCCCAGCTTCCAAGCTCTGGGGTTCAATGTACAGCGGTTGACCAAGGGAGCGTAACGAAGACAGGAGTGCACTCTAAACGACAGAGCGTAGCCCTGGCTTGGGCCGGTACTTTGGCGCTCATGGCAAATGTACTGCTAGACGTACGGCTTGTATATAGACAGGCATTCCTATCTGTATGAAAGGGTGTGACTAGTGTTGTTGTGATGACGTCTGGTTACTACGCCGATGGACCGTGAAAGGCCTATCCCAGTCCTTAGTGAAGTGAGGAGCGGAAGGGAGGACATTCCGTAGCGGGTTAAGCCGGTAAACGGATGCCGCTTAACAAGTTCATAAGCGTTGTATACATGGCGGGACATTATTTGAGGAGAAGTTTGGCAACATAGCGCCACACTAGAATGCACCACCCTAGGCCAACGATATGTCGTAACTCCAGAGACCCATGGTTCTGGCTTTGCCAGCAATCGCATGTGCACTGATAGCTAGCATTCTCTCCAGGGGAAATCATAATCAAGTAGGCGAGTGCGTTGTTGGGTAAGGCCCCTAACTACCTGGCTACACCCTTGTTCACCTAAATGTTTCCTTTTACTTGGGTCAGTGGCTCTTCGCGCGGGTCTGTGCTTACGTGGGGTTTGTGACCACCCAACAATCGTGCTCTATGTCTCAGATACTAGGCCCTGCTTGTGTAAATGAATAGAGCGCAATGCGGCAATTGCATTTTAGGATAAGGTGTAAGAACACGTTCCAATGGGGTAACAGTTCTGTCAGTTGTAAATCTAACAATATCTGTGCGAAACATGCAGCACGAAGCAGTTATGGAGAAGGCTATGCTGGCCCTTCCTGGAGTGGTCGGTGTTCCTTCCAAAGCTCCTCCCACTCCAAAATCGCTCTCTTTTCCTGCACTTGCCTTGCCCTTCCATTTGCAAGAAACCTAGCAAGATGGGTACGTGCCCAGCGGATGTAACGCGCGTTGGGGATGCGGCCGACTTAGTGGAGAGCCTGGTTATGGTTGCATATGGGCATGTATTTTACTCCGTCTCAGTAAAATTGAAAAGCTACGTTACGCGACTTGATTTAGCTGCGCCACCGCCGACGTGCTGGGCATTGCGTTCTGCGATGGCGCGCTTGTTTCCCAAGTTCTATGGAGAATAACACGTGATGTCTTACACTAGTTATAGACTCTGTTAGTATACGCTTTACCGACGGTTGTCTGCCGCCCCGCCGCCGCTATGGGCTCCGCCGTGCAGCCAAGGTCAAGATGCCAGAGCTCAGGGCCAAGAGCAAGCAGGAGCTGCTCGCTCAGCTCAAGGACCTGAAGGGCGAGCTCAGCGCTCTGCGCGTCGCCAAGGTATGCAGCCAACATTGCCTTCTTTATGGGTCAGGAAGAACGCTACATGCGTGTCTAAACTTCCTATCTATACCATTACGAGCATATTTGATTATGCTAAAGGCTTTTGATACAAAGGGTGATCTTTATTTGGGAGACGATGTTGCATGCTGTTCCCAGCGTATGATGGTGGGGCTTACAGACATGTGGGAGTTTCCGCTCAGTTAGTTTACACTCTATACGTGTAGGTCACCGGTGGTGCCCCCAACAAGCTCTCGAAGATCAAGGTGGTGCGCAAGTCCATTGCTCGCGTGCTGACTGTGTACAAGCAGAGCCAGCGCGCCGCCGTCCGCAGCACGATCACCGAGGAGAACGCTAAGAAGAAGGGCCGGGTGGGTGTCCGGGCAGTCATGGGGGATGGACATAATGTGCAGGGCAAGCTTGGGGTACCTTGGGGACGGCATGGGTAGCCTCTGCTCTTCGTCCTTACGCGCCTATGCGGATTACCAGCGGTGGCGGCAGCAGGAGCAACGCTACCATGCCACAGAGCAATGGACTGCGGAGGGCAGCAGCAATGGCAGTGGATGCACAGCTTTGGCGCGGGCGATTGCCAGCGATGATTAAAGCAGCCCTGTGGTCACCTGCAGCATGGGAGTCGGTCATGGGCGCTTGGAAAGGTTCAGCCGGACGTTGGATCCACGATCCAGTCCACGCTACATCTCGAGAGTTGTACAGTTTAGTTCGGACGCCTCGCTTACCGTTCCGCAGCCCATCTAGCGGCCCAGGCAGGGCAGGTGCACGACATCTCGGCCACCAGGCGTCTAGACGTCTCGGCTGCCAGGCCTGGACTGGAGCAGAACCCAGCAAGGCCTCAGCCCGGTCTCTCTAAACGGTTACTTATCGGCCGCTGGACATGCAACCCATCCGCAGCCGTATGTGGGTTGCGGAGCCAGCCAAACTCCCAGAACTGCCGGTTGCGGAGCGGGATAACACACCTGGAGAATGTGCAGGCGCAGCGCTACTGCAGCAGCGTGACCCTCATCTCGGCAACTGGAACAGAGCATGGCCGGAGGCAGCCCATGTGCAGCTGTCTTGACACAGCTCGGTACTCTGCGTTGGGACCAGCCATTTTGTGGATGACAGCTGTTAGCCCGCTGTCAGGGTTGTTTTGGTCCTGGCCTCGAGGTTGACCCAATGCAGGAGCGTTCCTTACCCCTTCCCTCCCCGTGTGCCATGCTCATTCCCCCCTGCAGAAGTTCCTGCCCATGGACCTCCGCGCCAAGAAGACCCGCGCCATCCGCCGGGCACTGACGAAGGAGCAGGTGAGGGGGGCCGGGGCAGGAATGGAGTGGGACTGGGTGTCGTGGCACGGAAGCTCGCGGTTGAGGTGGTTTGCGGGCTACGGTCGTAATAGGTCTGCGTGGGCAGGTGTTCTGTAAAGTCTTGGGGATTTGTGCATTCGCCATATGACGCCCTACCTTCCCCGTGCGCCTGTCCTTTCAGGCGAACAAGAAGCTGGTGAAGGAGGAGAAGCGCGCCAAGGCCTTCCCCGCCCGCAAGTACGCCCTCAAGGCGTAAATGCGGCCCTGCAAACCCAGGGGACTGTGTAACACGTGTGCAGTGAAGCGTTGTCTCTCTGCTCAGACGCTCAGCCTGGCCCATGCACCTTCGGAGCTGCAAGTATTGTTTCCGGGGCATGCAGCTAGTATCCAAGGCAGCCGCACTCGTATTTGTGCTCTCGAAACCGCAGCGGAAGGGAAGCATATTACGAGTATAAAATGGCGTGCCGTAATGGTTTGGGTTCGTCGCCAACTCTGGGATAAGCACCGGTACTCTTCACATGGATCAGGTGCTGCCTGACGGATCTCCCCTGTAGCGCAGCGACCATGCACTCTCATTACGAGGCACGCTTACGTGAGCCATATTTGGTTTCCGAAGTACGTGGACTGCAGTCGTTCCATGGCACCTCCAGGCCTGCCATACCCGTTTCACACAGGACGACTCGAGGAGCTACCCCAACTATCCCCGCGCGCGACGTGCCAACGGCCCCTGAATGTCGACACAAAAGCCTCCCAGGGCTCATGTTCCAAGAATATGACGCGGCATGTACACAGCTTGCATGGGTTACGATCTCTGACACCAAACGCACGTTTCTTAGGGGCATTACGGCCCGCTTTCGAGGTAAAAAACAGCCAAGTACCAACCACCCTACTTTGCCATAGTGCTAGCCATCCATCGCCACAGCCTTCCGTTTAATACTAATGCATGGACACTGTTGCAGCCAACTACAATACTTCAGCACTATGCATTCGGTAAAGGTGGCATGGTTGCAACAAAGAAAAGCACATTGTAAATGAAATGCCGACGGCTGAATCAGTTCTGCCGACAATGCATGTGACAGTGTCTCATCACGTCTCGAGCTCTTATGCAATGCGGTCAGGAAGTCCTTGCCACCATCCTCCCGACATGCCACATGCGCCCACCAGATTGAGAACCGCCACAGACGGCTACCGAATATCCCTTACGCACGCATGACGGCTACCACGGCTACCATGTAATCACCTCCCACTGCGGTAGTCACCTATGCACATGTAAACAAGCAGGCGCCCTCCGACTGCTACGCTGCATGAAACCCGAACCTCACATCCGGCTTGGTGGCCTGCTGGCGGCGTCACACAGCAGAGCTCGGCGCACCTGTAGTCCAGGTGTCGAGGCAGCTGCCCCATCAGGTGAGTACACGGCCAGCTTCCACAGGACTCCCGCCGCCCGACCCAGGCCCTGGCTCCAATGTTGACGGCGTGCGTAGCGGATTGCAACCCGCCAACTCCAAGGACCTAGCGTCGTGGGATCGAGCCACACGCAGCCCGTGCAAGTGCCGCAGATGTGGCGGGGTGGGTGGGAAGGAGGAAGGGATTATACGCCTCAGCATGGGGTGCGGAGGTCTTGCCCATGGCGCTACTAAGATCCGGTCGCGTGTTAACCTTCCGCATCTTGCCAGGAGCATCGCGGCGTGGCTATCTACATGCGCAATGTTACCATTCACCATTGGTAAAAACACAACCCACCTACCTTGGTCGTGAGGCGGTTCGCTGCAGCAACGTTGGCGGCACCTCGACCGCCGCTTGCGGTGGCTGCTGCAACTGCTGCACATGGTGCTGATGCGGTGGCTGAACCCGCTGTTGTGGCTGCTGATGCGGATGCCACGTTTGCTGCAACGGCTGCATGTGCGGCTGCTGCTGCTGCGGTTGTGCGGATTGCGGGCACGGCATGCACTGCAACTGAAGCTGTTGCGGCTGGGGCGACACCGGTATGCCCAGCCGACGGCTGGGCGGCCGAGCGAGCAGCAAGGAGTTATCCAACTGCGCCGCGAGCACAGACTCCGCTGCTGCCGCTGGCTGCGTCCGTAACGAAGGCTCCGCCCCTGGAGCCCCTCTAGAGCTTGCGCACGGCTGCAGTGAAGCAGCAGCGCTGCCCGGACCCGGACCCGTCCCCGCCGCCGCTGCCGCCACCGCTGCTGCTGACACCGGCTCCGGCAACGATGTCGACGCTCCTTCCGCATAGCCTGGCGGCGCAGTCGAAGCAGTTACTTCTCCTTCCGCAGCGCCTCCGCCACTGCCGCCGGCGCTGCTGCAGTTCCCTCCGGCGCCACCGCCGCTGCAACGCCCTCCTCCTCCACCACCACCATGTGCACCCCGGGTGATGGCCGATGCGCGCAGGGAGGGTGCCTCGAGGGCCCTGCCACTGGACAACCCTAGCGCCGCACTCGCCGCCGCCATTCCCGACGCCATCGGCGGAGATGCGCTGAGGCTTGTGGGCACGTTGCTTGCCACCCGGGCATCAAGGAAATGAGCATTTGCGCGGAACATGCCGCTGCCGACGGTGCTGAGCAACCAAGCGCGAAAGATGCAGGTAACGGAAGGATGGAAGCAGAGGGGCGGCGCTTCTCGTTAGTAATCGGTGTACTTCGGAGGCGGTAAGGCGTGAGGAAACCAGAGATTCAAGTCCCAGAAGGCCCCACGGCCATGCAGGCCCTGGGTGGACGTGTGCCTACCTGGCGTCATCGTCTGTTGTTGCAACGAGTCGTGAGTAGGGTGCCGAATCCGGGGCCTGCGTCTTGAGTGTCGCCAGGAACTCCGTGTACTGTAGCGCGGGAAAGCAGAGACACGGCAGTCCTTAATGCACTGTTTCAACTCCATGTGTCTTACATGCTGACATGGCACGGGTGAGTAACCGATACCACTTGATGCCAAGTTACTGTGCCAAGTTACCGTACCCTACCCCAAGGAGCTGTGTTCCCAGCAGTAACCCAGTAACCCAGTAACCCAGCCCCAGCCCAACCCGACCCACTCCGATCACTCCATCGTTGTTGACATCCATGATGTTCATGAAGTCCGCGATCTCCTCCTCCGTCAGCAAGTCGCCCAGCTCATGCATGGTCGTCTTGAGCTCCTGTAGGGGGATGTTTTCACGGAGCCATGCCAGAGTGGGTCATATACCGGCGGCCAACCACCAACACGAAGTACGCGCACACGGCTACGGTAGTCCGTGCAGGGGTCATTTTTTGGCACAGAGGCCGCTAGCAGGTAAGGACGGACACTCCGACCGGGAACGCAACCCAAGCCATCGCCGCTACGGGAGCCCCTGGGCACGCTGGGGTTGCGTCCGCAGCATGGTGTGTGGGCGTTTGCTGGCCAGGCAGAGGCACATGTGTTGCGTTGTGTTCCCTGCCGCTAGCCGGCTCACATTGATGCTGATGACGCCGTTGTTGTCTTTATCGAAGAACTGGAAAGCGCGTTTGAGGATTTCATCCTCATCCGCCAAGTCCTGTAGCATGGAGTACCTGCGGGCAACGGCAGGGTGGAGCGGGGGGAACGCTTGGTGTAGTGGCTTCCGTGGGTAAGATGATGAAGTGAGATGGCAGGAGGGATGCTGGGAGCGAATGGTAGGCACGACAGCAAGGCTAGGCAAGGGGCCTTGGAGCCATTAACCGCAGCGTGCTACCGGTGCCTAAGACCGAGGACAAGGACGAATTGTGCAGAATAACATTGGAGAAGGTGGGGCGCGTTGACCGAGACTGGGGTACAGACGTCTCCCAGGAACTGCGCAGGCGAGCTGCTTTGTTTTGGCACAAAAGTGTGACCAGTTGACGACGGCGCCCCTCACCCCCATGACGCGCCCCGTTCCCCACCCGTCCTTACCATACGTGTGCTAGCTGTCCGAATGTATATGTCTTCTTGTGATGAAGCTTGAGAGCATATATTTTGCTGTCAATGATGTCCTCCGTGGGGTTCTGGAGGATTAGCGGGCGGGCAGGGCTCAGGCCACACCGTTGCATGACTAATTCATTAGCATCTTACCATCCCCATGGCATACAGGAAGATGACGAAATCCTCCTTTGTAAGCTCATGCTGCCGCGACTCCAAGCCAAGGATTTGCAGTGCTTGTCGTGCCATGTCTGCATAGACGCATCACACCAGCAGCTATAAAAGGCTCGTAAGGAGGTACCAAGCTGGAGCATTACTGGGACATACGACGCCGTTGCTGGAGCGTATTGCATGTCACCGCACCTATTTGGTCATCCGACAGGTTAGAATTGTGTAACAGCAAGTCATGATCTGGGTTTATCCCTCTCTTCTTAAGGCGGTTCCGTAGACCCGCAAATCGCCCCAACATTGTAACAATGCAAAGAGCAGCGGGTCAGTTGCAAATAGAGCTTTCCAATACGTAACCTCACAGCGCATGCGGCATTAACGGCCAAGGCGACAACCGGGGCGATTGAAAGCATTGAACGTTGTCCGACGACCCTAAACGCGTCCAGGATTCGGTCGTTAGAACCGATTACGCAATCGCGTAATCGACCCCACCACCGTGCTTTGCCCTAAAAGCTACTTGTATCAATTCAAATCCGCCCATACTCGAGAACGCGCTAAACGCCTGGGCAAAGCACTCACATGGCACCACCGGACTTGCAAGACACCAAGTCTACTGACTTTCACACCATTTTGTGCTATACTGGCTAATGAGCAATGTTGGTTTGCAGTAGGAAAGCTCTGGCTTGCGTTACATAGCGAAATGTGAATGACTTGCTAACTGGAAGCTTAGACTGCATACTTAAGGCGTTTGCGCCGCTTTAAGCTTAAACCTAGAGCCCATATGAAGAATGAAGCAGTCAATGTAAGTTGCCGATTGTGGGTGAACGGGAGATGAACTCGTGCAAGCAGGGCTTGTAGACCTTGCATTTTTCCGAATCCCAGGAACGTAGCCCATTTCCCGTCACCTTCTCACACGCAACGCCCCCCCCCTCGTCTCCCCCTTGCACCCATCGCCCATGCTCCCTCCCCCCTTCCTGTCATATATCCGCTTCCTTACAGCCTTCACCGCCGTCCCCCCCCCCGCATTCTAGGTTAGTGTCTCCGAATGCACTCACTGCATGAGTCGGGTTATGGGTCTGGGACTCTAGTTGTTTGCATTTATTATATTATCCCCCCCCCCGCGCCCTCCTGGTTCTGTCCCAAGCAATCCCGTCGCCAAACCGGCCACGTACTCTCCTCCCTCCGCTTCCCTGTGACTCCCCCCACCCGTCCTGTACGACCCAATTCACCTAAGCTGCTATATCATCACGTGGCAAGTGCTTTCAGTCCGGATCCTCCTAATGACGTCGTTGATTCGATTATACAGCGCCTGAGAGCGGGAATGAGGGGTAAAGGGGGGCAGGGTGTGCATTCTCCTCAGCAACCGGCCCTTCCCCGCGCTGTACCTACCTGTCTCCCCATGCCCTCCCCATGCGGCTGTCCTTACACGCGCGGCCCTGCCTCCTTATGCCCTTCTCCGTGTGGCGCCCTTGCAGCCTCCAGCCTTCCTGTCCTCCCCCGTGGAAAACCTGCCTAGAGTGCCTACAGATGCCCTCAATCCTGTCGTATATGTGTCAGTTTATGAGCAGGACGGGGGCATGGTGGGTATGCATGCATGTAGTGGTGCCAGTTGATGGGCTTGTGTAACACAGGTCCTAAAAGGCCTCTCGAAATGTCGTGAGGACTTATAGTGTAGCTTGGTGCGCTGGTAGGTTCGGACGAAATGCCTGGGTGCAGGTCCTTAGGAAGGGTGGTAATGCTTGCACGCATGGTGCCGGTTCCTGGCAGGACAAATGGATGTCTGCACGCATGAGCACCGGTAGCCGGGAGGGGCGGGGATGCATGTGCATGTGGGTGCCGGTGACAAGCAGGGCATTGTGATGGTGCATGCATCAGCGCATGAGCATGTCATGCGCACCGTTGCTTAGTGGAGGGAACTAGGAAGCCTGGGGATGAGAAGGCAGCTACATGATGAGGCGTGTTGACTTCGAGGATATGTGGCTTGTCGAGTAGGGACTTGAAGCAGGGGAGGTGGAAGCGGGCCCTGAAGATAGCAGTGGAGAGCATATAAAGATACGCGTGGGGATCTGTCCTGTGCTTCTATGGCCTGCTGTGTCGCTAGGCTTCGCACATCCGGGCTTTGAGGAAGGGGCGTTGGCCTGCGCAGCAGCGGTGGCAATCGCTCTATCTAGCGCTAGCGGCGTGCGGACGGGGCTGTCACCGATTCGCCTTCGGCTGTTCACCCGGAGGGTGAAAAGCGAAGCTAGAAGCGCGAGTATGCCTGCGCATGCAGGCGCCGGTAGATGGATAACGAGTGGAGGGATGCCTCCCTATGCCTTAACCCGGGCTGCGCCTGCGTCCACCTGCCTTTCCCGGTGCAATTCCTGCCTCCCCATTCCCTTGCCCGTGCGGCCGCCCTTCCACATGCGACGCCTCCCTGCCCTTTGTGCAGTTCTTGCAACCCACTGTATTCCCTTTTCCGCGCGGCTGCCCCTACCAGCAACTGGCGTACGGCCCCCTCTCCGTCCCCCAGCTCACGCTCTGCATCCCTGTCTTCCTCCTACCGCTGCCCCATGCTCCCTTTCGCACGCAGCGCCCCTCCCGTCACCCTCTCGCACCCCTCGTCCCACCCCGTCGCCCCTGCGCAGCCCCTGCCCGTCGCCCCACGCACCCCTCGCCCCTGCCCGTCGCCCCACGCACCCCTCGCCCCTCCCCGTCGCCCTCTCCCCCCTTCCTGTCGCATTTCCGCTTGCTTACACCCTTCTTCGTCCCCCCCCGCGCTCTCCTGTGTCTGCCCCAAACGTTTCTCGTAGCCAAAACGGCCATGTCCTCTCCTCCCTCCGCTTCCCTGTCACTCGCCCTCCCCGTCGATTTAAAAGCCCCCGCTCAGTCCCATGCAACACCGCAATACACATAGCCGTTCCTGACCTATCCCTTCACAAGCCCCCGCTCAGTCCCGTTTAAGCCTAGCCGTCGTACACTTGCCTTGATGTGGGGCAAGGCCGCGTGCTGTTCTCCGCAAGCCATGTCACCAGCAATTTGCCCTCGGGCAGTACCTTCATTTGGTTACCCCAATCCTTGCAATCCGCAACGCTCAAACCTCCTGCCTTGCAGAAGTAAAACGGTGTGCGGCTTCCTTCCTTTATGCAGATTACGTGACCCTCCCCCCTGCCATTTCTCAAGGTCGAAGTCAGCAACCAAGGCCAACTAAGGGGCATAGAAGTAAACATACTGCCAGAACTGGACCGAACGAGTCGCGTTGGCTATGGAAAGCGACAGCCATTTTTAGATCCTAAATAACACCATAGGTAAGGCTCGTAAAGGGGTCCCTGTAACATGTATCATCGGCAAAAGTCAGTGGACTTGGTGTCTTGCAAGTCCGGTGGTGCCATGTGAGTGCTTTGCCCAGGCTTTTTGTGCGTTCTCGAGTATGGGCGGATTTGAATTGATACCAGTAGTTTTTAGGGCAAAGCACGGTGGTGGGGTCGATTACGCGATTGCGTAATCGGTTCTAACGACCGAATCCTGGACGCGTTTAGGGTCGTCGAACGTTGTCTGTCCGTTTGTCGTACCGTGCCGTGCACTCTACTCATGTGTCTTGCCTGGGTTTCTTACTCTTAAAAATACACAAGAGACTCTACGCGAACAAAGACCTGTAGTTAGGTACAATAAAGGACTGCAACTGCCCGAAGTTCGTTGTCAACCACTCTCTGCCACCAGGAACTATGCAACTAGGCTGTCGTCCTACGATGCGCGTAACACGCAAACTTCATTCTCCAGCACGTTCAGCTGCAATCCGCGCGCTCATAAACGCAGATCACAGCGTCCATACGCTGAAGCAGGAGTTGCTCGCCCTGTTACCTAGGACGGATCGCGGTCTGAATACCAGCGCAGGCGACCTCGGGGAAATCCAAGCAGCCATTGCTAAGCTAAGACGTGCAGCTGCCGGCGCTCCAGCCACCTGGCAGGCGCAGTCGGGTACATGGGAGCTAGCATGGACGACTGAAAAGGTATGGCCACTATACCCAATACCTTTCCTTGCCAGAAGAGCAAGAGCAGCATGCATTGCGGCACCCATGAGCCCACGAGTTTGGGATAGCGATCAAGCAGCCCAAAAGGACGCCGCACATGCGTAGGAGACTCCCAGGAATGGCCGATGCACCGACACAGCGGCTGCTGGCACGCACTGACGCTGTTGGGCCCCCTTCCTCGTCCCTTTCCTGCACAAAAGGCTGCCAAGGGGCGTCCCATTTTGGCCGCGTCAACCCCCAGACGCCATTCCCGCTGCCCCCGTAACCTCCTATCCAGCGTACCGTTACCGTTACCTCCGTGCTTCATCACGCCCGACGCCCCCAGGAAACGCTCTTCATTCTGCAACGCGCTCCCCTCTTCGGTACACGAGCGGGCTCCGTCTACCAGGTAATTGCTACAGGTGACAGCAGCAGCGGCGCGCCGTGCAAGAGCAGCGGTGATAGCAACAGCAGCAGCAGCACCTACCTTCAGAACGTCATCACGTTTCCGCCCGAGGGTGCTTTCATTGTGGACTCAACTATCGGGACCGTGGCGGGCAACCCGCAGCGAACAGCCTTCAACTTCACCTCGGCGCGGCTTAAGCTGCCGCAGGGGAGAGAGCTTGGGCTGCCACCGTTCGGAAAAGGCTGGTGAGTGGTTGAGGGGTTGAGTGGTTGCATGGAATTGAGCGTGTTGTAGTCTGGGAGAAGGGGCGGCTAAATGGGGCACTGCCGGCTCCATGCAGCTCAACGGACGGCAAGCGTTACCGGACTTGCGTGCAAAAACCCTGTTGTTGAATGCAGGTACGACAATGTCTATCTGGATGAAGATCTCCGAGTGTCGTACGACAGCCGAGGTGACACGTTAATTACCCGGCGAGTTGGACCTCCCAGGCGTTTCACGTGAACCATTCTATTGGTTGCAATTCGACTTGGGTTTGTTGTGAGGTTCGGGCAAAACAGTGGTTCGCCCTCAATTCCTTCCGCTGTGGGCTTGGGAGCTTGTGTTGTTGGGCGGTTGGTTAACAGGTCGGCGAGATTGCTGGTATCAGCTACACCCCATTGGGGTTTGGGGCTTTTGAACGCTGTGAAAAAGCGGGGAAACGCCCTTACCTATGTCTTGTGATGATAACATGAACGGTGCGTAGCAAGGCAGGGAACTCTTGTCTGTGCTCTGCGGGCTCCTGCGTGGGTTGGTAGCCTCGGTGTCTGTTTGGAGGAATCTGGTGCACGTGCTTGCACCTTGTTGGTATTCTAGGTGTGCGGTATTCTAGGGGGGCCGAGGAAGCCGTACTGCCTTGCAGGCCCTAGTAATGCTAGTATCCATGATTCTGGGCAGCAGTACTTCCTGTACATTGGCAAAACGTAGGATTTAGGCCCGTGGGGCTGTAAGCAATGTACTGCTTGGAGATTGTTGGAGAGCAGACCCAGTCACCCAGTCGCTCGGCCACTGGTGTACGACAGCTTCTGATGTGCAGTACTGCGACAGTCGAAAGTTTGCCTGCGAAAGTTTCAATAAACCTTCACTTATTGTTGGATAGCGTTCAACGCCTGGCTTGAATGGTGCATTGCGAGGGATGTCGGTGCGAAGACGACAGCTACCCCATAGTAGACAACAAGACCTGCGCGGAGACTAAGCCCTAGTTCCGGTCTCCCTGTATTATGCTTTAGTTTCAGTTGCTACACAATTTAGCGATTTCGGGAGCCTTCCTGCTGCTTGGCGGGTCCTTGTTGAGGAGCTAGTATATAATGGATTTCTTTCGCAGGTTCGTTAAGAATATTAGTGTTTATATTTCGCGCTTTCATCTTGTCTGGCGAACGCTGTAGGGCTTACAAACTGCCGGTGTACTTTGCAGACGGAGGCGCCTTGTCCTGGGAGTCGCGGCTGGGGCCACAGGGGCTGCAGCAGCATATTACTGGTAAGAAGCCTGTCATTTGACCAACGAAAATTCCCTCGCTAGCTACTGCGTATACCAAGCATGCGTTAACCTGTAGACATCAAAACTGGACGGCTTGCGAGCATAGCAGCAAGTCGGCATGAGTTCGGCAATAGGGTATCAAACAGCACATCGTTGCGATGTCAGGCTTGGTGATGCTTGGCCTTAGGTTAAGAAGCCCCTGCTTCCCGCTGAGAGGGTTTGCTCACAGCTCTCCGCTTTCAATCGCTGGTGATTGACGTGGTTACTGCAGATAAGCCTAGCCAAGGTCCTGATTTATGACCGGGAACCTGGAAGTGTCGTCAGGGTACATAGCCATTTTAAGGATGCAGGGCTTCTGTGCCGTGGCCGTGCGTATGGGTACATACGCCGATCAAAGATCACAAGCTAAATACCCTTGTAGAGGGCGCGGCCTTCCCCACCTTCGCGGCCAAAACACACTTCACCGTCTGGTTGCAGGTGGTATACCTACACAAAGACCAAGCTACTGCAGCTGCAGCAGCAACGAAGGTAGGTGAACTGCCGTCTCCATAGCCCCCATCCTCCGCACCAGTCTCGCAAGCAGCAATGCATGACGCGTCACGCTCCATCGTCGGCATCCCATATCAACCGCTGCCCCATTTCTTGTAACCCTTTAACTTATCCCCTTTCCCTTTGTCCGACATATCGATCTCCAGTTCCCCCTCATACTTCACTTCACCTCTTTCCCTCACGCCCTCCAATCACGCAGCGTGGAGCGGGAGCTCAGCGCGCTGCTGCAGGGAAACGATCGCGTTTCAGATTCGCGAGACGCCGATGGGGAGGACGACACGGATGAGGGGGCTGACGACTGCGGCTCGCCGGACCTTGACGAGTCGCTTGACAGCCACTTCAAATTCATTCAAAATGTCTCCGCGCCGCAGGTAAGTGTGCAAGGGGGGGCCAGCCGTGGGTGGTTAGGGCGGGTTGACTCTTGAGTGGGTTCCTGCCGGGTTGCTATCTATTCTCAATTGGGTTTATACCGGTACCGCGGATGAGATACACGGGGGATGCTGGTTGGGGGACTCGCGATTGAACATGAGGTGCTTCAGCGAAGTGGGTCACCGGTGGGAGGAGCTGCAGCTCAGTGGCCGCATGCAATTTCTAACGCTCCAAGTTAAGGCAACGCTAAAAGGCGCCCTTTGTGTTTTCCCCCGTCGAACCGCGGCCACGCAGGAGCTCACAAGTCTGTTACCGCGGATGCAAGCAACGCTGTTCAGGGTAAGCGACGCATGCGACTCTCGTGTTGACGCGGACGAACTAACTTGGCGCCGGTTTCCCCCGAACGGCTGCTGCCATCTCCCATCCTGTTATCGACACGCCTCCCACCCCTGCTAGCTTCTCCACCTTCCTTCATTCCTTACGCGTTCCCCTGATGTCCACCCCACCAGTTGACGGACGTGTCACTCGTGAAGCAGCAGCAACAGCAGCTGCTGGCGGCGGGTGTTGCGCCGGGGGGGCCGCAGCAGCAGCTCCGGCTGCTGGCGCGGCTGTGCTTCGGACGCACGGTGGCGGCGGCGTTTGCGCTGCCGCTCATGGATCTCTGCGTGCGTGCCAAGCTCAACATCATTGGTAAGGATGGAACTCCTGTAGATGGAACCCCTAGGGATGGAGCTCCTGGAAAAGAGGCGGAATGTTGTCTCGCATCTCCATGTGTGCAACGCTCTCTCACCATGCTGCTAAGGGTGGCCCGCGGTGCGAGGCGTAGGCTAGCGGGTGTTGGAACCAAGGCGCGGGCTGAAGTGAAGGCGCGGAGCTTTGTGCTCCATGCACAGGCGTAATCGTACCAGCCGTGTCCTCTTTTCTGCTCATATGCACCTGCAGCCACGCGCAGCACGCGGCGACACATGTGCATGCACCCAAAGCTGCCAACGCCAACGTTTCAGTCCCCGCTTTTCCTCCCGCCCCACCTGACCCGCCTCGTCTGCCCTCCAGGCCGTCATCTGTTCCTGCAGGAGAAGTTCTGCAAGCTCCGGCCGCCAACCGCCGCAACGACCCGCATGCGGATGCCCCCGCGCCTGACCGCTGCCGCCGTGGAGTCCTTCCTCGCATGCGAGCAGCTGGCGGAGAGGGGCTGCTACTGGCTGGTGGAGCAGGTGAAGGGGGGGGCGGTCGCCAGAGGCGGGGCTGTGGGGTGTGCGTGAAGAGCTGATTTGTGTGTATTTTGGACTAGAAGACAGACACCGGCTGAGGGGAAAGGCTGGTGGTTGCGAACTTTGGCATTGAGAACCTCCGCGGAGGCCATTCGAGGTTTAGGTCTCGCTCCAGTCTTGCTAGGAGCTTGTCAGAGAGTGGGAAGAGTGCCTAGATACAGCTTCTCTCTCTCTTATCCGCTCACTGCGGCCTCATCACCATGACCATGCCAAGGTTGCTTACCTGCTGTTACTGCAACCCTCTCTTATCCGGGTTCAGGCCATGTTTGCGGCGGATCGGGTGCTCGAAGGCGTCCCACTGGATGCCAGCGTCACTCCCGAGGGCCTAGCAGCTCTGGTGCAGGTGAGGGGTGCGGGCCCTGCGGAGGGGACGAACCCGAGCGCACTGACAGTGCGTATAGCAGATTCACATCTAGGTGCCCTGTATAAGCCGGTTGTCCCTTCGTTAAGCCCTATAATGCTGCGGTTGCTGCTAATGAAGCCCCGCCGCGCATCTGGCTGCACATCCTCCTAAATCCCCCGTTCCCCTTCCCCGAATCATTCCCGCCAGGACGTGGCTCTAGCGCTAGGCAGCGCGGTTGCCGCCGCCGCCGCCACCTCCGCCACCGGGAGCGCCTGGGTGGACGCGGTGGTGGGGCCGCATAGCGGAGCCGTAGCGGCGGCGGTGGGCGTGGAGGCGGGGGTGGCGGCGGGCAGCGCAGAGGCCTACCGGCGGGCCCTTGCCAACGCGGCAATGGTGGAGGAGCTGGAATCGGAGCTGCGGAGGGTGCTGTGCAACTACCGGTTCAGGTGGGGCCTGGGAGGATCCCGTGCGAAGGTACCATGCTTCGCGCGGTTACTAGCGGCTTTGTTATTGTCGCTAGTGTAAGATGTAGACATGTCGTTGGCCTAAGCGCTAGTCTCCTAACTAGGTGGTTAAAACACCTTATCGTTGCCCTGGTGACAGACGAGATGCGCCCATGTTGCCCTGTTGGATTGCAGTGAGGCGCTGCATGCGGCCGTGGGGCAGTGCCTGGCCACCTGCGCGGCACACATCCACGCCACCTTCATATCCCAGGCCGCCGCGGCCGTCCAGCAGCAACAACAACAACTGGAGAAGCAGCAGCAACAAGGGGAGCAGGAGCAGCCGCAACCGCAACCACAGCAGCAACCCGAGCAAGCACCGCAAGAGCAAGGGCAGGAACAGGAGCAGACGGGACAGGATGCGGGTCAGGAGCCTGCGCAGCTGGAGGCCCCCCAGCCACCGCAATCTTCAATCGAAGCAACCTGCCCTTGCGAGCAGACCGGCCAACCCACCCTGCCCGCCTCCGGCTCCTCCTCCTCATCCTCTGAAGCACCCTCCTCACCCTGGCAGCCGTCCTCTTCCGCACAACCCACATCGGAATCCGCCACAGAAGCTGAGGCCGTTGCAGCGCCGCCACCCCAAGAAGTCGATGACCCGGCAACCACCGTCGGGCAACACGAGAGCCCGGCTAAGGGTGACAGCGGGCATGGCGGCGAGGAGGAGACGTCCTCAGCCTATGCCACCGCCACCGAGGGCGGCGCACGGACGGCTTGCTCCTCCTCCATAGCCCTAGCCGCCACGGAATCATCCGCAGCGACTACGCCGTCGCAGTCTCCACCGCCGGCGGCGCCGCCCCGGTCGCCGGGGGCAACCGGCGGCGGCGCCATGGCGTCACTGACAGCTGCCGCTGTAGCCGCCATGCAGCCCCGCCCGCTGGCTCGCTGCTTGAGGGCTGTGCAGGGCGCATGCGAGCCGCTGTTCGTGGACGCCACTGAGGTTTCGGAGCGCATCGCTTGCCTGCCTGAGGTCATGTCGTTATGTGCTGTAGCGTTTGCATCCCCCCTAGAGCTTTGAGGTTGGTGGGGAGGGGTTTCGCTCGCTTGTGTTGCTGCGTTGCTGGCGGGTGACGGCATGTTGGGTTGTGGTGGCAGCCGTAGGGAGTTGGCTGCATGGGGGAGGTCGGGGCTTGTGAGCAATGCAACGAGTATGGTTGCTGCTGCGTTAACTGTTGAGCTGTTGGGAACAATCAATCCCAAGTGCTGAAGAGAAGAACGGTTTAACAGCTTCATCTGTAGGTCGCGCGTTGTGCCTTGCCTTGTGCGTTGGCGATCGGGAGTTTGGACGACGATCGATTTTGTAGAAGCGGCAAAGCAACGGCCTGTGGAGATTGGGTGCGTGGTCGGAGAAGATGAGACAGACTAGTTCGAAGAGGAGACGATGTAGTATATGAGGATGTAGCGGATTTATGACTTGGAACTTGGAACTTGACGGCGCATCGTTTCGCAGGTATCGTATGGCCGTTTCAGCGCACCGGGTGTCGGTTAGCTAGGTTGGGCGCAAACTGGTTTTGCGGTACAGCGCTGCTACTACTGCTGTTCTTACCGCGGTAGCCGCACGCAGGAAGAAAGCTGCTGCTGTAGTGGATACGCGGAGTTGCCGGTTCTTTCCGTGGCGACCGAATTGCTGCTGCCTACGGTAGCTTCTTACTAAGCACTGTTGGGATGCGTGTTGCGTTTGTGACGACGATGGAGAAGAAGAGGTGGAGTTACTATAAAAATAGTAGCAGTACATGCGTTGCGCTGTTCACATTGAGGCTTGCAGTGTCGTTACGGAAACGAGAGTGCGTTGAAAGTCGTTGCAAGTCCCAATACTGTTGATAGTGGCCCGTGAAGGACGGATGGCAGCGCAATCCACGCACAGCCATCTGGTTACCGTGCTTGGCGGGCCTTGTGCTACGGCACAGCCCAGACGGCTAATAGCCTGCGCAGGTCACCGTCACCGTTGCGCTTACCGGTAGCAGCAATGTTGAGGTATTGTTAAAGGGCTGATGGAAGTCGTGCGGAGCTTACAGCACATTGGCTTTACTGATAAACGCAAGCCGTGACAAAAGATCGGGCATGCTAACAAATGATGGCGAGCTCGAGAGGGGCGTTCGCAGGATGCCGTGTCAAGGTCTGGGACGCGCTGTCGTGACACTTTGCGGGAGCTACTGGACGGCGGCGCGGTTAGTGTGTGCGAGTAATGGAATGCCACATGTATGTAGCTATTCGCGGGGTTTCGGAGGCTTGTCCAGGCAAACCCATATCCTGTACCGGCTCTGCTTTCCTGGGACAGACCTTGTAGCTTGATCCTCAAGATTCGGGGCGGCACAACAGGATGGCTTGTAGGGGTTGCAATAAAGTGCTAGGTGAGGTCGGTTGGGCATTTCCGGTATGTAGCTATGCTACTGAAGTTTCCTCCACTTATCTGGTGGCTCTGGCGTTGGACCGTTGTTAGTCGCACCGACCTCAATGGGCTGCAATCCTCTTGGCTAGGCAGTTATGTGACGAGAGCTGTCCTAAGGCGTGCCATGCTGCATGTAAGTGCAAGTACTGAAAGCACGTTTAGGATGGGCTCAACACCTTAGCCTAAGAAGCCCGCACCATGCTATGCGGTATGTCAGCCAGAGTAAGCGCTAAAGCCGGAAAAGTGCTGGCACAAAGGCCCACGGGTTGTCGTAGCCCGGACGCGCAACCAAAGCCCTCCTCGCAACGAAACGAAGGATGGAGGCTTGAGTGACCAACAACCTCCTGCCGCATAGACGGCATAGTTCGAAAGCAGAGTCTAATGGAATCCCCACACTCCAGCACGGGCGCACCACATCAGCGAGCATGCACGAAGGCACAGGGCCGTACAACCATCCTCTCCATTCCGTGACAAAACAATGGCGCCGCGGACCCTCTTCCCCCCTCTCCATTCCAGACCGGCTCGGCAGCTCTCGAACCCTAAAGTGGTTCCCATGTCAGCAGTGGACCTGACTGACGCGCAACTCAAACCACCGCTAAAACTCGGAACGTGCGTTCTGAAAATGGCAACGACACCTGCTAGCTTGCCTTGCAGCAGCGCTAGGTGACGGCATCCCATCTCGTTGACGCCACAGTCACCATCAAGACCCACGTCACGTCGTGGTCAAAATACTTGCCCATGGTCATATGTGAATGCTATTAGCCGTCAACCAAACACGCCCAAAGCGCCTACACACATTTAACAAGGCGCTCCCATTGTTCTTGGCCCGTCAAACTCCGTCACATGGTTGTCAGGCACCAAGCCCTCTGCTATTAACCCACCGTGTACTCCACCGCCCCTTCCTATCCCCTCTACATTCCTCTTACATCCCTACATTATCCTTCACCCCCCTTCACAGTCCCCATTCACCCTTCAACCACCACCGCTCCTAGCCTCAGACAGCTCAGCTACCGGTGACGACACCCCGCTCGCATCTGCCCGAGTTCCCGACCCCGGCCGCGCAATCCCGGCCCCCGGCCCAGCTCCAGGCGCCCATGACCCCCCACCCGACCCAGACCCCTCCCCTGCCTCGGAAGTCGCCGCCACTCCCGTCCCTCCTGCTGCCGCTGCCCCGCCGCTCGCGGACGCCGCTGCCGCCGCCGCCTGCCTCGCTGCCATGCCGGACGACGAGTGCCGGCCCATGCTCGCGGACTGGAAGGCGCTGACGGCGGCCACCACGGCAGCGGCTGTCCCGGGCGGCACAGCACCGCCGCCAGTGGTGCCGCCCCCTGCACCCCCCAGGTTCTCCACGCCACCCAGCTCCTGCTCCAGGAAGACCTCGTCCTGCGATGACAAGGCAGGAAAAGAGGACAAGGAAAAGACGTGAAGGAGTTAGCAAGACCGGTACCTTGTGTGGGTTCAAGAAGGCTCAACATGAGGGCGCAACGCGCGCGACGGATGTCACGCAACCCCGTCGTCCTAACCAACCGCATCTCTCGAGCCCGCTAACACCGGCATTCGCTACAAGCTCCGCAGCAGCAGCTGCTGCCAGAGCTCGACCCGCTGCCTCTCCTTATAAACTCCCTCACAGCCCCACGCATCCAACCCAGGCGAAACCATTCCAAACCAACCCGACCCACCTCTTTCGTGAGCGGTCCAATGGTCAGCTGGGTGACCTGCTCGCTGAGCGGCCGTGCCGCCCAGCGCTCCTCGCCGCTCAGCAGCTCCGTGAGCTTGGAGTGGGTGGCGCGCAGCTGCTCCACCAGCGTGCGCATGCGGCTCTCCTCCGCACTGCGCACAGCAGCACACGGCAGCAGCATCACACAACAGCGTCACATGGCAGCATCAGGCACAACAAGGGGGGAAGAAGGACAGGACGGGGCAATCGTTGTGTTTGGGCCACACGAGAGGTGGGCAGGGTGCATGGAAGCGCGGAAGTTATGACGAACCGGAACGTTATATGTATCCCCAAAGCAGCTTGCGGCTGGCGCCAAAATGGCCCAATCCAAGGGCCTACACACAGAGCCCCATGTTTCCCTCCGCCCTCCCCACGCTCTGCCCTGTTCAACCCCACCACTCACAGCGCCTCTCGTAGGTCCTTTTCCGCGAGCGCCTTCTTCTTCTCCGCCCGCGCCGCCCGCTCCTTGAGTTCCTGTAGCCGTGAGAGGGCGCTGGTGCGGAACGCCAGGTCCTCTAGGGGAAGGGCAGGGAGGCAGACGGAAGGAGCAGTTGAGAGGGTCGCGATACACGGGATAGCAGCATGGAGCCAGGGAGGCAAAGAGCAGCGGGAGGCACTAACAGTGTTTGTAGCGGACGACTTCAGCATCGGGTCTCTAGGCGGAAGCCAGGACGGCTTCGTGCCAGGCAGCAAACACCGCCCATTCCATTGCCCATGCGGGCTATTATGCCGCTCCATGCCCCCTGCCCCCTCTCCTTACCTGCCAGCACCTGCCCCCGGACCTCCGCCGTCGCCCTCTCCCGCGCCATCTCATTCCGCGCCATGTCGTACCGCATTTCCACGTTCTCCTGTGCGCTACGTACGCCCTCATTGAGCGCCCGGTCAAACTCCGCCTGTATGCGACTGAGCAGCGGTGCGTAGGTGGAGAAGCCCGACACGAAGGCGGCAAGGACCTGTGCGTGTGTGTCGGGTTTTGTGGTATTGGGTGGGGTTTAGGGGTGTGTGAGGAGGCTCACGCTGGCAGGCCAGTTCATCCTACAAGTCATCCCAAGCCGGCATTGCATACGCAGCCGGGCAGGTTGACAACACGCAATTGAGTCTGCGGTCCTGTCGTCCAGCCGCCACCACTGGCTGCCTTCCCATGCCTTCCTGGACGCCCTTGCAAACATTGCTCCGCCTGGCTGCCTCTCCTGCCTACCCCCCTTCCATCCTATCCACCCCACCTGCCGGTGCCCATCCAGCGACAGGTTGGCTGACAGCTTAGGGTCACGGTCGCGAGCGCTGCCCAGCGGCATCACGCTGGCTGCCTTGTCGTTAGCGCGCAGGCGGTCAACCAGGATGGCCTCCAGCTCCTGCAGCAGCTTGGGCGGCCGGCTGGCAACACGCGGGAACACCTGTGCGATAGGAGGGAGCAGGAGGAGGAGGTTGGCAAGCGGGAGATGGCATCTGGGTCAGCGCTGTTTATGGGATTCAGGGGGAGGGAGAAGGGAAAATGGCTGGACTGCTGTTCTCCATGCTGGTGATGCAACATCCCACAAAACGGAAACCCACACATGCACAATAGTTGTGATATTGCAGAACTGGCAATGCCAGCAGCAATGACGAGTGCGATGCGGCCCTTGGGCGTTGGATGTACAGCCAGTGGTGCAATCATGTATGCCATCGCAGCTAGCGCTTTGGAAGCCAACTGTGCAGGGTAGCGCCGGGAACGTCCAGAGATTTCTGTAACTTTCCCTGCATCCTCTCAAGCTCTATCCACACGGGGGATTGCAGCACCGCTCCATTGCCCTCGCACTAACCTCCAGGAAACCAGGATCATTGGCGCTCTGAGCAATTGCATCGAGCCCTGTCCTGGGGTTTGGGAACTTGTTCGCAAGTGCATCCTTTATGGCCACTTGCGTTTCAGCAGCAGCATGCGCAAAGATTCGGACATCATTTCGCTGCCACTGCAATTCGTGGTGCAGGGCCCTGCGGGGTGTCAAAGAGTAAATATCAATGCGCATGTGGCGAATGCGCTGAACGTGCGAGGCCGCAAATTTACTCCTAGTCGGCAACCACTACTTACGGAAGCTGATCTTCATCGGGGCCTGCCTCCTCAGCATACGTTGCTGCTAGGGCACCGCCGCGCGACATCGGTGCTTACTGGAGGGGAGTCACGTCCCGAGCTGCCTACGCCTTATGTTTACATGCATCCTCAGGAGGCTGTATATTAGGACACTGACATCAACCAACAATACAGGTAGCCGTGGGAGTGGGAACTGTTTTGCAGCAAAGACTTGCCACTTAATAAACAACAACAACTTGCAGATAGCCTATAACTGTCGTTAAACAATCAGTGTCACCTTATGGCTCTGTTTCTTACTCTCTAAGCGTGACTTAATTTAAGTAGGAAACGGATCATTAAAGCTATGGATTTCATGCTCATTTTTTGTAAGTATATTGAGCCGCCAAATCTTCGTTGCAAAGTGAGCAAGGGTTGTTTCTAGCTGGTGGACAGCAGTTGGATTCGTCGTACGAAGCCTTCTACTCAGGAGGACTGGAGGAGGCGTACCATGGCCAGAGTATCACACCGAAACATCTGCTGCTAGTAGTCTACCCGCATGTGTGCAAACCCGAACACTATAGCATACCCGTTGGTCATACTTCGCTGACAGCTGCTGTTCCACTGTGAAGTCGTCCGAACGCTGAACACGACCCCCTTTTTCGGTAACAAACTTTCTTTTGGCCTTAGTATCTGGCTGTAGTGACAGGCGAACCATGATAGACCTTCAGGCTTTAAAGGAGCAGCTAAAGCTGCTCGGACACAATTTACCGGATGACCAGGTTATAGCCATATTGAAAGAAATGAATATAGACTTTGATGAGGCCTCTGTCGCACTAGGCGGTTCAGGCCCACCGGCGTCAACAGCGGCAACGGCAGAAGGTAGCTAACAATTTTAGTGCGAAGCATGAAAGTTGCCATGCAGGAGCTGACCGAACCCTTACATGCAGGTGAACTCGTCAATGGCAATTTGCAGCCGGAACAGCGAACCGGAAGCATTTTGGATGGCTTTCATGGACGGCAAGCATTTAGCACAGTCGCCGGGGGTGCCCATATGCCGTCGTCCCAGGGATACAGCTACGGCTATACGGGCCATGGGCAAGACGCAGAGCCATACACTGCTCACCAACGGAGTTCGGGTGGGCCAAGCCAGCCCCCTCAAGCCACTGCCACAGCAGCCAGCGACGATGAGGAAAGCGTATCTGACGATGGGTATGTTGAGGGCGACGACGCATATCTCGAGGAGGAACAGGACTTCTCTTACCAACAGCGTGACGAACCGGGCAACTCCAGGAGCTCCGGGGCCCAGGCAACAAATGGCAGAGTGGGCGACCTTGCAGCTGGCGCACGGCAAGCTTGGGGCGGACCGGTAGCTCAGAATGGGGGCTACGGCGGGAGCGAGCTTGGCCGAGGAACAGGACAAAGTAGCGCTGGACAGCTGGCTGATTCGCTAGGGCGTATGAACCTACAAGTGCCGACAGCAACGGGCGCACGCAAGGCACTCGCCATGGACTTTCCAGTAAGTGTAGCCAAGTGCGTAGGCGCCTTCCAGCAGCAAGCGCACCCCGTACAGCTACCTCATGGCAGTCTGCACAGTGTGCCACCTTACAAGGCGAAAGGGTGGGCCGGTTGTTTGTGGGCCGGTTTACTCTTTCCTCACATTTGGCGGATCTTCATGCTTGACAGGGAGGCGGTAGCATCGCACCTATGGGCGCAGCGGCAGCTGGCCAGAGGCCAACCCGACCAGCCAGCGCTTCTGGCGTCAGAGACCAACACCCAAGAGGCCACGGCGCACCATCCACCGCGCCGTACAGGTGAGTTGCACCCTTTTTACTTGCCAGGTGTCACATGGCTGGGGGCATGGAAAGGATACCGGTACTAGTCATGTGCTTGAGGGTTGCAGTTTGATGGGCCGTCTAGTCGGCCCGTCTTCAAATCCTGGCCAGAACGTCGTGCTTGACGTTCGCTTATGGCTTACGCGTGGCTTGGGTTCGCTGAGCTTAACCCTCTGGACATCGTGTAGGCAGCTGCACGGCGCCGAGGGCGACGGCTCGCTGTCAGATGAGGACAAGGACATTCCGCGGCATGGCGCGTCACAGCATGCAATGTCGCGCATGCCGGCGCAGTGGGCCGAGCCACGTGTGGTAGGCTCGATGACCGGTGGCTTGGCTGCAACAGGTGGCAACAAGGCGAGCGGCGCGCCGAAGGGTCCTTACAGCAACGGCTGGGTGGGTGGCCAGTACCAGAGCAGCGACCTGGATGCGCACTTCCCAGACGCAGGACTGTCTGGGCGGAGGTGCCTGAACCCGCAGGTATGGCCTGCCGAGAAGCGAGTGCATACAGAAGTCGGTCGTGCCTGTGCCCCTTTCGTATACGCTGCTTAGAGTTGCACATGCAAGCCATAGCTATGCATGCCTCCAGCTGGATACTGGGAACAGCGTACCGGCTACGGGCACGTCAGCACGCGTAAACGATTACGCCCGCGCTAGCTCGGTATTGATCCTGATACAATGTTCCCTGGCCACATCCACCGCAGGCAAGCGATGCCAGCTTTGTGAGCCGCGCATCTTCGGTCCGTAGCCGTGGCGCGTCCAAGGCAGGGAGCAAGAAAGTCGACCGAGTACAGCGATACCAGCAGCTGCAGCAGGAATGGAGCCAGAACAGGTGCGACTCCAGTGCTGCAAAACGCAGTGCCATAATGCTTTAGCGGTAATAGTTCCAGTCTATGCGCGGGTACAGTGTATTTGCAATAGCCAGGGGGACAAGGAAACTAGAAGAACGGAACTTAATCCTCGTTGGGACCCCTTTTGCTTAAGCTCTTGTACGCCAGCCGATTCTGGCAGCCTTTTCCTAGAGCGACCAAGGCCCTTGGGCCTTGTCACATTCGCTCTCCTCATCCGTTGGTGACCCGCCGTTATCTCCACCCCCTACTCGCAAGGTTCCTTAAACAAGCCAGTGGCGTCAGTCGCGGCACTACCCGGAAGCCCATCAACTTCCACAGCCATTTTGCCAGCCTGCATGCCGCCGAGGAGGCGGAGCGGCAGCGTGTGCTCCGTGAGGCACGCGCCAAGACCAAGAAGGAGCTGGGGACTGCCACTGAGGCCCCAACTGCCAACCGCCGGGATGAGCTGCGCTGGCAAACCCGCATGCGGCTGAAAGCGCAAACTTGAACCGTGGTCAGGACAGAAGCAGAGGCGATCGTGCTTGTGGACGTGTGGCTTTGAGCGCCAACTCGGCGAAGAACACCAGGCGTGTGTGCAGAAATGTATGGAGAAGCGTGTTTGCAGAAACAGCGGCGCTTCCTCCGTGTACCTAGAGTAGATTTACTTGTGTACGTGCTATTGATTATGCTTGAGCTGGGTTAGCAGAACCCCTGCACAATAGGGGATGGGGATGGGTTGGGTATCCCAGGGCAACTGAACCCTACATATTATGTAGGGTTCACTTAAAGTATGTAGGGTTCAGTTGCCCTGGGATATGCGCTGGCCCCCATCTACTGGGGCCCCTGGAGCGTGTATCTTGTGATTTTCGCTATTCTAAGAACGCTCTGGAGTGGATGCTGCATTAAATCGTGCTACCCCCATGAAAGGATGTTTGCATCGTCAAGATACCGAAAATGCGTGTGTGCGATGGAACTCCAAATCGCACCGCAGGCGCGCGGGCCGAGGTTTGCAAAAAGGCTTGTCGGGTGTGAGGTTTGTCGCCGCTTGCAATGTGGGTCGTATTTGATTTTGTTTTTGGGTCGCATTGTATTACCGGTAATGGCAAGCGGCATCCGTCAACAACCCCTACTACTGCCACATGCGCATGCCCGAAGAAATGGCTGAAGCCGTTCTCTTCACACTACCAAAGCGGGTTAAAAGCCTATGGAAGGCGGTGATTTTGGGCCCCAACGTGCAGGACCTGTGACGTGTCCTGCCCGTTAAAGGCGAGGAACATTGGCGTGGATGCTTCTGTCATTTATCTTGACCACGAGGCAATACAAAGTAAATGTTTGGGCGCTATTCGTTTCCGTTTTGGCAGGCCCTTCTTCCGAAACCACTAGGTGCTGCATACTGCATACATCGCTACAGCACACGGCGCGTGAAGTGTACCATCATCTTCTAAGACGAACGACAAGGATAAAGCCATGCACCAACTTAACAATATCGGAAACAATTAACTGCGTTGACCACTCGTTTGCGACTCTGTGTATGCTTTTTACCGATTTCTCAAAACAAAGCAATGGCGACTGCAGTGGTGCGTAATAATATTAGAACGGCTTGGATTGTTAGATGGGGCCTCCGTGGGGCTGAAATATTTTAGTCTTGCTGACTGCAGACCGACAGTGTGAAGGACGACATCTTGCAACCTATTAAGGAGGCCAAGACCATCGACGATCGTGGGCTGCGTTCCGGCTCGGCTTCTGGGGAAGTTCTCCGGTAGGCCCTGATTGGACATGGCATAGCTTCCATCCTGGTCACGCTTTGCAAACTCGAAGTTTAACCGCCTCTCTTAACATTCCCACGAATTTAGGCTGCAAAATGTTATTAAGGTCAAGGATAAGGAGCTTGAGGAGGCGCGAAGGGAAATTACAGCATTGAAGGCGACCCTCAACTCCAAGGACAGGTACGCAGCTGACATGGACAGGATCCGTCGCTTATAGACCGTCTCATTGGATGCTATGCCGCCCAGGTCGAAGGGTCTAGCCCACGCAGGCAAGCCCTATTGTACTTCCCGGCCATGATGCTCTTTTTTATAAGGCAGAGACGTGACTGCCCATCCCTATTTCTGCAGGGCTCTTACCCAGAGCGAGCACGAGCTGCGCCTGGTTAGGGAACGAAATACAATCATGGAGAGGTATGAAATACAGTACAACAAATGGTACAGTTAGTCCTCACGTGCTTGAAACCCTTGGACTAGGACCGCAATCTAGGTATCAGGTATCCATACACGTGTTCCGCTGCACAACATGGTAATGTGATGTAGCTTCAGGCGCTCCGTATCTTAACCATCATTCCCCGTGTCGACGATGCAGTGAGCTTGCGAATATGGCGAAGGAGCTCGCTTCGCTGAAGGTCGAGAAGGTATGTATATTGGATCTACGCTTCATACACGCTGATCGGTGGGGCTGTTAAGGTGTTGGGTCCCCTTGAACGGCTGCGCCATCCTGACCCACCCTCAACTTGTCCTACACACAATGCCGCACAGCGTAAGGTGGAGGCCCACATGACGAGTATCGTGCGGAAGAGCGACAAGGAGCAGGCGATGCCAGCGCTGCTGGCTCAGGAGAAGGCGGCGGTAGCAGCTGGCCACGGAAGCGCATCCAGGGTAGGCCTTGCTTGGTTGACGGGCGCCGCGGCAGATGCAGGCGATGGGAAGAAGCAACACCACATGGGCATCTTCCCTTGTGACGGCATGCAGGTTGGTTGGAGAGTTGTCTGTCTTCCACTGCCCCATTCGTGCTGTAGCGCAAGCACCCTAATCACCGCACCATAACAAGCCCGTTTCAGAGCAATGCCTGGCAAGCAGCTACCCCGGTAACCATACAGCCTCCCCAAAACCAGTTCGTATGCCTGATGACTGCACCCCACTGCCCCTTGTCCCCCAACAGCCAGTGCGCAGCAGCAGCGGCGGCTCGGAGGGCAGCGGCGGCCACGGTGGCGCCGGCCCGCTGCCCAGCTGCGAGCAGATGGCTACCATGCAGGCGGATCTGCGCATGGCCCGCTTGGACGGAGAGAAGACGGCGGAAGGAGTCAAGGTGGGTCGCAGTCACAGCATTTCGGTTTGGCTTTGGTACTGGCAACGTCGCATGGAATTCTCCCTGCGTAATTGGCAGCAGTATGTCCTTATTTGGCATGGCTCAAGTAGCAACGCCTGTGCGTCTGTCACATGAGGTGTTTGTCAGAACGCAGCTCGGGCTGTCATCATGGGGCGGTGGAGGAATTTGTGCCGGCCCTCGCTTAGCGGCCCCGGTCCTGTTGCCGGTCCTTCCCATGCAGGTCCTGGAGAACATGATTCGCGCCAAGGATAAGCACATTGTTCAGCTGCAGCGCAAAGTGAGTGTACCGCCCGGTTGGGCACGTGGGAAGGGTGAAGGCCCGCATGGGATGTGCTCCAATGCCCTTGCGAGCTGCCGAGCGACAAGATCTCAGCTGTACTGCCATCCCTATTCCCCCTGTTCCCTCGCCCTCGCCAGTACCAGATCTTCAGTTTCCTCATCGCTCCTCGTCTTCGTTTCTCACCCATCTTCTTGCCTCTCCTTTCCCCCAGGCGGATGAGGCAGACGCCCTGCGTGACAAATGCCTGGAGGTCGAGAACCGCTACCTCGAGACACTGAAGCAGCTGGAGGAGCAGCGGGCGGCATGCAGGACCTCGGCGGACGTCATCCTGCGCCGCGATGCGGACAAGACGCGTCTGCTTGCGGAGCTTGAGAAGACGCGCGCGACGCTGGAGGCGGCCCAGGAGACGACGGCTCGCACCGGGGCCATGCTGAAGGTACGGCAATGCCTGGTCTGGATCAGCTCCTGGTGTTGCGTCATGTTAACTGAACTGGACTACAGGAGCTTTCCGGCGGTAACATGGTCTACATGCCCCGCGGATTCCATGCCCATCGAACCCGTTCCGTAAAGCTCTGAACACCGCCAAGACCTGACTTTTCCCGCACGACATTTGCAAAACATGCATGTCCTTGCCAGGCTTCCGAGACGCGGTGCTCCGCTCTGGAGCAGGAGGTGGGGGTGCTGGTGGGGCAGCTGGCTCGCACTTCGGCGGTGGCGCAGCGGGTGGCGGTGGCGGAGGTCAGGGCAGGTGAGCGACAAACCGCCAGGGAGGAGGTACCTGTCATGCGAACTTGGAAAAGTGTTGTCGGTAGCATACACACGGATGAGTAGCTGTAGTCAACCGAGAAGGTGATAACGCATACGTTGTTAACTAACCCATACTGCAGGCTGCAAGGACGAGGGCACTGTGCACGTGACTCGGCACCTTGAGGAGATGCGGTTCATGGGCGGGGAGATCGCCCGCCTGCAGGAGCGCATCACGGCGCTGGAGAAGGAGCTGGCGGTCGCACACGAGCTTAAGGTGGGGCGTGTCCAGGAAACTGGTTGGGACTAGGAACGCACTGTTGCACTGAGGTGGGCTGTGTTTTGAAAATGGTGAGGAACGCAGCCTCGTTCATGTCCGACAGATGCCTGACATACGGTATGCTACTCCTTTACTAACCCTCTACCCTTGCCGCTCTCCCTCGGCTTCCTCCATACCCATGCAAACCCTCAGGAGCAGTACCGCACCATATCCGAGATGGCAGGCGCCTCCTCGCCTCGCGCCTTCTCACCGGGCGCCTCCTCCCCGGGTGCCCCGCCGCACATTCCCCGCCCCGGCAGCGCCCGCATCACCGCTGCACCGCGGCGGCCCCCTGTGTCTGCCATCTCCCCGCGCCCCACCTCAGCCCCCCGGCCTGCCAACCCTGTCCGCGCCAGCACCAACAGCATCCCCTCGACCCGGAGCGCCGGTGGCGCGATCTTGAGGGACGGCGCCGCTGATGCCGGCACCACTGCCAGCGGCAGCACCACCCCAAGGGGATCTGCGGTGCGCGCCAGCGGCTCCAACACGACGCCCCGTCCTTCGTCTGCCAGGCACCAGGCCTGGGACGGCCAGTCGCCGACCAAGTCGAAGACCACGGGGTCAGCTGCGGCGTCGCCCGCCACTGCCCGCTCGACCAGCTACGTGTCGCGTACGGCCTCGAGTGGCAGCGCGCGCACGATGACTACCAAGCTGGCGAAGCTGGCGTTGTCGGCGGGAGTGGTTGCGGGCTCGACGGCAGCGTCGCCAGCGCCGGAGGAGGGGGCTGTGGTGGCTGTGGTGAGTGTTGGCGGCGCGGTACAGGCTGAGGCGGATGTGAAGGGGGTGGAGGGGGTGCTGGCTGGCGGTGAGAGCGCTGCTGAAGTGACGGTCTAGAGCTGCGCAGGGGAGGCGGACGTACCTGCGTTTCCGTACGTCCCAAGAGTAGGCGGCTTAGGGTGGGTGGGAAAGTCTGGCACGCAAGGCTTGGAGCTATGCGTTCAGATGGAAGATTCATTTAGTTGGGAGGACGTGTGGCTTTGTTAACTATTGCGGCAGCCAGGGTGCAGCTACATGCGTTGCATCTGTCGCTCCTGCTGGTGCTATTTTCGCTGATATGCATTTGTTACGAACTTCTCTGGGTACTCGTCACGCGGTGGGCACCGGCGTGTATTCATAAGCTGTAGACTTTGTAGCACTTTGGACATGTCACATAGTTACAATCACGATGTCTGGACCGCATTCTTCTCGTGATACTGGAGTCGCACCTTTACCGTCGTACGTTATCAATCTGGTACATGACCAGTTATTAGAGAGCCACAGCCGTGAGGTTTGGTTGGTTATCGTGAGTTAACGATAATTTGCATGCGGCTGTAGCATTGGTTGTGGAGTTATGGATTCGCTATACACAGTTCCGATTAGGCCTGACTCGTGTTGGAACGGTTTTTGCTAGTTTGCCCACCGACTTTTAACGATACCGTACCGTCCGCAGCAAGCATCGCTGCGTCCTTGTAGGGAACATTGTGGCGGTGCTCGTGACGTGTGACCACACTCCTGATAGACGACGGGGGTTCATTCATGTTTTGGCAACACCTACGCGTGTGACTAGGAGTGTTGCTTGTAGTCATGCTTGTTGCCTAGTGCGCTGACTGGGCAGGACCCTACGACGTCGAAATGGTGGATGAGAGGTGACCCGCCGCTTCCCTACGCCACATCATGTTTCTGCGCTTACTGCGCAAGTCGTTTTGGTCCATTCATCCCCACTGTACGGCTGTCTGGGCCCCTAAGGTGCTGTATTCATTCTAACCGTACAGTATTCATGTAGAGGATACTGGTGTGTCGTTTTAGTGTACCGTACGTCTAGGTCTCCCTTCTGGGTGAACGTTGGCTGACCACCTCAAGGTGCCCTGTGGTGCCTGATGCGAGATGCAGGCCATAGTTAACTTAACCGTTGGCTAGGGTGGAAGGAGCCCATAGCACGGGGGGAAAGGACGGCTAGGTGCCATAAACGGCATCCTTGTAATATTAACACCCCATACTTTGTCCCATCCTTGCCGGCTTGGGTACCTGTGCATGAGATTAAGGCGTGTCTAAAGGCGAGTGCTCTTGAGCAGGACCCTTAACGCAGCCCTCTGGCGAGTGTTGGCTAGCGATGCGAACATATAAAGCCCACACACTGAAGGGTCCGTGATCCCGATATACGGGACCTCGGAACTTACCGGTAATAGTCCTGCTGCTGTCAGCGCATGGTGTACTTACGGTTCCATGCCGTATAGAACGCAAAGGAATGTGGATGCAATGGGGGGGGTATGTACGACAGTTTACAGAGGACATGGTTTTGCAGCCTTTCCAGGAACCCAACCCCCAAAGTACAGTTATCATTTATCATCCAATTCACTCAAGTTTCATGACAACAGTTATCACAAGACTGAGACCGCGGATACACAATGGTATACACAATATGGATACACAATATTCGGGCCCGTTTTGCTTGTTGGGGTGCCCGTTTAGCTTGCTCCGCCGTGATGCCAAGGGATTCTTTACACCCCTGGGAGCGTGCTTTGCTTCTATACCTTCGGCGGTTGCATCCGGCTTTTGGTCCCCTATCGTTGTTGACAGCGACCAGGAGGGGGCCTTGGTTGGGTGTGAATGGTTTGCCTGAGGATATTCGTCGGGTTATGACTTCTATGGCGATTTTACCGCCTGTTACTGACATAGGGTCGGATCCTTTGGTACCGGGTAGCTGGTGTTGGGGTGTTCCGTTGTGGGGTAACCCTTTCTTGCCGGTTGGGCTGCCGGGCCAACCTGGTGTGTTGGGTTTGGAACACCACTATCCGGTGCTCGTTCATTGCCATGCCCTTCGTACATTGGGTATGTGTGTGGCTGCCCTGGCTCAACTTCGTTGTTTCGAGGACACGTGGGATTCAGCGTTGTTGAACGGTGTGTCGGGGGTTACCTCATGTTGGCGCCGTTCTTTTGAGGAATCTGTCGGTTCGGATGGCCACGGGTCTTCAGCTTGGGGGTGTGTTTGAGGAACGTGCTGTGTTGCATGCGGCTTTTATTCGGCAGGCCCTGGGGTTACCTGCTACCCAGCAGCTTCCTGAGGGTGTCTTGGATGGCCTTCGTGATTCTTTCCAGCGTATTTGGTCGGTTCGTTGTGAGAATGGTTTCAAGGAAGCGTTTTGGCGTCTTTCTATTGATGGGGTTCCCTTGCTGGGGAATTCTTATATGTCTAGGGCTCGTCCGGAATGTTGTGATTGTGGGTCTGTTGTCTTGGGGGGGTCTCCGCGGTTGCATTTCTTCTGGGCTTGTCCTGTTGCTCGTGCTGTGGTTGAGCAGCTTGAGGTATCGCTGGGTGTTGCGGTTCCTCGGGCTGCCTTGTGGTTGGCGTTGCCTCCTTCGGGCGTGCAGCAGTGGATTTGGGATGTTGTTGTTTTGGCTGCTTTGTCCGCTATGGAGGAGGGTCGGCGGTTGTTACGGGCTCGTGTGCGTGAGTCTGGTTCTGCGGGTGTTGTGTCTGGGCTTGCTGATGTGGTGGCCCTGTCTGCTGTTTCCTGGTTCTGGGGTCAGCTTCGGGGTTTTGCTTGTTTGGGTGTTCCCCGTCGGGGATGGGCTGGGGTTGGCCCTTCTCATCCTTTCTTACGTGTTGTTGGCGGGCGGTTTTCTGTGTGCCGTTGAGCGTCCTGTTTTGGCCCTGTCTTTGGGGTGGTGTGTTCGTGGCTTCCGGTTTGGGTTGTCTTTTGCCCTAGTGGTGGTTTGTCGAGGTTTGCTGAGGGGCCGTTTCTTGGCTTCTACCCTCTTGTTTACCTCCTGTGGCTTCTTTTAGGGCTCTGTCTCCCATCTTGTTGGCCCGTTGTGGTGCTGTTTTTACAGTTTGTTCCGTTTCTTTTGTAATTTAGGGTTGGGTTCATCACCCGTGTTCCCTTTTAGGGCACCATTGTAACGGTCATTCATTTCACAATGGTCGTCAGCCAGTGGGACATGTTCAATGGCCGTTGCCGAATGTAATTTGCAACCACCAACAGACACACGAGGAAAGTGTCGTGCAGCTGATGGTAGTACGGAAATCTAACGGAGTGTGCAAACTTGCAAAGCAGTGTTCATGCCAATCTTGGGATACGTCCTCGCGTTAATGTAGCATCAGAGCTTGGCGTGTTGTATGGTTGCGCTGCATGCCGTGTGTTGTTGTGCGATAATGTGCTCCCGCACTCCCCCGCCAAGTGCACCTCTCCCGTCAGCAGGTCAGGGCTTTAAAGTTAACGGAGGCTTGAAGCGTGCAAAGCGGGTCTCCCCAAGATGGTTTCAGCCGATCCCGGAAGGTAGCGGCCCAGGCACTGAAGCTAGCGTGCTATGGCTGAGTGGGCAATTAGGCACGCAGGTGGGCAGTGGGGAGTCGGAAAAGACCCGGGTTGCCGGCGACTGGATGTCATGAAGTGCCTGTCTGCCCTGTGTGGGGTGACGTGAGGCTCGGGACGCGCAGTCCTTGTCGCGAGACCGTAACCCCATGCACACCGGAGCATCACTTTAGTAGCATCATCTCGGCGTCGGCTGGCGGGGCGTCGCTTTGAGGAATACGGGTGTAGTCCTCAGGAAGCGGCCCATAGACGAAAGATTGGCCGGTCCAGATGCAGCAACGCCGTGTCAACGTACCTTAGCGTGCCTGGAGGCAACATCCGTGCAACATGGCAAGGCACAGGTCACTAGAGGTCTAAGGGATCGTGAAGACACCGGTATATGTCTTACACAAACTTCAAGTGCTGCCTTGTGCGGCGGATACGGTGCCCATACAGTGTACAGCAACAAGCCCTCTCCTGAACCCCAGAACGCCTCTTGGCATCAATATCCTACAGCAGTGTCCTGCATGCATGGTACCATGCACAATACCGTACCCCCAGCCTTGCCAGTTGTCCATTGCTGGTTCCCAAGCCATCCTAAGCCCTATACAGTTCGTGACGATCCCCTAACAATGGGTGCTGCCTCCTGCTGCAAACCAAATCCTTGTGCGCGTCCCAGGCCTCAACCAGCACATCCTGCCACGGCAGGTAACGACTAAAGTACGCAGACCCTGTCACTGCAACACTCGCAACAAACCATGCGCCAAACATGCAATGGACACCGTACACAACCTATCCGAACCAACCACATGCACGAGCGAGGTAATGCCAACTTGCAATCTCTACACAAATGACAGTTAAGGGCTATGCATGTATTGTTGAGGTGACATACAAATACAAATGGTCCATCACCCAACCGAAACGGACGTCCGCCCATGGCACCCAACACATTGGTCACAGTCGTCCTCATAACCTGACATGTCTCAAGCCTCTGCTGCTGATGTTCATACTAGACAGACCTACACCCCCTTCTTGCAGCCCCCAAGGCTCTCCATGAGCTCCTCTTGTCCCACTTTGCTGTCGTGCTTTCCCTCCGGCATGGAAAGCAGAAGCCCTCCGGCGACTGCCAGGTTGGTGACAAAGTGCCGCTGGAGGTGCCAGACGTAGTGCCTGTACGGCATGCAAAGGTTGAGAACTGTTACAACCGCTATAACCGTAATAGCAAACAGTCCCAAATCCTCATTACAATCGTCCGGCCCCTCAGCTACGCCTGGCCAGCTGAAGAATCACCCTAATGTGCTCAGCAAGTACGGCACCCGCGGATCTATCTAGAAAACTAGGTAGTTTTCGTACACTCACTTTGACAGGAAGACTGAAGCCCAGAACCGCCAGCAGGTGAAGGCCTCCGCCACGAGCAGGGCGGCTAGCAGGGCGGGCACGCGCTGTTTGGGTTTAAAAGGAAGGAGAAGGGACACGGAGTTGGGGAGTCAAAGGGGGCACAAGTGGCCATGCGGAGGTAGGATGAGAAGGGATTTAGATTTTGAGTCAAACAAGGGTAGTAGGCAAGCACGCTGTCAACGAGCGCCAAGGAGACTGACACACCTTCATTCATCCCAACCCCACATCTGATCCTAAGCCAGACTTGCCACAGCCTCAACGTTCGTCCCTCACTACAGCAGATTCGAGGATACCGCTCCCGCTCCAAGCTTCCCAACCCGGCCACACCGACCTTCTGGCTGATACCGGTAAGCAGCAGCGGGTACACGGCTGCCTGAACAAGCAACCAGTTGTTGAGGGACGGGTCCTCCGGTGAGAACCAGGCGCTGGGGTTCAGCAGGCGCTGCGTCCAGCCGCCAATCCCTCCAAGGCCCTTCGTTGCGCCGTGGTACTGCAGTGGGAAACGCAAGAAGCAAGGGAATATTAAAGATGCCTCAGCATGCATGTTGGAAGCAAGCATGCAGGCGTGCAAGGCTTGGGCCGAGGTGTAGAATCATAGCCGGTATATATACTGTTGTGCGTCAGCATAACAACAACCGCAAGGAGGTAGAGCTGACCGACCCATGGGTCTCTCCATCGTAGAATGGCTTACTAACAGGCTACAAACTAGCACGCCATGGGCACACATCCTCGACTCAGTAACCATTGTCATCGGCACCATGCATGACGGATACCGGTGGATGGCACGACCGGCTTGTAAGGACCAACAAGCCCTACCATGGCCCTACCAACAAGCCCTACAAAGTTAGGATAGCAGTCATTACCCAACCCCACCTGGAGTACGATGATGCTTGCAAACAGCGGAGCCAATAGCAGCTTGCCCGAGCAGATGATCAGGGAGCGACCGGGCCGTAGTTGCTGCATGTACATAAGGCCTGGGGCAGGACAGGGCAGGGGTGTCAGGACTCAGGAGTGTCAGCAGAAGGGGGCCATCAGGAGCAGGGTTGCTCACGTAACGCTGGCCCTTTCCTCTCCCCACCCATTCCATGGCCAATGGTTCTGGAGACCCCAAGACGTGACCGGTATCCGCTGGCATGCGTCAAGCTCTTAATACGGTATATCTTGGGGCCCCAAAGCCGCCCTTGCCTTCCACAGTTGCTCACCCGTTGCCGTGTCCTTCGCCTTCGCGCCGCCCCTCCACCATGCAACCCAGTTGGGGATGTAGTAAGTGTGGCCGATGTACAGCAGCACGGTCCCAACCACGGCCAGTTGCTTGGCGGGTAGCAGGTTGGACGTCTGCCCGGAAAACACAGCGCTGCAAGAGGGACGGGAAAATGAAGGAAGAAAGGAAGGGGTTTGGTCCTCCGTATCCATAGCTTGACTGCATAAACGAGCTTCCAGATTGGACGTAGGGTAATAATACAATACCGGTATCAAAACGCTGGCATGTGCATTAAGACATGCCGTACCGTGCGACCCGCTGTTCACCAAAACGCAAATCGGTATACACACGTGTCGTACAAGGACGGACGGAACTTACAGCATTTCTCCCCATAGCTCGACTTTCTGGAACAGCAGCCTTGCAGCGAGGTAACCAGCAGTGAGGCCTGTGTAGCGCCCCCGTGCCAACCAGACGAGCGCGGGCATGGAGAGCACAAGCGTCAAGGACGACAGCAAGCCGTACCTGCATGCACGTGTGCACGAGCGTCCAGGGGCGTCCAGACCTTAACAAGCGCTCTAGGGCTTTCAAACTTGAGGCTTATTCGGTAGTACGTTAAGGAAGGGGCCCAAGTTGAGTGCCAAGCAACTGCTCCAGGGAAGAACGGAACCCTTGTTACAGGTACATACCATTCCCCCAACTCTTGCCAGAACATGTTGGTGAAGAGCAGCGTCAGCAGCAACCGCCCCAGCGGCCGTGACCGGGCCACCCAACGGGGAGTGTCCAAACCTGGTGTGAGCGGGCGCGGGTATGGGACAAGTACGGCATGTTCAGCGAGCTCGGGTTTTTCAGCCATTCGTAGAGCTAGCGGGAATACTAAGCCCAGACAGCAATCCCAATGTACAAAATTACAAACCAAAGCCCTTCCTTGTGCCGTAGCGGGTTCGGCAGTCCGGTAAACCCATAGCGTACGCACCTCGCTCCTCCCATGTCATGGCCCGCCGTGCACGTCGAGATCTGGTGTGAACGGCAGTCCCCGGGGACGGAGCGTCGGACGATGAGCCCGACAACGGCGTGCGGGGGGTGGCCGGGTTAGATGACGATGCCGTACACGGCGTGGGTATGCCGTACAGGACCGTTCGTGGCGATGGATTGTACTGCAACTTGCAACTGGAAGGCGTGGTGGGGTCTAGGCTGGAAGGGGAACCCGGAGAGGAGAGGCCTCGCCGGCTGGAAAGGCTCAGCCTTGATACCGTCCGGTGTTTTAAAACCGGGGTGGAGTAGATTTCCTCCTGTGATACGGAACCGGGCGAATGGACCTGCGGATTGCATAAAGCAATATGCAGGTTAAGGGCTGGTTTAGGTGCGGCATGCTGAAGAGGCAGGTTTTATCCTACCGGGGTGAAGCTGAGGCCAATGTTCCCTGGCATTGTTTGCCGTCGCCGCACGGCTTCATCGATGCTATCGTTGTCATTGTCGTCGCTTGGAAACAACAGTTCGCGAGGCGCCAGCCGCTGCTGGCGCGAACAGGTGTCTGAAGACGAAGTATCAAGCCCACTGCAAAACCGCCCATCTACTGTTCTGCGTCTAGGCGAAGGCGAAAGCATCGCTTTGGAGGCAATATCATCGTCGAAAGCGGAATAGCCGAAATAGCCCGAAGACGCAAACTCTCGGTGATTCTGGGACTGAGGCTGAAACGGCTTTCCATTGCTTGTAGTGGCAAGTCTATTTCTGCAGACGGAAGATGGCGCTGAGGAGCGGGCTTCCTCGCTGGTACTGGCTGCGGAGTCTTCAAAAGTGACGGAGCGATTAATCATCGGTCGGCCCGGTGGAAACGCTGAAGCTGTTGGCCGCGTTCGGCACATCAACTATGACCAAGGCGCTAGCAAATTCCTTGAGCAATTTAAACACAACTGTTTATTGGCTACGGTAACGTGGCGCGTATGAATAATGTAGCGCACGAGGCGGAATTCGTTTCTACACTATTCAGGTCACTTTAAACACAGCCGACTGAAAGGAATGCTAACTGGAGCTCCCGCCTAAGCTACTGCGGCAAGTGTTTCTGACTTTATAGCGGGTCAATTCTAAAACCTAATTCCACGGCAAGCTACGGCAAGTACGGAACGCTCAAAGGACAGCCTTTTGTACGCAGAAAACGCTACTTATGATATATAATACCAGAAGAGGTATTATGACCCTATCTGCTTTCAATGGCAGCCGTCGCTGTAGGAATATCAGAGGCACACACGCGACCAAGCCAAGCAGGACATTCCAGCACCGCGATGGGAAAGCCTGCAATGGCAAGCCAGTAGATATAAAAAGCACCACTCCTCTTGCAGAGCTTTACCTTCAGAATGCTGTGACCAGCGGTGCAAGTCCCTCGGCATCATCAGCACTTCAGCAGGCCCCAGCCTTTCCCAGGTTGTTTGTCCGTTCCTCACAGTTGGTAGCGTCATAACACCAGGGCTGTGGCTGCATCCTTCCTTATCTGGGTTTGTTTATGGCATTTTCGCAGAGCGCAATGGTTCCGCACAGCATTTTTGGCTCCGGTGGACGTCTATTTACCTGTTTCCCTATCGGTGTTTCCCTAACGGATAAGACCTCGCAGGTTATCGGCAGATCCCTAAGAGCTTTGCGTTGTTCGATGTCCTGTGACACAAGTTGGTCAGCAAATGTCGTTTATGTGCCTCGCTCGAAGTCGCAATTCAGGTGGCATACCAGAAATCAACCCCTAACGGCTTGAGCTTGACATGGACCGCTGAAGGAGCGGGAGCTGGCCGGTTCCTCTTGTTTGCCAGTCTGCCACTAGATGACAAACTGTACGGCGTTGCGTAATGAGGAAGGTGCGCAGGTGCGTCACCCAGCAGGGGATGCTTTTGGAGCGCGAAGCTTATAGTTTTGCGGGCTACTTTATATGGTACAGATTATGGTGACAAGTCCGTTAAATTATCCACCAGCCAGTCGCCAACCGTGGCCACGCACTCGGGTTACCAAACATTCTTTAGCTCGTAGGGCCGCTCTCTTTACCCATCGACATATTGGTAGCCAGTTTGGATGCTTAAGCTTAAGCCTCCCTACAAACCAGAACACAGGAAGGATTTGCTAAATAACGTTCATTACAGGCTGAGGGAGGCTATATAGTAGATAATTCTACTAGGTTTTCAGGCTGAATATAAAAGGGCTTTAGCAGCTTAGCTTGGAGAAGCAGCGCAGATGGTAAGGGATGAACCTGGTCTCCAGCTCTTTCTAGTTTTGTGCGCTGTTTAGCGAAATGGTTCGGTTGCAACACTTGCAGCCTTTTCCTTAGGAAGGCCTACCTATCGAAAGCCTCTACGCCTTAATGGCCACTTCCACTGGCGCTGGCACGTTACTGGTTACCGGGCTAGCTTATTAGGGATGGGTTGTGAACAGTACTGTACGGGCTTGTATCCTGCCTGTTACTCACAGCAATCGACCGATTGTCCTTACAGCATGTCATACATTTGCGTGTGGTCCTCCTTGAACGCCCCCATGTCTACCGTTCATTTGCCATGGAGCCACTGCAAATGGCTTCTTTCTATATTCTAGACGCTTTCCCGCCTAGCAGGACGCCCTCAACCCTCCAGCGGTGTGCGCCCCACGCCCTTACCCACCTCGCCCTCCGCCTGCTCCATCCTTGACCGCTGCTGCGACTCCTCCTTCCACACCCACTTAACCGCCCGCTCCCTCTCCCATCCCCATCCACACCCCTTTTCCCTTTCCTCCCTCGCCCTCCTTCCTCCTCACCCATGTCCCCCGGCTTCCTCCCTTCACCCCAGGCTGCCGGTTTCGGCCCCCAAGCCAATGCGCTGCTGCGCAAGTCCGCGACCTACCAAAAGCGCAACGTGCGGACCAACATCTGCCTGCTGTCCTCGCCCATCTTCTTCTGCATCCTGCTGCTCATCATCAAGCAGCTCGTCAACAATGTCTTCTTTACTGGACAGGACTTTGTGGTGAGCAAACAACCGGTAGCAAAGCAGTGCTGCTGCGGTTCCCTCGCCTCCCTCTGATTCCTCGGGTATCTCAGATCCGGGGGTCGTAGGTCACTGCAGCGGTTGTAGTGTTCATCGCCGGGTACAGGGCATATATGGGCATGGCTTACCTTCCTTCACTTTGCCCCTCCATCTTCACACCCACCCCTTACCGGTATTTGCCCCATGTGTTTGCGGCCATGTGACTTTGCCTTTCCCTCACTCCCTCCCCCGCCCTCTCCCCCGCCTCTTCGCTCCCCTTCCTCCTCCTCTCTCCTCCTCCCTCTTCTCCGCCTGCAGTGCGGCTGCAAGTGCGTGCAGTGCTGCCTGGAGGGCTCGTGCACCCAGGTGACGCAGGGCGTGTGCGCGGAACCCGCCAAGTGCCTGCAGTACGACAAGACCCAGTGCGGGCTGCAGTACAGCAGCGAGAAGCAGGCCTCATGGTGCGAGGTGCTGGAGCCCAGCAGCTGGCCGCCGGTGGTGCAGGTAAGGGAAGTGGAGGGGGGAAAATTAAATAAGTGAAGAGGAAAAAGGTGTGGGTGGCACAGGAGAGCCGCGTAGAGCCGGGAGGGGTGTAACTGTCAGTCCGGGCGCATGCATCGGAGCTGCATGAGAGTGACCACTTTACCGATTCCTTCAGTGCACTGTACTGTACGATGTAGTACCGGTACTTTTACAACTGGCGGCCAACGCAACCCGAACATCCCGCATCTCTCCTTCTTCCCGTACTTGCCCGCGTGCATGTTTTGCTTCCCAGGTCCCGGACATCAAGCGCCGCGCGCAGCCCGCCCGACCCAACATCACCACCCTCATCACCGCGCCCGACCTCCCTGCATCGGCAGCCTACGGCCTCAGCCGCAGCCTCTTCCCGCAGCCCCTGCACCTGGACAACGTCACCCTGCTGGCTCTGCTGCCGCAGCTGGTGACCCCCAGCGGGACTGTGCAAGGCCACCTGTTCACAAAGCACGGTATAGTGTTCGGGACCGCAGCAGATGCCTCCCCCAACCTGTACGTGGATGCCGCGTTCTCGGGTGGCAAGGCGCTGAATCTGCTGCTGCCAAGCAGCAATACGACTGGATCTGGGTTGAGTTGTACGGCGCTGCGGCCGTACTGGTACGGCAGTCCACCGAACAGCAGCCTCAGCACCTCCAACGCCAGTAACCCCGACCCCCGGACGAACAGCATTCCCCTCCTCAGCGCTCTTGTTGCTGTGGTGGCGGCTAGCAGCAACACCGACATTGTCTGGGAACAGGTCCGTTGGTAGTTGATTGTTGGTTGGTTAATACCATTGTTGCTCTGTGCCTGTACTTAACGGTGTTCGTTAGATGCCTTGTCGTACTAGAAGTGCAGAAAAACACTGTCGGCTGGTTGCGGAGTTGGTCTACCTGTACCTCCTCAACCCCCTTTTTCTATTGCTCGACTTTTATTAACTGATTCTAATTGGTTTGGGAATGCTTGGCTGACACAGGCGTTGGCCCAGCTCGCTGGGCGACCTATCCTGGGCGACTTCTTGGCGCAAGACACGCTGTGCGCTGACGTCGTGCTTTCGCAGCAACCAACTGAAACCGGCGTCAACGACCTGCTGTACTGCGGATATTACCAGGTGAGCCATGAGCCATGAGCCCAGGCGGGATTCTGAGTAGCCGGGCTCTTACAATGCTGTCCTGGCTTGCCATGTGATGGGCTGATGGCATGGTAAATGCATACTACGTCCGTCGAACATGGCCGGAGTCGCACGCCCCTGCCTCGTTCCTTGTTTATCTTGTGGCCTTATTGCCTTCCGCATCCCTCCCTGCGCACCCATAAGCACGTTCCCGTCCCCTATGTCTATTTCCTAGCCCTTCACAAGTGAACTAAGACATGTTTAAAACCACCGCCCTGACCAACTCCCGCTGCGTTTTCGCAGTCTCGTTGCAACGGCACGCAAGTCACGGCTGAGTACCCGGCTGCGTTTGAGTTCTCCGATGCCGATGTCGCTGAGCTGGCAGTCTCCGTGTACTACAACGGAACGGACGACACCGGCAACGGCGGGCGGAGCAACAGCCTCCGGATTCAGAACCCGGTGTCCGCTGCTGTGTCGGCTTGGTGGGTGGTTTGGGGGGGGGGCGCATGATGGGGTGTGGTAGTGGGTAGCGGGTTGCGCGTTGCAGTTGGTGTACGTGGGTGCACGTCGGGCTCTCGGACATGGGTTAGGTGGGTGGATGCTGTGAGAGGCAGCTTGGCTTGGGAGCCGGCAGTTGAAGCAGCCGCAGACCTGTTGCACTAGGAACGCGCTCGTTATTTTTTTGTTAAAGTTCATAGTGCCAAGTCTTTATCCTTCACCACACCTCCGTCCTCTCACGCACCCTGCGCAGGTGGGCCCGGCTGACCGGCTCCGGTGCCGGCATGCGGCTGATGGGCCTCATGGGCATGCCCAAGCACCCCACTAAGCTGAAACTGGATTTCTCGACGCTGCTGGGGCCGCTGTTCTACACGTGAGCGGGCGGCGGGGGAAAAAAGAAATTCCAATGGCGGCGGGGGGGGGAGGGGCGGCGGGGGGGGTCAGTGCGCACGAGGGAAAGGGAACGCGGGTTGATACTGGTACCGGGATCCGGGGTGGAGGTGGGGGTGACGTTACCGATGTGGCCAGGCAGGTAGGGCATGAGAGGTTGGCTGTTGGCGCTCCTACTGGGCATGGAAGTGTTAAGGTCTGGTGCGAGGCAAGAAGAGCGGATTCGTCACAGTCGCTCCGCGTTGTGACCCACGGGTCGACTGACCCACATTCGACTTACTCTTCCTCTCCCTTTCCCTCTCCCCCAGGTGGGTGGTGCAGATGCTGCTGCCCACCTTCCTTCAGCAGCTGGTGTATGAGAAGGAGAAGCGGCTGCGCATGATGATGAAGATGCACGGACTGGGGGACGGGGCGTACTGGCTGGTCACCTACCTGTGGTTCCTCGCGCTGTACGTGGCCTACATGATCATCTTCATCGTGTTTGGCGCGGGAGTGGGGCTGGAGATCTTCAGGCGAACCAGCATGGGTGAGCATGGCATGGGGTGATTCACTCCTCCCCTTCCCGGCAGTGATGTGCGGTGTATGCATGTAGCCCCTGGCAACTTGCATGGGAGCATGACGCATCTGGCACATGTCCCAACGGGTCAAATACCGCGCACAGACCGGGCCCATCTTACTAGGCGCTTGCATGCAACTTCCCTTGAGGCGATAGCCGTTAGTGTCGGCGCCATCCTTGCTGACGCCCGCCCATGCCCATCACTCCTTCTTTACCGCCGCCCTCGCTCCGCCTCCCTCGACCTCCCCAGGCATCCAGATCATCTTCTACTTCCTGTTCGGCAACTGCATGATTGCCTTTGCCTTCCTGCTCTCCTCGCTCTTCACCTCCTCCCGTACGGCCACCGTGGTGGCCTTCATCTACGTCTTCGCCACCGGCCTGATTGGGGAGCTGCTGCTCAAGGTGAGGGGTGTGGGAGGACTGAAGTGAACCCGAGAAGGTCCCCAGAGCTCTCTTTTTTGCATTCACCACCCGCAAGTGCCGCCCTGGAGCTTAGCATCTGTTAGACTAACGCTAGGCCTGTGCGTTCATTCGTCGAGAAGGGAAGGCGTATGGGCGTATACCGGTATGCTTGCAGCCTTGCATGACTCCGCCATCATTGCCTTTGCGTTCATTACTCCTCCACACGCGGCTACCAACCAACTACGCCGCCTCCCTCCTCCCTCCCTACCCGCCCTTCCCCAGGTGTTTATGGAGAAGGCCGCCACTTGGGTGTTCTTCATTGAGTGGATCCCCGCCTTCGCACTCTACCGGTGAGCGAGGGAGGGCTGGGGGGGTCCAGCGAGTGGTCTGAACTTGTTCAACCGGCGGCTGTGTCGTGTTTGCACCCTTTGTCGTACATCCTAATCCTAATCATACTGTCTCGCCTTCTGCCCCTTCCTCTCTCTCACACACTCCTCCCTCCCGCCCCTGCCCACCCCTCACAGCGGCCTGTGGGAGATGGCGGAGTACTCCTTCCTGGCCGTCTACCGCAGCGAGAGCGGGCTGGTGTTCAACAAGCTGCGGGACAGCGGCTGCGGCATGCGCGCCACGTGGGGCATCTTCGTGGTGGAGTGGGCGGTCTTCATGCTGCTGGGCTGGTACCTGGAGCAGGTGGGGGGCGGGGGAGCGCGCGGGTGTGCTGGTGCGTGTTGGGGAAGACTGTGGTCGCGAGTGGGAACAGGTGTGTGGGGCTGTAGCGTTGGTCCTATGGTGTAGGCCTCATCACAGGTTTCTGAGGTGAGGCCTCTACGGCCGGTGCCACACATGTAGACGAGTTACATCGGCGGCAAGCGGCGAGCTCCTAAACCCCCTCCGCTTCCCTTCCACCCCTCACACCCCTCCCTCCCTCCGCCCAGGTCCTCTCCAGCGGCACCGGCATCAGCCGCCACCCGCTCTACTTCCTGGACTGCGTCCGACCCAACCGCAACCGCCGCAGCGGCAGCCTTAATCGCGCCTCCCCAACCGCCAGCGTGCAGCTCACCGCCGCCGCCGCAACCGCGGTGGACGTCAAGCCGGCGGACGGCTCGGGCGCGGTGTCTATTGCGCCCGGGGAGCGCGAGGACGTGCGTGCAGAGCGGCTGCGGGTGGAGGGAATGAGTGCGGCCGCCGCTGCCAGCATGCCCATTGTGGTGCGGGACCTGCGGAAGGTGTACCCGCCGCTGGACGGCGGCAAACCCAAGGTGCGTGGTTGGTTGGTTGGTGGGTTGATTGGTGGGCCCGCAGGGCAGGAACGGCACGCGAGTGATGCGTCACGTGGGGGATGTACCACGCTTTGGCGTACCGGCTGCCTGGCGTCCTTGCGTGCTGCTGCTGCTGCTTCTTGCCGCTCCTCCCGTAGATTAATAAACTGCTCGCTACTAGCGGTTGCAGGTGAAAGAGCATCGCCGTTTCAAAGTGATTGTGCCTTGCCGGCCATCACGTGAAACAAACTATGCCCTTGTCTGAACCTCTTCTTCTTTCCTCCCTCCCTGCCGGGTGGTGGTGGCGCTGCCGGGCGCTGCAGGTGGCGGTGAAGACCCTGACGATGGCGATTGAGCGAGGAGAGTGCTTCGGGCTGCTGGGGCCCAACGGAGCGGGTGAGTTGGAAGGAGGGGGAAGGGGTGGCTTGGGACAGACAGTGGTCCTCACAGCGGGGTTGCTTACCAGCCCAGCCCAGCCCAGCCCAAGCCATCCCTACACCACGGCTTCTGCCTTCTTCCGTGTGAATGTTTTGCCTTACCGCCGGTACCTTGTCGAAACACCTTCTTGCCCCTTCCCGACTGACCCCCGCCACCCCGCCACTCCCCCCCTCCGCAGGCAAGTCCACGTCCATCAACATGCTCACCGGCTTCCTGGAGCCCTCGGGCGGTACGGCAGTCATCGAGGGGTACGACATCAACACGGAGGTGGGTGGTGTGCCGTACTGTGGGCTGTGCGAGCGTGGGAAGCCACGTGATGCCACATGTGTGTGTCCGGTGGGGCCCTGGGTACGGCGACGTTGTTGGGGTTGTTGGGGCGACGCTTGTGGTCTTGTTGGCAGCCATGTATGGTACGGTAGAGGCAGAGGCAGCATACATGCGGATATCGCAGGTGTGCACACCACGCGTGCATGTGGAGCGAATGTGGTGCAACTTACACTCCGCTCCTTGACGGCCTCCGTTACATTGGCCTTGGCTACCGCACCTGTTCTCGCACTCCGTACGTTTGTTTCCCGCCCGCCTCGGAGACCCCTTGCGCTTTCTCCTGTAAAGGCTGCGCGATGCTGACGTGCGTGTGTCCCGCCTGCGCCACCGGTCCCTCCGCAGATGTCTCGCATCTACTCGCTGATGGGCGTGTGTCCGCAGCACGACCTGCTGTGGGAGCAGCTGACGGGCGAGGAGCACCTGCTGTTTTATGGAAGGCTCAAGGGGCTCAGCGGTGGGTTGTTGTTGGGGCGGTTGTTGGGGTGGTTGTTGGATGAAAAAGACCTGTATTGTGGCTTTATGGGCCAATCATGCAATGGACCCATGCTGTCATGGAGGGAGGCACAGTACATGGGGAAGAGCCGCGACGGAGGGCCCTTACACGGGAACTTACACGGGTGCTGCTGGCGGGGCTCTGATGAGGAGCATACCGATATGTTGGCGCTGTTCAAGAGAGGCACACAACCGGCGCATGCCCTTCACCTGCATCTTCAGTCTTGCGCATCTGCCTTCTCTCGTTTCCTCCTTCCTTTCTTTCCTCCCTCCTGTCTTCCTTTCCTTACTTCTCCTCTGTCGACCCCTTCCCCCTCACCCCAGGCGCGGAGCTCACCAATGCCGTCTTCGCGGCCCTCAAGTCGGTCAACCTGTTCAACAACCGCGTGGGTCAGAAGCAGGCGCAGAAGTACAGCGGCGGCATGAAGCGGCGGCTGAGTGTTGCCATCAGCTTCATCGGGCAGCCGCAAGTCGTGTACCTGGTGAGGGAGGGGGGGGAGGACGGGGAGCGGGAAGGTGGAGGAAGAGGCGTGAGGCAATAGGAGGGCTGCTGCTGAGAAGAAGGGTTGGTGGTGGTCTAGGTCAAAGAAGCTATGAAGGCACGCATGGGGCGGAGGGGAAGGGGGGGAGCCTGCAGGGTACCATAAAGGAGGCGCACGGTGGCCAAGGGGGTCGTTGGTGTGGTGGGTCGCTGTGCAGAGATCCCTTACCTTCTGCGTCCCCTGTCCCCGGCATCAGGACGAGCCTTCGACGGGTCTGGACCCTGCGTCTCGGCGAAACCTGTGGGACGTCGTTCGACAGCAGAAGGACGGGCGAGCCATCATCCTCACCACCCACAGCATGGAGGAAGCGGAGATCTTGTGTGATCGGCTGGGTATCTTTGTGGACGGACAGCTTGTGTGTATCGGCAATCCGCGCGAAATCACGTCGCGGTACGCTGGCTACCTGGTCTTCACGATCACGGTGGGTTCGGGCCACGAGGACGCGGCGCAGGCGCTTGTGAAGCGCATGAGCCCGCACGCGCGGCTGACGTATGCGCTGGGCGGCACGTTCAAGTACGAGCTGCCCACCAGCGACGTGAGCCTGGCGGGCGTGTTTGACGCCATGGCGTCTGCCAAGGGGCTGATGCAGGTGTTGGACTGGGGTGTGGCTAACGCGACCCTGGAGGAGGTGTTCATCAAGTTCGCGCGGCAGATTGGCGCAGAGACCAAGGACCAGTGAGGATGTGTTGCTAGCTGCATGCTATGTTGGAACCAGCCAGCAACGCCGATTGGCATTGAGAGCTAGGCATTGAGTGTCGTAGACTGCCATACGTCGAGCGGAAGAACTCAAGACTGAACTCGACGACGTTTCGTCATTTTTCGTCGATAGTATGCTTGGCCTTGCGATCACCGGAAGAGCGCTGACTGCCGTGTTTTACCAGCTGCGACTCAGCTGCTGCTGACCCATGGGTCAGTTTGGCCCCAGTGGACCCAGCTGGAAAGCGCGTTTGCATGCTGTCGTACATCGTGACGGCTTCGAAGCCGCTTGCCTGTGGTTCATCACTCGGTAACGGTACGTTACTCGGTGACCCCGCGTTTATCCTATCGTATCCTTTCAATTGAGGCATGGAGGAAAGAAAGGAAAAGGCTTGGTTTAGAGGTTACATGGAGTGGGGATACATCCCGAACACATGGGCCTGCATGGAGAGGTCTAGAGTACTTGAGAGGGCGAGGTGTGCACTGCTCGGGTTGCTACTTTTCAGAGTGTCCGGTCCTGAGAAGGGTGCGGGTGCAAGATTCCTGCGATGTTGTTGTTCATGAGTAGGGGTTCAGCGAATGCCACTTTACGGCGGGGGCGGTAGTCGTGAACTGTCTTGAGTGAATACTGGTTTGGAAATTCCAAGCACTGAAGTATGGCGGACATTGGTTGCTTCTCTCCGGGTCGATATGTCCACTGTTAGGTTGGGTGCAACAGGATGAGTGTGTTCGTGCAACGATTGTGTAACGTGCATGTGCGTGGGGGCGCTGCTGGTGCTCTTCTTGCGCGTGTGTTTAGCCGATTTGCTGCATATGCTTGTAGCCTTGGCACCTCCATACAATCGCTACAACCCATTCAGTATCTGGATGCCTCACATGCTCGCATGCCTAAAGGTGCCGGCACCGTGCAGCAAAAATGCCGTACCACTCCACCGTGCCGCGAAACGCTGATCCTTACATGAGCCCAGCCAGTCATGCATGTGTCACGGACAGCCTGACATCTACCGGTATAGAGGGGGCACCACAAAGCCGTGCAATCAGGGCAACAGTGTTGCTTAACTAACACTAGGCCACCAAAGCAACCGCTGTGGCATGTGAGCCTTACCTTACCATGGCCCCCTTTGCTGCTCAGCTCACCATCCAAAGCTCTATTACCCGTGCCGGCATCCCTCGACTCCTTAACCGTCCCAATAAGCCGCAGCCACTCACCCACAGACGTTGCACGATGCCTCAATCCTGCCATACAAAGCTACTTTTGCATAATCGTGCACAAGCAGCGCAAGGGTCAGTTCCCTGTGCGCGCATGCAGCGCCCGCCGCTTCCGGCATGGGATCACGAAACTGGTCTTTGCCGGAAGGCGCAGAAGGCATATGCAGGAGCCAAACAGCCATAACCCGGGTTCATACAAACAACTGGAACACGACAGGACATACGGCAGCTGCAAAGGTGTTACTGTGTCAAGAGCGCATAAACGGGTGTGCTATGTTAAAATACACCTAGGTACTTAGGTACCAGATCCTGGCCCAACGAGGTTTCCTGGTGGCATCATCCTATGATGCGCATGACATCACCCAACTAATTCAATCAGTACCAAAATGAATATGGCAATATGACCGAGATGTGCCGCACATCTAGGTCAAGCACTGTGTACATAACCCCGCATGCTACACACACATTACAGCTGCATGCTCTCCCATGAATGTCCCGCGATTCTTTTCAGCTCACAAGGAGATGCATCCAATCACTTTAGCGGATCTGCTCTGTCGATAGATGTCATTATCACTGGCCCTACCAGATCTTCGCAGCCAGTGCCTGTCTACAATTGAAACGCTCAAACCTAAAGCCCAGAAAGTTTCCGTTGACATGGGGTTCAGGATGCACTGCCTTCGCACAAGCAACAAGCCATGAAGCACACACAAGCCATTCACAGGCGACACGACAAAAGGCCAATCGCAATCACCATCACGTACACATACGCGTGCAGCCCACCTGCCATGCAAGGCAACAGCCTGCATGCGTCCTAAGGCATAGACATAGCTTCGTAGGACGTCCTAGGCGCAAAGAGCCACAATGCCCTTGTTAGCTGGTCAAATGCTGCTCGTAAAATCACTACCCAGCAATCGACAGCCCCTCAGCAATCAGCTTGACCACCGCCTCCGCCAAATCCCGCTTCTCCGGTCCACGAGGCACGCCTGCCGCCGGCTCACTCGCAGTGGCCAGGTAGCCCTGCTGCATCAGCTTCAGCTGCCTCACACTCAGCCTCTTCACCAGCATGTCCTCCACTGCCTTGACGGCTTCCGCGGACCACTGGCTGGGCAGCGGCGCCGTGGCCACCAGCCGGCGACCGCACGCGAGGTGCACCAGGTACGGCAGCCCGGTACGGAACTCAGCCATGAGGATGGCCCCCACCACCTCCCGCAGCACGCTGCCGCTGTTGGGTGGAATGCGGGAAACGTCCACTCCCTGCAGGTTTAAGAAGCTCAGCAGCTGCGCATTCGGCAGGCAGATGTGCGGGAAGCCGTAATGGTCGATGCGCGCGGACCAGGGACGCAACTGCTGGATGGGGTTGCTGAAGAACTGCTCTAGGCGCTCAGCGGGCGACAAGTGGCGCTTGGAGGTGGCCGTGTTGCGGCCGTTGTTGTTGCTGCTGGAGGCGGCTTTGTACTTGTCGACCATGACCTCCAGTGTCTCCTCGATAAGGAAGTACAGCCGGTCCAATGCGGTCCGCATGATGCTGCTGGCGTCAGCGGACCTGCCGTCGTACGACACTCCGATGCGGTCCGAAGCCATGATCAGCTTGCAGCTGTTGTCCTTCGTGCTGTGGGGCCGGCAAGAGATGCCGATGGAGGCACAAGGTTTACTGTAAAAGGTTGGATAAACCGAGCCGCAAAATTACTGACTCTGACCGTAGTTAAAACCCGAGAGAGGTTCGCAGCATACTGGTTGGAAACCAGTCCACGCCATGCATACATGCATAAAGACATGTTTCATAGCCTTATGCATCCGCAAACGAAACCCGGCGCTGGCAGCCGGCTCAGCATAACTACCGGTATCGCATCCCCTACGCAGCAGCACTCCCTGCAACATACAATGCAGCGCACCCACATGGCCTCCATCTTCTGGTACAGGGCGCTGTTGGTTTCGGACTCCAGCAGCAGCCACCTGCCCAGTGCGTCCCCCACCGCCGCACGGTTGTCCTTGGGCCCCATCTCCTTCACCACAGACAGGCTGGAGAACAGCAGCTGGAGGGCACCAGCCTCGAAGGTCGCAGGTGCTGCGGACATGGGCGCAGTGGCTGGCTTGTTGCCAGGCGACGACGGTGCTCCGGAGGTAGCAGCCGCTGCGCCGCCGCGAGATGCTGCCCCGTCCGCAGGTGGGGTCCCCCCATTCCGTGACGTTGTGTTGCGATGGTTGGCTTGGGCCCGGCCGTTGGATCCTTCACCTCCTCCCCTTTCACCGCCGCTGCCGCCAGCAGCACCGCTGTTGCTGCCCGCCGCCCCTCGTTGTTGCGGCAGCTCTAGGACGGGTGGCAGACCAGGCACGTGGCTGCGCTTCCGAAGCCAGTACTCCAGGAACCGCAGCCAGTCGTGATGCCAGACGTGCGCCCTGCCGCTGATGGTGTTGCTGCGGGCGCGGTGTAATGGGGGAAGTGAACATTTCTTAGATGGGTAGATTGGTAAGCATGCATCGGTTCCGGGTATCCGGTTCTCCTGAAGCCTATAGTTGGGGGTTGCAGCAGCAAGCGTCCGTACACTCACATCAGCTCTCTGCTTGTGATGGCGGTGGGGTGCAGCACCTCCACCTCCATGCCAGCGCGCATGGCAGCCTTGATGCATTCAATAAAGCCGCCGTCCCCCGTGATGACCACAAGCACACTGGTTGCCGCCCGGCCTTCTTGAGACTGCCGAGAGATGAAGGTGTCGACTTCCTGAGGGGCAACAGTGTACAAGGCAGTAGCAAAAAAAATGAGGCTACAAAGAATAATCATCCAGTACTTGCAGCTAGGGTGTTGCAAGGATACAACGGGTCTTCCTAGCTACACGAGCTATAAACAATCACACCAACTTCTCATGTTGGCTTACAACCAGCGCGGCCATACCGCCGCACAAGAAACGGGATGAACAAGCAACCCAGTCCGCACCTGGATTAATTTCTTGTCCGTAGAGTTGCTTTGTCCTGATGCTAGCAGGAGCTTGGTGTGATCAAGCAGGTGGTTAACCTGGTCGCTTCCATAACATGTCTCCATGGCATTTAGGGACTGCCTGCTGATGGCAGCAAGGAATGCCGACAACTTCCTTCGTGGATAGCGTTGGAAGGCATTTGAAATAGCCCTGCGAAATGAAAAATATCAATAGGAAGGGCCTTAAGCTTGGCTTCTGCTTTCTGCTCCAGTGTAAGCTATGCTTACTTCTCCACCTCAGACGCCGAAACATCGACTGGAATCCTGGCATTTTCAATATCCCATACAATTAGGACTTCCTTCTGCTCCCGACCGCGACCATCGCGATCTTCTTCAATAAGCTTTTCGAGAGGGGACAGGTTTACAGGCAGGCTACTAGCTGCCATGCTAGCTAGCCTATACAATAAGATATATTTTGCATAATGCAGAACCTAGCTATATTGCGCACGATGTCCTATCACCTGGTGGGGCTTATTCTTCTGAATAACCAGCTCAGAACCTAAATGAAGGAAAGCATACGGTGCTTTGCAATCCAGTTGTAATAGTTTATCACTATGTACCTGTAACCCGTGCGCGAGACCCGACGCTTGTCCTGCGAGCTATGTCATATTGAAGACGAAGCAACCTCAATATCCATTGCCTGTTCGGGAATGGACTCCAAACCAGGCAGCCCCGGAAGCATACCAGCAAACCCTGGCGGGTTGTCAAAATGGCAGGAGCTGCACTGTAGCACCTCCACACTCTCCACCCCACGTCCCTGCCTCCTCGTGCTCCTTATCCTCACTGCTGTCCCTCACCTCCCACCCCGCGCCCCTCTGCCCGTCACTCCAAACACCGGCGTGCACACCCTAACCTTCGCAGCTCAATTCCGATAACACCCTAGTCTTACCTAATACGACAACAACGCACCGTCGCCCCGGCCATCGCCATTTGCATTGGTCAGGGTCAGCATTTCTCACGGCTCAATTTACCTAATCCCACGCCCACCACTTCCACTTAGCCTCAGTCAGCAGTCTTTCCCGCAACCTCCACCTCCACCCCAACCAGGCAGCTCGCCTAGAACCCCTAAAAACCCCTCCCCCGGCCACACCCCAGCTGCGAGCAGCGCCGCGCACCCACACCGCCGTTGCATGTCTTCTCCCCCGCACCCACGTCAGCCCTTTCCGTATCTCCCACCCTCATCGCTCCACCTCAGCCCCCGCCCCATCCGCCCCCTGCCCGGCTCCCGGCAGCACCCGCCACTCCGCCGCCGTCAGCGCCACCCCGATGGGCTCCCCCTCCAGTGAGTCCACTGCGAACACCGTCACACGCACAAGCTCCACCAGCGTGGGCGGGGAGGAGGAGGGGGCGGAGGAGGAGGAGGAGGAGGAGGGGATGCGCAGGCGCAGGATGGGGATGGTGGAGTGCCTGCAGGATGGGGCGGGGGATTAACCGGGATACATATATTCGCCGGTGGTCATACGGCGGTAGTGGTAGTGGTATTGCAGCGTTGCGTACATGTATTGCCCGCATGGGAAAGGACGCCCAGTTGGTGGTCCGATACCGTACGCATGCACCCTTGCACCCTGGGGGGGCCACATGACCCCACCTCACCTCCCTCCACCCTTGCTGCCCCCCACCCTTGCAAACACCCACCCACCCACCCACCCACCTCTCCGGCTTCTCCAGCGCCTCGCTGCAAGCCCAGGCCCAGTCGGTGTGCGAGGGCGGGTGCTGCGGGTCCATCAGCCCCGCCAGGCTCACCCCCCCGGTGGCAGCCTGGAAGCTGGGCAGCCGCAGCAGCTGCAGGCCGGTGCGGTTGACGTACTCCAGCAGCGCATCGGGGGAGTCGTCCTGGGGGAGCCGGGTGGGTTCCAGTTCGTAAGGGCAGCCTCGCAGCGTGGCAGGTTAGGCTTCATGGTACCGGTAAGGGTTCGCTAAGATCTCTGCTTCCACCTGCCACCTTCCCAACCCCCCCCAATCCCGTGGGGGTGTTCGTTTTACTCCCACCTCCATCCCCAACCCACCCATCCCCATCCCCCTTCCGCACCTGCACCAGCAGCGGGAAGGGCGCCTCCCAAAACACACCCGCACGCTCCTCCTCAGCCACGGGGGGAGAGGCAACCGGTGCTGCCGCCGCAGCCACAGCCCCCGTCGCCGGGTCCGTGGCCGCAGCCTGCCTGCTGCTGCTGTTGCTGGCCCCCGCTGCTGCCGCCCCCGCTGCCGCCTCCGCCAGCAGACTGCGGCCCAGGTAGCGGCGGCCGCTGAGCTCCAACAGGCCCAGCAGCAGGGAGGAAACCTGGCGGGGGGGGGAGGGGCGGGACCCGGAATGGGGGGTGGGGGATGAGGAGGGGCGATGCGGAGGGGTAGATGGGTAAGGTAAGATGTCCCAGATGTGCCGTGCCCACGGGTGCATGTGCCTTAGCGTGCAAATCCCCATTGCATGGCAATGTGCGCTGAGCGGTCGAAAGAGCAGCCGCCGGCCCCTCGCGTGCGTCATGTCACACCCTCCCGCAGCCCCAGGATGGGCCCAGAAGCGCACCAACAAGCCACCCCCAATGGGGAGGCCACACCCGCCATATGCCTAGCCCCGCGCCCCCGCACCTGCGCCCGCCGTCCGGACCACCATGACGCACACACACACACACACACGCCTCGCGGCCAGTTATTTTAACACACCTGCGGCGGTTCTGTGGGGACTTCATCTTCCGACATCCCAGTACGTTCCTACTCGCGGCCAGTTTTCTTAACACACACACCAGCCACCCCACCCAGCCACCCCCCATCCCGCTTCCCGCACCTCATCCGCCCATGGCTCCCCCTGCCCCTGCGCCCCCTCGCTGCCCTCCATGGCCGCCTCCACGTCCTGGGTAGGGGTTTGAGCACATGGGGTGTTAAGGACCGTGGCCGCGAAGAAGGACCGACCGGTGGGCGTGTCAAGGAGTGCGGAAGAGAACGGAGCTACGCTGTGCACGCAACAAGCAACATGAGGGTGTAGGCACAAACGGGTGAAGGCAGCCGACGCTGTTTTGGGCAAGGCAAGGGGCAACTGTGCAACTGCCCACGCGGAAAACAGTACCTGCCTTCATTTTTTACCCGCAGGAGCCTCCTGCTCTGCCTCCTCCTCCACTACCCCGACTCCCACCCCGAACCGCCCTCTACCCGCCTTCTATTAACCCCCGCCCCCATACTTTCCGACTCGCGGCCACAGTTACTGTCAGTTCGTTACTTCCTCTTTATCTCCCCCCAACTTACCCGAGCCCCCTGCTCCACCCGCTCCCTCAGCTCGCTCAGCTCCTGGTCCCAGTTGGCGCCCAGGAATAGGCGCTCCACTTGCTGGCAGGGGGGAGGGGGGAATATATTTATTATTGCATCAACGGAGTCCCAATCCCAAATCCCGAGGGGCGAAGGGGGTTGGTATGGCAAGAGGTAAGGCAAGAGGAGGACGGAACGGGAGGAGGTAAGGGGAGGAAATGAGCGGTTGGGGAGCGAAGCGGTGTGGAGTGAAGCGGTGCACAACCCAGCAGCAGCATCTAACGCACCTGCCAGTCCACCTCCACCTCCCCCAGCTCCTCATCATCATCAACCTCCTCATCATCATCACCACCATCCAGCGCCTCTTCCTCCTCATCATCGGCTGATGTGGCATCCATCTCCTCCTCCTCCTCCTCCTCCTCCTCCTCTTCCTCGTCATCGTCATCAGCACCCCCAACACTCATGCGGCCGGACACGCCGCGTTTATCAGCGCCCTTCGCCCCTGTCGCAGCACCCACAACCGCATCCGTGGCTGCGCCTGCTGCTGCCGTTCCTGCCGCCGCTGCTCCTGCTTTCACCGCTGCCACTGCTGCCGCGCTCCTCCCAAGGCTCTTACCGGCATTGCCGGCAGCACCGGCAGGTCCGCTTCCCACCGCCGCCACCGCGCTCTCATCCACCCCCTCCTCCGCAACACCATCCTCCTCTTGCCCCTCCTGCCCCTCCTGCCCCTGCTGCTGTCGCCGCCGCAACAGCTGCTGCTGCTGCTGCTGCCGCCGTTTGCGCGCCGCCGCCCGTTTGCTGTCCCGGTCAACCACCTGGAAGAAGTTGAGCAGTTGCTCCCAACGGTCCAACTGCGCGCTCAACCGATCCTCCGGGTCGACCACGGAGGCGCCGGCGGCAGCACTGCCGCTGCCGCCGCTGCTGCGTCGCTGCCTACTTGCTGCCTCCGCCGCCGCCGCGGGGGATGTGGAGGAAGGGCGGCTCACGGCCGCTGCGGCGCCGGATGCTGAAGAGGAGGAGGCGCGTCTCGCGGCCAGTCGAGCGGCGCGCTCCTCGTCATCCGCTACCTCATTGACATACTGTTCGTACTTTTCAAACGCCTGCAGGGCGTCCCAATCCAGATCATCGTCCTCTTCCTCCTCTCCCTCCAGCTCCTCATCATCCGCATCCTGCTCCGCCGCCCTCTTCGCCCCCTCCTGGACCGCACCCGCTCGCCGCCCCAACCCAGCAGCCGCCGCTGCAGCCGCAGCCGCAGCACCCCCAGGCATCATGCGCCCTCCGCCGCCGCCAACCGCCGGCCGGCCCGCCGCTGTGGCGCCGGCCTTGGCGCCTCCTTGCAGGGCGCGGCCCTTTGCTGCCGCCGCCACCGCTGCCGCCGCCGCTGCTGGTGCTTTCGGCGTTGTCGCCGCCGCCGCCGCCCGTAGTCGCTGCATCTGCCCGATAGGCATCAGCCGACGCTTGGGTGCTGGGGCGCCGTACGCACGTGACCGTACGGCAACAGATGCTGCTGCCTCCTCCTCCTCTGCATCGCCCTCCTCCACCTCCACCTCCGCTACTCCCTCCTCCTCGTCTCCCTCAGACTCCATCATCTTCCGCGCCAGCGCCGCCATTCCCTCCAAGTCAAGACTTTCATCTAGCTCCTCATCGTCTTCCTCAAGGAAGGGAGCGGAGCTGCCGCTGCGGCTGCGGCTGCCGGCGGCGGGAGCAGCGCCGCCATTGCCACGGCTCGTACGAGTTGCGTGAGCGGCTGTGGCGGCCCCGCCACCCAACTGTGTTGTGGGCAGCGGCGGTGGCCGTGACATGCTGTTACGAAGCGGGACAGCGGGGGCGGTTCCGCTGCCGCCAGCAGCAGCGGAGGCGGCTGTTCTAGCCGTCATGAGTTGCGGTTTAGCGGGTCTAGGTGACGACGCAGCAGCAGCAGCAGCAGCTGTTGGGGGAGGCTTAGGTCGCGTTAGCGGAGGCATGGAGGCAGGGGCAGCGGCGGGGTTTCCGGAAGCTGGGGGTGAGTTGGTGGGTTCTGCGCCGGCGGGGCGTCGTGGGGTGGAGAGAGGATCGAACTTTGCGCGTCGTCGCATCTCCAGCTTCCAGGCTTTGCGTTCCGCACTGCGTTGCTGGAGGAAAGCTTGGTATGCGGCTTCCTCATCTGGGTTAAGAAGTTCCGGTGAAGAGTTGTTGCTGGCTGATGCTATAGGAACAAGCTGCGACCGACCCAGATAGGGCTTGCGGAGCGGGAATTGCGGGGCATGCGTGTGAGCAGAACTCGCAGACGAGGAAACAAACCCGGCTCCTAGGGAATTACGCAACGTTGATGGATTGTATATGCATTGGGGCACCGCTTTCCGCGTAGAAGCTTCAGCGCGGCTACCCGCTGTCGACTGGCAGCCGCGCATGGTTTGTGGCCAAGTGTTATGGACAGCGTGGACCTAAACGCAACTGCTAGGTTCGATTGTCCTTGTTGAACAGCGTAAACTACAGTGTAACTGGCCTGCCTTTTCTGCAGTCCTCTGGGCAATCACCGACAATGCGCTTCAGTTTGCCGTTGCTACCAATCTGGTTGCGACTATTTCCTGGCATTTGCCAGCACAAGCGCTTAACGTGTTAATCCTGTATACATACTTCCTTTCCTGGCTAACAGTTGCTAAGAATTTAGAAGTGGAAGCATCGATCGTCGCAAGACTCCTGCCAGAAGAAGAGGCTGTTTTTCAAGCACGCTGAGATTGTATTACTGAATAGTTTGTGTTGATTATTTGTTTATCAGCATACACCTAGAGAACCGCTTGTTAGTTCCAAAGCCGATACCAACCAGCGGCGCAGCCCCGTTCCGCTTGCTGCGCCGCCCATGAAGCGGGAACGTGAGGAGGAGGAGGGTCCGCAAGACGCAGTTGCGGCGGATGCAGGCGATGACGCTGCCAAGCGCCAACGGCCCGAAGAAGCCAACGTAGATGCTAAGCAGGAGTCCCAGAAGCCTGAGCAGGAGCTTCAGGATGCCGATCACCAAAAGGAGCAGCAGCAGCAGCCAGCGAAGGGTGACAGTCCGGAGCCTGACGGCAAGGATGAGGATGACGAGGTGTTCCTACCTCGCAGCACCAGCCGTGCCGCAGTCAAGAAGGGCAACGAGTGCCCCTACCTAGACACCATTTCCCGTCAGGTGGGTTGAAGGGCGCCCGTTTAGGGCACACGTGCAAGCAACCGGGTGGGAAGATAGTGTACATGGATGGGAACATGCGTCAGACACGGTGGCCGAGCCTGGCTACACCCAAGACCGCTCCATGTACTCTGCCTAGACCTTCATTGTACACCCCCGCCCTCTGTCATGCACTCACCTGCCCGCCCTTGCCCGCTCCCTCATCCTCCCTCATCCTCCCTCTCTCTACATGATCCTTTGATCCAGAACCTGGATTTCGATTTCGAAAAGTGTTGTTCCGTGTCGCTCAGCCCGGTCAACGTGTACGTGTGTCTGGTGTGCGGCAAGTACTTCCAGGTGAGGTGGGGGGGTTCGAAGGGTGGTGGGGGCGAGGGCGGTGTCGCGTGGGTGAAAAGATGAGGTACGACCGGTGACTGGCAATGGCAAAGTGGCGTAGGAACAACATGCGGTTAAAAGGCTAGGCGAGGTCTGGGCCGGGCAGGAGGCGCATGTGCTGGGGGCTACCAGGCGCGGTCGCGAGGGGCAGGGGCGGGAAGGGGGCGGCAATGGCTGGCAGGTCCCCACCCCATGGGAGCTCCGTCGTCGTACGGGGCGGCTGGCGGCCTGCCACGTCATCAGCTAGGGGCGATGCTGCCCCAGGCCCAAGCTCCATTGCGCTTCCCTTTGCTGTCTTCCCCTCTGCTTTCCCCTGCTCCTGACCCCCCCCGGCCTCACGTCCCCAACCCGCCTTCATAGGGTCGCGGGTTGAACACGCACGCATACACACACGCGCTGGAGTCGGCGCACCACATGTTTATGAAGCTGGACAACGGCAAGGTACGACAGCAGCAGCAGGGAAGGGGGGACGAGCAGAGGGAAGTGGGGGGGAAGGGTACGGCACTGGCTGGAGGAGCACTGGGAAGAGGGGGAGTGTTAGTGGGGACGGAGGAGAGGGTATACTGGCAACCGAGATGTGGAAATGCGGAGGTGCCAGGGAGGGTGGCCGCTTTTACAGAAGCGCATTCCGCATTCGCATTCGGCCGTCCAAACAGTTATACTCTAATGCTCAGACTCCATCTTCTCCTCCTCCTCCTTCCCCCGCTCCCCTGCCCCGCGTCCCCACCCTCCTTGTGGCACCCTGCCGCCTCCTATCCCCTTTGCCCTGCCCTCATTTGTGTTTTGGTGGATTCCTCCCCCCGCCCCTCCCCTCCCCTCCCCTCCCCTCCCCGCCCCCCCCCCCAGGTGTACTGCCTGCCGGACAACTACGAGGTGCTTGACAAGTCGCTGGACGACATCCGCCACGTGCGTGACCCGCGGTTCCGACCCGAGGAGATCGCCAGCCTGGACAAGTGAGGGGGGAGTAGGGGAGGGGGGAGGGAAGCAGGCCGGGGATGCATGGTACCTTGGACAAGCGCAGGAGGGGGGAGGAGAAGGGCCGGGGGGTACAGAGGGCGGGTTGCACGGGTGCATGCCAGGCTTGGATGCAGGCGTCCATGCGCCATGCCATGTGTTTGTGCGCTGTTGCATGCTCCCCCCGCATGGCACCATGCCGCTTCCTGTCCCCAATATCTTGCCCCAACCTGTGGTTTCCTATGGTTCGGCATGGTCTTTGGCCCCCCTTCCTCCGCGTGTGCCCCTCCCCCCCCCGGCTGCCCCTTCCCTGCCAACTCTTTCCCCCATTGCTTTGCCCTAACCTGTGGTCTCCTATGGTTTGGTATGGTCTTTGACCCCCCGGCTGCAGGACCGTCAAGTGGGCTCGCGCGCTGGACGGCACGGAGTACATGCCCGGGCTGGTGGGGCTGAACAACATGAAGGCCAACGACTACATCAACGGCGTCATGCAGATATGCGCACGCATCACACCGCTCAGGTGGGGGGGGTTTTGAGGAGGAAGACGTGTCGTGCTTGTGTGGGGTTGGGGTGCTGGCGGGGGAGGCGGCTTGGCACCGTGTGTCTAAGTTGGACTAACGCACCCTCAACCCGTGCCGCCTCTTATACCCTCCCTCACCCCCCTTGCCGCCCCCCTCCCCTCCTCTCAGGGACTTCTTCCTGGACCCCTGCAACTACGCCTCCTGCCGCTCACCGCTGGTGCAGGTGGGTCAGCATTCCAGGGGGGTGGTGATGGGGGTGGTGGCCGGTAGTATGTAGCGCGGGTATCTAGGCTGCTATTTTTTGTGGATCCGGAAAACGACCCGTGGGTCACTTTTCACTTTTGCATGCGAAACATTGTTCGCTACTGGCATCTTCGTACTGTTATTGCAATCACATACCCTCTTATACATTCCCCTTCCACTTCTCCGCTGTATTATTCCGCTGTATCTGCTTTCACCTTCTGTTCCACCGCTCCCCTGCTGTGCCGCTGCTCCCCTGCCGCTGCTCAGCGCTTCGGCGAGCTGCTTCGCAAGCAGTGGAACACGCGCAACTTCAAGGGGCAGGTGTCGCCGCACGAGTTCGTGCAGGCGGTTCGTAACGCCAGCAAGAAGCGCTTCAGCGCGGATGCGCAGGTGCATGGGGAGGGAAAAATTATATAAGAAATGCAAACAACTAAGTCCCAATCCATGGGGAGGGGGGCGGGGCGGTTGAGGAGGAGGCAGGTAACCGTGTGACAAGTGACTCTGCCATGGGTTGCAACCAGAGGCGCACCATGGCATAACACATACGCCCTGTCCTGTCTCCCTTCTTGTAATGGTCTCTTTTACCCTCTCCCTCTCCTCTTCTCCTCCTCCCTGCCCTCCCTGCCCCCCCTGCCCCCTCCCCCAGTCCGACCCCGTTGAGTTCTGGTCCTGGCTGCTGAACAACCTGCACCTGGACCTCACGGGCGGGAAACCCAAGCGACCCTCCATCATCACGCAGTGCCTGCAGGTGGGGGAGGGAGGGAGGGTGGAGTTGGGGAGGAGGCGGGGGGTAAACCCTTGGAAGAAGGAAGGATGTTACCACGTTCTACTGCATGACGGAATCTGTGAACGCTTGAGTGTAGTGGTGGTGGTGGTGGTGTTACGTGTGTGTACCGAGCCCGGTCCAGGAACTTCCCAACCTTCCTGCCCCTTCCTGCCTCTCCCTGCCTCTCCCTGCCCCACCCTCACCCCTCTGCAGGGCGAGCTGGAGGTGACCACCCTAGCCGGCACCGGTAAGGGCACTCGTGCCGCCGCCAGCGGGCAGGACGTCACAGAGCGGGTGCCCTTCCTGCTGCTGGGTCTGGAGCTGCCGCCGGCGCCGCTGTTCAGGGACGTCATGGAGAAGAACATCATCCCGCAGGTGGGGCTAAAACTAAGGAAACCTGGGGAGGGGCAGGTGGGGGGGGCCGGAGAGGGAGAGAGGGGGGCGGGCGCGGAAGGGAGCCAGGGGGTAAAGAAGAAGGAGGGATGGGAGCGCAGCGGGACATGTGTGAGGCGGCTGCATGACGCGCATCGGGCTGGCAATGGGGTTGAAGGTGCATACGTGGCCAGTAACCTGTCATGTAGACAGAGGGAACCAGTGAGGAGTGTGCCAGGGTTGCAATCAGGCCGGAGGTGCAGGTGGGGCCCGCACAACGATAGCGCATGCACTCGCTGTGTCCTACAGCTACGACTCCCTACCACCTCTCCTCCTCCTTCCCCTCCCTCCCTCCCCCCAGGTGCCCATCTTCCACATCCTGCGCAAGTTCGACGGCGACTCCCTTACCGACGACATCCGCGCCGGTCGCCGCCGCTTCCGCATCACCCGCCTGCCGCGCTACCTGGCGCTGCACTACCGCCGCTTCACCAAGAACAACTTCTTCACCGAGAAGAACCCCACCCTCGTCAACTTCCCCGTCAAGGGGCTGGAGCTGAGGGACGTGCTGCCGCTGCCGGAGCGGCCGGCGGCAGCGGCGGCGGGGGGTGCGGCGGCGGGGGCGCCCGGGGCGGAGGCGTACGGCTGCTCGTCCAAGTATGACCTGGTGGCAAACCTGGTAGGGCAGGAAGAGGGGGGGGGGGGGTAAAGATGAAACAACTAAATGACCGTGTGATAAGGCGTCGTCATGGTCTCCCTCGAGGGAGGGAGGGAGGGGGCAATACTCAGGGGAGGTCGCCGGGCTAAAGCAAAGCTAGGGGAGAGGTGTAAACGGTGGAATGCAGGGCTAACGGGCCGCCCTTTACCCTTTGTTCTTCCCTTCCCTCTCGCATCCCTCCATGCGCTCCCCATCTCCTCCCCTGCCCCCCTCCCCTCCCCCCTCCCCCCCCAGGTTCACGACGGCAAGGCGGAGGACGGCACCTACCGCGTGCACATCCACCGGCGGGCGGAGGACATCTGGTACGAGGTGCAGGACCTGGCGGTGCATGACATCCTGCCGCAGGTGGGGGGAGGGGGTGGGGGGCAGGGGGAGGGGAGGGAGGAAGGAAGAGAGGGGAGGGAAGAGGGAGGGCTGCACAGGACTGCTGCTGCGAAGGAGAATCCAGGGTCGTGTAGTCGTTGGCCGTGTACACCCACAAACCCCACATCATGAGCTAACAGTCCCGTCGCAAGCCCTCCCCTACTCCCTCCCTCCCTCGCGGCTCAGTTTACCCCTAATCCCCTCATCCTCTGCACCTGCTCTTTTCCCCACTTCTGCCTCCCAGATGGTTGCCCTCTCGGAGGCCTACTTCCAGGTCTTCGAGCTGCGGCCTGACGCACTGGCGGGACCGCTGCCGCCGCCGCACGCCCTGCCGCAGCACCTGCAACACCTGCAGCAGCAGCAGCAGCCGGACGGCTCCGGGGGGGCAGCTGCCGGCACCGAGACCACGACGGGTGCTGGGGCGGGTTGGAGCGCAGCAGCTGCTACGGAGGCGGAGGAGGGGGCGGGTGTGGGGAGCGGCGGCGGCGGCGGCGGAGAGGAGGGGGCTGATGGGGCGGCTGCGATGGATACGGCGGCCGCGTAGTGGGCGGGGTGACAGCTAAGGTGTAGGCGCGGTGCTGAGGAGGAGGAAAGGTGCAGCGGGGCGAGTGGTTGATTACGGAGCAAAGGGGGAGGAATGCGCTGGGCTTGGAAGAGGTAGATGTGGATTCAAGGTGGTTGGGAGCAATTGTCACGGTAGAGGCGATTGTACGTCACGGCCTCAAGGCTTGGATATATGTAGCGTACGTAGTGTTTGATGCTATCGTGTTCCAGCCAATTCAATACAGCGTCAACAGTGCAAGTACGACAACAGGTGTTTTGCATGGTTCACTTCTCATCCTGCATTACATTGCGAACAAACAAAGGAGGTATATAGTGAAAAAATTCCGTTCATACTGCTTTTTTGCTCAGGTGTGCTGCACTATCATTACCTCAGTCACCGACCTTCTTCTCCAAAACGAAATGTTTTGCCATGCGTACCACCTGCCCCCTCCTCCGCATTCCATACCTTGAATACCAGTGTGTCCCCAAACCCGCGGTGGACCTCCGAAACAAATCCGAAACAAAGCGATGCATGAACCCTGCCTACATGTATTCTTCAGCATTGCTACTTCTTCATCTGATGACACATGCCGTACACGCAATCGTATTCATAATTGTAAAGGAGGCGTGCAACAAACAAAACGACTTTCCCGAGCCGCCACAATCTATGGCTTGAACTGTTGAAACACTCGGACAACAAAAGGCCTTCAGCTGTACAGCCCAACACACCCCAAACCGTACAGATAGTAGGTAAGAAATTATAATACGGCCGTAAAAAAAACAGAAAAAGCTCCCGAGCGTTCCTCCCCGCAACAGGGCCGCCTTCATCTCAGCTCTATACCCCCCTTTATACGCACCGTACCGCACCGTAAGCGCATACGGCTACAGCGGCTGCACAGCAGAACGTCAACCGGCGGAAGCACCAGCATCCTACAAAATTGCACGCAGCGACCAGGGTCGAGGTGCGTGCGTGAAAACCCACTCGCCACGCAGCTGCACGGTCTCGGCATAACGGTTCGGCCGTGTGTATTTCCTTAGGCGTCTGTGCGTGTGTGATTAAAACACACCAGAGCTACCAAACAACAGCAGCGAAAGCCAACACAGCCAGCCGGCTGTCACACAAAACACAAAATCGGCAGCAAAGAGCGCGACTGTAGAAGGATGGGCTACCGGCTACCCTAGCCCACAAATCGGAAAAATCACAGGTGCATGCTTTGCTTGTAAACTCTTCTCCTTCGCTTCCCCGTTTAGCATACTTTGAGCTTTCTACGTAGGGCCAACACGAGCCCAAAGATGTACAGGCACCCGGCTAGGGGCCAACGTTGTACCCCAGGTCATCAGGTTTGCTTAAAACAACCTCACCATGCAAGCATCCTCGAAACTCGAGTACAATCCCACATCCCGGCCACGCCACACTTCCGTCACGCAATGCCAAGCCAGCTGCGAAAGCAGACGTACACATGCCAAGAGCAACGGTGGGGACCTACATCCTCATGCTGCACCACGGCAGCACGTCTCAGCTCATCTCGGCTCCCTACCCGCTTCAGGCAGCCTTGCGGGAGGAGGCAAGGGAGCGGACCGAGGATGACACCTGAGGCACCGACGGCGCCGTCGCCGCCGCGCCATCACCCGTGCCATTCTCAGACGCCGCCGCCGCTGGCTTCGCCGCCGCCGCGACGCCAGCGGCGGCAGGAGGCTTCACACCATCAGCGCTGACACCGTTGCCGCCGGCAGCCGCAGCACTCGCGCCGTTAGTCGCCGGAGCGGCCGTCTCAGCCGGCCTGGCCACAGCCGGCCTAGCCGCAGGCCTGATGGCCGTAGCAGGTACGGCGGTGGGGGCAGCAGGCGCCGCCGCGGGCGTCACAGCCGGCTTAGGCGTCGGCGGCGCTGTCGTCGGCGTCGTTACGGCCGTGTACGGAGTGACCGCCGGCGCCGCCGGCGCCCGCCAGGCTCCCATCGGCGGCGCCGTCACCGGCGCAGCACCCGCCGCCGCCGCACCCGTCTCCGCGCGCCGTACATTTGACGACCTCGCCACAGCTGGGAAGTCGCCGGGAATCTTCTCCTGCACAGGAACCCTGACCTCCGTCTTCTTCGCCGTCGCCGCCGCAATCGCGTCCGACGCGCCCGCGCCCGCGCTCGCACCCGCGCCGTTGACCCCGCTTGCGACGCTGGCTCCGTTGCTGACACCGTGCCACAGCTCCTCCAGCACGCCCTCCCACTTCTGCGCGGGCCGAGCCCAGCTGAGGTCCTGACTGATGCAGTTGTACACCATGTCGGCGTACTTGGGTGTGGCGAAGACCTCGGCGGCGCGGCGGCAGGTAGCCACCAGCGCTTCCGCGTCCGCTTCGTCCAGCCGCTCCGTGTTCAGGGCGCCCACTGGGGTGGTGGGAGGAGGAGAGGTAGGAGCAGGAAGGGATGGTTGAGAAGGAGATGAGCAACTGCAGGAGGCGATAACTGACTGTAACCCCTGCAACCAATACACCCCCTGCCGACTTACTCCCTCCTGGCTAACCCCCTCCCAACCCCTCCCATCCCCCTCCCAACCCCTCCCATCCCCCCTCCCTCCATTACTCACTGTGGAAGCCCGTGACGCCCTCTTTCACAGTGTCCACCAGCCCGCCCGTGGACGCCACCACCGGCACCGTGCCGTAGTGCATGGCATGCAGCTGGATCAGCCCGCACGGCTCAAAGCGACTGGGCACCAGCATGAAGTCCGCCCCCGCAGTCAACATGTGCGCCAGCGGGGCGGAGAACTTCACCACACCCATCGCCTTGCCCGAGTACTTGAGCCCGATGGCATTCACCATCTTCTCGTACGCCGCCTTGCCCGTGCCCAGAATCGCGACCTGCACCTTGGGAACGGCCAGCAGCTTGGGCAGCGCCGCCAGGATGATGTCCACGCCCTTCTGCTCCTCCAGGCGGCCGATGAAGGCGAAGAGCGGAGCGGTCGGGTCCACGGGCAGACCCAGCTCGGCTTGTAGGGCCTCCTTGGCAGCTGCCTTGCCGGCGTACACGGTGTTTTGGTCGTACGGCAGCGCGAGGTACTTGTCGGTCTTGGGGTTCCACTCCTCGATGTCCATGCCGTTGACAATGCCCTCAATGCCGCCGCGGGACCTGTGGGGGCGGTGCGATGGGTTGGGAGAGACCGAGGGAGGGAGGGAAGGTATTCAGAAGGTTTTCGGATGATGTTGCTGACAAGGTTGAAGGAGACTTGTGTTAAGAAAACTGGCCGCGAGTAGGAACGTACTGGGATGTCGGAAGATGAAGTCCTCACAGAACCGCATGTATACGCATGTATACGGAGCTTCGCGAACCGTGCGGAGCTGCAGGACAAGACGAGTCCGTAAACACAGTACACCATAAGGTCCATAACCTGTTACCCATTAACATTCCAATATGCCCCGCACCGCACCGCACCACAGCCCATCCCGTCCCCTCACCTAATCACGTCATCCAGCTCCACGCCCCCCGCGGGGTCGGCGCTGATCTCGGCCGCGTAGTTGGGCGACACGGTGATCAGCTTGTCGGCGCTGAGGATGCCGGCCTTGAGCCAGTTGATCTTGCGGTAGGTGCGGCCGGTGAGCGGCGCCAGATCCTCCTCCTCCATGGGGGTGGCCTCCGTGTAGACCTGTGAGGCGGGGGCGGGAAATGGGTTGTAGATGCTTGCTTAGATGAACCGAACCGCGTACCGTAATAAGGCTGACCGTAGCTGTGTTCGGTAAGGAGTGTAGGGTTACATGGGGCGGGGTGTTTGTGATTGAATTGAAAGGATCAGGCGGGTGGCGGAGCGAAGAATTGATGTGGGGGTCGGATGTGGGTCGGGTAATGGGATTGGGATTGGGAAGGTTAGGGGTTCACAGCATTGGGCTTGTACTGGTTTGGCGTTAGTCACGTGGGTGGGCTTCGTCATGTGGGTCAGTTTCATGGGGTTGGCAGGGAGCTCTGGATGATGACAGCGAGAGACGCACATCCATCTAACACACGACCCACATCACAAACACCACTGCATCCAAACCCACACGCATACCCACATCACGAACGCAAGCACCACAGCACCCAACCACTACCAGCCCTCCCTACCCTGTAGCGTACCCAACTACGGTATTAGCCTTCCCTATCGTAGCGTTGTAGCCTATTGTAACCTTACCTTGGGGTAGCCGTCGCTGAATTGGAACTTGTCAAAGGCGCTGGGCGGCATCTGCATGTCCGCGAACGCATCCTCCCACATGCGGCCCTGGAAGGCGATGTTGTGGATGGCCAGCACGCTCTTGGCGCGGCTGAACTGCCCGCTGGCCTGGTACACCTCCTGCAGCAATCATGAGGGTGGGGTGAGGGGAAGGGGAAGGCGGGTAGGGCTTGGTGGGTTTTTGAAGAGTGGGGTGAGAGGGCGGGGGAAGAACATGGGCGGTTTGGAGCATGGGGAGAGCCGTCAAAAGCGTTCATCAAGGGTTGAAGGTAAGGGAAAGGTCTAGAACGTGTGCAACATGTAGGGGCATAAGATAAGCTTTACTCTCTGCGCGCACCGGTACTTAACGCACATCGAAAGTTGGTGGCAGTTCCAGTCGCGTCCCCCTTGCAACTTCCCCGCAGTACCCACCTTCAGCATCACGGGCACCAGCGAAGAGTGCCAGTCGTTGGCAACAAAGATGCACTCCTCGCCCGGACCGAACGGCAGCGCACGGACGGCCTCGATAGCGGCCTTGCAGAAGAGCGAAAAGCGCCTGTTGTTGTCCAAGAAGTCGGCTCCAGAGCGCGGGCCGTAGAGCTTGGACCCCGTCTTGCCCCAGACTTTGGCCAGGAACCATGGATGGTCCACCCACACGCGATGTACACCTTCCTTGATGGAGTGGAAGAACCGCACCTTCTCGCCCATTACGTCGATGACAACGGAAGTGTCCCAGGCATCCGCGTATTGGTCGTAACTGAAAAATGGGACAAAAGGGTTTGGGTGATCGGTCAGTCCATGAGGAGGATATTCGCAAAAGGTCGCCGAGTTGGGGCGATTGGTCAGATTGTAACCGGATGTAACCGTATTGAAGCAATGCAATTTACAGAAACAACTGCGATGCAATGTTCCAGCTTAGACAAGATACCCCGACAGGCGTTGCCAAAAGAATACATGGCCCGCTGTCATTTTAGCATAAACTACAAGCTTCTGATAGCCTTAACGCTCCCGTGCTAGGAGAAATGGATGTTGCAAGTGCCAACGTCGAACGCTCAACTTGCATAGAAGCCCTTGCACTCAACGCTAAGCGGCCCGCACACAGAAGTATCTGTACGTGAACTACGTACCGGGGTGCAATGGTCATGACGCGGTGTCCACGCTTAACGAGCTCGATGGGCAGGCCCCCAGTCACATCACCCAGACCACCGGTCTTGCTCCATGGTGCAACCTCCGCTGCAACGAATACAATGTCCAGCGGAGTCGCAGTAGTGCTTTGAACTCCAGGAACAGCTGCGCAGGAAACCTTGCGCGTTGCAGGGCGTGTGCGCCTGAGCTCCCGCAGCAGCTGGTTCGCGGCCTTCCTAACGCCAAACGCCGATGCGTTGACGACGATGGGGCGAACGCTTAAGCGACCGGTGGATGCCACGGCCATGCGTTGATCGGCCTGGCGCGACGGTGCCGTTATACGGTTCCCGATGGTCTGCATTTTACTCGCGTGGTAGAACTTTCACGTTTCAAATGCACCAAGGGCCGATAAGTGGCCGCATAACCAAGGTACGATGAACAACTAAGGGTTATATACGGACGCTGCCGGGTGCGAAGAAGTTGGAAAGCACCTCAACCGCACGGACGGTGGAGGCAAATCATAGGGCCCTGAAACCATGATGGTTTCGCGCGCACATACCCCATTGCGAGGCCCCTTTGTGAAATGCACATACGTCTACCCGTAATACATTCTTAATTGCAAAATGGGAAACTGCGGAAAAGTTGGCATACCGTGCGTTTTAGTGTAGACCTTTGCGAACAGTTGCCGTGCGTTTCCTTCCTTGAGGGTTGTCTGGCCGTTACCTGTCAGCAGACCCACTCTAACCCCACCAGTAGCTTAGTTACCAAGCAAATTGCTCAATTAAACTGTAGGCAACACTTTCGGCGCGAACCCAACTGCTGCTGCGGCCCGTAAGTATCCCATCAAACCCTGACCCCCATTCCCCTGGCATCAATGCAGCAAAGAGCGCCCGTAAGGTCCTGTGTTGGAATAAATCGTTGCCCTCCTGTTGAAATTTGGTATCTAAGTAATCCTCCTCCCATGAGGATTATATATTAGTAATGGCGTGCGTTTCAAACGATCCGTCTTTACACCCGAGAGCTTTGCCGAGAGCTTTGCTCCTACAGCACGCGCTCCCTCTCCGTTGCTGTCCCAAGCCGCTCTCGCAGCAGCATGATGCAGCCATCTGCGTGTACACCCAGCTGCCATACACGGCAATCCGCCCTGACCCAAAAGAAGATCCGGATCCCGTTATATCGCAACCGGATCCAGCGAACACAACACAACATGGGCGGCCTTCCACCACCCACATACCTGTACCCGCCCAAACCAGCGGCAAAACCTGTTGCTCACGAGTTCGTTTGCCACTGCTTCGGCAGCATATGCTGGGCACAGATGTATTGAGTATAATCACGACAAAACATATAGACAAAAGAACTCACCGCGCGCGCATAAGCAGGGCTGCATGTGAAGTCGGAGCGCCTGAAACCCTTTCACTCCTCCTCCTCCCACACAACTAAACACATTCTACACCTAACCTACGACATGACACATGAGAGGCCTAATGCGGATCGGAACACGCGAGACATTGCGGTCCCGTTCAGAGGACCTAAACATCCATCCATGTTTTACCGTACCGGTACTACTACTTCTTAAAGCCATTCGCCAAACATGGCATGGCGGTAATAAGATCACGGAAGCAACATACATACACGCTAAACTACACGGGCCTTCCTCCACGCCTTGTAAACCTACACTGAGAGCCTTATCAGCGACAAAGTAGACAATCATCACATCTACAATAGGTGCCTTTCCCCAGCCCACAAGCCGAGGCTTAGTAATGCTGCTCCCAGCCATAATAACATAAATTCCGGCGAAGCCAAGTCGCCGGCGCACGAAAAGCGCACGAACGCTATCGCCGCGTGTATTGCAGTACATCGCCCGCTTCGTATCTAATCGGATCACGCTGGAAACCTACACAACACAACCACCATGACACCACCAAGTCACCGAGACAATTCACCTCATCGCCATCCCCATCCCTCGCATGCAGGCCCCCTTCCCTCCGAAACCCTCTCCTCCACCCCTGCTCCTCACTCCTCCTCCCCCTCCTCCTCACACATGGCCTGCGCCCTGGCCGCCAGCTCATAGTACTTCTGCGCCAGCTTGCCCTTCCCCGCCGCCCCCGCCTCCTCAGCAGCCTCCTCCAGCAGCTCGGCGGCACGGGCGGGGTTGGGGGGCAGGCCGGGGCCGCCCGACAGCAGCACACTGCCGTACTGGGACAAGATCTCGTACCTGCGCACGAGGGATCAGATCAGGTTGTAGTACAATGGTGCGGCGTGTCAAGTACGGTAGTAACAAGCGACATAACGTTCTCCCGCCCCGTCCTCCCCCTTTTCCTCCCTCCTCCGTTGCTTCACTTTACATTTATCTTTCCCTCCCTCCAGCCCTCCATCCCCTCCCGGCCACTCACTTTGCCGCCGAGGCTCCCAGCAGCGCCGACGCCTCCTCCTCCACCGCGCGCCTCAACCGCGCCATGAAGTCCGGCGAGGGGGAGAGCTCCTCCAGCTTGGGCACCCGCAGCCCGCCCTGACCCGGCAGCAGCAGCCGGGAGTGCAGGTCGGACATGCCTGGGGGGGGGGCGGAGGGACGGGGGGGGGGTGGGGTGCGGGAGAGGAGGAGGGTGTGGCATAGGGGATCAGGTGGTTAGCTTCAGGACGCCTACTACCGTACTACTCGGAAGGAAAGGTCGGTTGCGGCATTGGGCATCAGAGCACCGGGGCAACCGCAACACAAGCCCGACCAACCCCACCAAGAGGATAGCGCTATCTCCTCCCCTCGTGCTCCTCAAACGCCCTCACCTGACGCCTGCGGCGGCGCCTCGTCGTCCCCGTCATGGTGCTTCCCGTTGGCCTTGTTGCCGTTACCGTTAGCCGCACCCGCATCCCGCATCACCGACATCTCGAACTGCATCTCCTCCTCCTCCTCCTGCGCGCCGCGATCGCTGCCACTGCCGCTGCCGCTGCCCTCCTCGCCCTCCTTGTCCGCCTCCGGGTCCTCCCCCTCGGCCTGCTCCCCCTCCCCGGCCAGCACGTCAGGCAGGGCCAGCGCCGCCGCGTACCACCGGGCAGCCTGGGGGGGGAGGAGGTGGAGGAGGTGGAGGAGGAGGAGGGGGAGGAGGGGGAGGAGGGGGAGGTGAAGGTGGAAAGGAGGGGCAGGAGGAAAGGAGGGGCAGACCCAGCGAAGGGAGTCGGTCGGGGCGGTTGGGAAGGACACCCAGGCAATCCCTACCATACCATCATCCTCCCCACCTTCCTACCAGCTACCCTCCTACCCAACCCAACCCACCCCACGCTCCCGCCTCGCCTCGCGGCCCCTACCTGCGCCGGGTCCGCTAGCCCGCCCAGCACCTCCTCTCCGAACAGCCCGCCCCCGCTGCCGTACGCCGCAGCCGCCGCCAGCGCCGCCCCCCGCACCCCCCGCTCCGCCGCCAGCAGCACGCAGCGCCAGGCCACAGAGGTGTGCGCGCGGAACTGGCGCTGGCGGGAACCAACCTGCGGGGGGGGAGAGCAGGGTGGGTATACGCTACATAGGAGAGAGGGAAGGTGAGGATGGGGCAACGGGTGGCCTGTATGGGCCAATGACACATCGACCCATGGGTCAACAAAACGGCCCTCCATCTCCCCCCCCTTACCTTGACCAGCTGCGCCCACTGCGGCGCCGATGGCTCCAGTCCGCAGTGCGCCCGCGCCAGCACCAGCAGCGCCAGCAGGCTGCCACCCAGGGCCGCGGTGGTGAGGTGGAATAGCCCGCCGCGGAGCGCGTCCTGGATGGGGGGGCGGGTGGGGGGATGGGGGTGGGGGGAAGGGGGTAGGGGGGATGGGGTGGGGTCAGAGATGTACTAGAACCACAGGTTAGGGCAAAGCCATGGGGCAAACATAAGGAATGGGGGCGGGGGCGGGGATGGTGGTTATGGGGTTGGTCGCAAAGGGTGAGGGAGGGGCAGGTGTTCAGTGTTGATGTAAGCACGAACGTGCGAGCTGCACACAGCCCCACCTCCTCCCCCTCCGCCTCCTCCCCCTACACACCGACCTCATCCACACCCGACACACGACACACGACACTGGTTTGCCGCTTTGGTGCCGCAACCCCTGGCGTATGACACCTTCCTCTCCTCCCTCCCCCCAGTGGGAATATCCGCCTCTTTCTCCCCCCATGTGGTTTCCCACGGTATGGCACGGTCTTTGACCCCCCCTCCCTCCCCCCACCTCCGGGTCCTCATTAGGCTTCAGCTCGGGCAGCAGCACCACCTCGCCGTACAGCTTGGAGATCTCCAGGTGGACCAGCGCCTCGGGACACTCCTCTGCGGGGGGGAGGGGAGATGGAAGGAAGGACATGGGGGATAAAGAGGAAACAAGTAGCTGACTGTGTGATACGGCATGAGGGATAGAAGCAGCTTAATAGCCCCATATACGTCATCATTATCACACGCAACACGTTCCGGCAATCACAGTACCGGTACGTTCCGACTCTCGAGTTTTCTCAACACGAAAACCCACATACGCAATGTTCGCATACGCTGCCATCAGGCGTCCCCCGGAACCCACCAACCCACATCCGCAGCGCCCTCCCCACCCCCTCCCCTTCTCCCCACTCCCTTCACACCCCACCCCTTCCCTCTCCCTTCCCCTCCCTCCCCACTCACTTCACCCCCCCACCCCACCCTCCCTCCTCCCTCCCCACTCACTGGGCACATCCTGCAGTGCCGCCAGCAGCACCCCCGCCTCCACCGAGCTGGCGGGGCCGCCGGGGGTGGCAGCTCGCCGCCGCCGATCTGCCGCCTGGCGGGGTGTGTGTGGGAGGAGGGGGTCACATGGGGGGCGGGAAGGAAAGGGAAGGGGAGTGGGTGATCTGAGGTCGGGGAGGCCGTAGCGGGGCGGGCGAGAGGCTTCCCGCAATGAGCACGTGTCTCCAACCCCGTGTGCTACTCCTCGTGTGCTACTCCCACCACCCCCGGCCCCCACCCCAGCCCCCCTACCTTTGCCGCCAGGGTTCGTGCCAGCGTCTTGGAGGCGGTGGCGCCCGCCCGCCCCGCCCCCGCCCGGGTGGCCGATCCCGAGGCGGAGGCGGAGGAGGAGCTGTAGCCCTGCGCACGCACGTCAGCGTCGCACCTGGGGGGCGGGAGAAGGGTGGGGAGGGGGGAGAGGGGAGTTGGGGCGCGCGTGCTGAGGACACGCGGGAGGCGCAGACGGGCGGGCTAACGGTGTACCAAAACACTGCATTTGTGTGTTGTCCCGCCCTCGGCCCTCCGCCCTCCCCAGCCCCTCTGTTCCCCCCAGTCCCCCCCAGTCCCCCCCAGTCTCCCCCCCGCCCCCACCTGTCCAGCGGCTTGAGTCCCAGCCTGCCGCACAGCGCGTTGCACTGGTGCGACCTGAAGAACAGCGCCATGCCGCGCAGCCCCAGGTTGCCCTCGCCGTAGCCCTCGCCGTCCAGCGTGTGAAGCTGCGGGTCGGTGTACAGGTCGCCGACACCCTGCAGGAGGGGGAGGTAGGGAGGGAGGGAGGGAGGGGGGCGGAAGGGAGGGAGGGAGGTGGGAAGGCGGGCGCTTCACCCTGGCGTGTTGCATCATGGGAGGCAGGGGAGGGAGGGGAAAGACAGGGTCACCCACCAACTGCTCCTGGCACACCCCACCTCAACCCACACACCGTCCCACCCCCACCCCCCACCCCCTCACCTGTATGTCCACGCATATCTTGAGCCCCCTGGTGAGCACCCAGGTGAAGTGGCTGAAGGCCTGGGGCGTGCTGCGGAGCAGGTCGTCACTCTGGGGGGGGCAGGGGAGGGGAGGGGGGAGTGGTGGGAGAGGGGGAGAGGAGGGTGGAAACGCAAACGCAGAGGGAAGGGGAGGATGAAGGGCGAGGGAAGCGAAAGAGGGAGGCGGGAAAGACGCTCTGCCTCTCCCTCGACACCACTCCCGTCTCCCCGTACCCCTCTTTTTGACCTCCCCCACCCCCGTGCTCTTGGTACACCAGTATATCTCTTTACCCCCCTTCCCCCCTGCCTTCTTCCCCCGCCTCACGTTGACGAACCCGGTGTTGCTGTTGTACTTGACGTAGTCGCCCTCGATCAGCTGCTCCACGCAGTACACCGGGGCGCCCGGGCGGCCGGGGAACTGCAGGATGGCGCACTGCATCACGTCGACCTAGGGAGGGGGGAGCGGGGAGGGAGGGGGGAGGGAGAGGGGAAGGGGAAGGAGGGAGGGGCGGGGTGTCGGGGGAGGGCGGAGGGGTGTTGTGTGTCGACTGAGGGGCGGGTTTGGCGTTTATCCCTAAGTTAACTTCTGTGCTTGTTGTAAGGCCCCCTCCAAGCCCCTGCATGCAAGCTAAGTGGCATCCTTCCCTCCTTCGTCCCCACCTCCCACCCCCAGTACCTCCCACCCGCCCCCATCTACCTCATGTCATCCTCATTCAACACACTGTGTTTTCCTCTCCCTCCCTCCCTCCCTCCCTCCCCCTCCCCCCCCTACCTGCTTGGGCGGGTCCGTCTTGTTGTACATCTCGCCCAGCATCTTGGCGTCCATCTGCACCAGCACGTCGTTGTAGTACACCGACCGCTTGACGCCCTCCTTCTTGTAGCGCTTGGCAACCTGGCCGCGCAATACACAGGAGGGGGGGAGAGGGCGGGGAACAGGGGAAGGTAGGGTTAAGATGAGAGGGGGTTGGGGTGGGAAATGGAGGTAACGGACGAGCTGCATGACGAGGCTTCACAAAGGGTTACAGAGGGAGGGCGGGGCCGTGCCGAGCAACCGGGGTGCTCGCAATGTTGACAGCAACACCGGCTCTTAGGCGTGGGGATGGCAAGCAAGGGCTGCCGTACCCTACCAGGACAGGACAGGACGGTGAGAGGCTTGGGCGCGGCAAGAGAGCCCCCCGGCATGTCCCCTCCCTTCCCCCCGCCATGTGGGTCAGTGTTTCCCGCGGCTCAGTTTACCTACCCCCCCCCCCCCCCGACCCCCCCACCATGTTTTGCGCCTTGTGCCAGTCCACGTTGTGCGTGAAGGTGCTCAGCTTCTTGGCCGCGTAGCACTCCCGCATGGCACCCGCGGCGAAGGGCTTGGACTCCATCTTCACAAGCACTGGGGGGAGGGATGGGGGTAAGAAAAAAAATATATATATAATATATTGTGAGACACTGACGAAACAACTCGGGAGGGATGGGGGGGGCGGGTGAGAGGGGCGTGGGAGGAGGACACCTCCGGTGAGGAGGACTGTAGGAGGCAGGAGGGAGAACTGACACCCTCGAAAGCAACTCCATTCCATACAAGGTTAGCAATAGGAAACCAGGAAGCTTGCTTCAATTTCTCCCTGGGGTTCACAGCAAGCACTAGCCTTCCCGCCCAAGGACACCAGACCCCCTCCCCCTAACCCCTCACCCACCCTCGTCCGTGACCCACTGCCCCGTCATGGCGTTGTAGCGCTGCCGCACCGCCCGCTCCATGTGCAGCGCATGCAGGTTGCGACTGGCCCACGGGTCGGTCACCGCCCGGGTGAGCGCCACGGCACGCATCCAGAGGGAGGAGGTGCTACGCGGGGTGCCGCCACCGCCGCTGCGAACAGGACACACATGGGGCCGGTAATGATGGGGGATCGTGGGAGGGGGGGCAACAATGGGGAAGCCGTCGCCCCCTGAGCGCTCATGCCCCTTCATATCCCCCATGTCCCTCTCACCGAGTGACGGCGCTGACCGCGCTGCGAGGCGACTCGGGCAGCCCCTCCCCCGCAGCCGCTGCTGCTGCACCGCCACCGCCACCGCCGCCTGAAGCACCCACTGCCGTACTACCCGCACCACCAACAACGGCAGCAGCAGCAGCAGCGCCGTCGCCGCCGCCAACGCGAGCAGCAACACCGGGTCCTACGTCCGGCGACGACTCGCTATCAGCACTGCCCACCCCAGCCTTGGCGATGGCGGCAGCCTTGGCGGAGGCGCCGGGCACGTCTACCGCCTCCGAGGCCTTCCGGCCGAGCCCTGCCAGCACCAGCTGTCCTAGCTGGGAAAGCTTTGATTTTGAATTCAAACCAGCAGCCTGCGTCTGAGCGGGTTGCTGTTCCTGCGGCTGCGGGGGCTGTTCATTGGAGGGTTGGGGCTCCTGCTGCTGCGGTTGGGTTGCTGGAGGACTCGCGCAGCGGACGGGGCTGCGGTCCTCAACGTCCTCGTCTGCCGTACTGGCGGCATCCGCGGCGGAGGGGCTTATGAGGGACATGACGCCGCTGGGCATCTGGGAGAGGGTGGCGCTGGGCATGGTACGGATGCTCTCCAGGGTTTGTGCCGGGGCGAGGGGGGAGTCGAGGGGTATGGCGCGGGTGGGGGAGGGGACTTCCAGTGGGGGCGGTGGTGGTGCGGCGGTGGCGGTTGTGGTGGTGCTGGCAGTGGCGGTGGCAGCAGCGCTGAAGGGTGAGGTGCCGGCGGAGGCGGCGGTGGCGGGAAGCGGAGGTGCGCTGACGCCGGGGGCGGCCGTGGCAGATGCGACGGGGGTGCTGACAGCCGGGATGTCGCTGGATTGAGTTGGAGGAGCTGCTACCGGTGCCGGGGGAGGTGGTAGAGGAACTGCTGGCGCCGGGCAGGACAGCATGAGGCGGCCAAGCACCTGAACGTTAGAAGGGGATGGAAATTCGGTTAACGTCAAGGAACGCCAGTTGCAGGGTAACGAAAACTCATTGGAGATAGTTACACCGTGTATAGATGTACAAGAAAAGAGAGCGTGGTGTGTGGCGTTGTCAAGGTGAGAGGTGTCACTAGGTCACATGGGCGTTACAATGCAGGTCATTTGGTACAAAGGGGAAGACGGCTAAAGCTCAGGACACATCCATCGGTATGCACACCTGCATGGCGACCGACAAGCCATGCTGCTGCGCAATTTTTGCATAGACGCCGCTAAGTTGCGCTTCTAGTTCCGCAAGGCTCGCTGCCGAGTCAGCAGCGACGCCCGGCATCATGGCAATTGGGACTAAAGCTTAACAAGCTTCTGTTTGCGTACAAGATAACGAGGGCTGAAAGTATGCGTGTACGTTGCGATACTAGCTGGCAAATTATGGTCTCAGACCCGTTGCAGGCAAAGCATATACAGCAACGCAAGTGTTTGCGTTTAAGAAGTCAAGGCCCACATAAACACAGCGTGATAGCTCTAAAGCGGTGCCCGTCAGAATGCAAGAGAACAAACTCGGTACGGAAATGGAGTTCTGGAGCCAGGTAGCTATGCCTACGCCTACTCCGTTCCACCAGCCGATGGGCGACCTTGATGTAACGATTCGTAGGCAATTTCCGGCACTTTTACGCCTCTGGCTTTGCTTAGGATTACACACAGTGCTGTGACACTTTATGGTAAATACTTTTCTATCTTTGGGCTAGTGACGCTAATACTTACGTTTAACTATCGACTGATTAACTAAAGCCTTTTGTTCCTGCGCGGAAGTGGTCTCGGGAACGTGTGTCTTAGCGGCGCTTGCGGGCAGCCATGGTGCGTCACCGACTTCCTGCCATTGCGAATAGGCTTAGAGTAAGCAGAGGCTTCGATTCAGCATGGTTTACGGGGCCTCAGCATTACGCAAAAATGCTGCAACGCGATTGGCTCATCACCAAGAATGCCTGGAGCTTTGTACAGCGCAGCTCACGTTCCGCCCCACGCACCTACAAGGAGGATCCAGCGGCCGTGGCAGAGCAGGCGGCGGATCCCACTCGACCTCGCTATCCAAAGAAGCCGCAGCCCCAACAGCAAGATGCTCGCGACTTTCCCAACTTTCGGCCAGCGCGCGTCTTCGCCCAACACATGCCGTACAAGTCAGTTGTCTCGGTCTTCGCCTACACGCCGCCCAAAGACGGCGGTCCGCAGGCAAAGTACGGCCTTTTCCAGGCGGAGCGCAAGCCGAAGAGCAGCACAGGCGCGGCAGCTCCCGAGGGCGCTGCTGCAGGGGCCTCACAGTAAGGGCTGTCATGGACTGAGGTTGTGTTGAACCTTTAGGAAGAGCATGTGTTGGGGCTAATGCAGCTGGACTAGTGGAACGGGATCCGGGTAGTTGACCGCCTGGGTGTGGTGCTGGTGCTGGTGCTGCTGCCATCACTGGAAGGCTGTTGCTGGGGGAAGGGCAGGGTTGCATAGCTGCGGGAGCTCTTGACCCGCTTGTGCCTAGGCTATAAAGCTAGTTTGTGCAGTCGGTTGGCTGGATTAGGGTTGCTTAGCAGAGAGAGTGGGTTATACGACCTGAAGAAGGGGCGTGGGACACCACAGCCGACACAGGGTGCCTGCGTGCCATGAAGGAGATCAGCTAGGACGTTGGCGGGCCGACAGCCTAGATGGAAAGCTTCGGTCCCGCTATACGGCGACATAGGGACAACATAGGCGTGTCTGACCTTTACGAGGAGGTAGAGACCGAGGGCTGACGGGCCCTGCAGCAGCATGGCAAAGGAGTCTGACAGCTGAGCAGCGGGTTCGGTCGCTTACCGTTGGGGGAGTGCATGCGGTAGGGCATGGGGTGTAAGCTTGCGTGGTTCCGAGTGTTAGGATGCCTGGTTGAATGGGGGATGAAGTCGTTATGTGGCGCTAGCCGTGCGTCGTGGCCTTGACGGCTCCATAAGTGCAGGAATTGTGGGGCTGTGGTGGCTACAAATATCAATGGGCAGACCAGGGCAGACATTCTCATTGTAGTTCACGGTGTGCACATGTGTATGGACTTCCGGACTTGGGGCCTGGGCCTTTAAGAGGCTTACCCTGGCCTTCCTGTGGGACGCTGTTCATGCAGAGCGCAGCATGCACAGGGTGGCTGCGTGTTTCCTGGATAGTTGGGGTCTACTGTCCGTCATCCGTTGCCGGCTGGATGGAGACCATGGCTATTGGGCACCGAGCAGCGCTAAAGGGTGACTAGTGATGGTTTGGATTGGGCTTAGAGAGGCCGGGCAGAAGCATTGTGAAGTGGCCTGGTTTGTTCTCTGCTTTTTGCTTGTGGCGCTGGAGGGCCTCCTGCGGCAGGCAGACTTGTGTGTAACAAGGGCGGAACTGCCCACTGCGTTGTGATTATGGCCTGCTGCTGGTCCCGGCTACTTGAGTGATGCTGCTGAAGCCGCGGTGACAGTACAAAATAGTTGGGCCCAGAAGCCCCTTAGCACGGATGGCCCAGCCCGGCAGCAAGGTGCAACCCCGGCATGTCGCCACCAGCTACCGCCAGCCTCCGGGGACAGCAGCGGCGGGGTGGGCAAAACACTGACAGTTCCAAGAGAGCAGCAACGGTGAACAGGTGTGCGGTGATAATGTAACTACCATACGAACCACAACGGTACGTCCATAAATCATTAGAAGGTCACCGTTGGTCACGCGGCGCTCATGGGACGAGGGAGAGGCGTTTTAAGGACCCGTCTTGGGAGTCCCGAGCTTAACGAAACGTGTCGCGTCCGATGTCATAGCATCGAGACGAAAGCCAGCTATGCACTTGTTGGGAGCTTGGGACGTTGGTTTCAAGCCGTACGGCAACGCTTTGTGTTCTGATAGGACTCCGTACGGGACTCCTCAGACATTTTGTCAGGGTCCCTGGAGTCAACTCACAACTTCGCCGCACGACACAGCCACCAGCCAGGCAAACTACAGAACAATAATTATTGATAATAACTTCCTAATAGATGCCTTGTGAGCGCCGGAAGGTGCTTCCGCGGCCACCTACAACTAACCATCGCAACCAGTAATGACTGGCTCAGCAGTGACTTGCCAACATACTAAAGCAACAAGTCTCATATGCCTAGCTCCTTATTCCACAACAGCTAGCGCGTAACAAAGACACGACGTTTAGGTTTGCTTAAGCACATTGTGCATGCGGTAAGTATGTCGACCACACCTATTTGCAGGCAGAGAACAATGGATAATATGATATATCGTTATAACATATTCCGTGGTGTATTTGCAATAGCGATAACTGATGATTTTAGGAGGGTTGTCCGAAGACTCCAGGGACCCCGATAAAATGTCTGAGGACTCCAAACTGGCGTCCGTTCTGATAGCGCCTATGGCCCTTGACCCAATTGCTCAACAGCGTCCTTATGCTCTGTAGAATTGCAGGCTAGGTCACAATTTGCTGCAGTAACCAGCTTCCTAATAAAAGCCCCTTAGAACCGGAAGAAAAAACGTCTAAACTTAAGATACGCATTAAACATCTTATTATAAATTGCTGAGTTTGGTTTAGGACATCGCTGCTTGCTTACTATGGTTGCAAGGACACTTCCATTCCTAACCAACAAGCGCATAGGTTAGGCCGTTTGCTTTTGTAGCGTTTGGTCAGCCCCTCCTCGTGCGTTTTGTCGCCGGGAGAGACAAGGAAGGCAGGAGGGCTGCGAGCTGGCACATTTAGTTCTTACAGCGCGTACGTAAAGGATGGTGAAAGCGGGCAAGAAGGTCAAGGGAGCATCCAAGGTAAGCTGTGTGATACAATGTGGGCTGCTGGTTCCCACGGACCCCAAGGCACATGGGATGTTGTCCGATGTCCGCGCCACGCCGTTGCTGGCGTGGTGCGGAACGTAGGGGTTTTCGTTACGTTGTACTGGGGGGAACATGACACTCCACAAGTCAACACCTTCGAAAAAATCGCCACAACACGATCATTTAACGGCCACCTCTTAAGCTTCTCACTTCCCACCTTTGCCCTCTTCGTCTCTCTCCCTCGCCTTTTCTCCCCTGGCCTCTCCGCTACAGGTCCGTGACAATGAGACGGAGGAGGAGCGGAAAATCCGGCTGGAGATGGAGGCGCTAGCGGCTGATGAGGCGGAGCGAAGGGCCCAGGTGTGGGATGCTGGGTAGCCTGGAGGGACGGCGTGGCGATACAGTTATGCCGCGATTTCCACGGGCAGACATGCATATTGGGGAAACAAGGCTATGGAGGCTTATAGAGACAGTGGTCTGTGGACAGTGGACAGTGGTACAAAGGCGGTAGCAGCCCTGGGCGAGGAGCACTGCTGCAGCAGGGGTGGGATTGGGAAAAGGGCGTCTGCACTCATGCCATGGCAAGCGACCGGAGCAGGGCAAGGCCGTGTAAGCCAGGGCGCATGCCGCCATGTGGCCAGGACCATGTGTCAGGGCCATACCTCCTCGTGGCGCAACCCAAATGCCGGACCTTGAAGCTGCACCTCAGCTACCGTGGCCTTCCCCGGCATCACGCAATGCCCCACGCTTCCCGAACCCCGTGCCTCCCCATGTGCTCCATGTCCTCTTTTTACCCCTCCCCCTCCCACCCAGCGTAATGCGGAATCTTCATCCCTCTTACTCCCTCCCACCCACCCTCTTGCACCTACCCTCCCCGCAGGAGCAAGCCCGCGTGGCCCTGCGAGAGCGGCAGCTCCGGGAGCAGCGTTACGCGCACCTGAACGGAATCAAGATCCACAACCAGTGAGTGATGGGATGCCTGGATGGATGGCTGGCTGGGCGGCAGCTACGAGCGCACCAGCCGCGAGTCTGCATAGGCGTGCTGTGGCTCCCTGCTGCAGCTGGCTTAGTACCGTACCTGGATCCATCTTGTTGCGGGTGTCATGAGGGTGTCATGAGGGTGTCATGAGGGTGTCATGAGGCGCAATGCGGTTGGGTCTGTTATTACGGCTGCCAGCTACTGATCCAAGCCTGCCATGAACCAGTGCCGCCAGTGCTGCTGCTGCTGCTGTTGTCGGGTTGCGGTTGTCCCTGGATGTGTTGCAGATATGTGCCGCTGTGCCTCTGTGCTCACCGGCGCTGCCCCACATGCGGGTTGAGCCCCCCTCCCCTGGGCTTGCCACCTAGCGTGCCACTATCAATCGACACATTGGGTGATCTACTACCCCCCCACCCCACCCCTTTCTTCTCTTCCCCCCCACCCATCTTGCAGATGGCGCAAGATCATGCGCATGGCCAAGGTGGAGGAGCTGCGGCGGGAGATCGAGATCCTCAGCCAGAACCACGAGCGGGAGGTGGACCGCAAGGACGCAATCATGCAGGTCAGGCGGGAGTGGGAGGGGGGAGGAAAGGAGGGGAAGGGAAGGGGATGAGGCACAGAACGCCGGAGGAAGAGGGGAGGAAAGAAGGGCAGGAGGGAGGGGTGGTAGCGGCTATGACTGGGGTTAATAAGGGGGCTGTATGCGGGCCGCTTCAGCGCCTGGGACTGCCGGATCAAGAGAGGTCATGAGAACATGACAGGGAGCAGGCATGAGCTGAAATCGCACGCAGTTGCAGCGCGAACACACGCCGGTCATGCACTCACCCGTCCCATGCACCACCCACCGAACGCCCTGTCATCCCTCCCTCCCTCCCTCGCCCCTCCCACTTCCCTTCTCAACTCCACCCCCCCCCCAAACCAGATGTTGGATCGCGACCTGGAGGAGGCCGAGGAGCAGTACAGCCTGGCGGTGCGGTCGCACATGCTGGTGGTGGACAACCTGCTGGACCTGCAGGTGGGGGCGGATGGGGGCGGCGAGGGGGGTTGAGGGGGTGGGGATGAGGAGTAGGCTAACCAGCTAGCCGCGCGTGATATGGGTGCGTTAAGGTGGGAAAGAAGCAGTCCCAATGTGTTGGATGGGTTGGGGTGGGGTGACTAGGGACGCCAAGGAGGCAGCCACGGGTGAGTGTAGGGGGGCCCCGGGTTAACAATAAGGTGTTGGGGATGTCACGGCCTGCGCCGGCTTGAAAACCATCCCCTGCTCTCCCCTGGCGCGTATCCCCTCCCACCCTTCCACGCTCCCTCCCCCCTCAGTACCAACGCATGCGCGCCCTGGAAGCCGAGTTCGCCGCCGACCTGCGCTCGCTGGAGGATGAGTTCGAGACGGAGCGCACGGAGATCGTGAACGCGCACACGCGGCAGCGCAAGGACATGGGCGACATGATCGCCGCCATGGAGGGAGAGTTCGCGGACGCGGAGGCGGAGCTGAGACAGGTGGGGGCTGCTGACCTGCTGGGTACGGTACTGCGTGTGTACGGTATTACATAGCAGAGGCCCAAGCAGGGGCGTTGACTAGGCCCAGCAGACACAACCAATCCAACATTGACCTGCAAAGGCTACGGGTGGGCATATTATGCTAGGTGTCATGGAAGGCCTCCCACTGCTCACCACCACTGCCGCTGCAACTCGACCCCTGCTGCTGCCGCTGCTGCTGCCCCGTCTCTGCCCCTGCGCCTCCCCTGCCGCTGCTGCTACTGCTGCTGCCGCTCACCCCCTGCGCCTCCCCTGCTGCGGTGCCGCTGCCGCCCGCAGGAGTACGAGGCTCAGCGCGAGGAGATCAAGAACCGCAACAGCGAGGAGTACAACGTGTTGAAGATCCAGCTGGAGGGCATCATCGAGGAGCTGGAGAAGAGCTTCGAGCTGGTAGGGGCGGGAGGGGAGGGGAGGGGGGAGAATTATATAACAAATGCAAACAACTAAAGGAGGGGGGAAGGAGAATACCCTATGCTAACCCAACTAGCCAGCCTAATGCGGGATATGTATCCCTATTTACCCCCTCATGCCCTAACCTGCGCCTTCTTTTACCCTCCCCCCCCACCACACAGGCCCACCGCGCCTACCTGGAGAGCACCGAGCACCGCACCAACACCTTCCGCACCCTCACCAAGGACGACGCCAAGGCCGCGCTCAAGATCGAGCGCCAGATGCGCAAGCTGGTGCGGCTGCAGGAGGCGCTGCAGCACTGGCGCACCAAGATAGCCACCAACGCGCGAGAGTGGGAGGAGCGCAATCGGGCGCTGCGGAACGAGAAGGAGATCATGGCGCGACACTACGCCAAGCTCAAGGTGCGTTGTGTTATAATAACGTATGCATTTTACAAGGAGGCTGTAAGGAGGGGCTGTAAGGAACTCCCCCCGCTGTCAGCACCGGCGGGGGCTCTGATTGACTGACTGACTGCAGCAGCGTGTTCAGCATGTTCTCTTCCTTTCTTACCTGCTACCCGTTTCCCCTGCCTGCTCTCTCCCCTCCCCCTGCCTGCTACCTTGCCTCCCCTTCCCTCCCAGTCGAGCATGGACGCCTTCCGCTCCGGCCAGTCCGAGCGTCTGAAGCAGCTCTCCCTCGCCTCCTCGGCCGCCATGGACACCCTCAAAGCCAAGCTGGCAGTCGCTGAAAACGTCCTGAAGCTAGCGGAACTAGCCCGCAAGTACGAAACGGAGCAGGAGAAGGTGCTGCCGTTCTGGTCTCCGGCGGAGGCGGTGGCGGAGCCGGCGGAGGCGGCCGATGCGGCAGCGGGGTCGGGTGGGGTTTTGAGGGCGGGCGGTGGTGATGGCAGCAGCTCGGGGGAGGGAGCGGGTGCAGCAGGAGGAGAGGGAGAGGAGGGAGGAGAGGGAGAGGAGGGGAAGGGCGATGGGGGAGAAGCGGAAGGGGAGGGGTTGGAGGAGGGTGGGTTGGTGGTGTCTGCTGCGCAGTTGGGGGAGCTGGGGCTGCGGCCGCCGCCGTCTCGGGAGGATGGGAAGTCTGGGGTGGCGGGGCCGAGTGGGCGGGAGGCGGCAGGTGGGAGTGCGGGCAGTGGGGGCGCGAAGCCCAGGTACAGCAGCTTTGGGCTGGACCCCGTGAGTGGCAAGGAGGTGGAGGAGTGGGACTACCTCAACCGCTTCTTCAAGCGGTATAACAAGGTATGTGGGGGGGGGGAGAGAGGCACTTGGTGCTTGTAGGCATGTGCGCCACATCGTGTGACAAGTGCTGCTGCTGCTGCTGCTACTACAGAGTAGTCAGCACGGCTTTGGCTTTTACATGTGCTCTCCTTACGTGTGGCCGAGCTTGCGACATGTCTTTACAACGTCCCCTTACCACCCGCGCCTGCTCCCTCCTCCCGCCTCTCCCTCCTCTCCCGCAGGCCCTGCTGGACAAGGCCGCCATCGACAAGGAGAAGGCCCGGTTGGAGCGCGAGAACGCCGACCTGCGCTCCATCCTGAAGCAGTACCTGGATGGCATTAGCGTGAACGACGACGTGCTCAACAACCCGGTCAACCCGCTGCTGGTGGTCAACAACAGGCTGCAGGTGGGAAAGGGGGGGCGGGGGGTCAAAGACCATACCATACAATTGGAAGCCGCAGGTTAGGGCAAAGCAAAGGGGATAGGAGGCGGCAGGGTGCCACAGAACAAGTGGAAGGGAGGGCCGGAGGGGACATTGGGGTTGGAATGGGGCGTAGTGATGTGGTGGTGTTCATGGTGTACGGGCAATGTGGTCTGCGTCTACGTAGGGCAGGCTCGGGGGTGTGCGTGCAGCGTTGCCTTGGCGGCTGGGGCGTTGCCCTCATCGCCGCACGTGTACCCTTACGCCGGGCTAACAAACATGTCCCCTTCCCTCCTTCCTCCCCTCCCTCCCCCCACCAGATCACGCTTACGGAGCGCAACAAGGCACGTGCCGCCGCCATGGCCCAGCGAGCAGCGGGCGCGGCGGCGGGCGCCACCACCACCACCAACCTGCTGGCGGGGCTGACGGCGGGGCTGGCGGCGGGGGCGACTGCGGGGGCGGGGGCGGGCGGCAAGCAGCTGGTGGAGGTGCAGGCGGTGTCGCGCATGGGGTGATGGGATGGGGTGGGATGGAATGGGATACATGGAGGAGGATGGGGGTGATTGGGATGTGGGTGTTGCGGGGATGCGAGCCACGATGGGGGTGGGTGTGTGGGGCTGCGGGCGGATGAGGGGTGGGTGTTCTGGATTGGGGAAGACCCTGGGCAGTAGGGCGGAGGGAACGAGATGCGGTATGACGAGATGACAGGCCTGAGAGTACAGGCATGGGCCTGCTGCTTATCCTTGGAGCCGCCGTGCTGTGGTGGCTAATGAAAGGAGGCAGTTGACGGGAGCAAGCTACCCGTGGTCTTGTTTGTTGGGAATGTTGACTTGTTACGTGACGAGGTGAAGCTTCCCAGCTTTTGTTTGTCAGTGTGCAGATGTCTGCGGATACGGGCGGATGATGGCTGATGATTGCGGCAAAATATGCAGTAACTGCAATTCCTTTTTGTACCGGTAGCCACGATGACTCATGAGCCACAGTGAACCCATGTTGGGTTGCTGGGCTCTGTGCTTGAAGGGGCTTGAAGCGGGTGACAAAGCCAGGAGGCTAGGGAGCAGGCTAGCGAGGCTAGGCAAGCCGTCCTTGTGGTACAGTTCTAGTACGGTGGCGCACTGCCTAGCACTGTTTGGTGCGCCTTCCGAGGCCTCGTCGTCGTTGACGCCCTCTCTGGGTGCTTCCTTCACTGTTTGGTTAGTACCGGTGGGTGGGTGGGCACGGGATGCATGGGCTGTGTGGTCACTGTGGCGAACTTGAGCTTGAGAGGTGAAGAGCAGGTGAGCTGTATGCAGATGGAGTGCTGCTGGCTGGATGTGGGCTGAGGATGGTGGTGACACGCCTTGAGGATGGGGTGGAGTTACATGTATAGGTGGAGAGAGGATCTGTACAGGCGGAGAGAGGATACGGACAGACACACCGCAGAGTGCAGCATGGCGCCCCAACACAACTACGTAGGAGCTCAGGTAATGTGCTGCAAGGCAGCCGCATCACTGGTTGGCATGCCTCCTACCCGCTTCTTACGACTGCCCGCAGTGACGAACGTCCGCAGCTTGTGACGCATGCTACCGACACCGCCAATGCGGAGAATCCTCCCTGCATGCGTCCTGCCAACCTCTCGTATGCTTGTGATACCACCTAGCAAACGCAACGATAGCTCGCAAAGTCCAGAGTTCTTTTCACAATCCTGACATCCGTCAACGCGTCCATTACAACATCTGCATGTACGGTAATTAGTACAGCAAAGAGAAAGCCAAACCAGTTACGAAAACGAGAAACAACCTTAGCTGACAACAACCTACCTAGAGTAGCAGGGTAGATCAGGCACGCACTGAGCTGGGAGGTACCCGCCGATGCCCTTGCTTCTTTACTGATCCCCGCACCCACAATATGACAACTGCAAGCCCACTCTACGCTGCTGTTAACAGGGTCAACAGGGTCGCGCGCACTCCCAGCCAGCCACCGCACCAACACAATGCAGCAAAGCACAAGACCGCTGTCCCAGCAAACCACAGACCGCATCCCGCAACCTACGAGTAGCCGCCGCTCATCCACCCTCCATGCCAATCCTGCTGCCGCCCGGGCTGCTGCTCATGCTGCTGCCCGAACAGCGCCTGGTGCTTCTGCTTCCACAGCTCCCACTGCTCTGTCACCCAGGCCACTACCTGCGGGGTAAAGCTCGGCCCCTTGTTCCGCTCCTGCGCGATGCGTATGGTTTCCATAACCTCGTACCACTTCACCGGGCAGCCCGCGTCCAACAGCCACTGCAGCACAGGCAGCGGGCAGCCCTCGTACACGCAGTCAAACAGGGCATCGCCCCAGGGGCAGTCCAGCCGCCGCAGGCAGCGCAGCATGGCCAGGTCCCCCTGGCCGCCAGCTGCTCTGTAGAGTGAGCCATCGGCCTGCAAGCGGGGTCGAGAGAGGCCAGGGCTAGTTGCATGCAAGTTGCTGGGGCAATCTTGTGTGGTGAAGCAGTGGTGATGACCCACTGCCAGCGCTGTGAGCGACAGCAACACGGCAACAGTGGTGCGACCTGTGTGTTGCTTCGCACTCTGCACGTATCGCACATCATGCTGTGCAGTTTTGTGCTCCTTGGTAACTACATATAGCAACAACTCACGCCACCAGAAGTAGTTCCGCACACGATACCGCCAACCCACGTACCGGCATGGGAGGATATCCCCGCTCCGCCACCACCTCCAGCAGCTCCTCACACCCTGTCAAAACCACGTCGCGCAAGCAAATAAATCCCAAGGAAAAGCGGCGGCGCCTCCTCAGCCACCTCAGCACCTCCGAACTGCCCTGCTCGGGCCCCCAAGCACAGCTGAGGGCACTATTCAACTCTGCTCCCAGCGTTTCCACCAGCCAGATCATCACAGGCAGGTGGCCGGCCCTGGCTGCAAAAGGCAGCAGCTTCTGGGGCTTCAGCAAGCAGCCGCGTGCCTGCAGCCATTGCAGCACCTCCAGCCGACCCGCGCCGGCGGCGAACTCCGCAGCCCGCTTGCCAGGCCGGATGCCCTCCTGCAGCAGGAACTCAAGCACCGCGATGTTACCCTGCTTGGCAGCACAGGCTGCAGCTCTGCTGCTGCGCAGGGGGTAGCCCCGCTGCCACAGCCAGCGTAGGCGGTCCAGGGCATCTGGACAGTTAGCAGCACTCTCACACGCCTCTTCACTCCGGCGCGCACCGCGCTCCTCCGCCCACAGAACCTTAGCCTGCCAATCTGGTGTGCGGCTGCCTGCTGCAGCTGAGAGGACGCCGGGCGGCATTAAGTGCAATCCTGACCAACGGCCATCGTGCTCACTGTCACAGCGTATTAGGGTTGGCAAATCACAGCCCGCAGCAACACTACAAAGCCAATCCTTAGGGTGATAAGTGCCAGAGAAGCCTGTCTCCGCCGCTCGCCTCTTTGTCAGCCACTCTGCCACGTCCAGGTGTCCATTACGCGCGGCACTGGACATAGCGGCGGCGTCCCAGGGGCAGCCGTTGTCCAGAAGCCACTCGCACATGTCCACATGGCCCTTCGAAGCCGCTCCCGGAAGGGCATCCCCCCAAGGAAAGCCATGTTGTAGCAGCCACTGGAGCATATCCAAGCGCCCAAGGGAAGCTGCAATCCCCATCTCGTCGGGGCTCAAACGGCAGAGGCCCGCGCTTGCAACCGCTACCTTGAGGTTTGGCAAGCTGCCACTTTTAATGGCGAGAGTGATCAGGTTTCGTCGTTCTTTGTATGTAAAGGCGCGCGCGGCGCCAGGTTTGGACCATTGCCAAGCGAACGCATGCTCTGGGCAAGGCTGTGACAGGCGAACCACCTTGAACTCAGGTGCGTGAAAAGGTGCAGCAGTGGCCTTGTTGATTAAACGCACGGTGCATGCTATGTCATTGGGCGGGAGGAAGCTAAGAATGCGCTGCACAAGCTCTGCAGGTAGCTGTTGCCAAATGTTCTCCAACCCGGCCTCCATGGTTGACTATTAACGAAATTATATGAACTGTTCAACAGAGATTCTTGGCAAGTCAAAAGTTACCAACTGAAGTGCACGTTTTCGGCTCACGTGTAGCACGACAACCGCAAACCGCAGCTAGAAGGTATCCTGGCTATCTCATACACATGAAGTACGTGCTTATACAGTGACTAGGCTACAGTTGCAAAACTAGCTGGCAATGTCGTGCAAGTATCTTCGTACCGTTAGTAACTTTCCAGTCGAGTCGCAAGCAAGGCGATAGCAACATGGCAAACAGCGCTCTGCCTCTCCCCAACGAAACACGCAGAACTGCAAAGCACTGCCACGACTCTGAGCACTCAAACACGATGCTGGACACCTCACGGGCATTGGACATCGTGTCCGCCATGTCTCAATAACGGTACATCAAAAAGCAAGGCAGGATTCACAGCTGTTAACGTGCCATGCTGGCGCCACGGGAGGTCAGAAGACCCAGGGCAGCAGCGCTGCTCGCCGGCTGGGGTAGTCCGGGAAGCGGGTGCGGTACCAGCGCTGAGTGGCGCCCGCCGCTAGCACCAGGTTTAACGCCTGGCCGGGATGCGTGAGTTTAGGGGGGAAAGAGGTTAAGGATGACGCAAAGTACCGGTATTGGTAAATAGAAGAGGAGTAAACAGGTGGAGTTACCGGTGGGTATGTATCACTCCCTGCTACTTTATGTGTCACGATGTGAGCGTGCAACACAAAGCCAATCGTACAGCCTTAGCTGTGTGATGTCCGTTGACGTACCGGAACGCCCCCCCCTTTCAGTCAGTTAGTTGTTTCCTCTTTACCCCCCCCCGCCCCACTTACCACCCATGCGGCGATGAGCAGTGCGCCGACTGACCCGCGGGTCACCACCGCCAGGGCCACGTAGATAAGGATCTCCGCCAGGTAGTGCGGACAGCTCACCTTGGGGGGGGGTTGGAGGAGGGGGAGGAAGAGGGGGAGGCGTGGGGCAAGAGGGCGTGCGCGCGCAATAGTCGGTTCAGACAAAGGGTCGGCTTTAGATCGGTAGCGTAAACTGGTTGCTACAATGCCGGCCGGATAACAGGCGACGACGTTGAAAGCAATTTCCCCAACACCCCTCCATGGAGGCGGCCTTACCAGCTCGAACGCGCCCCCCTTCGGAATGCTATACACCTCCGTTGCCGCTCCTCCCGCTGCCGCTCCTGCTCCTGCCGCGCCCTCGCCCCTCCCCTTGCTGCTGCTACCACTCTTGCTGCTAATGCTGCTGCTGCTGCCGTCCCCCCTCCTGAACAGCACCGCCGCCGCAGCTGCCTGAGCCGAGCGCTGCTCGCCCGCCCGAGCCAGCCGGCCCAGGGCCAGGTGGGTGCGGTACTGCAGCAGGCTGGCGGCCAGGAACAGTGCGGCACCCTGGGGGGGGAAGAGGTGGGAGGGGCAGGGTAGGCCGCGTTGGCAGCGGTGGTGGCAACCCGCTGGTGGCCATGTGAGGCGAAAGCGGTAGTTGTGTAGTGGTTTGCGGATTGAGAGGTGGGTGGGACAGGATGGGCGGCGGCACGGGACAGGAGGGAGGAAGAGGCAGGGAGAGGAGGCTGGACACTGAACCGGCCCTGTCGAATGCCTTCACCCAATTACCTAGAACGCCCAAACCACCATACGAACGACCTGTTGCGCACCATGGCCACCTCCCTACGCGAGTCGCATCCCCCACCTCCATGCGGCTGCTGCTGCCGGCCCTCTTCCGCCCCCCACATGTTTCGTCCCTGGCTGGCCTCGCTCTGGATTGGTCCCTGGACATGGCGGCTGGCCCTTCACGTGGTTTCCCGGTACACACCTCGTTGTGTACCTAGGTACGTGTTTTATCATGTGTCGGTCTGTGTTGTTTTTTATGAGTGCTCGTGTTGTGCTGTTCCTGCTGTTTGCGTATGCCCCACGGCGCGGTGGGTCTCCACCTCACCTTCAGCAGCCTCCACACATGCCCAAGCCTATGGTAAGGTTCCTCCATAATTGGTAAGTTCGGTAAGTTTAGCTCGCTTTGCTTTAACCACCATTTCAGCTCGACTCACGGTTCATTCCACCAGGGATTGTCAGCAACTTATATCATTATCACACCGCACTTTGGAATTTCTTTTTTCCCCCCACCCTTGTTCCTTCACAGCAGGTTGCAACCTTGACAGCCCTCGCCCGGATCCAGCCCTGTGCGACGCATCCCATACCCTCTAACCCCTGACCCCTCCTCCGCTCCCCCCCCTCTCCCCCTGACCCTCTCCCCCCCCTCTCCCCCCTCACCGCCGCCAGCCTCGCGGCCCCCGGGTGCGGTGCCGTCACCGCCTCCAGCAGCCGCCGGTCCACCGACTGCCAGTGACCCACACCCGCGCCAACAGCCTGCAGCGGAGAGGGCAGAAGTACCGGCAGACACACGGGTCGCGGAAAGCAGCAGCGGTGGCAGCAGCAGCGACAGGACAGCATGCCCCTGTGCCCCTGAGCACCTGCATGCTTGGACCCCCAGCCTTCAACGTCAAAAGCCTCCTAATCCCTAATCTGCCCTCCTGCCCTACCCCCCCCCCGTTACCTGCTCCCAGGCGCTGCGCACCACCTCCCGCCTCATCACCCCCGCCGGCAGCAGCGTCAGCGGCACCACCAGGTAGTACGACAACCCGAACAGGTAGGCAAGCAGGTGCATGCGGGCGCCTGGGGGGGGAGGCGGGGGTGGGTAAGAGGAGGTGGATGCGCAAGGGTGGGTTGGGGGATGTGGAGGTGTTGGGGCTGGCATGCAAGTGGACCCGGGAGGGCATGGGTGCGGGTCGCGGAGTTGGGGAGGGCCAGAGGGGTGGGCAACGAGATGCCCCTGCCCAGCAACACTCCAACACGTACCAGCCAGACCACCGGATACCCCCACGAGCGCACCCGACCCCGACCTGGTCCCGCCCGCCACCCCCCCCGCTTCGGTGTCATTAACATTAACCCCCTGCCCGTCTTACTCTCCGGGTAGTGCATTACGTAGTTGGTTTCATAGTAGCGCCGCATGACGTGAATTTCGAACAGCAGCAGCGCCAGCAGCGAGTCACGCTGGCGTCGTCGTACACACGCATGGTTTCGGAGGGAGGGAGGGAGGGAGGGAGGGAGCAGGAAGAAGGGGGGATCAGCAGAAGGAGGATAACCGCGGCAGCACGGATCATGCCTTTACGCGAACGACGCTGCAACGTTCCACATCCTACTGCACGTGGATAGCAGAGATCTTTGCTCGCATGTCGACCCCCCCCACCCTGTTCCTCCTATCCCCTTTGCCCCTTGGCCTCACGTGTGGCTAGCTGGTACTTCCCTGACCCCTACCCTTTGTGAACATCATCAGCGGTAGCGCCATCCTCTTGCGATCTGCTTCCTTAACCCTCTTCCTCCCTCCCTCCCTCCCTCCCTCCCTCCTTCCTCACATCGCACCTTCCGGCAATCCCAGTATGGTCCGGCTCGCGTCCTCCGGTTTCCTGACCCCACCCACCCAGCCTCGTCATACAGTTCGTCAGTTTCCTTATGTTTACCTCCACCTGGTTCCCCCACCTGGTGTATCTAATCCCCCACCTGGTAGTTCTAATCCCCCACCTGCGCATCCTCGCTGCAGCACACGAACACATAGGTCTGCAGCAGTGCGGTGGTCGCCAGCACCCCCACCAGGTAGAAGTGCTCGAAGTACTGCTGGGGAACACTGGCGGACTGGGGGGGGAGGAAGGGGGGGATAGGTGGTGGGGGGTCAAAGACCGTACCAAACTGTGGGAGGCCACAGGTTAGGGTAAAGCAGGAGGTGGGGGACAGGGAGGGCGGGAAGGAGAGGTGGCGGCAGGGGTAGGGGGAGGTGGGTAAAGATGGGGGACACGAGATGGGGTTCTTGTGAGCGGTTATGTACGAACTCAGGAGCGACATATGACTAAGGACAGCCCTGGAGTCACGCTGGAGCGTGACTTCCCTTAACAGGGAGGGCGGATCACCAACTTGCTTACCGTCAACGGGCCCAAGCAGCGTGTGGCGGGTCGGTCATGCCACAGCTTGCCTCGCGCCGCGGCAAGGCGAACTGCGGTCCTGCGAGGAACGTGCTGAACTATATTAGTAGACACCCTATCCTTACACGTTTCCTGACGGGTAGGGTGGGCGTGTCACCGCATTCCAGGGAGATCGAGCGGCGGCTTACTTGAACGCTTCCGGTATAGGTAATGGGAGAAGTGTTAATAGCACTGACGACGACGCTAGTATCCAATATGCCTTTAGAAGGTAGGGCAGAAATTCCAGAGCGCTCAGCGTAAAGTCATGCAAGGTTAGGGTCATCTTCCGAAGCGCCTGGCAACAATAACACCGTTTTTTTATTGCGATTATCCAAACCACTCCTGAACTCCTTGCATCGTGACTTTCTGACCGGGTGTTCTCGAGCCAACCGAAGTCGGTTGGTTACCAGAGGGTGCATGAAAGCACAAATGGCTTTCCGCTGACGGGAATCATAGCTAGTAATAACACCCTCAACAGCTGGGTTAAACTGGCATGCGACTACCACGCTTGGTATCTGAGGCGTCGACGCGACGCTTAAATCGTCCTCGCGAGCTTTCGCTCCGGCCGAGTATCTCCTAAGGGCATACATGAAGACGGCTACTGCAGATAACTGTCTAACAACAAGCATATTACGGGTTTCCTATACCCAATGCATGTCCGTTGAGGTCATGCATGGCGGCATGTCTCAGGGAGCTGCACTGCCTGCCTACTCTTGGGACCGCAAACCTAGCCAAGGGCCCTTCAAACAGGTGGACCGTCCACGTACTATTGGGCAGCAGCTTGGGTGGCTGGAATGTAACGACCAGTTTCGTCAATTGATGGTACCCTGTCGGCGACCAGGTAGCAGTTGACATGGTATTTACATAGTATATACGAGGAGTGTTGTCGCTGTAAGCGCATATGCCGTCAGGTGACGACCTTATCCACGGCAGCGTCGAACCCTCCATAACGCGGGCCCCAAGACCCTGCAACATCAGCTACCAAAAACCAATCGCGATCGCCCCCTGCAGCTCCTATATGTTATATCCCACCACCGCACCGCAAAGCAGAGACCGCCTCTCACAAAGGCGAGGAAGTGGAG